ACAAATTTGTTTTTCCATTTCTATTTCTATTTTCTATTTGTTAAACTATTTCAGAAATTGAACTGAGGTGGCTTTTCCTTGATGAAAATCCATTTAACAAAATAAATAACAAAAAGTTCAGATTTTCACTGTGGATGTGACAGATTTAGTAGATTTCACCCTCACTCGGAAACAGGTTAACCCATTGGCGAAACAAGATTTATTAGATTGCTTAATAGTATTTTTAGACCAACATTATTTTGAATTTAATTCACAGATTTTCATCTCTAAGGAAGGTTTGATTATAGGAAACCCACTTAGTCCTTTGTTAGCGAGATTTTTATGGATAATTTGGAAAATATCATACTAGAACATCCTTTAAGTAAAAGTTTTCTGTGGTGGATAGATACGTGGATGATATCTTTGCTTCCTTTGTTGGAACGGACAGAATTCAATTCTTTTTTAAATTACATTAACTCATTACATAATCGTAGATAGACTAACTATCACGAAAACGTAAAACAATTAAAATTTTTCCATTTACCATAAACCTTCACACACGGACACAGTCATACATAGCAGCTCAAATCACTCTTATACACAAAATGACTGCATTTCACTCTTTTATACACAGACTCCTTAATTCGCCTCTCTCAACAGAAAATTACGACAAAGAACTTAATATCATTAAACAAATTGCATTGAACAACGTCGACAATTTATAAAATTATAAATAAAAAACAAATCCAGACAACAGAACACGAACAATTTTAAACAATTACATACATAGGAGAACCCAGTGAAAAAGTTTCAAAACATTTGTCAAAATGGCGTTTAAAAATAGCTTTCAGAACTAACAAAACAATAGGAAAATTTTTAAAAAACAATAAAACGAAATGTCCAAAATCTCAAAAATCAGGTGCCTACAGGTTGAATTGCGGATCTTGTTAAAAAATTTATATTGGACAAACAGATAGATCCTTCAAGAAACGAACATAAAAGAGCGTTTAATGCCAATAGTCTAGATTCTAATTATTTAACACAGAAAAACACATTTTTGACGACAATTTTGATATTTTACATACAGCCACAAAAAGTAGAAAATTAAATTTATTGGAAGCTCTGGAGATTAACAAAATGAGACATTCAAATGTATTGCTTAACGATCAATTAGATTTAAATACCTCTCCTTTATTGAACTTAAATTCTCGCAACAACAATAATTAACGTTTTATGGTAATTTTTCTATATATATAGTACCAGGTAGTTTGTAAATATTACATTTGATAAAGACACGGTGTTGTCGAAACAATTGTCATGTGAAAATGTATAATTTCGTGAAAATCTGAACTTTTAGTTCTTATTTATTTTATTTCAGAAATTTTTATAGGCACTAATTTCTCAAGAGAACTGGATTTATATAAATTAGAAACACTGTATTCCAAAACTCTTATACTGTCCGATCTTTCTCCATTTTTAAACGTATGCTTACAGATAAAAGACATAATTTTCTTTAACTTTCGATTCGCATGCAGTTTTATATTAGTGCTGCCCTCTAGGATTGGTAGAGTTGAATGTATCGATGGTATTGTTGATTTAATAATTTTTTTTTATACCCGCAAATAATATTTTGTCGCTATAAGATTTTCGTTTCGCAATTTGCAACGTGTGTGTCTATGTATAAGAAGCATTTATTGCTTTCTTCTTATTATATTTATTCAAATAGGCCGTTCTTGGAGGTAAATTTTTTTGGATTTCTGCAGAACGGGTTTAATTACAAAACAAGCAAAATAACATTAATTTTCGTAATTTTTCATATAATTGCGCATATATTGGGGTTTTTTGCGTGCATTTTTTCCGCTTCTTGTTATATCCTTCGTCTATTACCAGCAGAAACCCCACGTAAACTTACGGATCGTCTTACTTGCGAGCACAGAATCGACCCATAAGTGACAATCGTACCGAACAAGGCGCTGGCCCGATCTAAACGCATCGATGTAGGATATTTTTATCGTTACTGGGTCACCGTCGTACGAGGGCAGAATGAAAAGGTTCTAGAGAAACAAACGATAATTGACACCTTCGCACCCAAGCGATATCCTCTCAGCACAATCGACTGCAAGGGTAACAGGAATATGATTGTATAAAAAACACAATTTTTGTCCCCCAAAACAGCATTTCAAGACCGAAGTTTAAATAAAGTACTGAAAAACCGCTCCGTATAATTCGTACAGATTCATGGTATGATTTTTTATAGACTAAACCGAGCCATAAATGAAGGTTCTTTATGGCGAGGCTTAAGCGGTATATCCGATAAGAGACAATCTTAATCCGCGAATTTAGGTTAGTTTTGGTTTGATGTTGGTCTAAATCCCGATTCGTCAATTCCGAAACGTCCGTCTGGCGACGTCACTTCGAGTCTAAAAAATAATTCTATTCGCGTAGCTTGTTAGAATTTCCACTGGGAAGCCATAGTAATTAGACTGTCAAGTCGACACGCTTGGAGGTTTTCCGAAGCCATTTACATAGTCAAGATTATCGCACGTTGTTTGGTATACTTCGACCAGAAATATGGTGCGTCCTGCCGAGCAGACCCTTACCCGTAACCATTCCATGACCGTCCTAGGAATTTATTTACCTACACTAACATGCAGGATACAAGTACGAGGGCAGCGCTAAAATTTCCCGGACTGAATATGAAAGAAACAAAGTAGAGTAACATTTTTTTATTATTTTTCAATATAATCCCCCTTAACTTCAATACACTCAATCCCTTTAAAAAATATTCTTTGGGTTTGTCTGCAAATTGAGCTAAAACAGCCTCTTTTAACTCAACTTCGTCCTTTTTCAAATACCCAAACAAATAATAGTCGCTGGGACTATAAAAAGGATGATCTATCGAAAATACGAAAATACCCCGCAGCATCAATGCTTAATGAAATTTAAAACGGTCCATTCACGGTTCAAAAAAAATTTCAAATTCCCACAAATGTTCGTTACGTTGCATCTCAGGTTAGACTGACTTGACTGTCGGGATGGGTTTTACCACGGTCCTGCGAATATACTACTGCTCGCATACTTCGGACGACCGAGTTTAACTGTGGGTTTTCCAACGAGTATTTGCAGCAACTACGGAGAAGCTGAACGCTTCAATGCCGAACGTTTTATATAGTGCTGCCCTCTGGGATTGGTTTTGATGGTTCCATAACGAAAGTGGAATTGTAAAGTGTTCTTACTTCATTTTTATTTGGATGTACTGTTTTTAAGTTAACGAGTGTTTGTTGTATACGGCGACTTGGCGAGTATTTTGTGTTCTGTGCTTACTACATTCGGTGCTTTGATTTCAGTTATTTTTTTGTGGTATTATTATTACTGAAGAGCTAATAATTCCTATAAATGAAGCTTTATGGTAATATATAACATAAGATTTGATAAATTCTAAGCTGGACGAACCATTGTTGTGTAGTCTACCGACATCATGCCTTGTTTTTTATTATCTTGCTAGGTCAATGAGATAGCAGCAGTTACGAGTTTGTAAAACAAGCCCCATTGATTTCAAATGAACTTGCAATGAAATTTAATTGGTTGGGCATGAAGAAAGAGGAGAAATTTTCAAAATTAAAATTGGCCAAATTAATACTTAGTAGGTATATGTTTTTTAAAAATAAATAGTACGTAAATGTAATAAAATGAGTGATTGCTGGATAAAACTGACTTTTTTGTAACCCATATACGTATTAGGTTATATATCTTTTTTGATTCTAGACTTCTTTTCGTATGTTATTGCTTAGTTTTTGAAAACACAAATAAAATCCACTTTCTCTTCATGTTTTTTGAGCAGTTAAATTTAGGCATACAAAACTAAACTAATTTTTCCCCAGAATAAAATTATATTTTTAGTTATATAGTATAGTTAGTATATTTTTTTCTTAAAATGGACGCAAGAATCAAACCGCAAAAACAAAGCATTAATTTTAAGTACAATTTTTACATTAAAATGGTTGTTGGGTTAATTCATGAAAAAAACTTGGAAAATTTTTAGGTTGACAGAAAATATTGGATGAAAATAGTCATATACGGTCATATTTGTTCTCATGGAAGAGGTCTTATCGATGAGAGTTTAATGAGGTTTGTATTTAATGAAATGAAATACATGAATGTATACCTACATCATCGTGGAGATTAGCATCTAATATCATTTTCACGACACTACAATCAGTGTCAAATCAAGCTTTCACTTAAAAGGAGGATGTAGGAATTTTTCAAATCTGTTTTTTAAACTTTGACTCAGCAAAAACCGACGCAGGAGGAATCCAGAAGTTTTGTAAATACTAAATGAAGAAATATCATCTTTGTATTTCTTGGTATCTATAGAGAGAATATTTCTGTTACACTGCCGTGCAGATGTAATCACGATGTAATATCAGCCGTACATGACTTTAAACTCTCCCATTTTTTGTATATTTTATGGAGCAAAATTGAGTCCATCTATTCCTCAAATGGTATAACGCTGTTCCCAATAACGTAAAGAAACTAATGCCCACATCTTTTAGGAAAAAATATATTTTTTTTCTTTATAATCAATAAATAAGATGCAGTACAGTTCCTTTTTTTTGCGCTGTGCTTTTGGTTCACTGATAATGGATAAATGGAAATACGAAGTGCAAAATATGAACAAATAAATCTGACAGCATTGCTGTTATCAACTCCCAGATACTAAATTTTATCTTTCCAGCTTTGGCAAATTTGCTTAAGCCCCCTATTGAGCAATTGAGGGGATGTTAATAACACTAGTCCTGAAGAAGGCAATTAAATAACCGAAACGTCGACCGCTGTAAAAATTTTTGCTTATTAAATCTTAACCTTAGATTCTAAAACTATATGACCGGAAATGAACAAAATTTTATTATTTTATATATTTTTTTACTTACGCAAATCGGATACAAATCGCGCCGTCACGCGCTAATTGCCAAAAAAATTGTTCGCAACCGTTACAACTTTTCGGTACCAATTTGTTTCAGGTAAAATGAATTTCCTCAACGCTAGTCTACTTCCCGCTTTAATTTCGTTATTAATTAGTGGTAAGTTTTAAAATAATCTGGTTGAACCAGTTGCCGATGTTAATGACCTGTTCCTTTTTTTTCCAGTTAAGTGCATCGACTGTGATATAACCCTATCCGTTCATGACGTTTCCTTGAAAGTCGACCACAACGCCACCGTCCAGCTGATATTGTAAGTATCGAGCGGCTCGTGAGCAACCCTGTATAGTTGACCTATTAATATCTGGCCATAACTGGCATTAGCATTGCCAATTAAGGTAAAAAAAACTTAGGGTGAAAAAACTTATACTTAAAGAGACTGCTGCTGAAAATTGTGTGATCGAATTTTTAAATTTTAAAATTTATACCACAGATAACTAACACGGTTGTAAAGTTGGGTTCTTTTTGATGAAATGGTTTTTGATCCATCTCTTTTCGAAAATAAATAACTCCAGCTTGGCGATTTTCGTCGTATTTGGAGTTGTTGAAAAGGGCTCCTTTCAAGCCTTCGACGTCGGCCTGAGCAGATTGTTTTAGATTGCGGCGATACAAGCACTATAAAAAACGTTTGTTTTCTCAGATATTACTCTTTTTTTTTAGTTTTTTTGCAGAATTGTAATTAAAATACAAAAATTATATTTAAAATGTCAGTACTAATCAATACTCATTGAATATGATTGAATATGTTTAATTATATTAAATATATTTAAAATAATCAATCGTATGGGGATGAGTTTTAATTATTAATGACATTTTAAATACAAAGTTGGCGTTTTAACCGTAAAATTATATTCACTTTGCTAAAGCAACTAATATTAGCATTTTAAAATAGTAGTTATCCTGAAAAAGATTTCTTTCACTGATTTTAGTTTAGACTCTTATTTGGTCATATTTTGTTGCAATTACAGGGATATTATTGCATTTAATTGCAATTGCAAGACAAATATTGTTTAAACTTTTTGCCGACAAATATAACCCCTATTAGACTCTCCAAATGACATTAACATGCGAGCAAGTGGTTTCTTTTTTCTGAATAGTGTTGCTGCTTTTTGTTTTAATTTTCACCAGAAAGGATCAGTAAAAAACATCAAATTCATCATCACTCCTATTGTTATCAACTGCAAGTAGTAATTTTGATGTTCTTTAGAGACGCTCAACACGCCCTCTAGCGGCGATAAATAAAAAAATTTAAAAAAAAAATATTTTTTTTAGTTTTCTTTTAAAAGATATTAACCATTTGGATAAAAATATCCTGAGTGACTGCCTCTTGAATTTAAATTTATGATAAAAAATAGCTTACCAAAATGGATTATTTCTTAATATTGAAATTAGTTCTATATCATACACATTCGGCGAAACTAATGATTTATCTATGAAACACAAAAATGGAGAAAAGTGCATTTTATTAAATGGATTTTATTAAATCGGCCTTTTTAACTTCCATGTCTTATCGGTAGTGTACCTCCCTTTGACTTTATTTGGTTTACCCCATACAACCATGCAATGAAATAAAATGTTGATATGATCTATTCAATATGTCATTTTGAACCAGTCACCTCTTTTTTCAAACCAACCATTGAAACCTAAGGAAATCGATGTTTAATAAGAAAATGGCGCAAAGTGTAGCTTAGTAAGTCATTCCCTTCTCTATCAAAACTCTACCGAACCATTATTTCCTCTTGAGGACCATCAACTTTTACCGTTCTTAGCCCATATATAGTATTCAATATCTATATTTTTATCCACTCCACACCTTCATGGGCGTCTCCTACTGGGAGCTACGCCCTCTGTTGGTTCAACCGTTCGCCTTCGTCGTTAAGCCGCGCCCTAATGGACGTCTGGTCAAACCGCACTTTGTTTTAGCTAGGTCAGTTTTGTTTTAGCAGCACCTGATTAATTTTGTCGCACATTATTTCAAAATGAACTAAATTTTCATTTAGAAATGGCACCGGCACAGAAGACAGACTCCATTTTGTCGTCCAACATGGCGATATAGCGGAGGTAGTGCCCAGCGATGTCGTCTTGACAGCCGAGGTCACCAACATCACCGTGATCGCCAAGTCGGCAGGAAGAACCCAGATTTACGCGAACTCGACGAACAATTCGACGAAGTAAGTGACGAATATACCAGGCGATCTCGTTACTTTCTAAAAATCGATGAAATCGAATTTTTCGGAAGTTTACGCGCTTAGCAATGAAACCTATATCTCGGCAACGGTACAAAATTGGCACAAATATAGAGTTTAGTCCACTAAGGGAACCAATGGCCAATTGGTTTAAATGGTATTGTACAATGCTCAACAGCTACAATTTTTGTATCTACGGTTTTCGTCTATTACAAACACTATTGAAAAAATCCAAATGAAAATAACTATTTCACGCCCTCAATCTAAACGCGGTTACGTCATTTCTATTACGACGTACTGCATGGTTTCAGAAAACAAGTGTTTTTTCCAAAACCATTTGCTCTATGGGAAAAATTCATATACCAGGAGAAAATTCTGTTTCGTGGGTAAATTATTGGCGATAAATGAAAAACTCCTAAAGATGGGATAATTTTATTTGAACAGTATTGTAAATTGTGTCGAGAGAGAGTTTCAGGTTTCATCTATTATACAGGATTCGCGAAATATTTGAAGTTCGGCGTGACGTGAAAAACACTTTATACAGAGCGGATGCACAATAAAATTACATCGATTTTACGAAAGTTCGATAGTGGCTCGCAGGAGCATGATAGAAAAACGATGTTTCCCTCTAAAACACAAAACTTTAAAAATACAAGGACTTTGTAGACTTTGTGACTTTGTAATCTCATTATGGTAGTTCTTTGAAGTGTTACCACGTGACATGCGTGGCAGCGCCTTTTAGGTTATGTTTATAATGATACACTAGATTTCCAATAAAATTATATCAGGTATATGTTTCTTTTTTAGAAGAAACAAGCTGTCTATTTGTAGATTTAAAAATTATTTAAGTAAACGGAAAATTATTTTCATAATTCAATAATTCATAAAAGACCAAACAGTACCTCCTGTACTGCGCTTCGAACTAACCTAAACTAATCAATAGTGGTTTTCATTGCATTTGAGTTGCAGTTATTATTTACGATTGACTTCTTGGTTCTTTGATTGTAACTGTCCGCCATTGTGGTTTTTAGCGTCGGCGATGTGTATTTGAGGGTGACCGTGTATCTTGTCGATGTCTTGGACACAGTTTCGACCGCCATCGGTTGGCTGTACTTCGTCGCATGGTCCGTGTCCTTTTACCCGCAGATTTACATCAATTGGAGCAGAAAAAGGTACTTAAGCGATTTTACAAAAATTCCAAAATATAATAATATGTTCCCAGTGAATGCGACGTTGCCAAATTTCTTTCTTTTTTTTACAACCCTTACGGAGTTACTTGTTTTGAACTTAACTGAAACTGATTTATATTCGACTCTGTACCTGCTTTTATACTGCTGGAGGAGGCGGGGCTAAAAGAAGGGACATGAAAATTGCATCGAATGACTAATTCCCATATTGGTGAAAGGTAAATAAGAAATGATGGATCGAAACTATTGAGAGATTTTTAGTCACTCTGGATTGAACATTATATTTCTTAAGAACTTTTGATATATGGAGTGAGGTGGTGGTGAAGTGTATTTCGGACAAATTTATAAAAATAGACCAATAGGCGAAGTATCACCCAAAGGGCGCTTTTAAACTTAGCAAAAAAAAACAGACTCTCTGAACGATCAAGATACATTGGCAGTCGTACAAGCCATATCATTGCAATAAAAAATCGTTCTCTTTATCATAAATAAACATTTTTATCCCTTTTTTTGTAATTACGTACGGATGAATCATTTAAAATATCTACTGGAAATTTGTTGATCAATTTAGGTGCTGTATCTGAAAAAGGTCTAGGTAAAAGTAACAACTCTTTTTTCCTGTATCAATATTTAACTCCATAAAAAATACAAGCTTTTTAGACAAATAAGACTACGGTTATATATGGTCAGTAAGGTTGAATAGATATCTCAAAGACGACGTTTCTGACTGTCTATAACGTGACTGATTTTCTCATATTTTCTAATATAGTAACAAACCCTGAATTCTGAATTTTCTGGAGTCTTACGCACATTGTAACATAAGCAATCCTTTAGGAATATTGACAGAATCCTATCCATCCATAGCCCCAAATTTTTGGCATTAGGCAACCTCATTCATTCAGTTTAGGTGATTTCTGACATAGTTTACCCGTTTTTGTGGTCCACATGATATACCCGCTTACTTATTATCATTAAGCTGATAGAGAAATTAGATCCCCGTTAATCTTAGCAAGTCATCAGTTATTTTTGTAAGTGCAGCGGCAGTTCCAAAAGATTTGCAAAAACCGGACTGTGTATCCGGGATAAACTTATTTGGATATAGTAAGATACTAATTGGTTTTAACTGTGATATGACATATGGCTGCAGTAAATAAATATGATTAATATGTTCGCGATTGTCCAGGTAAAGTGTTATTTTTTTATTCCACTAGCCTTAGTGTATTTCTTCGGAACAAAATTCACAGAAACTTGATGTAGCTTCCGAGATTTTTGAAAGAGACCTAATAAGTTGAGATAGTTTTATTGGTCTGTGTCTGGTGGTTTTCTGTTAACTGTAAATAAGAATAATTAAACGGTACAACATAAGTAAGGGCCCATAGATTTTAAATCTTTAACTTTGACCAAAAAAGTATCATTTCCATAATTTTGATTTTAGATGAACAGTATCGAGTTCTTTCTTTTCGTAAGCTTCCATAGATGTATTTGCGAGGACTGATGATAATAGACCAACCATAGCTAATGCTAATATTGTTAATTTATCCGAAATAATGTTGAGAGTGTTAAGAATAGTAAACAGTATCTTTAAGTCGAAACTAACCGTTGGGACCCCATGTAATGGCTTTAAGTTGTTGAAATGAAAGCAATTAAGAACGTTTTCCTTGAAAATGGTTTTAATATAGAAGCTAAAGAATTAGTTGGAGACCCAGTGGTGCCAACAATTCTGGTGGGAATCACCCTACACGATGCGCATGCCCTTCCTTTAGCTCCGCTTCAAACCATTTTCAGTTAATCTCTGAAAAATTGATGATTAAGAAAACGACAGCAAGTTCGATTCATCAACTAGCCGGTAGAAGTTTATTTGAAAAATGCAAGAGCTCTGGATAAAATTTAACGGTCATTTTCCTCAATAACCTCATTAGTTTGTCCCTAACCCGATGGGATAAGCAATAATAATTGATTTCTCAAAAGCTAAAGGTGGTGGGACGTTAAACCCAATAATATACAGGGTGTCCGATTTAAATATCAAACTAAATGACCAAATTTTCAGAACGGGTCCCATCTCTTAAAACGTCTATCGTGAATCAACCTGTATAAAACTATATATCTAGCAGTTATACACGCCCATTGGTATCGTTTTTACTCCTATTTCGTAGACATGCCGCACAATAGTAATTAGACATTTACATTATCTGCACTACGGCTGGAATTTATTGTTATCGCTGTAATTTTACATTGTAATGGTGTGCAGTTCCGTCAAAAATAACGTCGCCATTTTTTTACGACTACAAAACAAGACTATCAGCGGGCACGATGCCAAATCGATGACGTAGGGTTGTTTATGCTCCAGCATTTGCGACTCTATGGGAAAAAGCTTTTCTCGAAATGATATATCGCACTTTTTTTTTCTAAATTTGGCAACGAAAAATAAATTGGTGCGTCTGAAACGCCGTTTTGCGTTTGATTTTAGCGTGGTCGGACTCAACTTCGATTTTCTGGTGCTCAATATCGTCGGATTCACGTTGTATTCTATTTTCAACTTGGGACTATACTACATACCGGAAATCAAGGTGAGCGACATTCGTTTGTTGTCCGGCCAATAGGAGCGACTTATATAAACCATACCTCGAAACGTTTATCGAAAAACGTGCAACTTTTAGTCATTTAAATGGCGAGTCTAATATACAGAGTGACTTTTTTACGGGAATGTTCTCAACTAGTACATGACAAACATACGTAAGCAGTGATGATTATTGTGCCAACTTAATTATTTCGAAATAAAATTATTTGGCTATATTAGAGTTTTTCAGTTATGATTAACTACACATTATAAAGTGCCAAATTAGGTATAATAAAAATGCAAACTTTGACCGTCGTCCGCCATCATTGGCAACTTTTAAACGGTTGTATGACGATTTGGGAATTTATGGTGGTTTTACCAAGCCAAACAATCAAAAAATAGAAGAAGAAAGCCGAGGTAATGGTTTTAACGAAAAAGAAGACCACAGGTTTGGGTTTAATGTTTGGTGTGGTACTGCTGGCTCAACAATTCTTGAACCATTTATTTTCGACAGTAGTGCAAGGGGCCTCCGTTATCTTCCCTTTCTTCAAAATGATTTCGAAGATATTTTGAAAAATGAACTTCAAGCTGCTAGAAAATAAGACTTTTAATTATATTTATAGGCGATCCATAAGAAACCCAGTTTTAAATAATAAAAATTGATAATTTTTTAAAAATCTTTTGTGAAAACTAAATAAATTGCTATGGTAACTAAATCCAACGTCAAAAAATTTAAATAACTTTATTTTTCAAAATATTAACATTGTCCATTTGATAATGATATGATAAGTTTTTTCCTATGTGAAAACTGACAAATGTGAGGAAAAATATCATATTCAAAATACAATATCTTAAAACTTTTGTACTTATCATTTTCTACTAAAATTAAATTTAGGTAAACATAATAAAACTCACCCTGTATATGCCAACTCAAACCCACATGCAAGTGATTTACATGAATATGACTATAAAAATAACAAAGATTGTTTTTTGGGCGAAATCGGCCTTGATTATCTGAACGCGCAATGACGTCACTTGCCAGTAAATAAATCTCGTTGATTCTTTGATCTGTGGTAAAATAGCAGATTCTATTCTATTTAATCGACACTTCTTACGTATGTTTGTCGTTTATTTCCTGTCTTTTAATGTCGTGGAAAATATTGCGGTAATTATTTTTCTACGGATAACCCATTATCGGCGCGTGTCAAAAGTGGTAATTTTTCGTAATGGCGGGAAAAAAAAATGTAACACGGCTAATCATTTACTTTCGGATTAATTTTATCCACGCGATTAACCGGGCTTTCTTTTTTTGCGGCCAAGCAGCACAGATCATAAATATCATAATGTTTTAAGACAATACGCGTGTTAGGTACGCAAGTTTGATGTAAACGAAACCCGCGTAGATGGCGAAATCGTCGATTTTCGAATCCGTTGGAAATCTCCAAGGATCATCGACCCACTAAAGTGGGATAATGCGCAGGTATATACCGAGTGTCCCGGTAAAGGCATGAAAACAAAAATTTGTTACGCAAATCCCGGGAATTATTTTCGAAAATCGTCACCAGGGGAAGCGATTGTTACCTTGAATTTTAAAAATGTTTGCTCTATCTCTAGAAGGAAAGTAGTAGGAGGTGTTCGGAAATTTTCTTAAAGAGATGTCCATGTGTTCAAAAAGGCTTAACATCTTTAATAAACCACGAGTGACCCGATTGCAGTTGCTTACTTGCCACCAGGTGGCGCTTTCTGACACAATCGCAAAGTACAAAAATTCTGAAAATATGTAAGTCATTATATGGTCAAATAAGATCCCAATAACCCAGGGAAAATAACATTTAAATGTCTTCAACATATAAATACAAAACTTAACAAAAATAAGTTGGATTTTGGAAAAAAGTTCCACTAAATAGGTTATTAAAATCTTACTTTTTGTACAATACCCTTGATTCCTAAACATTACCCAGTAGCTGACATTACTACGTTTTCATATACTCATTCTTGATTCTCTTGAGCAATGAAAAATTTCTTATTTAAACTAAATAATAATTATAATAATTAAATTAAACAATAAGTTGGTTAGTCCTCAATAATTCATCAGTTTTAGTTAATCAACTAAACCTATCTATTAATGAAAAACTAAGTGATAATGGTAAATTACTTGAAAACGGGCAAGAATATTTAAACGGACTGGATAATTGCTTGCGTTCCATGGGTATTGTACAAAGAAAAAAAGACATAAGAAAATTTTATTTTTATTTATCATTAATTTTCTTTTTATTAAGAGGACTTTTTCCCAAAATTCGTCTTTTTTTGAGCGTTGGGACATTTTATCCAAATTTTAGGAAATCGTTTCCTTCATACTTCGTTCCACTTCCTGGGACACTCGGTATATATAAACATATTTTGCAACGAAGGTGCTAAACGAGAAATGCGTTACTTATGGATAGGAAAAAACCACAGACCATTAACACGTTTAACGGTAGTCGTTCTTATACGGGGGACGTTCGATGAAACGCTCCGACGCGGCGGATCACTAAAACTCCACAAAAAAAATATAATGGGTCTGTGGTAAACGTCTAGTACGGTCCGTGCTTCATGTCACGGACCACATGTTTTGAAGGTTGCCAACGGAGCGCATTTTAATGTTTCAGGAAGAATACTCGAACCGATATCCGAGAGGTCTGAATCCGGTACAAGTGAACGACATTTTTTTCGCGGTACACGCGACCGCCGCCAGCCTCATCACAATTTTCCAGTGTTTCATCTACGAAAGGGAAGGCCAAAGGGTATCGACCACCGCAAGGGCGATTCTGGGCTTCTTCGGGTTGTTTATATTGATAAGTATCGTGTTGTCCGCGACAGCGGTCATCCACTGGCTGGACTTTTTATATTATTGCTCCTACGTCAAACTGACGATCACGTTGATCAAGTACATTCCTCAGGTGAGCGGCAAATGACGTTTGATTTCGTTATACAATTATATACGTCTTGTTTTTCATTAAGTTTTGTTTGGTTTTGTTATTTTTGTTCACGTTTCATAAACACAATTACGCTTTCTGTCACCTCAGTCCCGGTCAGTACTAGGAGATGACGTCACTCGAAGACGGTTTTCAAAGCTCATATCAAACGCTCCCTTTTCTGTGTCCACGATGTCCTTTTGTTGTTCGCGTTTGTATATTTGAAAGTTTTTTCAATTAAATTTATACATGGCGTTTCAGAAAAATGCGAAAAACTTAAGGGCTGTTGTTTAAAATAAAGGGTAGTTTTTTATATAAACTTTTGTTATATGTTTTTTATGAGTGGGAGGAATTGAAATTTTGTTTTTGAAATACCCTGTAAATGCATATTTAGTTCTACCGTCCGTTGTTATAATATCCAAAGAAGGTATAATAATAATCTCTCGCTTAAAAATGGGAGATTTCGAGACCTATTTGTGTCCGTATTTTATCATACAAATTATTTTAAAGTAAAATAATACAAAAGGCTATAGAGCAAAAATATGGTATTCATTAGACTCTTTGTGGAGGAAATAACCATACATAAACATAACAAAAAAAATACCAGTGTTTGAGATATTGTCACCTTGTTGGGCAGTTATTTTCCTAAGTTACTAAATGGATTTAATGCCAAGTTGTTAGGTCACACGTTCCACATATATTTTTGTGTTTCACCGAGCTCTGCCGATTGATCTCGAGTCGAAGAACGTGTTATTTTTGTGCTCTGTTTCTTTTGTGATTGAATAGTGAAATAAATAAGTGTGAACAATATACAGTCCATTTAATCAGTGAGGAAGCCATAAGCTCGACAAAATCGCAAAATAAATGCAAATTCCAGTTCGCAATAGTTACAAATTTTGCCTAACAAAAACACACATCCTATACGAATATTTCATTTACAAAAAAATGAAAAAATATAAGGAAAATAAAAAAGTATCTTGCTTATTGCTATTTATTATTTGCATACCTACCAATTAAGTACATATTTATTAGTAAACTTTTATTGCAAAAGGACCTTGCAGATTCCAATTTAATAGCAGGGTGTATTTTCTTAAAAATTTTCAATAAGTTTTGTGTTATTTTAGAGCCCTTTTTAATTTACTGATTTTATGAAATTTGTCGAAACTTTAGTTAGCAAATGCTGGGTCCTCTTTCCATTATTTACCATAGTTTCTCCTACATTTATCTCTTAATCCAGATTGTTGAAGTTTTTTATATTGCTTGTATTAAATCAAGTAGGAATCATCAAAATGGTCACTAACAACCAATTGTGTTTAAGAAGCTTGGTTTTTGATATATTGTAAGGGAGTTCGATGGAATTCACAACTCGTCGCATTACACATTCGTTTTTAATCAGATTTATATTAGCAACAAAATAAAATATTACACGATAAAGAATCAATAATACAAAAGAAATGACAAAAGTTCCAAGATGCATCGTGACTGGACGATAACATTTTCTGACAATCCGCAGTTGTCAAAAATTGAATAGCGTCACGATTATCCATGGTCCGTGGCCGTTATCACAGATGACAAATACGAACAACTTTTTGAGGGAACTAACGAATTAATATTTGTTGCAGGCTTACATGAACTATAAACGAAAAAGCACAGTGGGATGGAGCATCGGCAACATATTGCTTGATTTCACAGGAGGAATTCTAAGCATGTTACAGATGATATTGAATTCTTATAATTACGGTAAGTCACTGTATGTGGTGTATAATATGCCTTGCTATCGCGTTGAAGAGTAGATATTTTAAAAATTGTTTTTTTTTTTCAGATGACTGGGTATCAATATTTGGCGATCCCACGAAATTTGGACTCGGTCTCTTTTCCGTAGCGTTTGACATATTTTTCATACTTCAACATTACGTTTTCTACAGACATACCCAATATATAATGAGCTGACGATAAATTCTTGAACATCACTTTTAACCAATGCAATGACAATTTCTGACCTTGGAACGACCTTTGCTTACGCTTTGGTCGCCTATTAATTTTTTGAAGTATTATTTCGATATTGTAATAGTTGAATTTGTTATACATTCCTGTTTTGTTTCTTTATAGTTATATTAAGTGTTCCACGGATCTACATTTTTGATTACTATATGCATATAAGCCAATAAAAATGTATTTTCGTAAATTTCGTTTTATTTTGCCCCATTAGCATTACCTTTTACTGTCGTAGTCGGTTTTTTCAATTTAATTTAAACTTGAAACGCGATGACGTAACAATCCTACATTGCCTTACCACAATGACAAAAAACAAGTCCCTGTCACCAAAGACCTGAAAGTTATTCGAAATAGGTTCGCACCCAATATTTTGTTTATTGAATAGAAGTCTAGTGGATACCCAATTTGTAAGATTTTTTTTCATTTAAAATGTTCTCTCTTTAACTAAAACTCTTTCGGCGCTTGTTGGTTACAGACTGCTTTTTAAATCAAGAGTGCATGATCATCACAGACCAGAGATAAAAATTTTCTGTAACAGGAACAAACTTCTCTGTGAGAACACAGGTCGCCGTTTTAAATCCTCGATGGATTGACAAAAAGCAAAACTCCTTGTAATACATGTAACAATTCACATTGCATCACCACAACGAAAAAAAAGTTATAATCAAGTTGACGTCACAAAAAGTCCTGAAAGGTTTAGGGAATAAGTGTTTCCTTATATGTTTGTGTGGATCGAGAGGCTACTGTATACCCTATTTGCAACGTTTTTTTTTTTATTTAAAATGCTTTGTGCTTATATTAAGAGACAACCACAGACCAAAGATAAACATTTTCTGCAACTTGAACCACAAATCTAATTTTTGTTTTTTCTTTTTACGTATAAGGTAAATGGGATTGAAAAGAAGTTAAACCTCATTTTTGTTACTAAAAATCGTTTATTCAGTTATCGTAACAAATCAGCCAAGATTTACAAGAAAAGATGGAGTTTAAACAAATTAGAATACATACCAAAATAGATTATGAATGGATCGGTAAACACACCTGCTGTTTCTTAAAATGAAATACAAATGTAAGACAGATACTAAAAAAAAAACATTTAATTGAAATACAATTAGTACCGCCCACTTCGACCCGACCGGTGTTTTGGTGATCTACTTGCTGCGCGTCTCTCCCTAGAGCGAGAACGTCCCCTTTTCGGAGACCTCGACCTTGATCTTCCTCTGGGACCTCTACCTCCTTTTCGACGAGAATACAGATACCTGCAATTCAAAGCACAAGTTATGTAAAATAATACGCAATAACTTCATAATTTCACATTTTACCTGCGCAACTCCCGTGAAATTGGCTTCAAGTGCATGAAATTACAGAAACCCGACCGGGTGCACTCGCCCATTTCATATTGGCGACAGCAGGCCTCCCTAAAATCCGTCACGGGACTCAATTCAGCATACACTGGTCTGCCACCAAACCAACGATTATTTAAATCATTTACTGCTCTTTCGGCATCTTCTTCCCGTCGAAACTATAATACGACGCATCAATCAACCATCACCAAATAACCAACACAAATTATTACCTTGATATAAACATTTCCGACCAAATGGTCCCCCAGATTGTCACAAACATTCATTTCCTCAATTTCTCCGTATTTATCCTCGCATTCGACAAAGACGTCTTCGAAAAAATTATCATAATGCTCTTGCATTTCTTCATCAGAAACATTGGCAACCACTTAAAGAGCATTGAACAAATTAAAAAGCGTTACGTTCCACGAAAAGATACTTACAATGACTTCCATCCGCGGATTTGGCCGAATTCTGCGGGTTTACGTACAAATTCTGCAGCAAACATGTTTGGGAAAAGGTCGGCTTGTTGTGAATCCTGGAACACCGATCGCCGTGTCTGCACGCCCCGATTTTGAAATAAAACGAACAGTTTACCCTAAAATAATGTACCAATGAATAACGATAATAATTTTGGCTTTGGAAATATTTACTTGTCCTTTTCTGTACCGAAAATAGAAGCCAAATATTCAGCCATCTCGGAAAACGAGCGAAATATTCGGCAATTTACTAATCCACTACCATGGAAAAAATGAAACGCGTTTCGTCTGGGTCCTTGGTCGGTTGATTGAATAGTTCGCAGGTTGGCCAACCTTTGTTAGGAAAATTTAATTAAACTATATCGTTTATCGATCATTTTATTTAGCATTTCTAAAATTTATTTACTTTTGCTTGTTCACATTCTAGTAATTACAACAATTAATAATATTAGTGACTGTTCAATGTTAATGGGCCTTACACCACAGACGTATAAAATACTTCACATTATGCACTAGTCTGTGTTGACAACATAACCTCAAATTAATGTTAGTATTTGAATTTTGATTTGTTTACGTTTTTTAAAAATGAACGCGCCACCGACTTTCGAATCGTTTTTACTATACGAGGGAGAGAAAAAGTGAGAAATACGTTGCCTTAAAATGTTAATACCACTGATCCTGGCCTTTTTGCAGAATTATAAGAGAACAGGACACGAAAGTGCCGAATGCCGCAATTTTCACTATCAACAAGGAGGATCACACGTTGGGCAATATGATAAGGAAGTTTGTATATTGTTTAGGCTGCCGATTGGATCAGCCAACCTATAACGAATTATTTGCAGCCAGTTATTGAAAGATCCGAATGTACTGTTTGCTGGTTACAAAGTGCCCCATCCTCTTGAACATAAGTTTGTATTGAGAATTCAGACAACGTCCGATTATTCACCCCAGGATGCGCTGATGCACGCAATAACCGATCTAATTTCGGAATTGTCTCTTTTCGAAGAAAGGTTTAAGGTAAATCCTGATATTCTAATGAATCAATGAGAAGTAAAAACTCTTAATTTCGCACGTTTTAGGAAGCGATTAAGGAAAAGAAGGAAGGTTTGGACTAATGTGTTATTTAATGTGTATAATAAAAACCACTAAAAATATAAAATGCAATATATTAACAAACAATGTAATAAAGTTGCTTTTTACCCTTAAATGTAAAAAAACAGAATAAACTAGTTAAAATGTCAATCTTAAAATATTAATTGGTTAAATAAGTGACGATAAAAACAAAATTTCAGTCCACGTCAATTTGGCTCATGGGTTTCAAGTCTTCAGCCACTCGAAAATTACAACCGGTCGACATTAAAACGTCCTCGATCGCCACACCTTCCGCCAATTCTACTAAAGTCAAACCATTCTCATGGTCAATGTCAAACACTCCCTTTTCTGTGATGATCATGTCAACGCACTGCTTGCCAGTTAGCGGCAAACTGCAGTTTTCTAGAATTTTGTGCCCCCCATCTTTGGCCGTGTGCTCCATACACACGACCACTTTAGTACCCGGAGCCGCCACCAAGTCCATAGCTCCGCCCATACCTTTTACCAGTTTGCCCTAATAACTCAACAATCAACAAATGTCCCTTGGACATTTGAACTACTTGATTACTCACAGGTATCATCCAATTCGCCAAGTCGCCATACTGGGACACCTCCATTGCACCCAAAATTGTTAAATCAATATGACCGCTACAAAAAAAAAGAATTAATTAAAAGAAATCAGAAATTTAAAATAAAAAAAGGGCAAGTTGCTAACATTTCTAATTAGGGTAATTCTTTACGTAATCATTTGTCACAAAGCAACATTCTGATTAGGTGATATAGTTTAAAGAAAAAATTACCCAAAGTCTATTGAATGAATAGTTATAGCCATCTTAGTGGAAATTACCTGTAAAGTGCCTAACCTGTAGAATATTTCGTATTTGAAAATGGGCGAATGGCCTTCGGCACCGACCCCAAAGTTTAATGAAAGATTAGTTTAATTAAAATAAAAATGTATAAATTAGGGAAAAAATTTCAACTTTTTATGAAATTTGATTGCAGGGAGACTGCGAAATCAAATTTAATTTATCTGAAATATTACAAGGGCTCAAGCACTCACCCTCGGATCATAGCGAAGCTGTCATCACTGCTGAAGAAGGAAGCCCCCGGTACGATCGTCACCGTCTCTTTTCCCGCGTTTATTAAATCCGGATCGACGTGGTCCGGGTGCGGAAACGGTCCCAGACCCAGAATGCCATTCTCGGACTGCAAATACACCTCCATATCGTCGGGGATGTAGTTGGACGCAAGCATCGGCATTCCGATACCCAAATTCGCTGCCGCGACCAGTTAAGGAAAAATGTATTCTACGTTAACCCCCCAAATGTGAAAAAAAAAGGATACCATACATGCCATCTTTAAACTCCAAAGCAGCCCGCCTTATGATTCTCTCCCTCTTCTCAGCAGCGGGATTTTTTTTCACTACCGAGTCTTTGCTGTCTGATAACTTTTGCACGGTTAACCTCTTAAAGTGAAAACTAATTAAATCAAGCAGTTTGCATCAAATCTCCAAATCACCTCGATTCTTTTCTCGTACTTCTCGCCTTTAACGATTCTGTCGACGTAGATGCCAGGCAAATGCACTTCGTCGGGACGTATCGCACCAAGCTCGACAATCTCTTCCACTTCCACGATCGTAATTTTTGCGGCCTTGGCCATTGTCGGATTAAAATTCCTCGCGGATTTGCTAGTTGAAAGGTGAATCAAAACCAGCTACATAACCTCAAATTAAAATTACTTGAAAATTAAATTGCCCAAGGGATCGGCTTTCCATGCTTTGATGAGAGCGAAGTCGCCCGTGATTGCTTCCTCCATAATATAAGGCTTTCCGTTAAACAATTGCCCCTCCCTCTGCTTACTCGATAATTCTACTTTTCCATTGGCGTCATATTTTATAGGAGCCCCTCCTTCATGTATCAACGTCCCGTACGCCGTGGGAGTGTAAAACGCCGGTATTCCCGAGCCGCCAGCTCTGATTCTTTCAGCCAGTGTACCCTAAAATTAAACTCGGGTTTTTATTTCCCAAGCTGGTGTGGGAGGATGCAGACTTGTGGAGTTAGTTCCACTTCCAATTCTCCAGACAAAAATTGTCTTTCAAACTCGGCATTTTCTCCCACATAGGAAGATATCATCCTCTTGATTTTTTTCTGTTTTAAGAGCAATCCTAAACCGAATTTGTCAACACCGGCATTATTGGATACCACTGTTAAATCCTTTGCCTCGTGTTTCAACAAGGCGGCAATAAGATTTTCGGGTATGCCGCACAGTCCAAACCCTTTAAGACAGAATTTATATAGTTTTTTACTTACTCTTATTTAAAATATATGAAAAACCCTTCAAATTACCTCCTACCAACAATTTTGATCCATTTTGAATATCCCTGATGGCTTCTTGAAAGTCACTGCGAACTTTTTTACTACGCGTTGAGGACTTGGTTGAGAAATTTTGTGAAGAGCCCTGAAAATAATTGTAAATGTTAGAACCACAACTTTTTACCAAGCGGTAATTGTATTACATTATATGCATTTTGTATATGAAAACCAACTAGTTCGCTACTAGTAATTCTAAATCCTATATGCCGATTTGCAAAATTTAATGATTTAGAAATTTTTGCAGCAAACATTTTGCGCACATAACCACACTCAAATTGAATGTGAAACAACAGTTCTATTTTCTGCCTTTATTTCAACTTGTTTTGAACGAATCCATTAGCATAATAACGTCGTTAACTAAACATATTTCGTAATGTAGATAAAAACGCACATCTTTATTCATTTATTTATTTAGAATCTCACTCCCCAACCCGCAATTAAAAACAACAAATTTAAACCACAGATAAATAATTTAGAAATCATAAATACTTCGAATTGAATTAAAACATTTCAGCGTTACAAGTCGTAATATTAACAGCAGTTTGCATTTTTTTTACAACCTGCAAAGAGTTTTTAAGAAATGTGCTAAAATAAGAATGTTCGAAATTTTAGATAAATGTGGCTTGGTTCTATGCGAACGCAGGGTGTCCATAGATAAAAAAATATAACCTTTGGTTTTGAGATATTTGAACTACAACTTCGATAAATAAAAATATTAGAACAAATGGGGAATTGACTTTCCAAAGTGTATTTACCCCACGGAAGAGATGATAAAGTCGGAAATTTAGCATCCTCTGAAGTCGCTAAGCCTTGCAAAGGTAAAAAATAAATAAAAAATAAGTAGTATGATTTTTTATGGTTTAGTATGGAATCTGCTGGTAAAATAACAAAAAGCGACTTTAAATTGGACCGAAAAAGTGTGCTAAGTCCAGGCAACAAGAGTGAAAAGTATGACAGTGACCAAGAGGTAATCTCCCTCTCTGAAGATGAAGACTGTGAGGAATTGGTACAAGATGAAAATGCTTGCGCAAGTCGGGATTTAAGAGGTTTGGAAGAGTATTGGTCTGAAATTGAAACGCTACTGCTAATTAGGTTGTATCTGGAACATGAGGAAGAGCTAAAACGTGCAAAAAAAAAAGAAATTAGTTTGGCAAGTTATTTCGGAAAAAATGATGACTTATTCGTTTATTAAGAGTGCCCATAGATGTCACAGGAAATGGTTAAATCTGGGTCGGGCATATAGAAGGGCGTTAGACTCTAGAAACACAAACGGAGAAAAGTGCAAGTTCCGATACTTTGACACCATGCACAAAATTTTAGGGTCGAGGCAGATGGAAGAAGCAGATTTGCGAGATGTAAGTAGTGTGAATGGTGAGTACATTATACATATAAACTTTGAAAGCAATAATGTTTTGAAGACTTGAAGCTTCGTAAGAATATTTTAAAATTGTGACTGCGATCAAAACGTTGAAAAAAAAACTTCTTAAAATATTAAACTTAAAGAAAATTAATATTTAGGTTCTATGCATTCAGAAATATCCTCCCTTTAAGTATCTAAAAGTAGTGTACAGTACACCTGTGCAAAAACATTCTTAAAGTTATATTCTTCATAAAAGGTATTAGAATGAATTATTAATTAAAACATTGTTCAAACAAAATTTATTAAATCAAAGAGAGAAGTTCCTACAAAAACCGAATCTATATGTCTTAATATGTCTTTTTATCTGTTTTGTATCATATATATATTTTTTTAATTTGTGCAAAAAGTTTTTTGTAATACTCTTTTCCTTAGCATGTGATTTGACTTATAATGTGGTTTATAATAAAGGTTCCTTATAAATATACTATCGATCATGGACAAAATAAAAGCAATTCAGCAATAAGCAATTTTTCTATTAACAATTCTAATTTGATATTTATGTATGTAGTGTATTTTTTTTCTATTTTTTTTTGTATTGGTGTTAGTCTTTTGTCGTACCTACTTTAAAGGTACAATTAGTCAGAAAAAAAGAACACACAGTACAGAGAAATATAATATTAATTGCTCTACATATTATATTTTATTATATTGTTTTTAATATATTTAAACTGTTATTGTTACGACAAATAATTAATAAAAATAATTTTTGAGGTCATGAGGAAATTCCAAAGAAAAGAGTAAAAGTGGACTCAAATGACAAGGATCTCGGAGTAAATACTCAAGATGATAGAAATAGCGTGGATCCAATTAAGGGAGGGCATGATGCGAAGTCAAGACATTCGGACGACAACTGGTCCAAAAATGAAACGCTTCTGCTCATTAGTTTATACTCTGAACATGAAGAGGAGCTAAAACATGCCAAGAAGAAGAAATTAGTTTGGCAACATATATCGGAAGAGATGATGTCCCATTCATATTTGAGGTCCCCCGATCAGTGTCAACGAAAATGGCTGAATCTCTGTCGAGGTCACAGAAAATTGAAAAATATGTCGGGTCGAGTAACAAAGGGTAGAGGGGGACAGCCTTTCAGATACTTTGACGCCATGGACGAAATTTTGGGGACAAAAGAAGAAGCAATAAATTCCGGAAGTATAAGTAGTCAAGCAAAAAATTATCATGGTGATAGTCCGATCAGCTTTACGACTTCCGAAGAGGACAGTGATTGGGACAAAGGAGGACAGAGTACCAAATATTCGCAAAAAAGACTGGAAAGAAATTATGCCCAAGAGTATTACAAAATGCGGTTAAATGAAAATGGAATGAGGAAGGAAGAAAGTTTACGACGTCACAATGAGTTTGTGGCGATAGAGCGCGAAAAAATCGATATTGAAAGAGAAAAGGTTGAAGTGTTGAAGCAAATCCTTGCTCATTTGAAATGAGTAACAATAAGCTCTAGTTATTTTTATTTATATATATAATTATTTGTTTAATTACGTAAATTTACGTTTGTGTAATTGTGCTCCAAAGTATTGAAAGAAATAAAATATTATCTGTAATAATCCCTGTGTTATTAATGTTTACTTTGCGATGAAAAAGAAATGGATTTAAATTCATGCCGTCAAGTATATCAAAACAAAAGTTGACCGATTTACCGTATGACGTCATCATCGGCTGAACTGTAAACGCGCTGTTTTAGCGGAAATTTGACCATTTTGAATTCTATTCTTTTATTAGCACGTTAATATTTCACGAATCTAAAAAAAAAATGGGGTACTTGTAAAGCTTGACTATATGTGCAAGCGGCCTATTTGCTTTAAAGTGACCTAGGTCTAACCTGGAAATCCAAATCGTTAGCGGTAATAATTGTGTACTTTCTGTATCGCACATAAAACACTAAATTTTCAATGATAATGCTACTCCAAGTAGGATAATGAAGCCTAGTAGTTTTTGCATTAATAAAACAAATGAGGGAATCTTTGAGGGAAGAGAAAAATTGGTAAAACTGACCAACCTTTATACCTTTGCCTTGAACAGTAGCATGAAACTTAACCTCACCAACCTGCATCAACTTGTAGACATAAAACAAGGTTATCCCCACACAGTTTAGTTGGTGTAGTGTGGTTAACCTTTGGAAGCACGTTGTGGGGATTGGGAAATATTGTTAATAGTTTTTAGCCGGAACAATGTAATCGTTTATTATAAGTTATAGCCCATGCGAGCTGCACTGAAACATATAGTATTTATATGGTGAAAAGTTGCGAAACATACTTATCGATTTGAGTTCCAAGAAAATGACTATATAAAGATGTCTCTCTCGTCTAGAAGTTCGACCAGGTCTTCGATTCTTAAGAAATCAACTACTTTAGAACAGAGATTAAGTGAAATTGTGCAATCGCCCACAAAAGTGAGGTTCGAATTACCACACTCGAAACGGGTAAAAGAGATTCTGGAAGAGTACATAAACCAGCAAGAAGTGCGAAACTATCAAAGTTTAGTGTGCGCCATAAGAGACTCGTCTCTAACTGATAGTGACATATTGAGTTTGCTCCAGGAAGCTACTCAATGCATTTCATTGTTAACTAGGGACTTGCGTCTGTTCGTTGACGCTCTGCTTTCGATAAACTGGGTGGAAAAAAGCCTAGAAGTAGTTAATGAGTATCAATCGTTTATAGTCAATTTGGTGTCCGCCCATAATTACCACACCAAATATGTTGTTGACAAATTAGTTAGTCTATTTTTACCAAGTAAGTTTTTAAACGTTTTCTGTACAAAAGAACTATAGTGACTTTCTATTTAATTCAGGTCCAAAGGATCCGGAATGGACTAAGGGAAAACCGACCAAGAAAGAAAAAGCCAAATGTATGCATGTTCATTTACTTTTAAATGTTTTATTGTCCGTAGTTCCAATGTAAGTAATTTTTATCAGAATCATCACTGAAATTTATGAAATGCGCAATCTTATTGCAGGTGTAAAGAGATTTTATTTAAAGCGATTAACATGTACTATCCTTACTATAATAAATCCACCCATACTCAAGAGTATTACCTCCACAATTTGCTGCAGATCTTGAAGTATCAGCCTTCATTTAGGCCAGATATTTTTAATTTGATATTCACAAAGTAATTCTGTTAAATACTTGTAGTCACATCAGAGAGCTTATATTTGCCTTTAGGTTGGTGACCATGGACGTTAACGCTCCAAAAGATATTTTGCAACAAAATTACGAAGATGAGGATTTGTTTGCGATGGACGACGATTCCAAATCGATTGTGTCCAGTAGAACGGCTTTTACAAATGTGAATCGGATCGCTCTTTGTTCCGCTTTGGATGTATGCATGGATATGATGTTAAAATACATTGAGATCGAATGTCACGACTCGAAGGGCGAACTTGACTGGGAGAAAACAAAAAGTCTCTATAATGACATGATACATACTTTCGACAAGGTAGGTCCTTCTTATTTATTTATTCATTAATCCTAGGAGTAATACCACAGATACAGAAAGAACAAGTAATATACTATAATATATAACACAATTAACAGTAAATTGCTTGACAAATTACCCTACCATTTAAGGTAGTGTTAGTTCTAGAAACAATTATTTGATTTCTTTTCTACAATGGAAATATGGTTTTGTTCTAATAATCTTAGGAAGACCCCAGTAAAGCTTTTCCTTATCAGGCTTGTCCTTTTTAGATAATACTTCCTACATATAACACGAATTATGTGCAATTTGTGATGTTTGTTCTATGCAGTTTGAAGAGCACGTTAACGGAAGCGTTTTTCAGTTACTTATGGAAGAAAGTCTGCAATCCTAACGTGGCAGGCGTGCTAAGACAAACGGCTATCACTTATATCGCTAGCATGATAGCGAGAGCAAATTTCGTTACTCTAACGTAAGTTTTTTAAAATTTCGTTACCCATGGAGCGGTTGACAGAACCATAGAACGACGACAGAAGTTATATATTTTTAGAATGATTAAAAGTAGCCTGCGGGAAATAAGTGACTGGATCCACACTTACGTGACTAACCAGGACGGTTTGGAAAGCATTAACTGTGACGTCAGGGTTCATTCGGTCTTTTATAGTGTGTGTCAGGCTTTGTTCTACGTCATCGCGTTCAGGCATAAGGACCTCATCACAACCAAGAAAAGTAAGGGACCCCGAAGCTTGTCCTCAAATGAGCAATTGTACTTAATACAATACATTTTAGACATTATGTTCCTGGAAAGCCTAAACTTGACAAAAATCGTGACAAGTCGATTGAATCCGCTACGCGTTTGTCAGAAAGCGGTGGTGCAAAATTTCGCGGCGGTGACTAGAAAGTACCAGCTCGCCTATTGCTACACGATAATAGACCACAATAATCGAAACACGATGCCTCTAATTTATCAGGACGAGAAAGGCTCTTCCGTTATCTCCAACAATGTTTTAAGCGATTTTTATCCCTTTGACCCATATATTCTAGAAAGGTGATTTAATGGCGGTGTAAGGCAAATTTTGGAACTAATGCTGAATTTTTAGGTCAAGTAGGTATATTCGAGATTTGTACATAGAATACGACAATCAGTTAGAAGAATCACCTTCAACAGAAGCCGATCATAGAGAAGCTATGGAAGTGGATGACTTCCTGGAGAGCAATCAGGAGGCCAACAGCTCCAAGAGTTTACAAAGATTTTCTTACGGCAGTTCACCAGGATTTAAATTTAAATAATGTAACTTATTTAATATATGACCGCGCTTGACTCATTCTTTTATTGCGAAAATATATACAGGGTATTTTAAAACAAATGCGAAAAACTTAAGGGGGCGATTCCTTGTTTAAAATAATAGTTACCACAAAAGATAACTTAATGCTAAAAAAAAAATAATTTTTTACTTTACATACGAAAAAATAGTACTACTATTAGGACACACATTTTTTTTATAGATGAGTGGAGGGGACAATTTAAGGAAAAACTATGACATTTTTTTTTATTTAGAAACCTTATTTTTTGAAATTTCAAAATACTTGCATTTCCAAATAAAAAAATAAATTTAAATCAACCCACAACAAGATGAAAAAAATTGTTTTATTTGACATTGCTCAGTTTCAACATGAAATTTAATCAAAAATTTATTGTCTAATCAAGTCAAATTGTTCAATGATAAGAGTCCTAATACGAAGAAACTTCCACAAGCTTTTCCATATTTATCGCGCGATATCCCCCAAATATTTATATAACAAACCGCCCTTCATATTAAACAAGGAATCACCCCTTCCAGTTTTTCGAATTTGTTTTGAAACACCCTGCATAGCTCTATACAATACATATTTACAAATCACCTTCTAGTTGCCTCTTCGCAGTAGTAAGGCAAGTTATTATAAGATCTACTTGTTCCAAATTCGCTTCAAAATTTATGGTTTCCTGAATCGGGCCAGTTTTTAAGTTGCTAACGCAGTGGAAATCCAATTGCAGGATGGGCTCTTTTATGGTAGCAAGTTTGGATGTGCCCAGCACCCATTTCAATTTCCAGTCAAAATTTGTCACCAAAGGGGTTTTCTGGGTGACGTTTTCAATAAATAAAGTTTTTAAAATATCTTTTTTGTACAGCAAAAGGCAATTTTCCAATGAAGATTTTAAAGTGGGCGGCACATCTTCTGCGACCACTATACTGTTACTTAAAGCACTGTTGCAGAATAGTTTTGCAACAACTTTTTGAATTTTTATCTTATCTTCGCTAGTCCATTCGCTGGCTCCCTCCGAGTCGATAAATTTGCGTTTTCCAACTAATACTCCTACGCATTGGTAGAGAAACTGCGAGTAAAGACTGTTTTATTTCTTTTAGTTGTCCTTGCGCTATATATACACATACCTCGGGATAATATTCCAGTTTTTTAATTAATTCCCAGTCAGACGAATCCATCACCAGTCGCTTAATCACGACTTAACAAGTAAAGAAATAACAAATAAATAAAATAATCCATTTAAATTTATTAAAATGTTTATCTTCCTTAACCAAACATGACTAGTTACCTAATTCTTCTTTTCCCAAGTTGATACTCTGGGCCGATCTGTGATCTGAGCATCTGCCGATACGCCATCTTGTAGATCTGTGAATAAAAAATAATAATTTGAACAATTTCCTTTCGCTTTTCTAATTCTAAATTTTTATTTATTAATATTTAAGGAGTCACCATTCGCCGCATCAGATCTTATAAAAACTACCAAAATACCACCGACCGTCTGAGTTACCGACTAAAATTGCAATATGAATTAATGCTAGGTTAAAAAAAAAGTTAAGTTGTATTTTTTGTTACTTTCCTATATCGAATGTGTTTGAGTAACTTATAATAACAATGATTTAAATACCACATCTTACTTTTATAATTACATTTTTTTGAAAAGGTCGACGTTTTAAAAAACACCATTATTAAGTCAGTCACAACAAATGGAATATGCGATCATCTATTTTATTTGCAAAGGAAGAAGAAAAACCACGTAATTTAAAGGTCGACCAATCAGACGAAGCCATTTGGAATGTCAACATTCCTGGCGTGCGATTGGTAACCGGTACGTTCATTGCAATAGGTTTTCGCGTGTTCGCGTGTTATTGGCCGGTGGCTTGATATGAATATTCCCTGTTTGACAACGCTGTGGACAGTTCTTAATTGGTGCTCGGTATATTAGTTCTCGGGTCTGTTTTCTTCGTTTCATCCAACGGGAATACGTTTTTTCAAAGTTCGCTTATTATCGAGTCGAACAACAATGAAAAAGCTCGCACTTGCGTGCATTTTCGTTTTGGTTGCCTTGGGTAAGAGGGTGCATAACAAAATTGCACGATTGACAGGTATTTCAGAGACATTTTATTTTCTGTTTAGGGCACACGCGGGCTGATGTGGCGGAACCTAGCGTGGAGACCGTCGACGTAGACCTCGGTGCAAGTAGAGAAGGTTCGAGAACCGGTACGAGCGTTAATTTGTTAATCACTTCAAAAGTTGCAACCACTCTAAATACCAACCGTATCTAAAAATAAGAGAAAAATATAAGCGAGAGCATGGTTTTGCATAAATTAAGCCCCAAATACCTAATATTTTTAATATTCCCCAAAAGTAAATTGATAAGTATTAATGTCGATTTTTTTTTTATTCCTGATTTATGATCACTTGCGTAATTTCAAAATATGTAGGTAGGAATTTATCTTTTCAATGAAAAGTGGCGTTGCAGCAAACCTTTGGTTCTCTGTTTTCGGCAAACCGTTTTTAGGCTTCTGAGTACCCGCTTCTAACAATCTGAGATACTTTTCTACGAGTTGTTTATCAACGTCACGATTTTCTCTACTGTAACACTTGATTGTTGTTACAGGAACTGAAAAATTTTAGTATATATTTCTTCGATTCTGATTCTTATTTAAGCCGCAACTCACGTGAACATGCCGATTTTAAGTTTGTTTTGCCGGGCACTTTTCTGTCGACAAAACACAATTTGAATGGTTTTCTATTTGGTTTTTGCGGTTCTTCTTTGGTTCCGCTCTCCATTTTGTTTGATCAATAGAGTTCTGTCAAGTAGGGACATACCAATTTTTTTTTCCTTTTTTTTGTTGCTATCAAATAAGCCAATAAAACGACTCAAACTCACCAAAAGTGGATTCAATACTTTAACATAATATCTTTATATTTATTTTTCTTCTTGCTTTTGCGTATAAATTTCGGGAAGTCTGATATACAGGTTAATTACAGGTTTGTTGGACAATACAAGACTAGAACGATAAAGTTATTTTGTTTCAAGATCAGCATGCCGGAATTGTTTTCTACCGTGGTTGTGTGTATATATAAAATTAAAAAGTAACCTATTTTTTTTTCGTTATGTAGACGATGAGGTGGTGCAAAGGGAGGAGGAGGCGATCAAACTGGACGGCCTCAACGTCGCCCAACTCAAAGAACTCCGTGACAAGGCCGAAAAGTTTGCGTTCCAAACCGAAGTCAACCGAATGATGAAATTGATCATCAACTCGCTGTACAGGAACAAGGAGGTAAGACCTTCAGGATGTTTCAAAATCAACAGAAAAATTCACATGAGCGTTATTATTAAGTTAAAATACATTGTAACGAAAAAATTATCAAATCAAACTTATCGTAGGTATGATTTAAATTAAAAAGTGGCAGGTATGTGACTCTTTTTCGACATTTTTAGTAGCAGTAGTTCCTCAATTTTTGAGAGAATTTTGAATTTCGGCTTTGATGGGTGGATTTTAGTTGCCTAGAATTTTGATAGACTGTCAATTGATGCATCTGATCATTCAATAATCTACCAACATTAAAAGTCATATTACGTCAAAATTTTCAAAAGAATCAATGTAATGAAAGCATATTGGAGACAGCTTTTAGAGTAATAAAACACTAAAAATGATATTTTCGGTGAAAAAAAAAAGTGGTTATGTATGTGTTAGGTACCTTTGTTTTTTATTAACCACACAAAAAATACATCGTCACCTCAGGATCTCATTTCCATTTGACGTTATATATGAAAAAATCTTCGTTTAAAATAAATTATTTTATACTTCAATATTGAAATAATTATTCCAAGGAATAATATTTTTGAACTTGCCCTATTTGCTGATACGAGTTTTTTTCTAATTGCATTTTTTTAAATTTGGATTTTGCGATTTTGGAGAGGCATATATTTTGCATTATTTTGTTTCAAAAATATACACAAAAGTGAATAACAAAAACGTAAACGTATCATTTTTTCCCATTTTTAAAACTGCGTTAATTTTTCAAAGCAGAAAATTGTAATCTTTAATCATGTTGTTTATGCATATATTTAATTGCCAATGTGGGTGCCATGAAGTGCCAAGCGCAGTGCAACAATATTTTTTTATTGATAATGTCCTAAAATTTTATAGTTGGTTAGGAATGTTATTGCCTAACAAAATGAGGAAAAGTTTCTTAGTTAATCTCTTCCGTTTAAAAAGGTTGTGAATAATTACAAATGACAAAAAGGAACAAACCTTAAGGTTATACTCTTTCCTTTTTCCCAATTTATATAATTTATGACTAATAGAATGTATTTTAACTTAAATTTATTCAAATGTTTTTAAATTTAAAAATTTATTACATATTTTGTTATTATTTTTTTAAACTTTTTTTACTGCAAGAACCATAAAAGGTTATTCCACATTTGTGGAATGAGGGGAATATATTTTCTCTATTACGAGTAAAATGATGATGTGTGTTTTTATAAGTTTAAGTGTTATCAAAAAGTATTTGTTTATTTATCAAAATTAATGTTGTCCCCTTCAAAGTAATCCCACCACAGTTGTGCCAACGTTTTGGTTAGTTAGCAGTTCTGGTAAACATTTTCTGGTGTAGCCTCAAATTCTACTAGCGAGTTCTTTATCTGCTCAATAGTTCCAAACCTTCTTCCTTTCATGGTTTTCTTGAGTTTTGGGAACATTAAAAAGTCGCAGGGGGCCATATCTGCTGAACATGGGGGTTAAGGAATGGTTGTGGTTTTGTTTTTGGTCGAAAAATTGTTTTCTCACAATTCCGGACATTTTCTTCATATTGCTTCTCGCAAATTGCGCATAACTTCAATTTAATAATCTTTATTGACCGTACGACCTATAAGCTATATATAAGCAAAACCTTGACATTTCTTCCTCTTCCATTGGGACGACCTCATAGCCCATAACCCATAAGGATGGACAGCTCTTGAGCAATGCTTCTTCGTCGGTCTTTTTGCAGCCACTTATCTAAAAAAAATATTTGACAATTTTTCAATGCTTTCATCAGTTATTGACGTGATTGGGCGTCCAGAGCGAGGTTCGTCATCGGCGCCTTCTCGTCTTGGCACAACTTGTACCACTTATAAATATTTTTTTGCTCAATGTAGATTCACCATATGCCGTTGTCAACATTTCGAGTGTTTTGCAGCACCGTATTCCCTTTTTTACATAAAATTTTATGCAAATTCTTTTTTTTTGTGTGTGTTTTTTTGACAGCAGAAAATCGCTGAGCACGCAAAGCTTGTTTCACAAAAATAAGTAAACTTGCAAACTGGCTGAAACTGTGAACATATATTAAGGACGTGAGTACCAACATAACAAAAAAATATCGAAGGTCGAATGTACCTAGCCTGCCCAAGTACAAAAGTCACCTTTCTATTTGAACACACCTCGTATATGTATGGGACCGTCAGCATTAGCAAACTGTGGCATGAATCTTTACAATCGTCCCTATATTTTAGTTGAGCAATTACCCTTACAGTTTTCCTCTGTAGGCCGAACATCCTTACAGCATATGTGGAGCTATTGTGGATTGCAAAAACGCGTGAAAAACCGACAGCACACAATATCAGCTAGCCTCCGTAAGGAGTACACGCAAGAAACAATTTTTTCACCCATTTTATCAATATGTGTGTTCCATACGAGTCGTGATTCTAAATGTACCCCTGGAAAACGAACGCGTTCCGTCATATTTAGCCCCTGCTTGTTTCTCAGAGAGAAATAGACAAACTCACTTGTAGAATTAATTCTCAGGCACTCTCAATTTTTGATCACAGCGTTCTGAATCATTTATAGAGATCAAGAAGAGCAGCGGACCCAGCACCGATCCCTGTGGCACACCATAAATATATTCTAATTGAAAATTAACATGTCCTATATTCGCCTGTTACTTTCTATTAATAAAATAAAAATGGACGTCATCGTAAACCTCGAACTTCCAGATCTTTCTCCGCGAGCTGATATCGAACGCTTCCGACGCGCTCGACAAGATCCGACTGATGTTCCTAACCGACAAGTCGGTCTTGGAGTCCACGTCCGAGCTGAACATCCGCATCAAGACCGACAAGGAGGCGGGCATGCTCCACATCACCGACACCGGCATCGGCATGACGAAAACGGACCTGGTGAACAACCTCGGTACGATCGCGAAATCAGGCACGGCGGAGTTCCTCGGCAAAATGCAGAGCGCCGAATCCACCCAAGAACTGAACGACATGATCGGTCAGTTCGGTGTGGGTTTCTACTCGGCGTTCCTCGTCGCCGACAAGGTGATCGTCACCACCAAGCACAACGACGACAAGCAGTACATCTGGGAATCGGACTCGGGCAGTTTTAGCATCGTCGAAGATCCGCGCGGCGACTCGTTAAAACGCGGCACCACCGTCAGCCTCCAGCTCAAACCCGAGGCGAGGGACTTTTTGGAGCACGACACCATCCGCAAGCTGGTGAAGAAGTACTCGCAGTTTATCAACTTTCCGATTTACCTGTGGACGAGTCGTAGCGAAACGGTAGAGGAACCCTTGGACGAGGAGGCGCCGCAAGAAAAGGAACCGAAGGAGGACGAGGAGGAAGACGTGGCCGTCGAGGAGGAGAGGGAAGACAAACCGAAGACCAAGAAGGTGACGAAGACGGTGTGGGATTGGGAACTGTTGAACGACAGCAAACCGATTTGGACGAGGAAACCGGTCGAGGTCGAGGACAAGGAGTACAACGAGTTCTACAAAGCGTTGACCAAAGACGACAAGGACCCGTTGACGAAGATCCATTTCGTCGCCGAGGGCGAGGTCACTTTTAAAGCGTTGCTCTACGTGCCGAAGCTGCAGCCGTCGGACAGTTTCAACCGTTACGGCACCAAGACGGACAACATCAAGCTGTACGTGAGACGCGTGTTTATCACCGACGAGTTCAACGACATCATGCCGTCGTTCCTGAGCTTTATAAGGGGCGTGGTCGACTCGGACGATCTGCCGCTGAACGTGTCTAGGGAGACGCTGCAGCAGCACAAGCTCATCAAGGTGATCAAGAAGAAACTAATCCGGAAGGTGCTGGACATGCTGAAGAAGCTCTCGCCCGAGGACTACGAGCAGTTTTGGAAGGAGTTTTCGACCAACATCAAGCTGGGTAAGGGGCGCTGTTATTAAGATGCTACTAAAGCCGAAGTTTTCAATGAAGTTATTCTTTAACTCTTTTTTCTTTACAGTTTTTTTTTCTGTAAATTTTTAAAAAATTGTTTTTCACTTATTTTCGTCTTCTTTCTCAGCACTCTTTAACACTTTTAAGATTCTACTAATTCTACTATTAACTTTTCGTCCGTCTTCTATCTCAACATTTTTTGAAAAATTATTGTGGCACTTCTAAGATGCCTCGATGCTTAATTCTTTTTCGTGTATTTTCTCTACACTTTATAAAAATTTATTTTGTTCGTCTTCTGTCTCTACAGTTTTAAAAAATTATTTTTGCGCTTTTAAGATTTTACTAATTCTACTACTAACTTTTCCTTCGCCTTCTTTCTCATCAGTTTTTAAAAATTATATTAGCACTTTTAAGATGCTAGTTAAGTTTTTAATCAAATTATTTTACATTCTTATTCTCCTTTCTTCTCTACACTTTTTTGACATTGTTTTTGCATTTTTAAAATGGTACTAAGCTCTTTAAGCTTTTTTTTAACTCGTCTTCTTTCTCTGCATTGAAAAAAAAAATTTTTAGACTTTTAAGATGCTACTCAAGTTTTTAATGATTTTTTAAACTGTTTCGTCTTCATTCTCAAAACTTTTTCGAAATTATTTTAGCGCTTTTTAAACGCACTCTAAAGAAAATATTCACTTTTTTTGTATCTTGTTTCTCTACACTTAAAATGAATATTTTAGCACTTTTAATATTCTGCTAATATTTTTAATAATGTTCTTTTTAACTTTTCTTTGGTCTTTTTTTTTTCTACATTAAAAAAAAATTATTTTAGCTGTTTTAAGATACCACAGAAGTTTTTTATAAAACTATTTTTAACTTTTTTTTCCTACAATTTTTTAAAATTCTTTTGGCATTTTTAAAGCGCTACTCAGATTTTTAATAATTTTTTTAAACTTTCGTCTTCTTTCTCTTAATTTTTTTCAAAATTATTTTATTGCTTTTAAAATGTTTTTAAGGAAATTGGTTTCAACTTTTTTTCGTTTTCTTTCTCTGCACTTTTTAAAAATTATTTTAGCACTTTTAAAATGCTACTACTACTACTAGTAGTAATAAGTATACGGGGCAATTCAAGTTAAGAGTTGTCCTATTCAAAGTTTTGGGAAGAATTAAAAAATGAAAATTTTCGGTTTTGTTTTTTTTTTTTTTGGCGAGGTTTAAATCTCGATGGGTTTTCCTATATTTCTAAATAACCGAACTAACCATAGCCAGAGAATTTGCTGGTATTAGAAAAAAAATAAAGTTGGTTGGTATTTCCGGAAATATGGCGGAAAAATGAAAATTTCAATTTTATGGGTTTTTTTGGCAACTTTTTGGGTTTCATCTTTGCCATCAACTGCCAATTTTTACGCCTGCGTTTAAACTTGAATTGGCCACTAGGGTCCGGTATAGGAGTGAGTATCTCTGTTATAGGCCTTATCTTTGAAAACATCTGAGAAAAACATGGGTTTAAAAGAAGGAGGAATCGTTCAACACAGAGAAGCTAACTCGTATACGAGGTGTGTTCAAAAATTAAGATGACTTAAGTTTTTTGAAAAAGTATTTATTTATTCATCGAAATTAATGTTGTTTGTTTTCTTCAAAGTAATCGCCCCCAATTATTATACACTTGTGCCAACGCTTTTTCCAATCCTCGAAGCGATTCTGGTCACCACAATCTGGTATAGTCTTGAATTCTTCCAGCGATTTTTTATTTATCTCCGCAATCGCCCAAACTTCCTTCCTTTTATGGATTTCTTGGTGGCTGAGGCATGATTATGGTTTTCTTTTTCGTCAACCCATATACCCATGATTCGTCACCAGGGACAGCATGTTCCATATTTTTTTTTGTCGAAAGTAGATTTATCATATGCGGTTGGCAACATTGCAGTACTGTATGCTATTCCAATATGCAAACTGACTAAAACTGGAAACATATGTCAGGGACAAGTGTACCAACATAACAAAAAAAATATCGAAGGTCGAATGTACGTAGAGCGCTCGATTACAAAAGTCACCTTACATTTTGAACTCACCTCGTACACGAGGGTTACTAGTAACCAGTGATCCTGACCTGTTCGCTGCACGATTCCTGCGAGTTTGAATCAAAAAAACAAAACAAACATTTGTTGCAGGTGTCATCGAAGACCCGGCGAACCGCACCCGCCTCGCCAAACTGCTGATGTTCCTGTCGTCGTTCGACGACAAACTCACCAACCTCGCGGACTACGTGTCCCGCATGAAACCCAAACAAGACAAGATCTACTATATCGCCGGCGCCACCAAAGACGAGGTCAAGAAATCTCCCTTCGTCGAGCGTCTACTCAAGAAAGGTTACGAGGTTCTTTACCTCACCGAGGCGGTCGACGAGTACGCCATCTCCGCTATACCCGAGTTCGAGGGCAAAAAGTTCCAGAACGTCGCTAAAGAAGGCTTCAGCCTGACGGAATCCGAAGGCGGCAAAGAACAATACGCCGAGTTGACGGCACGTTTCGAACCGCTCACCAAGTGGCTCGCCGAGGACGCTTTACGCGACCACATCTCCAAAGCTACCGTGTCGGAGAGGTTGAGCGATTCGCCATGCGCCTTAGTGGCCAGTATGTTCGGCTGGACCGGCAACATGGAACGTTTGGCCATCTCGAACGCTCACCAGAAAGCGGACGACCCCCAACGCAGCTACTACCTCAACCAAAAGAAAACGCTGGAGATCAATCCGAGACATCCGCTGATCAAGGAACTGTTGAAGAGGGTGAACGACGACCCGTCCGATCCTTCGGCGAAAGAGATGGCGCTGATGTTGTTCCGCACGTCGACCTTGAGGTCGGGCTACATGCTACGCGAAACCGCAGACTTTGCCCAATCCATCGAGACGATGATGAGGAAGACGTTGGGCGTGGCTTTGGACGAACCCGTCGAAGAGGAAGAGGACGTGCCGGAAGACGGGATCCCTGAAGAGGAGAACGGAGATATAAAGGAGGAGGAGGCGGAGCACGACGAGTTGTAAATATGGAGGAGTGAAGTGCGTTTAATTTATTTTCGAAGAACAATCATAAGACTGTCAGTTTTTATTTTATAAGTTAGATTTTCCTCGATACTTTTGTTTTGAGTAAAACGTATTCGGTGATTTTCGATTTTTTTTTTTGAACGGGGAAGTGTGGAGGGTATAGGACATGGAAATTCAGAAGGGTGGTTGAGGGTGAGACTAGACGTTTATAGAACCGTCACAAAGAAAACGCCTCCTTCATGTACCCCGAAATCTCCTCAATTTCTTGAGGATGTCGTTTATACAACCTTAGACCCCTTTAACATAACAGTGACATTCCCATCCCGATCGAAGAGTAAATAGCAACAGAAAATTCAAGAAAACTGAAAATCGATTTTTTGAGGTGGATTCCTCCTCAAGAAATATCGGTGAGTCGATTGCCGAAAAAACGAACCTCCTATGTGTTACCGTTTTCGAGATCTCCGTCTCTACCCCCACTCTTTGACTTGATTAGGTCAGTCTGGTTTACACGAATAAACTATTGTTGCTTAAGCGGGTTTATAGTTAAGATAGAGCGGTAAAATCCTTGAATTAATCGAATTTAAGCATGCTGAACCCTATACAGATCAAATTGTTCTACAATCACTAGTACATAACTAAAGTTGGATGACCTTGAGCTGTTCTCATGGATGAATTATTTGCATTCAACGGAGTTGCATCAAATTTGAACTTGAAAGTGTTCAATGGTTTTTGATGGGATGGAATACCCTGAATAATGAAACAGCGAGGTTAGGTAATTTTTTACTAACTTGTGAACTTATCCTTTAGAGGTTGTTCTGTGTATAATCTCACGTAACAAATCGGGGCAACTAGAAAGAGTGGCAAGTGGCATCCTTAAACTACGGCAACGTGAAAGTCCGGTTTCATTGCCGATTTTACACTTTAATGAGACCCCTGGCCGAAAAATATTACTGTGGTTTAAAAATAAAATTAGTAATGGCAATCACTGAAGTTGCGTAACCTTGAGCCGATGTCAAGGATAAACGAATTCCATGCAACGATGCTGCATCAAATCAGAACTTGTTCTAATTCAGAAGAGCGGCTGGGTAATTTTCGTAGTAGTTTTCATGGCATGAGATACCCAGAAAAATCAATACAGGGTAAGGTGGGTGATTTTAAGTAACTTGTGATGTTATCCTTCGAAGGTTGGTTAACAAACATAAAAAAGACATGACAACGACAAATAAGCTCATCAAAAGTTGCCGAAAATTATCACGAAATCAAATAAAAACTCTTGCATGCAATTCTCCTCTACCATAGGAAAATCGTCGAACGGTAAATGCGAAATTTTAGCTCACCGTTTATAAAAAAAATGAATAAAAAATGAATATCACATTTAAAAGACCATACAATAATGAATTGATATGGGTTGATATTTTTCCGTTTTTTTCTGGGGCTCGCAGGGCCGAATCCAGGTAAAGCTTTTCTGTTCGCGAAACAAACGATTTTTTGAGGTTAGGTAAATTCGTCACGCGAAAAACTCAATAAAACTCCCCAACGTAGCCGAATAGTCTTATAATTACTCCACGTTTTACAATGAACGAAAAAAAAACCTAACCTAAACCATATATTTATCTTTGTTTTCCGACAAAATCTTGGCCGATTGTTTCGCGTCGAGGAACAACGTCGACACCTCTTCGATATCCGCTCGGGTAATCTTCGTCCGACCGTTAACTTTTGCCGTTAAATTCGCCGGATTCAACAGTTGAACGGCGAACCTCAGAGTGGCTTTCGTGCCCACCTCGCTTAATGACGTCAACGCTTCCTGCTCGATTTCCAACCCTTCCGTGTTCGCCCTCAGTTTTATAATCTGTTCCATATCCGACCTCACGTAAGGTATCGTCCTGATAATTAGCAACCTATCGAGGAGATCGAGCGGAATGCCGTGGGGTGAATAAATATCATCCGTCCCTACAAAAAAAAAAGAAAACAAACTTAAAGCCGCGTCTCAGAACTACGTAGTGACGTCGGCGATACTCCCCCCCCCCCTTCCGCTCCAGAAGCAGCGACGCCATTTGACAGTTTTTGATCGAAGTTTAAGTTTTATGTGTTTTTTTTGTATGTACTACCTGAAAAAGTTCCAAAAACCATGGCTTAAAGAAACAGAAGAATTATTCGTCAGAGATCGTCCATTTTACATAAAACGAAACGGATTGGGTGCTTGTGGGATTTTAGTGGAAGAAATGAGAAACAATCCCTAATAATAATCAGCATAAATAATTTAAATGGTATAATGTTAAATGTAAATAATTGTTGTATTTTTAGGTTTTATAAATTGGAAAATATGATTGCATTAGAATATTCACTAAAAAGTAAAGAAGAGCTAAGGGACTTGGGTGACTAACTTAAATTTCAACTTTCATATTAACCATATAACTAATTAAAATTTTTTAGAACTTTATTCTGCAATTATATAAGGTCAGGTTCGGCCTACTTACCATATTGTATGTCCAACAGATTGAAAGAGTGGACAAAACGTTTGTGACCACTGTTGGGTTTAAAATGGATATACAAAATGATCATTTATGCAAATAATTACTGTATTCAAACAAACTCTTAGCAAAAGCAGATGATATATTGATACAAAAACCATGTATAAAATCCTAAAGGCATTAATAGATTGTCCATAATTTCTGGCTTTAATAGAAATTGACATGAGCTACCTAAGCTACACAGTATGTACTCGAAACCTTAATTTATTTAATTGATTAAAAAAACGAGTGTAAACAAATAAAAAGTTAAAAATGCAGCTGTAACTGTTACAGTGCTCAAAACAATCGTAGACGAGGACAAAAAATCGACTATTTTGTTTTATTAAAAATATATGGATAAAATCATTTAGAATGAAAAAAACATATATCATGAAAGTTTCAGCCCTTAACATTTAGCTCCAATCTCATTATTGCTCCAAAACAGCCAAACAACTGAGTTAACAATATTTATTGGAATGTATTTTTTGTAGGAAAGAAGAAGAAAGCTCTGATTGAAAATTTTCATCAGACATTCCAAGCATTAAAAATTAACGAGTTTTTTTTATTTAATTTTGGATTTTGAAATTTTCTAACAAACAAACCAGTACACAAAAAAGAACAATGCTAATTTTAAAGGAAAGTTGATATTTATAAATTTTTTTTTAAGTTATTCAGGATTAAAATGGTTCAAACAACATTTTAAAAAAAGTGTTAAGAGACCTTTTTTGATAGAGTATTAAACTCCATTTAAAAAGCAATGTTAAAAAAAAGAATATATGCGAAGTTTGCAACTCTTATTAGGTTAACTTAGTTAATTTCTATTATTATCATTATTATATTACTAAATTTTTATTAGATACTTCCAACCATCTCTGTAGTGGAATTCTAGTCTATCTGCAACTCTGTATATTTTGTATCTGATTTTTAAATCTTAAGTTTTGAAACTGTGTTAGTGTGATTTTGTGGATCGTAACAATTTTTTATACTGATTTTACTGATATGGCTATATGTTATTATTATTATTGGTCCAATCCCCGTTAAAAAAAATTAGTGGGACAAACCTCTAATCAAACAACGCCCCCTGTTGGTGGCGAAGATAACTATGGGCGCGATGGTGCTCTCGAGCGCCCTATGCAAGTACGTGAAGGTCTCGATATCGAGCATGTGGACCTCGTCGATAAAGAGTACCCCTGGCACCAGCTCGGCGATGCCCTGGTCTATATATTTGTCGACGATTTTGTTTATTTCTTTTCTCAGTTTGTCCGTTATTTCCGTTTTTTTCGGCTTCAACAGCTGCCCCATCATGGATAAGACGTCCTGACCCCCTTGGGGTTTGGCGTTCGCCGCGTCGAGATCGTGCAACGTAACGTCTTGGACGACCTCCTTCTTCTTGTGTACGTCGCCCTTGGGCAGGGGCACGTATTCTTCAGCTTCCAGGTCGAATTCGGTGGCGTACGCGTCCGACCTACCTTGACGTTTAACCGCGCCGCTTGTCGCCTCGATATAAATCACGTCGCCCACTTCGACTTTCTCCTTTTGTAGCGCTTCGTAGATGCTGGGATCCAGTTTTAACTGTTTGCTACCTTTCGCGGTACGAAGACCAATTATGAGATGGCTCACCGTTTTTCCGTACCCTAAAAAATCAAATCTGGTTTTGATACATTAAAGTATAGAAAATCCAAAAAAAAAAATTCAAAAATAAAAGCTACACTTGATTTTTTTCAAAATTTAAACGACAGTTTACTTTAGTTTTATAATTTACTTCGCACATGTTGGGTTTAATTCCCAATTTTACTCGTATGTACATTTGTGGCTAAATTTTGAGAAATTTTAACAATAAAGTAAGTGTTTTTTAAGTCAGCATTAAGGTCAAAGAACCTATTTTTCTTATTAGCTTTTTTAATTGGTGGTTCCTTATTTGAAACATAGTTCCTTCTTTAATTAGTTGATATCTTTAGCCACAACACAGTCTTCAATGTCAATAAAGTGACAGTTTGAACAGTAATAAACCAAAAGTTAATTAGATTAGAAAGAATTTGCTTTCAATTCTGTCTAAGATGTCAATTTCAAAATCAACACTACACAAATATCTTAGCTAGACATTGCTATTTAGTTTTTCCCAAACTGTTAATAGAACCCCAAAAGTATATTTGTTAAAAAATATTTTCTCATTAAAAAAATAAAAAAAACTACAATTTTTTTAAATCTGACATTTTTTTTTTTCATTTTAAAGAACATAAGATTTAAAAATGATTCAAAATATTTGATTGCTTAAGCATTGTTATTTTAATATTTGTTTTTCAATATTATTTATTTTTATTTATTTTCATTAACATTTATTTTGTAAATATGATGTTCTGGTTAGAGTTTGTTACACTCAACACTCACCATGCACTATAATATGATGGTCAGTATAAATTGCATGACCACAAATTTGAAGTTGTAAAAAAATGTACAGTTGGTTTGAATATATATTATGCAACAAGTATTTTTTAGTGTTTGGGTACATTTTTGTCTGTGAGGTAATATCACGGAAATATCCGAATACCTCGGATCCCTAGAAAATGGAACTGACGCTAGATTCGTGTATAATTAGGGTTTTTACAGAAGGGAATGGAAAAACCCTTTTTTGAAGTAGTGTTACATATATAAAACACCGATCTTTCCCCCACTATTGGACCACTCTGTATGTAATGATTTTGTTCAAACTGCAAATGGTTATATAATGAAGTACAGTAACTTCAAACTTTCAAATTAACAGTAGCCCACTGTGCATGGGTTCGTGAACGTTAGAAAAATCATACCTCCAGCCGGATTCTCAGTCTCTACAGGAGTCAACTCGCTTACTTCTCCTTCATAGACCTCTTTGGTTTCCCTTATACGCAAACCGATGGCGCGCCGGAAATTTTCCATCAGCACTTCAGTCTTCTTGATTTCAGAACTATAAACTTCCGACCCGACCATCGGGCAAAACGGCACCTTATTGCCGAGCTCTTGGGCTATCGCTAAGGCGATAGCGGTTTTTCCGGTCCCGGGCGGACCAGCCAATAAAACTGCGCGCCCGGCCATCTTCTTGCTACGAATCATGTCGACAACAATCCCGGCAGCCTGAAACGATCGGGATAATCGATAACAATCTACGTGAACGCTAGAAACGAAGGTGTCCTCACCTCCCTCGCTTGCTCTTGTCCGACCAAGCCGGCAGCCGACTGCAAGGCAAAACCGCTTTCGTCTAACCCGAGACCTTTAATGTGACTGTGGGCGCTAATACGCTGAGTCCGCACAGTGCTTTTCACTTCCTCAACTTTCATTGTTAATACTTGGAGTAAACCGGACACCAAAGTCACAAAATTGAAACGTTGTTTATCGGTTGCTAGGGTTATCTTTCTTCTTCTTTTTTCTACGTACTAGCTTTCTTTCGGACGTCCACCCAAATTCTCTCTGTTCTTATACGATATCGTTGATAAGGTTATGTTTAAAAAAGCCAGGAGAAATAAATAATCATATAAGTTTACTCCGATGGGCAATCTGTTAAGGGGACTCACCCATACAAAATTATATATTTTTTATGCCTTAAGGACAATAAGCAATTTCGGCACTTATTTTTTTTAAGTAAATGTTGCAATGTCTCCTAGCAAATTGCAAGAAATTTATATAAAATTACCTTTTTCCAAATAGCCCAAAGCGTTTGTTTTCATAAACTTATAGGTGTAACTTCCATGAAAAATATAAAGGAAAAATTTCGAATTACAAATGTACAAAAGTCTATATATTATATAACATAGAGAAAAATGCATAGCTTATGTTTTTAAAGGATTTATTCGAATGTTACGGTTTAATATCCTATATATATGTATTTTGAGACATCTATAGGATATACCAAATATCATATGGTGTGGATATCCTTTTTTTAGTATTTTATGAATATATATTACATATTTGCACTAACTCTTAAATTACTTTTCAACTTGCCCTTCCATCCAGTAAACAAAAAATTATCAAGTCAATAAACTTGATAAATATTAAGTAAACAAGCGACTTTAAACGAAACGATCTGAGTGAAACTTAATAATTTTAAATTTTTGTTGGTAGAGCAAAAAAATTCGAGTGACAGAACTAATAAAAAAATGCTAAACTATTTCTAATTACAATCACAAAATACGTATAAAAATAGGTTTTTTTTGCTTCTCATTTTCTTTTTAGCAAAACAGCTCGTTAATAGGGTTAAGGAAAATCGAGTAACATTTGTAATAAAATGCTTTCGGCGTGATTTAAATTCACGTTCTTCTGGTTTTCCACATTTGCCTGGTGGCAAGATCTTCGCGCCGCTTCTATGGTCATCACTTTTGCAATTTCCGCCACAATTTCGACCGCATCTTCCGACATCTTGAACTTCGGACCCGCCGATTTAGATTTAAGCAGTTCTTTTACCAAATCCTACGAGAAATGCAAAACTTACAATACGAAAGTCCGTGCTCAAAAACGACAGTTACATGACGAAATGATGTAATTTCAGAACCGATTTCGGAATCGCACATTTTTGATTAATTGGTATGAGGTTAAGGTGCAGAGCTTACCCACAGACTAAATATCCAAGGGAGTTCAAAAGACAAATAGTTTAAAATATCACGAATTTCTTATCTGTGTAACTGTGCTGTGTGTAATGATTTGGGATCTGTGAACGTCTTTTGGTGTTTTGTGGATGCGGTACAATTGTACAATTTTATAAGATACGGTGAATTAATAAATTAAAATGTCTCGTTCCGTTCGCGCCGAAACACGCAGCCGTGCCAAGGATGATATTAAAAAAGTTATGAACGTTATAGACAGGGTCAGACATTGGTAAGATCACCCGTTTGGCCAAACTTATTCTGTATTATTTAATAACATCGGCACTTGTAAAAACATTATCATCTGAATTAAAAAGCAATTTCCCTTTGTGACTTTCAGGGAAAAGAAATGGGTTACGATAGGGGACACGACTATGAAAATTTTCAAATGGGTCCCGGTTACAAGCAGCGAGACAACTAAAAAAATCCGACATAGAGAAAACAAGGAGAACGTTTCGCGGAAAAGCGGGCTTTGCGTGGTCGACACGTCCAACTCTAACTCGAATTTCAGTTTGGCCGAGGACTCCAATACTTGTTTTTCAACCGTCAGCGATTCGCAAGGTCCCACAGACTTTTCTTCATCGCACATGACATTCTCGGACGATTCAAATTCGCAGGGTAGCGAAATGGTGTCGGTGAAGAGGCTCAAGACTGAGTAATGAAACTTTTAACTGATCTTATTGTTGGTTGTACAACAAATACTGTATATAATTTGAATCTTTTAATCAAGGTGAATTAAGTAATAATATTAAAATGTGATTTTCTAGTTGTAATAATCGATTATCCCTTAGTATTTAAGAGAAATATATAGGAATACAAACAGTATTGTTTGGGTTTTAAATCAGGTACTTATCTACAAAAAGCTTTTAATATAACCCCTGTGATAAATATAATGATTTTTTTGACATTACGAAAATTAAAGATGTTTTATATAAAAAAACTCAATCATAAATCAAAAGCAAAAATGTCAGAGTAGGCGGCACTAACCTGCACATTGCGTTTTTACCCAGAACTTTTAATGAGATCTAGGAATATTGGTTTTTGAAGTGATTGGTTAAAAATGAGACTTTAAATCTCGCGCACGCGCATGTCGAGTGCACTTCAAAATTTCTTTCATATTTGCTTCATAAGTTCATGTATTATCAGCATAGAGAGGACTTCTACATCTCTAGTAGCAATAGGGGCGTTGCAAAAGAGGCTAGAGCTATTTTATAGAAAAAAAAACTCAATAGGTCATAAGTCAAATGTCAAAGTATCGCAGGTGGCAATGAGTTTTGGACATTAAGTAGGAGATTAAATGTATTTTACATACAAATTACTCTGTCATAAATCGAAAGTCAGCGTGTCAAAATGGTTTATTTTTGATCTAACACTTGTATTTCTTACCCATTGACGTAGATCTGGCAAAAAATCTGTAGGGAAGAAAACGGGTCTGGTTAATAAAACGCATCCACCTACATTATCAACATCCGAGTTTATTAATAAGAGAAACCAAAATACACTTTTAAATCAATAAGTCGCTAATATACAAAACCAGTAACTGTAATAATTACCGTTTTGCGATTAAGGAAAGTGACTTTTCACGCCGAAACTACACTTAATCCCCTCCAGTTGATTATAAGGAACTCGTAACTTAACTTATAAAGGGTTGTTCCCGCCGAGTGTGCTACCGAAAGTTCTACAGACTGGCAACTCAAATTTGGTTTCAAAATATTCGATACTTTATTACCAGGTTTGAACACAATATTTTAAATAACCTTCATTTATAGTCTTTGAAAATAAAATACCAATAATTAAGCAGATATTACGTTTTTTTTCCATAGCTTCGACGATGCAGGTAGATATGTAGAAATGTCAATTTACTACCAGCGAAAACTTGTTCTTATTTTAATACCAACACCCTGTATTTCATTACAACTTTAAAGACACCAATAACTTTTTCGTAAAACATAAATTCATTGATCGCAAAGAATGCGAGAAAGCCATGGAAGGTTTTGTTTGTTTTAAGTTAATTACTCAGTAGTTTTTGTGGGCAAATTTATTGGGCAATCGGGACAAAAATTATGAAAAGGCGTTTATTATATTGAAAAAATTGGGCTTTTTTCGGCTTCAAAATTTAAATGAGATATCAATAACCTTTTTGTCAATAGCAGTAAGAGCCGTTAGGCAAATCCGACAACGCCGCTTTCGCTAAACTAAAAATTACCATCTGCAACGTTAACCTTTTTTAGAAATATTTAGGCATTTGCTGCAATGCTAATTCAACCTGAAACAGGCAACAACATTGGAAATCCAAATGGCACACCATGAATACCTCCTATCTCACAGTTAGCTATCGGTTTCAAAATTTTACAGGGGTTGGCTAACATATTCATACAGAATGCCCCAAAAATTTAGATTTCTGAAAACAGTGTGGCAACAAGAAAATCTCATATTCGTTTTTAATGCAACCCCAACACTACAAAATGTTGATCGTCCGGCTGATAGACTATAGAATGAGAACTAGAACTCTAAAACTATCAGATTTCTACTAGATAAAAGAAAAAATTCTTCGAAATGAAATAACCACAAAAGAAGAAAACCTATTCAGCGCAGGAGGTGGAGAAACTAGCGCATAGGTAACAAACCGTAATCTGGCAAATCCAACAGAGAAGCAGCGATTCCAAAGCCTGCCACCACTCAAAGGGCAATGGCTCCTACGCCTCAAAACAATGAGCCCTTATAGGCTGAAGCAATTTTTGGCCTGAACGTGCTAGAAATAGATGCTGAGACTCACAACCTCTATGAGAAAATACCAAAAATATTAGGGAGTCATATTTAAATACTTATACACACACCAAGGGGACTAGAAACTTAATTAAGAAATAAGGTCAAAGAAGGAGATTTGCATCTTCTTAAAACAGCTCATCCGGCGAGTTATACCGACCATCTGGTTGACTATGAGAATTGTTCTAGTGACTGAAGAATGTTGCTTTTTTCAAAAATAGATATAAAAAAGTTTTCTCTCGTAAATTTTACCTAGCCCCTAACCAAAACTATATGATATCGGAAAAGAGTTTCAATTAAAGCAAGGAAAATCACTCAACAAATGGACAATATGTAAAACAAGTTTTGAAATATCAAGATTTCAATATTCATTTGTTATTCAAAACTGTCCAATGCGACTTACAACATAAGCAAGTCGTAACCTAGCTAGCTAAAAAATGCATTACAGAAATCTTGTTTACGTGGATACCTTTAGTCACTCAAACCTAAGAAACTCTGGAGAGTGTGTAGATAAATTATCTCGATAAAAATGTCAAATATGTAGGGTTGCATTTAAAAAAATGTGTTTTTACTGTTAGGATTTTTTTTCAGAAATGTTTTTTGGGACACTCTACATTGTTTAAGTTTTTTTTTTACTTGATGTTTAATTTTAAGAGTATTTAACTGTTGTCTTGATGTTTGAAAGTAGTTGAGAATAATGAGTTTTGAATATTCTTGAAAATTTTTTACGTTCATATATCCTATAATAAAATTAAAAGAACACATAAAAATATTGTTATAAATATACAAATATAAATAAAATATTAATATTTATTTAAGGGTGACAATTGGCATCATATTGAAATATTTACTTTATCGAACTTATTTCTACTACTCTCGGCTTGAGGTCGCTTTAGGCATTCCGTTCCCTCTCGTTTTTACATATCACCTGTTGGTGTTGGTTCAAGCGTGCAATAACGCAATAACAATAAAAATTATTTTCAAGATATCCAAGGTATTCGATAAATTTAACCCTTTCAAATTGCTACACGCATTTGCCACCATCACATCGTCCCTAAAATAAAATATGGTCATGTTTTTTTTTTTGTAGAGGTATTCCTCCTATGCAAATCCAAAAACAAACAATATAGAGAAGGAAAGTAGCGCTAGGGAAGCACATCCAAGAGGACGCGCCAGATGACACTTCAGGCGATGATTGCTATCACTCCTTTTCTTCCAATGATAATACCCATACTAGTGAATCACATGATATAAAAAGAGAGTTGAATACAGTCTAGATTCAATGGTATTGACCAAAAGCAATGCAGTAATTTAGAGACAAAAATGTCTAGTATCTCTATGTATCGGCCACCAAAGAAGCTCTTTCATATGAAGTCATAATCCACTTCCACTTACTAGTTTATGTGTGTAGTAGCGTATATCAAATGGAGCAACATTTTTTATAGATATCTCTGAGATGGTAGTAAACAATTTACAGTACAAAAATCATTTTTCCAGACATCTGAAGGAACCGAGGGCTGAAAGGGTTAATCTGTACATTTTTAAAATTGATTATTCCAGAAGCGTGCAAAAGAGACGGACATTGGGATAAGTTAAAAGAAGTGGCCTTCCTTTCGAATATCCAACATTGTCGTCTGTTAAACTGGCAACGCTGCAGCTGCGGAAATATTTCAAAACGACATCGCGACGCGCTCGACGTGAATCGCACCCTTTACACGTAACAATTTCAGACTTTACGACACAGGTTAAAACCGCAGAAAATATTTACAGGACGACTCATACACTCACACTCGCACAAACTCCTCCTCCGTTAGGCCTCGCTGATGCTGCTGCTGCGTGGCGTCACGACGGGTGACTAGAACCTCTACGAGGAGGCGGGGTCCGGCCGGCGCTACTTTTTATCGAACAGAGGCAACTTGGATCGGACGGCGCCCTCGCAAACGACGAGCCTTGAGCATTTCGGTTTCTGCGCGTGCGCCAGCTGCGAGGACGACGCGGACGTGGAGGAGGCGGACGCCGCCGCCACATTTTGCTTCTCCAACGAGCGGCGCAACGCGGCGATCCTCGAGTTCAATTGCAGACCGCCCCTGACGCCGCCCGGATGACGTAACGTCGCCCCCTTCTTCTCGAAATAATCGACGATGGTCGATATGCTGGGTTGCAGGTCTTGGCCCCACTCGGAACCCGTAAGGCTCGACAGGTCCTCGTTGCTGTCGGTGTATATCGAGGAGGCACGTTTGCACAGCGCTTGGAGTTCGGGTTCCAACTCGTCCAATGACCTGAGGGAGCTGACGGCGGTACCGCTGTCGCCGAACAGGCTGCTTGGAGACAAACACTCGCCGACGCTCGAATAGAAACCGGACTCGCAGGAACCGCGACGTCTGAGCGCGGCGGCCGGTACCTCGTTGGTACCGAGTTCGGACAGGTTCGAGCTCGAACCGCCCTTGTACAGAGGGTTGACGAACAACGGCGACCTTAGAATACAATAAATTCACTGACAATTTTTGTACACGGTGTCGTTTGTTTGTAAATCAAACTTGCTGACGTTTCGCCAATCATCCTGTTGGCTTCTTCAGAGCTTGACAGTTGAGCAGTTTCGGTCAAGCTCCGAAGAAGCCAAGAGGATCATTGACGAAAGCAGCAAGCACCAAGTTTACTTTATAAACAAGATTGTTTTCGAAAAATCGTCGGTGAGCGGAGCAAGTTCGTCGCGAATAGCGCGAATCAGATTTTTATTTTAAAAAGAAGGCGCTTCGCGGATTCTTGTAGGGACGCAATGTTTTTCTATCGTGCTCTTGCGGACCACTATGGAACTTTCGCAAAATCGATGTAATTCGATCGTGAATACACTCTGTATAAAGTGTCCTTTACATCTCGTCGAACTTCAAATTTACGGCATACTTCGGTAAATATCAAAATTTGTACTGGTAATTGCAAATAATATTTTTGCAATTGCAAATTATATTTTTTTTATATTTTTTCAAATATCTTGCGTCCCCTGTATTATAGACGAAACCTCAAACTCTCTCAACACAGTTTACGATACCGTTCATATCATATTATCAAATCTTTAAAAGTTTTTCATGTATCGCCAATAATTCACCCTCGAGAGTAATTTTGTTTTCGATAAAAAAAGAAATAATTACACCGAATTTTATGAATCGAGTATCTGTTGTTAGTTTTTTTTTTTTTTTGATAATGCTTATATCTAGCATCTTAATATATTTCCATTTGTCTATGAATGTGTGTTTATGTGCAATCGTTTTACATTTATACACTTTGGGCCTGCTATAACGTACCTTGTACCTTATCTCGAAACCTACGAGGGTTACAAAAAAAATTTAAATGCAAAGGTTGTTTCTATTAAAATGACCTTTATTTTTTTTATTCTCCTAATCGTCACCGTTTTATATACACCCCGCATTTTATTGCATTTTTGAAAAGTCCTTTCAAATTCAACGATATATATGAGAGTACGGGTCTATGATGCACCGTTTCGAACTTATCAGCGATCATCCTCAGAATTCGAGTTATGTTTAAATGATCATTGTTGGGTTGCTTATTAACATTTTATTTAATTTTTTTCTATCTATTATTTTTACGAAAACAATGCTATTCTTTAAATATAAAAAAAATATTTTCTTAAATTACGCGGTGTTGCCACGTTTCGCAAAATGATACTTTTCTCAATTTTCTTAAATGAGACACCCTGTATGATATTGGATAGCCACTTTAATGGCAATTTCAATAATAATATATAGTACGGGTATATGACTTACAGTTTTGGCTTAATTGGCAGATAAAATTAAAATTACCAAAAATTCGCATTAACTACTAAAGCATATTACTTACAAGTAAAATTAATTAAATATGTCCGCCATTTTAAAGGATACGAGTAGTATATGCTATTTCTAAATGGCATATGGTATTTGAGACGTAATTGGTAATTGTTGTAAATTGTAAATCATATCTTTAAATGTACCCCACAAAAAAAGTCCATCGGGGGCAAATCTGGACTTCTCGCTGGCCAGAAGATGGTTTCGTTTTGTCCAATCCACTTTCTGAAATTTTCGTTTAAAAAACGATCAAATTAAATTTGGATGCTCTCTTCCTTAATAAGTTTTAAATATCGTGCGGATGTTAAATTTTGTTGGTAAAATATGGGTTCTAAAATTCTTGATTTCCAGATTGCACACTATACTGCCATCGATCTTCGCTCATGTTTATTTTTTCATCAAATAACATCGCAGACGTTGTAAATATTGATTCTTCGGTCCAAATTATATTTCGTTATATATGTTTATATTTGTTACCTAAAAAATGCTTATCCATCGTTATATTGCAAAATTCGTTAAGTTAATATCTGCTTCTTTTAGTTTTTGTACTGTAGCTCTTGATCAACATTTTCTAATTGATCATTCTCAGAGAAATTGATTAATTCCTGATCTGGTATAGCCGGGTAGCTTGGCTTGATTTTTTGCCTTCAATGGTGCTAGTTTTTTTGAGTGTATTTATATGCTCTATATATACGTAAATATATACCTTATCTTGGTAGCTTTTCGTACGGTGGTGGGGGAACCGGGTAGCGATTTGGGCGATTCGGCGGCGGCGGTCTCAATAAAAGGCGTGGGCAGTTCGCAGCAGGAGGAGAAATTACCGAGGAACTTTTTGACGCCGCGAAATTGGGTGAGCGAAGCGAACGGATTGGACGTGCGAGGTTTGTAGTGGGGGTCCTGGCGGCACATCGTGAGGGCGTGGCGTCGTGCCTTGTCGCTAGGCGTCAGCAGCATCGAGATCGCTAGCATCGACACGTCCTCGGAGAGCGATCGCCGATGGAAGTCTGAAAAATCGAGTGTCGAGTAAAAAATCGAAAAGCAACTCAAACGTAATGGTACCGATAAAATTAATAAAAAAACATTATTAAAAAAGGTCAAATAATTATTGACAACACTACATTTCTTTAATGCTCAATAAATTACAAAATAAATGAGAAAAATATAACAAATTAATTAAGCTACACACATTTTTTAATTAAAAAAAAATTCCGAAAGTATTAAAAAAACTTAAAATAGAATACTAAATAGAAAGAATGGGAGGGTCTTTTTTGTTTTCTAAATTTGCACACAAAAAAATGATAGACTAAAAAAATAAAATAATTTTTAGTCAATATTTAAAAAAAAGTTAACAATAGAGTTGGTAACACTAAACCAATTTTTAAAATTCCAATAAGAAATTTATAAAAACATATTAAATAAGGTAAAAAGTAAAAAAAAATGTGCTCACAAACTTTAGAACTAAACAAAGAAAAATGATAAGAAAATCGGACGAAAACTAATAATTTTAAAAAAATATAATTGGTAATTTAAAAAAATGTATTTTTACGAAAAATTAAAGTAACAAAAAGTAACGGTAATACCGAACCAATGATTATGCCAATGCTGAAAAAAAGTAAAAACGTCAAAGTGTCACATCTCTTGTCAGAAATTTTTATTGACGTTAGTTTTTCAAAAACGAAAAAATTTGGATAATTGAAATTTTGTAGATTTTCAATAACATATTATTATTATTAGTAAAACAATATCAAAATCAATATTAATATAATTAGCTGTGAATAAAAATAAGCGGGTGATAAATTTCTTTAATTTTTATTTTAACAAAATTTATTCGGTACAAGTCTCAGAATTAGTGTGCGAGATCAAAATATTTGTTTTATTTTTTAAGTGTTTGTTTATAGCATGATATTGCCATAATCGTTTGTGTGCGAAATAATACCTAAATAGAAACCATGCATAAATAACTTAATAGTTATAAAGTAATGGTGTGCTGTGTTCTGAACTGCAAAAAAAATGGATTCAAGCAATAAAAGAGTAAGATTAATTTGATTCAACAAAAAACTCAAATTTGAGTAGTGATGAAATAGTTTTTTGAACCTTTAGTACATGCTGGACTAGTAAATTTAAAAAAGTCTGATCTTATTGATTTTAACTTATTTGATCTTTTATACGTACTATTGAATCAACAAGGGAAGTACTAACAACCAAGCCAAAAACACCTTATAGTGCTGACAATATGTATAGTATCATGTGCTTGACCTTGTTGCAGTTATTTATCTAGGTCGATGTAGTCACAAAAAAACCCTCAAGTAGAAAGGAAAAAATTATTATATAGATGAAACATATTTTACCAATTTTGAGGAAGCCTTTGACAACTATATGGTTAAATATAGACAATTGCTGGCACATAGCAAAGAAGTGAAGAAGTGAATTTTTGTGTCCCAGAATTTTTTTTGTCAGTCAGGCGCTGATATTACCAAAATTGCATGATAAATAGCAGCCATCAAATTTCCAATCAAAGTTACTGATAAACAACGACTTTATTCGTCGACAAAGCCTGCCAGTCCTGCAGTTTCATTTCTTTCAGGTTATTTTGAAGACCTACCCCTTCTTCTAGTTATCCTGCCTCTCAGGATCTGCTTAGGACTTTCATTTCCCAGTCTTGCTATAAGTTAATCTTTGAGCTCTCGCAACGTTTGTTATGGATGGTTCTCCATAGAAATCTTTATGCTCCATATTAGTCCTTCTTACCCAAGGATTGTCTCTTTTCTTTCTACCAAATATTCTTCTCAATACTTTCCTTTCAAATTTTTCTAATGCTTCCATCTTCCCCGAGCTTGAGCTTCTATACTTCACATCCAAACACGACAGTAGGCCTAATCATCATTTTATACACTCTTTATGTGATGTAATCCCCCCATACATTTCATGCTTTCCCTATAATCTGATGTTATAGCTACCCCTAAATAATAAAATTTTTCTACTAAATAATAATAAAATAATATTCGCTATTCTCTGTTATAGCCTTTAGGTGCCTATTCTGCCCACTAAGCTCTTTTTCTCCCATTGTCATATATTTTGTTTTCAGTTAATTAATTTTCAAATTCGTTTCTTTAGCTGACTTTTCTATCCGCTTTATCGCATCAACTAGATCTTCCGTTGTTCTGGCTAAGATCACAATATCATCTGCGTAAGGAAGAATTTGGGTTCTTTGCTTAAATATGGTACCTTTACTTTGCAAACCACTTTTTCCAATAGTGTGTTAAATAATTAAGTCATAAAGTCATTTTTGTTAAATTAACAATTTTATTTAACACTCCCACTTCTGCCATCGATTCATACAATTTTTCTCTTTTAACTGTATCATAGGCTTGAGGGCTATTGCCATAATTTTATATACAGTATCCATTTAGCAGTTAAATAGAAATTTGATATTACAAACGCCATGCAAGCAGATATAATGCTCCCTTAATGTGATGACTCACACTTTAGAGCGGCCTTGTGACGTAGGAGGTGTTGGTCAAACCCAAACCATTGGTAACGCATAAAAAAGTACGCAAAATAAAACAAACGCCGGTAAGCAACGTCAGTAATCTATTTCCGAAAAAAACTCAGAGGTGAGAAATCGAGCGACGGACTCTCGACGACAACCGCGAAGAAAAAACCACCCCCGGAGGGCGTGGCAGTCGAACTTACTCTTCCTGTGCGGAGGGGCGGAGGAAGGCGACACCGACGTCACCGCCAGCTGTTCTTCGCTCTTCGCGACGCAACTGGCGATACTCCCCACCTCTTTCTCGGGTCCTACGCGGTTGGTGTCAGACAGGATCTCTGCCAGGATATTCTTGATCTCGGCGAAAGTGGGCCTACTTTTCGGTTCTATGGTACAACACCTGCAAATCACACACACGGTTTATTGAAACGACCGCGGGCGCGTTCTAAACGAGCCTCTTTCGGTAAAATTTAAAATAGGTAGACTAGGTATAATTTTTATTTTGACTGAGGATAATGTGGGTTTTTAAAAAATACGTGGTGTGTTCAACAAGTAAGGTGACTTTTGTAATTGGGCGGCCTACGTACATTTGATCTTCGATATTTATTTTTTGTTATGTTATCTACTTTGAGCAAAAAAAAAAATGTTTATGAGTGGTACAAGTTGCGCCAAGATGGCCGAGAAGACGCCGATGATGAACATCGCTCTGGACGCCCCAGCATATCAATAACTAATGACATCGTTAAAGAAGTGAAACAAATGGTGTTGAAAAATCGTCGAATCACTATTAGAGAAGCGGCTGAAGACCTCGGCATCTCTATTGGTTCGTGCCACGCAATTTTTTCCGAATTTTTAGGCATGAAACGTGTAGCAAAATTGGTTTTGCAACTGCTTAATTTTAAACAAAAGGTTCGTCGAAAAAATATCGTTCTAGAGCTGTTAAATGATGACCAAAAAGGTCATAACTGGTAACGACGCATGAATATATGGTTATGATATTGAAACCAAAACCCAGTCGTCCCAATGGAAGAACCCAGAATCGCCAAGACTGAGAGTTTTTTTTGATTATAGTGGCGTAGTACATCAAGAGTTATAACCACAAGGTCTTATGGCCAATAAACAGTATTATCTTAAAGTTATGCACCGTTTACGAGAATCATACCTCAGCCACTATATTCACCGGATATGACCCCTGCGACTTTTTCCTGTTCCCAAAACTGAAGAAACCCATGAAAGGAAGGAGGTTTGGGACGATTGAAGAGATAATGAAAAAATCGCTAGAAGAACTCAAGGCTATAACAGAGGTGCTTCGAGGATTGAAAAAAACGTTGGCACAAGCCTATTACATCTGGGGGGGGGGGGGGTATGGGGACAACGTTAATTTTGATGAATAAATAAATACTTTTTGATAACATTTGAACACACCTTGTATAGTTGTATAGCAGCCTGCAAAACCGAAAAATCCTCAAAAAGCTGTTAAGCACTAAGCCTTTGACATATTAAGGGCGTCTCGCTAAGACTTGAATTTGGTAACGCTGCGGATGAATTTAGCAGCCATATAAATACAGGAGTTCAAACTTAGGATATGTAGATGAGGTTGCCTTTTACAAACTACCGAAATATATAATACAAAATGCAGAAGCAATAAAGATTGAATTACGATGCAAACCGCAACAAATGTTAAATGTAATTCTGGGGAACAAATCTAGTAACTTTTGTGTTACCAATTAGCTATCTAAATGTTTAAATCAGCCATCTGAAAAATTATTTGAAAGGCGAAGTAGCGCGCATATTTGAGCGTAACATTCCGGTTATCTGTTTGATGTTGTAATTACAAGAGACTTGCGCCATGTCAAGCAACGTGCAAGATTTATTGCGGGCTTGACATTTACCTAACCTTAATACAGCAGCAATTGTTTGACCAGTGCTCTGCTCTGCGATATATGCAATATTGCTTTGTTTAGCGGTTGTTTGTTGTTGTTTTGAAGAAGTCGGAGGTTATATTTACTACGCACAAGAGTTTTCATGTTCAACTGTTTTGAGGGCGAAATGTTGACAGTTGTATCGTCATTACCGTTTTTTTTTCTGCCCTCTTTTCAGTTTTTGAATAAATAATAATAATTCTTCTACTTTCTCTGTCGCCAGATGAGCACAGGTTTTGCAATCAAATAGTCTAACTGTTATAAATTTTATAACATCCAAGAGGACCAATAATATTTTTAGAATCAATATCACTCCGTTTTTGGTTTTCTTGTTAAAAATTGGCAGCAAAATAAAATTAAAATTACAATATAAATACAAACTATGAATACATGTGGTTTAAATCGACTTGAATCGCGAATGAATCCCATGAAAACACCCACTTTTTCGATATTGAGTTCTATTTCAATCCAAATTCGACTCGGAAAAAAATGGGATAGTATCGAGAGCATATCTAAAATTTATTCACGCAAACGCAACTTTGACATCATCCTTTAACTTAATAATTGCTGCCAGGAAGCAAACGAACACAAGCTAAAAAAAATTATGCTGCTGCAAATTGTTAACGGGGAAAACAGAGTAATGAGTTATAGTTATATATCAGCATATAAATTCACTAATATTATATTTTAATATTATTATTTAATATTTTTGGCTGAACAGGAGGTTCTCTCAGAGGATAAATCGCGGTTGACAGATAAACGTTTTCACGTCGAATTTTTGTAGCGATTTTTAATAAAATAACTTGTCAAGATCAATTTTCTAATATTACGTTAAGCTATTAACGGCTGTATTATTAACGATAAATCCGTCAATCTACCTGTTTTAGCATTTAATTGGTGATTCTGAAAAAAAAAGCCAAATAGACAATTAACAATACAAAAAAGTTTATGAAAATCTATCTGTAAGATCCTATTTTGTCTTTTCTTGCCTTGTTTCTTTTAATCTCAAGTTGACGTCTGTCAATGAAAATCAAAGTAAAAACGTACATCAAAATGTAGCCAAATGAAAATTTGAAATCGAATAAGGAAGTAACGAAGCAATTTTTGATTTTCTTCTGGGTGAAATCCGCATGAATACTACAGTAACTTTATATTAATAATCTGCCTTGCATCTAAAAAATTGTAAAATTACAATTTGCACTTTGCAAAATTAAATGTGACAGATATAACTGTCAAAATGTGGAAATTTTCAAACATTTGCACGTCGAATTTAAATAATCGATAATACAATAACTAATTCTTGACCGAATGACATTTTTGGCTTTGTCACGCTTGCTAGGATACCAATATCATAGCCACATGTTGCGTTAAGAATACTGTCCGTTTAGAAGCACCTTACTTAATGTTAGAGTTATAGTATGCTACTCGCCTAAACGCTAATTTCAAAAAGTCAGGTACAACGTTGGGACCGCACAGTTCCGTAAAGGCCAAGTAATCGAGACCAAAGTTATCCGTTCGGGGTAGCTGATCGGGATCCGCTTCGACGCGCGCGATCAGCTCGCACAGCACTATGCCGTAGCTAAACACGTCGCTTCGCTCGTCATAGTATTGTCCCTTGAGGCACTCGGGCGACATCCAATATGGCGAGCCGACCGTGCACAATTTCGTCTTGCTCGTGGGGTCGGGAATGGTGGTAGACAGACCGAAATCGCCAACGACCGCCTGTCGATGGCCGGCTTCCACTTTTATTAAAACGTTCTGCGAACAAATAGGTTAGGGTCACGGACCTTTCTAAAAGTATAATCGACCGAGATATGTTTGGTAATGAATTTAACCAAAAAGTTCTGATCACTGATATACAGGGTGTTCGGAAACTTGGAGAAATTATTCGTATTCGTATTATCGTAATATTTTCCGAGTTATAGTTTGTCAAAATTCACTTTTTAAAATTTTATTTCTCTGGTATTTTACACATACACACAAATATTTTACATAAACGTGTTTCAGAAATCTTCCACTAGAAGGCACTTTATCTAGATTTTTTTTTGTATTTTCCCTGTATTTTATGTATTTAGACTGATATTGCAAAATAGAACGGATTGCCTTAAGCAAAATCACAAATCCTCAAAAATTGTTACTCTTATTTTGAGTCGATGAGTGTTATCGTTTAGCCACAAATCGACTTTTTAATTCTCGGTCCGAATACCCCGCACTTCTAATTTACAAAAAGGTATGCTACAAATTAAGAAACTGCACAAATTGATATCTGTTATAAGTGTTTCCTACACTAAAGACTAAAGGGCCCCCAAAAAAACGAATTAAGGTCTGGTAAGCGAGGCAGCCAAACTAAAGGTCCGCCCCGGCCTATCCATCGATGTTCAAATGCCTTGCTTGCTTGCAATACCTTGGTACAGCCAATTTAAAGAAAACCGGCGCTGATATTTTCCTTCCATTTTTGAATAATCTTTGAAAAATCCTCTTTTACCAAGTCTTCTGTGTTGTTATATCTTAGCAGGTGGAATGTTTCCATTGGGATAAACCTCGATATAAAGCCGCCACCGTGCTTGATCTGCATTTCCATTTGCTCTTCCGCAATGCATATCTCAATATAGAGTATTTGCATATTCCTGATGGGCCATCGCAGTAGCAGTTGGACAATAATCTCTTTTAATATAAACTGGTATTACATTTATTTACATCAATATAATAAGCTAAAATACGATATTTGTTTTGTTTGCAATGAATTAACTGTTGATAATCCTATGACATCTTGCTTTATAAAGTAAAGAACAACAATAAACCTAAATACTTCACTAACCTACTTAGTTCTTGGTAAAAAGTTTGAATATCATGATCTATATCAAAGTGATCATTTCAACTGATTGCGAAGGTATACATTAATTCTAGTTTGAGTTAACATTTTATGTTGCGTCAATATAGGTTGCAATATAGGAAAGATGTTAAGATAGCAAGTCGAATCTTTTCCTTTTGTATAATATGTACTACATATACACAAAATCATTGTATTGTATTGTATTGTGATATCCCTGTTTTGATTCTTAAATTCTCATCAAATTTAAAGACCTACTTCATTACCTCCTCAATGATCATTGTTATATACTATTTCTTAATATTTCTACTAGTTTATACATTTTTTTGGGCAGGGATATATTTTGTAATCATTTCAATTGTCTATGCTTTTTTGAATTAAGTATTTATTTTGACTATTTTTGAAGAAATGGTAAGTTCTTGTGTTGCATTTGGTCGAAATAAGTGCCACTTTTTTTATTAGTTTAGTTAGGTTTTGATAAAAACAAAATATATTGTTATGATGATGATTAATAGAACATAAAAAATAAATCAACATTTTGGTATACTTAAACTATCGATTTAGATGTCAGAAAAAAAAAATGAAAATGAAAGTTTAAAATTATTTCCTGTTTCGAGTAATAAAAAATACTGGTTAGAAAAGATTTACATATTTAAAGAAAATATTGTTGATTTCGATAAGAATTAAATTGATTAGTTTCAATAGTTTTAAGGCCTACTTGCCTAAGTGTTCTGACTCTACATCCCATTTTTGCTTATGTTAAGGATCCGGAATATGAGGAAAAGTATCACATTTTAATTAGTTTTACTCAATAAAATAGCATATTTATTTTCTAACTTTAATTTCATAAATTAAAAATAATAAAAGAATTTGGGATCATAAAGAAAAGAAAGATCTATTCGATAATGTTTATGAATCAAATTACCATCACTGAATTATTCTCAACAGCGTGAAAAGCACATTACCATTTATTTCTGAAGACATTAAATCGCTATTGAAAAAACATTTTCAACATTTAACCTAAACTACAAAAGTAAAATAGAAAAAATAGAAAAATAATTATTTCTAGGAAAGTATAATTTGGACCGGATTTTTTTTTTAAATGTCAACCCTGCACAGATCCAGCGAATATGGAGCTTGGTAGGTCGTGAGTTCTACTAGTAGTTCTTGTTCTTAAAATTTTACCACGAATCCTAAGGAGAAACTTTCGCAAAATTCCTGATAGTTAAAATACCTTGCTGGTCAAGTCCCGATGGAAAATGCCCTTGGAGTGCAAATATTCCATGCCGCAGGCCATATCGTGAGCGATGGTGAGCCGTGTCGACTGTGGAAGTTGCACGGACCTGTTCTGGATCAGCTGATCCAATGAGCCGCCGTTGCAAAACTCGGTTAAAGCGTGCAGCTGGCCTTCGTGGACGCACACCCCCATCAACCTGCGGGGTTACGCAAATAACCCAATAGACTTATTTTAGATTCCTATTTAAATCGAGACGCTTGCCTGAGAATATTGGGGTGGGACAAACGATTCATCAGTTGCACTTCTTTAAGCATGTTCCGTCTGTTTGATCGGAGCTGGTTCATTTTTAGGACCATTACTTGGCCCGTCACTCGATGGGTTACCTGAAAAGGAAAGTTATGGAGCCCATGTGTAAATTACCGCACACACATTCCAGGATTTTTTAAAGTGTTGAACTAGAGTGGCTTCTTCCAAAATTATATATAATCATACCAAAGTTTTTCAGACAAATTTTAATGTAGAATGTATATTTTTTTATAAATTATTAACTGGATATCAATATTATGTTTGCTATCATTATTTAAATTATTTTTAAATATTTCAATTTTTTTCAGTGGCGCAAAAAAAAATTGCGACATTCGGAGGCTAATATAATAACAAACCAAATAAAATATAGAACTCCTGAAAGCAACTCCTTGCTTCTAAGAACAAAAAAAAACTTTGACAACAACCCTTTCACATAGCAAAATTTTAAATTATTAGGAGATACCAGGTAGGTTAAATTATGAAAAATATACAGAATTTTATAAGTAACCTAAATATTTGCCCACACGTTTCTAAGAAATTCGAGGAAATATAAAAGTAGTATTTTTTTTGTCTGTAGGGCCCAAAATACACTAAATCTTGGGATTAATACATTTTACACATTTTTAAGAAAAATATGGGAATAAAGGAAAACAATTTTTTAATTTTTCTTGGGGGCCCCATATTGAACCTTGCATTATTAGATGGTGCATAAAAAATGCGTTTAAATGATGCATTTATTATCACCTTCAGCGAACCAAAATCATAATATGATTTTTTTTTATAGTAAGGCTTAAATAAAAAGTTTTGACAGTCGATCGATAACTTACACTGGACTGATTTTAAATATATTGTTTATTCAAAAGTAAAAAGTCAATAAAGTAAAAAAAAATAATACAAAATTTTTGATAATCTAACTTTATATATATTCTCAAATTTTTCAGAAAAGAACGGTGTATCGCTTATAGTCTATTGGACAGATTGTATATAATAAAAAACACTTCACTGCAAAGAATTTGGAGCATGGGATGGGTTATTTCAATTTGACTAATTTTAGCAAACCACTAAAGTTGAATCTAATTGGATTCTTGGATATGGCTAGAACTTGATTTGGTAAGCAGACTTAAATTACCTTAAAAACTTCAGAGAAAAACCCTGACCCGATTTTTTCCGTGTAAAAATCATCGAGTCGGTGTAGGGCTGCCACGGCATGTTTAAGGGCCTGACAAGAGGAACCCGTTTTCAAACGATCGCATCTCGTCCGGGGTGGTTCTGACAATTCGTTATTGGGACAAAACAACTTCTCATATTGACTATCCTTGGGATCACAGGGTGTATCGTATATGCAGGAAATTTTAGGACTCGAATCATTTTTGCTGACTGGGTGCATCATACTCCGAGTGCAAAACTACGTATCGTTAACCAATTTCGTACATATTTGTGTAAGACTCGCAGGTGTTGTGGCAGACGTTCCAAAGCGCATAATTTTTAAAAATTACTTAGTCATCGAAAATTTGTCTAGCCCAACATCGATATTGCGAAAACGGTGGACGCAAATTCGACGGCGGTTTACCGGTCCCTTGACACTTAAAAAGTATCGCACAGCTGGTCGGAAGTTTTCCTCCTCAAATTGGATGTAATTAAATTTAGAAGTACTTGACACCTTTAAACAGATAGCACAAACACCTAGGCTGGTCGCTTCCACGGTCACTCTTCGCGTCGTAAACTCTCAAGGATCCGCCACACTGGTCGTAATTTTTAAATGTGAGTGAATTTTTCGGAAATAAATTACGGACCGTTGAAAAAAAACGCTAATTTCGACTTTCTCTCGGTTCAATCACAAACAGCTGCCATTATTTTAGGAACATTGTTGGTAACGAAAGATACCAAAAGTTCCTGTTGCATTTCGCTCGGTTTTCGCGTTCGGAAACTCGCTGTGAAAGGCGCGTTCGGAAATTTGCATTTATCCAGTGATCTCAAAGATGGATCGTTTATCAACAAAATTTCAATTTGGACCAATGACCTAATATGAACTGTAAATTACATTCCGGTTTGAACTTGTCACGATATACATACTGCATGCAAAGAACAATAATATTAAACTAACCAAGATTAGTGCCATAAATAATTAGGGGTTGGCTATCTGACTTATCGACGGCGTCATCAATACAATGATTAATTAACTTAATTAATTTTTAAAATTGTCTGTCGGCATTTAACGCACCAAATTTCGATTCGATACGTTTTTATATGATCAACTGCAGGCGGTGCGATAAAAACGGACTTGTCCCAATACTTTTAAATCAATTATTGTTGGTCATTAAGTTATTCTCTACGAGGGTGCCACTAAAAGTGTTCATAGAGCAGATACGTTTCTAATGACGATTTAACATACTAGAAATATGCCATACATGAACTAATTACGTATTTTGGTAAAAAATAAACTTTAGAAAATGGAACACGAAAAGGGGAACGCAACCAAACGCAATATTTCAAAAGAACTGCGTGGCGATCACAATAATTTCATCAGTCACGTTTGACAAGGAAGTAGCGTCTAACTTCCTATAGACGTTGTGGGCGGGATCACTATTCGCCATGCCATCATTTCTTTTAATAATTCGCGTTGTGGACTACCTTACGTTTTTTTCTTACGCAACAAAAACTGGGTATAACCAACCGACCGTTAAAATTATAGCCACTTTAGAAATAATAAAATGCAACGTTTATTTAAGTCCATGTTACAAAACGGTTCAGTCCGCACTGTTTTCACTTCATTTTGCGTATTGCCTGGCTTCGTGCGTCTTTAATCTGCTCTTATATTGTGAGCCTATATCCATTCGGTAACAGAACACAAGATGTACTGTGTTGTATTGTTGGTGACTTGCGGATTGTTGCCACATCTTGGCCGGTGAGTTGAAATATCTGTGGTTTGTTCCAAATCAGAATTAAAATTTCGTGGGTTTATAAGTAAAGGTGGCTCGAAAGCACACGCTGCACTGAAGTAGATGCACTTATATAGGGAGATTCGGGGAAAATCTGATTAAAAATAGCTTTAAAAGCGGATGGAATTGCGTTTTTTTCTTACATCAAGTAGTCGGTGACCGTATATCGCCGCCTATGTCGAATTGTAGAATCTCAGTTGACGTTTCACAAGCAAGAGATTTTCAAAGGGTTCAGGTTAGGCTTAGTTGAAGAAAATATGCATTTTTAGTATGCACGTACCTATACCTTGGTTCGGTTATTGCTTGTTCGAATTCGTAACACTAAAGGGGGATATGCAATGATTAATTATTAAAATTATGGCGAAATCATTTTCAGCGACTACGGGGACGTCGAAGCCGTGTATAATCCGGGCGAGCGAGAACGAAAAAGAAAAAAACGTTGCGAATTTCTAAAAAATGTGGCGACAGAACTTTTGCAAAATTTTTGAGGTCAAGGTGGCGTTGTTTTTTAGAAACGCTCGAAAATGGCTAGTTTTTTTTTTCGGCTAACCATACCCCGTTATAAATAGGAGTCCTAAAATTTCAAATAAAAATATTTGTAAATTTGTAAAATATTTGTAACGTTTTCGAAAAAATGAGATAAAGTTTCAGTCTAGTAAGTAATATTTTTTTTATTTTGGCAGAGGGTTAAAATATAATTCGATGTTGAGGAATATTTAATACAGGTCATAAAAAATATTGTGTGCGCGTACCTTAAATTGAAATTTACATCCCTTAGTTGGTACCATATGCGTTGTTGCCAAATCGATTTGTTGTTGAAAATTGTTTTTCTAAACTTCTAGTTCGAAGTATACAAGATGTCGCATAGCAAATGAATATATTCTCCATGTATTCAAGGTGCTGAACTGTTTTTTTTATTATGATTGCGAAATGTTGTTATCATATATATAATAGAAATATAGAGGCCCTGCTTATGCCGATAATAGAGGAACTTATAAAGCAACTATACAATTTTTTTAGGTCTATTAAAAATACTCTTGCGCGAGATCTAAAACCTCGCTTTTAACCAATGACCTTGAGGCATGCAACAACCAAAAGGGCCGCTGACGGATTACCAATAAGTTTGTATGCGGCATTTTTACGGCAGTATTTTTTTAAAAAAAGTGCCTAAATCTCATTAAATGTTCTGGGAAAACTAGTTAAGTTTGTGGAAATGGCTGCTTAAAAAGAAAATAGTGCAAAGTGCAAGTTAGTGGGTAAAATGTAGATTCATGTCCGGCAAATCATTCCCTTTTCTATGGAAATATCAATGCCGTAGGGCCACTATATTATGTAATAGCTATATGGTTGTTATAAATAAATGGCGAGAAAACTATGTCGGTTACTTTTAACCAATAAAATCCTGCGTTCAGCAATTAACATGGCCGCTGACAGTTCGCGAATTCCATAGTTTTCAATTCGGTTGTGCAGTTTGTAAAGTTTGGTGATTAGAATGAAAATTGCGCCAATTGCAGGTTAGTGTGTGAAATATTGGGGACATGCGCGTATCATTTCCTTTAGTATTCAGTACGAAGATGTCATGATCAGGTTTATCACTTTTACTGAATTTACAGTCCATGATTATTAAGAACTTTATGCACCTCTTATGAAATTTCACAATTACCTCACATAACGGGTTATAGCCTATTTTTTTTTTTACATTACATTAAAAGGTTAGGGTTTCTTTTCTTATTTAAGAGAAGTTTTGTGATGCGGGGGGACTTGACGTGAACCAAGAATCGTAAATTAATAGGCCTAAGTCCTGTATTGGCCCGTTTACTATGTAAATGCATGGAAATCATTTGAAACTGACCCGGGTTTTGATAGATTTTGAGTATTTTGAGTAGATAATATAGCATTTTGTTTGGATAATCACTCGTTATTTCCATTTAATGTCAACATTAAATCGTTTTAGTACTTATTTAATAATTATTGGGAAGTAGCGTAGGGTAGGGTAAAAATAATACTATTGCAATCAAGTTTGGCTTATATGTATTATATTGAAATACATATATTAATTAAATATTAAAATAGTTGTTATTGCACCCATACATGGCACACCTCACCTAACTATTTTTTGATGTTACTTATCCCACTGAAAAAGGTAAAAGAAATGTATTTCTTACCTTTACCTATATATATATATATATATATATATATATATATATATATATATATATATATATATATATATATATATATATATATATATATATATATATATATATATATATATATATATATATATATATATATATATATATATATATATATATATATATATATATATATATATATATATATATATATATATATATATATATATATATATATATATATATATATATAGAGGACTTCGCTTACGTCACAAGCGACCACGTGCGATCGATGATTTTTTCGAACGTATGTCTTATGGGATTGGGCAATCCTTATTAGGTTTACGATTCTTGGGTGTGAGATCAACCCTCCGATGAGGTCCCAGGCAGAATGTCGATGCATTGGATGTTTTTAAGATAAACAAGAAAGAAACTAGTCAAACAAAAATACACAGAGCGTGACATTTCAAGTACAATGAAATAAAAACAACCCTTTGTTTAGTTCCTAATTTCGCCGTAAGTAGCGTGTAATGTTGTAAGTTAACAAGCAAAATAGGTTAAAGAAAAACAATACCACAATAGTCGCCAACACTATATACGGCTCATTATTTCGTAAGCTCTCTGCTTTAAGCTACAAAATTTATACAGGGGGCAGCAAACTGGTGCACCCACGTCAACCGAACAACCGAAACCATACAAATTAAAAGAGGCACCGAATTTCAACACTCCGGGTGTGTACCAACTGACTCCCCCCGTGGACCACGCCGAAGGCCCAGCATGGGACGGCAGGAAGAACGTCCTGTACTACGTGGACATCCACAGCGGACGGGTGCTCAGTTACAATTTTTTCACGCGATCGGTCAGCTCGATCACACTCAACGGCCAAGTGAGCCCCGTGATACCCTCCAAGAACAACGAGAACCTGCTGATAGTTGGGGTGAATCGGACATTGGTGGCGCTGGAGTGGGACGGCGAGAAGGAACTCGGAAACCAACGGGTAAACAAATGTCGAACCCGTTAACGTTATATACAGGTCGTCCCCTCGCGAATACGCTATTTATACTTGCCGTCGAAGAGCACATTGGATATTTCTCAATTTTTCCCATGCGGAATCGGTTTGGGTCCCAATTTGGAATTTTGATTTTTAATAATTTACCTATTTATTTAAAGAAGAATATTGAGCCTTGAGGAACGTCCGAGGAAGCAATGTATTCATGGGAAGTGTGGCGATCAACATAGACCCACTAAGTACGGTTAGACAACTATTAACCCATATTATCCCATGCATAAAAAAAGTAAAAAAATACTTGTGTGAAATTATTTATTTTGTTGCACATGTGTCAGAAAAAAAAATAAAAACTCGAAACATACAAAAAATACTTAAACGAACCACTGGGAAAAAACAGTAAATAATGTTTTAGGGCACATAAGATGTAACATATAATTTATACATAAATATACAAAAGAAAGTTCAAATTCGACAGAAAACAACTAAAAGAATCAACGCATAATATTTTATGGTGCGTGAGCGCACCACTGGTAACACCCGGTTTCATTTTTGGTGATATTTTACAAGGCATGAAATATGTATTATTAGCATGAACAATCATGAGGTGATCTTGATTATCATAACGCACTTTATCTATGGCAGGTGCAAGATTTCTTTGAGTAATTGTTTCATCAATCACTTCGTCATCATTTTTTAGTTCCTTACATCGGATATAGGTATGTAAGTGTACTCAATCTGACCTTTCTTCTATTCGACAGTAGAAGCAAGCCTGTCGTTTGCAGAAAGCAAACGTCTTCTTTTGAATTCCAGAGTTTCATCATCTGATGAGTCCCCTTCAGGTTCAGTAGTTGATGAATTCCAGAACTGTTGAAGGACAACTGTATCATTCGGTGTATGTAACTCGACAGTTCCAACTATATCAGTTGGCTCCCCAAACTCTGTCATCGTTCATATCTTCTTCGTCAGTCAAGGTATCCAAGTCGGGTGAAATATAGACCGCGTCAATATGTTCTATAAACATTTTTTCACGTTATTTTTAGCATAAATTTATAATGCATAAGTATACGTAAATCCAAATAAAACTTACGACTTTCATTGTTATTGTCCTCATCTATCACGATCTCCTCCATAGCCGCCTCTAATTCCTTTTAAGTCAAATACCTCGGAAATGGCATATTTTACGAACTATAACGTTCAATGCACAAGACACAAACTAATGCTAAAGAACACGCTAATTGGTGGATCTTTATTCTACATGCGCTAACTTGTCTAGACTTGCAATAACAAAGTTTTGTTTCACAGATAAAACCAGTGGTGCATTCACGCGCCAGTAAATATTTTCAAAAAATAAAGCATATTGAATATAATATTCTCAATGTATGTTTTCTGCGATGTAATCTACATGCTATAGACTTAACAAAAATGGCAATACAAATCCAAAATATTTTTTTACAATTTTGGATTTACTTGAAAATATCATACAAATTCATGTACCGCTTTTGTTAACTTTTGAAATCATATCTTTCCTTTACACATAAATTAGCGATTTCTACGGTTATATGTCCTTTAGTAGTGATGATAATAAAATTTCTAAATGGATGTGCAAAAATATTTGCTGGATGTGACAAAAAATCATAGAATAGGTGGTGCATTAACGCACCACTGGGACAAAATGGGTTAAGAAAACAAATTAACAAGCGATTCGGAAAAGAATATATATGAAAATATATATCACCGGGCTCAGAAATACACTGAGACTGAGTCGGTAAATTGATAATAGTGAATTTTGATTCTTAACAACATGAAATATTTTATCCTGTATTACAATTTGTTACAATATCTAGTGTTTATAAAATAGTTTTTGGTTAATCATGCTTATTTTTCAATGAACTGAAGTGAAACCCACCTTGACGCAAAAGGCTTTGTCGTTACCGAATAGTATTGGGCCAATACCATTATTAGATATTGAAGAACAAAGACGGCGTTGGCACATTACTGATCGCATTTATGATTTTTATCCCTGTTTTCATTGACAAGTTGTCTGAGTAATTTCGTTCATCACTAATACAGGTTGACAAAAAACCAATTATTATGAAAATAAAAAATAACATACCTTTTTGAAGATATAATTATATTTATAGTTATGAAAATATAGAAACCAAATACAGAACACGAACAGTTTAAAACAATTACATACTTAGGAGAACCTAGCGAAAAAGTTTCAAAACATTTGTCAAAATGTGATTTAAAAATATCTTTCAGAACTAAAAACACAATAGGAAAATGTTTAAAAAACAATAAATCGAAATGTCTAAAATCTCAAAAATCAGGTGTTTACAGGTTAAAATGTCCTAAAATTTATATTGGACAAACAGGTATATAAGAGCGTTTAAAAACAATAGTCTAGATTCTAATTATGCTACACACTTAAACACAGAAAAACACATTTTTGACGACAGTTTTGATATTTTACATACAACCACAAAAAGTAAAAAATTAAATTTATTGGAAGCCATGGAGATTAACAAAATGAGACATTCAAATGTATTACTTAACGATCAATTAGATTTAAATACCTCTCCTTTACTGAACTTAAATTCTCGCAACAACATTAATTAAGGTTTTATGGTCATTTTTCGGTATATATAGTAGCAGGTAGTTTGTAGATATTACATTTGATAAAGACACGGTGTTGTCGAAACAATTGTCATGTCATAATATATAATTTCGTGAAAATCTGAACTTTTAGTTCTTATTTATTTTGATAAATGGATTTTCATCAAGTAAAAGCCACCTCAGTTCAATTTCCCAAAAATTTTGCATTTTAGATTTTTAGAAAGACGACTGTTATATTTTTTTATTACTTTATTTTGTCTGATATACTTATAATGAAATAATGATTTGGGTGTTTTAAACATACGGTGGTCAGTTTGGATACTTAAATTATAATTCCGAATTGAGATAATTTATAAAAATAGAGTAATAATAAATGGTCTCTATCGGTTAAAAAATAAATACATTACTACAAAATAAAATAGACAAACTCATAATTAAAAAAAGGGAAGAAAAAAATTACTGAAAGAAAAATAACACAAACACAGGGAAATTGACCAAGGACAAAATAAATAATAAATAAAACTAAGATTAAAAAACATCATTTTACAACGTTTATTGATTGATTTGTTGGCGAGGTTCACCACATGCAGAGCAAGTCTTTAGGATGCAGAAACGCATTTTGTTTTGAACGTAAAAATGTATAATAAATTGCCCATTAAACTGAAGGAGATAGCTAATCAAACAAAATTCAAATGCACTCTGAAAAACAAATTGCTACGCCTCGCCCATTACAATATTAAGGTTTTTTTTTGTGATATCTTTTAATACGTATTCGTTCTTTGTTATTGTTTATATATTTGTTATTATATTGTAATTATACTAAGATAATTTTATATTTTTATATTCGCATTATACTGACAATATCCAACATTTCTAACTCAAGTCTTATGGAAATAAAGCTATCTTTATCTTTATCTTTATGAACTTTTAATTTCTTGATATGACAGATTATACTTTGCTTTAAAGTGAAATTTGAGTATCAGGCTACTTGTTTTTTTTTACATAATAGTAGAGTAAAAGATCGTCTAAATATTATTTTCTGTGGTCAAACTAAACATTTTACGTGAAAAAGTCGACCATAAGCCCAATCCATTGCATGTTAAAGGTGCTCACCACAGTGTCCCAGCAATTCCCTACCAGTCGATTCAACGACGGCAAAGCCGACAAAATGGGGCGCCTATGGATCGGTAAGGGCAAAAAAAAACATATTTGCCCGGCGGCGGTACGATTTTATATATAACGTTGTCAGGCACGATGGGTTTCGAAGACGTCTCGAAGGGTACACTGACGCCCAACGAAGGTGTGTTGTACCGCGTCACGAAAGACACACTCATCAGTCCCAGCGTCAAGGTCGCACCGGTCAACATAAGCAACGGCATCGCTTGGACCAAAGCCAACGATAAAATGTATTACATCGACACTCCCACCCGACAGGTAAGAAAAATTCCGATAAAAAGAGATTTTCTTCCACCACCACTGAATACGGAATCTTTTTCTATGCTCTGTGACTTTCACGACGAGACCATGCAGATCTACGTGACCATGCAGATCTATAAATCACGTTTCTATGCTTAGTTGACAGAGTTAGGTTAGTTTTCAGTATTTATTTATTACATTCGCAACTGGTCGTAATATCCCGGTCAGCTGGATTTTACACGCCCCGGTCACTTCTGTTTTGTCTTCCGTCCCTGGCTTTCCATCAGCGATTTAAAATTTGAATCTTTCATTCACTCTTTTTCGTGAGTAACTATAAATTCTATCAAGTTTTGTTAAAGATAGATAGCTTGCGCAATAGCCAGGTTTTTAGAACTGTTTCTAAATTTCAAATTTTAGTTTGTAGCTGTGAAGAATTAGTTGGCACTACTGACTTTTTTGACAGCCGACATCTCTGCCACGTTTCTGTTAATATGATTTCAGTTTGTTTTAATAATAAAATAGTAAAAAGCACAGTTTTTCCGTGAGTTTATTTGGACACTATCTAAGACGTCCTCAAGGATTGTTAATTCTATGGTTTCCACCCAGTTCTTCTTCTCTGCGTTCGATTATCTCCATTGGTAGCTTAAATATATTGCAACGGTTAGGTGATCGAGTACGATTTCGATGCAGAAAAGGGCGACATTTCCAACGGGAGAGTCGCTATCGACGTGAGCAGATTCCCGACGCTCACCGGCAATCCAGACGGCATGACGATCGATGCCGATGACAACCTGTGGATAGCCTTGTACGGAGGAGGGGCTGTGATCAAAGCTAACCCGAAAAACGGTCAACTGTTACAGGTACGAAACGTTGCAGCTTTTCGTATTTTAAAAATATTTAGGGAAGTCAGGTCTCTACATATAGCTACTAGAATTATAGAGGCCTATGCCGAAAAAAAGGCGGCTAGAAATGGTTATCGTTGTCTTTCTCTTGCTCAGTTATATAAGTGGGTGAATGGAGTGTTCTTGTTTGATCAATTAAATAATATTTTTTTAAAATATTGGTATAAAATAAAATTCGGAATAATCCAATTTTTAAAAAACTTTGGAAAGAACCACATGAAAATTAATTTCGTTAGAAATTCAAAATATTCAGGTCTCTCAACTTTAAAAAAGTTTGTTGACCTGAAAATGGGAGTGTGTATTTTTTCAGGAGTATTATTGTTTTTTCACAAAGCCTTTTCTTATGGGATATCTAGTAACTCTTAAAGTTACACTTTTAAGAATTATTTTTAAGTCTACGAAAAACGTTTTGCGCCTACTTACACGCACAAATTCGGGAAGAAGATAGCTCCTAATTTTACCTGCCAAATTTTCTGCAATTTGCTAGTATTTTATAAAAAAAATACATGTAGAAATTGCATCGTGTCTGTGTGTGGCGTAAATGCAATTTGCTTCGCAAAATTCAGCAGTTCACCGTTTGTGATCATATTTCTGCAAATCCGTTCGCCTAACCCACATTTAGTCTGTGGTGTAAACCTGGGACCATAGACCACATATCTGTGATTAAGGTCGTTCCGATTCCGTCCCGCGACGTGACGTCCGTGGCGTGGGGTGGTCCGAACCTCGACGTCCTCTTCGTCACCACTTCGAGGGTGTCGTTGACGCCGGCGCAGCGCAAGGAATTCCCGGCCGCGGGTAGCGTGTTCGCCATGTTGAACGCCGGCACAAAGGGACTGCCTATCTACGGGGCGGACCTGGTGGACTCGATTAGACGCGGGGTAAGCTCAGCAATTTTGGTTTTCTACGATCCGAGGAAGAAGGTCAACATTATAACCTAACTTGTAGTTGTTGTTTATTTACGTTTATTTTCGATGTTTCCTTTTTGTGCCGCTACTAAATTAACTTTCAGGGGTACTGTATAGGTATATGTTTACTCAAATCTAATCTTTGATTTTTGCAGAATTTATTGGCGGACTTGATCCTCTCCACAAACGATTTATTTGCGCCCCCGGTATCGAACGATATCACGAACCTGGCGAGATCAAATTTGCAAAAAAAGCCGGAGGACCAAACTGCAAATAAACGTACGTTTACCGCACTAATTTATTATATACTCTGTTTCTTAATGCGAGAGAGTTATAAAGCCCGTATTCCATAGGCGTATGATCATTGTCAAGGGTCGTGAGAGTGGTAGGTAGAGGGTCATGTAGTTTAAAATTAAAATTACAGGCATTGCCGACAGTTGTTCGTGTTTCTGAATTTGTTGCTGAGAAATGTAGTAGTAAAACTGCTCTCTCTGAATATGAGCAAATTATTATTGTCAATGTGTTCAAAGCCCGCTAAAACTCAACCATCAGAGTTGCAAAAATAAATAAATATAACTGGAGTTTAACCTATATATCAACTTGGGCATGAGGATAAACGCAATGCCATCAGGTCACCAAAGAAAAGTATGGGAAGAAAAGAAATTGTAATAAATAGGGATGAAAACACTGCCATCAGAATAATAATTTTAAATAAATACTTACCTTAGACAAAATAATGTCTGAAATGAAAAAGGACGATTTGTGTGGACGATATCGTGGAAAACCTTAGTTTATATTACGAAAAAACTCAAAACAAAATCATTTTTAATAGAGAAAGACGAAAACAAGAATATTTGTTGTCCGGACTCACATCGGTAGCAAAAATGAATATTTCAGTGTTCGTTTTCAATCAAAACGAATTGGAGAGTATCACGAAGACATGAATACTGATGGTTTTGAAGACTACTCTTAGAAAAAAATTACAAAAATTACATCATTCATTGGCTTACTAATAGCACTTTCAGAAATATTCTGCAAAGTGGAAATTTGTACGAAATCTGTTCTCGACAAAATGCCTTTAAAAGGAAGCATTATTTATAGAATCACACCTTTTCTAAAGTGAACAACTTTGAAACAAGAGGGAAGAAAGCCAGTTGATTTTAAACAATGGAGTGAGTGCGTCGAACATGTGACAATAATAGAAGAAAAAATGTGAGAACCTTATAACAAGCTACAAAACACTTTAGAGACCATTATTTCTCTCTCATCTGACTACTACGGAACATGAAAATGTACAAATGAAATTCTATTGTAAATAGTAATTGTTTTTTTAATAATACTATTTATTACTTCTATATAAATTATTAATGACTTAATAGAATAATTATAATGTGTTTAATTATTTTTATGACTTTTATTTCCAAACTCATCTTTTAATGTGATCGTTGCACTTCATCTGAACTTTACGACATAACGTGTAAGTTGTCCGCCATGTTTGGAAATTTAGATTTTGTTACTCGCTCGCATTAAGAAACAATGTCTAGTATATCAACGTAATCATGTTTCATGTATATGTTGCAGCTTTTTGGATGACGATGCTGAACACGCTACGAAATATATTTTAAATTAAATTAAAATGTCGAAAATGAGCTCGTAGTTTGATTTTCCCTTGTTTCTCAGAGGCAGTTCGAAGTTCTTCCTCGAATAAACTGCTCAAAATAATTGTAAAACAGATTTTGAAGGTCTATTGTACACAGCTGATGAAGGGAATGTTGAAAAGTTTTTGTTAGAAATAGCTGTTAAACTGCTCTAGCTGATATTACCGACGACATACTTGTAGCAATTGATGATCACGAGGTCAGTGCACTGTTAGTGTTGGACTTTACCAAAGCGTTCGATACGATGAATCCTAAATCTGCACTATATCGGATTTGACAAAAATCTAACAACTAAGTTGTTTCTTGTCCGATGGAGTTCAAACAGTATTCTGCACCGCTCTTTGTTCGACTGGGTGTACCGCAGGGTAGTATTTTGAGTCTCTTGCTATATACTATTTATTCTTCTAATTTTGTGCGGTCGATACTCTGAGATTTGTTATTCATTTCCTGTTACTAAAATTATAGAAGCAAAAAATCTGCTTCTGATTATCTGCTGCAGCTTAACCTGACGTCAGTGTTACTACATGTCAATAAAAACATTTAAGCAAATGTACAGAAGATATCTATTTGGAAGTCATACTTTAATTCCGTTTATCCTCGCCATTTCCTTCTGTGACATATGATATACACTAGGCTTGAACAATATCTGGTTCTTCCCTTGTTGGCCATGTATTAAGAAAAAAACGCAGTGATTTGAACTGAATTTTTAGTACAACAATGAATGTATAGATTATTGGTATAATTTTTATTATATTTATTATTTCTAGATCATTATTTTCACAACACGTTATAATAATAATAATAAACGCTTATTATTATTATTATAAAGACTTTGCATCGCGAGAAGTTCATTAAATATGGTCCATTTGGGCTGTCCTAGAATTCTCTTCAATTTCAAAGTTATTCCACTGATTAAAAAGTCCGAAATCTCAAATTTATGTGACCTGACACCAATTAGTAACCTACCAGTATTAACAAGTCACTAATAATTATAACAATGAATTATCATATTAGAGAGCATCAGTCGGGTTTTTACACAGAGGTTTGGTTGTCCGATCGCATTACTAAATGTCACAGATGACATAATTAGAGCTAAGCGAAGTTCGCAATACCCCTTGATTATTCTAAAGCCTTTAATAGATTCAACCACGAGTTGTTACTTGCAATTATTACGCAACGAACTCAGTCACGGTGCCATTACCTGTGGTGTTCCACAAGGTGCGATCCTTGGGCCTCTCTTATTCACTATCTATATTTTGTGACATAACATCTTTACGATTTTGCTATATACATATTTACGCAGATGATGCTGTACCTTTCACACAATAAACCACTCACCAACTTATAATAAATGAAGATTTAGAAAGCTAAAACAAAACCGTGACAAAGATTCAAGGTGAGGAACTAAAACGCCCCAACACTGGTAAAATTTTGGCACTAGACTTCGATACTAATCTTCATTTTGAACCTCATATGAACAAGATGATACGCACTGCATATGGCAACCTAAAAATGTTATTTCCAAACAGACATCTGTCAAAGTAATCAAAAACAGAGTTGACTGATTCGTTGGTTTTAAGTCACTTTAATTTTTGTGATCGAACATGATATAAGTTTTTCAATATTACTTTCAGTGTCCAGGGGTTGAACTTGAACTTTTGCTAATTGTTTCTTTTGCAACCATAAGCCCACATACCAACAATATACGCTACATATATTGCGTATATACCGCTAAAATACTTTTCCGTATATACGTCTTTAAAGTATGCGCTCTGAATATACCTTTAAGAATATTTTAAATTTATTTAAATGTTCCACTTAGAATATTCTTTAGAGTTGATTTTTTACAAACGAAAAAAGTGTCACGTGATGTGTTCTTAGGTGAAAATGCATTTGGGGGCGGATAGCCACGTACTGTCGAGCCATTTTCTTTCGACAATGATCGAAATCAGCGGCGACGCGTGGTTCCATATTTAGGGGCTGCACAACGTAAAATCAAAAAATTGGCGGCCACGCGACGACGCCGAAAAATTTTTTTGCGTTATTCAAAGGCCAATCAATAATAGAAAACTATATCTCAATTAAAAAAATAATAATAAATAACTTACCCTGCTGTCACCGATGAGTACTAACTTTGGCCTCGCAAAAAAAAATGTTTTTATGTACATAAGTAATAGTTTTTATCAAAGATTTTGTATTTCACAAACACGTTTTAAATTGAAAATCAATACGTCTGTCCTTCTTCGAGATAAATTCTTCAATCACTAATTCATTAAAATTTGGAATTTCTTGAATCATTTGTTTCTCAATGGATAACATTGCGAGGGCAGTCAACCTATTTTCACCCATTGTACTTCTAAGAAAAGTTTTAATTCTTTTTAATGTGGAGAAACAACGTTCCGCTTCTGCAGTTGTCATTGGCATCGTAACAATTGCTTGTAGTACTGAAAAAGTCTCTGAGAAATCTGTTTGCAAATTATTTTCAACTAAAAATTTAAGTAGGTGGACTGCTCCTGAAACTTCTCTAAAATCTGATCTTTTGTAGATTATTTCCGGTTCCGTCTTCAATTTATCTTTGTTCAGAAAAGAAAAATTCATAATTGCTGAATTTAAGTGTTTGGTGGGAAAATTAGTTGAAAATATCTCGAAATTTTCAACTGAAAATAAGTGCGCTACTTCCAAATGGCCAGTGAATGAATATCTTCTTTTGATTTCTGCAAGTATAGTATCACATACTTCCTTGGCTTGCACAATCGTAGAAACATAAGAATGCCTCTCTTCTGTCTTTCTTCTTTTTCTAGTTTGACTTTCATCCATGTTTGCTAATTCAATTTCCTTTATGGTGTGAATTGTCTCCCGTTCTTTCTGTATATTTTTTTCAAATTCATTAATACATCTTTTTACGGTTACCGAATCAGTTGATCTTTTTTGCAGTTGTGAATATAAAATATTGACGTGAGGCATTATTCGATGAAAAACGGATAACCAAAAAATAAACTTAGGATCATACAATAATCTTAAAAGTGCGCCTGCCTTCGTGATTGTATCGGATTGTCTGGATGTGGATTGTATTTTTTCCATACACTCTATAAGTGCCTTCCGGTTTTCATATACGGTATTCACAGTTCTAATTTTGAAGTTCCACCTGGTAGCAGATGCACTTGGAACTCTATTTCCAACCACTTCATCCAGTATCGCAACTCTTTGTGGTGAATTTGAAAAAAAATTAGTAATGTCACTAAGTTCGGCAAAAAAAATGCGTGCATTTGTATTTATGCTTGTTGCCTGAGACATTATTAAATTTAACTGGTGTGCATAGCAGTGGATGTAATGAGCGTATTTAAATTTATTTTTAATAAGTTTTTGAACACCACCTTGAGCGCCACTCATGACGCTTGCTCCATCATAACTTTGGGAAATTAATTGATCCGGATTTTTTAAAACATAATTTAACGCTTCTTCTATGCAGCCAGCTAAGGCAACAGCATCATGTTCATTTGGTTTTACAAATGTCCAAAATCTCTCAACGGGGCTGCCATTCGGTAATGTATAACGGAAAACTATAACCATTTGAAAAATATTTGAAATATCACTGGTTTCGTCACTCATAATAGATACAAATTTTGATGCCGCAATTTCTTTTTTGATATGTGCCTGACAAACAGAGAGCATACATTCCAATAAATCGTTCTGAATGTCTTTTGATGTTCCTTTAAATATGGTGGCTTGCTGCAAATGATCCCTCAGTGCTATATCGAGTTCAGCAGAAAAATTAATGAGTCCCCTAAATATACCAGGGTTTACAGAATCTTCTTTTTCGCGATGTCCGCGGAGGGCAAGTTCAAACGCACCACAAAATTTTACACAGTTTATAATTTTTGATAAAACATATCTATTATTTTTTACTTGGACATTATGTTTTTCTATGCTTAAACGATAGACACTATTTAATTGCTGTCTAATATCTTGTTTTCCCAATAAATTAAATCCTAATTTGGCAGATAAGTGTGATTTAGAATTCTGTTGTTTTTTAATTTTTTCGGATAAATGAACTAAATCTTTTACTCCGGATTTTGTCCATTCTGATGGATCTGATGCCTGATCGCTTGAAAATAATAAGCATGGAAAACAGTAGAGACTATTACTCACATCACACCCGCACAACCAGTCAGTTTTTTCATACATTTCTATTTTAAAAGTACGTTTATATTCTCGATTTTTGCATTTAGTTGTATTAATAATTAACACATTCGGTTTGGGACGTCCAACACTTTTAATTTTAATTTTTTCTTCCAATGGAAGAGAAGAAAATTTAATTGTCTTTAAATATTGCACGTTATAATTGTCCGTCATTTTAACAGAGTTTTAAAACTATTTTTCGAATACTAATTTTCAACACGCACGCGTCATCGGCTATTATATTTGCAAACGCGAACTACAAGTGCACTCATTACGTGTGCACACGGGCCAGCTTAGATCGGTAGACCGCCGCGGGAAACAAAGAGTGCGGGCGGCGGATGATTGACCAATCAGATCTATTAGTTCCATGAGCAGTGAACGAAGCATTTTACGATCGGCGGAATCGGCTGCTGGCAAAGGGGGTTTGGAGTTTTGTTTATACAATGATTTATACCGGCGCGGCGGTCGCGGTGACGGCCGATAAGAAATTCCTAGTTTTTTATGTATTAATTTCAATTTTATGAATTTTGATGAATCGTTTTTTTTTATAAATAGGATTAAGAGAATTGTAGGATATAATTACATAAATAATTTTTTTTCCGAGCGGGCATTAAATTTGGGGGTGCACGTGCACATGTGCACTTATGGAGGAACCGCCACTGATCGAAATGAACCATAATTCAAATTACATATTCATTTTAAATGGATTAAATTTAAAATGTTAAAATTTAACAAATTTTATATTAACTTAACAAACTTAAATTCACCAATCATCTTACCACTATAAAATCTGCGCCCTTATCGCTATCCCTAATTCATGGCAATTTACCGACCATCTTTTATCTGTGAGGCATAACTAACCAACTTAATGATAATAGTTCGTTTATGGACATAACCTCAATTTTGTCGGAAATGATGGCGCGGGAAACGCTTTCACAGTTCCGTGCTTCCGCGCATCGAATTTAATTTCATTTGAGGTTTGTGGCATTTCAAGTGTTTGTGCTTGTTTGGAGTTCACATTTTTAAGTAAGTAAAGTCTTCTAGGTTATAAAAAAAAAGTATGCCTGCAAAGCGTCGTAAAGGTTTTAGTATGTCGTTTAAAAATAGGCAAAAACGTTCTAGGATTGCAGGGATTTTAGCCTCATATTCGGATCTAAATTCTGAAAGTTTCTCAGGACTTTAAGCAGGCATTTCATGAAAATCAGATATTACCTGAGATACCTAGTTCTTCTACAGAGATTGGACACAACATTGGAAATATGATGAAGACACGGCGATTTGAAGCTGATCTAGAATCATATTCATTGGAACATAATGTAAAAAAATGCATTCTGAACTAATGGATATGGGACATTGGTTGGATGCTGTTAAAATTAAATATAGGAATCATAATAATGTACCACTGTGGAAATAATGAACCAACTTCTCAACACCTTCATCACATAGTAGAACTACTTACTATTTTTAGATGTCTGAATTAGCAAGAATTGGAGGAAATTCTGTTGGCCAAAAAGTGGGAAAAGTTATGTATAGAAAATTGACAGACCAAATTCGTACTAAAAAATGAAGCCTACCTTGGAAAATTGTTTAATTTAATTAAACTTAATTAATTTGAGTTTATTACAATATTTGGCTGTATTTATATATAAGAAATTACAAACTTTCATTAGTAATATTATTTTTTTTTAGATTCAATCAAATTGCAAGAAAGGGAGGCAACTGAGAATGATATCATTGATATTATAAAATACTGACTTGTTAAAGCTAAAGAGAGAATTTCAAGAAAAGAAAAAATATACTTACAAATTAATTACAGAATTAAATATGGACATTAATTTTCTGGGAAATTTGTTCAATTAATTTCAATTAAATAAAGTTTTGTTTCTAGAAGCTTTTCTGTTCTTTGCCAAAAAATGCAATGTAACAACGCTAGAAGACAATACGTGGAATGTACTATGTACTTTCTAGTGGCTTATACTAGGAACATGCTTAGACTATGTAATAAATATATGCTAGAATATGAAGTTGGGGGTCAGTAACATATAGCATATTTTTCCAACAAACCATTAACGACTTAATACGCGACTCATTAATTTCATCAATCGCGTGTTATTGCGTCATGGTAGCCGGCGGCAAGGTGAAGCGAGAAATCTTTGGAACTCGTTAGATTTGCATGGCGGACGGAATTTCTCCCGCATCTTCGCCAACTATTTTCCATTCGCATCGATAAACAAAACGTCGAGGCCTTAACAAAATAATAACCGAGTCGACTTGGAATAATAGCGCATCGCATATTATTTGCAATCGCAACGGGAGACGGTACAACTTTCTCGAACCGGCTTTCAAAAATTACAGGCTCTGCTATTGATATCTGCTGTTCAGTAGTCGTTTGCGGCCCGTCAAAGACGTCACGTCGTGTCGTCGCGGTTTAGCCGAACAATCGAAACGCGACGTTACGTAAGCGGATGACGTAGCAGCAGCGACGCGATTTAAATGTTTACGGTTGGTTGCCTTGAATCCACGGACAGGCGATCCCGACTTTTTCAAATGTTGCGTGGATGATAAGCACAAATTTTTATTTTTAACGCGGAAATTGGCGGCGCGATTTCGTCGTCCGAATCATGGCTCCGAATTATAGCAAGTTTTTAACCAAAAGTAACGCCGTCGCGGGCGCGGGAGTCGTCGTCGCTGCTTTTTTGCTAAGTCGGAGGAAAAAGGAACGTGACTCTGGACCGCGGAGGTAGGGGGTTGTAAATACGGCGGTGGCGCCGACGTCACCGAATTTTTGTTGCAGCAAAAATGTGAATAATCTAGAAGATGAACCCAAGTACATGATAACGGAAAAGAAGGAGTCGAAGGTTAAGGTGCACGTCGATAGAAAGTTATTCCGGCAGCTCGCGGAGCTGTTTAAGATAATAGTGCCGGGATGGACTTCTCCGGAATGCGGGATGTTTTTTTTGATCGCCGCTAGCCTGGTCGCGCGATCGATTTGCGATCTCTGGTTAATTAACAATGGGACCAAAATAGAAAGGTACTCGTACTAATTGCAGTCGACTCTTTTAAACGAAAATCGATGGCGTATTTACCTTTTCGCGCATTACGTAGTTTTGAATTCACTTGAGGCAAAATGGCTGACAAGGGGAAAGTTCCATATTGAATTAAATAGTACAGATTTCACTACTGGTTATTTCTTTTTAATTATAGGGCGGTAATAAATAGAAAGCGAATTAGAAAGTCACACCCAAAAAGTACTACATTTGAAAAGCACGACCTAGGTAAATCGAAAACGCTTGTATCAATTACGTACTTAAGTTTTAACAAAAGGCAAGGTAACCTCACTTTTTATGCTGCGTAGGTGATTTTCCACTTGGCTCGTATATTTCGTTTTATAATTTTATCTTAATAATTCGAATGAGAAACTGGCGATTGCGGTTAACCAAAACTTAATCATAGACAAACGTATTAAGCGAATTACTACCGTTTTAATATCGCTGAACTTTGAACACTGACTACTGAATCTTCCCGTTGGCGCAGATCATAGAAAACATCTCAAATTTCTATGGTTCGGGGCACTATCCCTCCAATGTTTGGTGGGGGCTCGGTGTTGCCAAAATTCAAACGAACTTGAAGTAAAGTTAGATTTAAATTTTTACAAGTTACCTTTCCCCAACTACATCGCTATGTAGTTGGATTCTCGTTGGATTTTACAGTTCAATAAAAGCTTTTCCGGGCTGTTATGGGCCTCCGATGAGAATACGGATACTCCATAGTAACCTAGCAGGAAAAGGTTATAATAAAATCACAGACAATATCACTAGATTATTTAGCATAACTCACAGGAGTACGTTTGAAGTAAGGTCTGTAGACGCCATAACATTTTCTTTTTATCAATGGAAATGTCCCTAAAATATGCTTTAATGAAGTCTCTATTGTTACTTGGTTATAATTTTGCCAATATTATAGTGGAACTACCATGGTTTTTTTCCTTTAAGTTTATCATGGCCAAACACTGAAACACGTTTCTTTTTTTTTAAATCTCTGATTCTGATGAAAAATTAATGTTTTAGGTAGGAAGGAATTTTTCGAACTCTTTTGATAGTATCTGTTGGTGATTTACTTACATTACCACAATAATCATGGTGAAAGATAAAGACAACATATTTTGGAGAATTACTTGGGAGTATATATTTTTATCACAAGTACCGTTCTTAGTCATAACCAGGGATTGAGAATACTTTCATGTTCACTTAAACTGGAAGTCTTTTATTCTTTTCCATATAAGTGAAACTATTGAATTATCAATGTTCATTAAAAAAACTGCTTCACAACCAATGATGTCGGAAGTAGCATTGCTGTAATAGTTCAATGTCTACAAAGTCATAAATATTTGTTCTAGTTTTTCTTTGTCATATACATTATATATATCATACATGGTCATATATGGCCTTTCGCTTTTCGTAACTCTAATTATTTTGACAAATGTAATCACATAACTTTCCTTGCGTTTTCTTAGGTAAGGAAGTAATCATTAAAACTTTTCAATAACTTTTTCAAAGTTAGATTTTGGAGCTATTGTCAGCGATATACATGTTTTCACGTGTTCATTTTGATGTTCTTTTTCAGTTGCTTAAAGATACATCAAAAATTTCGGTTTTCTTAAATTCCAGTTTCTATTGTCACTAAAGTCAAAGATCTGTGTCTGTGTTATCTATTTGTCAATTCAAGCTGACAATAACTAAACCTTTGTAATATATTTGTTAGTTAAAATAACTTAAAAATACTTTTATTGTACAAGCACGTTCTTATAACTGCTGCATAACACGTACAGTGATAACCTTTTAATTGGCTGTAACTTTTTTGTTTTTAGAGACATCAAGGTAAACAAAAAAGCAAAATGTAGGGTTAGTGCCAAGTTTTTTTCCAAGTGACTTATAAAACAAAACACTATTAATTTTCTGACATATAATCCTACTTCATATTTTTTAATGTATATTATGCATGTGTTTAATAGAATATCTTATTTCGATTACAATGATGTAACACACTTTATATTTTAGTCCACTCGTTTTTGACAAATCGGCAAAAAAAAGGAATTTTTTATATAATTTCAAGGAGTGCTCTGACTGACAAATAAAATTATGATTATGTTTGGCGTATTAGTAATCAACATCGATGGTTTGTCCAAGTCATTAGTGTTAAAATGATTTTTCGCGAATTTAGCATCCGTGAAAGGAGTGATATACTTCAAGTATATTTTCTGAATAATAAAAGTGCAATCGCAGTTCGTCGTCAGTATATTAAACTTTATCCAGAGCTCCGAGCTCCTTCAAACCAGATATTTTCAAGGCTGGCAAAGAAATTTGCAGAAAACGGTAACGTATTAAATACTAAAAAGGTATGCCGGAATCATAATGTTTTAAATGAAGAAAATAAGGCAAACATATTGGAATTCTATGAAGCACATCGAGTTTTCTCTATTACTATAGTATATGAAGAGACGGGCATTTCTCAGAGATCAGCCCACTCAGTTTTGAAAGAAATAAATATAATTTATTTAAATTTCGTAAAACTCAAAAACTAAGTGCAGAACAATGTCAGCTGTTTTGTTTGGATTTTTTAAATAGACATAATGAAAATAATAATTTTTTGAAAAACATTTTATGGACCGATGAAAGTTCGTTGACCACCAGAATGGGTTGTAATAGACAAAATACGCGATATTGATTTTTAAATAATGATAGACAAATACACCCAGGGTACCAATCAATTAATGTATGATGTGGTGTCAGAGATGGCCATATTTTGGGTCCGATATTTATAGATCAGAAGGAAATCATTATTTGCTACTCTTAGAGCACCAAATAGAACAATATATAGGAGATTTACCCCTAAATATATTAGCGCCGATTATATGACAAGACGGTGGCCCTCCTCACAATGTTGTGCAAGTTCAAAATGTTCTTAGCATGGAATATCCCATTGGTTGGATATGGAATGGCGGAACTATGGATTGGCCAGCCAACAGCCCCGACTTGACATTAATGGATTTTTTCTTTTGGGAACACAAAAAATCACGTGCACAGAACTTATTGTAACACGTGGAACTTCGGCAAAAAAAAAGACAATTCGGAAACCTTACTAAATGTAAAGCATCATACAATTAGAGTGTGTGTTCAGGAAAATTGTGGTCACATTTAGACTAGATAAAGAATTTTTTACTTTAGTCTGTCTTGTAATTTTTTGTATTTTTTTTCTACTTTAATTTGTAAATAATTATTGTTGTTGCAGTCGGTTAAGACACTTTTTGAAATTATATACAAATTTCCTATTTGTACTGATTTGTCAAAAACGAGTGGACTAAAATATAAAGTGTGTTACATCATTGTAATCGGAATAAGATATTCTATTAAACACATACATAATATACATTAAAAAAGATGAAGTAGGCTTATATGTCAGAAAATTGATAGTGTTTGGTTTTACACGTCACTTGGAAAAAAACTTGGCACTAACCCTACATTTTGCTTTTTTGTTTACCTTGATATCTCTAAAAACACGTATATAATATACAGGGTATTTCATTAAAAAAATATGATGTAGGTTTATATGTCAGAAAATTGATAGTGTTTTGTTTTATACGTTACTCGTCAAAAACTTGGCTACATTTTGTTTTTTTGATTATCTTGGATAGCTCAACCTATTGCGTTGTCGAGTCTAGCGTTTGAATCACTTTTTTGTTTCCAGCGCCATCGTGTCTATGGACAAGCGCCTCTTCCATCGACGGCTCATCAAATTTTTGACTGCGCTGCCTCTCGTGGCCGTCGTCAACAATATATTGAAATATTCAATAGGCGATCTGAAAATACGGCTGCGCACTAACCTAACCAAACGCTTATACGACGAGTACATGAGAAACTACACTTATTACAAAATTACCAACTTGGACAACCGCATATCGAACGCCGATCAACTTTTGACAACTGACGTCGACAAATTCTGCGAAGCCATCACCGATCTCTACTGCAACACCGCCAAACCTCTCCTCGACATCGGCATATACGTCTACAAACTGTCGACTACGATGGGAGGCGGCACCCCTGCCCTCATGCTAATCTACCTGCTCGTGTCGGGCTTGGTGTTGACGAACCTGCGCAAACCCACCGCCCGACTGACTGCGGGCGAGCAAAAATTGGAGGGGGAGTTCAGGCACATCAATTCCCGTCTCATCACGCACTCGGAAGAGATCGCGTTCTACAACGGGAACGCCCACGAGCGCACAATCCTCCTCGCCAGCTACAGAAAACTGTCCAACCATCTTCGCAAATTCCTCAAGTTCAAAGTGATAATGGGCGTGTTCGACAACCTCATAGCGAAGTACTTCGCTAGCATCGTCGGTTTCTATGCCGTGTCGTTGCCGTTCATTTCGGGGAAAATCGCTAGAGGGAGCCACGGCGAACGGTCACGTCTCTATTACACCTACGGCAGGATGCTCGTGAAACTGGCGGAGGCGATAGGTCGATTAGTACTCGCGGGACGCGACCTCACTCGCCTAGCCGGTTTCACGTCGAGGGTTACCCAATTGAGGACCGTCCTGGGCGAATTGAACGCCGGCAAATACGAGAGGACCATGCTGCTCGGGTCCGCCCACCTCGCGCCAAACGCCGGCCGACTCGTCTACCGCAACAACGTCATCAAGTTCGACAGGGTACCGTTGGTGACGCCCAACGGTGACGTCCTTATACAGGAGCTGACGTTCGAGATAACGTCGGGGATGAACGTGCTCATATGCGGACCGAACGGGTCGGGCAAGTCGTCGTTGTTTCGGATACTCGGCGAACTGTGGCCGCTGTTCGGGGGCGAGCTGACGAAACCTCCCCGAGGCAAACTGTTTTATATACCCCAAAGGCCGTACATGACGTTGGGTTGTCTCCGGGATCAGCTGACTTACCCCCATAACGGTACGGAGGCGGCCAGGAGGGGGGTGGACGACGCCAAGCTCGCGGAGTACCTCGACGTAGTCAAGCTAGGTTATATCCTCGAGAGAGAGGTGAGATTTTTGTCGTAGTTATAAAAAGTTTTGTATATAAAAATATAACCACGGACTATCGCGTAGATTGTTGTGTATAGTCTTGGTGGATTCGGTGAAGCCTCGGACGTGAGGTGACGTATTTACATTGCAGTTCACGCATCATTAGATTCAGCCATCCAGTCCTTAGGTTTATTGTTAGATCGTTAGCTTTGAAGCTTTTGGTCTCGGGTTCAAGTTCTATTGAGCTTTTAGCAAGCCTCAGACGTTAGGTGAAGGAAATACATAGTATCATTTGGGATTTATTGGATGTGTTCATACGCTACACCCATAAGTCTTCAGTCCACCATCAGCCAATAAACTCTGCCTACCCATACCTTAAACTTGTGTTTTTTAACCACCCGCACGACATTACTGCGTGGAATTCCAGTGTTTCTCTGCATAGCCCTGGTGGAAGTATTCGTGTTAATTTCTATTTCTCCCATAACCGTTAGTTCTATCTCTATCGCTGCCTAGGCTTTTATACGTCCTAGGCCGCAGTTTTGTAAAGGATCCGTATTCTTGTAGATGACGTTTTAACTTCAAAAATATTTTTGAGCTAGGTTGCCTTCTTTTCGGATATCTCTGGAAATATAGATTTAACGCCGTCTGTCGATTTTTGTTACTTTCAATATAACATTTTTTCATGTCGTACTTTTCAAAGTTTTCAAACATTTTCATAGCTTGACGAAGATGCCACTTTTGACACTTGGGCTTGTGTATCATGGCAATTGTTTTCATGTGATCATAGCCACCTAGATACATACCGTAAAACTGCGTAGGTCAGAGTTAAGCACAGCCTACTATCGTAAGTATTAAAAATTGTAGATATCCTTTTAACTACTTAATAAAAATTGGTGTATGGCACATCGTTTGACAGGAAATTTTATTAGAAAACTATTTTTTGTTTTGTTATATCTCGTGGACTAAAGGCTTTAAGACAAAATCGATGAACAGGTAGATTTGCTCTTAAAAAATCTTCAAAAAATGTTTTTAATAAGAATCTTTACAAATAAAAACGTTATAGAGGCTTTTTAGAAACGCACATTTTTAAGAATCACCCTGTAATGCTTTTTACAAAACTTCTGGATTCCTCCTGCGTCTGTTTTTGGTGAGTTGAACTTGCTGAGTTGAACAGTTTCAGTCAAGCTCTGAAGAAACCAACAGGATGATTGGCGAAACGTCAGCAATTTCGACTAAGCAAAAACCGACGCAGGAGGAATCCAGAAGTTTTGTAAAAAGAATTACAGTAGCCTTTGGAAGTTTCTTTGCAAAATTAATCACCCTGTAGCTTGGAAACGCCTTGACATATCACGATGCGGTTTTAGTTTTCCACATCTCTCGGAAATCGGACCCGTAACATGCATATCAGTTTTGGGTTAACTGTGCTGGAAATGCTTAAAGCCATAGCCGCGTCTTAGTAAGTCAACTCTGAAGCTTTTAGTCTCCAGTTAGTTAGATTGGAAGTTACCTCTTGCCAACCTCCTCCATGATGCGAAGGTGCACTCTTAGAGGATATTATTCAGCATTACTATTCAGTGGGGTGTTATTTTAACAGACGGCAACTGCACTCGTTATCTTATGCCATTTTTCCATCCTTAGGGTCGGTCTCCGAATTTCACCACCCTTCGGTGAGTAAGTATCGGTAAAACCTTTACTGAAACTCGGACACCTACACCTATGGGTTTCAATTTTTAGCCTTTTAGTACCAAAACAACCCTAGTTCATCGTTTTTCTTGTTTATTTATCGACTCAAGGGCGGACTGGACGCTGTAGCCGATTGGTTGGACGTCCTATCGGGCGGCGAAAAGCAGCGTATCGCGATGGCCAGACTGTTTTATCACAAGCCTCAGTTCGCCGTGCTAGACGAGTGCACCAGCGCCGTATCGGTCGACGTAGAGGGCGATATGTACGAGTACTGCAGGAGGGCGGGAATCACGTTGCTCACGGTGTCCCACAGGAAGTCGCTTTGGCAACACCACGAGCACGTGTTGCATTTGGACGGAGCAGGCGGGTACTCATTCAAGCAGATAGATACCCTCACGGAAAGGTTCGGGTCTTGACATAGTAGGGCGGGGGCCAAGAAATTATCGACTCGATCTAAGGACGTTGTGTTGAGGCTCCGCCTCCTCAACGTTGCATTGCGAACTGAAAACCATAAGTTTTTTACGATAGAATGTGTCTTACAAGGTGTGGGGATAACAGCGGTTCCAGCCAATAAGCTTAAATGTAAATAAAATAGCGGGACAGTTGTACTTCCTATGAAATTTCACCCTTGTTAACGGGTTATAACCTAATTTTCTGACGTTTTAGTTTTTGCACCTTCTTTTCCATTGACGTTAAATTAGAAGGTTAGAGTTCTGTTTTTTCTTTGTTATTTAAAAGAAAAAATTGTGTATCCCCTAACAATAGACATAATGTTAAGAATTAAAAACCAATTTCGATCCCCAGCAGCACTTTTCAATATTTTGCATTTTCAAAAACTCAAACAGGAAACTGTAAAAAAATTACCTTTAAACCACCGACTCAAATATTTAACGACCATAAAAAGTAGAGGTGAAAGAAACTAGTCGTATTCAAAAAAAGATTAAAAGGTGGCAATTCAAATTCAATGAAAATAAATCAAATTTTTATTTTTTTAATTCACAATATTTGCGAAACGTATTTGTACCGCCAACACCACCTACGGCTTAAACTTTTATTAACGGGATCTAACTGGTATTAATAAAATGTACATTATTTTTTAACATATATTTTTAATAATCCATATTAACCCGTTATTGAAATCGTCAATATAACTAATGATCACCATAAATTCAATGAGACCTCTGGCTTAAAAAAATATTAACCTTAAAAATTTTAAATGGCCGCATTGTTTTCATGTTTGCCTTGGTTATACTGATGTCACACAACAAATTGCTCACTCTAGAAACATAAAACAATTAAACCTATAGTTTTTGATGTAAACATTTTATTCTTTAGCAATATATTTAGAACTTACCGACAAAACAGTTTGTTCCAACCGGAAGCCATATGATTTGTGGATACTTACTTAAATACGATAAACAAGATGTTGTTCTTGTGTCATTTTTTGCAAACCACACACCACAGAAATTGATAGCAGGTATAATCAGCTGGTCAAAAGCTAACATTAAACATTATGAAAAACTTACGAACGCTTACGTTTGTTTATAATAATAAGCACAGTTAAGAAACATGTTGGTTTGGTGCAGCGCCACCATCGGAGGATAAGTTAACGAAGAATCACAGTTAAGTAATGTGTTTTTGGTTTGTTTAACCCACCCATACTTGCAACGTGTGGAAGCACTCTAATCCCCTACGTGTTTTATGTTCTCATGTTCTAAACTATAGTTTAACGCGCCTTTCTAATAAATCGACTCAAAACAAAATGGTAATAATTTTTTTTTTACGATTGGTTTGTACGTTTCAGAGTGTTAAAATTGCTCCAAATACTCATTAACGGTGATGCCAGTTATTTTATAGAATCGTGCGGTCGAAGCGTTGTAGGTCAGAATTGTTCTGCATTCATATCTAATTGTTTTAGGTAATTTCACGTGTTACAACCGTATGGCGATCATTTCCGGTCGAGTAACCGATAATTCAATAACACGAAACATGTATATTTTTATAATGACCCCCTTTATTATTGTTGTTTTATATTATATAAGTGTAATTGGTGTTATGGTCTGTGATATACTTGTTTGTTTAATAAAAAAATATATGAAGATGGCGTTTTAATTGAACCTCACTAAATATTTAGGTACTCAAACAGTTATTTATTACAATTAAAAATATCCTCATTTCATAAGTCACCTTCTGACCATTCTCAAAGTAAATCTAAATCTTTAGTGGAATTTAGTTTTGTAAGGTTGATTTTTAACTTTTGCCGCTTAATAGACGGAGTTTTTAGTGTTTGTTGCAGGGCGACAAGCACAAGCGGAATTCGCTACTTCTATCAACGTTTGCCAATAAAATAAATACGCACAAAATAACCGTCCGTTTATTATACAGAAATTGCAACACACATTTTAACATGACGCGCACAAGACAGACAAGTACAGAGAACAACCGAATCCGACATCTACAGTGCTGATAGGCAAAGATAAACAAACGTATGTATTGCATATTACTTATACAAATAAATGTACCTAACACGCAAAGTATTGCATTCCAACAGTTACCAAGTTTGATTTCTAAACAACCGGCGCAGAAAGAACCCAGAAAATAAAAATAGTAATCCCAAATCCCAATTAAATTGAAAATTGTATTGATGTTCTCTAAAGCCAAATTTTGGACAATTCTCGTACATTTAATACTAATTTGGATTGCATTGTTGCACAGCTTTTTAAAAACAAATTATTTATTAGATTTGTATAACACCTACATTTTAAAAAAAGGTTCAATAATGTAAAATAATAAATTGTTTATTTCAACAAATCGAATCAATACAAAAAATATCAAACCAACAGCTCACTTTGAAGTGACACGTTCGGGTCTACAACTTTATGTCTAAAATTAAATCTTAAAATTTAAAGCTCAGAAATCCACTCCCTTAATAGTGTTTATTGTATTATCCTCGTGGAGCTATACTAAACTTATGCTTTTTTGGCTAAAATTTATTTATATAACATACGTCAATGTTTTTAACTCTTCGACTTTGAAATAGTCCTTAAGAATAGTTAAATCTTCTTATATAACGTATTTCTTTAATTAAATATCTTACCTAAAGATCCCATCTCAAATGTTTATCAATGATTATTCGCAGATATTTATTTGACTCAGTAGCTGCTATTGTTAGTGAAGTTGATATTTTTAAATTTTCCAACTTTGGAATTCCTGACCGATAAGAAGAAAAATGCATAAAAAATTTCTTATCTGCGTATAGTTACTGTATTAAAATCAAACAGTTTAAGAAAATCTCGTTTCCCTGCTTCTTCGATATTTTCCACGGCTTTGTTTCAATGGAACTCCCTAAAATACTCGAACTATCCTAATCAAAGGTATTGCGCGTATAAAATTACTGCGCAGCAAACAAAATTGCAACAGCGATTTCCACACACTTAACTCGTTTTCCCAGGCGATTGTATGAGGTTTAGGCATATTTAGAAAAACTGCTTTTTACCGCAAGGTTATTGGTTAAAAGCCAGATTTTAAATCGCGTGCATGCGCATGTTGTATGGATCTTCTCTTTTTTTCATTTATTGCAGGGCGTATTATATATCTCTAGTAGCTATACGGTGGAACCAAATAACAATATATTTTCAGTGAAAATACAGATTAAGTGTGTTGACAATGCAAACTGCCCGAAAGGTTAGTGGTACGAAAATGTCATAGCCGACTGAGAGGCATCAATAATTTATCGAATTGCATCGAAAATATCATCAAAGTAAATCGCTAGGCCACGAAAAATACCAAAAACTGATCCGCGCAGAGATAAGAAAGTTAGTTATTCTTTTTTTTCTATTCCACCTCCCTCGCAAGAGCCGGTGACGTCATCGCGACGGCGCCAGATGAAAGCGACAGATTTGCGTTGCGATGTTAATCCTAAAAAGTCACGCGGACAACAATGGCCGCTCGGACTCGATCCGGCCGGTGCGACCGGTCGGCGTGAAACGAGATGAAATCATCCACCTTCGGAAACACAATGAAACGAGACCCGATCGCCTACCTTCCCGCACAAAATCGAAAGTAAAAGTTTTTGGTCACGCTCGACTCGCTCACACGAAAATCAGTACTATTCTCCTCGATGCCCGAATAATACGACAGCGATCGCGGCCGCGGGCGCCCAAAATCATCCATCTCAACGGGGTAAGTCTCATCCGCGGGCCGTTAAATTTATTACACAAATTTATACAATCTAAGTAATTATTGCGCGTCCCGTTACAATCCGCAACGAAATTGAGAAATTATCGAGTGCACCGCCGTCCAGGATGTCGCGTCTCCAAAGTCGCTCACCTTGAAAGAACCGCTTCTCGCGGTTCATAACGTAAAACAAATAAATGACTCGGTCGGCGTGTGAGGTGCAACCGACTTTGCACGGCGTAAACACAAAGAAGCGTTCGCTTGAGTCGCGACGGTCAGCTGTAAATAAACTTATTCGACATTTAACGGGTCGCGGGCGGCGGTGATGCGTTTTTTTCTTCTTCTTTTCGTGCACGCGCCACGCGTTACAGGTTAGCGGTGTGTTTCAGGGGGGCCAGAAATATGAACGATGTCGTCGTCGGTGGGCGAACGAAAGATACGCGACGTGCGTGACCTGTGGAACGCGAACCGCGCGGAAACCGCGAGGGAAACTGCACCGATGCATTACAACGACCCGCCGGGCACTGACCACAAAACGAGGCACAAGTACAAAACGCTTGAACGGCACCTGAGCATGAAGAAGACGATCAGGAAGAAGATGATGCGCGACCTGAGGGAGATTGGGGACGCGTCGTCGCACGAGAACGAAAATAACCAGACGGCGGCGTTTTTGGAACAGATCAAAAACGACCAGCCGCCGCCCGAAAGCGTCGAGAAGCCTAGCCTGTGGAAACGACTGACCAAAGGATGGACCCATTGACTATGAGTGGACGTTCGCACCGCCCGTTTTTATTTTTACATTTTTTTGTTAACTATTGTAGCCGCGCGCAGTGATATATAAATAACTTTCGTTGTTGTGTTTTTATGAGCTTTAAGGTTTTACGCTGTTCCTGAATGTTATTGTAGGTAGGTTTATGTGCAACGACCCTGTATTATTGTAACAATTTGGGGATGTTATAACACGAGCAATAATAAAAAGTTTTGCCGCTGGTGTGGTTTATTTTGCCGCGTCTTGTGTAAAATTTCCGCTAAGCGACGTTTCACAGCGCAGTCGTGACTGGGATTCGACTACGTTCATTTCCAAAATTGTACTATTAATCAAGTCATCTAAGACGTTTTTTGACTGGTACTCCCGTAATGGATTAGGAAATAACGGCAAACGAATAATGTAACCTAAAATAAGATGCCGCGCGCCACTTAGTCTGCAAATCCGCCGACAAGGTTGTCAGTAATCCACATTTTTTTACATATTTACAGTTCAATTTTATTTTTAATTTCTTCTGTGGTCTAATATTCTATGTATTGTGATCTTTTAATCTTAGCCATAGAAGAAAAAAAGCGAAAACGGCAATATTCTTTTAGTTTTCGTGTAGGATAAATCCGTTTGACCTCAGGAAAAACTAGTTTTGGATTAGTTGGGCTCCTTCATACACTGGAATATTTGTTTGAGATTAATCATTGATAAATGAATATAATTTTATTCGGCATATGCCATAAATATCGACGAAATCAAAACCAAGCCCTCATCCAACCAATATAATATAGTTGTTTATGGTCCTCATTCGATCCCTTCTTCACGTTGTTTCCTTTCATCGATCTGACAACGTCGCGGGTCATAGAACGTCTCTCCGTTTTGACCCCGGGGTCTTTAGACATAGCGAAACAATTGCTCATTCGGTACCATTTTGCTGTTACGCAGATATTTGAATTTGCCGAACTGTGATGTGCTGCCCAATTTCCGATTATTCGATAATGGGTTGGATGCGGTTTTACGCGTTTTGTTTTATACCAATAAGCCGCGTGTTATATAATAATGATTATGTGACGGAAATTGTAAATAAATTTAGGTAATACTATAGAATTTGGGCTTTTTTTTATTTCCTCTTGGCGGATTGACCCACATCGAGGGAGGCGGCGGGGAGAGCCTCCTTAAACTAACCATTGCTTATTTAAGTCTAAAAACGACCGGTTTGGGCGGGTGGGAGATACGGGTCGGTAAAACAGCGACCTACTGCCACAGGCCGCAAAACGCGTATTTGGGAGCAAAAAATAATATATACATGTACATATTAATTAAAAGTAAGTGCAGAGGATTTAATAAAACGTGCTGACCTACTTTTTTATTGAATTGTTTCCCGATTAAATAAGATGCGTTGCACTTTGATATTTTAATGCTTTGTATATAATTGAATCTTTTTCTATAATAGTTTAATCATTTCATAACACGGAGATTTGGCGAATGAAATGATTGACCGTTATTTTTTCTGCATTTTTCACGATTAAACATTATATTTTTGTACTTTGTACTTGTACTCTTATACTTTGAAATAATAAAGTGACATTTAGCTTCGTTATAACCATTATTGTGGAGAGCCACTTCGGACGTTTCCGGTATAATTTAGTCAAGGGCTTGGGAGCAATCAGATGTTTTCGGTAGATTTCGACGGTCACACTTCACTAGGTAAATATATTCCTGTTGTTTTGCAAAAACTTGTTTAGTCACTGGTTTATTAAACACTCGCTCCGCTCGTGGCAAATCAAACTAGTGGCTAAAGTGCAGTTTATCAACATTGATGCATAATATAATGCTATACTATACCGGATGTCCCAGTGAGGTAAACGTATGCAGGTCCAAGAAATTTTAAAATTTATTATTAAATTCTTTTCGAGTTTTTGAAATGGCCACCAGGGGCGTAATTGTTATCTTGAATTTTAAAACTCGGTTTCTACAAATATTTCTAAAGTCAACCATAATTAAAGCTGTAACAAATTCAAACCTTTTTTCTATATATGCTCTATCTCTGCAAGGAAAATGATAAGGGTGTTTGAACATTTTCTTAAATAACATCTCCAACAAGGTTTAACGCATTTTAATAAACTTGAGGTTAAAAATTTCTTTCCCTAGGCCAGGGGTCTCCAAACTACGGCCCGCGGACCACATCCGGCCCGCGAACAGATTTTGTCCGGCCCGCGGAGAGCTTGTATACTTGAAAGAAAAATCTACTAGAGATTAGATGTTGTTTATAGCAAATAAATTTAGTTTACTGAAGTAATCTATTTTTACGTTGAATATTAATTAATATGACATCTACATTGATATGGTCATGGGCTAACTACTCATAACATTGTTGTAGGTTATTATATACTAACCAACAAATTATTGAAATGAATTCAACCAACATTTTATACATTTTAAATAAAAAAATAACTTATAACAAGCATAATGACATATGAAATTCTAATGAGATTTATGTAATTGTGATTTTCCACTGACAATAGTTTGTAGTTGTGGGCTAATTTTACTTGTACCAATTATTAAAAGAGATTTAAGATGCGTGACGTACTCTTTCGGACTTTTTTTTGCAAGTAAAACTTTACACATTCGTTACTTGAGTACTCTAGGAACCGAAGTAACAATTACTAAAGAATAAATTAATCAATGATTACTTGTGTATTTTATTATTTTTGGAATCAATGATTACTATGCCGATACGATATGGGTACCCCATTATAACGGTAACCCATACGATACAGATAATATATCAGACTTCCCCATCGCTAGAGGCATCTGACAAAAAATTAACTTCCTTTTACATCATCAGCGGACTGATTCAACTTTTTATCACCGGCGACAATTAATGATAGTATTGTTTTGGCCCTTAGAATTTCTTGGCGCGATCAATATGGCCCTAAGGCTGAAAAGTTTGGAGACCCCTGCCCTAGGCCATCAACCTAACTATGAGTGACGCGATTGCGATTGCTTAGTTGGCCACCAGATGGCGGTTTCTTTCTAACGGCTTTCTGAAAAAAAAAATAAACGCAATGATATGATTTTTTTACGCCATAAATAATAATAATAATAATAATAATACAAATTTATTATTTATATTTTCATTTTGTTACAAAACCTTTGGTTCTGATAGCTGACGTTTAGTATGTTTCAATATCCTTGCTCGTTTGTAGTTACATTTAGTATTATCATTTTGCTTGCAAATGTAGAGGAAATACATTTAACTTCTGGTAGCTATTTTAGATAATTTCCGAAATTTTCTCTTGGTTGGTTTACAATTTTTTTTTCATACTTCTAGAACCGTCCGTTTCCCCGATACCGCACCTCCTTGTCCTTACTAGAACACTCGGTACTTACACATTTAAATCTGATAAGTTTCGAAGTTCGTACCCACATATTTTTAAAAAGTTAGGAACTCTCAAGGTTATATTATATTACTAAGTATATGCGGTTTACGATTTAAGATGATTTTTAAAGCTAGTAATAAAAATTATTAGCTACATTTTATTTATATTATACATTTTCCTCCATACGCCATAATGATCAATTATTTTTCTCGCAATAATCAAATTCTGAAGCCAATAAATAATTTAAACACACGCTTATCGAATTGTCAGGTAAAGCTAAGCTACATCTAATATGGAACAGAGATTTTTATACTTAAATTTAACGATATCTCTATAAGCACATTCAGTTAACTTTTGCAAGATTATCTAGCACTTTTATGTGATTTTTTCACTCAAGAATGTGAAATTGGTCCAGCGTATTGCTTTTTAAATTCTCATCAATGATTCTGAGCATCAATTAATTCTTACAAGTGTAAGATTTTGGCAAACTTATATGCAATAAAGCAAACCGCAGTTAATGCCGTTGCACGTATTCGACAAAGAGACATCCAATATCAGGCATTAAGTTAAAAATGTTGCTATTTTTGTCCTTAGTGATCGGGTCCTCTACGTACTTGATGCGTAAGCGTGTGTGCACTTTCGTGACGAAATTTGAAAAAATCATAAAGCAAACACTTATCGCGCGGACAACATTTTATTAAATTCAAATGCGCGCTGTCGACTACCTTCCAAAATCGACCAATCGCTACCGTCCAGCTGTAAAGCCCATCTCCACAAAAACACACTTCACGTCATATCGGCAATCTTATCAAGCGCAAACGATTCGACCGAGCCACGTAAATCCGTCCCCGGGGTTGCGGACCAATCGCGTCCTTCCATCTGTCGGCTTCGCCCGTTAATGCCGACGTACGTTCGTTGCGGTCGTCGACAATCTTCCATATAAAGGAAAGAGACGCGCGCCGTGGCAAGTCTGTGATATGTGTCGCTCGTAGGAGTGTTTAGAAATAACTTTTGGCACTTGGCGAGCGGCTGTGCTTGTAACTTGACGTCGCGTTAGTCGAATCCTAGAATTTTTTAGTTAGCAAAAATGAATTCGTGTCTGTTCCTCGGTTTGGTATTTTGTTCGTTGTACACGGCTTCGGCCGAGGTATATTACGAGGAGAAATTTAACGATGGTAAGTGGCCGGTTTCCGGTTATAACTTTGAAGCACCGGTTGGTACATTCGTTTCGGCCGTTTAGCCATGCACGTTTTAAGCGAGCACAGGGATTTTACGGTGTAATTGTTTTAGATTCGTGGCAGAAGAACTGGATTTACAGCAAACATCCGGGGAAAGAGTTTGGAAAGTTTGTCTTAAGCTCCGGAAAGTTCTTCCACGACGAACAGGATGACAAAGGTCAGACATAATAATTTTGTAAGATATGATCCCTATTAAAAAAAATCGTTTCCTACGGTTAAGTTTTCCTAGTCTCTTGAATACCAAGTGACTACATAATATACCCGGTAATTAGTACGATTTATTAAGTAATGCTAACGTTTTCCAATGGTTATTGATTGGGGTTCTAGTATTGTATTACCCACCTATTTTCCAAATTAAATTAAGCGAAGGCTGGGTGCGTATAATTAATATTTATTTGAAATTAATGTGCTCGTGTTTTGTTAATTCGTTTATTAGAATTAATTAATATCCTAATGTCCGAGAAATAAAGCAAAGGCAAATTGAGGTTGGTCACTAGTGGATACCATCACCAAAATTTTTCTTTAAGTCTGTTTTTCTAAATTTTTCGCGTTTTTGTTCAATTTAGGTATTCAAACATCCGAAGACGCCAGGTTCTACGCCCTCAGTACCAAGTTCAAGCCGTTCAGTACCGAAGGCAAAGACCTGGTGATCCAGTTCACCGTCAAGCACGAGCAGAACATCGACTGTGGCGGCGGATATGTCAAGGTGTTCGATTGTTCGTTGGAGCCCGAAGACCTGCACGGCGAGAGCCCCTACAGGATCATGTTTGGGCCAGATATCTGCGGCCCCGGCACCAAGAAAGTGCACGTAATCTTGAACCACAATGACAAGAACCATTTGATCAAGAAAGATGTCCGGTGCAAGGTAGGTTTGAATTAATTTAAATTTAAAGAAATGGGATTTTTGAAAAATTTTCGTGACCTAGCCGTTAATATAAGTGTTAGGCCATAGATGGCGCGGACCTTTCGATAAAATAGTTTATAGGTGATGCCATGCTTTAAAGGGCGATTTGAAAAGAATACTAATAAACGTGACGATTTTTTTGACTTCTATAGGGCCGTTTTGGATGTCATGTGAAGGGCGTTTACAGGGTGTCCAGGAAAATATCCGATATTTCTTGGGAATTAAGTGGGACCAAAAAATAATTAAAACTTAATATTAAAAATTAATGTTTTTTGATAAAAGTTTGGGACTAATTTAAACAAAATATGAACAGGGTAAAAGAAGTACATTATAATTGTTCCTAAGAAGGGAAAAATTTTATCACACCTCTAGAATTTGTCTGGGAAAGGTATCAATTGTTACAGAACAAAAAAAAACAATGAATGCATTTTAATTTTGTGTTTTTATTTGATATAACAACCTTAATAATTCCATTTTTTTGTGGCACTGTACCTTGTTTTCCAGAAGACACCTAAAATTCGAACAAAATTGAAAGAAATAACAAATACATAAAGTTTGGTAACCATGAAATTATCAAATTGTTTTATTATTTATAGTTTTTTCTTGGATTTTAGAAGATGTTATTCCTTATTTGTTCAGAAGACTGAATAAAAAAAGAAAAACGTTTTTCCCTCGTTCTTAGTTCAAGTCTCGAGAAACTGAAAATGTAGGATGACCTAAAATAACAATTTTTCACAATTCATGAAAAATTTATTACAAACAAGGCACAGAAAAAAGTCCGTTATACGATCAATTGAGTAGGGCAAAATTTTATGGAACGGAAAAGCTATAAATTATTATGGAAAAAAAAAACTGGAAATGTCAGTGACGTTTGTTTATAAATATAATAAATAACCGTAATAATTCCTGGGGGTTTTGTGTGACAATTTTAATGGAAACAAATAGAAGAAATAACGAATACATAATAAATAAAAAACCTTGGGTTCTGGGTAGAACCCAGGTGCTATTTTGGTCATCGAGCAATCTTTTTTTTTAATCAGGACGACGAATACACCCACTCCTACACGCTGATCATCAAGCCGGACAACACTTACAAAGTGTTGATCGATAACGAAGAGGTGGAGCACGGCGAGCTGGAATCCGACTGGGATCTGTTGCCTCCACGCAAGATCAAAGATCCGGACGCGAAGAAACCCGAAGACTGGGACGACCGGGCGACCATTCCCGATCCCGACGACAAGAAACCGGAAGATTGGGACAAGGAGGAACACATTCCGGATCCGGCTGCCTCGAAACCCGACGACTGGGACGACGAGATGGACGGCGAGTGGGAACCACCGATGATCGACAATCCCGAATACAAAGGCGAGTGGAAACCGAAACAGATCGACAATCCGGCTTACAAGGGCCAGTGGGTGCACCCGGAGATCGACAATCCAGAGTATAATGCGGTGCCGGATCTGTACAAGCAGAAGGAGATCTGCGGCATCGGGTTCGACCTGTGGCAGGTGAAGTCGGGCACGATTTTCGACAACGTGCTCATCACCGACGACGTCGAGTACGCGAAAAACGCGCTGGCCAACTTGAAGGAGAAACAGGAGGGAGAGAAGAAGGCGAAAGAGGCGAAAGACAAAGAGGAGGCTGACAAGGCGAAGGATGAGAAGAAAGACGACGAGGACGAGGACGATGATGATGAGGCCGACGAGGAAGAACACGCGCCCCAAGTGGTCGAGGTGGGTGTGGTTTTTAATACATATACAATGTGTTTTGCAATAAGGAGTTGAACGTTCGGCAGGCTATCTTTTGAGTTGGTCCAATGATAAAAGTGTATCTTAGATTACCTCCCGAACGTTTTTCGCGTATGGTATAAAAATTTAAATTGTTAAATAAAATTACATTTGGTTTTTCTGTTTTGCTGTTGCAGGAAAAGGACCACGATGAGCTGTAAGGGCAATAATATTCGCTAGGAGGAGACAGACTTTTTTTCTATCGCGGTGTGCAGCGTATTTTTTTTTTTTGTTTTTAGTGTTGTGGAATATGAGTTTCGACTGATTTTTTCGTTAGCGTGGAATTTATACCGTTGTTAGTGAATCACAATTATTAACTATAAATTTAATTTATGGTTCCCCCCGATTTATTTGTACAAAATAAATTATTGTAATATATTTTTTAAATATAGTTTTATTTATGCGGGGGGCTTGGAGGGTATCTTTGACTTTGTAAATAATAGTTGTAACGATATCGGTAATCAGAATTGGGGGTGGAATGGGTTTTTCTTTTTAACGAAGCAAAGGTTTTTGTGGGATACTCTTATTCGAGTCATCGCAAGGAATAGCGTGCGCAGGCGATGACGTCAGGCATAATCTATACGGTTATTAGTTATATTTAGGTTAAGGACTTGGAATTTGTAAATATTAGTTCTAACGATTTAGGTAATCCGTATGACGTCAGCGTAATATACTATACAGTTATTAGTTTTACTTATGCGAAGCCCTTGGAGGGCATCTTTGACATTGTAAATAATAGTTATAACGATTTTGGTAATCCGTATTGTAGGTTGTTCGTTGGTAATGGTTCTTTTTTTTAATAAATGTGTTTGCAAAATATACTTTTATTGGAGTCATATCAAGGAATAGCGTCCGAAGGCGATGACGTCAGGCGTAATATTCTATACGGATATCAGTTTTATTTATCTGGACGAGTTGGAGGGTGTCCTTTGAATTTGTGGATAATAGTTATAACACTTAAAAACGATCACCATACACTTCCGAAACACGATAACACGAATACAACGGATTCTGCTAGGAGCGAGCGGAGGTTAAACCGAAGTGTGCAATGCTCCACCACAGAATATCAAGGAATGGTGTTCGCAGGCGATGACGTCAGGCGTAATATTCTATGCGGTTATTTGAGTTAGTAAATAATAGTTATAACGATATTGGCAATGCAGGTTGTTAGTTTTGAATGGTTTTTGTAATGAAATAAACGTTTTTGCGGAATATTCTTTTATTATAATATAACACACGGTTGTTATTGTGAACTCTCACAATTTAAAACTGTTTAAACGGCTAAAATGCCGGCTGGCGGAGTAACAGTTACTATTAATTACCAAATATACCTTATTAGTTAGTCAAAATATTACCTTAAGACAGGCAATGAGGTGAACAGACCAATAGTATTCAATAAAAGTTTGATGTGAATACTTATATATATTAAATAATAATTGTTAAAATGTCGACTATCCATTTACTAAAAGAAATTCTCAAATACATGGCACACGCGCCGACCAATGACGTCATGTGCGTATGATTTTTAACAACCCACCCGTCACCGACGAATAATTACCACGGACTGCAGGGGGAAGGACGAGGAAGAACACGCGTCGCAGGTGGTCGAGGTGGATGTGGTCTTATTTGAGTTGATCCAATGATAAACGTGTAAGAGCAATCATCTTTGCTAGGGAGAGTTTGTTTTCTTTTCTGTCGGGTTGTGTAGCGAATTCTTTTTGTTTTAGTGTCGAATGTCCCTTATTCGATATGCGTTTGCGCGAAATTTAAAATCTAGTTTTTAAGCAATTACCTTGCAGCATTTCCTCACAATATGCGTATATATCGTCTGTTCTGGAAAAACGAGTTAAGTGTGTGGAAAACGCTGTTTCGAAAGAAAATGACGCAGAGAGAAAGTGAGAGAAAATGTCAATGTCGCCTGCGCATCAATTTTTCTACTATATTATCTATTATATCTATATATCTAATTTTATACCGTTGTTAATGATCTATTTAAGAAATAAATCAATTATTGTAATATATTATTTTAAATATGGTCGTCCTTGAGTTTGTAAATAATAATTATAATGATATTTTTAATAATTATTGTAGATTGTTGGTTTAGAAATGTTTTTTTTTATGAAATAATCATTTCGGCGGAATGGTCTTAAAACGATTTAAACGTTCGAAATCATAGTGCTGCAGGTGGATCTCAGGGAATCATGGGAGGGGTTGAAATATAACTCCAGGATGTTCACTGGAACCAGCTAAATATTGAAGGTGGTTTTTGAAAAAACCTCCAGGGACCGCTAATTACAGCTACTCGTCATTTGACGCAAGTTGCGGATAACATTTTTGTTAAGTTCAAGTCACACATTATCATTTGATCAAAACGAACATCACATGAAGACAAACAATGACATAAATAAGTATAAATTGTATTCAATATATTTTTTTTTCGCAAAAGTGGATGTCTAAATGTGAAGCAAAAATAATCTTCAATTTTAAAACCGCTTCAACAAGAAATGCTCACATCTAATAAGTGTTAGTTAATGATGTCGCGCTCAAAATTATTTAACCAAAATATTTTTAACGAAATATTAGTTTCTAATAGCCGTTTTGTTTGTTTTGGAAATTTGCAACAATTACTGTTATGATTCGAGTTCACGGTAAAAGTAATAAAACCAGTAACAATCTCATCGGCAGCATAATAAAATTTCGAATCTTATGGCTTCGCGGGCCCCCTATGTAAGACCAGAGAATGAAAATGTTGCCGGTACCAGAGATTATGTTTTATTAAGAATGATGTTCCATCCAAGTTTAATAAGGTGCAATAGACGGTTATATCATTATTTTGATTAACATGTTTTCGACTAATTTGAGCACAGAGTTTTAGGATTAAACGACGAAACCGGCAACAACGCCGGGGGACTCGCAACAGCGTAAACATGGAAAAATAAATATTTTTAAGGGAAAATTGGTTGCTAATAGCCATTTTGTTTCGCGGTTTGTTTAAAACATTCCCTCTAGTTACTACGGCAACGTTTTTTTTTTGTTTTTGATCAGCTGACATCCCATCTGTCAAAATCATTTGAGTTTTTTTCTAAGCGCGTACGCTATGCGAGTCGGTCCGTGTTAAAATCAAAGAACCATTGCGTAACGGTTGCCAACAGTGACGTAAATTTGCAACAAATATTGTTATTAAGATTCGAGTTCAAGGTAAAAGTAGGTCGCAATAAACCCAGCGACGGGATGGCGTTATCCGAGATTGTCAGCAGTCGTTGCGTTGGCAGCCTGAAGTCGGCGTTCAAGTTGCAAAATAAACTTTCGAATTTTGTCGCATCGCGAGCCGCTATGTCCGATTTTAGGGTAGAAAAAGACACGTTCGGCGAATTGAAAGTGCCGTCCAACAAATACTACGGGGCGCAGACCGTGAGGTCGACCATAAATTTCGCCATAGGCGGGGAATATGAAAGGATGCCGTTTCCTGTCATTACCGCAATGGGCATCTTGAAAAAGGCCGCCGCCGAAGTGAACAAAGACTACGGACTGGACCCCAAACTCGCGGACGCCATATCGGAGGCTTGCGACGACGTCATCTCGGGGAAACTGTACTGCGAGCACTTCCCGTTGGTTATTTGGCAAACCGGTTCGGGCACGCAAACCAACATGAACACGAACGAGGTGATAAGTAACAGGGCGATAGAAATTTTGGGCGGCAAGTTGGGCTCCAAGACTCCCGTCCATCCCAACGATCACGTGAACAAAAGTCAGAGCAGCAATGATACTTTTCCGACCGCGATGCACATCGCCGTCGCCATGGAAATCGAGCACACTCTGTTTCCCGGCTTGAACATGTTGGCCGACTCGTTGGACAAAAAGGCGAAAGAGTTCTGCGATATAATCAAAATTGGTCGTACCCACACCCAGGACGCCGTCCCGTTGACCTTGGGCCAAGAATTTAGCGGCTACGTAACTCAGATTCGGTTCGGTATAGAGAGAGTGAGAACGACCCTGCCCAGGTTATACATGCTGGCGCTCGGTGGTACTGCGGTGGGTACCGGGTTAAATACGAGGAAGGGGTTCGCGGAAAAGTGCGCCACCAAAATATCCGAACTTACGGGGTTACCGTTCGTTACGGCGCCGAATAAATTCGAAGCTTTGGCCGCGCACGACGCGCTGATCGAAGTTTCGGGGGCCCTGAACGTCGTCGCCTGTTCCCTCATGAAAATAGCGAACGACATCAGGTTTCTCGCTTCGGGGCCCCGCTGCGGACTCGGCGAACTGATTTTGCCGGAAAACGAGCCCGGAAGTTCGATAATGCCCGGAAAGGTGAACCCCACTCAGTGCGAAGCCATTACGATGGTCGCGGCTCAAGTGATGGGCAACCACGTAGCCGTGTCCGTCGGCGGCTCGAACGGCCACTTCGAGTTGAACGTCTTTAAGCCGATGATGGTCGCCAACGTGTTACGGTCGATAAGGTTGCTAGGAGACAGCAGCAAGAGTTTCACTGTGCATTGCGTCGACGGGATCCAAGCGAACCGCGAGAGGATCGAGAAACTGTTGCACGACAGCCTCATGTTGGTTACCGCCCTCAATCCCCACATCGGATACGACAAGGCGGCGGAAATCGCGAAAACCGCTCACAAGAACAAGTCCACACTCAAGGAAACCGCCATTAAGTTGGGTTACTTGACGGAAGCACAGTTCAACGAGTGGGTCAAGCCGGAAGAGATGTTGGGGCCGAAGTAAAAGTATTATCGCGCTACCGATTTATTTGTTTTTTATTTTTTAGAGATCTGTTTTTATAAATTATTATCGTGTGGTGCATAAAGATTCGATTTGGTTGTTGAGCGTTGTTTTTTTTTTATTTCCGCGGAAAGTTGCCCTCTGTGATCGGGAAAAGTGTGGAGATGTAGAAAATCCATAGATAATGAATTTTTCTGGCGTTAGGTGGTGGGAAATTCGAAGAACAGTTCTTAGAATTTTAAACGAAAGTAATAAAATTAATTAATTAACGTAATTAACGTGGCTTGCTTTAAAAAAATATATATAAAACGCATTTTTTTATAAATGATGCAGTTAAACTGGAGTATAACATCCTTTCTTTTAAGGTAAACCAAATAAATTTCTATTAACATAGTGAATGGATTTGGGTTATCGGGAAGGAATTGCTAATAAGAGGAAACGAATAAAAATACTTAAATCTCATCTTTGTTTTGGGAGTTTTGATTCGTTTTCTCTCATATGACGCAAACTAAGTAAATGTCATAAAAGGTGTTCGCGCAAAATGTCAAAGAGGCAATGTTACGGCGTTCTGGTGCGTTGGCGAGCTTTTGTCCTTGATTACTTAATTAATCAATAAACACCATATAGCTGCTAGAGACAATGAGGCAATTATAAAAATTTTGAGAAGGCCCATTCAACATGCGCATGCACGAGGTTTGAAATCGCGTTTTTAATCGGTTGCCTTACTGCGGCATTTAACAGCTAACATGGCCGCCGACAGCTAGTCATTGCGACTAGTGATTTTCTGAAAATTCAGATTTCGTGAAATGTTATGGGAAAATGAGTTAAGTGCGTGGAGATCGCTGTTTAGACAGAAAATGGCGCTAAGTGCAGGTTAAAGGGTGTACTTTAGGGGCGGCAATATGAAAGTTTCGGCCACATTTTATCATTATAGTCCGGCAACAAGCATTATCAACTCAATTATTAATAAAAAATTTATATATCATAGAATATGCGTATTAAAAAAAATTAAAACTTCACTTCTGATTATCAGATTAGTGGCTATAAATTACGTTTTCCTGCTAATTATATGAAACAAAAATGGAATGACTTCTTGTAAATTTGTAGAGTGCCCGATAAGCATGGCGGAAGTTGGGACATGCCCACGTAGGCGTGGTCAGATACCGCTAATAATAATGTTGAAGGGTCTGAAATATCTAACATTTTTGTTATATACCTCATATAGTATATAACGCGTTTGGCTCACGCTGTCGGCAAAGCTACATTACCCCGATATATTTTATTTATAAATTTATCTAAAACAAATACTAATTAAAACTCATTTCAGCGTAGCACGTAAAAATAATACGTATAATTGGTTGCATGCTTCGAGTTGCCCTTGCTTCGAGCACAGTGTATGTGGTTAGAACGGCATCAATCGCTCACGAAGTTCAACGCGATTCTGCGAAGCGAGCTATGAACGCGAGATTTTGCGTGATGAATAATGTCAAATTTCAGCTTCGCAAACTGCGAAATAAGGCGATATTTATCAGTTCTAAATAAGTCATTTGTGTCGTAACAAAATGATAATATATTCCGTAATAAAATAATACAAACCGAGAAACTTAACGATATAAATAATGTTGAAGAAAAATATCGACATTTTGGGTTTCCCGGCACTCTTATCCACGGTGGCGTGGCAAGATACGCGGATATCGATTAAAATAAGACAGAGATTTTTGTCGCGACATCCGCGCGACAGAACGAACCGTGCAACATCAAGTCGCCGCGGCCGCGACGACCGACACAAAACAAAAGATCCCGGCGCGACTGACGATAACATGGCGACGGACGAAAACGACGATCAACGGTTCTGTCTCAGATGGAACAATTTTCAATCGAACATTTGGTCGCAGTTCGACGTCTTGAGATGCGACGAGGATTTCACCGACGTGACGATCGCTTGCGAGGGACGACGGGTGCGGGCGCATAAAATAATATTGTCCGCTTGTAGTCCGTATTTTAAGGAGCTTTTCAAGGTGGGTAAATAGTGAGGCCAAGTGTATTTAGCTTTATTTGTCGGCGTTTCGGAAAAATGTTTTTCAATAGATATTGCGTAAAATCAAAAGACGAGCATTTTAAAAATACCCTTTTGTACCGGGTGTTTCGTACAAGCGGGGCAATACGAAAAGAAAATGTATTTCTTTTTCAACGGAACGCGTGAGTATTGCGATTCCTGGAAGAAAAGTTTGTTTATATGACGCCGTGACTGTTCATTTTAATGCGATGTTACTGAGAGAAAAGCAACTGATGTCTAAGTAATTATTTCGGGCAGGACGTTTCCTAAACTCTTGCAAAATTGACAAAATTCACACTGATATTCCTCTGATATTTTAAATGAAACAACCAGTATCTAACGACTTTATCTTGTTTACTATTCACTTTCTATCCTATATATTGTCTGCAATTGGGTGATTAATAAATAGAAGTATAAAGGATAAAAATAAATTTATTCTTAATAAGAAGTATGTTATATCAGAAAATGGTTTTTAAAACATTTTAATTTTGGAGTTTTCTTTTTCTGAAACTTAAAGAAATATTTCATTTCTGATTTACAAGACCAGTATTTTAATTAAATTATTTCATGATGGTTAATTATGGTTTATTTAGGAGTTTAATATTTATTATTGGTTTGTATAAGCTTTTAATTTGACTGACAAAACTTTTGTTTTTCCAAATGTCTGGTGGAAATCAAAAACTACTTTTGCGAATCTAAGAACGATGATAAATGCGTCATGTGATACATTATTTAAAAGCATTTCCTATGCTCCATTTAATAATAAAAATATTCAATATGGCCTTCATTTAAAAATGTACAATGTATCCTAGCAAATTCAACAATATTCCCTAGCAAAATATCCAGCTTCTATATTAAAACCCTTTATTAGTTTACTAATAGTTTCGTACTTAATTCCTTTCATTTCATTGAACAATAAAAAACCAAATCAATTTGTTAATAGGATTAACGCATCCTCTAAATTTTCTGGTCACTGCATTTTTCTTGAAACCCAATACTAACAAACGGCAGATAGTATTTGGAAATAAAAGAGAAATTGTAATAAACGCCTCTTTTAAGAATACGCTAAATGGGATTTTCTCTCCTTGTAAAAAATACCAGTTTCGTCAACATTAAAAATGTCGTCAGCAGGGTACTTTTCTGCTAGTTTTAGTCACGTGTTCTCCAGCCGATTGTTAGTGACGTTTCTGTCGACGTCACTTGCTTCGCCACTTATCTGTCCATAATTTATACCATGTGTCTGTTTGAACTTCCTCAACCATCCTTCCGAAGCCTGGAAATCGATAATGCCAAGCTGTTCAGCAAACTTTTCTGCTTTTAGTTTTACGATAGATCCAGAGAGTGGCACATTTTTAAGACCTTGCTGTTGGAACCACTGCAACATTTCCCGATCCAAATCTTCAAATTTTGGCTTTCTTAGTTTTTTACTAGAACTGCCTGCCGCTTCAGCCTGAATGATTTTTTCTTTGCACTTCCAAATCGTGGATACCGCGGACGGTGTAAGTCCGTATCGACGTCCCACATCACTTTCTTTTCTCAACATTCCTTACTTTGTTACTTGATGTGCCCTTTTTTCTTTCGATACAAATTTTGTTCGTAATACAGAGTTTTAGGTTATACAGAGTTTCGCTATAGGGAATTTTCACTGTATTTTGATTTTTAATAAAGACAGTTTATTATTATTACTATTATCTGTGGTTCTAGGACAATCCCTGCAGCCACCCGATCATATTCATGAGAGACGTCGGGGTGGAGCATATCGCCGCCCTAATGGAATTCATGTACGCGGGAGAGGTGAACATTTCGCAGGAGAATTTGTCGGCATTCCTCAAGATCGCGGATTCGTTGAAAATCCGCGGTCTGTCCGACGTCCCATTCGATCGGAAAACCGGCAACGTCGCGCCCGAAGTCGACCCGCCAATGGAGACGAGCGGGTAAGCGAAATGGCGATTCGACTTCGCGTTTAAAAAACTGGAATCATCGTTACAGAGAAATTACATACTTGCAGCCACCATAACGTGTCAGATACGAAGGTAGGACCCGGTCGTCTTGAAGATGTAACGACTCCTCCAGAACGCGAAGCGACGGTTAAATTCGAACCCGTCGATTTCAGAAACGACGGCAACACCGCCGGCGATTGTACGGTGTTCTCGGAATGTAATCAAGAATTTGACTGTGAGTAAAGATTAGAAGTTAATTATGCCACTTGCCATCTTACCACCCTCAGTTGCGTGCGATTTTTAAGTTTGAGGTTACGTCTGATTTTGTGCTGCTTAACCGGCCTTACATTACTACTGTTCTTCCTTATAATCAAGTAATAGAGAAATGGCACATGAATTATTTTATTATTTATTTTATTTTTATTCGAATAACGAGTTACAGTTACTTCTAACCTCTAAAGATTATCAAAATTCTAAAAACGATAAAATTTTGCCTTTCACCGCATGACTGTTACTTGAACGCTTTGTGACGTCACAAATGAAAACAATTGCCTAGTGACCAACCTCCAAAACCTAACTTTGCAAGTTACTAAACGTCACTAACCGAAAAGTAACCTAACCTCACTCTCTGCTGATTATTCTATGAAAATAAATAAGTAAATCATAAAATGCGAAGAATTGAATAATGCTTTGAAAAATTCTTACATTTTTCTTATTCCGATTTCAAATACGTGCAAAATGTAAATTTTGCAACTTCTCGTCCGAATTAAAGTTTTAATCGGACTTGTTTTTATATTTTTAGGCAACGAACTTGGGATAGAACAAGGAGAATTAGGATACGTGAAGAAAAGGTATATTAGGGACACGTTTCCTTCCGGTAAGTGCGGCTAATTAATATTAATTTTTTATCTGTCTTTTAAATTACAAATTGGTCATCTCTAACAATATATCTAACTTCGGAGATGTGTTACACCTTGCCCTTATCCGTATAAGGATTTAATATAAATCATTGGTTGAAACAATCAACAGATTATTAAAATCAACCTAAAATAAATGAGGTTAGAATTTTTATTCGCGTTATTATTATTTATAAATTAAAGGTGTTTTTTTAATTCCATTCCTTGGGATTATTTCAATTTTTCTCCCCGTTCCGCTCTCGTGGAAAATCCTTATTACTTCTTTAGAACAACGTTGTCAAAATAAGAACCTATGACATTTTTGAGCGCGTTCCTATATTTAGCACACTAACGTACACTTTGCGCCATTTTGTTTCTAAACTGTGAACGGCCATGTTAAAAAACCGTGACTTCTTATTGGTTGAAATGCATATATTGAATATCCCTTCAAAATTTTTTGTTAAGGTCTAGTCACAACAATTGCGCAGTTACGTCATAGCATGACATCTTTATTTCATTACTGGATGTCGTAAATTGACATAGGATTTTTTTTGTCAGTTTTCTCAAAGCTCGTGTTTTATGGGGTCACAGAAAAGACAAGACAAAAAATAAAAAATATATTTCAGACAACACAGTTTTACACACGTTCAACTGTTATATTGTTAAAATAAATAAACAAATCAATCTTAAAATTCTAAATTTGTTGTACTGTCTGACCTATTAAGAGTTGCTAAAACTCAAACCCCATTATTCCTGTACGAAGCATAAAAACACTCACCCTGTATATTTAAGCCATATTATCCCAAGCATAAATTATTTATTTTGTTGCACTTAAGAATACATTACATGTGTCAAAAAAAGAACTCGAAATATACAAAAAAAATACTGGTGTAAATAATGTTTTGGGGCACCTAAGATGTAACGTATAATTCATACATAAATATACAAAAGAAAGTTCAAATTGGACAGAAAACAACTAAAAGTAGATTGTTTTCCAAATAGAACCTGATTTGATACAAAAAAAAACGAATGTTTTATGGTGCGTGAGCGCACCACTGGTAATACCCGGTTTCATTTTTGGTGATATTTTACAAAGCATGAATGAAGTATGTAAATGCACATTACACTTATTACAAACGTAAATTTTGTGGCTGTGGCAGATTCTACATCTCCTTCGGGCTTTATTAGCATGAACAATCAATCATGAGGTGACCTTGATTATCATAACGCACTTCATCTATGGCAGGTGCAAAATTTCTTTGAGTAATTGTTTTATCAGTTTTAATAAGTCGCAAAGCAATGTAAGACTTAAAATCTACCTGGAAAATCTCTTGTTCGTTGACAATATTATACAATTTCCACGCATTCACTACTAAAGTATCCAGTGAGTTACAAAATAAAGGCAACCACCATTTTTTTCCAAATACCTGGAATCTGTAATTAGCAATTCCGTTTGTCATGTAAGTCTATCCCACTCATTTATCTATTGTATTGGGCAATTACATAAGGTACCTTTTCTATTATAGCTCACCCCTTATAAACATTTTACCGGAATGGCGGCCAAAGTAATGTACCATTTGTTCATCTATGGATAAGTTGAACGAAAATATGCCAAAATGAAGATTTTTTTTATTTATTACATCAAAGAAGGGTCTAACTTATTTCAAGCGGACTTTTTAAAGAAAGCCTATTTTTTAGTTCCTCACATGATCTAAATTCATCGGATATACGTGTGTGAGTGTACTCAATCTGACCTTTCTTCCATTTGACAGTAGAAGCAAGCCTGTCGTTTGCAGAAAGCATACGTCTTCTTTGAGCATAATCAATATAGTATTTCCAATGTTTGTTTTCTGCGATGCCATCTACATGCTATAGACTTAACAAAAATGGCAATACAAATCCAAAATATTTTTTTTTACTATTTTGGATTTACTTGAAAATGCGATACAAGTTTATGTATAGCTTTTGTTAACTTTTGAAGTCATATACCTTACCTTTCCTTTACACATAAATTAGCGATTTCTACGGTTTTATGTCCTTTAGTAGTGACAATAAAATTCCGAAATGGAGGTGCAAACATATTTCCCGGATGTGACAAAAAAAATCATGCTTTAAACTCGTTATTCGTCGCCAGTAATTAACGCATTGTGCATGCGACAGGTAGAGATTCCCGCAAATTGCACTCGTTGGACCCGAGGCCTTGCGACGAGTGCGGAAAAGTCTACAGCAACCTTTCGAACCTTAGACAGCACATGAAGCTGATCCATCACCCGACGTACGTCACCTGCAGCGACTGTCACAGGCAGTTCAAAACCGACCTGTACCTGCGTAGGCACGTGCTGAGCGCTCACGGCTACGTCAGTCAGGACGTCGCCACGTACAGCGACTTGAACGGCGCGAGCCAAACTAGGAATTGCGGCTACAAAGGCCTGCGCGGTGCGGCAACGTTGCACAATTTCAACGGTCGAGACGGGAATTACTTGAAAATGTCTTACTAAAGTTTATTTTATGGAGCGTTTTCGTCGCCCTCCGCCCTCCGTTGCCGTGACGGTTAGTCGCAAGTGTGTCACGGAATTTGTTGTTAATTTAAAATATGCATTTAATATATAATTTTTTTGGTATCTTTGTTTCCTTTTTTTTTTTTAATATTTTGCGATAATAGCAATAATAATGGTACATTTGCCGTGTACGCATTATCAGTTAATCATCCCATAACAAATTTTTGTAGGAAAAAGGAATCTGAAAATTAATTTGAAGGTGCCAGTTTATTATTTAAAGAAAACTTTTAGCAATAATAACTACATATAAAAAAATCATACAATATCAACTCAGATAAAACTGATGTTTCTAATATTCGTAAACAAAAAATAAATCCTAAATTAAGACCTCGCTCAACTTTAATATACCGAATTTTATTTGTCCCTGTCTTTATCAAATGTAATATTTGCTTTTTTTTTTGTTAATTTTCCTATTAATCCACATTTTGACAAATGTTTTGAAACTTTTTCACTGGGTTCTCCTATGTATGTAATTGTTTTAAATTGTTCGTGTTCTGTATTCGGTTTCGGGTAAATAGAGTTTACTTAGCCGTTGTTCTAATTTGTTTTGCGTTTTCGTAATAGTTAAGTCTAAAAAATTAATAGAGTTATCCTGTTCAATCTCGATAGTGAATTTTATACGATTATGAAATGAGTTAATGTAATTCGTAATGTAATGTAATTACATTAACTCATTACATAATCGTATAAAATTCACTACTGAGATTCAACAGGATAACTCTATTAATTTTTTAGACTTAACCACTACGAAAACGCAAAACAAATTAGATTTTTCCATTTATCATAGACCTTCACACATGGACACAGTCATACATAACAGCTCAAATCACCCTTATACACACACTCTTTTATACACAGACTTCTTAATACGCCACTTTCAATAGAAAATTACAACAAAGAACTTAATGTCATGAGACAAATTGCACTGAACAACGGCTACAATCCGTCCATTATAGATAAAATTATAAATAAAAAACAAATCCAGACAACAGTAAACTCTATTTCAAAAAATAAAGCATAATGAATATAATATTCCCAATGTATGTTTTCTGCGATGTAATCTACATGCACTTAACAAAAATGGCAATACAAATCCAAAATATATTTTTTACAATTTTGGATTTACTTGAAAATGTCATACAAATTTATGTACCGCTTTTGTTAACTTTTGAAATCATATCTTTCCTTTACACATAAATTAGCGATTTCTACGGTTATATGTCCTTTAGTAGTGATGATAATAAAATTTCTAAATGGATGTGCAAAAATATTTGCTGGATGTGACAAAAAATCATAGAATAGGTGGTGCATTAACGCACCACTGGGACAAAATGGGTTAAGAAAACAAATTAACAAGCGATTCGGAAAACCCAAAAGCACGGAGCTCGTGGATTAGAATTTATTGATCTGGGCTTTCGAAAAAATAATATATATGAAAATATATATCACTGGGCTCAGAAATACACTGAGACTGAGTTGTTAAATTGATAATAGTGAATTTTGATTCTTAACAACATGAAATATTTTATCCTGTATTACAATTTGTTACAATCTCTAGTGTGTTTATAAAATAGTTTTTGGTTAATCATGCTTATTTTTCAATTAACTGAAGTGAAACCCACCTTGACGCAAAAGGCTTTGTCGTTACCCAATAGTATTGGGCCAATACCATTATTAGATATTGAAGAACAAAGACGGCGTTGGCACATTACTGATCGCATTTATAATTTTTCTCCCTGTTTTCATTGACAAGTTGTCTGAGTAATTTCATTCATCACTAATACAGGTTGATAAAAAAACAATTATTATGAAAAAAAAAATAACATACCTTTTTGAAGATATAATTATATTTATAGTTATGAAAATATAGAAACCAAATACAGAACACCCGGTGAAAAAGTTTCAAAACATTTGTCAAAATGGGGTTTAAAAATAGCTTTCAGAACTAACAACACAATAGGAAAATTTTTTAAAAACAATAAAACAATTAATTGCTCATTTACGTGCCAATATAAAATAAGGGGTGTTTCATTTAAAATTCCCACGTAACATGGATTTTTATTTCTTGCCAATTGGACCTTACCTTATGAACGATAAGTTAATAGGGAACCGCAACAAAAAATTCCAGTGTTTACCTGTACGGCTTGTGAAAAAAATTATTATTTTATATCGGGTTGTTTATTGTCAAATTTCTTGAAAAGTATTTTTATCTCCGAAAATGTTCAAGATAGCTATGATACATATTACATGCAAAAGTTCCAGGATGTTTCGCAGAATCTAAAAATGTAATAATATACAGGGTGTTGCATTTAAAAAACGAAAGTTAATATACGTTACGAGTATATCTGGCAACACCGCATGGACAAAAATATTTTACATAGCTAGCTCATATTCGCTTAAATAAGTAATCAACATTTCAGGCTTTTACCGTAAGTCATTATCCATAAACGCTTGTCGATTTAGAAACGTAACAATAACAACGGGCCAAAAACTGATCCCTGTGGCACTCCATAGAATTGTTTAGTTAGCGGTGACACACCAGCGTCTCCCCAAACTGAACTCTATCTTCCACATAGTTTTTGATTAATTCTATCAAATTAATCGAATTTGTAGAAGCCTAATAAAATGAATGCTGTAGCTTTACCTTTATCAGTGGCAATTAGTTACATTTTATTAAAAATTTAATAATGGTCAATATGTTCTGCATTTGATAATTCATACTTTTTTTCTATTGCTTCATTATTATTTATTGATTTTTCAATCTATTTCGTTTATTTACGACTTTTTATTGCAAAATGGAGGTCGTTATAAAACTGCCGCCGATAATAAAAACTAGAACGTTTTAAAAAATATTTTATTTAACCACAAGTCGATCGATGAACAGGAAGAATAATAAAACGTAACAACGTCAGGAATTGAGGTTCGGTTAAAATTAGAAAAACCGGAAAGATCCAAATTTACGAGTATAATTTATATATGAAGGAAAGGGCGGGTCACCGTCCCCCTTTCGAGAAAATAATTGCAATTCTACGCGCCAATCAGTGGACGCGCGAACACGTCAATTTGTTAAAACCAAGAAATAAATTAATATCTTAAGCTAGAAGTGACCGATATCAAATACGCCCGGTAAATCCCCAAGTTGGTTTTCGCGTGGTGCCAGATTGAGCGAAATCGCGACTCCAAAAGCGCGCGACGTTGCCGGGTTGACCTAAATTCCGAGCAAGCTTCGGAATTTATAAAAAAAAAACTGTACATCAAATGAAGAGTGAAATATCCACGAGTGCTATGCTATACGGTTTTTGTTACAGTTTTGGGCTCTATATACCATTAGGAACTTGCGCGTAAAAGTTTATGGTATTGTGCGGCCATCTTTAGGAGTTATTTAACATCTCTGACAAACAGGCATATCTTTAACATTAATGTCAACAAATGCTTTTTCGTCAGTGCCGTGTCTTTTACATTTTAAACCACAAAATGAGTGATAATTTGAAAATAATGAGTGATAACATCGATAGTGGTTCATCAGCGAGTATAGAAGATAACATACCAATAGAAATTCAAAGGCAGAGAAGGAACAAAACCGGTAATGGGAACGCAATAGGTTCCTCTGTTTTTGACTTTCTAATCAACGAATTAAGAAGTCGTTAATACTTTGGTCAAACAACTGCGAGGGTCGAAAAAAAAAACCAAGGAATCTTGGCAGCCTCCGCCGCTTTAGTTGCAAAAGGGTATTTCAATTAAATATTGCAAAAATTTCCACAGATCATACATTTCGATCGTTTCATAGAGATTGTGGTTTAATCGTAAAAGTGAAGACTGTGTGTGAAACTAACGTGATTTAGTCAAAATAATTATATGCGTCAGGAAAAAAGCCATTTACAATCAAACACACTGAGCAATTCATCGTGTGGATGTCCAAAGCAAAAGAACCTAACCACCTGGAATATATCAAGTTGTGAGAAGGGACTCGTGGAAATAAAAAATAAATACTCTTGAAATAGCTCCTTTCCGCAGGGTAAAGACTTTTAACCAAAATACTTTTAAAATTGTCTGAGTCAAATCCTAAAAATCCATGGTCAGCTGCTAAAATTAAAGAAATTCCAGGAGACGAGAGAATACACAAACTAACGGTGAATCTATTATTATTTTGATTTATATACCAAATTAGAAATTGTTTTTTAAGTTCATAAAATTGTTTGTTAAGTTTGGCCATTTTGACTTTAAGTTCCGAAAAAATATATTTGTAAACCCTTTTATATTATGTTGATTATAAATTGAAACTTAATGTTGCAAATGTATTAACGTTCTCGTCATATTCCGAATTTAGTTGCCGCGCAGCGATGCCGGATCTAAATTTGGTTCAAAACGTAATTTCTAGATACTTGACGCGGCGTTGCCGGGCCGGTCGGAATTTCCTCAAATCTGGAAAATCCGTCTGGCAACGCTGCCGTCGGTTTTCGGGTTTTGACTCGCCAGGATGGACGCAATTAACAAATTACACCTTAACGACGCAACACGATCTTGTCCGATCAGCCAAAACTGGGATAAAAACGAACGGAATGTGTGGCAGAACCTGCAAACATTCAATGCGACGTTGCCGGGTCAGTCAGAATTTCGTCAGACATGAGAAAACTCTTATGTTTCGAATTTCCGTTAACAAATTGTCGAGCTGAGGTGCCGGATCGAACGCAATGTATATTATGTACGTAGTGTATGTAATCGGAGTCACAATGTTGTCCTTGCCGCTGCACCATAACCCAAACAAACGTCCCACGCGGCGGTGCCGGATCTAACGAAATTTACAAATTTGCCGATACTTTTTAGAGCGCACGCGCGGTTGCCGGATCGGTCGAGATTTCGTTCAATCTGGGGGGCGGGCTCGTTCGATTGTTTGAGACTTGACGCCGACCTGATATTTAACGAATGACTCTCCGACTCCCCGTCTAACGGTCTACGTTACCCGAGTTCACTTTGTCTAGTATCGAGTTGACGTAGGCCTGATGTACTTGCTTGATAAAATCCTTGTTGGTTTTAAGCAGGTGGATCAGGGCCTGCGCCAATTGTTTTTCGGTAAGCATTTCGACGTGTTCCGGGGCGTCGCCCGACAAATCCGCAGACGATTTGACGTTGGCAGGGGCGGTGAACATCATCGGGGTCATCAGCAGCGGTTTTTGCGAGTTCTCGAGAAACTGGGCGAACGGGGACGGCGCGAGACGCTCGCCCGCGTCGCTGTTGGGCATCACGAACGCCAATGGCGACGGCGCCGAGCCGACGTAGCGTCGCGGAGGGGACACGGTCTGCGCCCCAAACCCGTTTTCCTGAGGACCATCATCACAACCGCATAAATAACGAGAACAAACAGAAGGATATTTTTTTTTAGGGAAATTTACAAAAAAATAATCATTCGCAGAGTTACAACAGCATGTATAATACGACCAAAAATGATGAACATATCTATATATTATAACATGTAACTTCAATTGATATTTGAATTCGCGACCACTGGGCCACCTAATATTTAAATAAAAAACCTGATTTTCGTTGTCTAGAACACAATAATAAAAATATTTAGCGCATATTTTTTTTATGTTTTCTATTTTCTTTATTTCACTTAAAACATTTGCTCACACAACACTATTCGGATGCCACTCCTGTGACTCGCCATTGCTAACTGATTTTTTTGCGAAAATGACATTTTTCTTATTATATGCGATTAAAGATTACAGCGGAAGAGAACCAATGAAGGGGAAGGGAGGAGAAGTAGTAAATAGCAACATTATCTCTACAATAAGGCGGTGAAATAACAATTGGTGAGTCATCACGAAAAGGAAAATATGCCGGTGGCGTAGGATATGTTCATTTTTAGAGTTCGCTATCAGTCTCCGAATTAGTGTGCGAGATCAAAACATTTGCGTTATTTTTTACTGTGTTCTCATAGGACGATATTATATATTTCAGCTTGTTTGTTATAAGGTCGTTTGTTTGGTTAGTTATTATCTTTTTTTTTATATAATTATGGAAAAAATTTGCTGTTTTTCGAAGTATAAGGGGAATTGTAAGAACGGACCAAAGGTTCCCAGAAGCGAAGGCCTTTCCGAAAAAATTGATTCTTTAATATATTTTTTTATTCAGTGCTAATAATATAATCTCTACCGAAGATGCTTTGCCCTATGTTTTACTATTCACCTCACGAAGAGTATTATTTAATTAAGCTTTTATCAAAGCCGACTGCTCAAGATTGCTATTGAAAAGTCTCTATGAAAGCAATGGCACATTTAAAAAGGGGTCTGGTAACGCTTTTTTGAGTGCATCTGGAAAGTTAGTTTTGCTGATATCAAAAATAGGTGCAAAAAAATGTTCTGCAAACATTACATTTAAAAAAAACTATATCTATAATTTCAAACCAAACCAAATATAGAAACAACTCACTGATATCTCTTTTACTTTTATCACATAGATATTTTTGTTTTGACACTCAATTCCTTTAGGAATCAAACGGTAAGAGTTTTTCGTTCCAACTAAATTTGATTTATTTATATTTTGATTCTCGTTTTCTTTGGGCTTAAAATTTATATTATTTACTCGTTAGAATTAAGAAAAATAGAATTATTCTTAGCGTACCTTTGTAAATTGTATAATAAGAAGTATATTATGATTCAGTATAGTTGATTTTATAAAAGCCATCCAACCAGATATACTCTTTCACTCTTCAGCGTTTCACGGACTTGTGATGTAGGTGGAACCGACGCATGCATTCAAATTTAAAAATTAATGGAGTAGTGATGTGGGTGCAACCGGCGCATGCACCCAATTTATAAAAAAAAATCAATCGAATGTGGGTCCGACTTACCACAAACCTATCGAAGATGTCGGCGCTTTTGCTCGGCAAATTGATAGGCGCGCTCCGTCTGTCGGACGCATGGCCGACCTGTTCCTGTGGCGTCACCGACCGTTGCTGCTTCTCGATGTGCTCGACGCTGTGGGCGGGGTTAGACATCAGTCTGTGGAGCACGTTTTCGCTCGTGTTACCGGTCGAGATCGGTTTCTGGCTCGTTTTTGTGCTCGCTTTCGCGAAAAAGTCCATGACGCTCTGCGGCGTCATGTCGGGGACGCGGGGCGTCGAGGAGAACGTCGACGACGACGACGCCGCCGCCGTCGCGTCATGCTTGACCGGGGTCTTGTTGAAGTCCTCCTGGGCTTTCGAGAGCATCGCAAAGATGTCCACCGAACTGTCGGTTCCGGCGAGCAACTATTGAACAACCAAGCGTGTGAAAAATAGAAACGCGAGACTAGCAAGGTACATTTGCAATTTTTCTTTTCAATATTTTTTTTTTATTCGCTATGCACCTGGCCAATTCTTAGGACACCATTTCGACACGTAATTTTCGCAATTCCGATTTGGGGTTAAAAAATGTATAACTAAAGCAGCTGCGAGACGGCATAATCGCGTTTTTCAATTATAAGTTCCATTTTTTGAGACATAACCTTGCGTTGCAGATTACTTCAGAATGACTGAACCCATTTTCGTTGTTGTAGATCAGCGGTCGGGGAACCGGGGTAAATTACCCCAAATGGGGTAAAAATACAATTTTTGGGGGTAAAAATGAAACTTTTGTGAGTAAAAAGTATATATTTCTAATTTGCAATTTTTAAACCTGTTAGTATTTTTCAACTTAAACAATTTAGCGACACTACAAGAGTGTTCTCGAGTTATACCTTTGCGCAGTAAAGCACAGCCTCGGCTACTTGCTCAGTGCGTGGTCAAGATACAAATACATTGACGAGTCAGAGAGCGAGTTTTTATTAGTTAGTTGCTGACAAGACCACCATTTTATCATTAATCATCGATATTTGCTTCATATTTTGCTAGTATCTTTGCTGATGAGTTAAAAGAATATTCTGCTTCTGGATCTGATGGAATTTCAAGTAAAATCTTAAAACCGTGTGCCCCTGTGCTTGCAGAGCCTAATTATATTATTTTGAGAAAATCTTTGGACTCTGCCACTTTCCCAACCCACTGGTTATCCGCAAATGTAACACCGATTTATAAAAAGGGTGATAAGCTCGATGTTTCAAATTACCGCCCTATCAGCCTAGTGCGTATTATAAGGTTCTTGAACGCCTTATAGTAAATCAGCTGTTACCGTTTCTGATCGACTGCCATATTATACCTATACCGCAGCATAGCTTTGTTCCCGGCAGATCTGTCATATCAAATACATCACTGGACATTATCTCATGACTCAGGTGATTCGGTGGATATTATTTACCTGGACTTCAGCAAAGCCTTCCACAAAGTGCCACATCGACGCTTGTTATTCAAACTTGAAAAGGTCTGAGTGGGAGGTAAACTGCTACAGTGGATAGCAGGGTTCTTAAGCTACCGGTCGTTCAGAGTTCGAATTGGTTACGCTTTTTCACTGCCACAAAACATGCCTAGTGGTGTTCCCCAGGGATCGGTGCTGGGACCAGTGCTATTCTTAGTGTACACCGTGGATTTGCTCTCCAGCATTGATTCTCATGTGAGCGCTTATGCTGATGACACTAAATTATTTGATAATCCTTCAACACATGCGGACGTATTGCAGAGAGATTTGAATACTATTTCCAAGTGGTGTTCAACTTGGCTATTGCCGCTGAATGCTCAAAAGCGCTCTGTGCTGCAAGTAGGTTCTCTAGGACGATGTAGAATCTGCCACAGGCACACAATTTACGTTTTTAATAAGTGTAATGTGCATTTACATACTTCATTCATGCTTTGTAAAATATCATCAAAAATGAAATCGGGTGTTACCAGTGGTGCGCACACGCACCATAAAATGTTATGCGTTTTTTTGTATCAAATCAGGTTATATTTGCAAAACAATCTACTTTTAGTTGTTTCCTGTCGAATTTGAACTTTCTCTTGTATATTAATGTATAAATTATATGTTACATCTTATGTGCCCCAAAACATTATTTAATGTTTTTTCCCAGTTTACGCACCAGTATTTTTTTTTGCATGATTGGAGTTTTTATTTTACTTCAAAGCAAAAAAGTATTTTTTTTTATGCTTGGGATAATATGGGTTAATTGGCCTCCCCGTAGATTGCTTGCGGCATTTAATTGATTTAATTTTCATAAACATAACATAATATATAACCATAACATATTCGCCGCTGTAAAACCACTCAATAATGCAAAGTGCCGCGTGTACGGAATTTTGTCACTTAACCTAAACGCGTTAGCTTCAATTAGAGGTTTTATCCATTTTGTACTTAAAAAATAATGCCTTGTTATATATAGCATTAAAGAAAGCGTTGGTTCAAGTCAATTTTCGCTAATTAGTTTAAACTTACAGGTAATGTAATTCAAACAACATTAATGTTTCCAAGGGTGTACAGATAAGAGCTTACGCCAGAGTATTTGAGCCAGACCAATAACTAATCACAACGCTTAAATAAAAAAAATAAAAACTTACCCCGTTGGTATTTTGATTAATGTGCTTGGGTTTTGTGTCCCCACTTTTGTCTTTAAACCTTTCCATTAACGTTTCCACGAGTAAGGTTATCCTAACACACTCTTCACTGTTAAAAAACCAAATGCCGAATATTTTACTTTTCGAGTTCCTGTAGAGCAAAAAAGGCGCTTGCATCTGATAATCGAAGTTTTTTACGATGGGCTCGATGAAATTGTCCTTGTTCAGTCTGTTTACTATCATAATACTATGGAAGGGTTCGCCATTCCTACTGTAGATGAACAAGGCGCCTTCTTTATCGGTTTTTTCCCATTCGTTCGAAGAAGTGTTAAATTTATACAACGCTACTTGCGTCGCGGTCGCCAAAATGTCTTTAACATACGGATCAACTCTTTTTATGGACGTTACACTAGCACGCAACTCGATAGAATCGGCCATGATTTACAATACAGAACGATATACATCATAGGACTAGCGCATAAACACGCCGCGAAAGGATCAATGGGATGGTTTTCGTAAACAATTTCCGATAAAAACTGCTGGTTCTTGGTTTTAACAACCTTAGTTCGGAATTGAAAAAACTTACAATTTTTATTTTAAAAAATGCATCGTATATCTTGTTTTGATTATCGCAAAACTAACCCAACTCATATCTATATCTATACATGAGAGCAGCGCAGCTGCCCCTTCACAATTTTTTCTATGCTACCATTTTTATATGACACCAACGATAAACGTAAATATTTTGTAGAAATGGTCCCCTATTTTTGACGAAGTTTGAATAATATATTTTGTCCGTTTTGGTAGAAGGAATACAATTTTATTTTAGCAAATTCAAATCCCTTTTTCTTGTTCTGTGATCTTCTAACTGGCGAACTAACTAATTCTCTTTGTTATGGTTAGTTGAGGTTGGGTTTGTGGGGTGTGTAATGTTTATTTGGTAGTTTATTTTTTTGAGATTTTATCTCGATCAAAAATGATATTTATATTTAGAACATACTCCTATCAGATAACGTTATTATGTTTGACATCATTATCATTAGGTATGTTTACGGTTTTCTTTGTATCTTATTATTTTGCTGACTAATAAGGTGGGATTTTTTAAAAATTAACACGTTATAATTGTTAAAAGATTTTGTTCTGTCAGGTTTGGGGCAAAATGTTTGGAAAACAAATCAAGTGGAAAAATCTAAACCTTCCAAAGAGCAAAACATTATCTGGTGTACAATAAGTGTAAATGAAACAAATAAATGCACAAGCCTCTCCAAAGCTGTGGAACGAGATCAGATTAAGCTCGGCCGCGATACTGTTAAAATAAGTTGCCTTCAGGCCACCAATAAAGATGAATGCATGGCTCTACTTGATGAAGAAAAAGCCACCATGACAACATTAGATGCAGGACAAGTTTTTGTTGGTGGACGATACCATAGTTTAGTTCCCATAGCTCAAGAGATTATGGAAGGTGAGAGACAGTCATTTGTTTTTATAAAAGTGTTTTGAGATTGAAAGAATTCAAGAAATTTACCATTGATTATTGAATTTATTTGATTGTTTTCATTTATTTTAGGTGGCTTTAACTATTATTATGCAGTGGCCGTGGTAAAGCTAAACAGTTTGCCTGATGTTTTCTCGTTGGGTGATCTTAAAAATAAGAGGGCCTGCTTTGCTGGAGTGGAGACCTTTGCCGGCTGGATGCTTCCTATAAGCACTGTGAGTTTTTCAGTAAACTAGATTACCCTTTTTAATTATAATTGCTAGTTTACTTTCTTTTCATGTCCTCTGGCCATCAGCTAATGAAAGAAGGGTTTATGAAAATCATCGACTGCAACAATCATGTTAAAAGTGCGACAAATTTTTTTGGTTCTTCCTGCGCGGTGAACTGCCTCTCTGATAAATACAACCCTATCGGGGATAACTCTGACAAACTATGTCAGTTGTGTATAGGTCCCATACCAGGCAGGAGGTGTACAGATGCGGACCCGTACGCTGGGTATAATGGAGCCTTTAGGTTTGTTGATTTTCTATGTTTTGGGTGAAATTGACTAGTGCTTATGTTTATTCCTTCTAGATGTTTGCTAGAGGCAGGAGAAATAGCGTTTGTCAAGCACAACACAGTTCCTGAACTGTTGGCCAAGTCGGAATACTGTAAGTTTTTTAAAGATTTTTGTTGCTCCTTTGACCATGAACTTATTTGATCATCTTTGCGCATTTAAGCTACTGTGCCACCAGACACATTTGAACTATTTTGTAAAGACGGTTCGCGGAGACCCATATCGGATTATCTAAGTTGCCATTGGGGCAGGGTGCCTTCAGACGCGATTATGGTGTCTTCGGCCGTTTCGTTTGAGCAGAGGGAGTTGTACCAGAGATTTTTAAAAAAACTTGCAGATACGTAAGGGCGTTGTGTCTCCACCATATCGACGCGCAAAAACTATATCAATTTTAGATTCGCTCAAAATGGTACGAAACCGGCGTTTGATGGTCAGCCAGAGTTTGGAAACCGTATCCGGCCAGGTCAGAATTTCGATGAGTATGGTAACAGGGGCAATCAGGGGGAATATGACCAGTACGGCAACAGGGTGCATCGGTTTAAAAGGCAGGATTATGGTCGCGACAGGTAAGAAATACAAAAAACATTCCTACTTTTCCTAATTTTATGCCACAGCTATCACATTTCTGCAGTGTTTTTTCTTGAGCTTCATAAAATTCCTTTAGGTTTGGGGGCAACAGGTTTGGGGACGATAGGTATGGCAATGCCAACCCGTATGACCAGGACAACTACCGCCAGGAAAATCAGGATAGGGTGGGGCAGAACAGTCAGTTTGACCAACAATCTAATAGGTAACAACATCTTAGTGAGGTAGCTGCTTAAACTTATATAACAAACAAAAATCAGGGCTCACCATTAAAAAATATACAATAGAATATCGGTAAAGAGGTGACCATGCTCTGCAAGTACTGATGCGCTAGTGATTAAACCCTCACCTCTGTAAGAAAGGCCCTTCCTTCTATTGAGTTGCTCTGGTATGATCTCTGTTTTCTTTTTTATTATATACAATTCCTAACTTCCCGAGACACATTTCCTAGTCAAACTTCTTCAGTACATTGGCCCCGCCTAACTCTTGTAGTTGTTTCCTGGTAAAACTTTTTCAGTATAGGTGCCTCCTGCCTCGCAGCTTATTCCTGCTTCCTTAGGGTTCCTGTACAAAATCCTTCAGTACAGTTGCTCTTCCTCTCACTTAAGTCCTTGTGTAATTATTTCCTATTCTCTTACGTTTGGCGCAAAAACTTCTTCAGTACATGACCCCCGTCTAAGACTTTTAGTTATTTCCTACTCCCTTATGTTTCCTGGTAAAACTTTTTCAGTGTAGGTGCCTCCTGCCTCGCAACTTATTCCTGCTTCCTTAGGGTTCCTGCACAAAATCCTTCAGTACAGTTGCTCTTTCTCCCACTTCAGTCCTTGTGTAATCATTTCCTATTCTCTTACGTTTGGCGCAAATACTTCTTCAGTACAGTTGCCCCACAACTCACTTCACTCCTCATCACGTAGTCATTTCTTACTCTCTTGTAGTTGTTTCCTACTTGCTTAGGTTTCCTGCATAAACTCCTCTTACAGTGCTGGGATGAATTTATTTTTTTACAACACATTTTCATTAGATTCGGGCAAAACATCCCATATGACCAGAACCAATACGGCCAAGATTTCAACAGGGAGGATCAAAATAACGTATACTACTACGAGTACTTTGATTTGTTCGAGTCTGTTCCTAGATATGGCGACCATGGGAACTTGATGTTCCAGGTGAGTAGCAGCCGCAGTGATACCGATACGAATGTACGATTTATGGTTTCAGGATAGCGCCAGAGGTATTGCAGCGATCCCCGAGACCATGCAGACGTATACAGCGTTTCTAGGAGAGTCCCACGACGTGATAATGGGAGTGAGAGAGTGCCCTGTCAATAGGATGACACTCTGCGTGACGTCGGACGAAGAGAAGAACAAGTGTGTCAAAATGAGGGTGGGGAACATGGAGCTCGATAACAGGCCGTTAAAAACCTGCCTTGTAAATGTTACAGACAGCCCTGAAAGCTCAACTACTCAAACCGGAGATGGATTGTTACAAGGGCCACTCCCAGATCAACTGTATGCAAGCGATCAGGGCGGGAACCGCGGACGTGGCCGTGTTGGACGCCAGCGACGTCTACACCGCCGGTCTGAACTTCGACCTGGTGCCTTTCATCAGCGAAGTTTACAATTTGGAGGATCCCGACTATTACGTGGTCGCTGTTGCCAAAGAGTCGGATCCCGATACCGAGCTAACGTATTTGAGGAGTAAGTTTCGAAATCTCCACAGATAACGGACGCGGAAACGGTAGGCGCTGTTGCCGTTCCGACTTATTTACAGTGTTGCCTTTTTCGGGCGCTTTTTATGACAGCCGGCAACTTTTGCTACGCTGTCGCTGTTGTTTTGCCCTTTCCGGTGTGCTTTTTTCGTTTTATTTTTTTTTAATGACTACTTAGACGTGTTTTTCTTGCCTATTATGGCGGCGATCTCTCTATATTTGTGCAAGCGGTATTGTAGTATCCAGGAAAATACAATTTATTTATGTAAACATGTTTAGCAGGTCTGCGCATTACAAATTTGAGTTTTCGAAGCTTGCAATATGGTAACATTTCTGTGAAATTATCAACAGTTTACATCAAATTAATTGATTATCTATCTAGTGACTCTGTTTCTACAAATTCGCCGTGTCTCACAGATCTCTCTTTTATCTAAGCAATTTAAAAAGCGGTTGCAAAAATATCAAAAATATTTAAAAAAATAAAATTGGATATACTACGTTTTTGTTTGTGTTTAATAACTTTTAGTTTGCCTATTGCCTGCAAAATTTAACATATGGTTGGTCTGAAACCTGATTCAAATCTAGTTTTTGAAGCAATGTGGTCAAAAACTGGCACCATTCCAAGAAAAAGATTTTTTTTTAACCACATTTGTACGATATCTTACAATTGTAGTGGGTCCCAAAGTAAAACAATAACTGTTTATGACAATAAAGACAACAAATAATTTATTAAAACAATAAAATGTAAGCAAGAGACTCGCAGCTTGAAAGCGAAATTCGTCTAGAAATATTGGTCCGGAAAATGCAAACTAAGGGTTTTCGTGAACTTTTGGTTTGGGAGATTATTAACAATTTTAAAATCTAAATAATTTTTTTACACACTTTTAATTTTGGAATTGCAATATTACAACACTTCAAGTTATGATTATGTAGATTTGCGTTGGATGGTAGGTTATATTTGGAAAGAAAAATGTGTGTGAGTGAATAAAACAAACAGATCCAGAGGCAGATCCATATTTCTGTGATGTTGGAAAAATGGCCAACACGCTGAGTTCAGTTAGAGTGGTATGATTGTGTGAAGTTTACGCCATATGTAAAAAGCTTTCCGGTTAACAAATAACTGGGAACGCAATCATCATTGAAATGTAAAATCGCCAATACTGTCGCGTTTTTCGTAGCGAAAAATACATGCCACGGCGGCATAAGCATGGCCGCCGGGTGGGTGTATCCCCTCGCGTTCCTCATCAGCAACGGATGGATACGACCCTACGGTTGCAACAGCGTCCGCGCCGCTGCCGAATATTTCACGAAGAGCTGCGTTCCGGGCGCCATAAGTACCGAATACAATACCGGGGTGCCCTACGACAACATGTGCGATCTCTGTCACGGAAGCAGTTATCGATATTGCCGCCGGGACGCCTCAGAGGACTACTACGGCCATACCGGAGCTTTCAGGTCAGCTTTTTTACCTTAGAGTAGTCTGATTTTCATTCTTAAAGCCCTATTGAACGCGTTTACCAAATCTATAATTCTATTTACAAATCCTTTGGATTCCTCGTGCTTCATTTACTGATGTTTCACCAATCATGTGGCTAGCATCTTCAGAACTTAACTGAAACTGATGCGCATTCTACTCTATATCTGCTTACATACGGTTTGAGGGGGCGGAGCAAAAGAGGGACATGAACATTCCGACAATTCAGAGTAGAATGCAGCTTGAGTTAAGCTCTGAAGAAGCCAACAGAATGTGAATAGTATTACAGTAGCCTGTGACAGATTATTTGAAAGATCTATAATTTTTAATTCCAGTTCCAAGAACATTGAAATTGATTTCGAATTTTTTTCGATTTTTGAAATTTATTTAAATTGAACGATATTGTTTAATGTCACTTTTTGTATTTCGTTAGGCCTGTGTTATTGTTCTTATAACATGAAATTAATGGTGCGAAAATGTTAGGTTCTAATTTTTCCAACCGTGGCTTTTCTGAGGTACTTTGGACAATCAACAAGCCCATAACGAGCTCTCCCCACTCCAGTTACTGTAATTTGTTAAATAAGTTCCCGCCTATATCGCAGTTTAGGATTGTCAGAACAAACTATTGACTGGTTTATGAATGAGTAGAGGGGTCCATCTTTCATTTACTCTAGGTTAGTTCCAATCATAGTGCCAAATTTAAAATGAATCAGTCACTCGTGTGTTTACGAGAATTGGCACAGCGCTTTCCAGGTACTTTGTCATATATTATTATTAGCTTATTATTGTGATTATAATGTATTATGAATTGTACTGTATGTTTTTATTATTTTTATTCTTGTTTTTTGGGTAAATTGCGATATAAATAAATAATATTACACATCTTATGTTCTACAATTTAGCCTTTATTGCTATTGTGCTCGATAAGTATAAAAAATTAATAAATTAAACATAAGTAAACACTGATGTAAATATGTAATACATGTTTTCTTCATTTTCCTTTTTAAAAATTTTAATAGATTAGTGGTGCCAGTCAGAAAATAGTCTTATGACTATAATATAAAATGAGATGTTCACGTGGCTAACACAGTAAAAAAAAAATACTTAGTATATGTTTTTTATAGACTCAGAGAAATATTAACAAGAAAGCAGTTATTAAGAATTTATTATAGTCTTTTCCATAGCGTGGCTTGTGTATAGGCCGGGGAGGTCCTTACAAATCATCGAATTGCCCGTTGGATTGGCTTCAGAAGCGTGTTCTTAAAATTATTGTAGTAAAAGAACAAGATGCAGATACATCACTGAGTATTAAACAACCGTTTGTAGTGAATTCTATAGTGTATCAAATATATACAAAATATATCAAAGATATACAATACCTAATGAACTGAAAAATCTCAATATCCACAAAAAAGTGATAAAAAAAAGTGAAAGAAAACAGAAGTGTTCCAATCGAATAAATAAAAAGTTTCAGTGAGTGGTTGTAAGTTATTTTAGGGCCAGTCTTTTAGTGTAAAAGATGTTTTTATCTAAAAGGAGTTTTTGGTAATAAATATTATTATTATTTTGTGAATCATAACCTAAAGTTTTCAAACAAAAGGAATAAACTTACTTTTCCATTTCTATATTCAAGGATGGAGGGTCTGATATAAACAACTAAATCAGTCGCTGCTAAAACTCGATTTCGAATAATGAAAAAAAGAAAAACACTAGACCATATGTGGGCGGACCATGTCAACAAAAGTGACGATTTTAGTCACGCCAAACGAAGCGCCCTTCGATTCAGATTGATGATCTTTGATTGGCTCGGCACCGTTAGACGTAACGTCATGCTTTTCAGGTGCCTGGTCGAGGGTGGCGGTGACGTGGCGTTTGTCAAACACACGACCGTGTTCGAGAACACGGGCGGCAAAAAGAGGGAGTGGTGGGCGAGGGACAACCTGCTCGAAGACTTTGAACTGTTGTGTCCGGACGGCACGAGGGCCGAGATAAACGAATACAGGAAGTGCAACTTGGGGCGGGTAAAGGCGAACGCTGTAGTGACGAGGGGCGGCTACGGGTACAACGAGACGCAGATAAACGCTTACGTAAACTTGTTTCTCTACGCTCAGACGTTCTACGGACGGAAAACTACGGACGAATTCAGGTGAGTCTGGCGCAAAAACGGTTTCGACTAGTCTTTTCATTTATTTGAATAAAAAAAGTTGGTAAAATGAGGAAAAAGGTAGATAATGAATAATCGTAAACTTTCAAAACATTCTTTCAAAAATTTTTCTCTTTTTCATTTTTATGTTGAAATATTTCTGATGATGCAAAAATAAATGCATTTATAATATTCGGAAATAAATTTCGCATAGTCGACAAAATCTTCTCTTGCTTGGTTACCAGTTAACTAAAAAATTTATATTTTTAAGAAAAAAAAAAGGGTCGTTTGCAGTAAGCAGGTTTTGAACCTAGGCTGAATGGAGAATCTGATTTCTAGTCAAACGCCTTAAGCGACAGATTAAGACTAATTTGAATGTTGAAATATTTTTGATACACTGCGATGGAGAATCTAATTTCTAATCAGAAGCCTTAACCGACATGGCAAGACAATCTATTTAAATGTCAAAATATTTCTGATGTGAATAGTAAAATGTATTTATAACATACGGACATGACATTTTCAGAATTTTATACCCTCAATTCGCATAGTCAACGAAGTCTTCTCTTACTTGGTTAACCGTTAACTAAAAAATTTATATTTTCAAGCAAAACAATGGTCGTGTGCTGTAAGCAGGTTTTGAACCTATGCTGCGATGGATTCTGGTCTGAAAAGTAATATACCGTTATGACCTTTTATACCCTCAATTCGCATAATCGACAAAAGCCTTCTCTTACTTGATTAGCTGTTATTATATTTTTAAGAAAAACAATGGTCGTTTTTGATAGTTTGTGAAAAATGTTACTTATATCACTTGCCCCGTCACACTACAATCATAACCTGACGTTTTCGTAGCAAACTGTAATAAAAAAAAATCCCCCCTCACCCCTCCCAACCTGCTGGTCATTTTTGGTGTTGCTGAACAGTGATCTGATTCATTGTTTTTTGATCGGTTACACCAAAAAAGTGACGGTAAAGACACGCACCCGCCCTTTATTTCCGCCATTACGTTTGTTTCGTAGTTTCAGCATGTTTACGTCACCCCCGCCATACTCCGACCTGATATTCCAAGACGCGACCACGCAATTGGAGGTGATCGACCCTAGCAAACGATATTACTCGACATATTTGGGCAAGGACTTCATGCGCGCGCGGCGTATAGTGGACTGCCACGCTGGCGTCGACCCCGCCCACCCGGTTTCGCTGGCCGTTGCCGTTACGATCGCGTTGGCGCTGGCGAGAACTGTTTAAACTATTTTGTGTTCGTATTTTCATGATCCGACTTTACCAGCATTTATAGTTTGTCGTTACGGTTTACCTCGTAGTTTTAGCGATACGACTTTTACGCGTTTAATCAAAGTTACTTTGTGCGGCTTATATAGGGTTCACTCCATACGGCATCGAATATTGTGGCCAAGATAAAATTATTTTCATACTATACAGGTTGTATAGTGCGCTGATTGGCGCGATATAGCCCACATCCGCTCATGCTACGAGGTTTTCATTACATTCATTCATTTGTGTTATCTTATTACCGCACTCTAACATAGCTAGGGCCTTCTGGCAGTTTCTTATAGCCTTGGAAGCGCTACGAGGTGTGCATATTTAAGAGACAGATTGATAATAATGAGGTCTGCCTACTCATACCTGCTTGGCAGGATCACTTCATAGGGTCCGTCAACAATGTCTTTGGCATCATGTCTGGTGGCACAATGCCATAATCTGATACCGTGTCCAGCAAATGGGTACGTTCAATCACACATGGCTGCGGTTTCACCAAAGCCGCTTGAAAAAGCCCAGTAAGGTATAACCATGGACCCATATATTTTATATCTGAATTTTAATCTCAATTCTAATAGCTACTTTAAGTAGCTATAAATTGATTAATTTAAATTTAATTCCATATCTTTTAACTTACCAGGGAATGTACTTCGATCATTCGACTTCATTCTTTGCGTGTTCGCAGAATATACCAAAAAGTTCTTATTCTCTGCCACTTTATTTAACACCCACATAAAAAATGTATTTCGATTGTCAAAATTATTTCCATAAAGTTTGTGCTACCAACTTATAACAATGGATTTTTTTTTAAAGAATTCTTGAAATACTTTCATTAATCTTTGAATTTTCTGTACTGTGTACCAAAACATTTTCTTTATATATTTTTGTTTTTCTCATTCCTTAATATTTTCGTAAAAACGATGGTTTCTTTCAGCATAAACACGAACGCGCAAGAAAAAATAAATCATATCAATACGCCCTTTTTTTTTTGGGTATATCTTCACTTGAACTAGACTACTTCAACGCAATCCACAAGACAACAATTATCAAAAATAATACCCCTATTGCGAAATGAGACAAATCTTATAGCCTAACTGAATTAGAAAGAATAATAATTGACAGGTAACTGAAAAGTATGGTGTTTCATTTAAATGAATCAAGTTATAGCCACTTAAAGGTTTTAAAGATGTGATGCTTTTTATATTTGAGATATAAAACATGAGTTAAGTTTTGATAAAATTCACATCGTTAAAAAAAAACTTTAAGGTTTAGATATCATAAGTCTCATTTTGGTCGTAGAATCTAACAACCGGGGGCTCATACTTTGATACTTTTAACACTTGTGGGAGAACCTGTATAGTATAAAAGTGATTTTAAAGAGGGCGTCGTATATACGAGATATTTTGCATTTAAGTCTAACCCCTCTACCATTTGATAAGTATCGACAATCAGTTTGACATATCAATCTATTGTAAGCTCGGGTGCCTTATTAATAACTAAATCATGAGCAAAAATACTAATCTGAGGTACTGAGGACCCTGGGTACATCAGTAGAAAGACCGTGCCAAAAGTTATTCAATTGTCAAAAGTTTTTGTAAATTTCCGTAAGCTTTATCAAAAAAATATATCAGTCATAATTCGTAGATCATAAAATTATGTGCAAAAAAGATCCTTATACTTTTTTCCCGGTACATTTACTCCACTTAAACCTTAAAATCACAGTATCTTTGGACTGGTGATTTCTAGGAAAAAAGTTTAAGGACTATTTTTTTGAGATAACTTTATGTTCTACAAATAATAGCAGAGATATTTTTTTGAAGAAAGCTCTAAAAACCCGAAAATTTAAAACTTGACCTTGAATAACTTTTTTAACATACCTGCGGTCGACGGGGTTTTTGGCATTTTATTTCTACACGTGTACCCAGCGCATCCACCAATATCCAACTCTGTCGGAACTTTTGTTGATTTTGAATTTTTATCTCATTTGGCTGGATTAAACCTATTAATTCGAATACGTTATATGAAATTTGAGTAAAAAGTAGCCTTGTCTTGATTCGGTAATACGTTTTCCGGATTTTCTATTCGAATAGTTTTGCATAGTATTTTATCGTATTTCTGCACGACAAAATAATAAATAAAATCCTGAAAAGAACGTCGGAAATTCTTCCGAGCGCATTTTTTGCGTTTCAAGTTATTTTAATTTTAAATTAAGAATTTACTGGATCCGGCACTGTTGTCGGTAGTTCACGTTAATGCTCATTGTATTGTTTTTAATTGTATTTAATTTTCCGTCCAATGTATACATTCCAATGAACGTTTTTTGATTTTTATAATGTTTATATTTTAATAAATATGGTCAAATTTTTTTTATCTGTATTTTCGCATTCAAATTTACAAACGACAGACAAATTTCATTTACGAAATGGATAAATAGCGACAACCGACAAACTCGAAAAATTAACCACCTTCTTCTTCTTCTTCTGTTTTAGCGATAGAATGGGTTTTTGCAATGTGGAAGGGGTAAAAGTGGTTTCAACAGGTTCGATTGGCTGTTGGCAACACTGTACGAAGTAAGTAACACGAAAATAAAAAACTTGTAATACAAATGTAAAAAATTTTAAAAATACATATGAAATGCAAAAATTAAAACAACGACTCTATAAAATTTGTTGCGCAATCGTAATCCAATATCGTGTCGCGTATCTCTTTTAACTTGTCAATGTTATCCTTATGTACTTTCGTGTTGACGTTTTTGTACCTTAAGGCAGTGATCGATTTATCGACGATGTAATGGAGCCACAGCGTGTTGGAATACGGCTCGAACTTTTCCCAGTCATTGCTAAAAACAAAACAACACTCTCGGTTTCGATAAGGCGACTCCAAGAAAAATAATATTCTCTGTTTTATGAGTAATTTAAACTTCATATTTATAACTGGCAAATCTCAATGACATAAACTTGACCCTTAGGTTGACGTTTGATATTTGTTTACTGTCTTACGACGTCACTGAAGAGGAGCATTCAAAACAACACTTTAAAAACGAAACCAAATTAGTCGTGGTATACTATGAACAATAATATTCTTAAGGACCAAGAATTTTATGAGTGATTTACCTTAACTTCACCGTGTGATGTCCAACTATGTATAGAGTCACAAATAAATTGAGAAGATATTGAAGTCAATAATGGCAATTTTGAAAATAATTTTCAATTCGATCCAATTCAGCATGGTTGCCAGTAGTAAATCAGATTATTTTATTTGTTAAGGCACGGATAAGAAAGTAATAAACAGTGACCTACAGCGGTATTATAATTGGATTGCATTGGATACAATAAAAATATGTAAATGAACCAAAGTGAATTAAAACAAGTGCGATATTCTATCATTTTAGGAAGTTTCTGTGTGAAAAACATTTAAAAATTATGTATTTTGCACATGAATTAGTCGGCTGGGGAGGGATAAGAAACACCCACATACTGCCATTAGAAATATTGCCAAAAAAATAAAAATCACAAGTAATAAACCATATATACGAGGGCAGCGCCAAAATTTCCAGGCCTGATTATGAAAGAAACAAAGTAGAGTAACAATTTTTTATTATTTTTCAATATTATCCCCCTTAACTTCAATACACTTATTACATCTCTGTATTAACAACTTAATCCCTATAGAAAAATATTCTTTTGGTTTGTTTGCAAAATGAACTAAAACAGCCTCTTTTAACTCAGCTTCCAAACAAATAATGGTCGCTAGGGGCCATATCTGGACTATAGGGAGGATGATCTATCTGATGGAACCCACACTCTAAAATGGCAGCTTGTGCAACACCAGCAGTATGGACAGGTGCATTATCGTGCAAAAGACGCACGCTTCTGGTCAGTTTTCCTCGAAGTTTTACACGTATGCAGTCTCGCAATTTATGTAATAATGTTGCGTAATATTGATCATCGACAGTGGTATTAGTTTCTTTAAAATATATCAAAAGAATTCCTTCACAATCCCAAAAGATCGTGGCCATCACCTTTTTTGTTGACTGGCGGACTCTGAATTTTCTTTGAGGTGTTTCACCCTTACGACGCCACTCCATTGATTCATTTTTCGATAGAGGGCCATAATAGAGAACCATAGTTTCATCTCCCGTCACAATACTTTCTATCACAGGCTTCGGTTCCGACCCACACGGTTCCAAAAAAGACCGCGCACACTCGACACGGCGTTGTTTTTGAATAGCCGAAAGGTTTTTAGGAACCCATCTGGCACTAACTTTATGCATACCTAAATGATCATGCAGGATTCGATGAACACTTGTATCAGACAGCTTAGTAATATCTGAGATTTTCTTGACCTTTAAACGTCGATCACTCAATACCACCCCTTCCACAATCGCAACAATATCTTTTGTTATGACCTCCACTGGTCGACCAGTTTTTTCGGACACGTCTTGTTTAAAATGCTGTCAGTAAAAACTATTTGACGCAAGACTTCAATTTTTTTTTCGCAGGCTACTAAGATCTATATTTAAAAGAAGACAAAGTATTATCGTGATACTGGAGCTGCATCTATGTCAGGCCGGGAAATTTTGGAGCTAACCACGTATGTATCCATCAGGTCTATTATACAAAAAAGCTAACATCATGGACATACGTCAATTATATGCCAAAAATATTCCCATATTTCTCATGAAGTATCCGCGATACTTAACACCAACACAATATCTGTATGGCACTACGCAAAAGTCTATGGGACCTGTGATTCCCACAAAATCTCAAAAATCTATTGTTGCCTCATTCGATATGAGAAAGTTACTCTCAAATTTAGTTAAAAAAAGAGTAAAATAAATGTGTGAAAATAAATAAAAAGCAAAGATGTTATGGAATGTGTAAACATTGGACTAGCCACCTTCAGAAGTCAGTCAAACGGCTGAATAATAGAACAAAACATCTCTTGAATAATGATTTGGCTGAATTGCAGCTTAGATATCTTATAATGTGCTGGAGTTGCACTGGTATTGCAAAATTAACCACTAAAAAGTAAAAAATAAAAAAAAATGGCTATTTTTGAATAAAGAACTGCCCGGTATGTAGATGTGTTCAAAAGTTTGGCGAAGGTCGTATGGAAAACATGAGCCGTAACTTCAAAAAATATTTAATTCAGCTTTTACTAAAGTTGACTTGTTGGCATATTTGTAGTATATATGAGTTTTTCGCTTCCTTGGTGTGATGAATCATATGTTAGTGTTGCATTGTTGTTATTGGTAATGTGAAGGAAGGTTTAATTAAGGACCTCTAAAAATTCAATTTTTTGAGGTCGCGATAAATGATATTCAACTTGATCCTCAGTTTGACGTTTGACAGCTATTTACTGTCTGATGATGTCATTGAAGAGAGGCATTTTAAAATTTATTTAAGCGCAGACTTTTTAATGGCCTAAAAGCTAAACGTACCCGTTCCGCCTCCGCATCAGTCTGTAAACTTCGAACTGGTAATCACCTTGGGCGACGAAGAGCTCCGGGTCCTGCCCCAAATCGTTATATATCACCACGCCGTCGTGTTCGATCCTTGAGAGCGTGAAATCGATGATGGTGGCGCGGACACCTCTCGTCTGAATCTCGTTCCGCTTGTCTTTCAGCTTGTAGGACAGTTTCGTGTTCCTGTGGACACCAAGATCCGTAAACACAACCATCGCTTCGAATAACAGGTAAGGAGTGCGGGAGGTGAAGCCAGAGGTAACAGATCGAGTAGTGAAAGCTTGGTCATTGGTTTGACGATAGAATAATATGGTATCCCTAACCTCGTAGAGAAGGATATCATTTTCAGCTCATACCTCTACGGGTCACCCACTAATCTACATCTTGTGCTATTTTCTTTCTAAACTTTCACACACTTTTTAATAGGAATATAGAATATAGAAAATAGGAAATAGGAAACCTGTCAAAGGCTTCCTATTTTTGTTCTAAACGATTTTATAGTGGATCTTTTTTATGGAACTTGCCTGCTGACGCCCTCTAGCAGCACATTGCCCCAGTGCAAGTCGCGATGTTCGAATTTTAACCGTTGCTCGGCGACGGCCAAAGCGCACGCCACCTGTCGGACCATCGACAGCGCCTGCGCCGCGTTGTTGAACTGGAACGCTTCAAGGTCTGCGCCTGCGTTCGCCAAATCGAGAACGATGTACAGCTGACTTTCGTCGAACATTTCGGGCCGATCGTTCTCCGAACCTTTCTCCACGTCGAACTCGTCCCACAAGGCGAGCAAACGTTCCGGGTACTTGCCGTACACGCAGCATATCCGTTTCACTTCGGCAAACGCCGAACTCTGATTGACCACGCCCTGACGTAGCCCCGACAACTCGCTTTAACAGAGTTCAGGGTTTAATAACCCCAATATTTCATTTATTTCTCTTCTATATTAAGCTGTAACAATTGTAACGGGCACATATATTTTATTCACTGAAAATGGGTATATATTTCGTTTCTTCATGCGAAAAAGAAACAAAATGTAAATTTGTAATGACAGGGTCAATTAAATATCATCAAAACAAATCGTCATGTCTCGAAGAGACGCGATTTCAACAAACTATAAAGATTCAAACAGATTTTGAAGTCAAATTCAAGTCAATATGTTTTATTGCCGATTAAACTAAATCCCAATATGGCAAACCGACGTCAAACATAAGTGTTAATATTTTTGCTCTGATAATATAATGCAATAATATTACTTTTTCCAATAAAAATGTAGTGAAATGTTGCCTAAATAAGCTAACGATATGTTACTCATCAAGGCCGATTTGAATATCTAGTTCTGTATACTCTTTGAGTCAATGCCGCATTTTCATTAAGACTATACCCCAACCATATCGACAGCTTGCTCATCTGTAAAAGGCGTTTTATTGGTTTAAATGCCGTAATTATGTGTGCCAAAACTACAAATTACACTATATCTATAGTAAATAATATGCTTTTAATACAAATTTTGTTGACAAGTTGATTTTAGGCATGTGTTTTCCTCCTGAGTCTTACATATTATAATTGAATCGAATTTTATTTTTTTTTAACTAAAAATACTTTTGTTATTTCAAAATTATAAACGAAAAAAATAAATAAATAAAATTAAAACTTGATGGAGTTCAGTCGTTTAGAATTTACAGATGGTTTATTTAAATAACATTGAATCGTCAAACAGTATTAAACCAAATATTATTCGTATAAATCTTAGCTTGTAAAAACATATATTTTTGGTAGATTGACCAGAAGGATCATGGTGAAAAATTACTTTTAAAAATTACTCGTATAAAGCTCAGCTTTTAAAAACATATTTTTTAACAGATTGGCTAGAAGAACCGTGGTGAAAAAGTACTTTTAACATTTAAGATGGTCGTTACGCCCTCTGGCGACCATCTTGGGGATCGAAAAATATTTTTCACGTTCTTCTGATAAAATTTTTTTACTGCAAATTTCTACTACTTATAGTTTTCGAGATACAGCACAATGTCGAAAGCTTTGGAAGTCTGTATAGATCGTAACCACATTCTAAGTCAGTGTACGTTAATAAGTTCAACTCAGTATTCTATCCGATGGATGAAATCCAAACTGCTAATAGTTTCCGACGAAAAATGATTCAATCAACATAACACTTATAGTGTACCCATGTACTCATGAATAAAATTGTACCACTCGAGCCTGATATTTATTTGTTACATTACAAGAAGTCTACAACATCCTGTATAAAATAGCACGGTAAGAATGATCAAGCCAATTTACCAATATAGATAACGTAATACTTACGATGAGATTACGATTTCCGATAGAATCTCGTCGAATTTCTTCTGTCGGTCGCCATTGATCTCCGTGGCTCCCTCTATCGGTATCACTTTCATTACCGTCGACGATCCGTCCGGGTTTCGGTACAAGAACACTTCGCCGTATGCGCCCTCGCCTATTTTTCTACAATCGCGCAGCAAGCTGCAATTTCAAAAATGGATCCAAAATTAAACAAAAAAAAATGAACTGACTCAAAATAAATTTTAAACAGTTATTTTAAATGCCCATCCGATAGGATAGGAGGACGCATGACCTATACAGGATGTTATGTAACAAGTGTCCGATATTTGACAGGCTGATTGCCTCGGAGATACAGGGTATCAAAGTAGTGTTGGGGCTGGAGCCAGACATTTAATAGAATAATGTACACATTAACTTTAAAAGATATATAAGGTGAGTATTACAAGCAAATGTGCAACTATCAACACTTTGGCATAAAAGACCCATTCACTTTGAAAAGAAAACCTAGAACATTGGAATGCTCTCAAATACATTTCAAATTAAAAAGCATTGACCGACAGGAGCCTCTTAAGGTGTTCTTTAAATTGCTTCGTTGATGTCCTGGTCCCACCAACAAGTTAATATAAGAACCAAGAAATCATGTGATTCAATTGATTCAATTTATGTCTAAGGTCAAGCCAGCAGGATGATAAGCCTAGTAAACTAAGCCCCAACTGTCTTCTTCAAGTTTACTGACAAGTGATCTGAAAAAATCTGAGTGCATTTCATTTACTGTGACCTTTATTTTCCTATCAGATCCATTCATTGAGAGGCTTTCTTATTCCTGGTATTCTGGCTTCTTTGCCGTTATGTCCAAGGAGTGAAATGCGCGAGACAAATCGAAAAACATTCCAATCACAGTCTCTCAGATATCGAGCTAGCTGCTAGAGGGCGTTTTGCGACATTACTACAAATAATCAATATTACTTTTATTGTAATGCAATACAACCTTTCGGAATATTTTCGGGAGAATATATATTAAGTCTTATTTTTAACTGCATATTGAATGTTAAAACTAATGCTAATGCTAGGAAAAAAACATTTTGATAATTTTGTCATATTTAGCACAAAAATTAAGGCAATTTTATATAAAGTTGTTTATTTGTTGCCATATAAGTTCAGTTAGTGGAAGGTGGCTGTGACAGCGACAAAACAAGTGCTAGAATGCTGCTTGCGTATTATGTTTACCACAGAGGAAAAGATATGTTAGAAAGTTACATATCATGCAATAAAAACCGGACCCTGGCCCTTAGAGATTACGTTAGAAAATTTCCAAGGACATATTAAACAACTGTTAAAATAATTATTATCCTTTGTAAGCTATTAATTTTTTATTGATCGTTCAATACCAAAAAAATCACCAAGGTTACCGCTTATCCTTGGTCTTATTTTATATAAATAATGCACACATAATTTTTGGATCTTCATAAGCTCATCGGGAAGATCAACTATGAAATGGTAAATCATAGTGGCAGCACGTGTTCAAACGCCGTCATAGCCACCTTACATTAAGTCAACTTATATTGCAACAGCATATTATTGGCCGTTTTTTTTTTAATATCATTTTTAATCGTATTTTTCGCGTATCCTGTATTATTTCCCTGTATATTATTTCTCGCAAACTTCATTTTTCGCATAAAAACGGTTAGACCATTACGCACAAAAAATGTCTAGAATTTTGTGTAGAATTCAAAAATGATGTAGTATACCAGGTGTTCCATTTAAAATAAGAAAGTTGAGACTCGCCCAAGAAAAATTAAATACCCTGTATATACAAAATTAAAATAAATTAATGACCCCAATTCACTTTTGGCTCCATGTCTTATAGTTTCTGAGATAAGGTAGTGTCCCAATCTAAACGGCCCACCCTATACATTGTGCCAACAACCCAGTGGTCATAAATACTATACAAGTCGTATAAGGAGTCATGATTTTTTGAAAATAAAAGTAAAATTAGGAACAATATCTGACGTCTCTTGTCAAAAAACTTTTGGCTACGTTTTTCGTCGGTATCTATTCAGAATTAAAACAATTCTCGTTTTTGTTTCCCCGCCCAGCTCACCTTTCCGGGTAGCATTTTTCAAACGGCATTGGTTCGCTTTGCCGGCATTTTTGCAACACTAAATCCTTGGCAGTTATTGCGGTAATTATTAGGGGGGATTGCGGTCTCACGCTAGCGTCAACTTCCGAATCTTCAGCTGAAAAAAAGCAATGCCTATTGGATATTCTAAGAGTCATGTACGAGGTGGTCCGTGTATGAATGGGAAATAAGGTTATTTCAGAACCTGTAAAAAAAAATAAAAAAAAAACAAAAAAAACAAAGACAAAAAGTTATTTCGTTTCACTTATACTTTTAAAATATCTTATGGTTGTATATATACTGCATACTGCTGAACAGTTCCAAAGTTCACTACTGGAGCTTCAGTGGGATGGTTGGCACTCAAATGTTGACGCGATTGCCAATAGATTTGTACAAGATATAACTACCATATTAAATACAATGTGCCCCAAAATAAAATCAACAAGGAAGCAGCAATATAAATATAAAGCATGGATAACATATGAAATAAGGCAAATGATGAAAGAATGAGATAAAATTTATGTCAGGGCTGTTCATCACAGAGACGTTGGAGACTGGAGTGCATATAAAAGATTACGAAACAACATCATTAATAAAATAAGGTATGAAAAAGGCAAATACTTCAGAGAGGTGATAAATGAAAGCAGGCAAAATTCAAGACAGCTCTGGAAACATTTGAAGACATTAATCCCGAATAACAATTTAATAAATATTTTGTGCAGAGCATTGAAGATATCATATCGGCAATAACTAGACCATCCGTCAATTTGATGTATTTACAAGTTATACAAAATTGTTACTTTACAATAGCTTGGCGGCGCTATTGTTTAATAGACCTAACTATAGACTAACAGAACTTCAGAAAATACAAAACAGGCCAATTTTAAAATGTAATAGATATACACCTGTGATGACTATGTTAAATGTGTTACCAATATTAACTGTAAAGCAAAAAGTAATGTTTGATGCCTTTAAATTTATATTTAAGATAAAAAATAAAATGATGCCACCATACATTGGTAATAGGGTTAATTACTTTAAGAATGTTCATGACTATAACACTTCATCCTAGTCAATCGATGTAAAACTATGCATATGTTGAATTCCATTTTAAATAAGGGTTTGTTAGAGTTTGATAGGCTGCCAAAAAATATTAAGGAGTGTGATAATTTAAATGCCTTTAAAGGATTAATTAAAACTTATGTATTGTCTGAAATTTTAATTTGATTTTTTTTTACAATCGTTTCTGCTGTTATAGACTTTTGTTTTGTGTACTTTTGTACCCGTATATTTAAAATGTAAATACGATTGTTTTTTGTTATAGCTAAAATAAAATAAATACATAAAAATATATACAGGATGTTTGAATTTTTGTGGACAAATAAATTTCTTATTTTAAATAAAACTTCCTGTTCATTTTTCAAAGCGTTTCTGATATATTTTGAATTTTTTGTTAAAAGTGGCGTTTGCAGGTTTAAATATATCTATCGAAATTTTCGCTGAAAGGTATTATTATATATTTGGAGTTGATTTCCTAATAGATATGTGTTGATATTTTAAAAATAAGTAATTAGAGACTGGCCCAAAAAATTAATATTAAAAATGGAAACATTTAAAAAAAGAGTGACTGTGTATAACTTTTCTTACCTATTTGAAAAAAATGAAAGATTTCCAAATGTTGGCAACAAAATGCTTTTCCATTTTAAAAATTCCGAAAAAAAAACGAGTAAAATAAATATATACTATAAATCATGCATGGTAATTATGTTATTAACAGAAAAGTTTTCAAATTTAACTTTTTAAAAATAATTTTTAAAAATGCAATAAATTTGATCAAAACCGTTTAATTATTTGCTAAAAAAAACCAGATGGACAAAAAAAAACAGCGTTTTAAATGAAGAATAGAGATATTTAAAAATGCAATAGACCAGAAATACAACCTTATTATAAAAAAATATTATTTTTATATTATTATAATTGTTAATATAATTACATATTTTTTCTGAATTAAATAATAATTTTTCTTTTTAATTTGTAATTATTTACTATTAGCATTTTCTCCATTAATAAGATTTTTTAGAAAAACGTTTTCTAGGCTTAAAATAACAATAAAAAATGGCAGAGTTGGGTGGCATAAAACCATCAAACATTGATTTTGACTTCTAGTTCTAGATTTCGACGTCATAACATTTTTAGAAAAAAAAGTTTTATTGCTAATATTTCGAAATCTCTTTTTCAAATAGGCATACTTAAAAAAATTAACTTTTAACCATTTGTCCATTTAACACACCAAGTCGGATAAGTCGATAAATACATTTAACCTTTCAAATGTCAAATCCAAAATATGTCAGAAACTTAGGTATAAGATATTATATACGAAATATACCTAGAATGATACGAACAACTCAAAAAATATTTACTATGCAGGGTGCTTGAAATAAGAAATTTGGTGCAGTATCATTCCATAATAAACGCCATACTATATGAGACGATTAAACAGTATAACCGACGACGTGGAACTTCTGGAAGGCGCTTAAATCGTATTTAAGTTCTTGATGTAACCGCAAGATGGCGGAATATAGAAATGGCATATAATGGTAAAAAGGAAATATTATTTTTTTCCCTTTGATTAAAAATAATAACATTAAAATGTTGCTTTCTTTAAAAAACAAATCAAGAAAGCAAACCTTTATAATTTTACTAGTGAAGGACATCTTTAGGAGAGCGTTGGATGGAATTCGGAGTGGAATAAAGATAAATCTGTCTGAAGCATGGGATCTTCCTGTGGAGATCAAATGTCGCATAGAAAAAGATGACAACACTTTCACTACAATGAAAAACCTACTCACCAACAGATACCTCAGTTTGGAGCTGAAAAAACGAACAGTAACAGACAATATCGGAGACTATGGACAAACGAATTAATACCTTTGAGAGGTGGATTTACAGAAGAATCCTGAACTGATACTATGGGAACGTGATGAGAAATAAAAATAAACATCGCCTATTACAAAACATCATGCAGGGCAAAGTAGAAGGAAAAAGGAACCTTCGAACATCGAATGGTGCCACCTTCACCGAGTTATTGGGATGTGCTGCCAATATGATGATCACCAACATCCGAAACGGATAAGGCACGAGAAGAAGAAGAAGAAATGTAAAATACTTAACCATATTGCGTTATATTTTTGGAAAAGCAATTTTATAGTTATTTTCAATGATTCAAAAAGACACATAGTATCCCATATAAAAAATCGATCGGTTTACACGTAAAAAAATCAACAGCGATTTTTTAAAAATCAAAAAATTTTGTGAAAAGTCCTCCACAACTCTGGAACTTTTTTTTACCATCATGAAATTGGAACTTCCGGCAAAGGCTCCTTTTACAAACGGGAGTCGAATTAATGAAAAAGTTAAAAATAGCTGAAAAACAACAGAACCCAAGTATCCATTTTATAAAAGGGAGAACGTGCGAAACAAATTACGGAAATTAGGCCACTCCGTATATATCGACTTACTCAAAATGGTTTTGGCGTAGTCCTGCAGGATCGAGGTTTTCCTGCTGGTTACGTTGCTCACCACCGGCACTATTCTCATCGATTGCCGCCTCTGCGAAACGGGGGCGGGGCTTTTAGAATTCAACACGCTATACCTCCGATGATCTCGCAGGGACTTTCGCCATAGTTTTCCCGCTCTCAAGGTTACAAAGCTGAAAGAGTCCAGCGGCAACGGCAACTTGAAATCGTCCTCGAGTTCCGAGTGTTTGAAAACGTCCGTCAAGTTGGTAACGTTGCAAGATTCGGACAGCGGAGTTTTCAGTGGCGTCCTCGAAGAATTCGGCCAACCTACACCTTTGTTTAACAAATAAAAAGTAAGGGTATGTTTGTTATAAAGTGTCCCAAATTATTCCCATATCCAATGGTGGGGCAAGGGCCGCCTTGCTGAAGTTTGTTATTATTTTTTGTGGTTTTTAACGATCATTTGACTTTACTTGTGGCCGTCATGCCCCACTCTACCCTATTTATAATGTTATGTACAATAATTATAGTTATTTATTAAAAAGTATTTAATTAAAAAAACGTTACGTTATTTTTTTATCAATTAAAAAAATTGTTATTGGTATTTATAAGATTTTCGAAAGCTCTGGCTTTAGGCGAAATCCACAGAATTATCCAAAAAATAACACTTTCCTATCCACCCCTAGTAAAAATGTCTTAAATAACAATAGATCAATTACAGAATCAGCTTTATGAGTATTTCGAAAATAATAATATATGATCCCGACATCTTATCAATATGATTATAAGAAATCTAAGTCAATAGTTAAAGCTATCTCCAATCTTATGGACAATGAGGCCTTGAGAACTAAAGGTTCATACGGACGATTTGCTACGACCGTACCAATGCCTTCTACTGCATTTCCCAGGGGATCATTGTCAAAAATGGTAGAATTTTATGGGATCACTGGAAACAACCTAAAGCTAATAAAAAAATTCTTAAAAAATAGGGGTCATCAGCAGTGCAGGTATCCACAATCCACAAATGGATATGAATAAAGATATTGAAGCTTTGGATATGGCAATGGGCGTGGGGCTTAGTATGGTTTGTTGCAAATTGACTCTAACTTAATACATCATAGATAGAAAAAATCGGAACTTTCAATTGAAGCTCATATTAACATAGCTGCAAGAAAATTATCCAACCCAACGTTTCCTTACAGAAAATCTAAAAAACACTGCCAAGAATGAAATAATAAGGATTCTTCGTGTTCAAGTTCGGGAGTTTTAACAATACCTTGCAGATATATATTGGATTGCTTAGTTTATATAAAAGAAACTTAGGGTAACCTATAATACTTTTCATTCTTATAATACCCCTGCCAACAAAGATTGGAAAAACCTAGGCATAGCATCAACTACACTATCGAAGAAACGTAGAACAACAAAATTCATTTTTATTTATGTTTGAAAAAACTATTGGGTTGTGCTTTTTGGGCTAAGTTTAATAACACACCATATTGCATAAGGAAGCATAACATTCTGGATGATATTCCTATAGACAAATCGGTCCATCGTGTCATTAATAAAGTAAAGGCCTACCCCGTTCCATAAGAAACAACTCCATAAAAATACACTGCCTTAACCATGTGTAATTGTAGGTGTTACATATTTAGGATTAAACCGATTGCCTCACAAGTTCCATTTTATCAGAATTGAATACTGTGTTGCGCGTTTCCTCACAAGTTCCAATTTATCAGAATTGAATACTGTGTTGGGCGTTTCAACACTGAATGGAGTTTTTTTCCAGTCATCGACGTTCCAGATTAAATGCCCAGCGCAAACGTAATCTTGCTGTTCTATTTCTTCCCGAAACTCACGGCTTTTCAGCTGGATCTGTATTAAATAACTTTGCACATACTAACGTCCTTCATACTGTTATAGAGCAACCATTATTTCTGGAATTTAGGCAATAATTTTAGGTACGCACTTCCAAGGATCATTTTAAGCAATTCTTTTAATGCGTCTGTTGGTCATGACTGTTCTCGTCTTCTTTGGCCTTCCCGATTTTGCCTTTCTCTGTGTCCCCTTAGTACACTGGGGCCTTAAAATATCGACTTGTTTGTTACCTTTCACGAATCCATACACAACTCTCTACTTCAAGTTTTTTAAAATTGGAATTCCTCTTGACTAAGCACAGAAATGTTCAAAAAAATATAAAAAGAAACCTCACACAATTGAGTTGGCTAAAACTTTGCTTTTGAACCAATTATTTGAATGTTGCTTTACTTTTCACTATTAAGCATTTAAATCTAAATGTCATAATTAATTCATTTGTTTTGTTAGTGAAAATTCCTGTTGTCTCCAGGATTTGCAAATATATCTCAAAGTGCTGCTCTACTTTTGTCCGATTTTGCCCCAAAATTCTTCAATAAGCTAACAAATAATATTAAACAAATAGAATTGAAGACTTTCACATTAAAAATAAAAACTAAAATCTCTTAAATAGTGAGATAGAGTATATTGATTTTTAAATAATGGTATATTGACCTACTTGTGTATTTTAACCATTTTTGATAGCTTTAACGTAATTACAAAAATATGACGGGTAATAAAAATACTTTGATAAATTGGTTAAGGCTTTCGCGGCCCGTTGATAAGCTATTATCTTGGTTCGGGTTTAAAGGCCGTCGTCGATTGGAATTACTTCCTAACGTTTCGCTAGCACGAGTGGCGAGCTTCTTCAGAGGTCCTTCCATCTCCGATGTTGGACGTAGACTGACGATTTCTCCTGCGCAGGTTGTATTTATGCCGATTGGTGGTGGGCGGGACTTGTTCCGCTTCGGTTGGTCTCGGGATATCGATCGGTACTGCTCGGGCGTTCCTAAGGATCGGGTTCCAGATTTGGTTGAGTCTAAGGGTCTCCTCCTTTCGGTTGAAATTGTGTGGGTGTTTTTGTATCTCAATGGCTTCCCTGACTAGTCTGTTGTGATAGCCGTTGACCGATGCTAGTAACTTACAGCTCTCAAAGTGTATCCTGTGTTCCCCGCTGCCCAGTGCGTGTTCAGCTACTGCAGACTTCTCTGTATGTCCTAGCCTGCAGCTTGCTTTATGCTCCTTAAGTCTCGTTCCCATTGATCTCTTGGTAGTCCCGATGTAGACCTTTCCGCATGAACACGGAATGCGGTAGACTCCTGCAGCTGAAAGTGAGCCCCTCTTGTCCTTCGCTGACCTGATGGTCTGCTGGATCTTCTTTGTAGGCTTAAAGATTGTTTTGATGTCGTGTCTTTTCAATACTCTGCCAATCCTGTCGGTGACACTCGGAATATACGGCAGATATGCGTGGGAGGTGGAGGGTCGTTGTTCGGTATCCCGTGATCTTGATGATCTTGAGTTCATTGATCTCTCGATCTCCCTCTTGCTGTAGCCATTTGCCTCGAACGCAGTTTTTAGGTGTTCAAGTTCCATCTGGAGGCTCTCCGGTTCGCAAATCCTTCGGGCTCGTTCTGTCAGGGTTCTGATAACCCCATACTTTTGACTTGGGTGATGGTTGGATAGAGCATGCAGGTATCTGTCCGTATGGGTTGGTTTTCTGTAAACTGTGTGGCCCAGCTTCTTACCTCGCTTCCTCACTAGTACGTCCAAGAATGCAAAGTACCTCTGAAGAGTTGCTTGGACCTGGTGAACAGGATATTTCCTGTCGATATTTGCAAACTTTCGGCATAAATACAACCTGCGCAGGAGAAATCGTCAGTCTACGTCCAACATCGGAGATGGAAGGACCTCTGAAGAAGCTCGCCACTCGTGCTAGCGAAACGTTAGGAAGTAATTCCAATCGACGACGGCCTTTAAACCCGAACCAAGATAATAGCTTATCAACGGGCCGCGAAAGCCTTAACCAATTTATCAGACGCCTCTACGGGGAGGAAACATGTAAGCAGTATCAACGACTGGACAAAATAAGGAAGCAAAAAGCGCACTTACTCGCCACTTTAGCGTTTCTGTGCCGCTGCCGGGACACCAACATCATACCAGCATTCCTTAGACAAAAACGAATTCTCCAATCAGTGAAGGCAAACAGGATCTACGTCAGGACTGAGAAAGCTTTTCTCCGGGGAAAGAATTCACCACACTCGTCATAGCCTTGCGAAGACGGACGAGGAACTTCTTGGCCTGCACTTGACACTGGGCAACAAGATCGAACAACAGAATTGGGACAGAATGGATGCAATCTCACATTCCAACATGAGGAACGAACTGGACCGCACAAAAGAGCAACAGATAAGGAAGTACGAGAAGTTTGCGAAAAAACAAGCGCCCAAAACAGCAAGCCTAGACAGTGAGCGACTCGTGGTTAATATGACGGACAGAGTACTCACGGAGGTGGAGAGAGCAGTGCTAACCAAAGGAGGGAACTTCGCAATTACTCCCCGTCACATTCCGATTGAAGAGATCATCTCCAGCACGGAAGCAGCCATCAAGAACCTACCGGACCAAGATGCCGAAGAGATACGAATCGAGACAGCCAACATCCTCAGGAAGGCAAAACCACCCAAGACTAACCTGACGAGAAGTGAAGGACTGGCACTGCGTAGCCTGAACACGGATGAGGGTATCATCATACTCCCAGCGGACAAAGGAAACGCAACCGTTCTTCTGAAGACCGAGGAGTACGAAAGGAAGATTGAGGAACTCTTGGACCCGGGAAGCTACAAACCCCTGAAAAAGGATCCGACGCAAGTTAGACTACGTCTTACCAACCGGCTCATCAAGTCATCATCACTGTCAGAAGAAATCAAGAAGCGCATTGTGAGGACGGAGACTGTTCCACCAAGGCTCTATGGACTACCTAAGATACACAAAGTAGATGTCCCGTTAAGACCAATAGTTAGCGCACCCAGATCACCAACGTATTACTTGGCTAAACACTTGGCATCGCTGCTCCAACCACACGTAGGACACGGCACCAGTTACATCAAGGACTCCACCGACTTCGTGCGCCAAGATTCAAGACATCAATATTGAACAAAACGACATCCTTGTGAGCTTCGACGTCGTCTCACTGTTTACCAAAGTACCTCTGAAGAGTTGCTTGGACCTAGTGAACAGGATATTTCCTGTCGATATTTGCAAACTTTTTGAAGTCTGTCTGACCGATAGCTATTTCGTGTGGAAGGGAAACTTCTACGAACAGCTGGACGGAGTGGCAATGGGAAGCCCACTAAGCCCGGTTATAGCCAACTTATTTATGGAACACTTTGAGGAAAAAGCGATCGAGACCTCAGAGTACAAGCCAGCAACGTGGTTCCGGTACGTGGATGACACCTTCGTGATTTGGAAACATGGTATGGACAAGCTCAACAACTTTCTGCAGCATCTCAACAGTCAGCATCCCAGCATCCAGTTTACTATGGAGACTGAAAATGACCAACAACTTGCATTCTTGGACGTACTAGTGAGGAAGCGAGGTAAGAAGCTTGGCCACACAGTTTACAGAAAACCAACCCATACGGACAGATACCTGCATGCTCTATCCAACCATCACCCAAGTCAAAAGTATGGGGTTATCAGAACCCTGACAGAACGAGCCCGAAGGATTTGCGAACCGGAGAGCCTCCAGATGGAACTTGAACACCTAAAAACTGCGTTCGAGGCAAATGGCTACAGCACGAGGGAGATCGAGAGATCAATGAACTCAAGATCATCAAGATCACGGGATACCGAACAACGACCCTCCACCTCCCACGCATATCTGCCGTATATTCCGAGTGTCACCGACAGGATTGGCAGAGTATTGAAAAGACACGACATCAAAACAATCTTTAAGCCTACAAAGAAGATCCAGCAGACCATCAGGTCAGCGAAGGACAAGAGGGGCTCACTTTCAGCTGCAGGAGTCTACCGCATTCCGTGTTCATGCGGAAAGGTCTACATCGGGACTACCAAGAGATCAATGGGAACGAGACTTAAGGAGCATAAAGCAAGCTGCAGGCTAGGACATACCGAGAAGTCTGCAGTAGCTGAACACGCACTGGGCAGCGGGGAACACAGGATACACTTTGAGAGCTGTAAGTTACTAGCATCGGTCAACGGCTATCACAACAGACTAGTCAGGGAAGCCATTGAGATACAAAAACACCCACACAATTTCAACCGAAAGGAGGAGACCCTTAGACTCAACCAAATCTGGAACCCGATCCTTAGGAACGCCCGAGCAGTACCGATCGATATCCCGAGACCAACCGAAGCGGAACAAGTCCCGCCCACCACCAATCGGCATAAATACAACCTGCGCAGGAGAAATCGTCAGTCTACGTCCAACATCGGAGATGGAAGGACCTCTGAAGAAGCTCGCCACTCGTGCTAGCGAAACGTTAGGAAGTAATTCCAATCGACGACGGCCTTTAAACCCGAACCAAGATAATAGCATAAAAATACTTTGTATTTGGAAACACCAATAAGGCTTTACATTCCTTTACTTTACCTTTAGCCATCCCCTTGGGGCACTGATTTTCCTTGTCGCTTTCTTCAGTTATATCCAGCTCAGTTTTTCTGTCTCTGGCAGTCACCGTTTTCTGGTCGCCCTCATTCTCCGTTACACTTAAAGCTAATTTTTTGTCGTTGGAGTACATACTCGCACTATTTTCGAACTTGGATTTGTATAAGGGCTCCCATGTGGACTTTACTTTGCGCTGGTCGAAAGATTTCGATATGTCAGTCATGGAGGTACTTTTCCGGTACTTGTTAAATTCGTTGTCTGAAAGTTTCAATCCCTCCGAGAGCGAATTGGTCGAGTCAAAAAATATCCCCGGGTTCCAATTCATTGTGGGCGGGGCTTGCGCGCTTCGTAAAACCTCCGCGTTAAAATTTACAATGTCCGTCTGCAAAGTGTCGGCGCCCAGAAAATCGCGATTGGTCGCTAGATCGACGAATACACTTTTGACGAAATCGCGCCTCGATTTGTCTGATGTGGTGGATGCGCCGGGGAAGCCCTCGAATTCGGAACTGCTGTCGAAGGAATCGTTAAAACACGACCCGCAGTCGAGATTCGAACAATTTGTTCTGTGGTTTATCAAACTCACTACCAATTCTTTGCGACCAACCGAAGAGGAACGCGAACTGTTCCTTGATGGGGTGGTACAATTGGGGTCGATTTTCGCGCTAGACCGCTTGTTGCGTGTCGATCGGCTAGGGTCAGGACAATCTGAAAAATTAAATTACAACTAAAAATGTGTCCTTTAGGTAGAATAAAACCCGCCCGAAAAGGGCTGAAAACAACGAATTAAAGATTTGGTTTAACAATAGCTATTAAATAATACGGACTTTTTGCACTTCTTATTTAGGCGTTGTTTTACTCTATCTTTTATTTGAAGCGTCGGCACTTGATGTGAAATAACCTTTTCCTTTGTTACGCAATTAAGTTCAACCAACTAGAGCTACTAGAAATATGCCTTGCCTATGCTGATAATATAGGAACTTATGAAGCAACTGTATAAAAAATAAGTACTATGATACTTTCCTACTAAGCCTAATAAAGGTTCGATATATTGGCTAGTAAACTCAGCCACAAGTGTCTTCTTTAAGTTTACAACCAAATGACCTAGAAAAAATTGAGGGTTTCATTTACTGTGACTCTTATTTTCCTTTAAGCCATATATGATAAGGTCCAATAATTGAGAGGCCCTCTCATTCCTAGGCATTCTGACTTCTTTGTTATTATATCCAAGTTTAAGCATAAAATGCGCGAGATAAATCTAAAAACACCACAAACACGGTCTCTCCGGTATCGAGCCTATCCTAAATATGTTTGACAAGTTCGTTTTTTTCTGGAAGGAAAACGATTTCCATTTGTACAAGACTTTGTCAAGCGCTTTAGAAAAACAACTATCTATTGTTATAGGTATATAATACTGTATCAGCTTTGAATACCCTTTTTTAAACACAGAGCCATTTTCGAATGTAGAGCTATCATATCTCTACACCCTTTAACAAGTTAAACGGCTATTTGTTCAATTGCGAAAGATCGTTTGTTTTCGTGAGTTAATGAAGGACAGCGCCTCCTCCACAGCATATAGGCGAATGCATCAAAATTTATTTTATATTCCCTAATATAAAAAACGCAAATATTAAAAAAATATTTACTGTTAACTAATGTCAACTTTTTAGACGTGGTTAAACATCCCTTAGTAGTTGTAGTTTTTAATAATAAACTTTATTATTATTATTATTATTACATTGTTGAAAAATATACATACCAGATTTTTCTTCTTCCCCCCTTTGAGAAAATCTCCCTTCACATTCATTAATTTCATCAGTTGACGACTTTGTTAAATTTACTGAAACTTCTCTAGCTTGAGGGTTCCATTTTTCACTTTGTAAATCGGTCAAGGATCCCTTGGGAGAGGTGCATTTTCCTAAGTCATTCAAAGACATTTGGACCAATTTCACAACTAGCGGTTTTAACTGTTGAGTTCCATTTTTGATTTTACTTTTTTTTTTTAAATCAGCCGTTTTGTTTGTAAGTAAAATGTCGTCCATAACAACTATCAAATTTTTCATGTTAAACTTTTCATTCACAGAAAGAAGTTGCCTCTTTCTGAACGATCTCCTCCTTGTCACGCAGGTATTCCTAGAGAACTCATTAGACTCGCCCCCATATTGAAAATTTGGTAGGTCTTTGTATTTCTCTTGAAACTCCTCAAACTTTTTCAAACAAAACGACCTAGTTTGCTCGGTTACTGGATATGTATCATTTGTGGCGTTGGTTTGGGTTATTTTTTTTTCGAAATTTTCAAATTCGTTTAAAGAATAACTCCGACTGTTAAACAGTTTACTGTTTGGTACACTATCATCTAACTTGGTGCCAAACTTTCTTAATGATCGGCTTGCAAAATTGCATCGACTGCCTAAACCATCATTGCTAGTATGCTGCTTATCGTGCGCTTTAAATGCTAAGCTCGAAAAACTGTTTAGGCTATAAGACCTAACTAAATTGGCACTTCTCACTTGAGGAGTTGGATAGGAACAATTCCAGTCTTCTATTTCTTGAAGAGATTGCGCAATCAACTCTTCCACCTCATTGTACTTGTGTATAGTGGGTGAAATATCCCGTTTTATCACATACTTCTTATTAACTGATACTAAAGGAGTACTGGCATGGATCTTCTCCTTCCAAGAATTGGAGAAAAACGAGGCATTTTGAGTAACTTGAGATCCTTCATATTCATGACTTTCGGTGTCTTTGGCAGTTTCTGTTAGCATGCGAGTGTCGTCTCTATTGGCTAATTGAATTGGAATTTCTTGAATCGATACTTGCTTTATCACAGACATACCTGTTAATCCCTTTTCTATCTCTAAACTATTGTCTATTCTATTTTTCGATAAAGTCTTTTGTTTGAACCAGGAGTTTGTGTCATTTGAACTATTTGATTTCGCTATATTCAGACTAGATTTGGATCTTGTGAGAATTGGGGAACGCACATCAAAATTTAAACTTCTAACTGCAGAGGATGTTTTTTCACCGCTCGAGGAATCAACATTACCGGCGGTATCTTTAACATTTACCTCATTAAATTTAACTCCTTTAACAAGCCTGTCGAAGGTATTGTCGATGTTAACATCCAATGACTCATTAGAAAGGGCACTTTTTACGTTTTGCGGCAGTTCTTTTATTAGAATTTTTTGTTTTCGCTTTCTTCCTCCACCCTTAAGCTTCCGTTCGGTTAGATTTTTAGCGAACAAAATGTTCATGGCATCAAAGCAGGTAATTGAAGCACTAATTCCTCTGCTATAAGTTTTGTAGACTCTTCCGAACGCTCGCTGACGACCTCGCGACGTTGGAAATATATCATTCTTATTCATTTTTATTAACAATTAGCATTTAATAAGTTGCAATAGCATTTAAAAATTGCAATAGCATTTATATCAATTATAAGGATTTTTTAAACTGACAGCACCTTTAACAGTCGGCTTCTGAGGTCTATAATAGAGTTGTGTCAAACGCGATCGATTCGGTCACTTTGATTCAATCACTTCAAAGTATCGAACGACCAAATCGCGCTTGTTCGCAACGACCGAATTCGCCGGAATACGATTCAATTGAATGGCTTAAGATTTAAATTCATGACTGAGACAGGTCACGGAAAAGGAATGGGAGTATTGTTATAATTATTCTATAATATTGAGTTCCGACATCGATCTGTAGATTTGCTGATGTGTAAAATTTTAATTGAAATTTAATTTAAACAAATTAATGTATTACTGGTACAACCCAATACGTAGCACCTATTTTAATAAAATCATGATGCAATAAAAAGCAGAACACCGATAATTATTATACTAACTAGAACAGAAAACATAACATAGACAAACCAATAATTCAAATTCAAATGAATCTGAATCGGTGTTCGGACTGATCGGATTCAGTGACCATTGCCGCTTATGTTGGCATCAAAAAGTATTGAAATGATTCCATTCTTTTCGAAATCGGTCACTGATTGATTCTGTCCCCGTAAAATGAACGATTGACACAACACTAGTCTATAAAAACCAGAGAAAAGAAGTTCATATTGCTGATAGAAGTGGTAACTTTATTTTAATGTCCTTGAGCGAGGAAGACTAAAAAATAATAAAACGTTTTTTTAAGTATATTGGAATAAAATTACACGAAAATAATTTTAACAAAACTTTAATCCAAAATACACATTAACAATATAAATCGAACACCAAAACCCAGTTATTGTTAAGATAGGGAGCTCTAAAAATAATAATATCAATAAAACGGTCGTTCACAAAACACCGTGCGCTCCTTCTATTTGTGTTTTGAATGAACTGTTAAAATCGGGAATCTTGCAATCGTTTCGGATTCGGATATGAGTCTCGGTCTCCACTTTGTCATTGGTTGGAACTTCGGAATCTTTTTTTGAGATACCATCTTTTGAATTAGCTCGTTTACGTATTAAATGCTGGAAAGTCGCAGAAGCTACTAGAAAACCGCAATTATTCACCTTTTGTATTATTTAGAATGTAAATTCAAATTTTGCAAAACAGATAATAAAGTTTATAGTTGTTCTCTGCTGTAAACAAAAATTTTGACTCAACCTAAGCTGTTCAATGGTTTACGATTTGGCACCTGTCATTGTCAAAGCAAATTATGTCTTAAAATAATTAAATTTTCAAACGTTTTCGGAAATAGTTCCGTTCTTCGTATCGATTGCGTGCCGTTAAAATCGTCCATGGAATTAGTCGCCTTGACCATTTAGTGACAAAAATCCCGTTTGCCATCGACGACGTGTGGCGACCGGACATGCAACGGTAAATACAAATGATGGTGGGCACATTAAAAGTATGCTAGAAGTGCTGCAGATGTTCTTATTTTTGTTCAAATCGAAATACAGACGAAAACAACTTTTCTGGCAATTATTATGCTCTCTGTTGGTCTTAATGTGTGTGTCGCAATTTGTGTCCAGCAAATGTATTGATGACCCCGTTGTGTGTGGAGGTAATGGTGTGTGCAAAAACGATACGTGCGTGTGTTACGATGGCTGGCAGGGCCCCTCCTGCCAGTTTTGCGGCGGTAAAGTCAGGTAAGATTGTACCAGCAATCATTACATAGGCCAGCAGACAAACATTTGTCTTGTCCAGATTGGGCACCTCCAGGGGAACAATTCACGACGGACCAGGAAATTATTCTCTAACTTCGAAATGTAGCTGGTTAATAGACGCCCCAAATGCCACCATCACATTGCATATTGAAGAGTTTGCCACTGAATGCGGCTGGGATCATTTATACGTCTTTGACGGGGATTCAGTTAATTCTCCATTACTTGCCGTTTTTTCCGGCTTGATGTACACGGACGAATACAGGTATTTATCGTGGAAGGTGCCAAATATTAGAGTAATATTTTTGCTATTTAGAAAATAGCATAAACATCTCATTTATATAGAAGGTGTGCCACACAAAAAAGGTGCTTTGACAATGAGTTCATTTACATTCATACACATAACTAGGTGACATTTATAATAAATATTAATTATAACATGTTTTGAAATCACCCTAACCTTTCTTCTTATGAAATAATTATACAGGGCTTCAATTTAAAATATATAACTTTGATGTGCTATCCTTATAAATATATATATAATGAATCTACACATTGAACCCTGTAACTTTTGTATTAAACTAGTTTTTATAAAATATAAAATAAAAAAGCTAGGAATGGTAACATTTAATTGATCTCCCCTGTACCGCATATTGTTTGAAGGGTGAAAAAAATTCCCGAAGTAGTGGCCCAGTCGGGCTCCGCTCTCGTCCATTTTTTCAGCGATGACGCTTACAACATGTCAGGTTTCAACATCACTTATCGGCTGAACGCTTGTCCTTCTGTGGTAAGTCGATTAATGTAGAGTTTAACGCGTTTCTTGAAACTCAAACGTGACAGATATCTGGCATCGACTGTTCTGGCAATGGGATTTGCATCGATGGCGTCTGCACTTGCGACGGCCGCTGGGATGGTATCGCTTGTCACTTGAGGAAATGCCCAGACGATTGCGGAGCGTCGCAGAACCGGGGCATTTGCGAGCCCGAACGGGGGTATTTAGTTTAGTTAGGGTTTGGTGGATTGTCAGGGTCATGTGGATTTTTGTTTTAGTTGCCATTGTTTTGGAGAGTACAAGGGGGACGACTGCAGTCAGGTGAGCGGTAGTTAAAACTTTATTCATTATATTACTAGTATTCTTTTCTAGCTCGCAAGTAGGGGCTATTGGGAAATAGTCAGTGTCCAGGGCTTTATACCTCCCGGTTCTGCTTCCCATGGGGCGACGGTGTGGAAAGATTCCATGTACATTATAGCCGGTGAAAGTTACAATCGTGGTTCATTGATGTATATATATGATTTTAATGGTAAGCCTTTTGGCAAACTTTCCTATCTATTAAAATGTCGAAAAATGAAAGTCGCGGAGCAAAGTTTAATTTTAAGACGAAAATGTAAGTATAATTTTTTTACTGTATAAAATTGAACTGTAAAACACAAAAAAGGAAAAAGTAACCTCAACAAAACAATCATTCAATTGACCAAAAGGATTGAATTTCGATGTTTTCATCAACTAAAAGTATAACTTTTTTGTTCAAATTTCATATTTTAATCAGTTTTGGTGTTCGCCAACTGTAATACTATTGTTTGAAAACATTTATGTTGTTAAATATCTCTTTGAGGTTTGATCTTTATTTTACTGTCTGGCTTTTATAGTATTGTAATTTTTAGTATGAATGAGCATATTTTCATGGAGACTGTAGTTTTGTTGAATAATTTCAGATTAAAAAAAAATGTAACCAATGAAAGTTAGTATAAAGAAGGCACTCTCAGTACATCCAGTTGCGTAGGACTTTGCCCTTTTATTCACATAGTGAGCATATTAAAACTATGCTAGAAGTGCTGAAGATGTTCTTATTTCTGTTCAAATCAAAATAAAAAATGAGAACCACTTTTCTGGCAATTATTATGCTCTCTGTTGAGAAAAATTATTACTATTGTCACAGAACAGTCAGTGCCCTATGCCATTGTTTTCAATTTTGTTGTCAATATCTTCGTAACACACTCATAAACTTGGCAAATACGAGGACCTAATAGGATCTTAGAGAAACAGTGTTCCCTATATATTTTACAGTTAACAACTGGAAAATAGACTTTCAGAAATTACTAAACAAAATTCGCAACATTTTTAGGTACACTTAAATAGCTACAAAGAATGTTTGGGTAATATGTTTTAGTGTACTACTAGTGAAATATAAGAAAGGAATTAAGCTACAAGTTGAACTTTTACTGGAACAAGCATAACAAATGCCCATTGTCAACTACTGTCTATAGGAGGGTTTTCTTGAACATTTTTTTCGCTTAGATGTTGGTAAAACCTATGAGTTTATGACAACTAACGTTTTACGCCCATTTACAAGCAAAAAAAATCGGAAAAAAATAGCTTACATGAAAAAATCCATGTAGAAATTGTACAGGGCTTAAAGAACAAAAACACTAAATTAATTACAGAATTATACGCGTTTACTGCAATTCTGCACTGGTTCTCCACATTTTAACTCCTCCTTTTGCCTGAAAATTAAAAACGGAATTTTAATTCTCGCCCAAGCGCAAAAAAAAATTACATTGTTGCTTTATGAGTTCCCGTACTGTCAGCAGAGGCAGGGCCTCTATATGTCTAGTAGCTATATGGTTCATGTTAATTTCGACAATCACAAAGCGTTATTGAAATTGAAACAAGCATTTGAGTTTTAAGTATCTGACCATTTATTTTTTTTAATTTATCACATTCATTTATTGTATAGTACCTTATCAAAAAAAAGTGTAGCCATGAACTGGGATCCGCAGATTTTCTCCGTTTCTAGTATGAACCGTGCATATTTTCATATGAACCATAGTTTCTCTAAATAATTGATTTTTTTTAATAAATGTAACCAATAAGTTAATATAAAGAAAGAGTTGTGAGTACATCATGCCTTTTAAGGTAGGTTAACCATGGATACAAGTTGTTTTTTTTTTGCCTCCCAACATTCTAGTTGCGTCGAACTTTGCCCCTTTCATTGTACGAACTACTTCAGGCTGCGCCCCGTTTATTGACGTATTCTAAAAAATCCTTCAAACGCAGGCAACGTGTGGGAGACGCCTCACGTCAAGGAAGGTCCGTCGATTCGTTACGGTCACTCCACGGTCATCTACGGCGACAAGATCTTCCTTTACGGGGGCGTGATGGGCAACCGCGGGCCCACCTCCGAGCTGTGGGCGTTCGATATCAGCGCGAAAATTTGGGAGAACATAACGGTGAAAGCGGAATCGTGTAACGGCAGTTTCCTGATGTGCGGCCCGTTAAAATCGGCCGGTCACACCGCCACCATCGTCAATAACAACACGAACAAAAAAGCGGACAAGATGGTGATCATTTTCGGCCATTCGCCCCATTTGGGGTATCTCAATACAGTGCAGGAGTATTACTTCGGCACGCGTGAATGGCACATCGTGAACACGAGCGGTAAGGCGGGGGTCGGATGGTGGGGGTATTAGCTGGATATGCACAAACAGATTAAGATCAAGGAAAATTATTCTCTCGCCCAAAAAGGTTGTGGAATTGTGGGATTCCCCCCCGGATTGCTAAGTATCATATTCGGGTGTTCCTTACAATTTATTATTAAATAATGATAGATAACACTCTACAATTGCAAGATGACGAGGCAATTAAAAAGTGGTTAATTGACCAGCCTCAACACTAGGAACAGGTATACACAGATAGTAGAGTAAAATAAGTGAAAGTTTTTTGAAAAATTTAAGAACAAAATAGGAGGAATAGGGCAATTTGAGGAATTCATGGTTTATATCGTTATTAATTAGGGTATTATACTAGTGAAAGGCCTGCATAGAAATCGGCTCGTTGTGAACTTTGACTTGAATTTCATTTTTTTTAAACTATTGATCAGATAAAAAAAATATGCTGTTTGAAGGACAATTGAACATACGAGTTTAAATTGATTAAAATGTATATTTGCTTTTTAGGTTTAACGGCACGAGTCAAATTAACTTTTTTTATTGCTAAAAACAAATAGGGTTATTGATAATTAGCAACTCAACACTTATTTTTTAATAATGGGTATGACATCTCTTAATCAATTACGCATGGATCTAATAAGTTCGCTATTTTTTTTTATGGAATGTTAAGCCTCTCTTCCGCTACTGCAACAATAAGCTCTTGGATCGAGGTTGGGGTACGAAGTCTATCTCGAATTCTCCGTTTTAGTTCATCCCATTAATATTCCATCGGATTGAGGTCGGGACTGTATGCTGGCCAATGTAGTCGACATCTGGTACCACGTGATCTGATAAAATACCTTCGATGTACCTAGTACCTGTTGAACATATCATGCAGGAACCACCTCCATAAGGGCTCTGCTCTTCATTGTACCGTCCTGCAACTTTTTTTCGGCGGTCTCTACCAAAAAGGCATATTTTGGTCTCATCTGAGAACAGAGCAGAGCCCCCATTGGTCCAATTTCCAATTCAGATGATCCCGTGCAAAGCGTAGGCGTGCTTGTAGGATTGTTATAACCTATATGTAGACTTGTACATTTGTGTGCATTGAGACGTAGCAGCCAGTCCCTTGCCCATCTTTCCAGTTCAGCTAAATCTTTAACTAGGCCACAATGTTGTAAAGTTGGGTCTCCAATAATCTTAGTATCGTCAGCATACATACTAACGTTGCACATCGTGTGCTCAGCAAAGTCAGAGACATAGATTATGAATAACAGGGGTCCCAACACTGATCACTGAGGCACTCCACTCAAAACCTCCCAATCTGAAGAGAGGCAGCCATTTATCCTCACCCGGATGTTCTACATGAAAGGTAGTCCTTGATCCATCCCAGCAATTTCCCTTTTATACCATTTAACGATTTAACAACTCCACATAAAAGAACATTATTCACGTATATTTCTGACAAATAAAGCTAGAAAGAAAATGAACTACTGTGCGTCGCGTCGTTCTGACAACTAAATGGAGTCGAATTTTTATTGGGATTCCCCAAATTGCTAAGTATGGTATTCGGGTTTTCCTTGAAGAGGGTTATAGGTAAATTAGACACCACAAACGTATAATAATTTGAAATTCTTTGCAACAATTTCCTTTGTTGACATAACCAATGGACATTTGGTTACTTCGTTAAGACGCCAGACTTGTTTTAGCTGGATAGCCAGGTCTTATATTTTCGACCCTTCTCAGCTTCCGTAGATCTCAAATTGTGGATCAACGGTATAGCAATATCATTGATTGTTACTTTTTTTCTGTTTATTAATGAGGAAAATATCTGGTTTGTTGTGAGCGACCTTGTAACTGTTAGTACCGGACGATCCCAGTATAGCAGATGTGACCTATTTTCGAGAATCGATTTTGGTTCACATTTGTAACATGCAGGCGTATGATTTTTCCAGTTGATTGCGCCTTCCTAAATAAATATTATCTGCTAGTGCGCTACACCCACCCATGATGTGTTCTATCGATTCTCCAGTATTGCTACATTTCCTATATGTTTTTCACAATTTCTAGTTCTAATTACCTTGTCTTGTATTGCGAGCATAAAGCCCTCAGTTTCAGGATAAAGATAGCTCTTATGAAGCCACTGTGGTGATGAATGTTAGGGGATCTTTACCATGAAGTGCTTTTCATTTCCAAGTTTGTATTTCTTGATGTAGTGTTACTATTGGCATACCTAACTTGAGTGGTGTGAAGTTCTAAATGAATCGCGCAAGTCTGTTCGTGTACGTCCAGGCAATTCGGAGAGGCACGTTCATTTGAACTACTGACGCGTTTAAAGGTTATCCCGTGAAAGGAGGTTACGGACACACCGCCAGCTGGGACGCGTTGACCGAGAAGATTTACGTTTACGGGGGCGTGATATCCGAAAGCGAATCGGCGCAGTTGCTCAGCAAAAGTTTGTACTCGTACGAACCGGACGATCGGGTTTGGACGCTGCTGGCGGACGCACCGTCCGCCCGCTTCTTGCACACCGCTAGTTTCATATCGGGCGGTTTGATGCTCGTGTTTGGCGGCAACACCCACAACGACACGTCACACAGCTTCGGAGCGAAATGCTATAGCGCCGAACTGCTCGCCTACGACGTACTGTGCGACACGTGGACCGTGATGTCCATACGGAAGGACCTCCACGCGGACTTGGCCAGGTTCGGACATTCGGGCGTCGTCTTCGAGGGATCGTTTTACATTTACGGCGGCTTCGACGGTCAAATGCTGTCCGACATGTTGAAGGTGAGATGATTTTACACCATACCAGTGAGTCGTTATTTTCGTTATTTGATACTCCAAGAGATTCAGGCAACAAGACAAACCAAAATATTTTGCCAACAATATTTTTATTTTTATTTTTGGGATTTTCGGGATCTTCCCATTATAGGCATAAATAATATATGTTATAAAGATAGGAAAAATTAACACTTAATAGAATAGCATAGAATAGAATTTTATCGAGTATGTTTGTACAATTTTACAAGCAAGTAACATAAATAGCAAAGAAATGTAAAATAAAAACATAAAACGCAAATATTAATAAATTATTGGAATAAAAAATGTTGCAGACATATTATGATAAACAGGTATTTTAAAATATGCAGATTATTACCTTTGTTACATATTAAAATATTTTTTCTTGAATTTTTTAAAATCTTTAAAATTGTGTTTTTTTATTCTATAGAAATTGAAGTCCGGATATTTTTTTTTGCATTTGGTTAATTTAAATTTAGGAATTTCAAGATTAGTACAGATAAATGCAGAGGCATAATTCTGTGCAGCGGCTCCATATGGTAGCTTAGAGTGGAAACATAGAACATTTTTAACATGTCAAGTCTAATAAATATAACAGTCGAGAGATCCGAGAACAATGAACTCACATGTGCAGCCTATGATCGCACCGAGCCTATGATCTACCGGAATAATCAAAGTTTTGGAGAAATACATTTTTTGAGATTTTGTTTCAATGCAGCCAATGTTTTATTACTAAACGAGACTAAGGTTGTGTTATACGCGAATTTGAAGCCATATAATAACAAAGATTATTTATAAAGACAATGAACAACAAGTTTCTCCAAAATGGTGCCTTCAGGTTCCCCAGTGCTCACCGACCTTACTCTTCTTTTCTGTGTTGAACGCAATGGGCGTAAAAAAGAAAAAATCTAGATATAGGCTAAAATAACAACAACAAAAATGCAAGAAAAGTGAACGTAATTTCGGAAAGGGTCACGTGACCGTGTAAATTGTAAAGCTCTATCAAACGGATCGTGACAGCAATAATTTGCATAATAAAAATGTATACTAAAAGGTTGAAAGATTCTCAACCTAGGTTGCGCTATGTTTGGGCTGATTCTATTTGGTAGTTCGTGGCGTTGGGTAATATAATTCAACATTCAAAGTTTGCAACTGGTATTCCCAACTTAAAATTACATTACCTCAAAAACTAGTTCTGAAATTAGTGTTGCATATTCAAGTTTTGTGATGTCAAATTTCTCAAGGCGAAATCTAAGAGCTTGAGACTTTTTTGAGCTATGTGCCATCTTCAACATTTTATGTAAAAATTACACCTTGATTGTGAACCTGATTTATTGTAAAATTGGATTCCGTTTTTTATTGCAAAATGAAGATCTAATCAATATTTAATGTGAGGTTATTAAGTTATGAAGCTTTTAATATCTTCTTGTAAGTAATAGTAAATATATAATATAATTTAAGATCAACTAACCAAAACAAAAGTGGTGAACAATGAACTCCTTGGGGTGCTTCAGATAAGACCCCAATGGTTTTTAATATACAGTTAAAAAGTGTTACCTTTTGTTTCCTGCCTTTTAAAAAACTTGATATCCAATCTATGGTTTTGTTAGCGAAACTCAAATTATGTAATTTTGCCCCTTCTTGCCAAATTAAGACAACAATTTAGGTATCGCCGACTGCTTAGGTAATTTTCCACATTTTGAGAATTTTATATTTTCAAACTTCATTAGAAAAGTGTGTGAAGGAAACTCTGTGGTACATTTGAACTACTCGTTAAATCAGTTAAAATTTAAAAGGGTCCATTTACGTTTCAAATAAAAATTCCAAGAGGTAAGGTATAGATATAAGATTATCCAAGGGTGGTCATTAACATACTATGCAACAAGATTATTACCTAAATTTTCGGAATTTAAATCAGGTAAAATTGTGTTCCCTAATAGAATATAATTTTATACCTACCTGTGTTTAATATTCTTTGGTATGATATACTACTTAGTTTAAGTTAGTAATCATTCTTATTTCGTGTGTAATACAGCGTGTGTTGAATCGTGTGCGAATTATGCAAAATATGTGCGAGTCTAGTGTATCTCAGGAGATGCTCCCGCCCAAATGTAGAAAACACTATTCTATTGAGATTAAGGAAGTTATAAACAATGTTTATTTGACTCTCATTGAACGTGGTGCCAGCAAGCAAGCATCTTTAGAAGGAACGACCACATGGACGAAAATTCCAACATCAACTGGATGGAAAATTGTGAATATTCCCATTTCAGTGAGGAAAAAAGAAGCGATGCTGACATTTTCTCGAGCAGAACAATCGTATATTCATATTGTAAATAATATAGAGCAAATAATAATTAGAACAGGCGATGATAGCGATAGTGATCCTATGTGAATAATTTTAAGTAATTTAAGTAGGTAATAAAAATAATCTGTAATTTTATTTTAGATTTAAACATAAATATATACATAATTAAATAAATATTGTTTACTATCTTTCCTAACAAAACCCCAAATAATTAAATTCTAAACAAAGTACGGACCTGTTCGGCCATATTTAATTCTTACAGCTTGCCCGGTCGTACAATAAATGATTTGCATTTTTAATTTTTATTTATTCAACCCTTGCTTTTAAAATAAAACATCTCGTATTCTTACCTCTGATTCCGGGATTATCACCAGTGGCGTGCGACAACGTTTTCTTAAACGTTCCAGTACACCCCGGGCAATTGTCAGTCCTTTAACACTTCGAGCAGTTGCCTGACGACGCGGCCCGGCGTCAAGTGCGTGTGGGACATAAAAAACCTTCGCTGCTGGGCGGTGATGAGTTTCCCGAAGGAAGTACTGAAAGAAGACAGTCCGTTGACGCGATGTCCCGAGAAAAACAGGTCGTCGATCCAACAGGCGATCGTGTCCAATACGGAAAAATGTCAGCGGATGGAGGACTGTTTGAGTTGCGCGCACACCACGGCCGAGTGCGTTTGGTGCGGCAGCGCGTGCGTCCACCACAAACGTTGCCGTGCCGGTAGCAACGTTAACAACAACAACGCGACCGACACCGCTTTGATGACGTACGCTAGGGGCGACCTCTGTCCGCCAGACCCGAGACCGATTTGCAGGCAACTGCACACGTGCACCGCTTGTACTTACCAACCGTTTTGTAGGTGAGTCATCCATATTTGTGCTGGAGCTACGGAGAGGCACGGGTTTTTACTAATTCCGGATTCCTCCTGCTCCGTCAATCATCCCGTTGTCTTCTTCAGAGCTTAACTGATTATATACTGTTTGAGGGGGCGGGGGTAGAGGAGGGACATGAATGACTGATTTCCATATTGGTGAATACCTGAAGTTCAAATAAGACTTTATGTCCGGTTTCATGTTCGTTTAGCCTAAGTGAAATTGAAATTAGAATTCGAAAAACTAACCGCAGCACAAGTGAAACCATTCAACTGTTCTCAACTTCCGAACACTGTGCACACATCGCACCAACCAAAAGAGAAAATCATTTCAAATGTCGGGTCTATCCTAAACAAAGTGCCATTGCAGCTAATGAAATTCAATTTAAAACTGGAAAAATCCTTTAAAAAATCCTGCATCCAATATTCCAAAGCCTGCCAACTAGACTTTTAATTTGTTTTATGCATGTGATTCACCTATTTTAATGTAAAAATAAAAAACTGAAAGGATTTTATTTTTACATATTTTTACATTACATTATTTATATATTCAAATTCAAATATTCGTTAAATTTTAAAGACAAACGGTATTTAGTGTTAAGTTAAAACATTAATCAAAAAAGTGTTTATTGTGCCAAAAAAAAAAAAGAATTTATAGAGAAATTTTAGAAGTGGATATGATTTAGTTGTAGGTTCTATCCGAATGACTTGTTATTATATATAAAAAATATGATGCAATAAATTCATGATCATCTAATTAATATAAAAATTTCATTATTATAGTATTAATTAATCGCCAGTAAAAACAAGCAATACGAAACATAAAAAATCACAGTTAAAACAGGTACAGAGTAGAATGCAGAGCAGCTTTAGTTAAGCTCCGAGGAAGCCAAGAGGATTGATTGGCGAAACGTAAGGAGGTATATATAAGGAGGAAAATAAAAAGTATAAAAAAAGAAAAGATAATAGTGGTCTTTTTTTTTTTCAAATAGGATTTGGAACACCTGCTTTTTGAACACAAATGCATTATTTAGATTAAATATCTCTAATGTTTTCAAAGTTGATACAATTTGATATGAAAAAGACTTTTGATTGTAAAGGTGATTGGATATACATTTGCTCGTATCTTAAAAATTACAAAAAAACTGAGAACGCCGATGGACTCTGTAAAAGATCTGTATTTTTTGTTTCTTCGGATATCTTAAAAACAAAGCCAGCTAGGATTGTTCCGAAACCGCTCTATGTCTAACAATATCGGTGAGAAACAGAAAAAGAAAATCGAATTCCCTCTGACAGGTGGCGCTACGAGCACGCCAAGTGCGTCACTTCGCAACCGAATTCGACTGCGGAGGCCAACGAGCCGGCGCAGTGCCAAAAGGTGTGCTCGGAGTATACGTCGTGTAAAAACTGTACTCAGGAGGAGTGCATATGGTGCCAGAACGAAGGACGGTGCGTCGACAAGGTAACCATAGGGGAGGGGTGGTAGACACAGACCAACCAGAAGGGACCCCATAAGTCATTGATTAAATTGCTGTTGTTGTGATGCGCAAATACAGTGACGGCAAACTAATTGGAAACGATAGCTATCGATAATTTTAATTCTTTCAAGAAATTTGTTCAAGATATTTCGAATATTATTACTATTTTCATATTAAGCACAACCATAACTTTAAACAATAATTTAATCCCTAATTTATTAAAAAAAAATTTAGCGGCATACATTTTTTTCTTTAATACATTTGTTTATGTATACCTAAACTCAATATTTAACTTGCAATAAATAATTCAAGTTGTGACATACCGCTGCTTTTTGATCGATACAGCGAGCCCACATGTCGTAGTGTTATTCTCAGGTTATCGGTCGAGAATTATAGGTTAGGTTTATTTACGTTTATTTACGCCAGTTTGTAATTGTCCTTGCTTTATATGATAACAATGAAAGCCATAAACAAAAACATACACGAGAGTTAGACTGTTCCGCAGCTTCAGAGTATAGACCGGGATCAATTTTGCATAGTCTGGTTTTCCCTCCAAGAAATCATTAATCTGGGCAAATTTTAACATCAGCTGGTAAAGGCCAAGACGTTCCTTTACTGCATCAAAATTAAAATGTTTTAAGAGGTGATTTTCAGATTTGTTTTTCAAAGCTTTGTCTATAACTTTTTGTGAGCTTTCTTGATCAGAGCTAGTCTTTTTCTGCTCCGAAATCCTGTAATTTCAAAAAGTTAATTCTAGTTTTAGAGACTTGATTTTTTGACCAGTAACAAACAACCACTGCATAGCAGTGGCATATGCATAAAGTCTTAGAGTTTAAATTCACTTTTAATGTTTTAAAATTAAAAATTTACCTGAGGAAGAAGTTTCAACTAGTTTACAAAAAAATGCTTTTTGTTTTTTTTTTTTTGTTGAATCATTTACATTTTATTTAATATTCCATTTGGATGTTAAAAACTAGAAAAATTTAAGCTGATTACAATATTATTTTGGTTTAAAACTAGTGACTAAATTTTCTATAAACATAAACTTAGTCACTAGTTTTGGCTTTAACACCACAGCAAACCTCAGCAAAAGAAAAACTCGGTTATTTTCTAAACTTTGTTTTTGATATTAGCCACAAGAGTACAAAAGCAAGCAACAGAAACAAGACTAAAATTAACCTTAAAACCACCAGAGGCACTGAAAAGCTAGTCATTTTTTCTTATAACAAAGAAATTGCGTGCACTATTCCAAATCGAAACGTTTAGTTTTAGTATTTACAGAAACAATCAAAATATAAGCAAGACGATAAAGGTAATACAGACGCAGTGCCTTCGGTAGCTAGTAGCGGACGGTCCTTTTCGAAATTGAAGTTAATCAAACACTAAGATCAAAAATATCTCAAGAAAGATTCGTTTATCAGTTCAGTTGGAAGCGAAATAATATTGATGCGAGTCAACTTCTTGAGGAATTTGTGTCGATAGAAGCAATAAAAACTGCATTTTAAGAATGCAAATGTAGTTATCAGAATAGTCATTTATAGCAATAATTCTGAAGTATATCGAACAACGCTATATCCTTTATCTTTAGAACGCCTACACGTCAAGCTTTCCGTACGGCCAGTGTCGCGAATGGACAACGATCGGGTCAAAGTGCAGAACCAGGGACAGCGATGAAAATTCCCAGTGCAGGTTATATATTTGTATAGTTTTTCGTGGTTTTTCGTAATTGAGCGGTTTTGCTCCCAGTCGAACGTTTCGGATAAAAAACACCTTCTTAGCACACCATCTTAGATCGGCTTGTTTTGAAACTGGTTTCGAGTAGTAGTGAGAATAGTTAACTCTTGCGGCCCCCCGGGGGGAGATGTTGAGGTAGCAGAAACGGAAGGGTGGGTGCAGAAGTTGCATATTCCTACTACTAATACCACTAGATATCGATTGTTTTGTTTACTTTCAATTTGGTTGCGTATTTCCCACCTAAATAACTTTTTAAAAACCGCGAAAACGTGCGTTCTGTTCAAGTTGGGTTGGCCGTTTAGGTTATTAATAGATCTAAGGGCACGTCTTTGCAGTAAACGCGTTGCTTAGAAAAGGGGATAATTTAGTAAATAATTTATTTGCTTTCTGCCGTATCATTTCACTATTAAAAATAATGCTTTTTAAAAGGTAGACTGGACAAAAAGAATTGACTGTTTTGTTTATATATTCAGAATGACGAAAGAAAATCGTGAAAGTTTCAGGAAATTGAATTGTTTAAAAAATAAAAGCTCTGCCTGAAAGTTTTCAATTTTTTCCACTTTTGCTATTAAAATTATTTATTTATAATATTTTACGTATTAGTATCAGTATTACTAATGTGTAAAATATTGTAAATAAAGATTTTTCAATTGTAGAACATAATTGTTATTTTTAAAATTAGTTTTGATGATTGTATTGGTTATATAATATTTTTATATGTTGGGTAACACGGATTTGATCCATTGATTGGAAAAAAATGAAATAATAACTAACTGAATAATTTTTTTAAAAATAACTTTATAAAAAATATTTTCTTCCCTTTAAAAATCAATAGTATTTTTGTTTGTATGTTGATTTGCTTTTTAGTTATACAATTTCAAAACAAAAACGTATTTATCACAAAAACCTGTTAATGTTGACTTGGTTTCTTGGCAACTGCTCGTCTGGTGAAAATTTTCAAGCTTTTTCAAGCTCGAAATGTACCACAATAATTTTGACGTAATTATGAGATCAAGAAAAAAAATCTAGAATACAATTGATACACCTATTTTCATTAATATTATTATTTTATTTTATCGATATATTTTTCATGAATCAAAATAGTCGACCTTTTCTACCCCAGTCTAAGGAAAGGCTGTTTAAGGCTTTAGTTGTTAACGCAATATATTTTTGCAGTAAAAAAAAATAAAATACACTAGTTTTCCGCTAATTTTATTTCTGTCGGTAGCTTTTACAAGACCTGCACGAAGTGTAGGGACGACCCCGCCTGCGGGTGGTGCGATGACGGATCCAAGACCGGTTTAGGAGAGTGCATTCCGGGCGGAGATACAGGTACCCTCTTTTTTATTTTAACACTAATGACGTTGATAAATTTCATCTTTAATATACATAATATACAGCGTATTACAGGGGTGCGTGCCTTAATATTGTTGTTATCACTGTAGGTCCGACTCTGCATACGCAGTCTCTACCTTCGAGCACTTGTCCGGAGGGACGGTGGCATTTCACGTCGTGTCCGCTGTGCCAGTGCAACGGACACGCCAGCTGCCTGGCAAATACGAGCCAGTGCGACACTTGCCAGGTACTCAATATTTTCCATATATTTAACTACTTGTTCCATCGTTTTTATTTTATGCACTATAAATATGTTTTTAACGTCTGTGATATAGTGCGTGTTAGAAAATTTACATAGAGTGAACGGCATGGAACAAATCCATTTAAAAATCAAAAATCATCATCCAAAAACTAATGAGAACACAATATTAAACATTTTATTAGAAGTTGAGGAAAATCCCCATCGAGCATCTTCTGAAGAAACTCCAAATAATGATGTTAACCAACGAACAGCTTTGCGCATATTAAAAGAATTTTTTCATCGTCAGATACTATTCAGTGATGGTACGGTGATGATACCATAAATAAACAAAATTGTAGTAGAGTACAAACAATTCCATACGGATGAGAGAAAATCGCACACAGCAAAATTATTGGGCCTTATTTCTTCAATCAAAATCTTTCTGATATCAATATTTACAATATCTTCAAACTGACATAGCTCCTAGTGTCGCAGTTTTCCCAAATCCTAATCAGATTGATATGCGAGACAGGATCGTGCTTCGCCCCATTTTGATCGACAAATGCGTGAATATTTAAATATGGTATGCAATATCTCTAGATACTATTCCACTAGATTTTTTTCCTCTGTGATTTTTCAAAAACAAAACTGTCTAAAGTTAAACCACAAAATTTAGAATTAGATACGAAATAAGAAAAATAAATTTTTGATAGAGGTATATATACGCAACATGCGTGAAATTTGACTCAGAAAAAAAATAAACTTAATATCGAAATTTGATTTTCGACGGTCTTTGTATATTTTCTTGAAATCCAATGCCTTATTTTTAAATGAATTTAAATATAATAAAATGGAATTTATTTTTCATTTCAAATTTTGAAATGATCACGAGCGATGATTTCTAATCTAAATAGGTAACTACGTTTATTTCAATAAAACACACAATTTGCCTGGCTGCAAAATAGTTCATTAAGAATGAGTGAATCGACATAAGCAATCCATTGTTGCATTTTCCCAATTCAATACATCGCTGTACCCCTCCCCAACAATATAAGAAAAAAACACATAAAAAATAAATAAATACTTAGCCGTTAGTCGATAAAATTAAGAAAATATGGAAGATGGAGAAAGTAGTGGTAATAATCGGAGCGGCAGGCGAAGTCCCAAAAACTCTGAATGAAAGTTTGAAGAGGTTAAATCTAGAACCTAAACTCAGTTATATTAGACGCATGCAGTATTGTGGGGAGAATCGTTGGAAAAGCGGGACTAAATACATTTTCAATGCCATCAGAAAGCTCACCATCCTGTCAACAGACTGATGTGACAGCTTGAAACCCCAGGACACCTATGAAATTGTGAATAATAATACTTTATTAAGGTTGAACTGAGATGGCTTTTACTTGATGAAAATCCATTTATCAAAATAAATAAGAACTAAAAGTTCAGATTTTCACGAAATTTTATATTTTGACATGACAATTGTTTCGACAACACCGTGTCTTTATCAAATTTGATAAAGATGAGGTTCTACAAAGCTTGCACCTTCAAAAGAAATACGTCTGTGATAATTACGCAAAAAATCTGGGGCATACAGTTTTAAGGCTTCCACCTTACCACTGTATCTGTAACTGAAATCTTCCATTCGTCGTAACAATGTTTTTCACCGTGTTAACTCCAATGTCCTTAAACTTATAGAAACCGAAGTTTTTAACATCCCTCCAAAAAGTTGGGCAAATTCTGTTAAACATATAGAAAAAGCAGAACAATTGTATATCCATATTGCAAATAATTGATATATTGATATATTATATGAATAATTTTAAGTAATTTAAGTAGGTAATAAAAATAAAGCTATACAGTAATTATTTTCACTAATTTAATCTAGAATTTATTTTTGCCTCTATTTTTAGAAGAAAACGAAAACGATTTTCTGGGGGGGGGGGGGGGATTTTTGCTATTATTTTCGACAATTGGAATGCGTTTCAGGATTTAACGACGGGATCGCACTGCGAGCAGTGCCGGACCGGCTACTGGGGTAGTCCGGTCAACGGCGGCAAATGTCAGAAGTGCGATTGTCGCGGCCACGCTGACGACTGTCAAAGGGAGACGGGCAAGTGTCTCTGCCGCACCAAAGGCCTGACCGGCGACCAGTGCGAGAAATGTGACATCAACAATCACTATCACCCCGACCACTACAACAACGGCACATGTTACTGTAAGTGCGGGGATGTTTTCATATTTAAAACCCTATTTACAATATGTGTTTTACCTTCAACAATCATCGTTCTGCGATTTATATTATGATGGTCTCCAGGCAACTTCGATTGGCGACAAGTTATATCCTTTTCTTTCTGCTCCTTTCCTTCTTTTTTTATTTATAAGATTAGTGGATTTGAGAGTAGTTTTTACGTCCCCTGTGTGTATATTACTACTATTATAACTAATTCGGTCTTTTTAGACGACCTGACTATCGATTACCAGTTCACTTTCAACCTGTCGAAGAAGGAGGACAAGCATTACACCCAGATAAACTTCCGAAACTCGCCGATAAAGGCGGACATCGACGTCGACTTTTCCGTGACATGTTCGAAGTTGGCGAAAATGAATATCACGATTAGGCGGTACAATTCGCTCGAGGAGAAGCCCATATTTACCGTCCACAACTGTACGAATAATTTTAGGTGAGTTTCATTTGCAAAAAAAAAAACAAAAATAGTAAGCCAAATTGAATTACGGCTTTCAAAGAAAAATTATATTTCGGGTATGCCCGTGAGGGAATATTCTTGGAAATATTTAAATTAGGTATTTTTTGAAAAAACTGGTAACTGAAGAAACTACCCCAAAAGTGTGGTATTTTTTACGAATTCGTTTGATATTAAATTCGAAAAGGTGCTAAAAAGGACGCAAAAGAAGAAAAAAATAATCAAAATTTAAAAAGAAACAAAGAAAGTGATAAAAAATAAAATGCAAAGCAATGACAACAGACGAAATTGTTAAACAATCTAGTGTTAAATGAAATAAAAAATAAAAAGAATTTTTTATTTAAATATGCTTTTTATTTAAATAAAAACTATCTATATTTAAATTAGATTTGTTAAGTTACTGTAATATTTGTTTAAAAAAATAAAAATTTTACTGTATTTATTCGGAAAATATATAGTTGTTAATTTTGCTGTCTGAACATAAAATTTCCTTAAAATACTCGCGGGTAAACCAATTTACCTTCAATGATTAATAGCTCCTTGTCTAATTTTTTTTGTTGTTTAATATTTTCATTTTAATTTTAATTTTTCTACGAGACTTCCACGGGCTACCGTAATACTATTTACAAATCTTATGGATTTTTCCTGCGTTTCAAACTGAAACTGAGCCTCAGTTAAGTTCTGAAGATTTGTAAATAGTTTTTAATTTCTATTAACTTTTAATTTTTCCAATAATATTTAACAGTAATTTGTTAATAACCGCCGAAAATTTGAATAATATTTAATGTAACCTGCAAATGTGTGAATAAAACATTTAATTTTTATTATTAATTATTATTAATTTATTTGTTTTATAACCAGCATTAATAATAATAATAGTAATAAACAAATATTCAACCAAACAGCTTTGCTGTTTGGTGCTGCTTGCTGATACTACTATAGCATATAGTATTACAGTTTAAAAATGGTACCCAAAAATACTATATTTTTGCCAGCAAAAAAGCATTGCTGGTTGCTTTTGGTAATTCTGTTTCTATTAATAAAAGTATCTATTAAAACAAAAAAAAATGTGAAATTTATTTTAAAATAAAGAAATCTCATCTCAAACAGTGCGAGTCAAAAATGGCAACGCATTTTCCACATTTCAGAAACTGCTTGCCTGAATTGCTGCATTTTTGCTATCCGTTTCTGTCTGTTCTAACGTCAACAGTTTTATTGTAGTTTGACATTTAGAATTTTAAATAATATTTTATGATTGCATAAACCTTCAAAAGTGTTATAAATTTGAAAAATACTTTATCCCAGCTTTTGGTAAGTAATAATGTTGTGCCTTGTTGCTTAGTACCTACAGACCTATGTATATATGTATTAAATTTTAGCTTTAAATTGAGCACGGGCATTTCAAATTCAAACGAAACCATGCAAACGAAATTCTTCAATTCTGTTAATAGTGAAACGGAAATCAATTCAAAATCATGATCATGATAGCATGATCCAAGAGAGGAAGAAATAAAATTTCAAGTGCTTATAATGTTCACCAGCTGACCTACAATGATTTTATCAATCTTAAACTCAGCAAACCAACATTAAAAAATACAATTCGAGACGAAAGTGGTCGAAGAGTAGAATGGCAGAAGATCAAACAACTCCGATATGAAAAAGGAACAGAAAAATGAATATTGTTCACTTACAATTAGAATGAAGAATACAAAGTTCGAAATGTAAGAGGAAAAGTAAAGGGTAGACCCAGTAGTACGCCGAAAGAATCAGATTTATAAAAGTGCTACTCAGAACCATTGCCAATATCCAAAAACAAAATGGACGAGTTAGTTAAACTTTGCCGAACGGGAGTTATTCCCAATGAGTATCATGAACTTATCAAGTAATAATTCCATAAAAGACAAGTGCTCCGAAGCTGCACAATTCGAAAGCAGTGATGTATAATGTTAGGATTATTTTAATGCTACTTAATTTTTCTTAGTAGTAATTATTATCGTTTAATAATTTGTTATAATCGTGAATTTGTTATTTAAATAGTTAATAAATGTTAGGTGAACAAATTCGAAGTAGTAAAATAATAGGTCTTGTTATATTATGACTAATAAAACAATTAAAAAAAATATTATGGTAGTAGATTAACAAAAACCTACTTTCGATATGTATTTCCACTAAAATAAACTCACAAGAAATAATTGATTTTATATTCATGAGAAAGTGACCAACAACTATTTCCACTAAAATAAACTTACAAAAAATAATTGAATTTTATATTTGTTCATAAATCTGCAAATATGATAGCTCAAAACTTGGTCACTTTGTCTTGTATGCCGACGATATTTATATAATGAGTTTTATTTTTAATCATTCTATTGAAAGTACTGTATTTTTTGCCACGTTATTTTCACCATTTAGTTGGGACGTTCCGGAACTACTACCCCCATCCTACGCCGCCGCAGAAGCGTCCGGAATAATCTCACAGAGTTCTTCCAGATATCGTTTTGGCAAATCCGAATACAACTTCGGGGTGGAGGATAACATGACCCTGAGCATGTTCTATGTGTACGTCTACGACTTCGAGTCTCCGCTACTGATACAGATCTCTTTCTCGCAATACCCAAAGCTGAACCTGCAGCAGTTTTTCATCACGTTCTCATCGTAAGTCGCATCTGGGCGAGTTAAATGTTGGACATTGAGCTAAATATTTTTTTGAGAAAATGGTAAACCGAGTACGGTCGTTCCCCACTAAAAGAGAACCTCTTTAAAAACCAATATTTAGAAAACAAACATGTATTTCGTCGTTATATTTATTTATTTGGCGAATATTGCTTGCGAACCCAAATGATGTCCACAAATTTATGTGACAATTTACTTAAGAAGAATTTTTACAGCATTCTTAATTTAATGAAAAATTAAATAAAAAAGAATAGCATAAACCATGTCCTCAGATTATCGGGAAGGGTATATACAAATCTTTTAAGGATATTTTTTAACGAAACTTCCACAGTAATACTACCTGTTTAATGTTCAGAGGGGCGGAGCTAAACGAGTGGTATGAACACCGTCTCAGAAAACCGATTCCCATATTGGTGAAAGGCACAGACCTGAGTGATGGACAAGATTGATTCGTTGCTTTAGTTTTATTGTGTTCGGTAATTGCTGATGAGTATTAAGGCTCTTTCATGTTCTTTGAGTCTGTTGATATTTTTCGTGTTGGTGGCGTGAGTCAACTTAAAAAAGATCCTAAGTGGAAGGTAATGGAATGTAACCTTAAATCTGTTATTAATGTTTCTTCTATATCAGTATCCGTGCAAAAATGTATCACCTTTGTGACTATAAGATTCTCTCTAAGTCTCTAGGGACTCCCTAAGGTTCACAAACCAGGATTTCCCCTTCGACCTATTGTCTCTATAGTTTCATGCTTAATTCCTTTGATTTAATTGAATAATTAAAAACCATTACATTAGATCCAACTCTTAACATTATTTCAGATATATTAAAATCCGAGAATCTCGTACTTATTTGAAAAATCCTTGTGTGGAACGTATTTTTCTTATAATGGTCGAATTATTAAACAAACTTCGGGAGCAGCTATAAATTCTCACGCAGGTCATCGCGAATATGTTTAAGAAAACTTTTGACAAGAAAGCTCACGACGGTTTCCATCGAAAATCAAAATTAAGGAAACGCTAATTTGATAATACTTTTGGTTATCTAGCCTCATGGTCAAGGATCCCCTCGATATTTTCCTAGCCGTTTAAACAATATACACCGTAAGATTCGTTTTACCATTGAATGAGAAACTGATCATAATCTTCCATTCTTAGATATTTTTGTCAATTGAGAATCAGATCTAACACCTTACATCTGCTCTTCTCTCTAACAATCACAAAATACACTTCCCCTTCTAAAGACAACGAGTCCGAAAGCAACCCTGCACTGGCCACTGTTGTCCTTCCTTACATTCAAAACATCACTGACCACCTATCAAAAATTCTTCAGAAATATAACGTCAAAACCAGATTTACCACTTGTCCAAAAATCTCTCCACATCTTCGATCCGTCAAAGACAAAATTCCATTTGAGATTTACAGCATTTCATGCATATGCGGCAAAGAATACATTTAAGAGACCAGACGAAAAATATGAACTAGTTTCAAAGAACATGAAAGAGCTTTAAGACTAGGACAAGTAAACTCATCAGCAGTTACTGAACACAATCATGAAACAGACATCATTTTTTATTAAAACTAAAATTGCATGTAATCAATTCTTCTACCAACGAAAAATCGGAGAATCCATAGAAATCTATAAGCAACGAAACAATTTTAACCACGAACTAGATCTTTCTTTACCTTTTACCAATATGGGCCGGTTTCAATTAAGTTCTGAAGAAGCAAATAGGATGGTGGCTGAAACGTCAACCATTTTTTAAATAAACAAATTTAGAACTATTTCCAGATGACTTGAGTAACAACAGGTGTACAATATCTTCAAAAAGTGATTTTGCTGAATGGTCTGTAGAAGTTTTAGATTTGTTAGACTTGACCGATTGCCTCAGAATATAATAAAACAAAACAATATTGTATTGAACCTATTTAGTTGTGTTTTTGTTTAAGAAAACGTGAATTGTATATTTGTTCGTTGCTGATTTAATAGCTTTTAATATTTTGCATGAGTGTGTGTGTTTTTTTACCTTATGTCTAATGGGCGTTTCGGCAATTTTATTGCCTTTTTCAGGACTCTAAAGGAGATCTCTTTTAGAGTCCTGGAGAATTCAGTAAAATTGATAAGAAAAAGGCACACAAAAACGAAATATATAGTTAATATATAACTTAAATATTAATCCGACAGCAATGAAGATTTTACGTTTTATTTAAAAAACAAAAAAAACTATCAATTCCTTAATATAATAAATATTGCGCAATGTCCAACAACATGTCTGTTATGTTCCACTATACCATGTGTTCAATTTATCTTGATAACAATTTAATTGGCTGTAACTTTTTTGTTTTTAGAGATATCAAGGTAAAAAAAGAGCAAAATGTGGGTTTAGTAGGCAAGTTTTTTTTCCAAGTGATGTGTGAAACAAAACACTATCAACTGTATGACATATAAGCCTACATCATATATTTTTTAATGGAACATTAAAATAGAGTATATATTATATATGTGTATAATATCTTATTCCCATTACAATGATGTAACTCACTTTATATTTTAGCTCACTCGTTTTTGACAAATCGGCAAAAATAGGAAATTTTTATATAATTTATAATTAATTTATATAATAACAATAATTATTTACAAATTAAAAGTAGAACGAAAACACTCAAAAAGACACACTAAAGTAAAAAATTCTTTAACTGTTCTAAATATTATGACTACCATTTTCCTGAACACATTTCTTATACATCCTAATTGCATTTAGTAACGTTTCCGAATTGTCTCTTGACTGATTGATTGCCTCTGAAATCATTTGCCGAAGTTCCACGACATTATTACAAGTAGTTCTGTGCACGTGATTTTTTGTGTGTCCACAAAAGAAAAAACCATTAAAGTTTTGTCGGGGCTGTTGACTGGTCAATGCATACTTCCGCCGTTCCCTATCCAACCCATGTTAAGAAAATTTTTTACTTGCACAACATTAACTTTCTGCCATATAATAAACGCTGATATATTTAGGGGTAAATCTTCCATATGTTGTTCTATTTGGTGTTCTAGGAGTTGCAAATAATGATCTCTTTTGATCTGTAAATATCGGCTCCAAAATATGCCCATATAGGACTAACTAAAATTGATAAAAAAAAAATATGAAGTAGGCTTTATGGCAAAAAATTGATAGTGTTTTGTCACTTGGAAAAAAACTTGGCCACTAACCCTACATTTTGTTTTTTTATTTACCTCGATATCTCCAAAAACAAACAAGTTACGGCCAATTAAAATGTTAACAAGTGTATAGGGTTCTCGCGTCCCCATTTCAGGTGTTTTCTGTTGCTACTGCTGGTCGCCGCTGTGCTGTGGAAGATCAAGCAGCGGTACGACATGTACAGGCGTCGGCAGCGTCTGTTCGTCGAGATGGAGCAGATGGCGTCGCGACCGTTCTCGCAGGTCCTCGTCGAGATCGAGGTCAAGAGGCAGGCGGAGATCGTCGCGGAACCTATGACGGTCGAAAAAAGGAAGAAACGGGACGCGCCTAGTCCAATCGCTTTAGAGCCGTGCGCGGGTAGCAGGGCTGCCGTCCTCAGCCTTCTCATACGATTGCCGACGGGTAAAGCATACGAGGGCTGCCTTTTATATTTCGGGATTTTCTTAAACTAGTCCTGCAATCTGGCGACTAACGTCTTTATAGGGAAGTTTGACATTTGGAGGTTAGGTTTTGGCGAAAGAGTGTTGTTTATGTTCTTTGTGATAAATTAAAATTGTGACGGTTAAAAATGGAATGGAATAATTTTTTACAACTTTAGGCGTGGACCAACTCAACAACTTTTGGAGTTAAAGCACCATCTAGGGTACTGTTTATCGCTGGTTTTCGAACTTCAGTCTTGGTCGTAATTTTCATAAAAATGAATTTCGTGAAGGTCGTTCAAAATCCAAGAAAACATTGATGTAGTGTTTAAACTGATTTTGCAGGATCGTCATGTTACTTACCATGACATTGGGATATCTTTGGGCATTAGTGGGACCAGCATACATACAATTTTGGATTCCATACAATTTGACATCAGCTCAAAAAAAAGCTCGTGTTAACTGGTCTAAGGAAATGCTAAAAAAATACTATCGTGGTGCTTCCAAATACGTCTATGATATCGTGACAGGCAATGGATCTATGCATATAAAACTCAAAGTAAGCAGCAGTCGACTGTGTGGGTCTCTCAAAGTGAGACAAAGCCCACAAAAGTTGTTTGTGCGCGAACCATCTCGAAACAAATAGTAGGCCCTGTTTTTCAGGAAAACTGGCCACTTTGGTGAAAGGTAAAACAGTCAATTCTGAATGGTACACAACCATTTGTTTGCCGAAAGTCTTCGAAGAAATTAGAAAACCCAACAAAGAACTTTTTGATTATTGAAAACGTTGATTTGATGAGCCATCCACCCTATAGCACCTAATGACTTCTTTTTATTCCCATGTATTAAGAATAACTTACGTGGGCAACGATTTTTGACAGCAGAAGAAGCGATTGATGCGTTTAAAAAGCATGTTTTGGAGGTGCCCGACTCGATGTGGGAAAAGTGCTTCAATGATTGATTTTATCGAATGCAAAAGTGAATATTTTGAGAAAAAATAAAGTCATATTTGTAAATAGCTTATATAGTTTTTTATGACAAATCCCGAAATATAAAAGGTAGTCCTCGTAAGTCCTATTACAGGTGTTTTGTTTTCGAAAAAACTTCCAATGCAAAAACAGAGGAAACCGGACACATAAACAGTATTAAGTTATACACACTTAATTTTGGACATAATATGTACTTGCCTAGTGAAGTTCAGATTCGTTTTTGCAGGGTAAATCATTACTTAAAACTCTTTGGTTTTGGCAAGAAACGGACAAATACTATTTTTGTAGGAATATAATAGGAAAACCACAAAACACTATTAACTCAGCCCCAAATAATTCTGTATTTATAATACTTAGTGTGCGCCATGTTTGTCCAAGTATTGCCACCATTTTTGTTAATTAGTCGGTTATTGAAACATTTTATGTTATTTTTATTTATTTATTTATTTACAACAGCAAGTGGTTAACCCGATGCGGCTGATGAATAAAATTTACAATGTCTAATCAAAAAGATATATATAAAAAAAACCTTCTTAACAAAAACATATAATATATGTATGTATATAGTGTACCAGCAACTCTGTTGCATAGGAAGTTTTTTCTCTGCAGTTTGGCAGTCTTTTCTTTGGTTAATTTTTTGGAGTGACCTCGGGTCATTTTGAAAGATGTTCAGTTCACATGAGTAATAGTTTTGTATCATCTTGTAAGTCTCAATTAGATCGCCAGATCGCCACGTAATCGTCTTTCTTTCAAGGTTGTTAAATTGAGTCTTTCCTCATATGAATCATTAGACAATTGGAATGGAAGTTTTGTTATTCTTTAATTTAATAGGTTTGGCGGGTCCTTTTATGTAGATGCATGCAGGGGAAAATGTAGCTCGAGATATCTTGAGCATCAAACCATTCGTTTTTCCATCGGTAATCAGTATTGACGTGGCCAAAAACTGTTTCGTTCTGACAAGAAAAGAACGAGGTATATAATAGAAAAAGCTTGATATGAGACTCATTTAAGATAGAATAGACTTAATACTTGTTGGCTCTGGGGTCCAGCTGTAGTGATCAAGTGGGCGGGACAGATTATAAAACGTACTTTTCGAAGGCGGGGAACCGTACACGGTCAAAGGTCAGTCGGCGGGTTTGGCGATCGCTAGCGCGCTAGTGACATTGGGCAACCCGCGCAAACTCAGCGTGGACCAAATGAAGACTGAAACGAAGACTGGCAAGTCGAGGAAGAGTCAGAGCCAGCACCCCGACGGATGATAGAGGTAAGTCGGCCAAGCGTGGCCCGAACAATATTCAATCTTCTTATCGTACCAAGCAAATACTTAATCAATCGTCTATTTTCAAGGACGCATAGTCAACACGTAAACGCTGGAGGCGGTCATCCGGAAGTCTCACATTCCCACCCACGCGTCGGCGAATATCGGCGCTCACACTCACCAATCTCACCTCATCTCATCTACTTAAAAACGGGCGCCCCTTATAGGATAATTAATAAAACATCCGAAGCGTCCCGTCAAAGTTTATGACGTAAACACATCGCAACGTTGCCGCGTCAACTTTGTTTTTTTTTTTTCATAATGTCCGGTAAAGTTGTCGTTGACCTAAGTCTATTTTATCGGCTGGTTCATCTCTGGTTGCCTCTCTCTGGAGCACAAAAACTGCAATTGGAAAAAAATGGCTGGTTTGGTTTCCATGCTTGCGGCGATAGAACCTATTTTCTATGGTTTGGTTCATCCAATCACGTTATGCTGGGCAATTTCACTATAGGTGTAGCTTTCCGATAAAAATTGAAATTGGGATGATTGTAAATGGTTATTCCACACATCAAACAGTACATTAAATAAATTTTTAATTAATATTAAGACAACCTCAGGTGCCTAGGTCAAGGTTTTTGCACATCATAGTAAAATACCGCCAAAATAAACATTTGACACCTGATTGAAGGAATCCAGTGGCGGTAATGCTTAGTAGTAAGCTTATTTAAATTGAAGATTTTGACCCGTATTTTTTTAATTGAAAATAACATAAACACACCCCATTTTATAATGAAAGTAAGGATAAAATATCACTTGTTAGCAGATGAAACACCAATATAAATAAAAATAAATGTGCATTAAAAAAAATAACAAAATAAAACGATGTGCTTTAAATAAAAAAAATGTCGCACCCCGCCTAGTCCGCACTATTTTAAATGCATATTTTTCGTTTGAAATTTACTTCTTATATCTACGCGGGTGTCGAGTTTGGAAATATCGTTTTTGTATTTTGTATATAGTATATAGAGGTATAGTATAGGCAGGGACGGCTGGTGCATATGCGCTCCCAAAACATTAAGAAAATATTTTCTTTTACCAACAATAAAATTCATAATACCTGCATTCATATCGTCATGTTGATGAAAAAAACAGTTTTGTGTACTTCTGACAAGTTATATTCACTGTGAAGAAATTTTTTAAATATTCATACGAAGGAAAGTTAGAAGTAGATGATAAAGTTGTACACAACATAATTGTATGAAGTTTGCATCATTGGGGTCATAAGGTAAGTTTTTTTTTTGCAATACCTGCGGAGCACCTTAAATTTTTTTTCCACGAGCCGCCACTGCTATGTACTGTACCCATAATGCCAAATAGCAAGTAGGGTCGGGTTACATGGATCAAATGTCTTTGGACGGTGATGAGATGTGATGTTTAATTAATTATCCCATACGCAAATACATACCATATCACAACACACACGTTCCCACTTGAAATATTAGGCGATTGAAATTGTTTTCCGACAAAAAAAAAGACATAATAGATTTCAATCGTCATTTTTCTTACCTTGGTGTCAATCTATATTACGGCGGATATTAGGGGGTTTCGTTTGTCGACGTGTGAACCGCGGAAGGTCGTCAGGGGATATGTCGATAAAGCCGCGTTTTATTTCAACCATTCCAGTTACTAATTTTGGTGGTGACGCAAATTTCTAATGTAAGTAGAAAATTAATAAAAAATATTTTATAAATTGAATAAAATGGAAGAAACGCGGCTATAACAAAAGATAAATTTGATATAACAGGGTTCTCACTCATCTAAAATTTTTTGTTTTATAGTGGTAACGGTTACATTACTATTTTATAAAACCTGAGAACCTACCAATTGTTTGCGAAAGATTTTCTTTACTCTTATAAAGCGCTTATAACACTTAAATGAATAATCTTAGGGAAAGGTCTGTTTGGGAGTTAAAATTGATGCAATGTATTTTTTGCTAACATTAAAACGAAAATCAATTTTTCAAAGAAACTTCCACAACCTACTGTAAAAGCTTACAAAACTTATGGATTCCTCCTGTATCGGGTGTTAAATTGAATTTGCTGACGAGGTGTTGATGTAGATTCGAAAAAACATAACAATGGCCGCCATAAAAAACGTAAAGTATTATATGGATACTCAAGTGATATTAAACACCGTGGAAACTTACTTAGGTGTCATAAAGCACTTGACAACTATTACTGTTCAAACATCAAATATACCATTCTATTCTGTTGCTTTGGCTTGAAATACTTATAGTTTTATAAGTTACCAAAAAGGTATTTCTAAAAACAGAAAAGAGCACCAACCAAATAAAAACCTTTAGTTCGCAAAGGTCAACTATCATTTATGCAATGATAACCTCACTTTTTACTTGTTATTTATTTATCTTTTCTTGAAAGAACTGTTCTTAGTTTTTTTTTGTATTCAGATCAAATTTAAAATAAAACTAACATGGTTCATAAATCCCTAATTTGCGAAAATTGCTAGTTGGGCAGCGACCCTGAAAAGTTCTAAACGGTCAGCGAAAGTCGACATATTACATTACTGATTATTTTTCATTCGAGTGATCTCTACGCCACAGCAGCGATTCCTTGTTCATAGGCTGTTGTTTTGGTTAGTTATTTAGTATTGTTTTTTTTGGAATCCCTTCCTGACTTTATGAAATCTGGTTATTTCACATAATTTCAGATTCTTCTTATCTAGCTTATCTAGAAAGTGGGGGAAACCCCTGGAAACTTACGGAATCATAATTTTTCAAATTTAAATATGGAAAGTTAGACTTATGCGCATAAGATCGCCTAAGGCGCCTGCGCCTCTAACCATAATTTCGGTTTAGTCCTCCGTAATGGTGATTGACCCAGCTAATTTAAATAAATTAATGAATAGATTCGATTACTTTGATTGTTATACGTTATCGTAAAAGTTTGGAATCATAGGCGGGTTTATCAGAGGAATCGGTACATCAATCGAGTTAGAACGTAGTTTGTATTCGAAAAGTTGCTCGCTGACGGTCTGTTGGCTGTCAAATTTGCGACGTGACGCACTGCGGGTAGCACCCAAAATTTCAATGGTTCAGTTTTGGTTAGTATGAAGGTACTCGTATATTTTTCGCGCACTTTTTAAAATGGAAAATAATAAATTTGTTTCAAAAAACTAATATGACAATTTAGTTATGATATAAAAGAGATGAAAACATTTTAATATTCTCCGATTAAAGCTGAACGCAGCAGTATTTTAAAATCTTGACTAATAGTGAAGTTATTATATTATTATTGTACAGTGTGGCCCAAAACTGGCTTTGCATATTTGGGGACCTATGGAGATAAAACATCAGTTTACTGGAAGTAAGATTGTACACCTCCTGGGGTAGCAAAATGCTGTTCAGAAATGTCACAGATATAAAAAAAAATAAAGTAATATTTAACTATATATTATAAAACTAGATCATTTTCAATAGAGACTTTTAGTTTTTTCCTATATCCGACACACTTTGTATATAATATTAATAAACGACCGGAATTATTGTTGCAAATGTTTAAAAACCATTATTAAAATCTGATGGTGCCCAACATTTAGAGTATATGCGTAAAGTTAGATTTTCACCTCCCTGCCAAAGGTCAAGTAGATAAATTTTGGACACATTTTGTACACTTTAGCATAACGCGTAATGCACACCCTGTATCGCATGCAAAAACCTCATAAACAAAATTTGTAACCCTCGATACGGCCTAAATAGCAAAATGAAAGAAACCACCAATTGAATCAAGGTGTTTTAATTGCGGCCAATTTTCTTTCTTTCAATTTTCATTTTTTTACTGTGGGTACATCATGAACAAAGAAGTTCGTGGCCCAAAAACCCTCCCTTGTTCTCGTCCAAGAAGTTTTGTATTTCGACGAACGTTTCAAGATATAGAATGTTTTAATTGTATCCCTACAGTATATGAGAGGAATATGCGCGTGATTTTCGAATATTTTGATTTTGAAACTTTTGGTGCTAATTGAATAGCTTTACCCGCAGTGCGACAGATCACAGAACAAAAATTTGACGCGCCTATCTATGCAAATTTTCCGCATATCGTATAGTCACGTAGTAGTTTCAAAATAATTATATTTAAGCGAGACTGAGATTTTATTTAATTTATAATCATTGTTAATTTTATGGCGTCTTAGTTTATATTTATATATATTGGATGTGAGAGAGATCGCGAAAGCGTCGGAGCTTATCAAAACGTCCGCTAACTTAACAGGGGCGTCGGAATGGTTAGTCCGGATCCATGACGTCACCATGACAATTTTTCTGCGCGAGCGCCCTCTACCGTTAATTTTAAGCGCTCGTGTCGCCGTAGTCGGATCTCGTGCGTCCCACGCAAAGATTTTATTCCAAAACCGTTCGTGTTGTTGTTTTTTTTACTGCCACTTATAATAATATAGTATTCAATTTTTTTTTGTGTAAATATAATAAATCGCATTAATTTTACGTAGGACGTTTTATTTGTTGGCCTTAAAAATTTCTGCTCCTTCCAAAAAAGTGTCTTATCCTATCAACTTTTACTGGTCATGTTCTGGAAGTCTTGAAAAGTGTATAGTTAGTAAGCTTGCAATTATTAGCAGGTTGCAGAGCTACTTTAATGGTAGGACTTAGGGTATGAGTGCGTAACTTTTTGTCTCATTAGTTCCATCACAAGTTCCTCACTTCTTAATTTAGTTGTCAATGACGTTCAGATTGTGCGAATTTCTTCTATTTGCCAATGACTTGAAACTTTTTAACTTCAGGATGACTTAAATATGTTTGTACTTTGGTGCCAACGATATGGAGATTAACGCATCCCAAGTGATGTGTAGACGGCAATTATATTTTAAATTCAACTATTGTATAGGTAATGCTGCCTATAGCTGAGGCTGACCGTAAAACTCCACTGATTGGGAGTTTGAAATTGAATGAAGCAAGGTCAGTATTTAAAAATGAGATTTTAAATCTATCTGTGAGAAAGGTTTCATTTACTAGTCGGTAAATTCAAAAACGCAAAAAAAAAATAGGGAGTGGCAAAAGTTTTGGAGATATTCAAATATTCCGAAAAAAAATTCTAGATTTTGTTTTTAAACCTAGTATGTACGAGGTTAGCGTCAAAATTTCCCGGCCTGACGTAGATGCAGCCCCAGTATCACGATAAAACTTTGTCTTCTTTTAAATATATATCTAAGGAGGCTGCGGAAAAAAAATTGACGTCTTGCGTCAAATAATTTTTTATTGACAGCATTTTAAACAAGACGTCCGAAAAAATGTCGCAAATAACGCAAATTTGAGTATAGGGCAGAAGGGTTAGCAACTAAAATTATTAAAGAAAGGCTGGATGATGTGTACGGCCAAAGTTCTCCTTGGTATTCTGTAGTGAAAGAATGAAAAAACTACTAAGCTTTCTCATACAAGTGTTGGTCGAATCCTGTATGATCATTTAGGTATGCATAAGGTTAGTGAAAGATGGGTTCCTAAAAACCTTTTGGCTATTCAAAAATAACGCAGTGTCGAGTGTGCGCGGTCTTTTTTGGAACTCTGTGGGTCGGAACCGAAGCCTGTGATAGAAACTATTGCGACGGGAAATGAAACTATGGTTCTCTATTATGGCCTTCTATCGAAAAAAGAATGAATGGAGTGGCGTCGGAAGGGTGAAGCACCTCCAAGAAAATTGAGAGTCTGCCAGTCAACAAAAAAGGTGATGGCCACGATCTTTTGGGATTGTGAAGGAATTCTTTTGATTGATTTTAAAGAAACTAATACCACTGTCAATGGTAAATATTACGCAACATTATTACATAAATTGTTATGCACCTGTCCATACTGCTGGTGTTGCACAAGCTGCCATTTTAAAGTGTGGGTTCCAACAAATAGATCATCCTCCCTATAATCGAGATATGGCACCCAGCGACTATTGTTTGTTTGGATATTTGAAAAAGGACTTACGCGGACGGCGATTTAACGACGAACTTGAGTTAAAAGATGCTTTTTTAGCTCATTTTGAAGACAAACCAAAAGAATATCTTTTTTAAAGGGATTGAGTTATTAATAAAGAGATGTAATAAGTGTATAAGTGAAATAATAAAAAATTGTTACTCTACTTCGTTTCTTTCATATTCAGGCCGAGAAATTTTGGCGCTGCCCTCGTACTATTGCCACCCAAAAACAAATTTGTAGCATAAAGTTATTTTTGTTTAACCAGTGGCGTTCGTGAGACCGTTTTGATTATTTTAAATAAAAAATGTGGTACGCCAATGGTTTATCGCAATTTTGTTAATAAATTTAGATACTCTGATTAATTGTAAACAAAAACGATCTTTTTAGTTTTTTCGCTAAAACGATTAAGATAATTCCTTATTACTTACATTCGATTTTAATTCCCCAATAATTCTAGAAATTATAATACATTAATAATTAATAATAAGTTTGAAAGAAAAATCTAGAAGATATTTTTTAAAACAACAAAAAAACTTTTTTTTTTGGCGATATTTCAACTCCCTGTATCTCCGAAATCAAGCGTTGTAAGATTTCAGCTTATGAGAAGTTTTTCATATATTTTTGTGTGCTAAATACGATATGAAAAGTTTCTGCGTTATAATTCGGACCACCCTGTATCGCGATATCCAAATTTCTCTATAGAACTGTAATATATTTTTTACTACAATTGCAACGCAAAGGCAACGCAAATGTCCTCAATATCGTCTTATCTCGCGAATATGTTTATTCAGTACAGGTTTCGTCTAAAAATGTCCTGGAATCAATTTTTTCACAAGTCAAATCAAACTACTCCCGATACCTTAACAACGTGTATTTGTTATATCATCTACGAAACACTGAAAATTTGACGACTGCAACCCTTAAAGTGTATATTTATATAAAAGTCCTTAAGACCTATATCTAACTCAGCCTTTATTTCTATATATTTGATTAATAAAGCCGTTAGAGAAATGGTTCGTCCGAATCAATGTAACGGAGAGTTGCGAGAAAAAGTGACCGTAACCTAAAAACTGCCTTTCGTTGAGCGACAAAAGACCGTTTTCCCTATAATTTATATGGATTGGAGAATGTTGAAAAAATAACGGGAAACCTCCTAATCCAGATCGTCGCCCTGGGGCTGCGGCGGGGCCGCACCGAAAAGCCCCCCGCCGAACTTGGTTTCGATGATTTTCTTGAGCGCGACGAACTTCGGGTTTGACTCGTACTTGGACTGGTTGGCCGGATTTTTCAAAATGTCTTGGAACGCCTGGAACACCTCCGGATCCTAGAAAAACATTAAGAACACTGTAAAAAAATACAAAGCAAGACTTGACAATGATCATTGTCAAATTGACTTTTTTGTTTCCTTTTGCTTTCCTTTCAAGCAGTTAACATTGCCAGTTATTATGTTTTCAATTTGTTTGAGTATTCGTATTATACCTACCAACTTTGAGAGCAAAATCTAGAAGAGATTTTTTTTTAAATAACAAAAAACATTTCTTTGGCGATATTTCAACTCCCTATATCTCCGAAATCAAGTATTGTAGGATTTCAACTTATGAGAAGTTTTACACATATTTTTGTCTTCTAACTACGATCTGAAGTTTCTCCGTTATAATTCGGACCACCCCGTATTACGATATCGAAATTTCAAATCGGACACTCTATAGAACTGTAATATATTTTTTACTATTACGACTTGCTATTGGATCCAAAGTTTATTTTGTTTGGTTATTTAATTTGATTTAGCATACATCTGATCTATTACTAATCTTAACCTACTTAACTTGACATGCATGTTTAGGCCTTTTGTACTTGGGCTATGCCGATTGATTTTTTTGCGAATAGGTCAGAAAGCCCCATCTGGTGGTAGGTTACTCAATCACAATCAACTTATTCATAGCAGCTTTGATAGCCTAAGAAAAAGGTTTATTCAAATCTAAGAAGCCATTTTCGAGTCTTCAACATTTATTTCCCGAACTGATGGACCACCCCTAAGACGTTCCTTTTAGAGAGAGAGAGAGTAGAAAATATCTAAGGACGCTTTAAAATAGTGTTCATTCTAAGTATCGCTAATATAAGAAAATTTTTCAGAAAAATGGTTTTAAAATTGCTGGTCATAACCTCAACAATTATTTCCAGCATTTCCTCTTGGCTGATTTACTTAACAATTTTTTTTTCAAATTTTCAGGAACATCGGTTTCCCCAATATAGTATTTCATTGCCCTTACTGCCACTTAAATAAACATCTTTTTGTCAAAGCATTTAATAAATAAATAAAAAAACATTGAAATTTCCTTTACCTGCACCAAAGCCGAGACTTCGGGGTCCTGCATCAACTTGAAGAAGTTTTCCATCCCGGGGACGCCACCGGCCCAGCTGGGCGGCGCACCGCCTGCTTCCGACGGCTCGCCGGGCGCGGAGGCTTTAGCGTGGGCCTCCCTAGCCTTTCGAATCCTCTCCAACCTACCAAAAAACAAGCGAAATATTGATCACCCTTAACCCCGCCCAGCAAACCTCTCCCTTTCTTCCTTGTCTTTCTTCTTGCGCTCCTTTTTCAATAGGTGCTCCTCGATCTTTTTCGCATTGGGCGTCACTTCTTTCAGCCACTCGTCCGTCTGTTCGTCCATGTCGATTACGCAAGCCTGTCGCAGATCTTTAGCAGCAAGTTCCCACTCACCTAAATCGATGTATTGTAATAATAAAATAAATTCTGTGGTCTTTCCATGATATCCTAACAGATTGTAATTTTTAATCAGAAACAAGGCCGATTTGTACAACATTTTTATATATCGCGTATTGCAAAAAAATTCTCTGACCGTGAGATTGTAGAAAATAACCCCCATTTGCAAAAATAAATCTCAGTATGTAAACCATTCCTTTGTGGAAAAAACTGTGACTAAGAAACATCCAGGTGGTGTAAATTAGTCTAATAACAACTTAAGTTTTAAGAGAAACTTAACTGTTCTAACAACAGTTTGGAGATATATAATGGATTGCTCAATTTGTATAAAAGAACATTTAGTGAATTAGGCAACACATAATTTCTTCCACTTTTGTAATACCCCTGGCAATGAATGAATGAATTTCTTAAAAATTCTGCAAAAGGCTATCATAATGTTCCTAACATTATTAATTAAAAAATCTTTCTATACTGTGAAAAATTTCTTAAACAGTATAATCATGTATTATGATTTCTAAATCATCAAACATTGACCTGATTATTATAATTAATTATGACCAGTGAGAAAAATGCTTTCAATTTGAAATCACCCATTTTACTTGAAAGTAATTGCAGACATACCCAACAATCTGTAGGCCCGACCTCGGAACTTGTAGGAGGCGGCCGAATCCGGGTTTAATTCTAGGGCTCTAGAACAGTCCTTGATGCATGCGTTCGGTTTTGTAAGCTTCAAATACGTTTGACCACGTTTTACAAACAGCACTGCGCTGTTGGGATTCAATTCGATCGCTTCCGTGAATAGCTCTATGGCTTTCTCCAAGTTACCCTCACCAAGCTGGGCCATCGCCTCCTGACGCAGACTATCTGCCTTATCGCTATTTTCTTCAGATACCTAGAATTTTTTTTTGCATAAATTCTTATTTAATAGTTAGTTTAGATATTGGTACTTCTTCTATGGACGGATCACCCATTTTCTGATCATCACTGAGCTTATCAGGTTCAACACATCCATCCATATCTAATTCTAGCTCCGATTCTGCATCGGATTCGAATGCCTCATCGGAGTCTTTCAAGTCTGGAGCCGAATCTGCTTTAAACTCCGGTTGCATTTTGGCTTCGGGAACCTTTCCGCCGAAAGATTCGATAAAGGACTTGAAGAATCCAAGCTGAGGTAAATTCAGTAACGCCGGTTGCGCTTTGACAAACGTTAGAAATTGTTTAAGCTTTTCCAAGCTCTCTCGATCTATCGGACAGCTCATTTTTTCAAGACTTTTTCAATATCTACAAAGCAGAACCAACGAGAAAAAATATTTCCAGAATACTCGCTGGAACGTAAATTACAATGCAAATAAGCACAGAAAACTAAATTTAGTTCTGTATAAGAAAATCGGACAAACATGAAGTTAGACGCTGAATTTGATTGGTGTAGGAAACTGTTCCATCTTAGTTTGCCTATCGCGTTCTAGATGGCTATCGGAGCAATCAAATTTTTTAGTAAAAAAAATAATTGTTGGAAAAATTAAACATTTATTTATTCGCATAGATAGTAAATGAAAAAGTCAATAAAGTGGAAGGTGAATAATTTTGAAGCGATAAAAACGCCTCTTCAACTTGAGAGTTCTGAAACAAAGTGCGTGACGTCAGACTCAACGACCAGTCAGAAAAGAAATATGTCGGCGTGCTAGAGGACCAAGTGACAATTACCGTGCAAAAATAATTGGGTTTCAGTAATTCCAAATTAAGTCACGACTTTGTAAATAGACTGTTCTTCAAATTGCTATTATGTCTTTGAATTTACTCGGAAAACCCGAATACATAGTGGGTGGTAAATATCGGGTAGTGCGTAAAATCGGTAGTGGTTCGTTTGGTGATATATTCTTAGGAATAAATATCACAAATGGTGAGGTAAGCATTCCAATAAGTTACATTTTTCGTCCAATTTCAAAATAGGAGTAATGTTTTTCTAATGCTTTGTATTTGTGTTAGCAAAGTGTTCCGTTGAGCTAAATATTTCAGCCATTTCTGTACTCCCGATACGTTTTTTATTTATCCCGTTAATATCGGAGCTTACAGAAATGTTGCCGTCTGGTCACAAAAATAGATTTTAATCCCCGGAAATTACATTAACTCATTGTTTCTAGAGCGCGGGTGCGATATCTAAATTAAAAGTAGGTTATTATAAACCAGGATATAGAAAGCTTTTGCAACATATATATTAGCCAATCTTTTTGTTCATTCGCATACTCTCATTTCGAACAAATGCTCAATTGCGTGCAATGCGTAAAAACTGAATTAAAAAGTAGTTAGTTAAACAAGTAAAAGCACTTTCTGAGTGATTGTTTAACTAAACCCAAGGTTTTGCTAAGTAACGGTAATTCGAAACCAAATCCTTCAATCTTTTGGTTATTCTAAAAGTTATTGACGCTTTTTTATTTGTTTATGAAAAATCTTTTGAATGTGCCCACTGGGCAATTTAAAAATAAATGTTTATATTCTGCGCAGAATGTTTTTATTTAATCCTCACTCATCCATTATCACAAAGTAAATATTTTTTATATATGACAAAGAGAATCAACATTTGTTAAAACGGCAATAACTGCTAGAAAATATCATAATCAGGTATATATAAAAGAAAAAAAAGAATAAATCGATAGATTTGTACAATCCCTGATCACTTTTAGGTAAAATTTTAATTTTAAACCCTAATGCACAGGTCAACTACCTGTGACTCTTGGGGCCCTTAACAATCGGGTTAAGTTTTACAGTTCAATTTATAACTATTGCATCAAGAAACAAAGCCTAGGAATAGTTATCAGTTAACTGACTGAATTCAGTTATCCCAGTTATGATTTTGGTTTGTCGTTCATATTTTTTATTGTGCGGCAACACTAATAATTTTATTATACTTATATATACACTGCGTTTTCAGGAAGTGGCCGTTAAATTGGAACATATCAGAGCACGGCATCCACAACTTCTCTACGAAAGCAAGCTCTATAAGATACTACACGGGGGCATAGGAATACCGCATATCAGGTATGGAATTTTCTCTGGAAAAGCGTATTTCTAGTTTTTTTTTCATGTCCTGTGAAAATGGGCGTATGGTTTACATTCCTTTTGCTTTTTTACTGAATGTTATTGTGAATCTGTCAAGTTTCGTCACTAAGGGACCGTTTTTAATTTTAGATACTACGGCCAGGAGAAAGAGCACAATGTTCTCGTCATGGACCTGCTGGGTCCGTCGCTCGAGGACCTTTTCAACTTTTGCACTCGACGTTTCACAATTAAAACCGTACTGATGTTGGCCGATCAGATGATCGGTCGCATAGACTATGTCCATTGCAAGTCTTTCATACACCGCGACATCAAACCTGATAATTTTCTCATGGGCATCGGGCGGCATTGCAATAAATTGTTTCTAATCGATTTCGGGTTGGCGAAAAAGTTCCGGGATTCGCGCACCCGTCAACATATTGCGTATAGGGAGGACAAGAACCTTACGGGGACTGCCAGGTGAGTTTTTCTCAGCAACCCTCTAACTTTTGCAAATTATATCCTGGGATAATCGTGGTTAAAAAAAAAGTGTTTTTTCCTATTTGACTTTAAACTTACCAAAGTCTATGGGCAACAATATCACAACTTCGTAGAAATGGAAAGAATATCTCGATATTTTGTAGAAAAATTTTTGATTTTGATGGTTGTAATATCATACCTTGGATAAATACTGCAAAATGTATGAATGAAAACTGTTGTGTATCCTAGGCGTTTTAATTTTTAGAATCTAATGGTTTTGGTTTAAATACCAGAATTTCCAGTTTTTTTTTTTTTTCATTTTCAAGGCATTTTGATTAAACAAATCAACATAAAGCTGGTATTGCCGCAAAAGTTCATTAATAATAATGAGATTTATTTTCCCAAAGACATCTACAAAATTGTATAGGAATAGTCAAAATCCATAATATGGGCATATAAAAAACATTTAGTCAAAAAAATTCGTCTATAATATCTTTAATCATTTGCTAAATAGCCAAGGTTTGGAATGTTTGTCTCTTAACTACAAGGGCAGATTGTTAAAAATACCAACACCTAATTAATCAGGTCACCTTGTCGACAGCCTACAATAGGGAACATGCAGCTTACCGCTCTGTCTCGTAAGCTTAGAATGTACCTCACCAACTAATTTAAAATTCGATAAATAACATTTTAAAAATGAAAAGGCTCACCAGTGATGTAAACTGGACATGTATGCAAAACTCTTTAATATACGTTTATATGGATAGTGGTGCAACAAAAAAACTATTTAGAGTTGAAATAAGAGTATCACAAGGAGATTTCAAGTTTAAACATTCATCCAATCCTAGAAACCTCGCAATATTCCTACCTGAGATAGTGTCATTACCTAAGCAGATATTAAAATTATCACATTGTTTCTGATAGTTATAAAACCTTATAGTTTGAGTTTTGTTTGCGTCGAAATATAATTTTTCTATACCATACCATCAATCTATCGAGTACCCTACAGCATTTCTCCGAGAGGTCATTGTCATGCCAATATCTAAGAAAGATAATCCGCATACATCACAAACAATATATCAGGTAAAAATTTCAATATACACTTTACATGTAATATGAAGAGTACAGGCTCTAAAACTGAAATTAAAATAAATTAAAAATTAAAATTTTTATGGACGCATTTAGCATTTACAATATAGTTTAACTTAAGAAAAATAGTACCCACACATGTCAATCGAGTAATAATACTTCATCCAAACAACAGTTACAATTGCTAAGCTACCAAGCTTACAAGGCGGATTGATTAAAAACAGTGTTTTTTACTTCAATCAATACGCCCGTTATTTGAAAGTAAAATATTTGTCAGCTTGAACATTCGGTTCAAAGGCGAGTTAACGCCATAGTTGGTCCTATGAAAATCAATGTTAAAAAGAACCTTATTTCTTGCATTAATAGGAGAAATATCATAACCAACAGATGCCAGAAGAACTGGCGCATCCATCAAGTTATTAAGGATCTTGTATAATGTAGCGATGACAAAAAATATGCGCTTACTCTCCAAAGATGTCAGATTCAGAAGCTTCATAATCTCCTCGTAATTTATTTCCTCAAATGACATTCCCAATTTAAAACCTATGCTGCACACGCTCTATTTTTTCCTTGTGAATTGCATAGTGTGATTGCCAGACACAGCTAGCATACTCTAAAATTGAACGCACAGGTGCACAGTGCAGCTCCATATACGTAAAGATGTTTTCAAAACCCTTCAAAGTGAAAGATTGTTAACTAGGTTCTGTCTCTCGAGTGATCCAGAGTTCAAATGATAGATGAAAGTCACTTAATTTTTGGATCTGCTAAAGCTTACAATTTTGCACTTGTTTGTAATAAGAGTTAAATTGTTCTGTCTGCACCACAAAGAAAACCTATGAAGATCCTCCTGTAATCGATGATGCTACAACTTTAAAGAGCTTTAAATTGTCCTTAAATGCGAGAAATTGGCAAAAGCGAAAAGATTCCAATCTTTGAGAGCTTCCCTACCAGAATGCCATGGTCAACCCTGTCGAAGGCCTTGAAGAAGTCAGTATATATAGCATCCACCTGATACCCACTCTCAGAGGCCCCCAACATCGAACGCTCATAGCTCACGGGGTTTGAAACAGTTGACCTTCCCTTGACAAAACCATGCTGTTCGGTTATAATGTTTTTAAAATGAGGGGCGTCATAATCGGAAACTATACATATATACTAGTTTTTTATGTTAGCCCTGTCACCATCTTTGAAAATGGGTGTAACACAAGATAAATTACTGAACCTTGAGGGACACCCATCTCTATGCGTTGACTATCTGAATTTACACCTTCCATTCTCTTAACTTTATAAAACTTCATACAAATTAAGAACGATCCTCTAGAAAGCTACTGACGCAGTCTAGGGACTTGCCTCTTATTTGCGAAGTGTGCAGAGCTTCCCCAATTCCAAGCTCTCGCTCTCCATCCTCGATAAAAGGTGATATCCTACGGAAATACGAATAAGCAGCAATTGAAGTCATGTTGGTCATCTATAAAAATATGACATTTATCTACAATTAATCTTTCTAAGAAAGCATACTCATACATTATTTGGAATTGGAATTTGGACTAGCCTTAAAAACTGGCAAAATTCTATTTATTTTTAGACACGACGGGAATGTGTCACTTATCAAACTCAAAACTCTTTTTAATTAGAACGTTGGTATGCCATCGGATCCAAAAGACTTTTTGCCTTTTAATTTATTTTGCAATTTATATGCCATGCCATTAAAGGTACTCCCATATAAAAACTCTGATCATTCACATCCCTAGTGTTACTCGGACCAATATTTTTGTTATCTAACTAAATGGAACTAACAATATTTTTGGGATCATCTATAAAATAGTTATTAAGTACAGACGCCACAATATTAGGTTCGATTTTATTACTTTGCTTATTCATTAAATTAAAATTACCAAGACTGACAACAGACTGAATCTTAAATGTAAGAGTTTAACACAATGACTCTAAAATATTTCCCTAGGAAAGCAATACAAAATCTTATGTAGATAATTGACTTATAATGGATGTCTTCCCAGTTTGCTTCTCTCCGATTTGTGGGGTTTGGTGAAATCTGAATACGAAACAGTATTTTCTTATCCGCCGAAGCTTTGGAGTTTTTTGTATTCCGTCTTGTGTTTGTAATTAGTAATTACTAACTTACGTCTATTTAATTGTTTTTCAAGACTCATTGTGCCATTTTTTATTACAGTTTATCCAATACAATTGAAGGTTACAAAAAGAAACCCTTGCTTGCGGTTAGACCTTCATAAAAATTTACGCAAGTTATATACCGGATTCTGTCGTGAAAACGGTATATCGTTTGGATAACTCTACTTCTTTATTCCTGACATTACTTTTACGTAAAATTAAATTAAACACCAGATTACTCTTTATTATTATCAAAGGAAATTCAAATTTATCACTTCTTTTGGAACGCAAAAGATATTCGGTTTAATATAAATGCATTTTTAATCAGTATAATTCAATATTAATTTGGTATTTTGCTGGTGCAAAGTTAACACGGAACACCCACTCGGATGTGTTGCATGTCAATATTTATCAGTGGTCGGCTGCTCCGTGGTTTATTTTTATTGAAGATAAGATTCTTTAATAGGTTAATGTGACGACAACATTTCAAGATTACGCGGTAGTGCGTGCGATTGCAATTAAAATTATTTTGTTGCTTTTGATTCGTCGGAAAGGAAAGGAAAGTTAAGGTTTCTGTCTAACAAATTTGGATTTGGAGTTTTGGATTTCGAAAGAATAAAACTATAGACACTAGTCATGTTTCAGAAGGTTTTGAAAAATACCTTGTAAATGAATCAATTTACGGCCACCCAAATTTCTCATTAGAGTAGACCTTATTTTTAGAATAAGATGGTAAATCTATTATAGTTGTTGTATTGGACTGTAAATTTGGCGTACGTAACTTAATCACATTATTGAACCATTGAAATTAATTAAATTTTCTTTGTATTTCTTCTTCTTATTATTATTAATTATTTAACAAATTTAATGTTTAAAGATAAAGCAATAGTTATTTTTACCAAAAGATTGCAAATAATGGTTATCATTAATAGGTCCTTTAGAAAAGAACAACTTTGATAATTTTATCAGTTTAATCATGTATATCGTTAGCCCTCGTGACAGTTACATTAAATTTTTGCGTTGTATTTCATATTTGGTAAATTAATTTAATATAATAAGCATAGGAATATTAATGTTGAACTTAATATTCTTAGGCTTAATAATATATTGGGATTTGAACTAATTAAATTAATTTATAAAATATTAAATAAAAGACAAACATCTAATGTAACCGTCATGATTATTATGATTTTCTGCTAGCTATGCAATAAAGTTCCAAAAAACTTAAGAAACATTAAAATCTTAGACTATTTTTTAAGCAAATTAATAGTATATTATGCAACAAGTGCGGTAAACGGCATTTGATTCACGAGTTTATTGGACACGAGCGGAGCGAGTGTTTAATAAACGAGTGACTTTAAAAGTTTACCGCACTATGCTATACTTTTTCTACGACCGTTAGTTTTTGGGTACATTTTCGCAAAACAACACGAATACATTTACTGACATGACCATCAGAATTGACAAACGTCAAATTTCAAAGCGTGGGAAATATCTCCGAAAACGTCCGATTGTTCCCAAATCCGTGCGGTAAAATCCCGGAAATGTCCGAAGTGGCTCGGATTCGTGGTAAACGAAACTGACGTGGTAAAGTGACGCTTCCCGCACGCTAGATCGATGGGTAATTAGGTATTTTACGGACGAGAGTAGAAAAAATATATTTAGGTATTGTTATATATATAAAAAAAAAAGATTTATATTGTGATTGTCTCCAGGAGATACTTGGCAACTTCGATTGGCGTCGGGTTATTCGTACTGACAAGTCTTATCCTCTCCTTCTTTCTTTTTTTTTTTTGTTATAAGATTAGTAGATTTGTAGATCAGTAGAATTGAGTCATGTTACTTGTTGGAAATAAAGTGGTATTATATTATATAAAGTGCTATTATAAAAACGTGAAATTATACAACACTGTGATAAATAATTTTAAGTATCCTCGAGGTTAGAGCTCTGTTTGGAGAATACTGAAAAGCACTTTTGTGTAGTAGATAATCAAAAACCAGAAATCTAAACTATATATTAATAATATAAAAGATTCAATGGCCATAATATGACGCTGATATCTGCGACCCAGATATTTACGAATCGGTTGAATCGCCTTAAATTTTAGTTCATAGCATAGCATGATTGAGGGTATCCCAAGTTTTACTAGGATCTAATAAGACTAAAGTCGACATTTCCGCATTATCTGATGCTACTGATAGAGTGTCTTCCAATACTCTGAGCAAAGCTGTCAGCAGTTTAGATAACAGGTTGTTATAGGTAAGAGAGTTCCGTAAATCAGTTTTTCAAACACTTTAAAAAGTGCTGCGTTAGTAATCTAACGTATAGAATATAAAATATTTATTAATAAGTTCAGGTATTTCAGTTAGTTTGTCCATTCTCTTTAGACTTTTTTTGTACAGGCGAAATGAAAAGATTTCCAATTTCTAGTACTTATATTTCGAGAAATGATGACTGAAACAAGCTTATCGACTTGTTGCATGCTATACTTTTATTTCTTGATAAAAACCAACGATGCACTGATCAGGCGTTCGGAAAATGCCACTGTAACCACTTCGGTATTTTAGTCACGGGTCTGGTATTTTGACCAATACTGGTGTTTCGGCTAGGAAGTCTCCCTAGCACAAACTTGAAACGTTTTTAGACAGTGGATGTTCGAAACACCTATGTTGATCAAATATTTCGCCAAACTAATGGTCGATAATATAGCTTCTCAAATATGACGCAATTTGCTAGATACGCTTCGATAAACGCGCACCTGGGCATCGAGCAGTCGCGACGCGACGACATGGAATCCCTCGGCTACGTGCTGATGTACTTTAACCGGGGCTGCTTGCCGTGGCAGGGCCTCAAGGCCGCGACGAAGATCGAAAAGTACGAGAAGATCAGCGAGAAGAAGATGTCCACCCCCGTCGAGGTCCTGTGCAAGGTGAGTCGAACCCGGATCATCCAGTAAGTAGTTCCTTGTCTCGTCATCCTCTTCGAAAGGGATTCCCTGCCGAGTTCTCGATGTACCTGAACTACTGCCGCGGCCTCCGGTTCGAGGAGGCCCCCGACTACATGTACCTACGGCAGCTGTTCCGCATCCTGTTCCGCACCCTCAACCATCAGTACGACTACACCTTCGACTGGACGCTGCTCAAGCAAAAACCGGGGGCGGGGAGCGCCGCCGCCGTCGGCGGCAGCAGTTCGTCGCAGCAGCCCCAGGCGTCGCAGGCCATCGCCCAACAATCAGGTTAGTGTTTCGAATCGCAGTCTTTTTTTTTGTTTGCTACTGCAGGATACTAGACAAAGGATATTTGGAATAGGGAGTTCTGCGAGGAAAAAAGTGCACCGTGCGTTGAATTCATGTTGATAAGAGAGATATCGAGGTAAGCAAAAATAAAACAAAATGTAGGGTTAGTAGTCAAGTTTTTTTCCAAGTGACGTATAAAACAAAACTCTTATCAGTTTTTTGACATATACCCCGTATATTATATATGTGTTTAATAGAATATCTTATCCCGATTACGATGATGTAACACACTTTGTATTTTAGTCAACTATTTTTATATAATTTTAATTTTATATAATTTTATATAATATTAGTAGAAAACGTTCAAACGTTTTTGACAAATCGGCAAAAATAGTAATTTTTTATATGACTGCATCAACAATAATTATTTACAAATAAAAGCAGAACAAAAACACTAAAAATGAGAAGACACGCTAAAGTAAAAAATACTATTCTAAATACTGCTGTATGTGACCGGCATTTTCCTGAATACATTTCCCACACACTCTAATGTCTTGCATTGATTAACGTTTCCGGATCTTTTGCCGAAGTTTCGCGATTTTTACAAGCAGTTCTGTGTACGTGACTTTTTACGTGTCCCCAAAAGAAAAATTCCATTTAAGTTGAGTCGGGGATGTTGACTGGCCAATCCGTAGTTCCGCCATTACCTATCCAACCACTGGGATATTCCATTTTAAGAAAATTTTTAACTTGCACAACATTGTGAGGAGGGGCACAAGTCTCTCTGCCATATGCGCTGATATATTTAGGCGTAAATCTTCCATATATTGTTCTATTTGGTGCTCCAAGAGTTGCAAATAATGATCTCCAGTTAACTTTTGATCTATAAATATCGGACCCCAAATATGCCCATCTATGACATCACACCATACATTAATTAATTGGTACCCCTGGGTTTTTATTTTGTGTATTTGTCTAGGATTATTTAAAAACCAATGTCGCCCATTTTGTCTATAACAATCATTTCTTGTAATGAACGAACTTTCATCGGCCAATAAAATGTTTTCCAAAAAATTGTTATTCTCATTATGTCCATTTAAAAAATCCGAAAAAAACTGCGTCCTCCTTTGACATTGTTCTGCACTTAGTTTTTGAGTTTTACGAAATTTAAATGCATTATATTTATATTCTTTCAAAACTGTAGTAGTAGAAAAAACTGGATGTGCTTCATAGAATCCTAATATTATTTTCTTCATTTAAAACATTATGCATACCTTTTTAGCATGTAATACGTTACCGTTTTCTGCAAATTTCTGTGAAGGTGTTCGGCTCTCTGGATAAAGTCTAATCTCTCCTTTCACGGATGCTAAATTCGCAAAAAATATAATATGTCAAACATAAACATAGTTTTATTTATCAGTCATGAACTTTTATTTCTTATTTATTTTGTTAAATGCATTTTCATCAAGTAAAATCCACCTCAGTTCAATATACAGGATGTTCCATTTGAAAATACATGATGTAGGCTTATATGTCACTTGGAAATAAACTTGGCTACTAACCCTACATTTTGTTTTATTGTTTACCTTGATATATCTAACAACAAAAAAGTTACAGCCAACTAAAATGTTATCAAGATAAATTGAACGTAACTGTTTGAAATTCTTCCCGGACCGGAATTTTCGTCCAAGTGTCTTTTTAGTTTTGGCAGCAATGGTCTCTATACTCCGTTCGTTTGCAAGCGAATGTAATAAAAATGAAAGTGGGGGTGTGCGCCAAAAAAAGGACTTATTTTAAAAAATACAAGAAAAGAATTATCTAAGAATAGTTAATTAATTAGCAATTACTAATTCACAACTGTCAGTACGTCTTACGTGTAATGTGGCACTTGACAGACGGTTTACTAATAGGTGGCGCTGTTTGAGCGGTCGAGATTTCATGAAAAACACAGTATTGAGCAAATAACGCTTAGCGACACGCCAGCAATACTCTCAGCAATAATTTAATTGGTAATTGGCTTTCGTGAACCAAGCCCAGCATTTTTTACATATTTAACTCGTTAACTAATCAAATTTTCACCGTAGTTTTTCTAATAAAGCCAAAAGGCCTTACAATAAAGAAAGTTATGTTCTGCAGAGTTCATTTAGTAATATCACACCTCTGGAATTTTTGAAAGATCTTTTACATATGACATGGGTAAAACATATAATGCATTGGATCAGTCTCTTAAATTGCTAAACAATACCTTTTCCACACACCTGCGTGAAGTATTATTATCATTAAATATTTAAGTAATGTCTACTGTAAACTATTTCCAAAGTGTAAGTCCCTCTATTTGCACAGATCATACTAGATATTTATTTATTTTTTTTATGTATATTTTTACTGCCTAGCGCTGCTCCTACCTTCTTCTTAGGTTAGGTTTAAAAACCGATGCACAAAATATCTTATTTTGTTCATCCGAACTGTGTCCTTTTCATTGTATATCAATAGGTGAATAAATTGGTCCTTCTCAAAACAGAATTACATAGTTGCTTCATGAATTCCTGTACTGTCAGCATAAGCATTGCCTCTATATATCTAGTAGCTATATGCCTGTACCATAGTACACTTTATTTTTTTGGTGCACACCCCGTACTGACGGATAGTGAAGCGGTACGAACAAATAACACCGCCAGTGGGAGAGATATCCGAGAGAAGGAGGGACTGCCTAAAAAAAAATATAAAAGAGAAGTTGATGTAATTTTTTTAGGTAACCGTTGATGCACCCGCCACCATCCCACCAAAACCGTCACCGACTGGGCTGCAATAGCCAAAAAACGGGCCCACACTCTCACGCGGGCACCCCCCACCCACCCACCGAAGGTTAGGATTACGCTTTGGATTTTTCATCTCGCCGTACAAAAACCAAGGCGGATCTCGTCGTTTTATATATACAATTATTAAAAAAAAAAAACAAATAAATGCAACAAATATGAAATTACGGATAGGGGCCGGGGTTATGTTCTTCTTCACTTATTTCCTTGTATAAAATTTAACGGGTGACGATTGTGCGTCGGTAAGAGGTTGTTTTTCAGTTAAACGAACGGATGGCCCACCCACGGATTAGTTAGGAATGTGCGCGTGTCGACGAACGTTGAGAGAGCGAATGCAAGTCAGGCTGTACTATTTAGACTAATAATTGTAAGAAGTAGCATTTAATTTAAGCAGTATAGATATATATAACGACACTCAAAAATCGCAAAAAAAATAGTCGGTTGACGGTCGGAGAGAGGGCGTGACACAGTGTCAATATTAAACTTGCGATTGGTCGCTTTTGGCGCGTGGGCGTGAAGCACTGCCTAAATGCGACGAAGAAGTACGTCCTAACCTTGTATTTTAACGGAAACAGAGGGAAAATTCCATAAAACTCAATTAGAAAAGGAAACAACGAAGTGAAGTAGAAAACTCTTGTCATTAACAATTAAATTGTTCAATTATTCAGTAAAGTTCTTGATTTATTGCGGCATCGATAATTGTAACCTCATTTTTTAAAATTTCAAATTTTTTCCAGCAAACGCGATTGTAGTGACTGGCCAATTAAGAAGGGCATTCGGCCCTAACTCGAAAAGACTGGAATAGAGTTTTGATGAAAACACTATCACTAAAGAGAAAAGCCGCCCCTGAATTTTAGAACGTTTTTTTTTGGGAAGTATTACAGATAGTTAAAAAAATGAAAGCCGTTTTAAAGCTGGGATCAATTCGAATCTTTTCGTTAAATAGTTCGAATATTTGCGGAAATAACTTCAAAATGACTGAGTATTGCCTCTAGAGGTCGTTTTGCGACAACACCACAAATGAAATGTATTTTGCCATATAGGGCTAAGTAAACACCGCAATTTCGATATGTGCTTCCTAACGTATAATATCAATAAAAAAAAATAAATTTGGATCTTAACAGTATTTAATTTTGTGTGGAAAGTCGGGCAATGAAGTTGAATGTTATTTTAACAGCAAATTATATATATTTGGATTTAATAATGGCAGGTATACGAAAATGTTCCCAAAAAACTACGTTATTTGGAGTTTTTATTTATTTTACTGATATTATAGGTTAGGAAATACTTCAGCGTGTTTTACGCAAGTTGGCCACCTTTTGTTGCAATAAAAGGGATAACGTTGCATTTAATTTTGTTGAGGACGCTCACTAGGATAATAGTTTAAGAAAACATCTCTTGAACAACTCCAAATTCGACAAAATCACCAAATTATTGATGTTTCCAAAAATATTCGGCCTCTCCATCAGAGATAGAGTGAAAACTATTTAACGAAGAAAAATTGAATTTATCGCGGCTTTATAAACATTTCAAAATAATTTCCAGCATCTTTCCTTCCTTCAAATGTTAAAGATCTCGCCTTAACAACCAGAACAGTTTTATCGGTAGTGCATATAAATGTTGGACGAGAATTTGCAGTCTGACGCCAACGCTTCATTCCCGATCACCTCATCGTTTATCGCGAAGAACCGAAGACGATCGTGCGTCTCCGACACCATTTTCCGGACTTTTTTTCCTTTGAAAGCGGTCCGGAATAGGGCGTCACTGCAGGTCCGTTTTTCGAAAACAAAATCGTTTAATAATAATGATTAACCACCTTTTTTAAAATTGTTAATAGTTATCTATAAATCTACGCCTAATTACTGTTTTGTGTAGAGTACGTGGATGTTATTGTCAAAAGGTTGAAGATTAAAATTGATATATTTGCCGGCGACATATTTATTATTCACCACGCTCCCCCCCCCCCATTTCGTGTTGACTTCTTTGTTATACTGGGTGATCAGTGGCCGTACCTTGCAACGTTGTCGCTTCTAACAATGACACATGGCAACATCGTTATCTTAAATAACGTTAGCTGTGTTTTATTACGTTCTTAGATTGGCCTATTATAAATATTGACTATATTTCCTTTTTTCTTTCTCGAAAATGTGACACCACTAAAAATACAATTTAGCATTTGGACTCCAAAAAAGGTGGAATTTTTGCCACAGTTTACGAAAGATATAGCTGGATAAATGTATTTCATGTTTTACAGGCTCGTTAAAGATTAATGATTTTGGGGTGATACACAAAAATGGTCAAGGGCGATTAAACAAACCTTCGAAACCCGTAATGCTAGTTGATTCGTATTGTAATACAAAATAAACAACCATAGCAAAATATATTTGATATAATTTACTATACAAGTGACTATATACACGTAAACATCAGGTTAATTAATAATTCGTTTGTGATTTTCAAGAGTTATTTAGAATTATTTAGAAAACACCCACGCCTCTGGTGGAATTTTTTAATAGGTTGGTAGTGATGAACAATAACTTACTACATGTGCCTCCACTGAGTTTCCTAAAAAGAAAAATTAAAGTAAACGAGTTCATATAAACTTGACCTAAAATATACAGGGTGTTGAAATATTGCGAAAAAATCGTTTTTTCTTATTAACAAAAACTCTTTGAGAATTTGCTTTCAAATTTGGTAGGTATTATTGCCACTTAGAATAGATAAACTTGTTTTTGTTTAACCATTTTCGTTCGTGAGATCATTTTAAATATTATCGTCTGATCAATTATAAACAAAAAAAAACACTTAATAATAAATTTTTGAAAGCAAAATCTAGCCACACCTCGTACCTGCGAAATGAAGCATATTATGGCATAAATTTACGTGAACTTTTTTACTTATTTTAATCTACTGAATAAATTTCTCCATTATAATTGGGACACGCTGTATGAATACACCGATATGATTGTATTATTTATAAAAACATTAATTGTTCCTGACGTTTTTTTTTTAAATAACTTCAAATTGAAATCGACGGGCAAATACGGCGTTTATTATAGTTTATTGTCAACTTAGAAACAATGTGGTGACAAGCAATAGAATTTCGACAATCTCTTAGTATTTCTATTGAATCGTTATGGTGTGTCCCCACGACTCTGAACGTAATGCAAATTTTGTGACTATAAAATCAACCAATCATCTATTGCATTGATGACATTGATCTGATAATATATCTGCCACACAATTCTTTTTTCTCAAATTCCTCATTAAACAAGTTGCCGTACATTATTAAGTGGTGTCAGAAAATCGAAGACCATCATGTCCAGCTCAGCAGAGCTGAAAGTAGCATACAATCAAACAATCCCACTTCTGACAACATCGTAATAATGTGTGATAATTGACAAATAAAACAAATTAATCATTTTAGAATTTTAAATAGACATATGTATCTTGACTGTGAAATCACTCTCTTGTATGACAAGCATATTTTCAGTCACAAGTGAAGCATTTTGTTACCGTTACCGACGTCACGATAAGCACGAAAATTATGAATTAGGATCGCAAAATCGTGCAATTCCGTCCTGCGCCGCGTTAAAAATGTCATTTTATAAAACTAAAGGGCAGGCAATCCGAAATTGTGTAATGGTACGTTAGCGAGAGAGTCGACCGTCAGCGTGGCTTCTTTTTTAAAGTTCTCTTGAACACTGTGGTCTGCGATCATCACTACTTGCATTCCGGCATCGACAGCGGCACGGACTCCGTTGGGCGCGTCTTCAAACGCCAAACATTTTCTGGGAGGAGGAACATCTAAAAACCGATTGGCGCACACCAAGAACACGTCGGGACTCGGTTTACCAGCTTTAACTTCCGGATCGCTTCCGCCACAAACGATATGGCTAAATAATTTGAATAAATCCCTGTGCGCCGAGATTTTCAAACGTACGCTGTCTTCCGACGAAGACGTCGCTATGGCGATGGGTATTTTGTTTTGGCTCAAGTGTCTAATTAAAGACGCCGCACCGGGTAACAGCGAAACGGCGTTGTTTTTGAAATGACTTTGTGATAAGTTTCGAAATTCTCGTTGAAATTCGTCGACCGAGATCGGCAGGGCCATTTCGCTAATCGCGATTCTGCACGATTCCCTTTCGACTGTGCCCACAACTTTTGCCGCTACGCCGTGCGTATACTCTTTGCCGAATCGTTTGGCGATAGCGGCGATGGCATCGAAGTACACCCTTTCCGTATCTAGTAACGTGCCGTCCAAATCAAAAATCACGTGAGTTGCCCTCTTAAATTTTGGGGCGATCCTTTCGATAATCATCTTCGCAATGTTCTGTTTACGTAATAAAGGGCAGGGATATAGTTGCGAATCCTAATACCATAGTTAAAAAATTATCAACCAAGCGACGCCAATCCGCTATATAAATTTCGGTAAACTGTCACATATTAATTACTAAACCATAACATCAAATACATGTAGAAATTGTTTTAAAAACAAATAATCGATAAGCCGTATCTATTTTTTGGCGTCCTCGTTGCTTTTGTTTGTGGACCGTGACGTTTTGCACGTACCAACTGCTTTGTTTTCCGTGAGGGAAGCTAATAGAAACCTATAGAAAGTAACCCGATCGTGTACTGTGCTCGAACAGGTTAATGTACTTAACAGGAAAACACAGCGTTCGTGATTTTTGGCAGACCGTGCGTGAAATAGATACGTATCGTCGCGTTTCCATAAATAAAAACTTATCGAGTGAATAAAATGAGTGGTAAAAATGTTGCGCATTAACGTGTTGACAAAATTTAAAAAGATTTCTCACATAATATTCGACTTGGATGGCACTTTGTTGGACACCGAATCGGTTTACAGGAATGCAATTGATTCGATTGCGAGACGTCATGGACAGAAGTATACGTCTGAAATCGTCGGTAAAGTAATAGGGAGAGTCGTCCAGGAAACGTCCCGGATTGCCGTAACCGAAATGAATCTGCCAATATCTCATGATGAGTTTGAGCAGGAACTGCGGCATATGTCGGAAAGGCATTTCAGACAACACGGGGCTAATCTATTGCCGGGGGCCGAGCCTCTGATTAGACATCTGCACAGCAACAAGATTCCAATTGCCGTCGCTACCTGTTCTTCTGAGGAACATGCCGATTTAAAAATATCACGACACAGGGAATTTTTTAAACTTTTTAACCATTTTGTTTACGGTGAAACCGATCCGGAGGTGATTAGGGGTAAACCCAGTCCAGACATATTCCTGGTATGCGCCTCCAGATTTCCAGACAATCCTCATCCAAACATGTGTCTCGCTTTCGAAGATGCTCCTACAGGAGTCCATGCTGCCATCAATGCTGGTATGCAAGTTGTGATGGTCCCAGATGACAATTTGCCCGACCACTTGCAGAAAGATGCTACTTTAGCGATTAAGTCTCTGCATCATGTTCCTTTGGACAAGTTTGGATTGCCAATTCTCAAACTCGACTAAGTCTACCTCTTTGTCTACAATGTATATAGTAATTTATTTGGAATTTATTTTATTTTTGAGTGAGATTTACACATTTTAGAGGGTGTAGGAGTTATAATTATTTAAAAAAGAATTGCTGTGCTTTTCCTATGATTCAGTGTTTTGTTTCTAACGCAGTATTAATGCAGTAGCAGTTCTGACGTGTTCAATACTCTTTGTATTTATTAAGCTTATACTTAATAAAAGTTAAGTATTAAAATTGTTTTTCAATGAAAAAAAAGTGCGTGTCAAGGACAGTACATCACATGATATGAGATTAGAGTCTAAATTTAATTCTTATTGGATATAACATTAGAAATCCCGCTTTTAGTACAATATCATCAGATATCTAAGGGAAGTTGTATAACATAAAGCCACGGATTACGTACCTTGTAAAACACTCATAACACTGCGAAACAGGTTGGAATGACATGCTTGTCTGCTTAAAATAAAACAAATACTTTATTTGGGTGTTAATTTAGTTTTATTATTACCATTAGGTTATAAATTATGTACTTTAATGACAGAGTCGGGCTTGGTTTTAACGCAAGCGCAGTTATCGTAGTTTTTCGAAAAATAAATTTGCCTAATCAGCAAGTGAATCATTAATCGGTAATCACCAACATCTTGTCTTGAGCAGCCCCATCAAAATCAAAACTAAACAAAAAAAAAGAGAATAAAATGTTAATCATTTACTTTGACTTGCCTACGGAGGCACCGTAAAAATTCTGGAAATAATTTCACCGCTTTCAATGACGCCAGCATTCTGGCAACGAGTGTATTGACGCGCCCTCTTCATGTTGCTCCTACGCAACCGGCAACCAATAAAATATTCGCTAGTTTTTATAAATATCCGTTTATTTTTTTAAGTTGCAGTCGTTAAAACACGAAATTTTCTTAAGACCGGTCTGGTCTCCCAGCAGTTTGCCTTAAACGGTGTTAATTAACGACTTTCACTAATTCAATGAAAAAAGGGAGTCACTACAAAACATTTTTCGGAAAAAAATCCTAGTCCCATAACATTTTTGAGTACTAATACTACTAATACTTTGAATGTGAGCATGCGGTACTTAATTTCTCTTAACTTTATAAAGCGCGTGTCCGTAAATTATTAATAAACGATCTTGTATTGGGAGGAGATGATCAAAGGATTGGCAGCAGGAAATTAAATGGCAAGACTATGACATTTTGGTGAGTCATCGGAATGGTAGATAACACCCCATTTGCCAAGTTTAAAAAATGTAGGTATTCCTGATGACACGGAGTCCTTCATAAAAACGGTGGCGAAAAACTCACTTCTTACTGTACGAGCAATTTCTTGTTCGCCTGGTTGCGATTTTTCAAGACCTGATGCTTTATGTTGCTGAAAAAAAAAATAAATTCCAGAAATGAAAGTCAACAATCGTTCAAACCCTAAAACCGACAACCTTGGATTGTCATCTCGTTTTATTGTCGTCAGTCTCTCTCGCACTCGTGCCGTGCCCGTCAAATCTTACCACAAACAACTTTCGAGCACCTTTATCGCAAAACCATGGCAAATAACAATAGACTCAGAACCGTGTACGCTTTTGCCCGAGAAATGTACCCCAAGACCGTAAAGACTGATATCCAATATGGCACGGCCGGGTTTAGAACGAGGTAAGTGATAACACGAAATTGTAGGTTAGAATTTGGGCCCTGCGGGCCGACAAACAATTTAACAGTCGAAATTTGGATTATTTTTAGGGCCACGGACCTAGCCTATGTGATGTACCGTATGGGTTTGTTGGCAGTTCTAAGAGCCCGTTACAAGAAGGGTAAATATTACCGCTAAACAAACAATGAAGGGTTAATCAATAACAGGAATTCGCATTAGCTGTTGTAGGAGTGATGATCACTGCCTCGCATAATCCCGAACCGGATAACGGCGTTAAATTGGTAGATCCGCATGGTGAAATGCTTGAACAGAGCTGGGAAAAATTGGCTACCCGAATTGCCAATGTGGCGTAAGTTTAGAGTTTTATTTCGCAATAGAGATTTGTTTTGTGTTATCTTGACAGCTTGGATTAGCTTTAAGTCAGATTGTGTGATACACAATACGGTTTTCCTATAATCTGTGGAAGAGATTATACAGGGTGTGTAAGGTAAGGTAAGAGCTCGGGAGTCTTCTAACCATTGTTGCAAGATTGATAGAGGTCTACAAGTTAAAAATACTTTTATTTGTACAGGGTGTGTCAAAAAATTAGTGATTGTTAAATTTTATAAATTTTTAAACATTTGATTTATTTAATTTATTCTTCAATATTTAAATACTTGTGGTTGAGGATGGCGACTTTGAGCATATATTTCTTTCTGAAAATTCCTTGTGAATATTAATAACCGTAGGTAACTTATAAAACTAACAATAGTCAATGACAAAGTCAAATTCTTATTTTTCAAAGCAAACTTTATTCAAACATTTTATGTGAGTTTATTTTCTTTCATACATTGAGTACATACCAGGAACATTTGGTTAAGTATAGTATTAACTTTGGCCACCTGGGTGGAGCTTTTCGGGGCCTGTATTGTTTGAAACGAATCCTTTATATCACAAAAAAAAGTATTTACGCGGAAACATTGATAACATCCGCCATTTTGTACTCACCCTGTATAACTAAAGATGTCTTAGACTTGTAGATCATTATCAATCTTGCAACTTTGTTTAAAAGATTTTTTATGTTACCGTTTCTGGGCCGTCTTTGCTATGACATATGAAAAATTCCAAAAAAAGTAGTTTTTGACATATTCCCATGTTGTCGCACTCTTTTGTCATCGAATTGGGAGAAAAGCGTAATTTTTTTAGGGACAGCAAGTTGCAAGACGCGCTTAACGACATTATTAAGGAGTACAACATCGAAAACATGAACGATAGGGCGGAAATAGTAGTCGGGAAAGATACTAGGCCCAGCAGTCCGAGTCTCTCAAAGGCGGTGACGGACGGTATACTGGCTATGGGCGGCAAGCCCATAGACTATGGTATAGTGACGACCCCCCAGCTTCATTATTTCGTGATGTGCAAAAATACTAACCGGGCCTACGGCCAGCCCACCGAAGAGGGTTACTACCGAAAGTTGATCAACGCGTTTAAAAAGGTGCGGGGAGACAGTTTCACCAACGGCAATTACACCAATCGGGTTATGTATGACGGTGCCAACGGGGTGGGCGCCAAGAAAGTCAAATACTTGAAGGAAGCTTTGGGTGGCAGTTTAATAGTAGACATGTACAATGACGAGATCATCGGATCCGGGAAACTCAACTATTTGGTATGTGGAATCCTCAGATTATTCAATTCTCTTTACTCCTATCGTCTAGAGTTGCATGTAAAGAAATAATAACATTTGAGTGAGGTTATGAAAAACTGGCAACACTGCAACATTTTTGAATATAAAAAATGGTCTGATTCGGGATGTGATTTTATAGTTTTAAAGGATTTAAGGTACAGGTTGGGTTATATCGGATAAAAGTTACGTATTTAGGCACTCTGAAGTCACCAAAATGAAGTTATCAACACAAGTTTTAAATTAAGTTTTTTTAAATGTGATTAAATTAGTTTTCATCACTTTAATGTGTTCTAATTTAACTACTGATTAATTAATGTTATTAGTATACTATCTCATTAATAAGAGAGTTGACAAATTTGTTTCTTTCTTGAAAACGGGTAATAATAGACATGAATTACTAATTATAAAACTAGTTTTTTATAAAGCATCTGATAAATGCACAAAAATTGACAGAACAAGACAATTCCGAGGAAACTGTGGCCCTTACAACTTTTTACTATTTTTCTAAGCCAATGTCACTTTTTATAAAAGGTGCTGCTTGTTTTTGTAACAAGATTGGCAATTCCGAGTATCCTAAAACAAAAATATAATATTATTAAATAAAAATATTGTTTCAAAATTGAAAATACATCAATTTACAGATTTTCAAGCAAAATTCGAAATACGATTTACTAAATCTGTGGATTCCTCTTGCCTCGGTTGTTCATACTGTTGGTTTCTTCAAAGCTTCGGAAGTTTTAGTTACTTTAGAATTTTTACTTGGATGGCCGTAAAATGATTTATTTTCAATTTTAAAACAATATTTTTATTACATAAGCATGTGCAAGTTTGAAACATCAAAAATTCTAAATTTTAAAATTTCCATTTAACCTTAAAATTTTTGTAATGTGTAAAATGTTTTAAAGGGGAAAATAGTGGCTGTAATAGAGTTAGTAGAAGGAATGTTTATGATATACAAAACACTAAAAATATTATCTTGTAGTATTGACGACCTTGTGTGTCCCTTTCCCTTCTGTTGTATTTTTTTCTGTGGGGTCACATTACAAATCCAGCTTTTAAGGATCTATAACCGGAACAAATTAGAAGAACCACATTGTATATTGAAGAAAATATTTTAAAATGTCTTAGGTCAAACGGCACCCATATAGAATAATCTTCAATTTCTCGTATGTATGTAATTGATTCTAATGATGTTCCGTAATTATCACGGCGTACTAGGCTACTACCTAAATTCAATCAAAACGATTGTTCTATGCACATTATATCTAAAAAATGACTAAAAATACGTATGAGCTAGTTTTATCTCAGAATTGAAAAAAAAATCAACAAACTTGTCAAAAAGTAACTATTTTTTGGTAAATTCAGTATAGCGTTAGGAATGTATATTATTAATAAATAAATATGTTTCGACTGTAGCATAGTAATAGTACCATAGAAGACAGACATGACGTAGGGTGTTTATATATAATTTGTCAATAATAATCGCCAATTATTAATATATTGCATGTTGGAGAAAGGGATAAAATAACTAAGTAGGCTTAGCGGTTGGCATGGTAACGGCACGATTATTATGGAACCCAGCCGAGACATCAATTTATTGAGGTATTTTCTGATTAATTTTTTCTAGCCTAATTTCCTCTCAATTATGTTTTATACGTGTATAAAGTAAAATAAAAGTAGTATCGAAATACTGCTTCTATTATACCTATGTAAAAAAGTATTTTTAAATTAATTTTTGTTTATATCTCAGAGGGGAAAAACGATGTTGCCATGCGGTTTCCACTACATGCTGCTTTTTTTACGCTCTTTCGTCCTAGCAAAAAATATTTACACCATTATAGTTGAAATTTTCGAGAAAATCATAAAAATATCTGCTTTTGACATGAAGCGCCTCTTACCGACTTGTAAAAGTATTCTTGACACGCCAGTAGAAGCTTATATAAATACTCTTTAAAACTAAGCCAAGCTCGTCGAAATCGGATTTGCCAAAAAAAAAGTTATTCAACTTTTTCTAAACCAATATTTGACCCTTCTCCCATCCTTAATTTGACGAGATAGAAAAAAAATAGTTGAAACAAAAAAAGTTTCCTTGTTTAGAGTAGATTACGTTAAAATTAATCTTGATATAGGTTAATTTTGAATATTGACTATTGAAATGAAGCCATAATACATTTCGTAAAATAAACTTTTTCCTTATCATAGACTAATTAAGTAGGTCATGAACCTTCACAAAACAAGCGATTTAAGTCGTCTTGTTACCATGGAAACGTTAACAATAATTTTGTAACGTCTGTTGTCAGTGTCATTTTGAGAATGTTTTCTTTATACAATGTTCCGTGTGAAAAGTGAAGTGGATTTTTTTTAAAGAAATTAGCTTTTGACAAAAGTCAAAATGCAGGAAGCCAGTAAAGGTAAGTTTTGACACTAATTTTATGCTAAGTAAATTACTCTAAAATGCAATTATTCTTAAAAAATTCTACAATACAAAAAAGCATGTAATTTATTAAGCAATATGTTAGAATTTTGGCATAATTAAGGGATGCTGTTGATACTATGTATTAAAGTAACATGTTATGATGTTACGTGTAAGACACAATCTTGCTCCCACCCGCTCCATTTTACAAAAATAATTTTTAATGTATTTTCCGGGTTTTGACCTATTAATATACAAATTTGTTTTCTTTTTTTTTTCTAGAGCGATAGTGTAACTTAAGTTTGATCCATGTAAGACATTGTTATTATTTTTGGCATTCAATATATATAACTTCTGGTCGGTCTCATTGCAAAGCAATGGTTTAACTTTTTTAGGCTATGACTAATGCAAAAATTGTAACGAAAATAAAACAAACTTAACTGAATGATATTTTAGATGTATAAAAACTAGCAAACTTAAAATTTTTTAAAAATCCAATAACAATATTTCGTTTTAATCTATATTAATTAATTTTTTTTTTGTTAAATTGTTACTTGTTGGACACCATGTATTATTATTTTTTTATTTACTTAAACATGATTATTTCAAAATGTTTCTACATTTTGTGTAGTCTTATTAAACCGTTTTCATGATCTAATTAAATGTTTGTAAATATAGTTGTTTTTGTGAACACCCTGTATAATAATTATATTGGATTAAAGTTTGACGTTCGTAATATTTTTTCTTTTTATTGTTGTGTTTGTATTAACCACCTGGTACAACGAAACATACTCTGGGCGTTGCGAATCTTATTTTTTATATAAATTTTCTCCTATCCTTTATTTTTGAGTTATTTCTTTCCAGTGCGGCGCCGATTTCGTAAAAAGCCACCAATCCTTCCCGACGGGTGTACCGAAAGAAGCGAACGCCCGGTGTTGTTCGGTGGACGGCGACGCGGACAGATTGGTTTACTATTATTTGGACGACAACGGTAAATTCCATCTGCTCGACGGCGACAGGATCGCCACCCTTATAGCCGCCTACCTTAAGGAGATCCTACTCAAAACAGGCATCGACTTGAATTTGGGGCTGGTGCAGACCGCCTACGCCAACGGGGCATCAACCGAATACATTACTAAGGAATTGGTAAGGCGGATCCGGATCGCGTCATATTTTTTTTTTCGATCGCGAAAATGCCATTAAAAAAATACGGGGTGTTTTGGAATTCATGTGGTAAAATTTAATGTGGGGAATTGGGGACCCCGTTCTGATGCCGAATCGGTATTTTGTTCGGTCGAATTTGGCCCAAAAAAGTGTAATTTTTTGTAAAGACGACAATGGTTGTTATACCATGACCAGAAATATAGTGCTTTTACAACCGACCCCGTGATTAACTTTGCCTACTGTTTATTACTCCAAAACCGCAGCCCCTTATAAAACACCCTGCCCCCTTACATAAAAAACTTAGTACAAAGTAACAATTTATTAAGTTCTATTTCATTACATTTCTACATAGTATCATTATTACTATACAAAATATTAAATATAATAATAAAGTATCAGTCACTTAAAAAATCGTCACATTAGGTTTACGATTCTTGAGTAAGACCAGCTTTGTACTGATATTCTATCTATGGTCTGTTCATAGATATAAGAAAGTGACCAACAAAGCGTGCCCACATTAGATATCGTAACGAGGAGGCTTGAAATGATCCGGTCCTTTTCGAAATCGGTCACTGATTGATTCGGTCCTCGTAAAATGAGCGATTGACACAACACTACTCCACATACACATTGCCAGTCGCTATCGCTACGTATCGGGCGCGCTTTGCTACGTCCGCTGAATGCGACCAATGATACGGGGGTAACCTCAAGATTTCATGTCCGTTTTGTTGTGCTATCGAACCGCGAATATAATCTATAGCCTTAAAAATGACTGTTATTGTTTAAAAATCGTAGAATTTTGTAGAAGGCAGAAAAATACAAGAAGATGAATGTTGTTAATCCACAGGCACACAAGAAAAAAATGATTATTTTCAAACTTACCTGTAAGATAAATAGAGTACAGGTCCTTACCCTTACCCTTTGAACTATCCAGTCCAATCAGCCTCGCAGAGTCAAAGCTCGAGAATCAGATACATAAATACGTACTTACTGGAAGGATCACAGTCAAACACCTCCGTAATATATACGAACATATTGCAATTTTGATTAAACTCTTAATAACGATACATATCATCTGATGTTAAAATAAATGCTTCTACTTATTTGAAAATTGCAGTATATTTTTGGTCGCACAATACCGTACAAACCGCACAAACATTAAGTTTTTTTTATGTTAATTTTGTAAAATATAGGTACCAAATTTATCTACTTCAAACGTTACAATTTTGACTTAGGTTAGGAACCAAGAACATGACAAATTGAAAATTATAAACAAATAAAATGCATTTATGTCTTAATTCAAACGAAGTTGGTGTGATCGTATTATCCCAAATATATCCAAATATACTACTTTCCTTCGTCAGTTGGTGCTAAAGTAAAATTTGAATCGCTTTTGAAAAGTATAGTATTGCCGAAGATTCGCCTATATAATTATTTAATTAGGTGATTAACTAATTAAATTTTTGTATTAATAAGATGGTCATGAACATATTTCAGAGAGAACCTAAGCTATATGTCAGTATGGTCTCGTGCCCGTTTCTAAAATTTATCTATACATTCTTAATTTTTTTTTGTCGCCATAAATGATTCAAACTAATCACCTCATTTTTTATTATGATAAAACTAAAACAAAATACTTTTTGATTTAATGTTGAAAGTTACCACTGAATTCCGGTTTGAATTTCAATTTATGTGACTCGAGTGCCACCTACTGTGAGATTTATGAAATGTTGACAATACGCCATCTGAGTACTGTTTACCAACATGGAGTTGAAGAAATAGTGCAAAGAGGTTATATGATTCTAGAACTTAAATTTGAAATTGAATAGAAAATTTGAAATTTGTATCTCGTTCTTGCCGCTTTGAAGTTGTAGTAAAATACCTTCATTCTTTTATTTTTACATGTAAATAGATGAATAATATGTATTAAAAAATTTAAAAAGTCTTGTTTAAAATCTTTAAAATTTTAAATAAAAAAGAACGGAAGGGTGTCTCACATAAGGTTCATATTTCATATTCCCTTCTCAAAACCTATAAGAGTTATTACGAAATTTTGAATACAAAAACTATGTATTTGAGGAATTTCTCAGATTATTGATTTTTGGATTATGCAGGGTGTCCCAGTTCTCCTCTATCACTTACATTAACATTGGAATTTTAAACTGAACACCATATATATTTTATTGCGTTTTTGAATTTAGTGGTAAAAAAAAGTTAATTTTCATTTGATTTGAAGCCCGCAAAATATATATTTCCCGGTGTTATACCTTTAGTAGAACGCGCATAAAGGATCGTCCATACAGTGATTGGATTTATTTGACTTTTTATTTTTGCGCATTCTGCTTAAAAAATAATATAATACTTTGAAAAAAACTAAATTAAACAACTTTAACAATATCCCAAACTTATACTATGAATAATTCAGAGTAAAAAGGACACCTGTTATAATTCTTAGACTAGAAAATCACCAAAATTCATTGTTTTGTTGTATATATTCCTCTTGAAGATACTAGTAGTTACTTATACTTATTTTTACATAACGATTCACATAAATATAAATATTTCCGAATAGCAAATGCCGGTCCGATTTTTTTATCACTAAATCGCAAAACGCAGTAAAATACCGTTCCATTTAAAATCCCGAAGTTGATATTTATACCTAAAAATTGGGACACCCTGTAGAATTTAAAAGATAAAGTTAAAATTTTTGACCAAACATCCTCTAAGTACTTCAGTTTTGTAATTATTATAATTTCCCTATGATAAATACCGGGCCTGGCCCCAGCTTATCAGACCATAAAGTAAGTGGGAACCACTATAAAAAATATATATAATTTTTTTTTTCACCTGGCTTCTATGGAGACAGATAATTATATAATACGTGAATTCCATAACACCCTGTATATTGCGAGGAAACGTTTCCGCTCGCGTCATTATGATTCGACGTCGACGTTCGCGATTGCTGCAGAAAGTCCCAGTGGCGTGCGTGTCGACCGGGGTGAAGCACCTGCACCACAAAGCGCAAGAGTTCGACATCGGGGTTTATTTCGAAGCGAACGGGCACGGCACGGTCGTATTTCGACCGGAAGCGAAGACTAGACTGAGGGAGGCGTTCCAGGCAAACAAGTAAGTCGCGCGAACGCGATCCCATAGTCTTGGGCTCGAATTTGAGGTTATAGTAACGCGATAAAAAAAACGAAATTGCTTCTGCGGATCACTTTCGGAAAATCAATGGAATTTTTCCCCACCCTGTATAAACTAACTTTCAATATTTTAATTTTCAATAGTTCGTACCGAACTATTGAAAATAAAAAAAATACACAACAAATAACTATTTATAGCTCGACTTTTTTCAGACATGCCGCCCCCTACAATGTTATCAGGGACCTCTAGTTTTCGACTATAGCTCGAAGCAGTTTATTTCGATTCTCCTGTGCTGCTAAGTTTTATATAGAGTAATAAAAATATATTGCCACAGGTGATTAAGCTATTATGGCTATAAAAATCTGTATTATCATTAAAAGTTAGATACCCAGAACGAATTCAACCGTTTTTTGAGATATTGGCTCGTTTAGAAGCAAATATAGTTGAGGAAGGATTATTTGAAAGAGAAAGAAGAAAAGAGAGAGATAGAAGATGATCTGGAAATACCTTTTTAGTTTTGGTTAGTTGGAAAATGCTTTTTACCTACAGGAAGATGGTGTCCAAGGTCATAGGCTCTTAAGGGAATTTTTTATAATAACTCCTCAGATGGGTAGGTCCCAACGGACCTGTTGGTATATAAAACACGATACTTCGAAAGGAGCGTAGTAATTTTTTTCTGATTGCGAAAAATGCCATTAAAAAAATACAGTGTTTTGCAACTGATGTGGTAAAATTTAATTTGGGAGATGGGGGACCCCGTTCTGATACCGAACCGATATTTTGTTCCTTCGAATTGGGCCCGGACGACTATGGTTGCTACCGCATCTGTTATCAGAAACACTAAGTATTTCTTTATGTTAATTTTGCAAAACATACGTAGCAAATTTATCTACTTCAAGCGTTACGATTGAGACTTAGGCTTGGTTTGATTTGGATAGCTTTTCGAGATATGCGAATAAGACCAATGATTCTTTTTATTATATTGCGACTTATGATATAAAACTGTTGTTGGAAACTGACTGTTATTATAAAACTTTGCGAAAGGTATCTAATTATTTGTTAGCAACAGTAACTTTCAATTGTTTGTTTGTTTGTTGTAACCATTCATTTTGGATAATTGCCATTTCTTTGCTTGTTTCTGAGAAAAGTGAATTAGGAGTGCCTAAAAATATTCTCAATTTAGTTTTGCATCTTAAAAACTAAAAGAGCTGTGAGAATTGTGTTAATGGCTACTTTGGTTTCACGAATGTGCCCAAACTAGGATACCTTGTACATAATAGAAAAAAAATCTTCCTCTTCCCTATTTCGTGGTTTGATAATTTTTGCCATTGGGTAGCCCATAAAAAAAAATTAAGAAAATAAATTGAACCCCCCTGGTATATTGATGTGGCGTTTCCTTTTGTAGCCTGTCGCCCGATCAAAAGGAAGCGACCGAAAGACTTTTGAACGTGATCGACATAATCAACGAAACGGTCGGAGACGCTATATCGGACATGTTGCTAGTGGAGACGATTCTGCATTCGAAAGGGTGGGACGTTAGAGAGTGGGAGGCGGCCTATACGGACTATCCCAATAGACTGATGAAGGTGGTCGTTACGGTAAGCGTTGAAAAGTTGTTCTATTAGAAGATTTTTTATAATGACAATTATTATTGTCATTACTGTGTACTGTATTATTATACAGTACAGTCACTTTATTGGGAACACAAAACATTTTACCGCGTTTAGATTAATGAAGTTGTTCGCACTAGTGGAGCTTTATGTTAGAATTAACCATAACCATCGAAACTGCTTAAACGTGCATGGTTTATTATTTAAAACACTGTTCTTAATACGCATTTTTTTCAATTTCAATATTTTTAAAATCTAAAGTAATTTTAGTTTGAGTGTTTTTTGCTGTTTAAATTAACTACCACAGTTCTACTTGTAAGTGTTTCAAAGCTATCATTATTATTCGGTTAACCCCATTGGAAAACTATGCTTAAGATTGAGTCATTTCAACGCGCTCGTGTGCTTTTTTTGTATATAAATATGTTTGATAATACGCCGATTATTTGTGGTATTCTGTAAAACAAAGCATCGAGTTCACAAAAATGATACTTCCTTTGATAGTTTTTTCCGTATGTAGAAAAACTCTTATAAAACATCGTAGCATGTAAATACAATACTATAAAACAATACAGCAGAACCTGTCAATTAAAGGTATAACTTATGTATTACCAGTTAGCTTTTGATCTCGTTTCATTGCTTTTGCTCTCAATTTCATCTTGTGTACTTTATACTTGTTTATTACACATATTTGCGTGTAAATCCGTAAATAAATCAAAAAATCCGATAAAGCCTGATGAACCAAGATTGTCGGTTCCAGTCCAAAAATATACAGGGGGAAATAGCCATTTTTATATGTCCGGTAATGTAGTCTAAATCTTAGTTTTATTGGAGTTATTTTTGGAAATTCAATTCATTTTTGTTAATACCAACAAGGCCATAAGAAGTTGCCGCAAATTGTTTTGAAATTTATAGAACGGTCGCCAGAGGGCGCCAATTCTTCCGCTTAGAGGAAAATAGGATTTTTACATCATTTTGAATAGGGAGAGAATTAATGGCATCATAATCTTGAGCAAATTGCGCATTTTTTTTTGTTTGAACCATTTTATCGTATCTGCTGTAATAAAGTGGAGGGGAAAGGTTTTTATTTAAATCATAATAACCTCTATTTGGTTGTCGAAAGTCTCGTTTAAAAAAGCGTTCGTTTCTCCATGTTCTTAATAGGAAATAATTATATGTATTTGACACTAGACGCTAGGGGGCGGTATATTACACCTTAAAAACTTCGCATTTTCTAAACTTTCAAATGCAACAAAATACGCAATTTTGGCTAACAGTAAACAAGAATAAAGGTTTAAAAGCAAAACGCGTATCTATTTTAATACCGAATAATTTTTTTAAAATTTATTTTGTTCTCGATCATAATACTAGAATACCATAATATCATACGCATCAAATTAACATGTCAGACTATATTTTGTAACGGTGAAATTTATAAACAGTAATCTCCAATTCTTAAATATTCTTTTCAATAGAAGATTAGACCTAATATTGGGTACATTCTGTTTACAGAAAACGCATGCACACAGAATGATTTGCACCATCCTGCCCAAAAGTCTTCGGTTATCAATTCTGTTGTTTACTGAACTGTAAAACTATCTCAACCTGAATTAAAACACCTTACCTCTGCTCTTCTCTCTAATAATTTCCACATTAGAGATATTAAGCGTTCCGTCACAAAATACGCTTCACCGCAATCTTCCAAAGACAATGAGACAATGTTAAAACCAGATTTATCACTTGTCCAGAAACCTCTCAATATCTTAGTGTGATATACCTGGAGTTTACAGCATTCCATTCATAATGTGATAAAGAATACATTGGAAAGATAAGACGAAAAATATCAACTAGGCTAAATAAATATGAAAAAGTCTTAAGACTACAACGAGCAGATGCCGAACAAAATCATCAAATCTTATTGGATAAAACTAAAATTCTTGCATGTAATCAGAAATTTAACAATGTTAACCGCGACTCAATCATCCAAAACAATGTTCATGCCCCTCCTTTAGCTCCGTTCCCCTCAAACAGTATTTAAGTTGGTAAAGTCTCAGTTAAGCTCCGAAGAAGCCAACAGGATAATTGGTGAAACGTTAACAGAAGATTTGTTAATATAGTCAGAAACGGTAGGCGCTGGAAAAAGTTTTCTTGAAGTAATTTCTGCAAGCGTTTATGCAGTGCATAAACATTCTCCTACAGTAGAACTTTAATGCTTTGAGTCTGAATCCTGTAAACACTCTTGCAGCATTATGTAGCACAACACTAGTAATGTTAATAATATTTTACCTGTACCTTCCTTCTCACCCTATCTGCCCCAACTATTAGGGGAACGTTTTTTGAAACACTCTGTAGAGTACGGTAGAGTACAGAGTTATTCACGCTTAAATAACCACACATCTGACCTTCCCCCACCACTTTATCTTTGTTAATGTTTCTCAGGACCGTAACGTAATCACGACCGCCGACGCGGAACGGACCTGCGTCACCCCCGAGGGCCTCCAAAACGAAATAGACGGCCTGGTGGCGAAGTACCGGAGCGCGAGAGCGTTCGTGAGGCCATCCGGTACTGAAAACATAGTCCGGGTGTACGCGGAGGCGGCGACCCGAGAAGAGACGGACAAGCTGGCGGCCGAGGTCGCGCGGAAAGTGTACGATATGGCGGGGGGCTGCGGAGCCCCGCCCGAGGTGCCCCAATAGCGGTCCGAGACCAGACAGCCGCGACGGTACAATGATTATTACTATATATAGAATATTTTTCCAAAATTCGAAATGAGCGAGAGTTTCGCGCTCAAAAAAAAAAAAGAGGAAACTGCTTGGTTTAGTTTTTAAGTCTTAACGTTACCATAGACGGGCGGTGACGTATCGACGACGTCACAGACTCAGACCAGGGATTTTTGTGGAGGCGCCATAACGTAACTCACGTTAAAAAAGAAATTGTTTCTATTTGTTTTATCAAAAGAGCATTGCTTTTTTTCTCGAAAAAAGTCAGTTGTGACACAACTGTTAATATCAACAGAGTAAGCTGAGTGGTAGACCCTAGTTGACATTAAAAAAAAAACTTATTAGTATATACAAGGTTTGTTTTCCTTTTTTTGTATATAACTGAATATTTTTATTTTTAACTAATACTGGAAAGAAAGGATTAATCTACACGAAAATTAACTTTCAAAATCATTTATTACACACATTCGGCTGCGAAAAACTCAAGAGGAGTGTTTTTTTAATGAAAAGTATGTTACTATTTATTTATTTACAAAAAAACTATTTTTCTACTGGGTGTTAGTTGTCGCGCCCTCTATCGTACGTTTTACACATTATTTACTTACTCTTAATGGCTATCAGCCTTGTCATTGGGGACAGATACAGGCAGAACTTATTTCGATATATATTTTTTGAATTAAAGCACATGCGAAAAAGTTGAGAAAAATGCCCTTTATCCCAAAAAATCGCAATATTTTATTTATATTATTTTGGTGTTTTGGGGTACTGTTGGTTTTTTCTCCTAAACAAACTGAAATTAATTCTTTTCCACTTACATTAGCAGCTTATAAGAAAATCACCGACACAAATCAACCAGACTTTGTTCGACAGTGCTCAAAAAAATGTTTTTCGGTGCCTTCGTTTGATTAACGTGAATTTCAAATAATGATCTACAACATATAATTCAAGTACACCTTATAACTTCTATAATATTTTAATATCAAACCTTATTTTTTGTAACCTCCGTGAATCGAAGAAAACACGAAGAATAAGTGAGATACATAACCAAACTTTGGCCATATTGTTGATTATGGGAAGGTTAGCTAAAAAAAACTTTGATATTATTTGTTGGTTTATTCTCATCAAATCGGCCCTTAGAGATGCGTTTCTAACCTCGGAATTTTGTTTCAGTCTATTTTTTAATCTTTGCATTTATGAAAAAAAAGGCTTGAGAAGGTAAGGGAACTATAGACCTGTTTGGTGATATTCAGTTTTGATCAAAATCCCTGCCGTGAGTTGACGTCATCGAACCGCCGTTTCGTGTAGCCGCCCCGTATATAATAGAGTGATCTTTTTTGCTATTAACGAAATATTTATTATATTATCGGTTGACTGTTTAAGAAATATTATTATTATTAATTTTGATCGGTTTTTATTGATTTTTTATAGATTTTTTATATTAGATTTGGTTGTGGCCGCGCGCTGGGTCTAATTAGGTCGCCAATATTTCCTGTATCAATTAACTACTATTTGGCGCGATTGCTATTATTATTCTGCCAAATTTAGTTAGTTAGTTTCGCCCTTTTTTCGTTTTTTGCGGGAAAAAAGTAATTAAGCGCATTTTTATAAAAATTTCATTTAATATTAGTCCCAACCAGCATTTTTTGTTTTATAATGGTATTGGTTGTCTTTCCATTATCTATATTGTAAAACCTGAGAACCGATCAACCCTTATTGCATTTAACTTGAGAATCATATAAAGGAAACGGTGACCAAATTATAGCCCCAGATAAGAGTTTTACTTCCTATTTATTTCTAGTTAAAAAGCATTGAATATCATTTTCTTTACCTACCTACAGGGTTTATGAACATTTTTACGATGTCATAATAAGTGGAACAACCCAAATAATATCACATTTTAGTCTTTTTCAAACTGAAGCGCGCCCGTTTTGCGCACTATAAAACCTCATTTTGGTAAAAACTTTATAGTTAAAATTACGTCTTACGTAACGTTTTTTTTTTTTGCCATTAGGAATTATGTCTTCAAACTTCAGTAATATTGCTTATGATGCGATATCATTTTTTATACAAATTTTCATGTCAAATTGATAAAATTCCAAGTAATATTAAACACTTATTTATGCAAATACTTAAAAGTTTTATAAGTTCCCAAAAAAGTATATATAAAACTTTCGTAACCACTATAAAACTTAAAGTAATTGGAAAACCAATTAAACACCATTAATGCGCAAATGTCATTTATGCAATCGTAACCTCACTTTTCAGTTGTTTACATTTTTGTTCTTGAAATATTTAGCATTAGTTTGGAATTAAACTGAACTGCTATAGAATGTATGATTACTTATAAAACCCCTTATAAATATCCGTTACCCTAAGACCTGAAAAATGTTGGTTGGTGATGGTTTATTTTAAACAACAACCAAAATTGAAAAATGTGATTTTTGTCGGCGACTTAACCAGGGCCAGTGCATTTTGTTGCGACCTCGTATAGGCTTGTTTTTGGCCATATCGTAAACGACGAATATAGGTGATTAATTATTATTAGCTCGGGCACTGGATCGTACGTTTTATTTGACTGTTTCGTACTTCTGAGATTTTTTTTCGGCACCACTTAAACGACAACAATCTAGTCATTTCTTTTCTCAGACTATTTAGCGACGCACGAATACCATTTGGTTTTATGTGTTCTTGGTGAAATGTTGGCATTTCACTAGACTCGTAATGGACATTTGTTTTCTCTTCTTTTTCACCGACTTTTAAGCAAGTTTGGCGACATTGTGTTGTGTTTATTTTTTTTCATCTCCCGGAAAGCGTTTGCATTTATCGTCCCGTATTTTGGCTACACACCGCCACGAGCATCACTTCTCGATGTCCGATCGCATATCTTGTAAAGGCTGCTCGATACCAAAAATTGCCGTAAAATGTGTAAAAATTTCTATTTTACCTAAGAATCTACTGTATTATTGACGACTTAGTTGCAGTAGCACCGTGAATTGATTCCCGAATTAAAAAGTTGTGTTTAATTCGCAGCCATGAGAAAGAGCGAGTGAGTGGAGAGAGAAAGAGAGAGATTGTGGCACAAGCAATGCGCGTTCGCACCGTAATTAAAGTTATCGAAAGTTTAGCCAAGCCATCCGACGTTAACAAGATAACAAGGGGCACTCTAAGCGCCTTTCTTTTTCACTGTTCTTCCTTAAGCACTTGGTGGCACTCGTTGGAATTACCAGTGACTCTTCTTGTCGGGTGCGTTATACATATACGTCAATGATTATGTATGCTGTCACGCGGCTAAAGATCTCATCATATTTAATTTAAGGTAACAGCGGAAATAGTTTTAAAAACGAACGGGCGGAATTGTCGACTTGTTAAAATTTCTCCATCTTTTTTAGTGTTATATTTCACTGCCGAAATGAAATCGTGGATTTCTTCACCAGCCAATAATAGAAGGCTTAATAAAAACGGCTTAATCGTAGGGGAATTTCACCCCGTCGCTTTTCAAAAATTTCCACCATGCTTACCCAGACCCGTAGTTTTTGTATAACAAATACGTATACCATGTACCAAACAATTTATAATTTTCTAGCTTGTTTAACGATATTGAAATATATACATATATTGGCTTTTTTTTAATACACCGTTTTATTTTCACCCGCTGTTTTGCCCCGAGTGCGGGAGGACGCCACTGAAACTACGAATAGTTCATGAATCTTTTATTTTCGCAAATACCTTAACAGTTCCATCGCAAACGCTTATATTTTGATACTTAAAAATAAGACGGCTACTTTGCAGCGCGCAGAATAAATTGAGAAAAATTCAATCTCTTGCGAAATTAAAGACAGATATGAAACCTAGCCGAAACCTAAAGTATTGGCGTTATGTAGTAAATACACACATTATTACTATTTTAAGTTTAAACGTTACGGACCTTTGAGGAAACGATAACGATAATTATAAATGAAACAGATTCGACGTATCTGATGGCGGTATCGAAAAACAAACGAAACTGGTCTGGGCACCTCGCAAAGCTGAATTTATAAAAAGTAATCATACGATCGGTATTTTTCCAGACGCAACGAGGGAAGTTCTCATTCATATTTTGACCCCAGTTATTAGAAGACGTCTGATTTTTTCTACGATTTTTTAACGGACCGCCCTGTATATTTTTACTGGAATATAATTTGTCACCTCGTCAATCTGCAGTTGGCAGGTTGAATTGAATTTAATTCTCAGCTATGGGGGAAAGAAAGCGATAGTAGTACTGTACCGTACACTGTAATTATAGTTATTCAAAACTTCGAAAGTTTAGCCGACCCACCGAACGTCAACAAGGCAAAAAAGGACACTCTAACCTCTATCTCAACGACGCTTTCCTAAGAACTTCATGGCACTCTGAATGCGTAAACGACAAACAAGAATGATTTGACTGAAGGGTGACTCTTCTTGTGATGTATGTTATATACATCCGTAAATGATGATGTATGCTGCCATGCCATCATATTTAATTTGTCACTTCGATTTCAAAAATCTGTGTGTGTGTTGAAAAAAGATTAATTTTTGAATATAAAGGAAATTGTAAAATTTTATTAGTTTAAACGTTTTGACAACACCTTGACATGGTTAAATTACATTTAGTGTTATGTTGGAAATTTATTATTAACATTGAATATATTATACTTGCTTTCTAAGGCAAACATGGCTCAAACAAATGCCGGTAAATTTCTAGAAAACATTGCGGTTAAATTTGGAGATTTGTTTTTTGTTTGGAATTATTATTCAAACAACTATACTTAATATAGTTTCCCACGGCAACATTTTTTTTTCATTATTGTGAATTGAAATTGGAACAAGTATACGTAATATATTGTTTTCCGAGGTAGAAAAGGATGAACCAAATTAACATATTGTATTCCACAGCAAAAATGAATTAACCAAATACGGGTAAATATCTGGATAATCCTGGCAAATTTAGCTAAAGAAAAAAAAAGATGTTATGCTGAAAATTTGTCTTTTTTTTTCATTATTTTGAATTGATATTGGATGAAATTTGCTTAACGTCTTGTTTTTCAATTCAAAAATTAATGAAAAATGCCAGTAAAAGTTTGGATAATTGAATAGTGGAAATGTCAAAGAAGTGCCACTTTATGATTTATTAACATTATTATCTCAAACATGTAATTTTGGTATTTCCACGTTTTAATTGTATAGCTACGAATATTTAAATATATTGATCGAAAAAAAAAGAAACTAAATTATTTTGAAGATCAGTAACAAGTTCAAGAAAAAATGACCTGAAGTTAAAACGATACTTTAAATCGTCTTTTCCAAAGCAAAAATGGCTGAACCAAATACTGGAAAACAAAAAAAGAAACCGAATTATATTCGACAATTAGCGGTAATGGAAAAAACGATGCCCAAGATCTGGTTTTCCAAGATAAAAATGACTGAACCAATTAACAACAGCAACATCGAGATAGTCCTTTATCCAAAATATACGGGGTGTCCCGTTCATTAACTGCGACGCATTTTATATTTAATTTATAATTAATTTAAAAAATGTCGGCTATATCTGATATCTGGCTGTCAAAGTATAAATGAAAACGCCAAGCAATTGTCGACGAACTAAAACAAAATATATGTTTTTGTTGCTTTCTCGGTGTATTTTTTTTTGGTTTGGTTTCGACGGCTGTTATTGTCCGATTTTTGGTTCCCCATACGGTTTTCCCGCCCTGCCGATCGAAACTATAGCGACCGGTACGTTTGAACTACCGGCTTCGTTGACGGGCGACACGAACCCACCCTACTCGAGACGGTGAGAATTAGGCGTGTGGAATTCTTAAAAAAAATTAAAGCACCCCTGCCCCACCTCTTTAAAGCATATCGAGTCCCGTTCAACTTCACAACGCCACGTTTTCGTAAACCTAAGCTCCGCACTTATCACAGATTACAAATTCCTGCTGTCGGAATATGCGGGGTGGGGCAGACGCTGCCCCCCACCCGTCATAACCGAGCAAATTCACAATCTGAAAAAAAAACGCGCCAGGAACCGACCGACTTTTCTTCTTCTTCTTCCCCCGCCCCTCGGAACGAAATATCACGCGTTTTACACAATACGTCTTACGTTAAATCTAACCCTTAAAAATACTTTAATTAGTACAGCCAGACTTGCATGCTCTCTCGCACCACTCCCTCGCGCGCACATCACTTAATTGTTACGCGTCCGACGGGGGAGGGGACGGGGCGTCGCGCCGTTTGTAGGGGGGCGGGGCCATCACCACCCTCCTCCGTCGACGATTTTTTTAAATTTATACATTTGTCACTGGATTTGTGAGGTGGTCCTGATATATGACGGGGATGGGATGCAATGCAGGTACTTCAAATCGGGCTCCATAACACTCAACGATATTCCGTTAAAACATTGAAGTACAGACTGGACGAATAAGCAATACAAGAGACTGTAATTCCGAAACGACAAATTATAGAGATATGCGGTAACAGTACTAAATAATCTTTTATTACAACTTGATAACAAGAATCCGTATAAAGTTCTGCATTGCTTTAATTGTAGGGTATAATAAGGTTTGACTGATTGAAATTAAGTTTAATCCAACATATTTAAGAAAATTAGGTCTCGTTTGAAACCTTGCTTATTAAGATTGACAGCTGGGTTTCTCATTGGTCCCGCTAGAGGTCGCCAAAAATTATAGTTTTTTAAATAATTCCTCAAAATTTTAAACACACAAAGTAAATAAGATTTGCAATAAAATATGTTCAAACCGTTTCAAGCGTTCAACAATTTTCGTCATCCGACAAGGACTGGCGCAATGTGCGAAATTTGACGTTTGACAATTTGAGCACATAATGCATGAAATTAAGATGTTTAATTCTAGTTCGGTGCCTTAAATTGTGATTTGTCATAATAAAACATTCATTACCTTTTATGCATTATCATAAAAAGTAGATCTGTTGCGGTATTCGAAATTTCTGTTAAACGTTATTAGAAAAAAAACTATAATTTTTTATATTGGCGCCCTCTAGCGGAAGGGTGAAAACAATATTTTTTATTAGTGTTTTCTCTCTCCAACGAGACCTAATTTGTTCAAATGAGTTCAAAAGGATTTTTAAAACGGTGACATTGTTTTCTCAACTTACAATAATAAAATACACGACAATATCTATCACGCCCCCTAGCGGTATCGATACGAACGAACTTGGAAAATTATTTCCTGTACTTTCTTTTGAGCACTAGTTGCAACTTTTGTTACTATAGATATTTAAAACTCGTAGTCTCGAAGGTACAGCCGCTTACCTCGCTTATTTGCTCGCAATATGTCTCATTTTTTATGATTTTACGGCGTATCTTACACACTGACACAAGGTTGCTTTATTGATGAAACGAAAAGCGCCACAAACGGAAATTTCAAAGCTACGACATTTAGATACGAGGTGATTTTGAAAAGTCTGCACAAATTTTATGAATGTCTTTTAATTGTTTCATTAGATTTGTTATTAACTTTTCAAAAATATATAAACAAAAGCATTTTTTTTAACGAGTAGGCCATGGAAAATTGAGATCTTTTATCTTCATTTTTTTTATCATTGTCATAATTTGGGTTGATATGAGCCATTACCAAAGAGGAGACAGAAATTACGAAACGTCGCGACTGTTGTACCTTTTTTCCTTGCCCTATTCATTAAAAAAAAATCTGTTATATATTATTGAAAAGCTCCTAACAAGCCTAATAAAATTATTCGAAGACATAAAAAAAGCTTAAAATAAGTAAGACTTTTTCAATGAATCTCCAACAATTTTATAAAAAAAACTCAATATTTGTAGTAGAACACTGTTTTCAGTATCTTATACTTGTGAATTAAAAATGACAAATCAAAACTTGTGGGAGAAAAATGACGACTTGCATCTCAATAACACTTTTTTTTTATTTCAAGCTTGTATATCAGAATTTGTAGAGTTTCAGAATAAAAACATCAAACCAAACTAAGAATGCAGAATTTTCAAAATGACCCTGTATCTAAAAAAATAGAAAATGGGAGACACTGCGTTTGTTTTTTTTACCGGTATATTTTAAATTTAAGTAAAAAATCTGGAAAACCAAGTTTTGTCGAAATTTTTCGAGCCAAAAAAAAAAACAATTTTTAATTGCTTAATAAACGGAAATTATCAAAACCGATGGCCGTTTAAGAAAAACGAAACGCCGTGTTTTTTTGACTTCGACGACAGATGGCGCGCGACAAGTACCAAGCGACGAGAGAACCCCAAAAAACAAACCGGAAGTTTTACCAATACAGAAGTACCAAAAATAAATTCGATTTCCCGCCGAATTTGAAACACCCTGCAAACTTAAATTACTTTACCGAAACAATTACGAAACGGGGAGAGGGGCGGGGACCTAAGTTCAAGACCACCCCGAGCGCGAAAGTAATTCGCGGCCCGTTCGCTCGCATATAATTATTTTTTTTCTCCATTTTTATTTCAATTTTTATATACGCGACATAAATACAAAAGAAACGAGATTGGCTCTCTCTGCCCACATGACGTTGTCCCGGCGCCGCCGCTGTGTCGCCCCGTGATGAAGACGTTGTGACGGATCGAGGTGGCGCCCTCTGCGGCTTGGCGATGCACTAACGATTCGCTACAAAAGAAAACGGAAGGCAGTGATATCGTCGCGCAACGCGACCTCTACAACAAGGCGGAAAAACGACAGATCGTGAACAATCGGTGAGTCACCACGAAAAGGGAGGATAGATGCCGGTTGCTGTCAAAGTTATATACATGTTCCGCGCTATAAAAAAAAACATAGCGGACGATCATCATTTGCAGTATATTATCTTAAATTATGCTTTGCAAAAGCTTTGTCCTTAAAACTATTATAAATAGTTGATATTTTTCTAAGTATAGATGAAATTACGTCTCTCGGGTAAAATGGTTGATTTATACTTTGATAGTTGATAGTTATATAATCATGTTTACATACCAAGTGGACAAACGGATCTCTTTTCTTAAACACAAACCTAAAAGAATCCAGTACACACATGACAAAAATGTCGGAATACTAGGTCGACAACTATCCAAAGATACTACGTATTTGCCAGAAGCAAAATCCTGCCAAAATCGGAAGAGTTATGGTCTGTTTATAGATATAAGAAAGTGACCAATTGCTTTTGAATGGGATTATCCTAGGGTGGTCATTAACATACAATGCAACAAGATTATTATCTTACAATTATTAAAATTATTATATATTATATATATATTTTTTTTGGTGGTTTTCTTTGGACCTTTTTAAAGTATATATTTTTTTACAGGTGTGGTTCTTGGGATTTGGTCCGTTACTTTTTAATAGTCTTTATTTCGAATTGACAAATTTAGAACTCGCAGAACTTATCAAGGACTTAAACACAAACACAACAACCCAAATAAGAACAAACTTTACCTTAACGCAGCATCTCCGAACTACAACTGGTATTCGCCAGGGCGACAGTCTCAGCCCTCTGCTATTCAACGCAATCATGGACCAATTAATAAAAACCGTTAAGAACACTGGATTAGGATATCGAATGGGAATACATAAAGTAAACATATTATGCTATGCCGATGACGCAGTACTTATTGCAGAGTGAGATGACGACCTCCAAAGAATGCTACAAGCTTTTAACAGACAGGCAGAAAAACTTAACATGCAAATTTCCACAAATAAGACCAAATGCATGACCATTGCAAAGGAGCCTCTACGGTGCAAATTGGTAATAAAAAACAAAACTATTGATCAGATAATGTCACTCGAATACCTGGGATGCAAAATTACAAGCTCTGGATTCCTGGAAGAAGAAGTAAGGAAACAAGCCACTAAAGCTGCCGCAATATCGGGACATCTTAAATATCCCATATGGAAAAACAAACATTTGAGTGCAGAATGTAAGTCAAGAATATACAAAACATGCGTACGACCAGTGATGACATATGGTGCGGAAACCAGATCTGAAACATCAGTGTAACAAAGAGAATCCTACGAACTACTGAAATGAAGACCATAAGAATGATAACTGGATACACATTGGGGGACAGACAGAGAAATGTAGACATAAGAGAAAAGTGCCAAACAAATGACGTTGTCAGATGGATAAGGCAGAGAAGAAGAGAATGGAACCAGCATGTCAGTAGAATGGGCCCCGACAGAATGGCCATAATAATTCGCAACAACGTACTACATGGCAGAAGACCTACTGGACGACCACCTAAACGTTGGCGAGATAGTTGGCGGTCAACCTCGCAAGAGTTGCTTAGACGAGGAGGAAACCGGAATTAAACAGGCGATACGCCTTCAAAAAGAAGAAAAGAATCACAAATCCTCAAATATTGTTATTCTTGTTTTAAGTCGATAAATGTTACCGTTTAGCCACAAATCGTCTTTCTTATTTATTTTTTTAAATACCTACGCACCACACCTGTATAATATGAATTTCTATATACCATACCATTTTTGCCTATTCCGCATGTTTAAACAGCAAAATAATATAAAGCATTTGAAATGTACGTACATTTCGATTCTTTCGTCTACGTTTGATATTAGGAAGGTTATGCTACCAGATATATCGGTCCCTTAATGTGATGACTCATATTTTCGCGTTACGCAGCCTTATGATGTAGGTGTTACGTCGCGTTGTCGGCGCCGCGCGCAACTCTATGACGATGACGCTGTTAATTGTGGTTAGTTAGTAGCGGTAGCAGTAGCAGCAGGGGCGGAACTTTTCGAGAGCACGATTTCAGCGGTGTGCACCGGGCAATTTTGGCCGGCATTTCCGATTTTTCGCATGAGCTAACAACAATATACAGACTGTTTAACAAAAAATATTAATATTTAAGGAGTTACTTTAAGAAAAAAGTTTCCAACAGTTTTTCTTAGTGTTTAAAATAAAGGGCTACATATATGGAGGAAACATAAGTTTATTATTTTTTATCTTAAAAATGAAAATAGAACAATGAGCTATTAAAGTATTATTAAAATACACTTTCTATCCTGTTAACTAAAATTAACGAAAAACTTTCAATGCAATGAAAGATGTTTTTTTTTATTTTATGTTTTTTATTATATGTTTTAAATTTATAATACAGTTTAACTGATAGCACCTTCGGGCTTTGCTACCTTAGCCTAGTGTCTAGGCAAGATCAAGTTTAAATTTACTCTAAAATCATATTTATTTTTTTTAGGAAGTACGTTTTGTAAGTTTTTTGTAAAAGTATGTATATGGCTAAAAACGAATAATTCTCGCTATTTTCTTTTATAGTTTCTTCAGTGCTGTCAAACAGATGTATTTTGTACTAACATTTTCCTATTACTTCTAAACATTTGAATAAAGACCCTCTTTAAAAATACAATCTATTGATAGTAATGCATTCATTTATGCTTTTATTTGCGTTACGATCTGCCACTTCTGCATTAGTGTATAAAAACTGTTATATATTATAAATATTTGATTATTATTTATTTATTTATTTAATTATATTGTATTCAAAGCAACTGGGCAATGATAAATAAAGCAGTAATAAGAAACGCCTTAAAAAGTGAGAGCAGCCACCCTAGATCTTTTTTATAAAATACATTTTTTTATCTCAAATAAAAAAAATGTCATCACATTTGATTTTAATAGTAACGCTTCCGTAATATTTTATTGTTCTCTCTTATTTACAAAATTTTTTGGATTTCTCTTGCGTCTTCTTCCGAGTCAGCAAGTTCGATTCATCTAAGAGATTTACCAATAGGATTGCAATGAAAGTTTCTTTTATTTTTTCCGCCATCTTTCATTTTTTAAAAGGTTAAAAAATATATACAGTTTTCAGCAATTTTAAAAGTTCTCCCTAACTCCCAAAGTGAGATCAAACGTTATAAAAAATTCTTTTCTTCACAAATTTATTAATTATATTATATTTATTCGTTGAAAAATCGAAATATTACACAAAACGACAACAATGAGACACTGACTAAGGACGACGCTTTGCACCACCGTTTGAAAAAATGAACATCGAATGTCGACCAACAAAAGAAAGTTTTTTTTTAAAAAAGTGTGGAAAATTCGAAAATTTAATTTTTTTTAAACATGACTTGAAACATCATAAAACGAGCGAAAAACCAAAAAACTCCGCCCCGCCGCGTCCCGACCCACAGACTTTAATCACATAATTATTAAGGTGATTATTATAAATAATAAGTTTTATTATTTATAATATTAAATCGAAACGATGATAAAGCGATGACTGAACTAAAGCTGCGGTTTGTCTAGCTACCTTTTAAGATAACTCTGGTTGTTTTCTGTCCTCGTCTTTTTTGTTGCTGCCCGCTGAAAACAATCGTTTTTTCAAGTTGCCTCTCAAATTCGATACTTGGCGCTAACAGAATATTTTGGCATTGGCGGATTCGCGTTTTTCTTATGTTATCGGTTTGGAACAAGGGAAGCTGTCTTTCAACGAGAAGCCATGTTTGTTCACAGACATTATTATACAGGGCAGCAGTTTACTTACCGAAAATTTTTTAATACAAAAGTGGTTGAATATGCCGTGTACGATGCAATTGCTATTATACAGGTTACCTCATAAGTATCTAACTTTCTTATTTTAAATGCCAAGTTTTATGGTTTAAGTTAAGTTTTAAAATCACCAAAAATAAAAAAAAATTATAAAAAAACTAAAAATGCGAAATCTGGTTAGGACAATATCGGGAACAACGTTTTCAAATATCGAAAATTCACCCTGTTTGCGGATCCACAGTAGTATCTTAAAAAAAGTTAAGCATCAACTTGTAAGACTAAGAAATTTCAATTCTGTATTTATTTAGATAGATAGACAAAATATAATGTGATACAGTAAATGGAAAATTTGGTAAAAATTCCACCTTTTTTGTTATTTTGTGTCGTTGTTCTATCTTTGGATAATAAATAGAACAAAATTTGGCTATCCCAAATTATCCTCTTTTAATATATTTGATTTTTTTTGTTCCTTACCCTGCCTACCATGTAAACATTTTTTTTAATTGTTTATACTTTGTTTGTTCCAAAAAGAGTAAAGCATTTTTGACGAATTTCACACTTCCAAGTCTCCAAGAACTGTTTTTGTGAAATGTAAGGCCATTTGAAAAAAGCTTTTTTTTTTTTCGAGACACACACTTATTGTGATCATAGAAAATCATGAAAATTAAAACAATTGTGCACCCATTGTCATGCGTCATCCACTAATATGTATCGCTTCGTAATATATAGATAAGGATCAAAGCAGTTTCCAATATAAAACATTTATTGACGATATATTAAAAATAACGATCGATTATACTGCACATATCGTTGGCATACAACGTTTTGAAAGAATTCCAAGTATTTAAAAAACCTTACCGATACTTATAACAAGTTTTTTTGGTTAGCACTTTTGAGACAACCTATATAATAACCATAATAAGACTTCGCGATTCCAACAGTAAACTTTTGTGTTTTGGCCACATTTCGTGCCGTATAAAAAGTTGGCTACCCTGTATATGCCTTTACTTCAAATTTCATGTTTATCGGACAAAACGAAAATCTACGTCCAACTTCGTAGTAAAAGTTGAAAGGGCTCACCCTACTTTGCATTCGTTTAAATCGCAACAACTTTTTGTGGATAAAGATTATCATTCTGACAAGAGTTGTGCATAAATAAGCTTGAGAGAAGAAATTATTGTGGCGGAGTTTGTGAGGTATGACGCACAGTGGAACGAAACAGAGATTCTGTTGGACATTGGACGATATTTCTTTGACCATTTTTTAAAACCACAAAATTTGACAGGATTGTAAAACTTCCGTGGATTTATGTATTATAGGGTAAGAAAAACATGCACAATCGAAATACTAAAGATTATTAGCTGACTATAAGCTCATCTAAATTTTTAAAATACTATTTGTTGACGGGTGATATCCAACCTTAATATTAATTAATTCGACAACGACTACTTTATATAAACAAAAATACAGCAAAAACATTAATTCATTAACATCTCGGTACAATTTGCAAAATTAATTCTGATTTCATTGAACAAGTCTAAACAAGTTAAAGCGAGTTCAGCAATATCACTTTTAAACCTATGCAAGATTGTTCAAAAGCCCTCTGGCAAACTTTGTAATTTTTTTTGAGAAGGAAGGATATTTTTTTAAAAGCCATAGGTTCCACCTCCATTGAAATACCTTTGAGATATATCGCACATGAAAGATCGAAGTAAAAAATGTTTAAGAAGCACTTGCTATGGACAGCAATTGTCAAGGGGCATTTCTCATGCTTGTTCTAGTAAAAACTCAACTTGTAGCTTAATTGCTTATATTTTCTGCAATTTTTGTACACTAAAACATATTACCCAAATATCCTTAGTAGCTTTTTAAGTGTACCTAAAAATGAAGGGAATTCTGGGTAGTAAATTCACATGTAAATATTTGTATGTCTATTTTCCAGTTTGTTAAATGAAAATATATAGCCATCATTGTTTCTATAAGATCCTATTAGGTCCTCATATTGGCCACAGTTGATGTAATTTATAATAATAAATGAACATATTTTCCACGTATTCACATATTCATTATATCTAATTGTTAATATTTAGAAGTCGTGTTAGGTGCTTAGTGCCATTGAGTAACTAACAAATATATATTTAAATGTTTACAATAAGGTGACTAAGTTTATTAGGTGTGAGCTGTAATGATGGAAAGGGTTATATTAACCTGCGGCCCCTGGGGCAACAAAAACACTCAAATCCTCAGTAAAAGCGAAAAAAAAAAACGCATTTTCGTTTTCTAATAATCTGTTTTTAAGAGAGGTTTGTCATTTGCAACTGCCATATTGTTACACATTTTACTCCAACCCATGGTCTCGTTCCAATGTGCGACGCCCGCGCCATCTACTTATGACGGTTTGCAACTCTACCTACGTTCACGTAAACAGTTATCCCTTCTCGCGGGCAAAAAACAAAAAACTTCGTACAAAACGGCTTTTAAGTCTGACCTGGCAGTTGGGCTATCGTCTGCGACGTCTGCGGTTGCTGCGGCGTACCGGCGCCCGTCACCGCGGCCGCCCCCGCCTCCCCCGACTTTTGTTTCAGTAGTGTCCAGTCGAACGTCCAGTCGTACCGATGGCTGAGGGTGCGGAACAGGATACGGAACAGCTGCCGTAGGTACATGTAATCGGGTGGCTCGTCGAAGCGTAGGCCGCGGCAGTAGTTCAGGTACATCGAGAACTCGGCCGGATATCCCTTCGGACAAGTGAAAAATAATAGTCAAAAAATGATAATGAAAAAACAATCCGGCCCAACACCATAATCCAAATGTTGTTATTCACTCACTTAACACGGAATACTAATAAAAATCAACAACATTTTGCAATTCAACTTCAACACTCACGAATACCTGAAGGACCAACATCCTGATCAATAACAACAACGCTGGTAAAGTCGAGACTCTTTATCGCCGGTATGGTTCTGCTTGACCTTAAACACTTTGGTCACCCATTTTAAAAACATCAATATTGCGTATGGGAGGGTGGGGCAAGGCCGCCCCCCTGTGGTCTCAAAAATTAACCAAAAAATTTTTTTGTGGTTATTATAATTATAAATTCTGATTATTTGTACATTTTTAATCCATTGCGTAATACCAGGGATACAATGGGCCGCTTCCGTGGATTTAGCCTAAAGCCAGAGCTTTCGAGAATCTTATAACTTCACATTTTTTAATGGATAGAAAAACAGTTACTAATCAGTAACTTTTTTTTTTTTTAATTAACACGTTGAGACTCGCGCGCCCGCCGGTGGAAATTTTTACATTACTCCACAGGACCAATTTGATGTTTTGTTTGTCATTTGTGATAATTGACTATACCATCACGTCACAACCTCATCCGCTTATAAAATTCTTCGAAAATCTCGTTTGGCTTTACTTCGAGAAAGAATTCATCATACCTAAAACTAACGTCAACACTAGGAAAACCATCAAACTCTTCTAAACTACCAAACACTGTAATAAATGTATCATCGCACCAACTTTCGCAAACTGAAAAATTAGTTCTTTCAAAGGTTTCCACCTTCGTCCTTGCGCCACGTATTATCCCCACGTATTATCCTAAACAAATTGCCATCTCAAACAGCTAATGAAATTCGATTTGAAACCGCAAAAATCCTTAAAAAACCAAAACTTGCTAAATCCAATATTTCAAAGCCTGAACGCATCGCCCTAAAATCTCTAAAATCCAATACAGACATCGTAATCCTAAAAACAGATAATGGAAATGCTACGGTAGTCATGGACACCGGAAAAGATTCAAGATATTCTTACAGACGGATCATGTCGTCAACTTAAAAAAGATCTTACGCCTTCTATGGATCGCAACCTTAAATCTGTTATTAAGGCTTCTTTTCTATCAGACTCCGTGAAAAAATCTGTTAACCCTTACGACTCTAAAATTCCTCGTCCCTACGAACTGCTAAAGATTCACAAACCAGGATTGCCCCTTCAACCTATTGTCAGCACCATTGGTTCTCCAACATATTCTCTAGCAAAATATCTAGCTTCCGTATTAAAACCTTTTACAGGGAAAACAGACAGTTTCGTACTTAATTCTTTGAACAAATAAAAACCATTACATTAGATACACAAGATATTCCAGTTAGTTTCAAAGTATAATCCCTCTTTACCAAAGTTCGTATTCCTCGAACTCTCGACATCATTTCAGATATATTTAAAATCCGAGAGTTTGGAACCAAACCTTCTCACCTTAATTGAAAAATGCTTGTCGGGAACATATAAGGTTGTTCGGAAAGTCATTTCGTTTTTTCCCGTCAGAGGACTTAATTACGTTTTTTCGAAACTAACTTCACACTTAAGCCGCATAACCATTATATGTCTTGTGAGCTGATATTGCAAGGCTTGTGTGTGAAAAAGTTATATTAATTCTACGCAGTAGTTTTTTGTTGGTGCCCTTTTAAATATGGAGAGCAATAAGCAGCATTTTCGTCATATTTTACTTTTTTACTTCAGAAAAGGTAAAAATGCTGTCCAAGCGAGAAAAAAATTGACGGATGTGTATGGAGAAGGCGTGTTAACAGTACGCCAGTGCCAGAACTGGTTTGCAAAATTTCGATCCGGCAATTTTGATGTCGAAGATGCACCACGGTCTGGAAGGCCGGTCGAAGCTGACAAAGATGCGATAAAGGCATTAGTTGATGCATATCGGCGAATAACCACACGAGAGATCGGTGAGAGATTAAATTTGTCGAATTCGACTGTTTATGGCCATTTGAAAGGCATAGGCTTAACCTCGAAGCTCGATGTGTGGGTGCCCCATGTCCTTACGGAGCGAAATTTGGGTCGTCGCGTTGACGTGTGTGATTCGCTCCTCAAACGTCAAGAAAATGATCCATTTTTGAAGCGGATTATTACTGGGGACGAAAAATGGGTTGTATACAACAATGTTAAACGCAAGAGGTCATGGAGCAGAAAAGATGAACCGACTCAAAGCGTGTCAAAAGCCAACATTCACCAAAAAAAGGTGATGTTCTCCGTTTGATGGGATGTCAAAGGAATCGTTTTTTTTGAGCTTTTGCCGGACAATACAACGATTAATTCAGAAGTCTATTGTCATCAACTGGACAAATTGAATGATTCACTTAAAGAGAAGAGGCCCGAATTAATCAACAGGAAGGGTGTAGTGTTCCACCAGGATAATGCGAGACCTCACACAAGTTTGGTCACTCGCCAAAAACTTTTACAGCTTGAATGGAACGTACTGCAACATCCATCATATTGTCCAGATCTGGCACCTTCCGACTACTATTTGTTCCGGTCCCTGCAAAATTTTTTGGATGGCAAAACATTTACCTCAAATGACGATGTTAAAAACCACCTGAACCAGTTTTTTGCCAGCAAGGACCAAAACTTTTATGAGAGGGGAATTATGTTACTGCCAGAAAGATGGCAAAAGGTGTTGGACCAGAATGGCCAATATATAATTTAATAAAATATTTATTCATTATATGAAAACTGTCTTTCATGTTCCCCAAAAAAACGAAATGACTTTCCGAACAACCCAATATTCTTCTTATAACGGTTAAATTTTTGAACAAACGTCGGGAACAGCTACGAGTTCTCCATTACCACCAGTCATCGCGAATATATTTAGCCTTTGAGAAGAAAGCTCTCGACATCTTTCATCTAAAACCAAAATTATGGAAGCGCTATGTCGATGATATTTTTCATTCGAATCAGTCATCCGAGACGGTGTTTGTACCCCTTATTAGCGCCCCCCTCAAACAATATATAAGCAGGTACAGAGTGAAATACGAGCCAGTTTCGGTCAAGCTCTGAAGAAGCCGGCAGGATGATTGGCGCAACGTCGGCAATTTCGACTCAGCGAAAACCGACGCAGGAGGAATCCAGAAGTTTCCAGTTTTCTGCTATTACGTCACTATAATCGTACGATCGTCGGCGCTTTGATAATTGCGAAATATTTAAATAGATGAACGTGAATTTTGATCGCTTTTAATACTCTCGCTATATGTAAATGATTTTCCTTTTCCCGCTTTTTCAATAGATGTCGCTATCAGTAAACTGTTACGCTATACAATTCATGTTGTTGTTCATGTGTGTGGATATGGAAATCTAAGAATTGAGGTCTATATTTCCCATTTTTGCAGGCCATTTTAGACGAAACATGCCACCTGTTGTTTCATATGAAATCTACGTTTTGACAAATGTAGATTACGTATGTTTCAAAGATGAATTTTTCCGTATTCATACTCACTTTACAGAGAACCTCGACCGGGGTGGACATCTTCTTCTCGCTGATTTTCTCGTATTTTTGTTTCTTCGTGGCTGCCTTGAGGCCCTGCCATGGCAGACAGCCCCGGTTGAAGTACATCATGACGTAGCCGAGGGACTCCATGTCGTCGCGGCGCGACTGCTCGATGCCCAGGTGCGCGTTTATCGAAGCGTATCTAGCAAATTGTGAGAAGCTATATTATCGTCCATTACGTGGGACCATTAGTTTGGCGAAATGACTGATGAACGTAGACAAGGATCGATTCTGGTCAACACTGGTGTTTCGAACCTCCATTGTCTAAAAACGTTTCAAGTTTGTTGTTGTTTCAAGTGCGAGTTTTCACTTGATAACGGCTAGTGAGACTTTCTAACCGAAACACCAGCATCGGCCAAAATTCCATCGCTAAAATCTACCGAAATCATCCGATCGTTCTCAGACCCGCGACTAAAATACCGAAGCGGTTACGCCTGATCAGTATATAACTGGTTTTTATTAAGAAATTAAAGTATAGCATGCAACAGATCGATAAACTTATTTCAGTCATCTTTTCTCGAAATATAAGCGTACGGGAAACTGGAAATCTTTTCAATTCGCCTGTACAAAAAAAATCTAAAGAGAATTGAAAAACCAACGGAAACATCTGAACTTATTAATAAATATTTTATATTCTACACGTGAGATTCCTAACCGTGTTCATTTTGATAACTATTGCCAAGTTTCTTGGTTCGAAGAGGAGGATTTACGGGACTCTCTTACCTGTTACCTAAACTACTGGCAGCTTTGCTCAAAGTTTTGGAAGACACCCTATCAGCAGCGTCAGATAATGCGGAAATGTCTACTATAGTCTTATTAGATTCTAGTAAAACTTTGGATATGGTCTGTTCATAGATATAAGCAATTGCTTTTGAATGGGATTATTATTAGGAGGCTTGAAAAAGATGAAACCGGTGTTAAATGTGTCAGAACTACCTTATGGAAGTGTATTCAACACGTGGGTTTTAGATTTAAAAAAATTGACAAATGGCAAGTTTTAATGGAATCTTTTAGAATTCGGAAATGGCCACCAGAATATCTAGAAAAAATTAGGATTTACAGAGAACAACAAAGGCCAATTATTTACTTGGATGAAACCTGGTTCGACACTTATGATACCCCGGCAAAAGGGTCGGCTTGACTCAACTGATAAGTGTAAAACAAACGCGCCATCAAAAAGAGGTAAAAGAATAACTATTTTGCATGCTGGCTCTCAAGATGGTTGGATTCCAAATGGACTTTTTCGGTCTGCGAAAAATATTAAAGATTCTTCTCTGGATTACCATGAAGACACCACCGCTGATTTATTTGAAAGTTGGTTTAAAAACAAACTAGTTCCAAACATTCCTCCTAATAGCGTCATTGTAATGGACAATGCAAGTTAACACAGTAGACAATTGACTAAAACCCTTTCCTCATGTGACACAAAAGCAACAATCTAAAACTACATGTATAATAACGACATTTATTTCCACGAGGATTACACCAAAAAGCAATTAATTGAGGTTCTACAAAGATTGAACCTACAAAAGGAATACGTCTGTGATAATTATGCAAAAAATCTAGGGCGTACAATTTTACCACTGTATATTTAATCCCATTGAACATGTTTGGCAAAACTGAAAATTGCGATGACGATTAGCCATCCCGATCGCCAGATCCGAACAGCACTGAGAATCTCTTTGGGAAGTCTTGGGTCGACGTATTAGAAAGAATTCCAATATTAATCCATACTTTTCCTACTATTGAGATGGCATAATCGATATCCTCAGTTGAGCCAAGCACGGAATATCTCTCCTTGCGCTTTGAAACTTCATTTTAAAAAACGTATTTTATGGAAATGTAACTAGATATCGGTATTTGTCTCTTTTTTTTGTTGTATGCTCAATTTACAGCTTTATTACGACTTTATTTATTTATTTAGATTTATTGAACACTCGCTTCGGTGAACTCCGCTCGTGCTAAATCAAACTCGTGACTAAAATGGCTTTTATCAAACTTGTTGTATAATATACTATAACATTATAAGTACCTATACATACCGATCATAAGGAATAGTTAATTCAAAACACGATTTACTGTTTGTTTGTGTGTTTTTTTTTCAATAATAAAATAAAATAAAAATAATAAAGTAAAACTACACATATATGTTGAATACCATTTTAAATAAGGGTTTGTTGGAGTTTAATAGGCTGCGAAAAAATATTACGGAGTGTGATAATTTAAATGCTTTTAAAAGATTACTTAAAACTTATGTATTGTCTGAAATTTTATTCTCTTATCATTGTTCTGTTGTTACATACTTTTGTTCCGTGCACTTTTATACTCACTTAAATTTTGCTACGCATATTTAAAATGTAAATACGATTGTTTTCTGTTATAGCTTTATGCCAAATAAATAAAGCATTATTATTATTAAAAATAAAATAGGATGATGTAAGGAGGGGGCGAGATAGAGAAAGACACAGCGACAATCTTTGCAACGTTCAAATCACCGCAGTGGGCGTCCGTATCGCATAGCATACTGACCTGGCGGTGCCGGTAAGATTTTTGTCTTCCCTGTACATAATGTGCTGGCGGTTGCGCAGATCCCGGAACTTTTTCGCCAATCCGAAGTCGATTAGAAACACTTTGTTGCAGTGGCGACCGATGCCCATTAAAAAATTGTCCGGTTTAATATCGCGGTGTATGAACGACTTGGTGTGAACGAACTCTATGCGGCAGATCATCTGGTCGGCCAGCATCAGTACGGTTTTGATTGTGAAACGTCGCGAGCAAAAGTTAAAGAGATCCTCGAGCGAAGGGCCCAGCAGATCCATAACGAGGACGTTGTGTTCCCTTTCCTGTCCGAAGTATCTGAAAACGGAAAAATGCAAAATTAGGTCAGAGAACAATTTACCCATATGGCTATGAGATAATATAGTGGCCCTGATGCGCCGCAGGTGGCTATGATATTTTCGTAGAGAAGGCTATGGATGTTATGCGCATGCGTCACCGCCAACAAACTAAGTTGTCACATTGCCATAATTCTTCGGAAAAAAATGACTAATTTTCATAAGAACGCAAAATCAGTCTTTGAAATGCGAATATAATTGGCAACGCCGAGCTAGGAATTGCTGTTGCCAGAGAATACTAACAGTCGGTGACATTGTCAGAATCAGTTGAGCTGCAACAGGATGAACTTAAACGATAAATCTGCAGGATATTTTTGGGCAGTCTGAAGGCATTACTGGAAATCTTTGAGCATTATCAGGTTTTCAAGTTAACTATTCAAAATTTTGGGGCACTTCATTTGTAGGTCACCTGCCTCCTGAGGGAGGCAAGTGAATACTGAAGTACGTACATACACAATTTTACACTAATCAAATAGGAGCACTTCTGTCAATAAATACTGATTTTGTACATCTGCTTGTTGGATTCGGGACAATTTGAGTAGGAAATAGTATATTATGCAACAAGTGCGTTAAACGGCATTTGACTCACGAGTTTATTTGACACGAGCGGAGCGAGTGACTTAAAAAGTTTACCGAACGTGCTGCATACTTTACTTTTTCTACGACCGTTAGTTTTTGGGTACATTTTCGTAAAACAACACGAATACATTCACTGACATGACCGTCAGAATTGTCAAAATTCAAAGCGTTGGAAATATCTCCGAAAACATCCGATTGCTCCCAAACCCGTGCGGTAAAATCCCGGTAATGTCCGAAGTGGCTCGGATTCGTTGGAAAGGAAACTGACGTGGTAAAGTGACGTGAGATTTAAATTAAGGGCAAATTGCGTTTTTCAATTCGGCCGAAAAAAAAAAAAAGAACGACGACGCGGCAAATTTTTAAGGGTTGAATTTTTTTTTCTGGTGCCCGGTGGTCGTATAAAATAGCGGATCAAGGCCGGGCGAAACAAGCTCCGACAAGTGTCTTTGCGTCAGTGTGGAACCACCGTAAAGTTGACTGACCCTCCCGCGCGCCGGTGCAAAAGGACCGACGGCCGTTCTATGGACAATATGGCCGCAACGGCTGTGTGACATCGTACCGGGCGTTTCCTAGATACTAACCATCTTTCCTCTTTGCGCTACGACAGAAAAAGAGGATAGGAGGAGCTTTGGTGCAAAAACAAAACATTATCATTTTATTTTCGATCAATTATTGGCAATTTTACACTTCAATTACATCTCTGGTGGAAAAAAGTAAAAGTAAAATTTGGAATCGTGATACTGTTTTTCTCCGAGTTTCGTGGTCTGTGGTGATATTGTTTAAACATTAACTGGAAAGCTGTCATTTTTAAACCTACTTAACACACTATAAATGTCGTTATTATACATGTAGTTTTGGATTGTTGCTTTTATGAGGAAGGTGTTTTAGTCAACTGTCTCCTGTGATAACTTGCATTGTCCATTACATTTACGCTATTAGCCAGCACGCAGTTATTCCTTTACCTCTTTTTGATGGCGCGTTTGTTTTACATTTATCAGTTGAGTCAACCCAACCCGTGTCGAACCAGGTTTCATCCAAGTAAATAACTGAACTTTGTTGTTCTCTGTAAATCCTAATTTTTTTTTGATATTCCAGTCTCCTTTTTTTTATTTATAGAGAATCATAACCACCAAAAATGTAAACACCAATGGTATTGACTATTAGCAGTCCCTGGCAGTAGCAGTTCCTAGTTCAGCGTTGCCAATTATATTCGGATTTCAGAGACTGATTTTGGGTTCTTATGAAATTAGTCAATTTTTTCAGAAAAATTACGGACATGCGGCAACTCAGTTAGTTAGGGCGTGACGCATGCGCTACGAAAATATCATAGCCACCTGCGGCGCATCACTTTTCACCGCAGTAGGGCCACTATATTATCTTATAGCTATATGGGCCACCCACTAACAAAATCCCCGAGTATGTTTATTTCGTTACTATGGAAACCAATTCAAAGGCAACTCGGGACAAAAATATTATTTAAACCCGTAATATAGCGGTCCTAGAACCGTAAAAATTGCCTCAGGTGGCTACGATATTTCGTAGGGCTGATTTTTCGAGCTTGCCTCTATATCTCTCTTCAAAACAGCGATCTCCACACACTTAACTTCTTTATACATGAAGATTAAATGGAATCTGGACATGTTTTGAGAAAATACTGATGTAAAAATGCCACATCCAAACTTATTAACTAACTATCTGTCAGCGGCCATGTTGCTTGTTGAATGCCGCAAGGTCATTGGTTAAAAATGAGAGATTCTGAATCTCAAATGTTATTTTCATAGTTGTTTTCTCCTGTAAACTACGACTTTTTCGGTGAGTATCGAGTTGGAAAGTGTCACATTCGGAGCACTTTTAAATAAACATCGTTAAATCAATTTAAAAAATGTTAGCGCATGCGCGCTTGGATGTACCATTAGAAAAAAGCGGGATCGGTCGTTAAAAACACCGAACAGTAAATAACGTTCCATTGTTCGATTTCGATAAAAATTCGGTTTCGATTGGCGCCGTTTCAAGGCCGTCGAAAATTGATTTCGCCATTTCGATTATTGGCCGCGCCGCCAACTTCGGCAGTGGTTTTCTCTCGATCCTCGTTAGCGCGAGACGTCGGACAACAAAAACGGTACCACTGACGACGGAACTGTTCGTCGTATTTCGGTCATAAGGTCACCGCGACGGTACGACCCCAAAGTTTGTTATGCGCGCGTCATAGACGCCGAGTATGGTATGTCTCAAAGTATATCGTCTCGGCTCTTATCGTAATGACCTGCCCAATGCAATAAAACACTTAGCCAATCGGTAATATTTCTTATTATATTTTGACTACTTATGTATAATTAAAACATATTAGTACTAATTATTAAATATAGACAAATTACACCGGTCTAAAAAATTAAACTTTTTGAGAGATTGTTTTTAGTTTGAAAACTGATTTTATACAATTTTGGTAGGCTGATTTCAAAAATTCGATGCATTTATTTGTATCACGTAAGGTTTTTTTGCAAATATTAAAGAAAAAAAACGATATTTTCAAAATATTATTATTTTTATTCAGTAAAGAAACTCGTGTCAAATAAACTCGTGAGTCAAATGGCGTTTACCGCACTTGTTTCATAATATACTATACTCAAACGTTGTCCGGCTTAGTGTTTTTAAGGATATATCCCGTTTTAACATCCGTCTGGTGAAACCTCTATCCCTGTTCAACACTAACTGCTCCAAGATTTTCAGGAAAATGGTTCAAATATAAAAACAGGAAGTGCACTTTCAAACTCATACTTCAACCTAGACGATGAAAGTGTTGTAACACATTTTGAACAACTCTTTCGTAGTTTTCGTCATTAGGAGTAGGTATCGGTACATCTGATCCATGAGGAATCTGTTTCATATTTTTTCTGTTGAATCGTTGGATATTACACGACCAAAAATAACAATCATCACTGTGATACCTAGGCTCTCGCCATACCATAGGAACACCAAAGCTTAAACATTCCTTTCTACCATTTTGAGAGTTTCTTAATGCTTCAACGTAAACGTAACAAACAAAATAAGGAGCCCAGGAGTTGTTTTGGAGGCAAATTTCTACACCCAAATAAGCGTGGTATATATTTTTCACAAAATCAAACGGAACAAACAGTATGAAGAGCCTTGTTTTGGAGGACAATTTCTACACCAAAATATTACATTTTTCACAAAATAAATTATACCTTGCTTTTGCTTTACCACGACACAGATATAACAAATTATTTGGATTGTTCACACAATGTCTTCTGTACATATTTATATGTTCTAGAACACTAGAACGACGAAGACAACAGCAGCGAACGCAGCAGCTCGACGACCAATACAACCAAACTGCGCATAAGCAGGTGACAACGCTGTATTGACGCTTATTATCCAGTGTTGTCAAGTCCCGTTCAATTTCATAAAAATCAATTCGTTTAAAAATAATGCCTAACATGGAACAAACATACTCATGTCAAAGGTATGTATATTAATAAATGAATTAATAAAAAATTGACGAAAAAAAATATACAAATAAGCAAACAGCTTTCAAACATCAAAATCTCTGTTGACCTGTGTTATCAATAATTCCTTAAATAAGTATATTTTTATTAAAAATCTAATCAATTCTGTATCACTATCAGAGTCGTCATTAAGATTTATATTATTCATAAAGTATCTTCAATTATTAAAATGTGCTGCACCGCATTTTTCCAGCTTTCGACTGATATATGGGGTGGTTCACGGCTGACGGTACCTTGGACGTTTACGGCGCCGATGCTCTAACCTAATATTTTAGCGACGTTGCCGCTTCTTCGAACAAGTAGCATCTACATTGAAATTTTAAATGTGTACAAATGTAAGTGAAAGTATATTATTGCATTTTCTGATCTGCTAATACTTCTTCAGAGATTAACTGGAACTGGCTCCCATTTTACTCTGTACGTGCTCATATGTATATTGTGAGAAGAAGGCAACAGAATAATTGGCAAAACTTCAGCAAGTTTGATTCATAAACAACCGAAGAATCCACATTATTATTATTATAAATACCAAATTATCAAAAGTGTTACTTCAAACGAAGAGAGTGCAATAAACGTTTTCATTAGGTTAGATCATTACTTATGGGGCGTGTTGACGAATTACGTCATCGGATTGTAGGATACCTCGAACAAATGGATCCCTTGGATATAAAAAAGACTATTTACATCAGTCCACTTTAACGGACTTAAGGTGTTTAGAATGCAATGGTGAACACTTCGAACACATAAGTAAAAATTTATTTTACGTACCCGCTCTTTGTTGGTGTAAATAATTTTTTTCTTCTCTTGTGTTGTAAATCACATTTGGTTGCATTGTCAATGCGTATTACACAAACCCTTTTAAACAGCATTAGACTACATACTGGTTTTCTTCCAGTTTGAACCGATTTTATCGACAAAATTGGCACTGCGATCAATAATGAGTAAATCTTTATTGAACTGTCAAACGGAAACTCAATTATTTAACATAAGACGGATATTTCATGGACACCTAAAATAATCCTTGATAATTTAACTTGCTCTTAGAATAATGTGATAATATAGAGAGAGGGTGTTCTATTTTAAAAATGATCTTTTCACCATTTTTGTATCTCGTAAGAAAATCATCACTTTTCGATTTCAATTTCGATATTAAGAAATTATGTACAGTACTAGCTCCATTGTCACGGTTATCAAAATTTAATTGAAGCTATGTTTTGGTTGAAGTCGCAAGTTTGCCTCTAAAGAATGATAGGAATAGCTTAATTCAATCCCAAACACTTCATTAAAAATATACGGGGTGTTCGGAAACATGGAGGAAAGATTTAAAGTGGTAAAATAACAAAAATTCGAAATCGAAATATTACAAAATAAAAGTGTTTCAGCAATTTGTCACTAGAAGGCACTTTACCAAGAACATTTTTTTAAAATTTTAGTTATTTAGACTGATATTGCAAAATACAACAGATTGCCTTAAGCAGAATCACAAATCCTCAAAAATTGTTATTCTTGTTTTAAGTCAATAAGTGTTATTCTTTAGCCACAAATCGATTTTACCTGTAAATGTCATTTTACTTAACAGGACTTAATGAAATTTGAAAAAGTCATTGTCACAATCCGTTACGAATTAGTTTCTATTAAGAGAGATTATTATTCAACTGCTACTGTGATGGCCAATCAGGAATATTCAAATACTGAATATCGCGATATGCATTTTTGCTACGGAAGGGCAAATGGAAATGCAGATCGAGCACGACGGCTTTGTATCAGAAGACTTGATGAAAGAGGATCATTCAAACCTGATAATATGAATAAAGGGAGACCAAGGTATAAAAGAACCGATGCAAGAGAAGACAAAATGTGGAGACTGACCTGTCAACGAAAACTTGCTGCTCAGGAAAGAATTGCTCGCTCTACAGTTTGGGAAGTTTTGAATGAAAATGATCTTCTGAGGATGATGAGCAATTGATAGTAATTTTACGCAATCAAATTTTAGGAAAAATTCAAAATTATTATTTTGTTCACTGACGAGGCTGCATTCAGTTGTGATGGCACTGTAAGTTTTCGAAAAATGCATCGGTGGAAGATTGAAAACCCACATGACGGAAAACATCAACGCCGGTTTTCTATAAATATATGGACAGGTATTATAGGAGATAATCTTATAGGACCTCATTTCTTTAACGGATCGCTTAATGGGGAAATGTATTTGCAATTGCTCCAAGAGGAACTACCACATTTGCTGGAAGGAGCACCCTTGCAGTGGAGACAAAACATGTGGTTAATGCAAGATGGCGTTCCAATCTATTTGGCTGTACGAAGGTATTTAAATCAGGCATTTGAACATCGATGGATAGGTCAGGGCCGAACTCTACCTTGGGCGCCTCGCGCACCAGACCTTAATCCGATGGATTTTTTTTTGGGCAGTTAAAGTCTTTATCCAGAGAAGAATCTTTAATATTTTTCGCAGGCAGAGAAAGTTCATTTGCATGCAAAATAGTTATCCTTTTACCTTTTTTTGATGACGCGTTTGTTTTACACTTATCAGTTGAGTCAACCCAACCCTTTTCCGGGGTATCATAAGTGTCGAACCAGGTTTCATCCAAGTAAATAATTGGCCTTTGTCGTTCTCTGTAAATCCTATTTTTTTCTAGATATTGCAGTCACCATTTCCGAATTCTAAAAGATTGCATTAAAACTTGCCTTTTGTCAATTTTTTTAAATCTAAAACCCATGTGTTGAATACGCTTCCTTAAGGTAGTTCTGCCACATTTAACACCGGTTTCATCTTTCTCAAGGCTCCTAATTAAGATATCTAATGTAAGCACGCTTTGTTCCTCGTATAACTGGTAAATTTTACGAAGTATTATATCTTGATCATTTTCATCTACGTCCGACAAAATGTCATCATCGCTTCTTTTTTTCCTCGCTGAAATGGGATCATACACAATTTTCCATACAGTTGATGTTGGGAGACTAACAGAAACAAGTCAAAGGGGCATGAACTTTCACATTCGAGAAAGGGCGATACGGGACTATGGCACGTTAATAAGATGGCGGGCGTAATGGCATTTAATCGAAAAATAACGTCCCGCCACGTGCAGCTACTACGTCATTCGGACGGAGCGAATAGTCACGGACCGACGAACGTGAACGTGGCGATAGCTCCGGAAGTTCGAAATACGTCACGGGATAAAACAAATCCGGCACGTTCTGTGCAAAATCGACACCGGAAGATTTGGGTTCGCTCCAACTTGTTGCGAATTGAGCGATACCGACGTAAAACTTGGCGGACAGTAATAGATATAATTGAATGAATTTAATTTATTTATTGATGTTAACAAACCTACGGTTTCACACAAGTCAGCAAAAACATTAAGCAAAATCTACATAGCACCGCGACATAACACAAAAAACGCTAACCATTACTAAAATTGGTAAAAGAGTCATCAAATGAGTAATAGGCCTCATCCAGCAGAAGTGATTTGACCTTAATAGAGAATTGTCTCTCCGGTAGTTCTCTGACGCTTAGGGGCAATAGATTGAAGAATTTAGGTCCATAATAGTTCTTATAATTTCTAGTCTTTGCAATTCTTGAGAAGTTAATCAACATATCATTTCTGTTTCTGGTAGATGGTGGCAAGCATTAATATGAAGGGGATATTGATCCTGGTTGCTTTTAGTATAATTTAATGACGAATAAATGTAATAATATGGAACAGTTAATATTTGGAGATCTTCATACTTTGCTTTTACGTCAACCCTAAAATTCAACTGAGTCATCGCCCTGATGGCTCGCCTCTGTATCGAAAACAATCTTTCGGTATGTGAGGAGTGACACCCAACCAAAATTGCGTAGCTAAATGATCCCTAAGAGAGTGAAATTCTGACTACATTTTGAGAGACCTCGCCGACCAAACCGCGCAACAAGTACAGCACCCTGGAGCGCTTCCCACAAAGACCAATAATATGCTGCTCGAACGTCAATTTCGGATCAAGCAGAACCTCAAGACAGTAATGGATTGTTGAATGTTGACTCGCGTAAAGAAAATATAATTTGTTGTGTTTTTGATTCACTGAGGTTAAGTTTGTTAGCACGAAAATAATCACTGTGCGCACTCCATCCTGTGTACAAACTATTTCAGCAACATACTCAGGGAGATCGTTTATATAGATCAAGAATAGAAGAGGGCCCATAATGGATCCATGGGGTACTCCATGTTCAACAACGCTAATTTGTAATGATTTTCCATTCAGGACCACGATCTGCCTCCTGTTGAAAAGGTAACTTTGAAGGAATCCAACCGATGAGGGATCGGCACCATATCACTGCAATTTAATCAGAAGAACAGGATGCCGGACACACTCCATTGCGTAGGACTGTGAAGGAGTACTCTCTGCTGCGTAAACCTGATCAAGAACTCTACTAATCGCTCCACAAGTCGATTTACCACGTCTAAACCCAAACTGAGCCGGAGACAACAAACGGATGTCCTCTAATTGAGAATATAGAATCTACTCAATAATTTTACCGATTATTCACTTTTGTTCTTTGGAGATATCTAAAAAGTAAAAGTTATTTTACAAAACCAAATTCATTTGAATAGTTTCAAATGTTTGCGGTGTAATTCATTGACATTATTGACAGACATTCAATCAAATTGTTGATAAAATGATGAAACTGTTTATTTTTTTAATTTAAACTACGATTAAGTAATAGAAAAGTAGTAAAAAAAATCGCAAGCATTCGTTTGACTGTCTTGCAAAAGTTGACGAAACAAATGTTTTCAAAATTGGCATGCGAATAGAACGCGACAAGACCTTTAAAAAGAGGTATCACATGGTCCATTTTACCATTTAAAAAAAATATGCTATCATTTTGACATTTTGAAATATTGTTTTCATGTCAAAAATTAAACATTTTAATTATATACGTGAATGCCAAATTTCACAGTGCTATTTACAAGGGTACATAAAATAAAAGGGGACCTCCGATCATTTACGCGGGCACTGTATACGAGGTGTGATCAAAAATTAAGGTGGGCGTGGGTAAATGGGCGGGCAACGTACATTCGATCTTCGATATATTTTTTTGTTATGTTTTGTTATGTCGTCCCTGGTATATGTTTACAGTTTTAGCCAGTTTGCATGTTGCATGTTAACATAAAATTTGTAAAAAATGGGGTACAGTGCTGCAAAACAACAACCGCATATGGTGAATCTACTTTTAATTAAAAACATGTTTATAAGTGGTACAAGGTGTTCCAAGGTGACCGAGAAGACGCTGATGAAGAACCCCGCTCTGAACGCCCCAGCACGTCAATAACTGAGAGCGTTGAAGAAGTGAAACGAACAATTAGAGAAGTGTCTGATATGCTCAAAAAGGTCATAATTGATGACGAATCATGGACTAAAAACCAAAGACCAGTCGTCCAAATGGAAGAACCCAGAATCACCAAGACTGAAAAAAGCACGTCAAGTTCTACCAAATGTCAAGGATTGATTATCGTGGCACCATATTCACCGGACATGACCCCCTGCGACTTTTTCCTGTTCTCAAAATTCAAAAAAACCATGGAAGGAGATTTGGTATTATAAATGGGTGGGGGGGGGGGATTACTTTGAAGGGGACAACATTAATTTTGATAAATAAATAAACACTTTTTAATAAAACTTATGTCACCTTAGTTTTTGAGCACACTTCGTATATTTTGTTAAATAAGGATTTGTTTAAAAAAAAAAAGAAAAAAAATCTGGACTATTTTTTTAGGGCGCGTCGCTCAGTCGCAGCTGTCAACGAACGAACGAACCTCTTTCATTAAAATTGTCGGTATTCCTACGAACGCTATCCCAATTTCTCTGGTTCACGCCCGCAGCTATAAATAGCCGCCCGTTTATCTATGCACGCGCGTAACTTTAAGAACCAAAGGTTGTAAACAACGCGGCGGTCGTTTAACGCGAAACAATAACAACGCGATTATGATTAACAATTAAACATATACCTGTCAGGTATACATACACAAATGCAATAACGGAACAGTTCAATAAACCGACTTCCGAGGCTATAGGTTTGTTTTTATTTTAAGCGCGTCTACACGTTGACGAGTTTCAACGGTTCCTTCCATTGCGTTGCATGGTGTTCGTTAAAAAGGCACAACACGCGGTAACAGCTCTAGTTTTTGAGATACATACGAGGGCAGCGCCAAAATTTCCCGGCCTGAATATGAAAGAAACAAAATAGAGTAACGATTTTTTTTATTATTTTTCAATTTAATCTCCCTTAACTTCAATACACTTATTACATCTCTTTATTAACAACTCAATTTCTTTTGTCAAAAACTTTATGACAGCTCTATACCCAATTTGCGTTATTTGCCACATTTTTTTCGTACACGTCTTGTTTAAAATGCTGTCAATAAAAAACTATTTGACGCAAGACATAGAAAGAAGACATAGTGATTATTCAGAATACAAAACAGTTCATGTTACATAAATTATAATTTAATGTTGTTTAACTTGCTACATGCTTTTAGAAGTTCCTGCATAAATAATGCATTATTTCTAGTCAGATTTGTTTTACTTTGTAATGTAGTGTAGTAGACCAACAAAAAAGGTAAAAATGGATATTGAATTACATATAATCTGAGTTTATTTATAATTTAATGATGAAGTGGCACCAAAAGCCAAGTAGAAAATGACCGAAGCTCCACCCTCATTGAAAACTTGAAGTATAATCTATGAGGATATTAATAAATATACTATAATCTCTTTATCACTGTCAAATAACCTCTTATTGAGAGCAACTCACCAATAATTTTTTTTCTTTGCTCTTGCGCAGAAATCAAAGCAAATACTAATAATATTATTGCTAGAGATAGGGCAAGATTTGCAGTATTAGAAACAGCTTTTTCTAATTACATGTTAATACAACTCATACATATTTGCACCAACCCCGTATCAAAATAAGCTTTACCTGATATGTGGTATTCCGACTCCTCCCTGAAGGAATTTATATAACTTGCTCTCGTAGAGAAGCTGTGGGTGCCTCGCTCTCACCAACTCCATTTTAACCGCCACTTCCTGCAAAATTAACACAACATAAAAGTAAATAATCAGTCAACAATACAATATAATTATTATTAATACATTTAATAATAAATTTATTTTATGTTATATATTAATATTTTCCAAATGACCACCTCTGAGAGCTACAAAACAACCATTGGAATCAAAATAATTACTATAACAATGAGAAGGATTTTAGAGGAAAAAAATGCAATGCCTAATAGAAAACAGAAAAAAAAAACATTTTCAACAATTACTTTTTTTATACATATTCTTGTTAGACAAAAAACTATTTCATATTTTACAGTATGAATTGCTAATAATTTAAGCAGAAAAACTATCAATTTTCATTCAAATTATGCAACACTGAACCTACGTTGTGAAAAAATACAAGAAAATTAAAGACCTTCAAATTAGCTGTTACCATCTAAAGTTTGAAGAAATGATTGCAGCTGGTTTTAACCTTGTGCTTTGTTAAACAATCACCTAGAAAGTATCTTCTCTTTTAATAAAGCCACCAGTTAGAATTTGGTACTAAATAAACTACATATTGGCGTTTACCCATACTAAGGTACAAAGACAAGTAGTATTGGGTGTTCCAATATGTTGCAAGAGCTTTTGCCTAAATCCTGGTATGACAAACCCTTTTTAGTTATATGAAATGAGGTAGTCAGATCCAATGCAAAGCTTGTTTTAACGATATGTCTAGTACCATAAATAAAAACGAGTTTATAATGGTACTGCTATGAATGACATTTGAGAGAAGTTACTGCCAACGAAGTCGGAAGGGCCTGCTTTTATAAAAAAATGAAATGAAATTTTTGATTGCGCTTACCTCCCCATTTGTGATATTTATTCCTAAGTAGATGTGACCAAACGAACCACTACCGATTTTACGAACTAAACGATATTTGCCACCCACTATGTACTCGGCTTTAATGTTTATGTGTGACATAATAACAATTTGAAAAGGAGTCTATTTGATAAAAATATAAACTAATTTGTGATTACTAATAAAGGATTTTTTGTACAGGACAGACTCGCGCACATTACGACCAACCGCGACGTAGCAGATTGCACACTCGATCTTCTAGCACGCCGACATATTTATTTCAAACTATAAATCTGACTGATCGTTGATTGCTGTCACGTTGCTAGGTTAGTCACGTATTTATTCGCCCCCGAGTCTCGAGCAAGGGGCAAACGGTTCAAAAATATTTGTTTCACTCTTGAAAATTGATTAATTTTACTAAAAACGAAGTTATTTTTTTCTTCCGATAAATACGCAGTAGCGACTAATAATTTCGGAATCTTTGTTTCAAACCACAGACTGCAATTACAAATTTTATAACTCTCATGGAATACAGAACCGTTCCTGCAACAGAGCAACCAAATCCCAACCATTAGTGCACTGAACAAACGCGGGGCCAGTGTGGAAAAAATGTTTATTTCCTAACAATTCAGATTATAAAACCGTTTCAAAATGCGTCCATCGGTTTTGCAAATATCCGCACCAAAAAGTAAATCGTAATTACGGTGTTAAAATTTATTCTCTACTCAAAACCACTGATGGCTAACCAGAAATATGCGAGGTTACTCTTTAAGTAATTAGCAGAAGTTTTCCAAAAATCTTGTCTGCTTGCTAAAAGCTCTCGAAAACATCTTTGAATTATAACCGACCAACTTTTGTTTGATGCTCTCCGTGCTTCCTCCACAGACGAACAAATTTTTGGTTTGTGCATTGTCACAATTTTTTTTGTAAAATGTTCCAAAAAAATTGGTATACATTTTTTTTGTAAGACGGTGGTCTTTTATGCCATTGTGACCAATAATTGACGGTGATATTGTTAAGTGCCTTTATTTTTATCAAGCAATTTTAGGTGAGTAGCTCACAAAATTAACTTTTGAGGTTGTTACATTTTGGTACCGAATTGATGGTACTTCCTTATTTGTCGACTTTGAGCCGTGGTCTCAAAACGCGGAAGGAATACATCACGCAAATGTTTAAAATTTATATTCAGATATCAACATATCAATTAGCTAAACTTAGTAATAATGCAGTGCCTCTCTTTATCCAAAAATCGACCCCCTCTGCACCACACCTCAAGTCAACGGCCACGACGTAGGCGGGACGATTGTCGGAACCTGTCCTAATTGGAAAGTAGTAACAGGGACACAAGTATAATCCTAAAATAATGTCAATTAAGACTGACTTTAATTTGATATTGCACACATTAAACCTTTCGTTCTCTTTTTCGCCTGCTCTACGGGTTTAAAGTGAATCAGAGGCATCGGCGAGACTAGTTGCATGGGTTGGGGCTCAATCAAAACCCCATTCTTCCTATCCCAACCGGCACCCTCCAAGTATGTGCCTCGAACGTACACGCCAGATTCAGGAGGTTGTTGTATTTGTGCCTCGTCCACTGCGAGCACTTCAAATTCCCAGTTGAGTGTATCGATTGGGACTTCATTTTGACGGGCTGCTGTCTAAAATGACGAAGGTGTGGTAATTAATTTTATAAATAACGATATTTCTGCCATCAAACCATACAACTCAAAACAGTATGCAAAAAGTATGAGGAAAGTGAGGTTAGATTATTTTTATAATAAAGCTTCTGTGTTTGTGCAAAAATAAAAGTAAAACAACGATTAAGCAACATAATTAACCAAAGTAAATATGGTGCTGTTGTCATTAATACCTCCTTGACAGTTTTCTTAAAGTTTCTGATTATGTTCACATTTTTCACAAAATTCGGTAGATATGCCTTAATGCATTTGTAGTATGTCCTTTCTTAGTTATCGAAAATCTGTGATTAGGTAGTATGATATTCTGGGTTCGAATATTATAATTATGTATTATATTTCTAGTGAACACATTTTTATTTTTGAATATAAATGGTAGATTTCGCAAACATAGTTTGCATACACATCCATCATTTTTTCATGTTTTTTTTTTTAAATAAAAACTCTTTATGTCAAAAGCACTACTATGCCATTTCATAGATGCAAAACTGGCACGATAAACAATCCTTAATCCTTCTATTCTCATATACCTACCATTACTCTAATAGTGCTTTAATTTTGTACATACAGTTTATATAAAAATCTTTTTTATGTTAATAGCACTACTCCAAAGTTAAGACTTCTGTTTTTATATACCTAGCGATTACTCTGATAGCAGGTTGTATAAAAGGGTCACAGTCTAGATATTGTTTTTATGCAGAAATTTGTATTTTCTATAAACTCAGTATTTGTTTTATTTAACTCTATATAATCAGGGTTCTGGGTGAGTAGACTTTGTTTTGCCTGGTGTTATTTATTACCACAGATTTTTTTTCGCTAGGATCTGGGCTATGTGTCGTACGCAAAGTTTGTAATCAAGAAATTATCTATTGCAGGATCCTATGCTGCCAATGCATATGATCTTGCGATATCTCTACTCTTTTCTAAAATTTCCGATTTCATGCTGTGCTTTCAATTGGAAAGGTATGAAAAAAAATTCTTGGTGTAATGCCTTACTCAAATCTAAAAGTAAACCTATGGTTAGGTTTTTTTCTCAAGTTGTTCCAGAATTACTTTAGTAAATTGACTGAAATTGATTTTTTCCCAATACACATGTTCGGAGTTGTCATTTGTTCATTAATTCAAGTAACTTTGCTAAAATTTGTTGTTGGCCTTCAAAGCCTCGGAGGGATTGAATAAAAAGGAAACCTGCAGGACTGCCGTTAGGAATCCGGTCGGGAACATGTAGGCGGCCAACCAGAACAACATGGGAGCCCGGGTCGTTTCCGCCCATGCAGTAAAATGTTCCACCCTGGCTATCAAGTCCCGAGTCCAAGAGCCGAGGAGTTTTAGCGATGGATATGCTGCGATTCAAGTAAAAAACAATTGCAAATAGCATATCGAGGGAGTTTCACAACCTCTTAACCATCCGGATGGCACCCTGCCCTCGTAAATGCAATTGAAAATCTCCTCCAGGTCCGAAGACATCACCACCAAACCCTTTATGCCCCTTTCCAGATCCACCAAGGATGTACTAATGAGGTCGAGCAGCGAGTTGTACCTGTCGCAAAGATTTCTTGGAAATAGTTGACCCACAACACTTCCCGGCGTTATATTGCACCTTTGGATTTCTTGCAACAGTACCACGTCCAATGGCGACTTGTTTCGACCGATCAACTTCTCGGTGGTTTCGTAATCGATGGGAGTCGGTAATTTTGTGAGCACGTCGGCGGCTAGTTTGGAGACAATTTCTTCTTGTGATTCTGCTGCTCCGGCAAAACTCTAGATCCAAGCAAAATACTTTTTTTGAGTATTTTAAGGTCAAATAACATTTAATGAATTGTTTTCATATTTAGTTATTTTCTTGCGATTTAATGATCGAAACTAAACTAAATATTAACAAGTTCGTTACATGCCTGCTAGATGGCGTTACACCAATTGGAAATAGAAAAATTGAATTTTTCTCTAAAGTTGGACCACATAAGCCATTTTAGATCAAGATTTGAATATATTTGACACAAGATGGGTCAACTAAAATAAATATATCAAAATTTTTCTTAAGAAAAATTGAAAGATTGAAATTATTTAGCACAAAATGAATAAATATATTCAAGATTTTGATATGGCTGTTAGAGAGCGTTGCACCAATTGGAAATTAAAAAATGGCATTTTCCTCTCAAATTTGACCACTTAAGACGAAGATTGAAATTATTCAGCACAAAATGTCATTTTTTTGTACAGGGTGAGTCACAGTTACATAGATTGATAGGATGCACAATTTAAAATTATTTTAAAGGTGACTCAAAAAATCGTGACGAATAAAACATGTTTTTTAAATAGAAAACGCTATTTTTTTATTAATAGTGATTTATATTTAAACCTAATAGTTTTTCCCATATTTTAGTTAAAAAAAAATACTAGTTTCCGCACTTTGATTATGATTTCGTATAGTATTATATTTGAAAGTAGATCACTCATATTTGATATTAGCGTTATTCGAATGTGACGTAAAAGATGTATGCAGCGGAATTTGAATTGTATGCTACAGGGTGTTCAAAATAGACGAATATATTTGGATCATTTTAAAGTGAAAAATCACGATTTTACAAAAACCTACAACATTTATTTAGTATATCACATATATATTTTTTAAAACTTTGCGAATTATTTTAACTTTTTCAATATTTACCCTTCTTTCTGTCTAAGACTATTAATACTAGTTGACGATAACTATTAGCTAAACGGGCTTTGTTAAGATAAAAAAATGAAAAGTGAAAAAAAACTTTGTTGAGATAAAGCAACAAACAGTTAATAGCAATTCTGGTGAAAATAAATAATATTAAGAAAAAGTAAATAATATTAAATGCCTGTTACTACAAATTAACTTACTTTTAATTTTTATTATGACGCAATGGCCTTCCACTTGAATACACATATTTAGTGTTTTTCGTACATTTCCTTGAACGTTCCTTGGCATAAACGGTGTTATTTTCGTATACGCGAATTTTATTTTCCATATCTTCTGACGCACAGTTGTCTGGCAAATTTCTTTAAAAATACTATTTTTTTAGAAAAATTAAAATATTGGAAAAACTATTAGGTTTAGGTATATATTATTAATAAAAAAGTCGAAGAATTTTAAAAGAAATTCTAAGCAAAATTTCTTATATACATTATATACCGATTGACATTTCAATTTCATCAACCACAGTCAGAAGTTTTCAGTTAGGATGGCATTTTGACATTTCGTTTTTCCGTAAAGATGATTCAAATGGAGTCATACCAACCATTATTTTTAAGATTTCACAAAAATGACGAACCAATGTTACGGTTTACCTGGACTTGCAGCGACATCAGAGTTTCAAACAACAGACGAGATTCATTGATCTGCGAGGTTATGTCCGCGTTCGGATGCTGCCCGAAGGCTTCTGGCCTGTCGACGTTCGGCAGGAGCGTGATGTAATCCTGATACGCCTGCAGCGAGCCGTCCCTCGGTATATAATACGTACTCAGGCTAGACAACCTGAGATCGATCGAGATCGACTTATTTTTTCGCCGCCGTTTTCCCGATTTCTTTCGTTTACCTAAAGTAGGCGACGTTCAGCGCGTCGTCGCAAAAAAATTGGTTGATGTAGGTGGTCAGCAGTCGCCTGTCCCAGTCGTCGGTGACGTGGCCGCCGTAGCTGACTCCCGCCACTAAGTATTTCAGGGCGTCCCAGGGGGTTTCGCGGGGGTACTCGTTCAAATAAATCGTCAGCAAATTTTCGGATACCTGCAATTAGCGTTTTTGAAACGGCTACCGCCACCGCCATCTAGCGGGATAACGGATGTGGTCATAAATGCTCCAAGAGGCTTGTAGAACTTGCGTGAAAATGATGATATCGAGCCAAATATGCATTGATAAAATGTCACTCATTAAAGAGATACAGGGTGAAGTTTAGTCCTTGAAATTAGTATTTTTCTATGGCCGTTTTTGAAATATCGATGTTATACTTCGACCGGAAATATAATGCTTTTACAGCTGACCCCGAGATTAACTTTGCGTATTGTAAATTATTCCAAAACCGCGGCCCATTATAGAACACCCTGCCGAGCAGACCTTTACCCGTAACCATTCCAGGACCGTCCTAGAAATTTATCTAAATAAGTATGTTTTCAATCTTCTTCATGTACATAAAAAAATTGGTACAAAGCAACAATTTTATTACGTTCTATGTCACTTGTTTTTATTGTTGCTCCTATTTGCCCTACTGAATTTCTTACAAAATGGTAAACATTCAAAACAATTTGTTTAGCATCCGTTTTTTTATTTGCTGAGCGAGTTCTTCTTCTAAATTGTCATTAGGCTCTCAGCTACCCTCTCCACTTCGTCTTCAAATTCTGCGTTGTTTTCAGAAGAAGAACGTTGTTCATCGGCAGGCACACAAGAAAAAAAAGATTATTTTCAAACTTACCTGTAAGATAAATACCCTTTGAACTATCCAGTGAAAACAGCCTCGCAGAGTCAACGCTCGAGAATCAGGTACATAAATACGTACCTACCGAAATGATCTCATTCAAGTACCTCCGTAATATGTACGAAGTTGTTGCAATTTTGAATAATCTCTTAAGAACGCAGCATCAAATTTAAAACGGTCCATTTACGTTTTAAATAAAAATTTCAAGTGTCTACAAATATTCGTTACAGTCCATCTCAGGCGAGACATACATAATGCAGAGTAAACATCTGTTGGGATGGGTTTTACCACGGTCCGTGAAATACTTAACGTCAAAGCAAAAAATGCACTATATTTTTGGTTGTATTATACCACTAACATCGGAAAACCGTTAATGTGCATAATAACTAAGTATTTTAGTAATTATTATCATTATTTTCATGAATTTAATTGAGGATTTCTTTTTGCGCTTTCAATACGGACCACCCTGCATAAGTAATAGAAATTTGGTAATTTAAGGAGGCCAGCGGCGCACATTTAACTTTTTTCCTTATTGAGGAACCTTCAGCGATGAAACTCGAGCATTCTCTCTGAAGTTCGTAGAAATTCCGTCTAAGCTAAATCCTAACCAGTTTTAACAGGTTTTAACAAGTGTTTCTTGTTTCAGACTGGCTGCTAAATATACCAAATAATGTCCGCCGCCGCCGATATCGAGATCAGAGAGAATGGCGGCAAAACAGAAGTCGTCGACTTGGAATCGCCGATGGACTTCTCGTTGAAGCATCCGCTGGAACACCGTTGGACCCTTTGGTACTTCGAGAGCGACAAAAACCTGTCGTGGGAGGAGAGCCAAAAGAAAATCACGTCCTTCGACACGGTGGAGGATTTCTGGAGCTTGTACAATCACATCAAGCCGGCTAGCGAATTGAAAACGGGTATGCAGATAAATTCTATGCTATTAGCGTTGAGCAAGCAAAAATTAATCAAAATAAATAAGAACTAAAAGTTCAGATTTTCACGAAATTATATATTTTCACTTGACAATTGTTCCGACAACACCGTGCCTTTATCAAATATAATATTTACAAACTACCTGCTACTACATATACCGAAAAATGGCAGTAAAACCTTAATTAGTGTTGTGAGAATTTAAGTCCTTTTCCGTCTCCTTTCTTCATGCGCTGTGATTTTTCAGTTTTGAGTCCAAATTCGGTTTCTTTCTCAATTTATTGTTTTGTTAAACTGTGGTTTTTAATTTTAGGAGTAACATTTGGTAGAGGGAGTATTATTCTTGGGGAAACACCGGAAGATGTGGACGGCTAATTTAAGATAATTTCATTGACATTCGAACCAGTTTTGCGAACTCGTTCGGCTTCAAAACCTCCTTTTATCTTTATTCTCTGTTATGATGGACTCTTCATTCTGTGTTCCTTTTAAATCTTCATTCTGCATTTCTTTTGACTCTTCATTCTGTGTTCCTGTTAACTCCTCATTCCCTGTTCCTTCCCTCAATAGTTACTGCGTGTCAGTGTGTCAACTGTTGATATCACTGGAGGATTTTAGCCTTTTTAAAAATTGAAAAAATTTTTTTTGAATGGAGTAATCTTCATTAAACGAACAGTGCGGGTTTCGTGTTTGTTATTTCATTCCTTCAGTTTGTTGTAAAAATTATTGAAAAAAGAGAAAACCCTAATTACGCCTTACAATCAAAGTGTTAACCTTAACCGTACCTAACCTCACGAATTAAAATTAATCTACTCTATCAAAATATTTCGAGCTAATCTATCCTCGTTTAGCCAATGGCAAGGCGAATGGTATAATACGACCAAAAATATAGTGCATTTATTGCTTTGACGTTTTAAGTATTTTACAGTACCTTAACCGCAGACCTTCGCAGGACCGTGGTAAAGTAGTGGTAAGTAAGATGGGCCGTAACGGATATTTGTAGAAACTTGAAATTTTTATTTGAAAGTAAATGGATTAAGTAGATTTGATTAAGTATTGATGCTGCGGTGTATTTTGGAATAAATTTATTTTAACGTCTGGTAATATGTATTGTACGATACTCTTCTTCTGGTATTTTTGTATCTGCTAGATAGGTCTTCGATTTGTAAACAGCAACAGTCTTTTTTAAGACAATAGATTATATATTATATTCGCGGTAGATAAAGGTACGTTATAATAATACATACATGCTTTTTAACATTTTAAAATGTGGAGACCATGGAATGAAGCAGATGTTCCCCTGTTAGAAAAAGACATGGAAAACAATGCAAATTTGAAGACGAAGAGGAGATGGTAGTCGAACCTAATGACAATTTAGAAGACGAACTACCCCAGCAAATAAAAAAAAACGGATCCATTTGTCTTCGGATGCTAAACAAATTGTTTTAAATGTTTACAATTTTATAACAAAATTCAGAAGGGAACAGGAGCAGCAATAAAAAGAAGTGACATGACCAAAGTTCCGAAGTCGACTGTAAGAAAAGTTGTTGCAAATGGGATAATCGAGTGAGAGTGTGGATTAAAATGAAGACATGACTGCGAAAATATGTAAGGGCTGGTTTGAAAGTAAACTATCGCCAAATATTATTATTGTGACTGATAATGCCTCGTATCATTCAGCCCAAATTAGAAAAATTCCAAATACTTCTTCAAATAAAGAAGAAATTGAAGAATTTCTGTACGAAAATGATTTATATTTTGAAGAGAGCTACACGAAATAACAATTTCTGGAATTGTTAAAATTAAAACATTTTTTTAATAAAGACTATAAAGTCGATTCGATAGCACTACAAAACGGAGACGAAATCTTGAGATTACCCCCGTATCATTGTAATATTTAACCCGATTGAGTTGATTTGGTCTGAGTTTAAAGCGCATATAAGAAGAAATAACACTGCACCAAAATTTAGTGATAGTACCATAAACGTAATTCGGCAAGAATTAGCTGAAATATCAATACAAAGGTGGTTTAACTGTGAAAAACGAGTAATAAAAGAAGAAAATATTAGCGGATAGTAGCGATAGTGACGATTTTTTAAGTGTCTTATACTTTATTATTATTATGTTTAATATTTTGTATATTAATAATGATACTAGTAGAAATGTAATGGTGTAATGTAATGTAACGGTTTGGGAGTAATAAACAGTATATTTCTGGTGTAAGTATACCAACGCCGAGAAATTAACCAGTCAGAGACCTTAATTTACAATCTGTTGTTAATAAGTTATAGATGATGCTTATATGCGTCCCGTCACTTGCAGGCGCCGACTATTCGCTATTCAAAGAGGGAATCAGGCCGATGTGGGAAGACCCGGCGAACAAACACGGCGGCCGTTGGCTCATCACCTTCGACAAAAAGCAAAGGAACACCAATCTGGTCGATAGATGTTGGTTGGCCGTGTTACTGTGCATGATAGGCGAGACGTTCGACAATACTGACGAGATATGCGGCGCGGTCGTCAACGCGCGATACCGCGCAGACAAGGTCGGCGTATGGACCGCCCACCGGACCAACACGGACGTCGTCCTCGACATCGGACGAAAATTGAAAGAAAAATTACCGATATCGGATCACGCCGTGTTGAATTACGAGAGTCACGAAGATATCAGCATGCGCAACTGCAAAGTGCTCTACTCCATCTAAAACCGAATTTGTAAATACGTTCCTTTCGTTCAGTCATATGAAAATTAAATCGTTTTTCTTTTCCTTGGAATTTTTATGTCGTCCCATTAAAAAAAATCAACAGAATAGCCTCTCTTACCTTCTAAAATACAATAAGCTGGACTGAAGAATTTATTTCGTAAAGTTAAAGTATTAATTTAATTCGTGCCTTTGTGTGGTTCTGTCATATTTCCAATATGACCGAAGGATTTATACAAGCACGAAATAATAATGTACCTTTATTGATTCGCCAAGATCGAATTATTTAAGTCTATTTATTTTCATTCTGTAAAACTTTCAATTAAGTATCGCTTGAATTGCTAGTCTCGGGAGCTATACTTAGTTTAAAGTCCGATACAGATGATTCCTATGAACTTTAAACCAATATTTTTACACTTGGTAGCTCAATTGGAGATCAAGCAATATTCTTAGTCGCAGATTTAATAGGAGAGGAACCTGGACACTTATTCCGCAGGTTGATTTGTACTCCTACATAACATTGGCTGTCCACATTTTTTTAACATGTAATATTTGTTATATTCATAGATGCATAGAGTTAGAAATACTACCTGTGCTTAAAATATCTTAGATGTCTGCCAAAATCATCGGTTATCAATTCTCTTGTTTACAGAGCTGTAAACTATTTCGACCCATGACACTGGACCCAGAATTAAAACATCTACTTTTCTCCCTAAGACAATTTTGTCCTTCATTACATTCAAAACTATAAACTATATAAAAATATAATGTTAAAACCAGATTTACCACTTGTCAAATATTCTCTTCGATCCGTCAAAGACAAAATTCCGTTTGAGGTACCAGGACTTTACAGCATTCCATTGGAGAGGCAACACGAAAAATATTAAGTCTCAGAAGCTAACATGATAATTGACGAAACATCAGCAAGTTTCATTTATCAACAACCGACACAAGAAGAGCCCAGAAGATTTGTAACTAGTATTACATTTTATTATCTTGGACATTAAGAAACAAACTATAACTGTTCAAAGAAACTTCCACAGGCTGCTGAAATACTATTTACAAAACTTCTGGATTCCTCCTGCATCGAAAGCTCAAAAATCCTATACAGGATTAGACAGACGCATAGGTTTGAAGGATTGAAATGACTTTCTATGGTTTTATAAGATAATTAAACCACAATATTCACCCCATCTTCATGAAAAATTAACGTATTTTACAAATGTTCCTAACGTAAGTATTAATATACCACATTGGTTAACTGTACCTAAGCACAAAAACAGTATTTGTAAAAATGTGTTTCCCATCAGATGACTTTAACAATTAATATTCATTAGTTCTTTTCTCTCTATTTCTGATTCCTGTGTCCTGTCTATTATGTAGAGTCAAGGTTTTATATTATCTGCAACCAAAGCCGACTGGGGCGCCATCTTAGACCGAGAACTTGAACTACTTCGGACAAAAATTTTGACACACGTCATCGACTTATCTATTTCTCTTTAGCCTTCCGTAATATATATAGAGGTCTAAGATTTTAAAATAGTTGAAGAAAAACAAACAAGCTATATTTGTTTGCGTCAAATAAGTGGTGATGTTTATGGGGATGGACTAATCTCAACACACGGTCCAGTCAATTGGCCCCCAAACTCACCGGATTTGACAACGTTAGATTTTTTTTGTTTGGGGGTACGTGAAAGACCGTGTATATGTAACTCCGGTGTTCGACCTGCAAGAATTACAGCGGAGAATATTTATTTTTGTTATTTCTAGAGCCAGGGAGTGTCATATACAAGAAGGAGGACATTTTGAAAACATATACCCTACGTAGAATGACCTCTTGAATCCAAAAATGCAAAAAAAATATAGGCTGTCCAATTTTCCCAATTTCTTTTGTCACTCGGTATATCGGAACGTAATATTAGGCATCACTCTTTATACCTCAAAATCCGAATCGTTAAAACTGTAGACGACGTTCCACCCGAGCTGTTGAAATTTTTTCCGCTCAAGCAGAATCGAATGGAAAAAGCAGAGAGCAAACAGGAGCTTCTTGTATTTTTCCGGGTACCGGCAAGCCGTGAACCTTTCCTGCGTCACCAGCTGGTACATCCGCTTCAAGTTCGCCTTCAAACCCTAAATGAAGACGGTGGATTTTAGCGCTCAGTAGTTAGCACGACTTTAACGCAGTCATGCTGCGATGTCCACGAGATTTTTGAATTTTTGGTATTACATTTCATCTTCTTTTCTCAGTTTCAATACATTTTCCCAAAACTCGTATCGTCCGACAGTTCAGATGGAATTTTTTTCTATCCTATGGGTCATATCAGCGGATTTGTCCAATTCTTCTTTCTTTATACATTATAAACAGGCACAAAACCTCCAAAATTGTAGGACTGCTTATTTTATTTATTTATTTTTTTTTGAAAAACCTCGGGGACATTGCAGGGCGCAAAGATATAGTGCTTTTTTTACTTTGGGTGGTTCGGTCGTCATTTTAATGCCAGCCTGTAGAATCGAAATGGGAAAGTCCGGATGCGGACTGGAACTAAGCCACAGTCTAAATTGTGGGTGCACCTTGCCGGTTTGCAGGATTTCCACGATCTTGTCAAGCTTCGGCATCCAGCTCAGCGACAAATGACAATTGGCCAGAAATACCCACATGCCTTCCCTGGCGCCAGTCTGTAAAAGTCTGAACATCCCTTTTACTTACTTTACATTCACATTACTACTGTTCAAACCAGTCAAGATGGGTAACTTATTACTTACTTCTACGTTTTCGATTACTTGACCCATAAGTGAATTATTTTGATGATAAAAAAAACAATGATATAAATAAATAATAAAAAAATATAGTCACGCTCTAAATTATACAGATAAATTCATGAATGACCTGCAAAAGAAAGTTTATTGCTTTAAAGTAAAATATTGAAACTTATTGCATGTTGCATGACCTGATATTTATAATTTAAATATTACATAAATAGAAATGGTATATAAAGCATTTATATATATATATATATATATATATATATATATATATATATATATATATATATATATATATATATATATATATATATATATATATATATATATATATATATATAAACAAGCAAAAGACAGACAGCAACCCCCATTACTGGCTGTCCATTTCTATGTCAAAATTTCCTTCACTGTTCTTTCATTTCTCAGTGCTTTTAAAAAATGATATGGCAATAATTAATATTATAAAAATGTTTCTATGTACCGCAAAAGTCTCGTTTTTGTGACACATAGCGTTAATTTAACAAAAGAAAATTTCGAGAGGCAAATCGCCATGCAGAAACTGGTACACCAGATTTCACACAACCATAAGACTTCATATATTTCACGCAAGTTTTCGCAAAGATTGAATGGATTGCAGATATCAAGGATTTCAAATAACTTTTATAAAAATAAGCTAATAAGCTATTTAAAAACCCTGTTTTTAAAAAATGCCATTTATGTTGTGGCCAGTATTAAAATAAATAATAGATAAATAACGTAAAAAATACATAACAAAATACATAAATGCATACAAAATCTGTCTCTTAATTTTTTTCCTTTCTCTTCTCGCATCACATATACAGGGTGTCTCATCGAGAACGTCGAACAGATATAGCAACTGCAACACATAAATTTGAGGTTATACTGCGGTGGATCCAACAGCGTGTTATTTTAAAATTTTTGGTTAATTTTTGAGGTGGGCCTCCTCGCCCCAGGGGTCTCCTGGCCACACCCTGCCCTGCGTTGTCGAAATAAGTTAATGCAAGCGATTGCGGCATAGATAAATAAATAAATACGAACTTGGTGGCGATTGGAGCTTGACCTTGGCCCAAACTGAGGGTCTGAAACTTGGCGCTCATCTTTGACGTTTCGGCCAAGTGGAGCAGGCTAGAAGTGGGATCGACGCCGGGAGACAAGACGAAAATGAGCGGCGTTTGCGCCACAGACTCCTCCAACACCGCCTTAACGTCCAACACCGGCGGTTCGATAAATTGCGGACCCAACTGGTTCACGATGAAATTCGACAGACAAAACGACATTCGGTCTTGCCGCAGGCATCGCACGAACAACATTTTCTGGAATTCGTTGCAGATCCCGTCCCATTCGCCGATCAACGGCAACGTTTCCGGTTCGGTGTGCGTGTACCAATTGTACCAATCGCGAGGGTACTGTTCGAAACTGTCGATGACCCCGTGGAAACCCTGGAGCTTGTCCAGCTCGGTGACGTTATCCCAGGCAAGTTCGTTCAACCACGTCGAACACGGATTTTCCATTTGGTTCTCCCTGTCGAGTACCACGCCGCCTTGCAGCAGGAAATTGTACTCGGCCGGCACGATTTTGCCCTTCGCCCTCAGAATTTTCACGCACATATGGAACGAAAACAAGAGCTTGTGGCGTTCGAACAAGGCGCGGCAAGTGTTCCTTAAAAAAATGGGGACGTTTTTATTTTCAAAGGCGAATTTTGAAAAAAATATCCAATATCCAAGTGGTCTGTGATTAATTGCCATCAAGATCCGTAAACACAATAGGTTGCCTTACCCTTCTCCTTGCCTATAAGATGACATTACACTGCCACCGTTGCCAAAGCGTATATCAAGCCGTTGTACGCATGTAACTTGTGTATAATATCACTACGTCTTACGCCGCATCTGGTCTGTGGTGCAATAGCCGCAACCACCGTTTCGAAACTAGGTTAAGAGACAAATAGAATTGCCGACATCCATGTTTGTTTTTTGTCAAAAGATCCGTAATTTGCATTGTTCCTAAAATCCAGTGTAATCCCTTGATATTCAACAAATAAACCCCCAAAAGAGAACCTACATGTTTTAGTGACCACCAAAGACAACATAACTGTTTTTTTATTATTCACGTAGAAGTAAGTTTAATAGATTTTTTAATTAAATGGATGGGCTGTTGTTATAATATCCACACAGAAAGTAGCACTAGTCGTTATCAAGTGAAAACTTGATAACGAATCATCGAAGCTACGGCGTCAGGCATCGAGGCAGCCACGTCGACCGGACGGAGACCCTTGACAAGTGGGACAGGTCAAGGTTCCTGATGCGTGACAGTACCAGTAGGTTTCCCTTTGTCGAATTCTGTAGTCTGTCCATTGGATTGGATGATGTTCTGTCCAAGTGTTCTCTGCGAGACCAGATCTATTTGTTTCTCCACGTTATCTTTCATGGTTTCTGCTATTCTTCCATCCAATGGTCGCTTCGTTTCGCTTACGTTAAGATTTTTCGACCATCACAGGGCACTTCATAGATACAGTTTTCGTTATCTGTGCTGTTCTCCTTTAACATATGGTCATTAGGTGGTTTGGCTGGAATTTGATGTATGGGCTGCTTAGTACTGAGATTTAGTAATGACATCTTTAATCAGTCTTTCTAGATCTTCTTTAATTCGTTCAACTTTGTCGTCAAGTAGAGCTTGGTTGCTGCAGATTAGTTGTTGTTGCTGAGTGGTTGGATGATGCGTTTAGATATTGACTTGTATGTGTGGGTTTTCTGTACACGGAGGTATTCGTTTGAGCGGAATCTGATCTCGTGCTCCCCTTTTCTCTTTCTCCATTGTGAATTTTGGTTGTGTTTTTTTTAAATGGGACACCCTGTATAATTTTACGTCATTGTATTGCAGCTGCCAAAGGCTTTCCGAATATATATAAAGTTTTACCATTTGTTTTTAATTTTGGTCTGTATTCAATAATATTATATTTTAATATGACTAAAAAAAAGAATGACTGAAAGAAAGTGCTCAGTATGGCATAATTTTCTTGTTCTGCATAACTGCTTGCACATTTCTTAATTTTCTTTCAGTGGAATTTCGAAGATCTTCCCTTATGTGATGCTGATTTTTGTAAATTCAATTTGAATGTAGCCCCATAGGAAGTTATCAAGTACTGATAAGTTGGGAGCTCTGGGTGGCCGCTATGCCAGCTCAATGATTGAGATGATTTGAGAATTATGAGAAGTATGCGCAAGAGCTACGTCCTTTTGAAAAATATACTTTTTAGCTGAGCTAACGGGACTGTTGTGTTGTGAGGCTACCTTTGCATAAAAATTTATAAGGTTTAAACTTGTGCTTTTTTAAAAATTTCTTGCACCGTTTATTTTGGAACGCCAAAACTATCATCAATATTTCTACAAGAATTTGTTGGAGTTGTTCAAACTGTCGCCAAATTTCACAATAAATAAAATTAAAACATACTTTTTTATCCATTATACCTGTGCAAATAGATATCCCGCAATGGCAACGAATTTCGGACACACTGTACATGGCATACCTGTATAATTTTACGTCATTGTATTGCACCTGCCAAAGGCTTTCGGAATATATATAAAGTTTTATCATTACCAAAGTTAAAATCATCTATACATACTGTTTCCGCTATTGCACTAAGAATTATTACTTGACAAATAAATTTTCGCACTAAAACGGTAACACATAATATTACCCTTCACAAGTTACTCAATAGGGTGTGTAACCAATTTTGTTTACGAATCTTGAATACCAACACCATGGAAAACAAATAGTTAATACAGGGGCCCGTATTGTGGGCAAAGTGGCAATTCGACTCGCCGGCTTGGCGAAGGTAATTAATTGTTCCCGTTCGTAAAAAACCGATGTCAAATTGACGACTAATAATTTCATGGACAATATACTCACTTGTAGACGGCGTACGTGTGGTATTCGTTTAGAGTTGCGATCCTTTCGTGCAAAATGGGCGATTTGGTGCTTTTCGTGATCGACTTTACGAATAAGAATATGTAGGCGTCCAATGCGAACTGATACATCGGATCAATATTGCCCATGTCATTTAAAACGAAAAACAAAATTGACGCCCTTTTCGCACACGCCCTGTATCCCTATAATTTTGTTTCCCTATTACTTCTACGAAAGCTCAGCAACGTGTCATAGGCTACTTCTCTGGCGGTATCTATTTGAACTTCCGTCTTCTCGGACACCTCCAAACTTTTCTGCACCGACAACGAGGTCGCTTTCGAGTTTTGTAGGGTGTTGAACAGTTCAGCGTCTTCTAGCAGCGACCCCCTGGTTTCGTACAGTAATCGTAGCAGTTCGTTTTCCAAATCGATCAAGGTTCGTTTGCCTTAAAAATACAAAGAGTATTTATATACGTTCCAGAGATGGCGCTTGAAGCGCAACCGTGAGAGAAGTCTGTGTTCCGTGCTTGTGGCAAAGACTAGATGTTCAACCAATAGAATGATTCCCTCAACAGTCTAGATTTTTTTAACGTTTGAACTTTATATAAGTGTTTCGCAATGGCCGCAAGAGCGTTGTCGGTGAAAATTTTCGCCCAAAATAAACAATATCGCGTTGTAACCAAGAAAGAACTACATTCGTTTGTGGTTTTCGTATATTTCGTCTTGAAGATAAATGGATATTAGTGGCCCGTTAGTGCCGTATATGGGTCTAAGTGCAGTGCGCGTAAGGTTTGGCATGACAACGACGTTAAATTGGTAAGTAATAGATTATAGAGTGATGAATATTTTTGATGCAATTCGTTAATTTGTTTGCAAAACCAATTGGTTACCACCTTTATGGTCTTTACCTAACTAGCGATATTATTTTACAAAACTAGTGATTAATGTTTTTTTTACTGGTAGAATATTACGAAGTCTATTTCACCTTAGAAAAAATACCATTCATAAGTCTCGTCTGCTGCGTCACACAAATTCGACATTATACCTGTAGCAATGGCCAAGACTAAACTATCCTTCTGCTCCTCGAGGTGGGGCTTCTCTTTCCTGACCACGATGCCCAAGAGTTGAGCCTCGAGGCCTTCCTCTTTGACCGCGAAATTAACAATGGTGGTTCTGGTTGACACTTCGGGGGCGTAATGCGGGTTGGTCAGTTTGGTGGTGATGAAAAAACGGAACTCTTCGTGGTACGAAACAAACTTATCGTCGAGCTGACAAAGACGAGAGCGTGGGGTTGGGTGGAGGGGTGTATAGTTGTTCGTGGAGTCTTACTTTTATCATCGTTTCGCCGCCATGTTTCACCACGGCTTTGGCCAGTATCGGGTTCACCGCCGGATCTATGACCTCGAGAATATTCTGGAGCAGCACCGGCTGTCCATACTGAATCGCTCTCTCGATTATGCCCATGAAGCCCGGGACACCAAAATCTACCACCTTGGATTCAATTTACGCAAAACACATATTTCCACAATTTGGTGTATTTTTGGTTACATTTCCTATCAGCCACGCAAAGCTGGGTGGCTCCATATCAGGTGTGGTAAAAGTTAAATAATGTATCTACTGGACTGTGAGTGAACTTTTGTGGCATTTCTGCCTAAATATGCGCCTGGAGATTGGTAAATAAAATGCTACAAATGAAACCTCACAGTTATAGGATGTGCTATCTTTGATTTTTATTTAAAAAAAATCGAAAATCGTAATCGTAAATAGAAATAGTTTCTGAAAAAGAAAAAAATTGACAAACAAATAGCAAAGGCTGCTACTAATTCGAGATTCCGATTCATTGAAAACTCTGATTATTCGCTGCCATCAAGAAAAACGTTACCAACAAGCCTTTTAGATGAACCTATGAGGAGGAAAAGGCAAAATGATTTTCTTCTCTGTCAGGACAACGTGTGAATATGTCCATTGACGTCAAACGTCCACAATGAAACAGTTATGTGTGCAACAATAACAAATGAAGACGGACGAGCGCTTCTTTACAAGACTATTGATACTTCGGCAAAACCTCATGCTTCACAATATTTGACTGAAGGAGCTTGTGATCTAATTTCTTCATGCAACTCACGATATGACTGCGAAGTGACAGATAACGTAGCAAATTTGACCCCCGTGAGGAAAACTTTGGAGGAAAAGACGGACTCAAAAGTTATAAGTTATCGCTGTCTTGAACACATTTTGAATCTACCGTACAAAGACTTACGTCAAAGGACATATAGTCCAAAATTGTTGAGTATTTTTGCGATAACCATCTACCTAGAGGCGACGCTTGAGTCCTTGAAAATGATGTGCGATGAAATAGCGTTGCTGATTGTTTACAGATGCACGTCACTCAGATTCAACATGCAGAACAAGAATATTTAAGTATTACTACTACTATCTCAGATGCTGTAGAGCACCTTAATGCATGGTCATATCACCATCCAGCCCAAAAATGATCGGTTATCAAGCCTCTTATTTACAGAGTCGTAAAACTATCTCAGGCGGAGTCATTGAACCCAGAATTAAAACACCTTACCTTAAAGACACTTCACCACAACCTTCCAATAGCATCGAGGCCAAAAGCAATCCTACACTCGCCACTGCGGTCCTTCCTTACTTTTAAAACATCACTGACCACATGTCAAAAATTCTAAAGAAGTATAACGTCAAAACCAGATTTACCACTTGTTCAAAGACAAGTTCCATTTGAGATGCCAGGAGTTTACAGCATTCCATGCATATGCGGCAAAAAATACATTGGAGAGACCGGAAGAAACATATCAACTAGTCTCAAAGAACCATGACGGAGCCTTAAGACTAAGACAAATAAACTCATCAACAGTTGCCGAACACAATCACGAAATCGGCCATAAAATTTTATTAGATAAAACTAAAATTCTTGCATGTAATCAATTCTCCTACCAACGAAAACTCCGAGGGTCTATAGAAATTTATAAGCAACCTAACAATCTTAACTGCGACTCAAGTCTATCTGTCACCCATCAGGGAATCAGTCATTTGTCTTATTTTCTGAAATAGTTGTGTTTTACTTTTCATTCGTGATAATATTTTTACGTTGTGCTTTTTACGTTGGTCTCAATAAAAAAAGATTAACATTTAAATCAAGATTTTAATCGTGATTTAAATCACTTGATTAAAATCAACCCAACGCTGGTTATCTGTCGCTTTCCGCGTTTTGTGTCACATCGAAATTGTACCTGCAGATTGTTGTTCTTTTCCATGGCCTTGATCCATTTTTGGGCCTGACCCTGGGGATCGATGATTAAGGGCCAGCGCGAACCCCGCGTGACTATTATACCGTTTTCGGTGCTGAAGTTGTCGGCCGGTAAACCCTGGATGTTCCACTCCCTGATCGTCGTAGGGTCGCTCAAGAAACTGGTAACGTTAAAGTCCCGACTGGCGGGTATTTCCAATTCGGTAACCTATGGAGAGTCAATACTCAATTCGATTTTTAAGCCAATTCAGTGCCATCTTTGGTTTCACAAAAAGTTACGAAACCGTATTTTTGAAGTCAACGAGGTATGCATTGGTCATTATTCAGTGGACCGGAAAAGCCATAATGTTTATGAAGCCAATGCAAAATCACCTTTCTTAATACTCATGAATCGGACATTTTTCTAATTCTATTTAATTCGTGAACCACCGGAACCACTATTATACTTATATACGCTGGCTACCAGTTCTTCTTTCAATATACCTGTAATCTATACAGGGCTGGTCAAAATCGACTGGAGAATATGAATTTGACGAAATTTAAATGATTTGTTAAAAAATAACTGACGGAAAATATATTTTATTCAGGAGTTCATAAATGTTGCTCAACCAGAACTTCCTATTTATGTATCTGATATTTATGAGTAATTTTTGCCAATATATAAGTAGTCCAATCAAAACTTATCTATAGCTTATATTCATTAAATATATATATATATATATATATATATATATATATATATATATATATATATATATATATATATATATATATATATATATATATATATATATTCTCACGTATTGATTCACGGATGAAAAAATGTGATGACACTATACTCCGGGATATCATCCGTTCGCTCGTTGAACTCCGACTGGAATCCTGCAAATCCTGCATCCGACTGGAATCCTGCAGACGTTTCGCCAAAATCTCACTTGGCATCTTCAATGCTCGCGCTCCGAAAACACTTCGTTCCGAACACAGTGTTCGAAGTGTTTTCGGAGCGCGAGCATTGAAGATGCCAAGTGAGATTTTGGCGAAACGTCTGCAGGATTTGCAGGATTCCAGTCGGATGCAGGATTCCAGTCGGAGTTCAACGAGCGAACGGATGATATCCCAGACTATAGTGTCATCATATATATATATATATATATATATATATATATATATATATATATATATATATATATATATATATATATATATATATATATATATATATATATATATATATATATATATATATATATATATGATGACACTATATTCCGGGATATCATCCGTTCGCTCGTTGAACTCCGACTGGAATCCTGCATCCGACTGGAATCCTGCAAATCTTGCATCCGACTGGAATCCTGCAGACGTTTCGCCAAAATCTCACTTGGCATCTTCAATGCTCGCGCTCCGAAAACACTTCGTTTTCGGAGCGCGAGCATTGAAGATGCCAAGTGAGATTTTGGCGAAACGTCTGCAGGATTCCAGTCGGATGCAAGATTTGCAGGATTCCAGTCGGATGCAGGATTCCAGTCGGAGTTCAACGAGCGAACGGATGATATCCCGGAATATAGTGTCATCACATTTTTCCATCCGTGAATCAATACGTGAGAATATATATATATATATATATATATATATATATATATATATATATATATATATATATATATATATATATATATATATACGAGCGAACGGATGATATCCCAGACTATAGTGTCATCATATATATATATATATATATATATATATATATATATATATATATATATATATATATATATATTTTCAATGTTTTTTATTATGTATTTATTTTATTTCTGAAATTTGGATAGCGTTTCTTATTTTAAATATAGTAGCTGTTCTTATTTCATTTTTGGGTTTCCCAAGTATTTTTTATGTAACACAGTCTATACTCAAATTCAATCGTTTTTTCAGGAATGACAAAAAATAAAAATAATGATTTAGTAGATTAGGCGAATTTTTGTTTAAATGGTTTTGTTAATCCACACAATTGCCGATATTCGTCCATCGAAAGTCTCCATTGGATGATGGAACATCGTACCCAATATTTTCCAAAGCTAAATGTATGGGTTGGAATAATGGGTGAAAATATAATATTATTATTACCAGTGAAAATGTACCCTTTCAAGACGCAATTAGCGTTGCCATATCCGCATATGGTTTCAACAAGATTATACACAAAATCGCTGAATTGGAGGATGAGTGGCCGCCTTGTTGAACAGATTTAAATCCCCTAGATTTTTTTTCGGGGCCACCTCAAAATTAGTGTACGAAACAAAACCCAACACCTTGGCTGACTTAGAAGAGCCGAAATTTGAGCTATAACACCGAAGGTTCTCCAAAATATCATATATTGCGAAGAAGCAGTTTTAGCAATAAATACTATTTCGTTTTGAAATAGTATTTATTGTTATTCAAGTTTACCAATTGGTCAAAAATATTAATTATGTCGTTCATTACATTAAATAAATTAAATCATTAAGTATTTTTGTTCTTTCTCATTCTTGCAAAAACGGTTTCATTTGGATATTGGGTATGTTGCATAAAAAATAATAAGAATTTTAAGAGCAATCCAAAAAGGAATAAAAACGTGCCCTTTCTATGTAAAATAGTTTGGTAGGTTAGGAAAAAAACATAAATGTGGCAACATCGCCTATTTCGTCAAGTTGTAATTTCTGATTTCTGATTGTGTTCCCTTTGATTGCCTTAGAACGTATATAGCAATATTTTATGAACGACTTGTATGGTTTACATCGTAGACAACGTCAACACTCTTTCGCGGTACCTCTTGTTGCCACATTTCGACCATACGCGCCCTATAACCGCTGACGAAGGGTCCCAGGTACGACACGAAACCGGTGGCGAGCATACAGTCACCCGGCAAGAAATAAAATCGCGCATCCAGCTCGACCACACTTTCCTCCCACCGCTGCCTCTCGTCTGATAAACATTCCACCAAGAGGGCGGCCCTTTCCAACTTGATTTTGAGCAGTTCCGCCTGAAATGAAGCTCACGGCGGTCACCTATTGAATCGGCCAACCCGTCCGCTACCAGACCTTTCTGTTCAGTTCCTCCTTTTGCTCGAGTTTCTCTTGGTACTCCTTCTGCAGCCGTTGGATGTACGCGTTGAGCTCGGCCAATTTCGCTTGGGCCTCCGCCAACAGCATTTGCTTCTCCTTCAACGATTTAACGGCCTCTTCCAGTTTCGCTTTTTTCGGTGCCACTACTCTGCACGAAAAAGTTTACGTCGAATACTACTTTGATTTATTAAGAGCTTACAGTTGTAAAAAGGATTTACCGTCTTTTATTAAAAAATTTCCATGTTTTATTAACGATTTATTGTGTTTCATAAATGATTTACGGTTTTTAATTAAGGATTTTTCATATTTTATTGAGCAGAATAAATAAGAACTAAGAGTTCAGATTTTTACGAAATTATATATTCGTAACCGTACTACAATCTGTCAATTATAGATAAAATTATAAATAAAAAACAAATCCGGACAACAGTAAACTCTATCCGAAACCTAATACAGAACACGAACAATTTAAAACAATTACATACCACCCAGTGAAAAAGTTTCAAAACATTTGTCAAAATCTCCTTTAAAAACAGCTTTCAGAACTGACAACACAATAGAAAAATTTTTAAAAAACAATAAAACGAAATGTCCAAAATATAAAAAATCAATTGTCTACAGGTTGAAATGCGGATCTTTTCCTAAAATTTATATTGGACAAACAGGTAGATCCTTCAAGGAACGCATTAGCGAACATAAAAGAGCGTTTAAAAACAATAGTCTAGATTCTAATTATGCTACACACTTAAACATAGAAAAACACATTTTTGACGACAATTTTGATATTTTACATACAGCCACAAAACGTAGAAAATTAAATTTATTGGAAGCGAGATTAACAAAATGAGACATTCAAATCTATTGCTTAACGTTCAATTATATTTAAATACCTCTTCTTTATTGAACTTAAATTCTCACAACAACATTAAGGTTTTATTGTCATTTTTTGGTAAATATAGTAGCAGGTAGTTTGTAAATATTGCATTTGATAAAGACACGGTGTTGTCGAAACAATTGTCTTGTAAAAATATATAATTTCGTGAAAATCTGAAATTTTAGTTCTTATTTATTTTGATAAATGGATTTTCATCAAGTAAAAGCCACCTCAGTTCAATTTTATTTAGGCTTTTACTAAGAATTTCCAATTCTGCTGTGATTTATTAAAAAGGATTTACCGGCTTTTATTAAAAAATGCCATATTTTATTCGCGATTTACTCTGTTTTATAAAAGATTCTCGGCGTTTTATTAAGGATTTATCATATTTTATTGGGGATTTTACTAAGAAATTTCAATTCGACTGTATTTTTATTAGGAACTTAACATTTTAAAAAGGATTTACCGACTTTTATAAAAAAAATGCCATATTTGTAAGAGATTTACTGTGTTTTATTAAGGATTTATCATATTTTATTGAGGATATTATTAAGAAAGATTTGAAAATAATCTAAATTGGAAATCACTATGTAGAAAATTTGTGTTTTATCAAGGATTTCAAAACCTTAAAATTGAAATAGCTGTGAACGAAAATGTAAGTTTAAGGTGAGAATTTCGACTATTTACGGTGTTGAATTGAGGATTTATGATTTACGATCGATGTATATATGATTTGCGCTTGCGCGTGGAAGCACCGAGATGGTAACAAGTTTGTTTATGTTTTAATCAAGTTTTTATAAGTCTCCACAGGACATAAGGCCACCGTGGCTACCGTGCACTTACTTCCAAACTCTCGCGTATTTCTCGATCGCGATAACCCAAAGGCACAGCGATTTTGCCGCGAACGAAACCACGCCCACTTTCTCGGGTACGAATTCCTCGTTCAGCGTGTACGCTGTGATCTTCCTCAGCGTTTTGTCGCTTATGTGGTCCCTGTCGAACTCCTTCAAGTCTCTCAAAAAGTTTATCTCGCCCAGCAGTCGCTTGGCCTCCGTCCAAGTGGGTTCCACCTTCAAACAATCGGAGTGTTTTCGTTCCCGTACAAAGAGCATTCACTTACTCCTTTAAGTATGTTGACCGCTTCCATCACCAGTTTGACCCTTTGCGGGGGAGTGGTGTACGATTTCAGCTCGCTGATGTCCTTCTTGCTGAGCGCGTCGAGTGCTTTGATGGCCTCCTCTAGCGCCGGCATCGCTTCGTCCAAATCGGCTTGGGCAACGTCCGCCATCTTCTTGCACTGAATCTCTTCTTCGCCGATTTTCAAGCTCTTTTTAGCCACTTCTTTCTGCGAAACGGTTAACGCAGGTATAGTTTAAAACGGAGAAAGATTTAGGGCTATACTTGGTGTTCGTCAGCTTCTTTCCTCTGCGCCACTATAATAATCAAATACTCGTCGCATTGTTGTTGGAATTCGGCCACCTTCTTCTGCGCCTCGGCCAACTCCACCGACATCGTCGTCACCTTCTCCTTGGTATCGTCTATCTTCCACAGGCCGTTGCGCAGCTTGTTTGCCTGCGACGACACCTCCTCCCTCTTGGACGCCAACATTCTTCATAAAAACAAGTCTCGTAGATACGTAAGGTTACATCTTGTGCGCGGTATGGTCTGTTCATAGATATAAGAAAGTGACCAATTGCTTTTGAATGGGATTATCCAAGGGTGGTCATTAACATACAATGCAACAAGATTATTACCTAAAGTTTCTGAATTTAAATTCAGGTAAAATTGTGGTCCGTAATAGAAATTAATTTTATACCTACCTGTGTTTAATATTCTTGGGTTTGGTATACTACTTAGTTTAAGTTTATTAGTAATCATTCTTATTTGGTGTCTAATACAGCGTGTGTTAAATTGTGTGCGAATTATGCTAAATATGTGCGAGTCTAGTGTATCCCAGGAGATGCTCCCGTCCAAATGTAGAAAACACTATTCTATACTATAGACAGTTGACTAAAACCCCTTCCTCATGTGACACAAAAGCAACAATCCAAAACTACATGTATAATAACGACATTTTCACGAAGATTATACCAAAAAGCAATTAATTGAGGTTCTACACAGCTTGAACCTACAAAAGGAATACGTCTGTGATAATTGTGCAAAGAATCTAGGGCATACAGTTTTAAGGCTTCCACCTTACCACTGTATATTTAATCCCATTGAACATGTTTGGCACCAACTGAAATCTGCCATTCGTCGTAACAATGTTTTCCCCCGTGTTACATCCAATGTCCTCAAACTTATAGAAACCGAAGTTTTTAACATCCCTCCACAAAGTTGGGCAAATTCTGTTAAACATATAGAAAAAACAGAACAATCGTATATCCATATTGCAAATAATATATAACAAATAATAATTAGAACAGGCGATGATCGCGATAGTGATACTGATATATTATGTGAATAATTTTAAGTAATTTAAGTAGGTAATAAAAATAATTTGAAATTTTATTTTAGATTTGAACATAAATACATACATAAATAAATAAATATTCTTTAGTATATTTCCTAACAAAACCCCAAATAATTAAATTCTAGGCAAAGTACGGACCTGTTCGGCCATATTTCATTCTTACAGCTTGCCCGGGTCTTTCCTTAATTCGTATCAGTTAGTCACTTTGAATCTATGAACAGACTTTACATCTTGTGCGCGGTACCTTTTGTATCCCGATACCAATTCGAGATAGTTGGTCGGCGTGACGTAGTTGTGACGTTTCAACTCGTGCAGCATGAGTTTCGAGTAGTGAACGACAGAGGCGTGCATGCTCGCGAACGCTTCCGCCGCAGCCAGCGACAGTCTATCTTGCGCCGAGATCAGAAGGGTTTCTCGTCTTCTGAGTTTCTTTAATGCCCCGCACGACTTATGAGCGTATTTTAACAAACATATGGTGCGTTACCTGATCCTGGCCGGTTATTTTCTGTACGAAATCCACGCCGTGTACGAAACGGAGCGCCACCTCCAGCAATGCCTCCCTCGGCCATTCGTGGAACCAATCGATCGTGGTGCAATTGATCAAAGCGGGATTTTGCCTGAGAATTTTGATCGTAAAAATTGATGTGACAATTTAGTTTCAATTTTATAAAAGTTTGGTGTGTCACCTTAAACGGTTTCTGAAAGCCTCTCCGATCGGGCTCATGCACAAAACAATATGAAGGTTCGCCCTAACCCTCGTTACCAAAAAATCGTAGATGGCCTCGTTGGTGGGCAATATGGCCGCTCGCGCCACCGCAGATTCCAGCTTGCTTTTTACCTAAAGGTGTAATTGTCATATCAACGAAGAGTCTGGTTCGCTTCGGTTACGTAGATATACTATTGGTGTATATGGTAGCTCTACCAGAGAACAATATAGTCTATGCGATATTGGTGAGTGCTCGCAGACCGTATTGCATTGACAGTCGAGCGGCTGTCCACGCTCGTACCTCTGTGAAGATGAGCTCTGAATTCCTACTTGACTATCGAAAAACACTGACAAGACTGGCCGAATATAATTCTCTGGGTAAAGTCTGTTCATAGATATAAGAAAGTGATACGAATTAAGGCAAGACCCGGGCAAGTTGTAAGAATGAAATATGGCCGAATTTAATTATTTGTGGTTTTCTTAGGAGAGATACTAAACAATATTTATTTCTTTATGTATGTATTTATGTTTAAATCTAAAACAAAATTACAAATTATTTTTATTCACATAACATATCAGTATCACTATCGCTATCATCGCCTGTTCTAATTATTATTTGTTCTATATTATTTGCAATATGGATATACGATTGTTCTGCTTTTTCTATATGTTTTAGCAGAATTTTCCCAACTTTGTGGAGGGATGTTAAAAACTTCGGTTTCTATAAGTTTGAGGACATTGGAAGTAACACGGGGAAAAACATTGTTACGACGAATGGCAGATTTCAATTGGTGCCAAACATGTTCAATGGGATTAAAGCCTTAAAACTGTATGCCCTAGATTTTTTGCATAATTATCACAGACGTATTCCTTGTGTAGGTTCGAGCTTTGTAAAACCTCAATTAATTTTTTTTTGGAATAATCTTCGTGAAAATAAATGTCGTTATTATACATGTAGTTTTGGATTGTTGCTTTTGTGTCACACGAGGAGGGGGTTTTAGTCAACTGTTTACTGTTATAACTTGCATTGTCCATTACAATGACGTTATTAGGAGGAATGTTTGAAACTAGTTTGTTTTTAAACCAACTTTCAAATAAATCAGCGGTGGTGTCTTCATGGTAATCCAGAGAAGAATCTTTAATATTTTTCGCAGACAGAGAAAGTCCATTTGGAATCCAACCATCTTTCGAGCCAGCATGCAAAATAGTTATTCTTTTACCTCTTTTTGATGGCGCGTTTGTTTTACACTTATCAGTTGAGTCAACCCAACACTTTTCCGGGGTGTTATAAGTGTCGAACCTGGTTTCATCCAAGTAAATAATTGACCTCCTAATTAAGATATCTGATGTAGGCACGCTTTGTTCCTCGTATAACTGGTAAATTTTACGCCGTATTATATCTTGATCATCACTTTCATCTACACTCGAGAAAATATCAGCATCCCTTCTTTTTTCCCTCGCTGAAATGAGAATATTCACAATTTTCCATACAGTTGATGTTGGAATTTTCGTCAATGTGGCCGTTTCTTCTAAATATGCTTGCTTGCTGGCACCAGGTTCAATGTGAGTCAAATAAACATTGTTTATAACTTCCTTAGTCTCAATAGAATAGTGCTTTCTACATTTGGGCGGGAGCATCTCCTGAGATACACTAGACTCGCACATATTTTGCATAATTCGCACACGCTGTATTACACACGAAATAAGAATGATTATTAATAAAATTAAAATAAGTAGTATACCAATCCAAAGAATATTAAACACAGGTAGGTATAAAATTATTTTCTCTTAGGGACCACAATTTTACCTGAATTTAAATTCCGAAACTTTAGGTAATAATCTTGTTGCATTGTATGTTAATGATCACCCGTGGATAATCCCATTCAAAAGCAATTGGTCACTTGCTTATATCTATGAACAGACCATACTAGCGCATGTGGATATTGAGGGCAACGAAATGGCAAACAGTGATTGTTGGGCTCTAGGAACTAACCGTACTTCCTCGAGACTACAAGACTGTTCTAAGGAAAGGAGTGAAGACGTAAAAAGAATCCACAGGTTTGAATCCAGCGCCTTGGTCATAAACGATAGATAGAGAGATAGAATAGGAATAGGAATTGTCATTGATGGTACCTCAGTGGCATCTCGTGCTATCCGAATATTTGATGATCGCAAAGACAAGAATGTGAAAAGCTAGTGTATATGTATATTAGTGGGTTGTAGTGAATTAATAGAGTGCTGGAATGGTTTCTGTGTACGTATCAAATTAATATGTTAAATAGTATCCCCGGTTTTTATACCTCCTCGAACTCATCAGTTTTGTAGAGATTCGAAACCTCGCCGCTGCTGAGCATGTTGTTGACGATTTCCAAGAAAATTTCATCTGTCACCTGGCTATCGTTGAACACGAACGAGACAGCTTTATTGGCGATTCCCGTCAGTTCGTAGAGTCGTTTCAGGTCTTCACGGAAGTCGGTTTCCTTATAACTACGTGTCGCCGAAATTTCAAACGTACCGTATTCGCAAATGTACGAAGCGATACGCGTGAGCGATTGTCTTCCACTTCCACCTGCAACTTTCAAAGATTAGAGGCTTAGATGGAAGGTGTAAGAACGACCCCATCACCTATCCCCACTAAGAGCACGTTGCCTCTCGGTTGGGAGATAACCCTCACTATCCTGCAGATGTGTTCTAAAGCGTCGTTGAATAACACGAGATCCATCGACACCATGTTGGGTGACGCGTTGTACTCCTCCAACTGTTGCTCGATGAAGTTTCGAAGGGAGACCGTCTCTTGGTGCTCCTTTAGTTCATGAAGTTAAAAGAGGTGTCAAATTAAATGCCTTTGGTATAACGAATGCAACAATCTCACTCACTATCACTATCACACATTCTGTAAGTAATGATTATCCTGTTGTATGAATAAATGATGAAGTGTTTAGTTACCTCGTAAATACCCCACGGGTTAACGAAGCTTGCGTACATCGGTATCTTTTTTTCCGGACAAAGACTGTGCAGGGTCAGATCAAAATGTCTACCGAGCTGCTCGTTCATTTCGTTGTAAAACCACTCTTGATCGCTGACAATAAACGAAAACTAAGCACAAAAATGTTTGACATAAAATGAGTGTCGAATCCACCCGAGTTATGTAAAAGTAAAACGAAACAAAACGGCATCATTAGAAACGGAAAGAGGATGGTCTCTTATTCAATCCGTGAAACCAGTGTTTTTCCAAAACTTTGCGACTATTAATTTTTAAGGAATGGTGTTTACAGGATAAGCAAACATCTTTGAACCTCACCTATCATCAATCAAACGGTCATAAAACACCCTGAAACACTCGTGGATCCAAAGTCGGAGCAACGAGGCTCGGTCGTTCTGATAATCCTTATGGCTCCTCAGCAAACCTTGAAACACTTTCGATATGTCGCGTAAGTTAAAGAGATAGTGCATTTTGTTCGGGGTCGGCAGCATTTTCAAACTGACGTTTTGGTACAAATCTGCAAAAAAAAAAACACCGACTAGCGCTTAACGTTTAGGGAACCATTGCTCTTATAACGTGATATTCTAGAACCACTTTTGCCCCCTCCACACAAAATACATTCTATTGCAATTGCCAAAATAACGGGGAGGCAAGTGGTTGTTTATGGTGGCTCGAACTTTGTGAGTATTGCAACGGTGACTGAGCAGGGTCTCCTTTGTAAATTTGCGTGCATAGAAATCGCCCTTTTTTTTTTTTACTTCAATTTCTTTTTTTAGAAACTTCTGATCGGATAAAAAAATATATGCACTTTGAAAGACAATTTCATATGCTTTAATACGAGTTTCTGTGCTTCGGGTGTAGCATAGTAAAATAACTGCACGAGGCAAACTAACTATTTTTTATTACTAAAATTGTCGTCAAAAATGTGTTTTTCTGTGTTTAACTGTGTAGCATAATTAGAATCGAGACTATTGTTTTTAAACGCTCTTTTATGTTCGTTAATGCGTTTCTTGAAGGATCTACCTGTTTGTCCAATATAAATTTTAGGACTAGATCCACAATTCAACCTGATTTTTGAGAGTTTGGATATTTCGTTTTATTGTTTTTCAAATATTTTCCTATTGTGTTGTTAGTTCTGAAAGCTATTTTTAAACCACATTTTGACAAATGACTTTTTCACTGGGTTCTCCTATGTATGTAATGGTTTTAAATTGTTCGTGTTCGGTTTCGGATATATAGAGTTTACTGTTGTCTGGATTTGTTTTTTATTTGTAATTTTAACGATAATGGACGGATTGTAGCTGTTTTCAGTGCAATTTGTTTAATGATATTAAGTTCTTTGTTTGTTGTTTTCTGTTGAGAGTGGAGTATTAAGAACTCTGTGTATAAAAGAGTGAAATGCAGCCATTTTGTGTGTATAAGAGTGATTTGAGCTGTTATGTATTACTGTGTCCGTGTGTGAAGGTTTATGGTAAATGTTCAATCTCGATAGTGAATTTTATACGATCATTTAATGAGTTAATGTAATTTAAAAAATAATTCAATTGTCAGTCCGTTCCAACAAAGCAAGCAGACATTATCCACGTATCTATACCACCACAGAAAAGTTTTACATTAAGGATGTTCTAGTATGATATTTTCCAAATTATCCATAAAAATCTGGGATAACAAAGTGGGTTTCCCATAATCAAACCTTCCTTAGAGATGTAAATCTCTCTCTATAAATTCAAAATAATTTTGGTCTAAAGATACTATTAACTCCTAAAATTTATATTGGACAAACAGGTAGATCCTTCAAGAAACGCATTAACGAACTTAAAAGAACGTTTAAAAACAATAGTCTAGATTCTAATTATGCTGCACACTTAAACACAGAAAAACACATTTTTGACGACAATGTTGATATTTTACATACAGCTACATTGGAAGCCATGGAAGCCTCTCCATTATTAAACTTAAATTCTAACAACAAAAATTAAGGTTTTATTGTCGTTTTTCGGTAAATGTAGTAGCAGGTATTTTGTAAATACTACATTTGATAAAGACACGGTGTTGTCGAAACAATTGTCATGTGAAAATATATAATTTCGTGAAAATCTGAATTTTTAGTTCCTATTTATTTTTTTATTTATCACGAAAAACACTAACTACACTCTTTCGCCAAAACCTAACCGAGTAGTAAACCTAACCTCAAAATGTCAAACTTCTCTATTAAAACATTAGTCCCATGACTAGCAGCCCTCGTAACTACTGCATGAACGCGTTTCATTTGTTTAATCGTAGCTACGCGTATAAAAGATCAGCACTCTTGACAAACTCATACTAAAGCATGTTAAACTGTCTTCCAAATAGCGTGCTTGTTTTTTGGATCAGATTAATAGTTTCTAGAAAAGAATTATACTAAAGTCAAAAATTTAAAACGGGTCGATTTCTACGTACGCGAGTTTATATAAACGTCTTTGATGTTTACCGATAGTGGTCTGGGTAACCGCGTTTCCCACCAATTTGACGCTCTCGTCGAACGCGGCGAGATGCTGCTGCAGCATGCCGCTGTAGATACGCTCGACGGTCGTTTCGTCCGGAAACGTCATGTTGACTACATTGAAGCGGCTCTGTAGGCGATCGGAGATCACGTTCCGACCGCCTCCCGGCGGGCCCATGGCCGCCAAGATGTGCATTTTCTACGATATCTCCTCCAGTACTAACCACTATTCTACTAATTTTCGGACTTACCTCGATGTATTTTTTAGTTTGCTTCTGCCTGTCGTACCAAAATCCGTAATCAATCCATTGCCTAAGCAGTTCCAGTGGCGGCTGGGAGCCGTAGGTTTCCCTCGCGGGCATGTTAAGGTCGTCCATGAACGTTACCAGCGTTTTGCCGCCTATGGGTGCGAATCTACCTTTCGTGCGTTTCTCTACGCGACTCTCGATCAGTGACTATCGGACATTTTACCGTTTTTTTATTTGTTTATTTATTGAGATACACTGTCCAACAGGATTAACCCAACCACAGTACAGTAAGTGACAAATTTAAAAAAAAAATGCAAAAGGACAGCAAAGTAAAACAAAAATAATTATAAGCCATTCCTTAAAAAACATGTTTTAACGTCACGTACAGAGGAAGAAAAGGGGAACTTGCCGAGTTGCACAGATCGCACATTCTGTGGAAAGGGGAAAATTTTAAAATATTCGTACGCGGCGTAGAAAGGTAAAAGGTTTGATCTACTCTTGAGGTAACCCTGGAAACACCAAAGTTCAGTTTTGATAAGGGGCCCGGATCAACAACTTGATTATGAATACCGCCGAGCGACTATCACGGCGAGAACTTACTTTGCGCACGTTATGCCTATACGAAGCGAAGTATTGCAGATTACAGATTGTAATTTAGATCTAACAAATGCGTAGTACAGAGTCTTTAAAGTTTTTAAATTTGTTAAGTCTCATTACATTTGGTGGGATTTAACGACAAATTATTATGGACACATCAGTTTTCAATACGCTTTACTCAGTCCTGACAGTCCTGAATACTATCAATTTTGCAGAACAACTTTAAATCGTCAGCGTATAACGAGCAATTAACATCCGCACTTTCGACAATGCTATTAATAAAAATATTAAATGGAAGGGGGCCTAAATTGCTGCCTTGAGGAGCACCGGATGTTGCGACATATTCTACAAACTTGAGTCCACCAAATATAACAAACTGGCGCCGATCTTTTAGATATGATGAAAAAAAAATGATCGGAGGTTATCATTTAATTAGAAATAAGTATCCCATGATCAAGTCTGTCAAACGCCTTCGAAAAATCGGAATAGGCAACATCAGTTTGAGATCGCAAGTCTATATTTTCGGCGAAGATGTCAGCAAAAGCATTGAAAATGTCAATAGGACTATCTAATAATTTATCATTGTAGACCATCCTATCTGAAATGTTAGTTGAACCCTTTTTATTATCAATGAAACGCCAAAATTTATTTGTATCAGTTTTCATTTCACACTCAGCAGAGAGTGCATACAATTTATAAGAAATATTAAGGTCCGATTTAATTTTGGCCCTTAATAGCTTAAATAGAAAAATTTCATTTATTACAGCAGGCTTATATGAGGAACATTTGTCTTTTTCCCATAGAGCATGATTTAATGATATATCAGAATAATGACTGCCAGGTAGTTTCAAACAATTAGAACATTGCTCGATTTGGGATATGCAAGATTTAAAATTATTCGAGCCGGACGTCTTCCCTACCCATAGCCTAGTTATTGTTTTACCTGCAAATTGGCGGATGACGTCTGCGCCGACATATTGACGTGTAAAACCGCGTAGTCGGCGATGGGCAACGATTCTAGTACCGAGTGCGCAGTCGAAGTCTTGCCGGTGCCTATCGGACCCGTCAAGAGCACCGCGTGGCCATTTTCTAACAGGGCGTCCACTACGTACTTGTATCGGACTGTGTCGATAGTTGGCACTTGGATTTTGTAGAACGGCCACGTTGGATCGTAGCTCCAGCCTGGATAAAAAGAGTAAAGAGTAAAAACTGTCCAGTTCGAGATTGGGATTTATCAGGTATGGTCTGTTCATAGATATAAGAAAGTGACTAATTGCTTTTGAATGGGATTATCCAAGGGCGGTCATTAACACACAATGCAACAAGATTATTACCTAAAGTTTCGGAATTTAAATTCAGGTAAAATTGTGATCCGTAATAGAAAATAATGTTATACTTACCTGTGTTTAATATTCTTTGGTTAGGTATACTACTTAGTTTAAGTTTATTAGTAATCATTCTTATTTCGTGTGTAATACAGCGTGTGTTGAATCGTGTGCGAATTATGCAAAATATGTGCGAGTCTAGTGTATCTCAGGAGATGCTCCCGTCCGAATAGAAAACACAATTCTATTGAGACTATGGAAAGTTATAACCAATGTTTATTTGACTCTCATTGAACGTGGAGCTAGCAAGCAAGCATCTTTAGAAGAAATGGCCGAAAATTCCAACATCAACTGTATGGAAAATTGTGAATAATCCCATTTCAGCGAGGAAAAAAAGAAGCGATGCTGACATTTTGCGCGAGTGTAGGTGAAAGTGATCAAGATATAATACGGAGGAATACGAGGAACGAAGCGTGCCTACATTAGATATCTTAATTAGGAGGCTTGAGAAAGATGAAACCGGTGTTAAATGTGTTAATACCTTATGGAAGTGTATTCAACACATGGGTTTTAGATTAAAAAAAATGACAAAAGGCAAGTTTTAACGGAATCTTTTAGAATTCGGAAATGGCGACTGGAATATCCGGAAAAAAGTAGGATTTACAGAGAACAACAAAGGCCAATTATTTACTTGAATGAAACCTGGTTCGATACTTATGATACCCCGGAAAAGGATTGGGTTGACTCAACTGATAAGTGTAAAACAAACGCGCCATCAAAAAGAGGTAAAAGAATAACTATTTTGCACGATGATAATAATAATTGATTTTCTACAAAGATTGCCCCTACAAAAGGGTCTGTGATAATTATGCAAAAAATCTAGGGCATATAGTTTTAAGGCTTCCACTTTGCCACTGTATATTTAATCCCATTGAACATGTTTGGCAGCAACTGAAATTTGCCATTCGCTGTAACAATGTTTTTCCCCGTGTTAACTCCAATGTCTTCAAACTTATAAAAACCGTAGTTTTTAATATCCCTCCACAAAGTTGGGCAAATTCTGCTAAACATATAGAAAAAGCAGAAAAATCGTATATCCATATTGCAAATAATATAGAACCAATATTAATTAGAACAGGCGATGATAGCGATAGTGATACTGATATATTATGTGAATAATTTTAAGTAATTTAAGTAGGTAATAAAAATAATTTGTAATTTTGTTGTAGATTTAAACATAAGTACATACATAATTAAATAGTTATTGTTTAGTATCTTTCATAACAAAACCCCAAATAATTAAATTCTAAGCAAAGTACGGACCTGTTCGGTCATATTTCATTCTTACAGCTTGCCCGGGTCTTTCCTTAATTCGTATCAGTTAGTCACTTTCATATATCTATGAACAGACTTTACTTACCATATCCTAGTTTGTCTTCCCAGAGGCTGAACGCATTCTTCTGGACGTCCACGTAATACTCGTAAACGGTGTCCTTTATGGGAAATACTCCCTCCTTTTCCCTTATGAGGGTGTCGAATTTCGCCCGGCCTGTTTCGTCCGTGGTGCAACATATCGACCAGATCATACAAAACAGGAACCAATTTTTCACAGATTCCTCAAAACGGCCCTGTAAAGTACACGGAACGTGGCTAACTGAATATGCTTCTATTGTTAATTAGTAGTTTAGTGTAACGCTTTCAGTGGTTTTAATGGTATAGGTGGAGTTCCTTCGCTTTTGTGTTTTATGTTACGTTTGTTTGTTGGCGCTAACTTCGTCAGCAGAATTTGCCAGGTTCTCTTTCGTAGTAAACACGTTGAGCATCTTGCATAAGGCCGACACCAGGTTCAGTTCGCCGCATTCGATTGGTTCGGCGCAGTTGGCTCGCTTAAAATCCAGAACCGGGTTTAGATGGGTGTCGAAGTGGCGCATTATAAGGTCCTGGTACAGTGTGCCCTTTGACGTTTGCGTAGCGATCCAAGATTGCACGTACGGCCGCCATCCCCAATCCTTGTAATCGTTGTATACCATCCCGCACCTGACGTAACGACCGGACAGAGAAAAAGGTCACAACCAAACTCTGTTATTGCAGCATCACATCCTAGCATTCGTACCATCGATAAATATCGTCACAATTATTGAGATACGGTGGCCCCTCTGTAAACCGACCCCTGTCTAATTCGGTACCCCTTATAATCTGACATCGTCTATTACGTATTCGCTAATGTATAATTGAACAAGTTACCACTTGTACGTACACTATTGTGCTCGACGCGTGTGCTATTGTTTTGTTTCTGATTGCTTAGTTTGAATTTGACTACATGCGAGAGGATAGCGGTGCGGCCAAGCGTGTGTTCTTTGTTTACTGTTTATTCATTGTCTATTACGTATACGTACCTAGTAATGTAGTCACGAGCTCAGAAGAGAAAGCACAAAACACTGACATTAAAGAAAAATGTGAATACGGCGTAGGCGTACAATTTGTGACATTGAAAAAACCACGAGAAGATTAAACAATTCGTGTCAACTACCGACTGGGGGCCAGGTAAGAGACAGACACGCATGCGCCCATTTCGGGACCCATGTTGGCCATGAATGCTAAATATTTTTATAAGGAAATAATAAAAAAGATGATTTTGTGGCTAGCAGACGTTTCAAAAGTCGTTATGGCATACGTTTAATGACTATTATAGGAGAGAAAGTTTCTAATGATGCCACCCGCACCATTTAAATTGAGATTTTTGCAAAATGTGAAAGATTTCAATTTTAACCCGTCACAGGATGCAGACGAATCAGGGCTTTTTTGGTGTGTGATACGTAACAAAACCAGACCAGTATATATATATATATATATATATATATATATATATATATATATATATATATATATATATATATATATATATATACACACTGGCCTGCAAAATGTTTGTCGCACTACCGGGGGTCCGCTGTATTACTCTCGTTTTGTATCTCTATACTTGATTTAAAGTTTGAATGCCAGTAAAATGATTTGGAAACACGCCAGTTGTTACCTGCTGACAGTTGCCGGAGAGGCGACCGACAAGTCTCCGACTTCAAATAGTAGCGAAACCTGCTCGGGCATCGTGATTCGTTCGCTGTTGATCAGCGTTAACACCTGAAATCGGTCATGGTTTGAGTAAATATAATAAACTCCAACAAAATAAAATTTGCATTCCGGGCTTATTATAAATTAATAGAATCGAATTACCGAACTGACTGAGGGTCACCATTACATTCAGGTCAATAAAATGCTATAAAAATTGAAGGACGTCGATGGTCGTGATTTCAAATCTGTATTTAAATTGAACAGGTCCAGATAGAATCGTTCAATGCGGTTAAAATATTTTACTTTGGTTAATTATCTATATAGGTGGTTTCCACTATACGTACTGACCGACAAAATAAATTTAACATTTTCCAAAATAAAGTAGGGGTTATTGGACGTGATATAAAGAACAACAATTTACGCTGTTGTTTAAGTTAAAAAAACTTACAACTTCTATTGAACATTCATTGGCACCTAAGGAATTTTTGTTTTACAATTTGAGCTTTTAAAATAGGTATCTTTAAGTAATAGGCGCTGTTCTTTTCTAAAATTTTAATGCAATTGCAATTTTTTTATATTTGTTATTCTGATAACTACTCAGGTAACTTTTACCTTTTGATTCTTGGGTATGCTAGATAGCTGGTTAATTTTTTGCATAATCCAAAGTGTTTTAATTGACAACCATATCCTCAAAATAGTCGCAGCCGAAGTATTGGATAAAGATATTGATAAATCATATTGCTTATTGAATACATTTAAAAATCATCAATAATTTTAGCTGTGAAAACGATTGGGCACACGTTTTTATTAACCTTTCATGATTCGTGAAAATCGCCGTATGCGATTTTCCGAGTAAGAGGACCGCAATGATTTATTTAAAATAATTGAGAACTTTTAAACAATAGGTTTGACTCTTTGATTGATTAAAATGCAACTGAACCTTTTAAGACGAGTCACTGTAAATGTTAATAGATCGTAATCGTAACAAATCGTAATTATTCTCTATCGAGGAAAATTCGTTCTCCACGGAAACCCTTTGCCGGCCTCTCTCCCGCGCTGCTCCGAACGCCCCGATACAATTTAGACAAATGAACATTTGGATAAATACGGCCGTCTCTTTGTTGCTTGCAGAGCTGGGACCGCGTTCTAATTCATAGCTATTCGTGCGTCTATTAGAGTACAGGGTGGGCACTTTATTAGGGACCTGTATCTTTTCTCAGGAACTACTGATTTTGGAAAAAAAAGTTTATACAGCAATTATTTATTTTTTATATATACAGGGTGTCCGATAAGTGCTGGACCGACAATAATTTTTAAATTTTAAATGGAACATCCTATATATTTTGATATTTTTAGAATCCTTGCCAAAAATTAAGGTAAGTTTTATAAAAACTACTTATTCGAATTTAGTGTAATTTACACAGAAATATATATGGATATACTACATTTTGAGAATGTACCAGAATCCTCTACCCGTCAGCCGCGTTGTAGTTAGATGTTAAAAAAACTAGCCTCAGAAATTGTTTAAATTTACCCGTGCGATATCTAGGGGGACCGGGACTATGACGTAAGATGCCATATTTTAATGGACATGCATTTCGCTGATAACGCCTTGCGTCATATAATTTGGACCCATGAGTCGTCTTTTCATACAAAAGCCCCAATTTTGAATCGGAAAAACACACATGAGTGATGAAAATAAGAAAAGGGTGTTGGAAATAAAACGACAAGGTTATAGGGCCAATTTTCCTTAATGAGCAAAGACACAGGCCCCTAATAAAGTGTCCATCCTGTACGTTGTTTGGCCGGGTCTTACTTTATTGTCGTCCATGACGCTGTTCATATTCTCGATCCACACCGCGTCAACTGGTCCATCGAACAGAATCCATTTCTCTTCGGGAGTGTCCGCAGAGCACGCCTTTCTCATGGTAGCGCTTATCACCCCGTCCAACCACTCGTTCGTGCTCAGATTGTATTCCCCGTAGAGCTCGCCGAGATTCAACGATTTCGGATTTATCGGATATACCTTGGGGGGGGCGAATACGAAATCACCCGACGTTTCGTCCACGTTAACGACTTTTTACCCGCACTTCGTTGAACCCATGCTTGTTTTGTCGACTCAGTTTTCCCACGCAACCGCGTAGCGATTGCCACGTGACACTTTTCGCGGTGCCCGTTTTTCCCAGCACCATGACCGCGTGACGCGAATTTTTCGTCTCGTACAGTTGAATGACCTGCAACGTTTGCGCTATAATAATAAACAACGTTGCAAGTATTCTCAAAATTTCTTTCGTATGACGTTTGTAAGCACCATCCGACAACGCCGCCATCTTTCATTGGTTTACTCCCTCTTACTGCGAATTTAATGATAATAATAATAATAATAATAATAATAATAATAATAATAATAATAATAATAAATTGCCTTTATTAAAATACAACAAAAAGAATATATCACAATAGAGTTGAACAGGAAAAAAAAAAAAGCTAGCAAATATAAGTAAGTTCCTTAAATCCACCTAAATTCACAATTTGACAATTTTAAACAAATCAAAGGGGGAGAAAAGTAAAAAAGAAAGAATGAAAAAAAATAGACACTGGAAAAAGCAAGGGCAATTTTCGAAAACGACTAAAAGGAAATAAAAGAAAAACAATAAGCAAAAAAATAAATGAATAAAAAATTAAGCTCTTTTAATTTCTTTTTCAATGTAGTTTAGATGAACAACTAATAATATCCGGTTGAAGTGAATTGTAAGTTTTAATAGTGAAAGAGCTCTGAAACGCAGCCGCGTTATATGATCAAATTACGTACTGTACCTCAGGCAGAGATTTTGAAATTTTTGTAAGCTTTATTGGTCTTTTCATCTTAGGGCCGGCCAATATACAACGTCCGCATATCCCAATAGAGAGACCATAAGAGAGTCACTTAAGTCTTATCTCAGTAGTCTTTACATACATGTAAAGTACTTTCAGTTTCTCGTAATTTTTTAAATTGTAAGCGAAATCACACTATTCGAATTGAGCGCATAAAATTCTCAAAAAGTGATGTGATATATTTTAAATCTGGCACATTATCTGAAATATTTCGACATTCGAATTGATTTGACTAACGAAACTTAGGTGTTTGGTTAGTCAGGAATCTGTAATTTCGTCTGTTCCGCTATTTGTCGATAAGCTGCGAAACTGAGAGGTTTGGTTAGTTAGGAATTTTGTAATTTGGTTTCTGCTGCCATCTGTCGAAACTGTAACGTTGATTTTTCAAGATCTCTCACGGGGAAGAACTAAACAGTCCTTACTACTGGTTTTTTACGTAACGCAGAGAAACCGAATTTTAGTTTTGTTCAAAAATGAGATAACATGCTCAGTACTGATCCTAATTAAGTAAAGTCAAACCAAAACTTATCTTTCTCTGCAGTAATTAATAGAGAAGAATAGAGGTTTTTTGGGTTGGGTAAATTGTCTCACCTTGGTCAAAGCGATCGGGATCGGTTGCAAATTATTCTCTACCATGTATTCCGTCAACGCCGTATTTATGTCCATGTAGTCGACCGCCGGTATTTGCACCCCCGGGAAAATGTCCGACATGATTCCGTTGAACAATGGTAGATCGTCCGACGTGAATCTAATTGGGCCATTTAAAAAAAGTTGAAAAATTAAGTTTCGGTTGTAATTGTTTTTTTTAGATATACATTTTTAAAAAATGACCAAAAAATGTAATATTCATAGAAAAGTTACCTTTTTCCCTTATAAAAAATGTTTTTTTTTTTTTGAGAAAAACGTCTATTGCATTTTTTTAATAAGAAATTCCTCTTTTTAGAGTTTTTCAAATATCGAAAAAGTTGAAAGTATGCTGCTCGTCAGTTTAAATTTTGAAAAAAAATCTGCAAAACTTTCCCCATTTTCGCTTACTTTTGCGGATATTGATTTAGGTACTAACAACAAGTAAATACGTACCATATCGCGTTTTTCCACAGTAAAAAGTAACTGCCACATTAATTATTAAGAACTATGTTAAGACTGACAAAATTATAGCTAAATTTTTTTTTGTGTACGTTTGGCTTTATGGTCCATTTTTGGGCGGTATTGTCTAATAAATGATGAAGTGTGATACAGTATTTTTACAGAATGACGAGCTCTTCCGAAACGTTAAATAAAAAATGCAGTTCTGTATTTAAAATAAATATAAACTGGTTATAATATGACCAAAAATATAGTGCATTTATTGTTTTGACGTTTTAAGTATTTTACAGTACCTTAACTGCAGACCTTCGCAGGACCGTGGTAAATCCCGTCCCAACAGATGTTTATTCTGCATTAAGCTTCTGATGGACCGTAACGAATATTAGTAAAAATTTGAAATTTTTATTTGAAACGTAAATGGTTCGTTTTAAAATAGATTAAGCATTGATGCTGCGAGTTATTTTCGAATAATTAAAATCGATTAATTATAAGTTTGAACATATAATCATTTTTGTCTTGCGTGCCTGTCGATTAACAACATTCTTCTTCTTATGGTTTTGTTCCTTCTATATAGTTCTTGTAAACAGCAGCTTTTTTTAAGACTATAGATTAGATTCGCGGTAGATAAAGGTACGTTATGAGAATAAGAAGGTTCCTGTTTTTTAACAATTTACAATGAAGCAAATGTTCCCCGGTTAGAAGAAGACATGGAAAACAACGCAGAATTTCACGAAGAAGTGGAAATGGCAGTCGAACCTAATGACAATTTAGAAGACGAACTACCTCAGCAAATAAAAAAAACGGATTAATTTGCCTTCGTACTTTAAACAAATTGTTTTGAGTGTTTGCAATTTTATAAGAAAATTTAGTAATAGTACCATAAACGTAATTCAGCAAGAGGTACCTAAAATATCAGTACAAAGTTGATCTAACTGTGAAAAACGAGTAACAAGACAAGAAACTATTTATCCAGAACGATTAATGGCGGAGTTGATCATTGAACTAGCGATAGGGACGATTTTTTAAGTGACTGTTACTTTATAATTATTATATTTAATAATTTGTATATTAATAATGATACTATGCGGAAATGTAATAAAATGGAACGTCATAAATTGTTACTTTGTAAAATTTTTTTTATGTTCACGTTTTAAGAATTACTCGGCGTTAGTGTTAGTGTAGGTAGGTAAATTCCTAGGCCGGTCCTGGAATGGTTATGGGTAAGGGGCTGCGGTTTTGCCGTAATAAACAGTGGGCAAAGTTAATCACGGGGTCGATTGTAAAAGCACTATATTTCTGGTCGAAGTATATATGTCAATGAAATTATTAAAAAAAAATGCAAAACTATGTCGATTTTTAAATTTTACTTCCTACCTCGCCACGTTCATATCGCGCATTGCCAAATAGATCACTTGGTCCTCCGGAATCGTGGGCATTTGACGTCTTTTGCGCCCGGCGTATCTGAGAAGCGCCACCATCGACCTCAGACCAAAGTCGTAATGATCCTGTTTGCTCAGTTGCTGGACCGCCAGCTGGTACAGGGTGAACACCTTCAATAGAACTTATTTTTGAAGATAACGCAGGGCGTACGTTACGCAACTAACGAGCTGATTAAAATTAATAAACATGTCAACATAGATCAGGTACCCAAAAGTATTCACTGAGAAAATTGCAAAAGGATAATTTGATAATAACGATTTGATCAAAATTAAATATGATTTTACAAAATAAATGAGAACTAAATGTTCAGATTTTCACGAAATTATATATTTTTACATGAAAATTGTATCGACAACACCGTGTCTTTATCAAATGTAATATTTACAAACTACCTGCTACTATATATACGGATTATCGTCCAAGGCGACTCAGTACATACGTTGGAATTAGAAGTTTTTGTGTTTTATGATTATTTGTAAATAAATTGTTACATGAAAACCAAGATTGAGCCTTCAGCTCAACGCCATACGTTAGCTCATCTAATCTGATGGGACTAATGCATAAGGGGAAATCGTTTATGTTAATAATGAATAAAAGGGGCCCTAGGACAGATCCTTGAGGAACTCCATGTTTTAGCAAGCAATACATTTGAATGTCTCATTTTGTTAATCTCCGTGGCTTCCAATAAATTTAATTTTCTACTTTTTGTGCCTGTATGTAAAATATCAAAATTATTGTCAAAAATGTGTTTTTCTGTGTTAAAGTGTGTAGCATAATTAGAATCCAGACTATTGTTTTTAAACGCTCTTTTATGTTCGTTAATGCGTTTCTTGAAGGATCTACCTGTTTGTCCAATATAAATTCTAAGACAAGATCTGCATTTCAACCTGTAGACACCTGATTTTTGGGATTTTGGATATTTCGTTTTATTGTTTTTTAAAAATTTTCCTATTGCGTTATTCTGAAAGCAATTTTTAAACCACATTTTGACAAATGTTTTGAAACTTTTTCGCTAGGTCCTCCTATGTATGTAATTGTTTTAAATTGTTCGTGTTCTGTATTAGGTTTCGGATAAATAGAGTTTACTGTTGTCTGGGTTTGTTTTTTATTTATAATTTTATCTATAATGGACGGATTGTAGCCGTTGTTCAGTGCAATTTGTCTCATGACATTAAGTTCTTTGTTGTAATTTTCTATTGAAAGTGGCGTATTAAGAAGTCTGTGTATAAAAGAGTGTGTGTATAAGGGTGATTTGAGCTGTTATGTATGACTGTGTCCATGTGTGAAGGTCTATGATATATATATAACATACCAAACATCTTACGAATAAGGAAATCTTTTTGCTTACATTTTTAGTATAAAATAATTTTTGCCACATTTCATTTTATTTATTTTTTTAAATATAATTAAATATAAATCAATAATATATAATAATAATAAACTGAAAAATATGTATTTAAAACTTCATTAGTACCAACAAATTTTTATTTCAATTTTAATTTTCTATTATCAAAACAAATTAATTATATATAAAAACATTATATTCGACAGTTTAGTCACGAGCGGAGCGCAGCGGAGCGAGTGTCTAAAAAAACATACCATACATCTTACGAATAAGGAAATCTTTTTACTTCTATTTTTAATACAAAATAATTTTTGCCACATTTCATTTTATTTATTTTTTTTAAATATAATAAATAATATATAATAATAATAAACTCAAAAATATGTATTTAAAACTTCAATAGTACCAAAAAAAATTTATTTCAATCTTAATTTTCATTTACCAAAACAAATTATTATATTCAACATAAAAATATTATATTCAACAATTCAGTCACGAGCGGAGCGCAGCGGAGCGAGTGTCTAAAAAAACATATGCTTAAAATATATTTAATTTATGGATATTTCCATTTACATCTCATTTTCAGTTTTATTTAATTTCATTAAATATAAAATAATTAAATATAAAAATATTATTTCAAACAGTTTAATCACGACCGGAGCGCAGTAGAGTGAGTATTTAAAAAAAAAGATAAATTGATTGTTTATATAAAAATATAATTTCTTTGTAAAAATAATCTATTTATGAAAGTGTTCTCTCTATGAAGACGGTCCATATACAAAGACGGTCTGTATACGAAGGCGGCCCGTATACAGAGGCGATCTATATATGGAGGCGGTCTGTATATGGAGCCGGTCTGTATAAGGAAGCGGTATGTATATGGAGGCGGTCTGTATATGGAGGCGGTCTGTATATGGAGGCGGTCCGTATATGGAGGCGGTCTGTATATGGAGGCGGTCTGTACGCCACTAAGAAGTGCCTGTGTCGTTGCGAGGTTCTTCGGTAGATTATTAAACCAAAATTTATTTTCAGTTCAATAGATTTTATTGTTTATTTCCCAAGCTTCGACCTGTTTGCATTCCAAGGCCTTGAGGAATTTAAATCTAATTGATTTTGTTAATCTCCATGACTTCGTATAAATTTAATTTTCTACTTTTTGTGGCTGTATGTAAAATATCAAATTGTCGTCAAAAATGTGTTGACTATTGATTATGGACTATTGTTTTTAAAGGCTCTTTTATGTAGGTTAATGCGTTTCTTGGAGGATCTACCTGTTTCGTTTCATTGTTTTTTAAAAATTTTCCTATTCTGTTGTTAATTCTGAAACCTATTTTTAGTGACAAAGACAAGTATTTTTTAACAATTATGAATCCACAACCGCCGAAATTATATTCTTTAGTTAAATTACATAAACAAGATATGTCCATTAGACTAGTCGTGTCTTATGTAACAGCTCCGGCAGTTAAACTCTCAACAAAATTATTAAATATTTTAAAGTTCCACACAGATTTGAAACCAAAATTTGCAATAAAAAATTCTTTTGAATTAAAAATTAAAGATATCAAAATCATTCACTCTTAACACGATTTTGAGTGGTTGTGTAATATACTGACGACGAGTTGCGGTTGGAGTTTTATTTTTCAAAAAGTATACTTGAAGCATATTACTTTTTTCACGGATGCTCAGTTCGCGAAAAACTATTATATCAATGTTGTTTACTACTGTTTTATTTGTCCGTCAGGGCAGTCTTTGGGATTATATGAAAATTGCCTATTTTGGCTGATTTGTTGATTGGACTAAAATATAAACTGTGTTACGTCATTGTAGTCGGAATAAGATATTCTATTAAATACATATATCATAGACAGGGTGTTCCATTTAAAACAATATGATGTAGGCATGTACGTCAGAAAATTGATAGTGTTTTGTTTTATACGTCACTTGGAAAGAAACTTGCCCACTAACACTATATTTCGTTTTTTTTTTTTTTTGGTTTAGCTTGATATCTCTAAAAGCAAAAAAGTTACAGCCCATTAAAATGTTATTACTTATACCGGTCGTACCTTCTTCGCTAACACTTTAGTGTTCTGAAACCCGTCGCTGAACAATATATTTTCGGCTATGATGGCGCTGTCCGGTACCATCATCGATATCGGACGAAACATCGACTTCAAATTATCCGGAAGTTCGGTCCTGCCCGCGTATCCTGGATTCATGGTGATGAAAATACCTACGCCCGGTTTTAGATGGATTTCGCGACCTAAAATCGACGTTAAACCAATTTAAATACTCCGTCGTAATGCCGACAAACGTATCCGGTTTTACATTCGAACACGAACAAGCGTTGGTGTTGCGAGAGCGCCTGCAGAATGCTGAGGATCTGTTGGGCCACCACCGACAGCACTTCGATGTTGATCCGGTTGAATTCGTCGAAACAGCCCCACGCGCCGGTCTGCGCGAGGCCGGCAAAACACTTTCCCATACTCTAAAAAAGTGACGTCAGTTGTTTCGAGCGTTTCCTCAACTGCGATGAAATTTTGCAAAATCTGGCAACGCCGGTTGATAGTCTGCCAATCGTCGTCGCACTGAGAGCTAAGTTGGTAAAGGCATTTTTACAAACGATAAGTGACGTTAATATTGATATGATGTTATATAGAAACGTTAAACATGCTAAATAAATTTACATAGAAGGCTCTGAAAGGCTATTTTTCAAAGTCATGTGATTTGCAGATTAATTTGATTTCAGTGTTATATAAATGTTTGAAGATGTTTGTGATTCTGTTATAAGCTGCTAAGGTAATTGCGAATGAATTTGTTTTGCTTTATTTTTGTTTTTATTTTATATAATATAAAATAAAAATTTTAATTGTCGAATTTTGACAGGTCGACATTTTTTTTAAATTGAGTACGCCGCATTTGAATGATGATTTCGAATATATGAGTTGTTAGGGGTTATTTTTTAACAGATTTTGAAATATTGCGCATTTTATCTAACATTGGATGTAAGGAACTCAATAACTATTGTTTCAATAATCAAACTAGCCATGAAAACTAAATTAATTACTTTGTTTTTCCATTTAGCAAAAGAATTTATTTGTTATATGATTTTCTATTGTGTAGTATTGGCAATAATTTTGACATTTTCAGTTAAATATATTTTTAATTATTTATTATTACTTAATACTCACTAAAATATTGTCTTTAGTGTTATTAATTTATTTCACTAAAGATGTTCGAAACGATTGCCATTCATCTGCATGTATACACGTTTGTGTAGGTTTTCGATACACCTTGGTAGTAGTTCTGTTGTCCCAAATTTTTAATTTTAATTAATTTTTTTTTAATTTAATTTAATTAATTTAATTTTAATTTATAACCCTGTATTTGGACTTAAAGATTCTATTGTCAAATGAAAAACGCATCTGCCAAGCATGCACAGAGGGTTGTGGCCAGTTAAGAGAGCTTGCGAATTGTGCTTGCACACTGACCACAGGGCTTTTGGGTAATTTGTTTCTTTATAAAACACTGAATTGTATTTCAAGTGTGTAAAACGTCCTAAAGAGGACGTAACAACTAACATCAAGTGGAAAAACATTGTTTTAAATAGAATTTTGCTCGCTAATGATATCATTACATAATTTTCCAATTTACTATATCAGTTCTTCAATAGCGTAAAACTATAGTTTAAAATAAGGTTGAACGTGACTCATTTCAACAAACTTGTGTTTATATGAACGATAAGGTGGCCAAAAAAGAATTTCTTTTTTCTTTTGGACAAGAATTCATCTTAAACTGGATTCTTCCTGCGTCGGTTGTTGTTGAGTCGAACTGAAGAAGCCGGCAGGATGATTGGCGAAACGTCACCAAGTTCGATTCATCAACAACCAACGCAGAAAATTTGTAAATAGTATTACAGTGGCCATCATGTTTACATTTTTTAATTCATTAATTAATTTTTAAGCAATTGTTTCCTAAAACTAATTTCTCTAACGACTCAACCGTCACTTTCGGTACAACGAATATCATTTCGCCATTAAACAAGACTTATTACCTTATAGTCCAACCCTTCCGAGCAATTATTGACAATGACCCACATCCCCATCGCTTTGCCGAGGTCCTTGACGGTTTCCGTTTTGCCCGTACCGGCCGGTCCCTTGGGGCTGCCGCCCCTATACAGGTGGAGCGCTGTGGTCAGTGTGATGTAACACCTAGAAAACCGAAAATAAAGATTTCCTCAAACGCGTCCGACCGGCCAATCACCTATCGGTCAGCGGCGTGATCACCAATCGGCCAGAGTTGCCGTTGTACTCGTAGCCGTAGCTGAAAGACGTGTTGGTTTGTCTGATGGTGCAATCGTCCATCTCCCTGTCCCAGTAGAAACGGAGCTGGGAGAACCATTCGAAAGCGTTCGTGTCCCTGCAATCTTATAACCAGCGAGCGTTAAATTTTGGAAGTTGAAGAACGATTGATACTGTCATCAATAGCTTAAGCTGTACTTAACATGAATAAATACTGGCCTAACAAATGGAGTGGAAATGCAATTCAGTTTATATTGGGACAGTCTGGTAAGGTTGAGGTAGTCAGCGGTGTTAATGCAATGCATAGACAGATAGAGAAGACCTTGGGTTCAGATACACTGTGTTTCTTTTAATGACTTTTTTTAGTGTGTAGTGTAGGATCGTGGGATCCATGGGCAAATACAAATTTAATGAGTACTCTCACATGTGTAAGAATTGGATTGGAGATAAAAGCCAAAAGCAGGAGACCAAAACATTATCCACATTTTCATCACGAGCGTAAATAATGACATCTACCCAGGAACGAAGTAAGGTGGACCACTCAAAAGAGACATTGAAATGGTCACACTGATGAGAAGGTCACGTTGGTCTCGGTCTCGGGTCACACCGGTATCCGGGGCAATGAGGCAGCGGACGCCTTAGCCAAAGAGGGCTCCTCGCATAGGCATATAGGGCCAGAGCCCCGTTTGGGGATCGCCCCGTATGTGAGGCGGGGAGCTCTCGAAGCCTGGGCGAGAGACCGGGTCGCGGGGGGCTGGAGAGTTGCTCCAGGAATGAGGCAGGCGAGGCTTATGATGGATGGGCCCGCCCTTCCTCGGACCAGGGAGCTGCTTAGACTGACCAGAAGGGAGTGTAGAACACTAACAGGGGCCTATACAGGACATTGCAGGCTTAGGAGGCATCTTTGCTTGCTAGGCATTGGAGACGACGTGGAGTGTAGGTGGTGTAGGTGCATGGAAGGGGAGGAGACCCCGTATCATCTGCTCACTGAGTGCCCCGCCTTGACATGGGCAAGATTGGGAGTCTTCGGAACGGCCCTGTATTGGGCTAAAGGAGTTGCTGACCTTCTATAGGAGGGCCGGCATTCTGGACGCCCTCTAGAGAGGCCTGGGGGCACAACGGGCCCATCTGGTGGCCTAAGTGCTTGGACGCCCGCGAGGGCGCCCCCCTTAATACCAATAATAATAATACCAATGGTCACACTGATTTGCACAGACTTTGAACGCTCTTAAACCCATAAATATAAAGAGCTGGTAGAACATACAACGCAGAAATTCTTTCAAAAAATGAATACTAGAGCAAATTGAGTTCAAGCCATCAAAATCAGGATACGACAGTACGAACATTTTCAACTCAAACGAGTACAAGATAGATAAAAGAGGCGTCATTTTCAGAAAATAGCTAAGTGTCTAAGAAATATTAGAGACTGGACCTATTGATTGAAACACAAGCCTCAAAGCATGTTCGTCGTCATCCCTTTCTAGGTCCCGGTTTATGTCCGCCATGTCTTCGAGATAGTTGTTTAAGTGAAATGCACAATGTAATAGAATGTTGTTCTTATAAAAATGCATAGAACACATTCGAGGCGTCTCCAGAAAAGTGCAGTCAAAACTCACTTGCTTTGTATAGTTTATCGATAACATCTCGCGAATGAATCTCTATCGTGATCAGAGCGTTCGCCTTCAGCCTCTGCAGTTTCGTGAGCTCTTTTCTGCTTAGCTCTGATAACCTCGCCAAGACTTGGTTCTGTTTCCTACGTAGTCGTTTCAGCGGTTTCTTGCTCTCCGTGATTTTAGCGTGAACCAATGCTCGGGTACAGTCCGTCGTCCATTGTATCTAAACCGAGACAAAAATTGGTGGGGATCTTTTTATAGAAAAGTTATTCAAGTGTATGGATACTGTGACGTCACTTGTTAGGTACCAGACATTGAAGAAACACTAACGATAACATTCGATCTTTGAATTATATTTTTGACGCAATGGCTTTCGTCATACCATAACAATACTTAAATAATTTCTTTCTTCTGCGATCGAACTGCCATCTGCCAAAACTAACGAAAAGTAGCAAGTGACGTAAAAACGAATCAGACATTTTGAAATATTTTAGCGTTAACTTTCGTCGTTTTGTATATGGAAATTAGCCCGTCAAATGAAACATTTAGTATTTCTTTGTTAAATTAGGCATTCATAGCTTTTATTTGAAAATATCATCGACGGACAAGACTCCATCAAATTTCCTTCCCATATATATAACGCGCACATTTTGCGCAACCCAACCGAAATTTTTCACACGTTTTTTTTACAACACAATATATTTTTGTAATGCAATTTGGAATTATGCTTATCTTAGTGGTGAAATTTGACAATTTATCGCTACCTCAGGCAGAGTCATTTTTTATCTTATAGGAAACAATATGTTAGCCTAATGTGCCTTGCGTTCAATTTATCTTGAGAACATTTTAATTGGCTGTAACTTTTTTTCTTTTTAGAGATATCAAGGTAAAGAAAAATATAAAATGTAGGGTTAGTAGCCAAATTTTTTTTTGCAATTGACAAAAACAAAAAAACCATCAATTTTCTGACATATAAGCCCACATAATATTTTTTTAAATGGACCGCCATGATATATATGTTTAATAGAATATCTTATTCCGATTACAATGATGTAGCACAAAAATTTTTATATAATTATATAATTTCTAAGAGTGCCCTGACTGACTGATAAAAATATGTTTATGTTTGACATATTTTTGAATTATTGTCCAAGTGATTAATCTTTAAATGGTTATTAATGGCGATTAATCCATTCAGTTTTGAAAGAATATAATATAATAACAAGAATATAACGCATTTAAATTTCAAAAAACTCAAAAACGAAGTTAACTATGTCAAAGGAGGATGCAGTTTTGTTTGGATTTTTTAAATAGGCACAATATTTTTTTGATAAAACATTTTATGGACTGATGAAAGTTCGTTTACTACAAAAAAGGGTTGTAATAGACAAAATATACGATATTGGTCTTTAAATAATCCTTGACAAATACACGAAATAAAAACCCACGGGAACCAATCAATTGATGTATGGTGTGGTGTCATAGATGGACATATTTTGGGTCCGATATTTATAGATCAAGAGTTAACTGGAGATCATTATTTGCAACTCTTGGAACACCGAATAGAACAATATATAGAAGATTTACCCCTAAATATATCAGCGCTGATTATATGGCAGCAAGACGGTGCTCCTCCTCCTCACAATGTTGTGCACGTTAAAAATTTTCTTAAAACGGAATTTCCCAGGGGTTGCATAGGGAACGACGGAACTATGGACACGTAAAAAATCACGTGCACAGAACTCTTTGTAATAACGTCGTGAAACTTCGACAAAGGATTTCAGAGGCAATCAGTCAGTTAAGAGACAATTCGGAAACGTTGCTAAATGCAAGGGATCGTACAATTTGAGTGTGTTTTTGTTCTACTTGATTATTGTTATTTATTTATTTTCGCACATGATTCTTCCCGGTATTTAAACACGCATCCATCGGTTTTGGATCAGATGGAACGTTATTTCCCTAAAACACTTAGCACAGCTAACTCCAATCGCCACCCATGTCTCTTCTTGCAATTGCAATCCAAAACTCCTAGTCGTGGTTGATAGATTCTTCTTCTTCGGTATTTTTCCTTTTACTCCTTCAATGCTAGGGACTTTACAGAGTCCATATTCCACATCTTCCAGATCTCGTCTGCTAATGGCAAGTATTTTTTTTCCGTATGTGTCGGCTTTTACGGACATGGACGGCACATGGTAGCAGCTACGAAATGTTAAGACGAGCATAACAGGATAGGCAATTGCTAATAACTGTCAAAAGGCCATATAATGTGTAGTATTAAATGCGGCCTTCTGAATCTGATAATGGTAGGTGAGGTCGAGGGTGGGTCAACGTGATATTGGGCGAAGAAGACACTCCTGGCTTAACATTATCCGAGACTGGACCGGCTTCGACGCACGCACCCCGTTCCAAGTCTTTAAGGACCCAATGGGATTTGCTGGAATTGTACCCTAAAGAGAGACGGTATCTTGGTTGTGAAGATAATATCTTGTCTCTATTAAACGGATGGATGTAGTTTTTTAAAAAGTTTTTGGTCAAACTTTCATTTGGGTTGCGCAAATTTGCACGTTATTTGGATATTGTGGCGGTGGTGACATCGAAAAAATGAACCAACCAAACTGCAGACGTTGCAGAGTTGTCCGCAATTGGCCAGCAGCCACTTGTCCCTCCGGTTGAGGTTCTTCTTTAATTCGCTGCGGCATGGCTTGAAGTTGACCCTCAGAATCAATCGCATCGCCTCCTCGAGCCGAAGGAGCCACATCTCCGCGGGTCCGTCCAATAGGACCGGCTTCACGAACTCGACGTACTCGCCGTCATCGGAATACATGCCCGCGGACTCTTGCTTGTTCAGCCCTTTAACCAAAAACCAAGTTCTCTCATTCCAGTATTTATTTTGCAGCATACCTATTTCAAATTTTACAAAAAGCAGGTCAAAATCCAAAATTATCGAATTTTGAATGTTATTTATTTTATAAAATTATTATTATTATTACAATATTTCAATATTACAATTACAATGACTGTTTGATATAGGCAACTAGGTTTGAAAAATGTGTACGTCAGAACGTAACATAAATTAATTTATCGAATTACAAACCTACATTAATTAAATCCTAATTAAAATCGGCAAAGTTAAATTAACTAAACAATTAAGGTTAAGCATTCCTGCCAAACCTGAAAGAGTTTTCTAGAATATATTTTTTGACCTCTCCAGAAAATACAGGCGAAACCCTATATAGCGAAATTGAAGGGACTATTTTTTTTTCTTTATAAACAGTTATAGGCACTTGAAAAATAGCAATAGGCATATATGTTCTGTAGCATTTAATTACTTCATATACATGTTTTAACATCTACTTAGGAGCATTTTATATAAACATTTAAGAAGTAGATTTAATGTTTGTAACGCAAAATTTGTTGAGTTATCAGGTATATATCAAGTATATATATAGACGTTCCGTTTAAAAGTGTCCAATTTGGTCTCTCTGTACACCTTTTTTACGTAAAAAAACTCCCGAATATTTAACTAAGTTCGGTGCACCTATCTATATCTCTTCATTTAATTTTACTGTAGAAAAAATGCAAACAACGAAACCTGGATTTTTCTGTATCCGAATTCTGACCAAATTATCGAACAGTTTCTTCAGGTGCGGCTGTACCGCTTCCGGTTTCTTCGAATTTCCCAGTATCTCGAGCATGTCGTCGTTCGAGACGAAATAGAAACGCGGAAACACGTGGCGTTTCGTCTCGAGGTAGCGCTCGAGCGCCCTCTGCAGCAGATCCAACTTGCCGTTCATCCGCGTCAGTTTGTCGTAGAGGTGGGGCGCGGGCCTGTAATGGGCCGCTTTCACGGCCGACTTCGCGAAATAGAGACGCGTCGATATGTCGCGCCATTCCTCGGTCAGTTGGTCAAAGTCTTCCGATTCCCTAGGCAATTGTTTGCGTATGTCCTCGCCGAAGAAGATATTCTGAAACCGTGCGATTCTTCTTTTTATAAAGTTAATTATATATAATATTTATAATAATAATAATAATAATAATTTTTTTCAAAGAAACTTCCACAGGGTACTGTAGTACTTTTTACAAAACTTCTGGATGTACCTGCTTATATATTGTTTGAGAGAGGCGGAGCTAAATGATTCCCATATTATTGAGTCGTGGTTAAGATTTCTATAGACTCTCGGATTTTTCGTTGGTAGAAGAACTGATTACAAGCAAGAATTTTAGAATAAAATTTTATGTCCGGTTTCATGAGTGTGTTCGGTAGCAGCCGATGAGTTTATTTGTCTTAGTCGTAAGGCTCTTTCGTGTTCTTTGAGTCTAGTCGATATTTTTCGTCCGGTCTCTCCAATGTATTCTTTGCCGCATATGCATGGAATGCTGTAAACTCCTGGCATCTCAAATGGAATTTTGTCTTTGACGGACCGAAGATGTTGAGAGATTTTTGTACAAGTAATAAATCTGGTTTTGACGTTATACTTCTTTAGAACTTTTGATATGTGGTCAGTGATGTTTTGAATGTAAGGAAGTGGCAAGTGTAGGATTGCTTTCGGCCTCATTGCTATTGGAAGGTTGTGGTGAAGTGTATTTTTTTGATCAAACGTTTAACATCTTTAATGTGGATATTATTAGAGAGAAGATCATTGGTAAGTTTGGGTTCAGTGATTCGGGCCGAGATAGTTCTACGGCTCTATAAACAAGAGAGTTGATAACCGATGATTTTTGACCCAATGTTAGGTCTAATTTTCTATTGATAAAAATATCTCAGGATTTTCGTCGTGCCGTGACTAAAACTTTGTTTGCTATAAGCTATGGATAGGAATGCCGAAATACTTGTCTACTACTCTACTGCTCCGATTTAGTTGAGCAATGGATCTGTACCTCCAAATAAAGCCACTGGCGTTGCACTTGCAGCGCGACCTCTAGCGTCTCGAGAACATACGACAACGTTTTCTCCCAGTAGTCGACCATTTCCTTAAACGGCTCGACGAACCGCGTACCCTTCATCGTCGAAAGTTGCAAAATGTGATCGTCCAACATCGCCAAACATTCATCAACGCTTTTAATCCTGTATACGCCGCGGTCTTTGTAGGGGACCACTTCGATTTTCATTTCCCGCCAAATGTCCGCGATCGACTTCAAACCTTTTTCGATTTGCAGCTCCATAGTTGCCGCGTTGGAAATCTCGTTTATTTCGTCGGCGAATCTGTGTGGGAACGAGAGAGAGAGACGAGATACACTTCTAAAGTTCCCATTGTTCAAAACTCTCCGAGAAGTTAAGAAATTTTCTATTAACTACCGTTCAATATCTCTCAGGTATTGAATTTTATCGTTTATCTTACTATATTTACTATATAGGGGCGGGTGGGGCAAGGCGGCCCCCTGGGGCTACCTCGAAAATTAACCAAAACATTTTTTTCTCGTTTTTTCTTCTCATAAGCATCAATTCCGGTTATTTGTACATTTTTAGTCATTTGCGTAATACCAGGCTTAAAATGGACCGCTTAAAAATTCGAAAAAAATGCTATTCCATATTATTATAAGCGAATCATAATTAATTTATTGAAAGTGTTATTTTTTGGTTTGGGATTTTGCCAATAGCAAATAGAAAAATAGTTACTAATCGGTAACGTTTTTTTCTTTATTAAATAGTTTTTAATAAATGATTAAAGTTAGTATATATAAAATTATAAATAGGGGAGAAGCTTCACCAAAATTTGGGTAACTTTAGTTAATGTTAGTCAAAAATTAATCGACTTCGCGGTTAAAAGCCACAGAAAATAATAAAAAGCGAAAGTTTTTCCCAATCTCGGCGTACTTGTGTATTTCCATGCGGTAAATCGTTTCGAGGTTGAACTGAGACGACGTTTCGTCGAATTCGATGCCGACCGTTTTCCGGACCCTGTCCCAGTGTCGGGGTCTCATTGCCGGATTCTTCAAGTTTCCGATCAGCGGCAACGTCCGCCTGAACGCGTCGACCTCCGATTTGACGTCGTCGACGATTTTCCAACTGAGAAAATGGCAAAATGTTATTAAGGAAAACGATGAACTTTATTTCATCGCGGTTCGTATCAAACCACCAACTTTTTAGAGATGATCCCAAAATAATTGCATACATGCGCTCAGGAAATACTGTGAAGTACTCCAAAGGGACATACACTTCTTCGTGGAGTGGTGACAACTGCAACTTGAATGCACCAAAGTGAGTTCGTATGTTTTTTCCTAATCGAAAGAACACTGCTGAGTCTTCGTATAGAACCATAGAGAATGTGTTGAACTTAGTTGATGTTGCAACAAATTTTGGCTGAAAATGAATGGATTTTTCTTCTTGTGAACGATGTAGCAAGGCAGTTCGATTCAAACTACCAACTGTTTAGAGATAATTACAAATTATTTCGATGCATACGTTCAGGAAAGACTCTGAAGTACTGCAAAGTAACATACACTTCTTCGTGGAATAATCATAACTTTAAATTGAATGCAGCAAAGTGTGTTCGTATGTCTTGTTCTAATCTTAAGAATACTGCTCAGTGCTCGTATAGAACCATAGAGAATGTGTTGAACGGAGTTCATGTTGCAACAAATTTTGGCATGATAATGAATGCATTTTTCTTCTTGTGAACGATGTAGGAAGGTAGTTCGAGTCAAACTCCAACTTTTTAGAGATGATCACAAAACATTACGATGCATACGCTCAGGAAAGACCGTGAAGTACTCCAAAGGGACATAGACTTCTTCGTGGAGTAGTCACAACTTTAAAAACACAGTATGTTCGTATGTCTTGTTCTAATCTTAAGAATACTGCTGAGTGCTCGTATAGAACCATAGAGAATGTGTTGAACGGAGTAGATGTTGTGACAGATTTTGGCATGATAATGAATGGATTTTAACGCTTCGACCAGCATTTCGTTATCTTAGGTATAATATGAGTTAGATGAATGTTGGTGAGGTAGGTGTGCTTTATGGGCTGCTTACTTTGGCGAATCGCAGAATATTTCAGGACCTGTGTTTTGTTTTAATGTTAAAGAATGGTGTTATTAATTATCCTTGCATTTTAACTTGTCTGTTCCTCTTGGAGAATTGAGATAAGGTCACGTTTTCATCACTGAGTAATACTGGACATGACCAGATGTACATTTTCATGAAATATGTAGTTTTCCATCTATAGCGATGTTAAATTTTTTGTTATGCACATCAGAAATTCGGACACTCATTGCTACTTAAAATTTACATTACTTTTTGTCGTGCAGTTCCCTCGACACTTTGCTAAGTTTTCGGAATAAAGTCTGCGCGGTCTCCTCCATTTCTCCCGTTTCGATTTTCCAAAACTCTCCCGTCTTGTAGCTGTTCCAGGCGCGGTCCCATTGGGCAGCCAGATCCCACACCAGCTCCAACGACACCAGTTCCTACGCCCGACCCACATTAAAAAAAAAACAACGGATTCGCTCCCATCACACACTTACAGATTCCAAACGGGATATTTCTACGCATTCGTCGTAGCTCAGCCCGAATATGGCCAAGTCGTTTCGTAGCTTTTCGTCTTTTTCTTTCAGGTCCTTTAAAGCTGCTCGAATTTTTTGTAAATAAGCGAGGCCGTCAGCTACGGACCAATCGGAAGTGAAAGGTCCTGAAAAATCGAATAAAACGACGAAACAGTTTTATTTTGTTTATTTTAAGTATCTCTTCGTCATGATAAAAAAATATCAAATATTATATATTTAATCAACAAAGTTGGACGAATATCCCAATTATTACTATCCAAAACTGAATGTGAACAATGCCGCGATGTTCCCAAAAGGTTAAAATCAAAATTGGACATCCTATTAATTATTAAGAAACTATGTTCCTGTTGTTAAAACAAAAGAAAATACTGCCCTTTCAAACGAAGAAATTTAAATAAACTGTCATTATACTCATAATGTTTTGCACAGTAATTTGTTCAATTTTCAATTTTTAAATGATTGACTTCAGATAGCTGCGCTGCGACTCACCTTTCGCCATAAATTCGTCCAATATTTGTCTGGCTAACCGCACGGAAAGTTCCGCTTGCTCCAGCAGGCCGGTTTTGAAACGTTCCTGAGAAACAGAGGTTAATAGATTCGGATCCACACGGACTTTGCCCGATGAACCGCTCGACAACGACCGAGCCGAATTCTATAACGTCACGGCGCCTCCCTCGTCGATCAGTACCTTCGAATAGTCCAGCAGTTTTTCCGCATGCTCGAGCACCTCCAAATAATCGGCCCACTCTTTCGGCAGGTTTTTGTGTTTCGTCCTAAGAGGTTGCGGAAGCGCCACGTTGTACTTGTCCAGGGTGTAGATACGTTCGCTAATTTGGGGAAATTGCTCCTCTTCTAACGCTATTTCCGCCTTTAGCTGGTCGTAGAGTTGCAGCGAGAACTGCATGTGATCCAAATTTTCTGGTTCCTTTAAAATTCTGTAAATAAACCATCATTCTGGGCATTAAACTCACGCGGTTTTGTTCCCTTGATGTTTCGCATCTATTTTTGGTCACAATTGATGATTTGGAAAATTTGCTCTAGTTTTTGTTTAAATATTTACAATACAAAGGCTGAAAATATTGAAAAAAAGATAACACAATGGAAAATGTCGGAAATCCATGAATTATTTCTTTTTAAAGAGCAACAGCAATCTGCCATCATGTGACAGTCTCATCCAGGTTATTACGAAGAAGTAGCTTGATAAAATCGTCATCTTTCGTTAGAACCACCAAATATTTTATTTTATCTCTGATTACTAACTACTTCCTAATGACGTTGGCTTTGCCAATAATTAAGAACCATCTCAAAAGTCATACATTGAAATTGAAATTTGAAATTTACACAAATTGACCATTGCTGCCCCAAGTAATTACTTTTTTTTCGAAAATGATCTAACATTTTCACATTCTTTAAGTGTTGTTGAATGAATTGATGTCATTACATTACACAAGTTCTTCATTTTCACTATAAAACATTTTCCTTTTCAATGTAAGTTGCATTATCATTAGTGCTAATAATTTTTTTCCTTTGAGTGCTGAAGCTAACAGTTTTGATCCTTGTTTCGATAAATTTAAATTACGTATGTGATATTTCTTCTCTCCTTTTTTGTTACACAACGATACACATCCATACATCCACAAATATGAAACAACTTTAATTTTGTTGAATAACCTAGATCTTGGTCGTTCTTCAGAGTGAGGAAAGCGTGCACAAAAAACATGCGCAAAAACCAAATCATAGTTGAAAATATGAATTTTGTGAGTAACAAGCTATTTATTGTTTAAAATATGAGGTACGCAATCGCAAAAACTAGACCATATTTCAGTACTTCCATGAATATTATAAGTATTGAAAAGAAATTTAGCAAAAACATTTAGAGCAACAAAGGAAATTTTTTTATTAGAGCTGTGTTATCGCGCGCACCACTCTTTAAAGAAGATTTTAAGACCTATCGTCTAACATACTCTTTCGTGTTCCTGTTTATGTACTCGTAAACGTCGTCGAGTTTCCTTTCAGTCATCCTGTAGAGCAGCTGACAAAGTTTGGCCTGCCATTCGATACAGTGATCGATAATGGAACGTTTCAATTCGGCGCAGTTGATTTGCAAAAAGTGCACGTCCGACACGGCCTCCTGAATCTGAACGTTGTTGGCCAGCTCGGTGTACCGACCGATGTTGGCGTCGAACAAGGAGGCTGTGGGATTTTCCCGTTCGTAACGTTCTACGAATCTAAACGAACAATAATTAGAAAATAAAATACCCAAACCTCAATAGTGGCGGCACCGACCTGTCCTTGTCTACTTCCCACAGGTCCCTAAACGGCTCCCAGATTTTGATGTACTCTTTGATCTTCTCGACCGCCACTCGAACTTCTATGAGGAAGTAAGACAATTCCGTTAGACGAATTTGGTCAAAGACCTTTATCAGTTTGACGTGATTAAAGCAAATTGAAAGAAACTCGGGTCCTGTTCAATCGAACCAAGCCAAATGTGCACCAAAACTGACTGAGAATCGGCACTGCTATGATACTTTCGACGCACCCAGTCAATGTAAACATAGAGGTTATCGGGTTAAACGGTACGATGAAATCGGTATTCAATGAAGTGCGCACCTCGTATGTATGATGCTTTACAATATACCGGAATGTATAGAATTCAAAATGCTAAAAGCAATGTGACCAGATTTATCACTTTTTCGATACACGTCATAATTTCGTTATTTTTAATGGAATGCCCTATTTACTTTTTTGTCCAGTGGATAAGGTCTCATGATTTCAAAATTTGTTTCTATTAATTACTGAACTCTGGCGACATCGCTTTTTCAGTAAAAAGTACAGGAACGCTTCAAAACTGCCAAAGCTGGAACGATGAAATTCAACATCTACGGGGTTTTGAACAAGCAGAGTTCAAAAATGGTAACAAAATTTACTGTGTTTAAACGCATCTCAATTTCTGACAAGTGTCGGTACTTTTTACCAAGTCGGTCTACTCAGGGAACATTAGAAGGAAGCCTCGGAGGCGGTGGCTGGTTAACGGTAAGTGTATTAACTATATTATACATTCAGACAGTCTGGAGGATCTAAGTAGCAAGATCTAAGTATATAATGTATACTCAGAGTATACACAAGATATGGTGGTCATGTCACAGAATATAGAAGAGTATAGAACAAGAAAAGCGACGTTTGTCACATCGAAAATGTTCGAGATTTAATTTTTCACCGAATCTTCCGCATGCTGTGGAAGTTGTATCTACACTTCTTATGTATTTCGACGGCTTCCTTAGGGGGCTGCCTGAAACTGAGGGCCGCTGCATACATCTTAACTACCCTAGTTCACACAGTAAAATATAGCTCTGGAATCCGTCTAACCGTCTAACTTTAAGTCTGGTTTTCGATTCATAAGAATGTCTCGATAGGCAAGAGTATTCTTATTTTTTATTTTTGATAATGAAATTCTCGTTTGTATGTATAGAGATTAGATAATTCAGAAAGGTCTTAAACATTGTCGAAGATTTTCCAAGAATGAAGAAGCGGCTTAGAACCAGCATTGTTATACTACTGAAGAGGATCTTGACCAAAGTCACGCAAGTATTTATAGACCAATTACAATCTTTTGCAATTTTTTAAAAAACACTAGAAGTTATTCTCTGTGATCGTATTTTCAACTCTTTGAAGAAAATTATCTCACTAAATCAGCATGGCTTATACAATTCCCGATATACCGTTACTAATGTAGTACAGTTTACAGAGTATACAGCACAAGATAAACAACGACAGCTGATGTCGCTTTTTGGTAAGGCTTTTGACAAAATTAATTACGCAGCTTTACTTCAAAAACTCTTGGACCACTCTTGTTTCTAATATTTATTGATGACGTTATTTCAGTTCTCAACAATACTCAAAGTCTGTTATTTGCGGATGACCTAAAAATGTTTTTCTCCACTACGTTACTTTGCGGAATGCGGTGGATACACTATGCCATTGGTGAACCTCGGACGATATACACCTTAACATAGTGAAATGCAGGGTTCCGAATTTCCAATGAGGGGGACATTTCGATCAAAAACTTGTTCAGGAATCACATAACGAGATTTGTATCTGAGGATGATCTCAATTATAGTTTTATTGTGCGTAATTGTAAATCATTTACAAATATCCTGCTTTAACAACCCCTTACTTTGTTCTATCTCACCTAAAGTGGAGTCCACGTCGCTTGTGGCGAGTCCGATTTACTCTTGTCGTAGCTGGGCCGGTTGATGGTGTATTTGAATTTATAAATTGTTACATAACGTTAATTTTGGAAGATAGTGCATACGTAACGAACTTTAAATTCTACAACGGAAGTGAACAAAAGTTGCGAGGTCTCGTAAAAAACCTTTTAGATAAATATGAAAATATTTGGTACCAGCATTTGCGTTCCAGGAAGGTAAGAATATGTGGTACAATTAGAGAAAATCGTGGGTGACCTCAAGATATAAAAAAATAAGTTAAAAAGAGGCCATCATGTTTTCCTTAGAAAAAAAATAAATCGTAAACCTGGTGGAATTATTAAAAAACCAGAACGTAATATACATTACAATAAGTATATGAACGGTGTCGATTTGGCAGATCAATACCTTTCTTATAATCCTATTATAAGAAAAAGTCTCAAATGGACAAAAAAGGCTTTTATGTTTATGTTGAACTGCGCATTATTTAATTCATTTGTGTTATACAAGAAATTGGACCCGGCAAAGAAAATGAAATTTAACTCTTATTTACTAGAAGTTGCTAGAAGATGGGTCAAAAAACAAGAAAATGCGGGTTTAGAAGCCGAAGTTTCTGAAGGCCCATCAAAAAGAGTTTCTCGTGAAGATCCACCAAGTAGACTTTTTCAAAAACACATAGGCTTGTAAAACTTAAAAGTTCGGGGGAAAAAAATCCACAGAAACGGTGCAAAATTTGCGAAATTCACGGCATAACGAGGGAAACTTACTTTATGTGCGGATATTGTGAAATTCCTCCGTGTGTTGGAAAATGTCTATTTCTAAGGACTACCACATTAAAAAAATATATTAGAAATGTTATTTTCAAATTAGGTACTTTTTTGTCCGAATAATTGTTTGAATGGTTTGTTTTATTTAGGTACTATAGTTTTATACAAATAAACGTATATTATTATTTTGCTTATAGCTTTACTCTTGTTTAACCCTTAAAGAATAAATGGTATTCATTTAAACATAATATGAGTTATGAGTTAATGTAATACCGTTGTTCAGTTGTTGCTGGATTCGTTTGCAATCGGCGTCATTCGCGATCAACTCCGAATACGGGACGTAGATGTCCGCATCGCTGACGTGAAACTTGTCGTTCAAGCGTGGCAACGATTTAACCGCCTCGACCAGCGTGTTGTGCACGTTCGCCACGATCCGTGCCACTTGCACCAGGGCCGGATTGAAATTAATCTGCAAATCGACGCTTTAGTGACGCTAAAGTCCAAGATCCCCCTCAAAAAATAATGACGACCTTCATACCAATGTAAATCCAACAGTCAATAATTTAATTGTAGGTGAGCTACAAGACGGGGTTAAATCAAGCAGATGTCGTATAAGTAGAAGATTATTTTAACAAGAATCTTTACTCTCTACTTACAAAAACTCCAATATCATCGATACAGGATATTGTTAACATGAAAGAAAAAATCGTAGGAAATTCTAATCTCCCCGTCTGGGCATTAGCAAACAACGTACGATAAAAAAATGTCATATATATTGTCTTTATCAAAACTAGATTGTTTTTACTTGGATAAATTACGTCACCATAATGTCAAATTACTTGTGTTTGTCTGCAAAAAAAATATTAAGGACTGTAGCTTGAGCCATCATGAAGAAGCTAATGCACAATTCTGTGAAAACTGGCGGTAGCATTATCTCTTAAAATATATTTCCGAGAACAGTGTCATGGTGTCATTTGATGTCCAAAGCTAGACCAGCCCAGAACACCTGAATGACGGGAGAGATATTAGGGCTTATGGAAAAAGAAGAATATTGCTCAAAAATTCAGTTAAAAAATCAGAGAAACTAAAGTGGATTAGCATAAAAGAGAGTGCAGGCAACTAAAATATTATGAAAGTTAATACGATATATTCAACCTGCAAAAAAGATAAAAGTTGCAGGTGTAAGTAAAGATCGTCCACCACACGATTTTGAGGATAGACAGGGAAAAAGAATTTTGACATAGAAAAACAACCGGAGGAAAGGCAGATACATATAACCGAATTGTTTGAGGACCACAGGAACCTGTCGCATTAGCTAAAAACAGTAAGACTGCAGGATCAAAATAATGAATGTTGCCATTACCGTATGATAGATAAACTTGACGAATCACATTGTAAAAATGTTTTTCTGAATATATGGAAGGCTTAACAGAAAACTTGGCAGTCATATTAAAAGCACTTAATTTGGATTCAGGAATGGTTTAGGAACACGTCAGTCACACAAAGTCAGACATGTCAATATGCTGCAGGTGTTGAATGGCATAAAAAGAATATATACTTTCAACTGAACACATCGACGATCAGTAGAGGAGATCAAGCGAGGAGTCGAAGAGAACATAACAGAGTTGTAACGAAGCTTTGAAGATGTGACATAATTTATGTGAACGATAACTAAGTTGATGTACCTGGGAAGCGCCATCAATGAAAAATAGAACCTAACGGATAAAACTAAGAATCGAATGACCAAAGCACGTACGACATTTATGAAAATAAAGCAAGCTTGTGTACACACGACTTGAACATCGATATGGAAATCAAAATTCTCAAATGTACTCCTGTATGAGGCATTTGAAATGCGGAGAATCTTAAGAGTTGCGGTAGGTGGACAATTGACTACTCAATAAATCGTCAGGATTGGTTAACAACATCAAACGCCTTAATATCGAATGCTTTGGACATGAGATGCCCAGAAAAATAGGTTCCACTACACTTGATTATGGAGGGGAAATTTTGGAGATTTGTAATAAAAAAACTATAAGCTAGGAACAAATTTGACTTTATTGTTTCTCAAAATATTCACTCTGATGATCAATACACATCGAGTCGGGGCACCTCCAAAACATGCTTTTTAAACGCATCAATCGCTTCTTCTGGGGTCAAAAATCGTTGCTCACATAATTTACTCTTATTGTATGGGAATAAAATAAAGTCATTAGGTGGTAAATCGAGACTATATGGTGCTTGGCTAATCAAATCAACGTTTTTAATGCTCGGAAAGTTTTTTGTTTTGCACTGATTTGTGAGAGCTGGCATTGTCGCCGTGGAGAGTGATTCGTCTTCGGCGGTTTCTAATTTCTTCGAAGATTTTCGGCAAACAAATCGAATTTTCAAAAAAAAAAAATGATTACGCTTAAATATACATAATATACCGAGTGTTTACGTTTTTTACTACCGCCAACAAGTTATTTCGATAATTGCCTTCAAAAACCGAGACATTGTTGTAGACCATACCTTGTTATCTGTGAGGTTCACCTCTATCTTGAGCAGGGGCGCGGGATCTGCGGTCCCGTCGCCGTGCAACGCTCCGTACATCGAGACGAGCGCGTTCTTGCAGCATATCTTTAACGCTTCCTCTATCAAGCGATCGAAATTGTTTATGTAGCGCATCCACTCGTTGGCCATCTGAAACCGAAAAGGTCTGTTCTCTGTTCTCCCCAATGGAGACATTTATGTAGCCGGATAACTGTAGTGTTGTATTATTTAAAGCATTTTGAAAAATTTTTTTGGGTCTGGAAAAACCCGGATTTCTCAAAAACCGTAAAAATATCGCTTAATCGACAACATACAGGAGGCGGCGGTTATGGTTCAAACACTGAAAATTGTCGTTTTTCGGAGCAAGTTAACTGACAAAACGTGGAAAAACAAATATAACCAAACCAAAACTTACTCAGCTATCGAAACGTATATTTTAAATACGGAATTCGAATCCTACGGAAAATTTTAATTAAAAAAAATTGTCATTACCGCACCCATGACGCCTTCGAATCCTTCGTATACCAAGACCAAAAATTCGATCATTTTGTGGTAGTATCCGATCAAGGTGTTCAAAGTGCGGTCCATGTTACCGCTTAGTTCCTCTACTAGTTCTTCTAGCTCGTACGCAACGTACTGGCCCAAATCGACCAACGGTGTATCGCATATCTTCTCGCAAATCATCACAATTTGAAGGTTGCACTGCTTGTAGTCGTCGACAAACTCTTGCAACTGTCAACATTTTGTTCTTGTTAAAACACACGTCAACATTGTGTTGAAAAATACCACATATCAATTCCAATTGAACTTCTGGTTCATGGGCGATAGGAGTTAGTCTTTGCAGCTGTCAGTTTTGAGACTTTGACAATTTTAGGTTTTCATATGATTAGTAAAAAGCAATTTTTGTTTTCTTAGTTTAAAAGTCTGAGAAAGTGGAAAATCGCCAAAGAATATCTAGGAAATAGTAGTGAAAGCTGTCGGAATCAGTTTCGAAAATTGTGAATCAAAACAACACAATATAATTCCGAAGAAATCCAAAAACTGGATATTTGGGAGAAGTTCGGAATGTGATTTATGATTTATATAGATGAAAAACCATTGCAACCAGTTTTCAATGAAAATAACGCAGTATTTTAGATATTGGACTTATATCATTGTCGACATTAATAACAATGTTAGGTATTCGCTGTAAAAAAAAGAGTGAAAAGATGTAAAGATTTGTGAACAGCCACAAATAATGAGTGAAATAGTGAAAATTTAAATGGAAATTTTCCAACCACAACCAGATGATCCTCTTAAAAGTATTTAGCGAAAAAGAGAATATGCGACCGGAAACGATTTATTCCAGGTGCAAGTATAATTTTTTTTCATCACAAAAATTTGTGCTATCGTAATAATACGAATTGCCAAATGTTGGCTAAAAGAAAAACGGATACCACATTTGGATACTCCGTATTGGACAACGCTGCTTCACATTCAAGAATTTTAATTAAAAAATCTACTTTAAGAGTGGCTTCAATAACAGGGCTAATTTGTCAAATGTCAAAAAAATGTCAAATGTCAAAAATATTGTTGAGCAGGCCATGATTGTTGTTCCACGACTGCCTAGGAATCATTGCCATTGAAGAGAATAGAATTAATGTGGGCTCAAACTCACGAGTGTTTAGTAAACGAGTGACTTAAAAAGTTTACCTAACCAAAACCATACTATACTTTTTCTACGGCCGTTAGTTTTTGGTTAGATTTTCGCAAAACAAGACGAATATATTCACTGACATGAACATCAGACTTGACAAGCGTGGGAAACATCTCCGAATACATCCGATTGCTCCCAAATCTGCGCGGTAAAAACCCGGAAATGTCCGAAGTGGCTCAGATCCGTGTGAAACGAAACTGACTTGGTAAAGTGTCATTTCCCGCACGCAGGTAGGAAGAAATTCAGAAAAATGACTAGCAGATTAGACTTAGACAACATAGAAGACGAGGACTTCTGTGATATTATAATTTCCGGTACAGTCCTTAATTGTGACTTCCACTGTTTCCGCCTCTGCTTTCTGGAGACTGGCTAGCAAATTTTAATTTGCTTGTGGTTCTACTATTCCTTTGCATCTTTCTGAAATAGATTTTAGCAATCGTGAGAGTTGTGGCATTCTTCCCCACATAGCCACCAGCCTCTAGTCGAATTGCAACAACTCATGATTTATGCATAAAAGTTTGTCATGTGTCAAACACTCGAAATGAGAAATGCGTAAAGATAATATAATTTTTAGAATTGTAGTAAAAATTTGAAAAAGCTTTTATATCATTTTATAGGAAATTTGTCTTGGAAACCAAGTATATCCAGACCTAGACCATAGCACACAGAAGTTGTGGTAGACCAAGGAAGAGGTGGAAGTCACTCCGGGTTAAACATAATTATGTTTGACCATTTTTGGTGTCCCACAAAATAATGGATGTGGCAAACTTAATGCATGGGGCTTTCTTGAACTGCAACTGATATGATATCCTTTTGTGATTTCAAGCGGCAGCAAGGTTAAACTGAACTGAAAATCCTAGACACCTTGTACCTAATTGGACTAATCCAGTAGACATACTCTAGTAATATTGCACAAATCAGAGTAAAGTAAATACTTGGGGGAATGATTTCAGTTTATCAGGGAATAAGGCAAGGTGACCTGCTTAATCTTGTGATGAAATAAGAGCTAACACCACAGAAACATTAGATATCATCGATGTCAGACGAGAGTGGTCAGAATTAAGAATAACGATACTATTTATACATTTTTTGGATTCCTACTGCGTTGATCCTCGATAAATCGAACTTGCTGACGTTTCGTCAATCATCATGTTAGCTGCTTCAGAGCTTAACGAAAACCGAAACAACTTGCCAATAGTATTACAGTAGCCTGTGGAAGTTTGTTTGAAAATCATTTTCGATATTTTTCTAAATACTTTTGTAAAAATAAGTTATTTATTTAAAACAATTCATGAATGTACGATGTAGAATTGATATGAACTTCTGATTTTGTTTCAATTGTTCAATGGAGTGAAAGGAATTGAGTACGAAACAATCAATCAGATTTTTAATACGGAAGCTAGATAGTTTGCTAAAGAATATGTTGGAGAACCAATGTGCGGATAGATCGAAGAGGTAATCCTGCTTTGTAGAATGAAAGGATCAGGAACAGAGTGAAGTTATCAAGGATAAGTGCAAGATGCAGAAAGTTAATTTATGGGTGCAAAGGAGGAAGCAGAGTGGAGTGCACACGTGTTAGGAAGATTCACTACAACGCCCCTTGAGGTGGACCAAGAAAATAGAAAATACTTTATTGTTAAAAACGATAGCTTTGCAGCATTCAAAATATTTTAATTCCGTACAGCAAAACTTAAACTTTTCATCATAAAAAAAATGTACTTTTTACAAATCTTCCTGATTCCTCCTGAGTCGGGTTTTGTTGAGTCGAACTTGCTAACGTTTTGCCAATCATCCTATTGGCTTCTTCAGAGCAGACACTTCAGCAAGTTAGATTTATCAACATTCGACGCTGGATGAATCCAGAAGTTTTGCAAGTAGTATTACACTGGTTTGTGGAAGTTTTTTTGGAAAAAAACGTGTTTATCCCACACATCGTCATACCTCGGCTGTAATATGACTGCACTCGGAAATGTACTCATCTCCAACTTCACTGATCCAGGTGAGCTTGCTTAGTCCTGGTGCAATTTTCTTCTCCACGTTCGTTATAAGCGGCTTAAAAAGTAATCTCTCCTCTTCAGATAGGGACGTGATGATTTTATTGTAGTCAATAACCACGTTCAAAACGCACTCGTATATGAATCGCACGTTATCGGCCTTCGCGTGCAGAGTTTTGACGTACGTCGGTATCTCGAAGCTCATGCTGTCCCAGCACTTCGCCTCTTGGAAAATCTCCAAAATCGATCTGCTCGTAAAATTTTATTTATTACGGCAGTGGTCGTAATCCACTTTTAATACGATCTTAATATTTTATATTGATGTTTGAAATTTTCAGGTTAGGTTTACTCAGTTAGGTTTTGGCGAAAGAAAAAAAAATTGTGACGGTTAAAAATCGAACTTTAGACGTGGACTAGCTCAACAACTATTCGACTTTCGGAGTTAAAGCACTGTCTAGCACTACTGTTTATCGCTGGTTTCCGGACTTCAGTCGCGGCGTACCATCAGTGTCTGCCAAAATGGCCATGTCAAATTCCGTTTTGCCAGAAACGTCGATTAGTCCAACATCCCAAGCACAGGCTCCAATTTTAACACCTAATTCTACACCTGATCCAGTTACCAGAAGAAATTATTTTATCTGTGTTGCCCGAACCGCAGCCATCAACCTCTGAAGAAAATATTGATTTAATTATAGGTAGATGAAGTAAACATTGAATCTGAGGATATAATCTGCATAAATTTTGACGAGAAAACAAAAAAGCATCGATCAAAAAGGCAGGCGTTACATTCGCATGATAAAGAAAATTTTTTATATAGTGCTAAGAAGGAAAATGAAAATTACGCTGAAGTATTAAGTAAAGCAAAGAACTTCTTTTTTCTGTCAAACACATATTCAAAATAAAATAGTGGCGTTGAGAAAGTTGAGAAAGATGTTTTTTATTTGACACTCGTAGCTTGTACTAATCAAAAAAGAAAATATAATCCTAAATGTGTTCCTCACGTCCGACCATTCAGTGAAGGTATCGTATATGGAATATGCAACGGATATAAATGGAAACATTAAGGCAGATATAGTCTGCATATTGCCCTTGCGCTCTGGGAGGGTGTTTGGCATATCTGATTCATCCGCCTGTTCAATTATAATGTTACTCTCAATAACATTTATAAATGGCCTCTTTGCTACTATGACGTGGGTTGCGATATTTTGTAAAAATGTTTAAGGAGTCCGCCGGAAGTTATGGCCCACAGGCAGTGTGTGCCAATTATATATACTTGTTTATAACAAGAATCTGTAGAAAATATGTAAAAACGAGCCATTAAAGTTTAACGCAAGTGAGCAATATTCTTTTACATCTTTTCTACTTACTACCTGTAGCTGTAGCTTTCAACCTAACAAGTACTTATCCATCTATTATACTATGCATCTTCAAAATTTCAAATTTGCTAAAAGACTTAGGTTTGCCATGCTTTGGATCTTGCACTATCAGTTTATGGTATCAAAAACCTAAAAAAAGTTGCCTTGCCGCGATTTTTTGTAGCAGCTTTCATATGGTCACTGCGGCGGCAACTGATGATAAAGAAAAAACAGAAAATTTTTTAGTTACATTACAGGCGGGACAATAATTTAATTTAAACGAATTAAATAATAATAAACACAAAATTTATAACGCATTTTTTTTATCCAATTTAAATTATAATAAACCATAAGTATAAAAAATTATAACTAAAATTTAGTAAGTAAGCATTATTACAATGAAAGACAATGTTTAAGGAGTTTTATAGAATAGAATAGATAGAATTTATTGACCGCGTTTTGTTGATACAATTGTGGCAAATCATAAATACAATATGTAGAAAAATATGTATATAAAAACAAGACAATGAATTATATAAAACTATTAAGGTTAAGAAGATGTTTTTTTTTAAATTTTTCTATTACTTAGAATTTTCCCGTAACCTGGTTGTTTATTGTACAAGTTTAAGTTTAGTGAATTTTTTTGACTTTTGGTATATTTGAACCTTGAAGCACGAAGTAGCTTGTTATTTCTAGTTAAATAGTCATGGTAAGAGGAGTTCTGACTGAAGCTGTCTATGTTCTTGAGTATTTCTAATAATTGATAATAAATATACAGACAAGGCATAATTTCCAACTTCTTCAAATTGATGGACAATGCTCCAGATAACCTGCACTGGCAATCAATGGAACAACTTTCTTTTGGAGTTTAAATGCCTACTCTGCTGTGGCAAAATTACCCCAGACAACTATACCGTAAGTTAGATGAGAGTGAAAAAGAGAAAAATAGGTAACCCAGTCCTTTAAGTTTACGGATTACAGGTGATACAGTCACATCCGGACTAACCAAAACTAACCCACTGGATTTCATGTCCTATTTATTTAAAAAAATCCCATCTTATGTCCCAAAATTTGTTCTAAACTAATAAGAATTTTACCTCCTCACAGAAAAAGTTGTCCTAACGCTTGAGCGGAGATTCGCCATCCAAAATAAGAAAAGTTCACATAAACCTCTAACTATGTAAAACGAGCGAATTTTCAGTTAGAAAATCCTTACGTCCTACGTGCCGCCAATAAAGCGGATTGTAGTCATTTTCATCATTTTCTTTAGTGTTAATTTTTGGGAAGAGAGTTTATTATCAAATAAGTTTAGTTAGTTTCTTTGACAATACTATTCCTTAGAATAGAGGCAAATAACATTTAACATATTCTAGTAAAAAAGGTTTTTACTAATACTAGCAACACCCGAATGTCATGAAAATCAAGAATTTCCAGACCTACCTACCTACCTATAATGTTTTTTTTATGACGAATGAAGCCCAGCGTTAGTGCATGGTTTTTGAAACACCCTGTTTAGCTAAATGTTTTTCCCGAAGCACGCGGACGGTTTTGGCAAAAATCTTGTATATCTGGTACTGCGTAGCATGTTTTTTTCTTTGAAAGTCCCCGGGAAATTTTTAATTAATTTTAATTTTTTAATTGTATTTGTATTTTTATTTTATATTATCATAAAACATGATACACACAGAAAGCCTAATGATCTATAACTTTCAGTTTGGATAAACTGCTATGATTTTCTTCGATTTTTGCGAAAAAAAATTTTTATTTGTTCAAAATATGCGGGTTTGCCTTACCTGTCTATGTTGCATTCCAATAGACCGGGCCTGGATATACTTCTGCATATCAGAGGTCGCTGAAGTCTCAAGTTAACGTCTTCTCCGACACTGTCGATCCATTTGCGGTAGAGGTTGAACACCTTGTCATCCACCGAAGAAACCAGTTTTTCGTACTGCGCGAAAACCTCCCTCTCGATGCTGCACGGCATCATCCAAGTTGCCTCGTCAAACATCTGTTACGTTTTTGTAAGTGAGGGTGGAGTAAATTTTTTAAATTTTTACTATTAGACGCAAAGATTGTATACTCAAATAGGATACATGATGCCTTATGATTCATTGATAAAATTAAACGGATATAACATGCAAAATGAAGTTGAATGGACACTGGAGGGAAATTACGCGGCAGTTGTGGTGTATAGTATAACCAACGATCTATCGAACTCCTGCTAGCGGAGTTATTGTTGAAGGCGTGAAATTCACCAGCCGCATTTCGTACCAAACAATACAACATGCACTCGTAATCAAATTCGTAACAAACACTGGGCTTCTTCACAATAAACTCGTGAAATATTGAGTTCGATAGATCGCCGGTCCTACTATACCAGCTCCACGAAATCTGTGAAATCCGCAACTTCATAAGGCATTTCTAAAATTTGGTTAGATTTTTGAACACCTTCGATTAAACAATTTATCTTTAACCAAGCATAAGTTTGATCATAAACTTAAACTAACTTTGTTTCATTTCGATTGAAATTGAAATAAAAAATATACATTTTTTTTCTATTTGATTTGAAAAATTTGAAAAATTATCGAAATTCCTAACATAATGATTAAACATGATCTTCGATGAAAAAAATTACTTAAAATTGCAAAGCAAAAAAGCATAAACAAAATTTTAAAACATATATAAATATAATTTTTATACCTGCGTTATTACCACTGATAGTGACAATGGTGCACTTTTTGAAAAGAGGTTTTTTTTTTACTCTAATAGTATTTTATTTAAGACGGCATACGACAATTTTCCCAAAAAATATTTTTCAAAATCTGTGAAATTTAGTATAAAGGGGCTTCTAACTAGGTTAGATCCAACTTTCTTATTTTCGTATTTTAAGTAGAAAGGGTATGTTTTTGTTTTATTTTTGGTTTGGTTTATACCAAATTCAACTGTTGTTACAGGAATGACAATAAATGAAAATAACTAATGATAAAATCCATAAACTGGAATTTAATTTAAGAACATAATTAATGGTTTTAACTATTTAATAGCGGAGACAAAAGGTACTTATTTTACTAAATGCTCAAACTGATGTCCTGACCCCAAGGAAATAACTCTAAGGGATTTAAATCTGGTGAACGAGGTGGCCACTGCCTTTGCCCTTCTCTTTCCCTACCTTTTCAAAAGTTCAAAAAACGCATCGAGTCATTGTCAGTCATTGTACAATGCACTTTATTCTGGGTCAGCATTTCTGGGTGCAGTTGAATAAAAAGCATTTCCTTTTCCCAGAAGAAAAATAAAACATTTAACATTAATTGAAAAATTAAAATATATTTGGATTAGTGTTGTATGGGACACTGTTATTTATTTTCTTAGTTTAAATGAATTTATGAAAATTGTCTGTTTACATTTATATTTGATGACTTGGCTAAATCTCTAACTCAAAAATATCAGCAATCCTAAACTATGGGTTGTTCGGAAAGTCATTTCGTTTTTTTTTGGGGAACATGAAAGACAGTTTTCGTATAATGAATAAATATTTTATTAAATTATATATTGGCCTTTCTGGTCCAACACCTTTTGCCATCTTTCTGGCAGTAACATAATTCCCCTCTCATAAAAGTTTTGGTCCTTGCTGGCAAAAAACTGGTTCAGGTGGTTTTTGACATCTTCATTTGAGGTAAAGGTTTTGCCATCCAAAAAATTTTGCAGGGACCGGAACAAATAGTAGTCGGAAGGCGCCAGATCTGGAGAATATGGTGGATGTTGCAGTACGTCCCATTCAAGCTGTAAAAGTTTTTGGCGAGTCACCAAACTTGTGTGAGGTCTCGCATTATCCTGGTGGAACACTACACCCTTCCTGTTGATTAATTCGGGCCTCTTCTCTTTAAGTGAATCAGTCAATTTGTCCAGTTGATGACAATAGACTTCTGAATTAATCGTTGTATTGTCCGGCAAAAGCTAAAAAAAAAACGATTCCTTTGACATCCCACCAAACGGAGAGCATCACCTTTTTTTGGTGAATGTTGGCTTTTGACACGCTTTGAGCCGGTTCATCTTTTCTGCTCCATGACCTCTTGCGTTTAACATTGTTGTATACAACCCATTTTTCGTCCCCAGTAATAATCCGCTTCAAAAATGGATCATTTTCTTGACGTTTGAGGAGCGAATCACACACGTCAACGCGACGACACAAATTTCGCTCCGTAAGGTCATGGGGCACCCACACATCGAGCTTCGAGGTTAAGCCCATGCCTTTCAAATGGCCATAAACAGTCGAATTCGACAAATTTAATCTCTCACCGATCTCTCGTGTGGTTATTCGCCGATTTGCATCAACTAATGCCTTTATCGCATCTTTGTCAGCTTCGACCGGCCTTCCAGACCGTGGTGCATCTTCGACATCAAAATTGCCGGATCGAAATTTTGCAAACCAGTTCTGGCACTGGCGTACTGTTAACACGCCTTCTCCATACACATCCGTCAATTTTTTCTCGCTTGGACAGCATTTTTACCTTTTCTGAAGTAAAAAAGTAAAATATGACGAAAATGCTGCTTATTGCTCTCCATCTTTAAAAGGGCACCAACCAAAAACTACTGCGTAGAATTAATAGAACTTTTTCACACACAAGCCTTGCAATGTCAGCTTTCAAATGGTTATGCGGCTTAAGTGTGAAGTTGGTTTCGAAAACACGTAATTAAGTCCTCTGACTTGAAAAAACAAAATGACTTTCCGAACAACCTTATATATACGGCGTGTCCTATTTTCTCAAAAGTCTTAAAAGGCGTACCAGTTTCAATATGCCCAGACGGTTCTTCTTCATTCGCAGCATCTGAGCCCTGCCCGCGAAATAGGGCAAAACGGCGGGATAAGTCTCCTTTTCCGCCTGCATGTCCCACTTTGCATCAAGAATTTCCTGCCTGAACATTTTGTATACCTGAAAAATTATATTTTTCTTTTTGATATCTTTTTATGTTCCCATAGAATATATAAATTTGCTGTTAAAATGGCAACAATATATTAAAAATAAGAATGATAATTAATAATATATTACAATAATGAGAAAACCCAACGGACCAACAAAAAATTCGAGAATCTATAGAATGCTTGAAACAATCTTAACTCTGCGACCCAGGTCTTTACCTGTCACCAATATGGGGATCAGACATTCGAGACAATGTTAATGCTTTGGCTCCGGCGGAAGAGCAAATGGAAATGCAGATCAAGCATGACGGCTTACCCCAGTAGAAACGTTGCATCCGCTAAGACATTCATCAACATACACCTAAGACTTGGTGAAAGAAGATCATTCAAACCTGATAATATGTATAAAGGGAGACCAAGGTATAAAAGAACCGATGCAAGAGAAGACAAAATGTCGGGACTGACCTGTCAACGGGTACCAGAAAAGTTGCTGCTCAGAAAAAAATTGTCTTGCATCAAAATGGGGCTTAAGCGCTATATGAGGGTGACGAGCAATTGAAAGCAATTGAAATACAATAAAATTTTAGGAAATTTTCAAAATTGCCCGAAATTCCTAAATGTCGTTTTCTTCACTGACGAGGCTTCATTCAGTCGTGATGGTATTGTAAATTTTGCGAAATACCCATCAGCGGAAAACATTGAAAACCCACATTTCGTAAGTGAACATTCGCTACAATTTAGCACTTAGCCATGCCGCTCACCTGCAACGTTTTGCCTTCAAACAGAGTAAACAGCGTCTTCCTTTTGGTGTAGTTGTGCAGAGCGGCCAGCGATTCGACCCCCTCCTCCACGTTTGCTATTTCGTCGAAGACGGCGTTGGTCAGATTCTCCACTACCACCTCGACGTCCTTCATCCGCATTCGGAACCTCAAAATGTCGTCGTGCCATTCGGATCGTTGAACGTCAAATATTGATGCTTTCACCTTAATGAAAAAGGAAAACGGTCATCGTATTACTCCGAATCTTGGTGCAAAAAAATAGGAGTTATTAGAGAATAAAATTTACTACCATAGTAGGAACACAAATATAGACTTGCATGCCCACCGAAAATTTTTGACTTTCGTTTTTTTTTTCTAGCCAAAAAAAATAAATATGCTTTAGTATGAGTCCAAATTTGTCAAGAGCGCTGATGTTTTATATGTGTAGCAACGGATAAACAAATGATATGCAGTAGTCATTGTAATCGTAACAAACTTCGCATTATTTTATTTTTAACCATTTGGATAGCGTTAAAAATATAAAATTATCTTAGTATAATTAATTAATAATAATAATAAGTAATAATTTTAGATAAATAACAAATATATAAACAATAACAAACAACGAATACGTATTAAAAGGTATCACAAGAAAGAAAATCCTTAATATTGTAATAAGCGGGGCGTAGCGATTTGTTTTTAAGAGTGCATTTGAATTTTGTTGGACTGGCCATCTCCTTCAGTTCGATAGGCAATTTATTATAAATTTTTACAGTCAAAACAAAAGGACTATTTGATGTAAGAGACAGTCGGTGTGTAGGTATTTTTATGTTAAGATTCGGTCTCAAATTGAACTGAATACTTTTTACATACTTGGCACAATTTAGTATGTACACACTAGGTAGTGTCAATAAAGTATAACTTAAACACTTAACATTTAAAATTTAAACAGTATAGTCCGTAAAATGCGTTTCTGCATCCTAAAGACTTGCTCCGCACTTGGGGAACCTCCCCAACAAACCAAGGCGTATTTGAGGCAGGAATAGACATAGGAAAAATAGTACATTTTAAACAAGAGGAAAGAAACCTGACCGCGGAGCCTCCATATGACAAAGCAGTGAACAGAAAGTTTTCTGAGAATGTGGTCCACCTGTTCGAAACAGGATAAATAGAGTTTACTGTTGTCTGGATTTGTTTTTATTGATAATTTTATCTATAATGGACGGATTGTAGCCATTGTTCAGTGCAATTTGTTTAATGATATTAAGTTCTTTGTTGTAATTTTATGTTGAGAGTGGCGTATTAAGAAGTCTATGCATAAAAAAGTGAAATGCAGCCATTTTGTGTGTATAAGGGTGATTTGAACTGTTATGTATGACTGTGTCCGTGTGTGAAGGTTTATGGTAAATGTTCAATCTCGATAGTGAATTTTAAACGATTATGTAATGAGTTCATGTAATTCAAAGAAGAATTCAATTGTCTGTCCGCGCCAACAAAGCAAGCAAAGACATCATCCACGTATCTATACCACCATAGAAAACTTTTACTTAAAGGACGTTCTAGTATGATATTTTCCAAATTATCCATAAAAATCTCAGCTAACAAAGGACTAAGTGGGTTTCCCATAATCAAACCTTCCTTAGAGATGTAAATTGGCCCATTAAATTCAAAATAATTTTGGTCTAAAGATACTATTAAGCAATCTAATAAATCTTGTCTCACCCATGGGTTAACCTGTTTTCGATTTAGAGGTGAAATCTACTAAATCTATCACATCCGTAGGTGCAATACTGGGAAATAGGTTTTATGCATCAAAAGATTAAGATTTATTGTCATTGTTCGGTGTATATAGTAGCAGGTAGATATGGTGTTGTCGAAACAGTTGTCATGTAAAAATATATAATTTCGTGAAAATCTAATCTTTTAGTTCTTATTTACTTTGATAAATGGATTTTCATCAAGTAAAAGCCACCTCAGTTCAACGTTCTAATTTAATTGTATTAGCAAATTGTGTTCACCTTTCCTATTTTGTGTTATACTTTTTACATTACCTTCTATTAAAGTTTATAAAATTGACCAAGCCCGCAATGAATTTTTCTGGTTTTTGTTGAAAACATATACATACCTTTTCGATATCGGTTAAACTTTCGACGAACATCGTTTCCACGCGTTCCGCCCAACTTTCGAACTGTGGTCCCTTTGAGGTACCAAAGAGGGGTTTCGGGATTTTTTCGGTCTCGTCGTACCTCAAAGTTATATCAGAGGTTAGTTTGATTTGCTTATAGCTATTACGACTTATAATAAACACCCCCTCCAACTCAGATAGCCCACAATTTTGACAGTCACGTCAGCGAATGTATTCGTGTTTTTTGTTTTGCGAAAATGTACCCAAAATCTAAGGGCCGTAGAAAAAATATACTATGCAACCAGTTCGGTAAACAGCGGTTGAAATTTTATACATTTTTCTCGACAACGCTTTCCCCAAGACTTGGAGGAAAGGATTTTATTGGGGGGAAAGTGCAATTATAAGAGAACTTGTTTGGGGAAGAATGATTCAAAATCGGGTCCGCTTACCTGCCAAACACGATCATTGCCTCGCAAACCTCGATCATATCGTTGCAACGTTGGATGAAAGAGTCAACATGATTGAAAATCGGCGCCTTGTCGATGTCCCACGGGTGACTGCCAAATTGCTTGTGACTGTCGCATACCTGTCGCAAACGAAGAAGGAGATTTATTAAAAATGTAAAATTCGCCTCATTTTTACCAAGATGGTTTAAATATATAAATGTAAGTATTTAATAAAAATTCTGAAAAAAACAATCCTACATAGCTTAGCAGATGCATAAGGGGAGTTCAGACGAACATAACTTCAACCCCCCACCCCGCGGGTGCCCCGATCCTTTTAGGGGGTGCTCCGCCTCCGAAGTGGGGCCCCGATACTTTTAGGGTATTAACTCTTCCACGGGTCCAATGTCAGACGTTCATCACTTCAGGAGAGTCCAAATATCGGACAAATATGTCTGGCCCTTGATTTTCAATCCATTTCCAGTTTCTGCGAGATCGGTTCTACGACCTAAATCATATATCGATCGCAATCTGATACTCGGCTGATTTAAGTAAGCATTCATTCGTATGCTCGCCCAATCATATAATGCGAAATCAATAAAATACCGAAACAAAAAGGACGAGCGACTCGCGTCTCGCAAGCGGGCAGATATGTAATTAACTTGTTGAATGCCATACTCTGAAACCACGATATCCTACACTGGCATTTTGTTACAAAAGGAAGTTAATTTTTTCAGCGCTGTAAAGGCGAAACGATGAAATACGTTTATTTGACCTTTTATCTTGCCGAAACAAGAAAAAATCACCAATATATCTGCTGTGAGACTGTCATTATTAATAACCACCAGGTCAGTGCGAGCAGTTGAAGAGATTTCTTCCCAAAACATCACGACTATAGACCAAATAATACGGTATTTTGAAACTCTTAGAAGTCTATCTGAGTTTTAGTAACAAAATCTGGTTCCATCTGACCAAATAACTCTTTCCCAGTCCTCATCATCACAATTGATGTTTTCTCCAGCCAAATGAAACCTTAATTTTCGATACACTTGAAATTCTGAGTCCATCTGAGAACCTGTTTTTGTATTTGTATTGTATGACGCGCATTGACCCAATCCTCGTCCAAATAGATTATATTACAGTTTTGTTGGTGACATACTTAAGGGATTTTTTTTGAGTAAACTTTTAAAATATTCGTATAACGTGCGTTTTTCTCCCATTTGATACACTGTATTTTCAATAGAAGCTATCGAAATGTGGCTTTATAGACAACTCTTACGAGTTATCATAGCATCGAACCAACGTATCCGTGTTGCAAGAAATTGGTCAGCGTACAAGTCTCCTGACCAGAATAACACCGCATGTATCTGCAGTACCTGGGGCATATAGCTAGAAGATCGGGAACATTGGAACGGCTAATCATAGAAGAAAAAGTAGATCTTCAGCTAGATGGGTAGACCAAACAAAACCCTTAATAAATATAAGACTACATAATGAAAATGATAGACAAGATAGACAGGCATGTAATTATCTGAAAGAGGATTCCCAGTGTGACTTGGACTAACCAATCCACCTCTTTGGTTTACCGTTCTCGCCCGAGCCGAATATTTCAAATGATGGTCATCGACTCACCAACACGTACGCCTTTATGTAGTTCGTCATGCATTCGATACAAGTGTCGAACATTGCGATCGATTTTCTCGTGGCTTTTTTTTCGAACATTAGATCCAAATCTATGTACTCTGTGCATTGCAGGATCACTTGGTTACTAAGCGCCCTAAGCAGACTGGTGATCTTTTCGTCCGTATTGTAATACGGACTGTTGATCCAGACGAAGCGGATCAAGTGCAGAATTTTCGGAAGTTGTGCGGCTAGTTCTACCGGGTCACTTGTTTCTGCTAAAATCTAAATTTGGAATTGATGGTGGTGAAACGTAAAGTCTTCTTCCTTTTTTACCTGGCACGGTTCTACTAAAACGTTCAGATATTCAATGTTGGACTTGCACTCGTTGACGTTGCGAAGTATTTCTTCTAGAAGCACTTTAAACTGTCTCACATACGTCGACTGCACTGCGGTGAGGATGTCGCAGACATGTTTGATCCTGACGTTGTCGAGCTGATGGTCGAGACCCAAGAGGTTTTTGTCTAAAAAATGTTAAAGTCTGTTCATAGATATAAGAAAGTGACTAACTGAAACGAATTAAGGAAAGACCCGGGCAAGCTGTAAGAATGAAATATGGCCGAACAGGTCCGTATTTTGCTTAGAACTTAATTATTTGGGGTTTTGTTAAGAAAGATACTAAACAATATTTATTTATTTATGTATGTATTTACGTTTAAGTATACAGTAAAATTACAAATTATTTTTATTACGTACTTAAATTACTTAAAATTATTCATATAATATATCAGTATCACTATCGCTATCATCGCCTGTTCTAATTATTATTTGTTCTATATTATTTGCAATATGGATATACGATTGTTCTGCTTTTTCTGTATGTTTAACAGAATTTGCCCAACTTTGTGGAGGGATGTTAACAACTTCACACATTGTCACACTTCACAAACATGTCCAATGGGATTAAATGTACAGTACAGTACAGGAAGCCTTAAAACTGTAGGCTCTAGATTTTTTGCATAATTATCACAAACGTATTCCTTTTGTAGGTTCAAGCTCAATTAATTGCTTTTTGGTATAATCTTCGTGAAAATAAGTGTCGTTATTATACATGTAGTTTTGGATTGTTGCTTTTGTGTCACATGAGTTTTAGTCAACTGTCTACTGTGATAACTTGCATTCTCCATTACAATGACGCTATTAGGAGAAATTTTTGGAACTAGTTTGTTTTTAAACCAATTTTTAAATAAATCAGCGGTGGTGTCTTCAGGTTAATCCAGAGAAAAATCTCTAATGTTTTTCGCAGACAGAGAAAGTCCATTTGGAATCCAACCATCTTTAGGGCCAGCATGCAAAATGGTTATTCTTTTACCTCTTTTTGATGGGGCGTTTGTTTTACACTTATCAGTTGAGTCAGTCAACCCAACCCTTTTCGGGGGTATCATAAGTGTCGAACCAGGTTTCATCCAAGTAAATAATTGGCCTTTGTTGTTCTTTGCAAATCCTAATTTTTTCTATATATTCCAGTCGCCATTTCCGAATTCTAAAAGATTGCATTAAAACTTGCCTTTTGTCAATTTTTTTAAATCTAAAACCCATGTCTTGAATACGATTACAAGGTAGTTCTGCCACATTTAACACCTGTTTCATCTTTTTCAAGCCTCCTAATAAAGATATTTAATGTAGGCACGCTTTGTTCCTGGTATAACTGGTAAATTTTACGCCGTATTATATCTTGATCACTTTCATCTACACTCGAGAAAATGTCAGCATCACTTCTTTTTTTTCGTCTCCTGAGATACACTAGACTCGCACATATTTTGCATAATTCGCACACGATTCAACACACGCTGTATAATGTACTAATAAACTTAAACTAAGTAGTATACTACAGATGTATTAGAAAGTTATATACCGAACAATAAAACCGGACTGTGACTCTTAGAGATTATATAACAAAATTTCCATTTAGCAGGCGCCCAGAAAAAAAGATCTTCGACAGGAACAACACTTTGGAATATATGGAACGCTGAAGAAAAAAAAATAGACATCGTCATATTTTGAATGATGAAGAGCAACTTATAATATAATATTTTATAATATTTTGTTGCATTTTGCAGAGACCCCTGAACCTTCAACCCGAAATGCGTATTTAGCTCTTGATGTCAAAAGTCAAAACTGGAAGTCCTATAAATTCTGTCCAGCGAGATGAGATATCGGAAAAATACCCATTACTGGAACAACAAGAATAATAAACAACATAGGGAGCTTACTAGATCAGGTAGAACTTCTGTCAAAGTATGGTGCGCCATTTGGAGGTTCAGAATAATAGGTCCAGTATTTTTTTATCAAAATTTAAATTCCCAGCGCTACTTACAGATTTTAATATTATTCATCCCTTTGTTGAAAATGAAGTGCCTGAAAGGGAACGCCGAAATTTAATTTGGCAGCAGAATGGCACAGAAGTCAAGAAATTAGCACCTATTTAAATGCACACTATAGAGAATGGTAGTTCCCCCTGACCTCCAAGGAGCCTGAACTATTACAATAATTATTATCCTTTTTAAGCTATTAATTTTTTATTGATCGTTCGTTAATAAAATATTCACCAAAGTGTCCTTGATCTTATTCTGCTTCGGCAAGATTATGGTCAACTATGAAATGTCATAGTGGCAGCACTTGTTTTGTTCAAATGCCGTCATAGCCACCTTACACTAATTGAACTTGTTTGGCAACAGCATATTATTTGTGTTAATAGGAAATATTTCAAAAAGTAAAAATATTTGGCATATACAACCTTCTATAAAATTGAGTTAATTTTTAATGCTAAATATGACAAAATCATAAAAATAGGTAGTTTCCATTAAAAAAAAAAGTTATTATTATTAATATGTATGGAATTTTCTTATGAAATCCGTTATTCGCTTAAATAAATAAAAAAAATAAATGCTTGCGAATGAAGAAATTGGCAGATATTTTACGTCTTGCAACCGTCATTGTTCGCATAAAAAATTAAAAATCTCAAAAACGGTTAGACTTGGATATAGCACATTATTTACAAAATATGTCTAGAATTTTGTATAGAATTAAAAAAATGAAGTAATATACTAGGTGTTCCATTTAAAATAAGAAAGTTGATATTCTCCCACGAAACATTAAACACCCTGTATATACCAAATTAAAATAAATTGAAGCTTTGTAATACCTCAATTAATTTTTGTATTTAACTTTTGGCTCATCTCCTATGGTTTCTGAGATACGGTAGCGTTCCAAGGCCTCCATATTTTGAACGAAAAATAATGCTAACTTGTAGGAAGGAAAAAATTGCATTTTGTTTTCAATTTTTTTTAAAGTAGGGCCAGGCCAGGTTTTCGTGTTTTCCGAATATGTCGCGGGCTTTAAGTAAAATAAAAATGCTGAAATTTATGGGGTCGGGAGTTTTTCGTATATTAATTTTTGTCGGTCTCTCGTTGCTATTGATCTGCGGTCGTTTTCGATTGATAGATTAGTAAAGTGTGCCGCTTTGCTAAATGCGGATCAAGGCCGGCGCCATTTAGAAGTAATTGTGGCTCAAAATTAATATTCGATGCGTTTGGCATTGAAGCTTATTTTATTTTTGTAGTTACCGTTATTGGCTGACGATGTCTTTATGTAAAATCGTCAATAAGTTATTAATAAACCACCCGTAAATAAAATACAAAACGAAATTTTCCATTTTATCCAAAGCCAAAGTTAACTTAACTTGTGACTACATTTCAAAAGCTGCTATGGATATCTAAATTGTATACTTTTTGCCACTGACGCTCCATCAAACGAATTGTTAAAAAAAAAAGAGGACTTACAGTGGCTTTTCCAAAAATTAAACTCGTCGATTGGGCAGATCCCTTGTTCCGACGTCCTTTGCTCTTGATCTTGCAGGCTTATCCGGATCTACAGAAGCAACCCGACCCGAAATCAGCTTTTCGAATACACCAAACAACTTAACACAGAGCGATTCACGCAACTAATTTTTGTCATTATTCCTTCGTAGTAGATAAGCTATGTGGGTTCGACAGCAATTTCGGCAATTTTTACATGTAAAACGCTATCCTTTTTTTTTTTCGTGTCTAGGGAGGATGGACCCCGGGATTCGCCCAGTGCTGAGCAATAACTTAAACGCTGAGCTACGGGGTGTAAGGTTTTACCGGTCTATGCAAGACGGCTATCAAGATGGTGAAACGTCAGACTGAAATCGGTGAGTCATCGTGAAAACGAAAATAAATGCATCTACGTTCGTTTATACCTTTCGATTAATTGATTGATACTGAAAAGCGACAAATTAAAAGAAACATTATTAGCTAAATCGTTTGAACGGTTTAGCCGTCGTCTCCAGTCTTACAAATAATGTGCGAGATCAAAATATTTGTGTTGTATTTCTTCATAGTTTTTTTATAGAATGATATTTGCAATTAGAGGTTTATACATATTATTATGATACTTGCTGTGTTCCGAACTATAAGAATGGTACAATGTAAACTTTACCATTCGAATAAGCGAAAGCCTGACGAAAAAAAAAGTAATAAAGAAAAGATTCGTTTCTTCCAAAAATAAACAGAAAGATGAGTCTTACTGAAATAGTTTTCGATAATTTAAATAACATCTTGAAATTTTAGATTTATTTGATAATAATATTGTGATATTCGATTTACCTAGGTACACAATATAAATAAATATATATTTCATGGTATTTTAAAAATTATTTCGATCAAATTTGACCGGTCCATTGCACAACTGTAAATAGATACAGAAATATATTCTTCGCTTGATTCATTTAAAAATGAAAAATATCTATACTTTGTAAATATTTATGCGATTTATGCATATCTCGACCATTTCTATATATTTGTTCTATATTTTAAACATTAAATATAAAGAAATTAAAACGTATATTTTGTGGCCTGTATATTTGATATAATGAACGTTATACAGGATTTTTGATCCAACCCGTTCGTTAAAAGTTTATTCACATATAATTTAGAGATACATTTTTATTTTTTGGGATAAAGTAAGTGCCAAGTGTAATTCTTTTTAGAAATATTTTCAACGTGCTGTCACTTCCTTTTCAAGTGGAAGCTGGTGTCAATTTACTTATTTCATTTCAATATTTTAAGATTCTGTGTAAAATTCCAAGCATGTTTTATGTATAATGTCCTAGACCTACATTTAACAGTTTTTGAAATATTTGATGTTGGAAAAAAAAATGCACCTCCGTCTTAACCAAATTTGAACATGCTTATTTTTGTAATGTCTAAAAATTTGATCCTCGCTCTCCTTTTTGTTGTTGTAAAATTCTAAATATTTCTAAAAAATTCTAAAAATATTTGACATTGAAAAAAACAGCACCTCCGACTTAACCAACTGTGTCATTCATTGTTATTTCTTAAAATTTTATCTTCATATTTGGCAAAATGCTGAAAAACATCCCTAACTTCTCGTTTTTGTTATTGTTGTCTACTTTTATACAGGGTGTCCAAAATTAGGGCTCAAATATTCACATTTTCAAAGTTACTTGAAATTTGACGCCATTTTAAAAAAGTAACTTTTTATTTTCATTAAATTTTCGATCCACCCTGTGTATTTTCAAAAATTATTTTACTTGAAATCTAATACCTACCCCATTTTTAACTAGATTTGTTTCATATTTTACTCGTCCACGGCCTTATGATGTAGAAGGTGCTGATCTGATATTGTTCGTACATTTAATTACGCGAACCTCCCTGTATATAATGAGAGACAATACCTGCTTCGTCCAATAAACCACCAGGCCTTCTAATCGCTTCACCAATTCCTTATCGGCTATGGCCTCGTCCACCGGATACTCAGCTATAGTACGGGGTACGTAAAGTACCGTTAAGCCGAGAATTTTGTAATGGAGGTCAGTTAATTTTGCTAGGAACATGTGCAGCGAGTTAGCAAACTCGTTTTTGACACCTCGATGGCCACGTTAAGGACAATACACAATTACCTTTGAGAAATAATATGAGCCGTTTATTTTGAAAGTGGCTTAAGTCCATTTTCATCTTTTATCAAGATTTTCACGAAATTATATATTTTCACATGACAATTATTTCGACAACACCAAAGGACTTTATATCAACGAGACTATTGGAAGAAGCAGTTTACAAGAGATCCAAAAACACCAACGGAGAAAAAATAAACGCCCCTTCAAATATGCTGGATGCGATTTTTAAGAAATGAACCATATAAAATTTGGGATGAGAGAGCAGAATTTAAAATCCTTGACTTATTGCCACGTCGGGGTGGACCTAACAAAATTTGGGAATATTGTATTGCCATCGTTATATAAAAGTGTAAGAAGCATCACATCACTAAAATAGAGACACAGAATATTAACGAACGACTTGTTACTAAATTTATTTCTATTATCTAAAAATATAATTTAAATATTTTTTTTCTATTTTTTAAAGTATAGGTTAAGTTCTTTCACTTTTTGTAACAAAACAAATTTTTATTTTGCAAGTGACCTAAGCACTTTTAAAGTAAGCAAGGTCATATTATATATACTTAATAATAGCGACTTTTTAACATTGCAAGTCAACCATATATCTTAATGTAGTTAAAACGCAAAACCTTCAGTATTTCAAATTAAAGACTTAAGTCACTTTCAAAATGAACGGCTCATATAAACCTCGTACATTGGAAAAGGATACTGTCAGGCCAGCTCTGCGAAATGAGCAAAACGGGGGCAAAAGCGTTCTCAATTATTTTTAATATCGACCCGTCTATATTGCCGTCGATGGTGCCGAAAATCACTTTGTCATGGAAAGTCGCGGGCTCAAAAATAAAACCTGCAAATATTAAAAATCAATGCTGAGTGTTTTGTGAGACTAGGAAAACTAATTTTTGAAGAATCGGCGAAACATGAAATTACAAACATAAAAAATAGAATTTTGATTTTGCTGTCACCCTGTAAGTATGATTTTTTGCCATTTTGTAACTCTAGATGGAACGATTTAAAATATTTGAAACTTTTTTAAACGAATGTTATAATGTTTTTATAATATTTTTTATTTTAGATTTATCATTTGCAGAATTAACATGTTTTTTGTTTCTTTTGAAATTGTGTTAATACATTATGAGTGTAAGTGTGCAGAATCATACATTATTTTTCTAAGATCTGTGTCTGACTATACCCCGCCAAATGGCAACAATGCCTTGACATTTTCTTTTTAGAAAAATGTCATTTATTTAAAAAAAAAAAAAACAGATTGCTTGATCGTTCGAACTTCAATTTTAAAGTTAGAATGGGACATGATAATGGGTCTTGGGTATTTTCGGGGCAATTACCTGGTTCCCTCAAAAAGTAGGTAGCGTCTATGATGGGGACCCTCGGGACGCAGGTGTCGCAAATGAGTTTGTCGTTATCGAAATAAACCATCAAGAGCGGCTCCGAGGGTTCAGTAAACCAATATCTGCAACAACAATAATAATAATTTTTTGTGTGCAAATTCGTAATGGCGTGTTTGTTATCTATAATGTACAGTTACACATAGTTAAAGTTCCCGTCGTGCAAATTTGTATGACCACTTGGTCAAACTTCATGGCCACAATATTGGAAAATTATTGATAAAACTTTATTGAAAATGACCTTTTTTAAAAAATCTCTGAAATATTTTACTTTCTAAACTAAAAAGTAACTAAAAATTAAATCTAAACATCTCGACTATCTAAACTGGAGGAGGTGCCAGGTACTAAAATGTTATGAAATCCCAAATTTTGATTTAAAGTTTTTGATTTATATTTTCAAGAGAGTTACACGAAAATATAACTTCTGGAATTATTAAAAATTCACAAATTCAATTCGATAGCACAAAAAAACGGAAATGAAATCTTGAGATTACCGCCGTATCATTGTATATTTAACCCGACTGAGATGATTTGGTCTGAGTTGAAGGCGCCTATAAATAGAACACACATAACACTGCACAAAAATTTAGTGATAAACCATAAACGTAATTCGACAAGAGGTAGCTAAAATATCAGTACAAAACTGGTCTAACCTGTGAAGAACGAGTAATAAAAGAAGAAAATATTTATCGAGAACGATTAGTGGCGGAGTTGATCACTGAACTAGCGATAAGGATGATTTTTTAAGTGACTGATACTTTGTTATTATTATATTTAATATTTTGTATATTAATAATGATGCCATGTAGAAATGTAATGAAATATAACGTAATAAATTGTTACTTTGTACTAAGCTTTTTAGTGTAGGTAGATAAATCCCTAGGACGGTCCTGGAATGGTTACGGGTAAATCTGCTCGGCATAGAACACCCACAATTGGCTGAAGAAGCATTATATTTCTGGTCGACGTATAGTATTTCTGTCAACTGTCAAGAATTTTCATTCTCTATTAATCGACCTATAAAACGCGTCCGCGCTGTTGCCGCGATTTACCTAATGGTTGTGTCACATTCGTCGGTCCAGTCGCTGTCCTTCAGGTAGCATAAAACCGTTAAATCTTTGAGATGGCCGACCAGAGTTTGCAGATCTTCCTCAGTGTAATCTCGTCCTTCAAGTAAGGTCTCCGATTCGGGCGTTTGTATTTGGACGACTTTTTCTGGATAAAACCCGAATTGAAACACATTTTATCGGTTGGCCGTAAAAAATTACCTTCCAATGCTTCGGAGGAAAATAGCGAATCCGTTTCGGCCTTGTCGTACGTTAAAATTCCGTGAGCGACGACCGTCTCAGCGTTTAACGACATTTTGTTCTTTATGACGTTGTTTACGCGACGTCTCCATGACAACGGTAGGTTGTGGCATTTTTATTCATTAATTTTATTATTTTTTAAAGCAAACGTCTAACTTCGGTTTTCTGTTGTTTTTATTCTACATTTGTTCTATAGAAAAATACAAACATTTGTAAATACAAATAAAAATCAACAGATATTCTCTTCTTCATCTGTGCACTCTATATGAGCCCTACATTTGCACTTGGTACACCGAACCCATTTTTTTCACGGAAGAGAATTCGAGTAAGGCTCTCCACAAAATGGTTCCGTGTCATCTTCATCAGAGCTGCTTCACGGGGCCCTTAAATTTACCTTTTTCTTCTGCCTGCCTTTGCCAATATTTGATGCCTTACCATTGCTGGAAATGTTTCTTTTCTTTTGTGTGTTCATGCTTTTGCTCGCCTTTGGTTCCGGACGTATAACGTGAGGTGAAAAATACGATTTTCCCATCCCCGATGGTCCCGGTAAATTTGTCGCATCTACCGGACTTTTTGGAGCAACATGTACATTTAAATCGGAGGTTAAGTTTATGCTTTCGGGTGACTTCTTTATTGGTATTGTTTCAGGGAGCTAACGTTTTCTGAGCATCACTTTCTAGGGTTTTTGGGAATCATTTTTATCCAATAATGGTTGGGAACAAATCGCACTAACTCGAAACCCAGCTCAGGAATTAATCGCACTGTTGCTGTATTTTTTTAGCGGGCCATCTACTGACCTGTCCAATGGCTGTAATTTATGTGAGCAATGTGGAGGGACTAAAACTACTATCCTATCCTATATATACTATTGATGTCTCTTTTAGATAGGTGAAATTCATGATTATCCAGGACAAGTAATACTGGTTTTTCTTTTGATGCACTAGAGTGCTTGGTGAAATGTTGCAAAAAAATATAAAATTCATTTTCGAACATCCATCCAGACGGATTTGCGGCCCCGCTGCAACGTGGTGGACCAAACAAAATGTAACCAATGTACCCCTCTCCGCAGAAGTGACAAAGCCCACTTGCTTAATCCCCTTCCTAGCAACTATCCGATAGGGCTTTTGGACCGTGGTGATTCCAATTTTATCAACATCGTAGAAGTCTTAACATTCAAACTTGTAATCTCTAATACTTCCTTTAATAGTGAAAAAAAAGCTTCGGCGTTGGTTCTATTAAAACTAGTTGCTCGACTAAGACTTGTTGCCTCAGGAGTTCTCAGAGACAGAGCCAGTGAGCCAATCAGCAGGAGCAATTTTATTTTCAACCCAGTTTGGACCAACTTCCGCATGGTTGAATTAAATAATCAGCTATCTCGTTCTCTATAGGATCCAGTAGAACGATTTCTTTTGTAGCTTACTTCTGCTCTATGGGGCTCTTGCCCCTTTCAGTTTTCCGCTTATAAGTCCTCATTAGGTTCCATCGTGCTCCTGCGGACCACTATGGAACTTTCGCAAAATCGATGTAATTTAATTGTGAATACACCCTGTATAAAGTGTCCTTCACATCTCGTCGAACTTCAAAGTTACGGCACACTTCGGTAAATGTTAAAATTTTTACTGATAATTGCAATTTACAATTATATTTTTCCAAATACCTCGCGCCCCCTGTGTTATAGACCAACCTTAATTAGATAATAAAAATATCACATCTTTAAAAGTTTTTTTATTTATCGCCAATAATACCCTGTATATAATTCCAACAATGTTCGAAATAGAGGATGTAGCCCTGGATCTCGTTAGTTTCTTGGTATCCGAATTTTTCCAATGGAGTAAATGGTTTTTAGAAAACTACTTTTTTTCTGAAACCATGCAGTACGTGGTAATTTTTTCAAATATCTCGAGCTGCGTGTGTGATAGACGAAAACCGTGAATACAAAAATTGTAGCCCTTGATACGGCCTATACCACTGTTTGAACGGATTAGCTATTGTTTGTCCGAATTTTGATGTACGGTTAATAATTTACTGTCTAAAAGAACAATTTTCAGGGTCTTTTAGATTTTTGTCCATAACCAAAACACCTTTGGAGGAAAAGATGTTTTTCTGGATCCCCAAATAACAAAAAAAAATTCAAAAATAAAAAAAATACTTTGCGTTATTTACTTCTCTCCCAAGTCGGTAGCTGCAAAATTAGGGTACTTATTATGTTTTTTAATATTGCACGGAATATCGCGAAAAACCGTAAATACAAAAGTTTAGGCTGTCTATATGGGCTATATCGCCATGTAAAAGAAATTGACATCTAAAACACACATTTGAAATTATTGCCAATTTTCAATAATAGGGGGACCCATTTTTCAGTTTTTTTGAATTTGGCGGCGCATCTGTATATTTTTGAAAAATTGTCAAGAATAAAAGTTTATTGAGTCGTTTCCTCTGCGTCTCCTGGTTCAAGAATTTTTTTGGTCTTGTAAACCGTTTTTGAAGAATGGTCTTTTTTGTAGCCCCTTGCACGCGCGATTTTTAATTTTTGTTAAAATACTTCCCGACCCCCAAGCCCTCCCATTTGCAATAGTGTCACGAGGCAAAGGTGCATATGTGTGCCAAATATGAAGTCGATTACTTCAAATTTCGGACACTTATCGTGTTTCATTGCAAGTTCCAAAAACAGTCGAAAAACGCGGAAAAAAGATGGATACCAGCGTCGGATCAGGGTCATTTTTTATAAGCTTGTCTGCCTCGTGGAGGGTTAAAAAGGAGGCTAATTTCAATTTTGTAGCTCCAACGGTTCGAAAGTTATTTAGGAAAAACCAAAAGACGAGAACGGAGAACGGACAAACAGACAAAAAAAAGTTTTTTTCTTCGACGGTGACCATTTCTGCACCAACGGCGGTCCCATAGGACTTACCGTTACCGAGATATAAAATTTTTATACGAGCGCAGATATTCGAAAGTAACAAGTGGGGTAGGATGTGCCAGTCACAACCTGCCTCAAACTGATTGTCACAACGAACCCCTGACGTCATCGTTTTCTTTTTTTTTCATATTGCTCACAAAAAGCAAGGATTAAAAAAACAAATATAACCATAAACTTTACATGCCATAGGGTTTATTTTGACACATACACTTTCCCAAAAGGACCTTTGTATCCAAAGTTTTAGAGTAATGGCCTCTGCTACAACCAACCCCTGTGGCCCCTACACAAATTCAATGAGACCCACATTTGTTTTTTTGTCTATTAGAATTACCAAAATTGTTAAATTTTGCTTTGTGATTGTTCCCTGTAATTTTTATTTATATACCGTGAAATCATTCTCAGCTAATGAAATAATTTAGAATAAAATGTAAATTTTGAACCCGCATAAAATTTTGAGGTCTAGTAATTTACTAGTTTAGAGGTTCTTTGTGAATCTCCCTGTATATTTAATAAAAATATTACCACGTAGTGCAAGGTGCTCTATAACAGAGCAACAGACGGTATTATAGCTCAGAACAAGAAGACTTGTTTAAATTTGTTTTTAAAAACGGAATTGCAGTCTTGTGGTAGCTTCGCTAACTGAATATATCCTTTCAACGAATTTTGATTGTTCAAATTTGGTTCATGTGGTTCAGATTGTGGTTGTAGTCATGTACAAGTATATAATTCCTTTTATATTATAGATTGAACGCAGTTTTATTCAAAAATCAGTACACTTTGTACATTGTACAGTATTACATATTATCTACCTGTTGCTTATCTACGATAAAATGATTCTTGTCCGTGTATTCTGGATTTGCTTATAAGTATTATGTTTCAGATAAGATGCAGACTGGGTAATTATACGTCGAAATTAGCGAAAATCCCAAAAACTAAACAATCAGATTTTATTGGTCTGGTTTGCTCAGAGAATGTAATGTTCTTCAATTGCGGTGTTCCTGTATTTATGTCACAGTTTTCTGTTTTTGTCTAGTTCGTTATGGTTTTTGATTATTTGCAGGGTAGTAGTTAGACCTTGCTTGTTTCTCAATCCCTCTCGAAAGGTAATTTTGGATAAAATTGTTTACGCTTGCGCAAAAAATATTTTTCTACTGTCGTCTGTAAAATACTTAATTAATTACCCACCAATCTAGCGTGCGGGACGCGTCACTTTACCACGTCAGTCAGCACATAAAACAGAGCAAATGGTTTTCAAGAAAACATTTTTTTTCTGAAGCTATGAACTAAAAGTAGCGATTTTCATATGCATTTTCTTCAAATATCTCGAGCAAAACCATAAATACAAAAATCGTAGCTCTAACTATCCAACTAACTAATTAGTTACATTTTTTTGCCAATTTTGATTAATAGCTAATCATTTACTTTCGAAAACAACAATTTTCAGGGTTTTACATTTTTGTCTGTATATATTCGGATTTTCTTTAATTTTTATATTTTTTTTCTGGAAGCCGAAATAACCCTTTTTTTTCTTCTTCTTCTTCAATAATTTAAAAACCTTAAATACACAAGTTTTAGCTTCTATACGGGATATATCGTCGTGTATAATAAATTGACATTTTTGCGAATACAGAGCACACCCTGTACATTTTTGAAAATTAACAAAAATAAAAGTTTATAGCACTGGACCTGGCGGATCTTTTCGTTCTATAGCTTTTTCAATAGATTAATCGGTTTTTGGGAAATGAATTTTTTCTTGGACCCATGCAAACGCGGTTTTAAATTTTTTTAAAATAATTCCCGGCCCCCTCCCAATAGAGAACCAAATTCTACTAGTATGGCAAATTTGAAGTTGATGGCCATGAACTTCGGACGCCAATGATGTGTCATAGCAATGTCCAAAAAACAGTCGAAAAAAAAAAGATGGCCGCGGTTGAACCACAGCGGTTTCACATATGTTATCGATGTAAAAGTCCAAAAACAAAAAGCGGACAGCAGACAACATTTTTTTTTTCGCAGTTCATAATTTCTGTACCAGTTAAGAACGAAATCCTATGATAAAGATTATTTGCTAGAACAGGACATAAAAAAAATCTCGTAATATACACCTAATCACAGCCATTTGAATTCTATAGAAATGCTACGCGTCTAATTAAAAAGCAAACATTGACGCAATAACAAACCCAAGAAAATATCCGCCCATGTAACTGATGCAATTAATTATTTCCTCCGAGACCTAATTTATAATTTTATATCGGGACACAGTATATAACAGCAACTAATTTCATTGCATGCGGCACATCTATCCAAACAACTTTTGCATTTACAATGTTCCTCCAAAATAAACTCTTATAGTTTGACATGGGTAACGAGCCGCCACTGCGTCAATAAACATGATGCCATCCGTTCGCTCGGAGTCCCATCATATATTTATTCGCGACACGACCTCCACTTTGCCGGCTCGACTTTATCGTCGACAATTTTTCTTTATTTCACAACAACCTCGATTCGTTAACACGTCCGATTCGCGTTACCGAAGTAGACGAATCATGGCCAACGCTGATAATTCACCGAAACGCGGCAAAATCGAAATAATCAAAAAGCACGTGCACAGTTACTCGGATTTTCCGAAGCCCGGCGTGTTGTTCAGGTAAGCGGTTGATCCCGCGCGTTCCGTTTAACGCCGTTTTGTCTTCACCAGAGACATATTCGGCGTTTTGCAGAGCCCCGAAGCGTTTTCCGCGCTCAAGGACCTGTTGATCGAGGAAGCGAGGCGAGTCGAGCCGGCCGTGCAATGCGTGGTAGGCCTAGAATCTAGGGGATTTTTGTTCGGTCCGTCGATCGCCCTGGATTTGCAAGTGCCGTTCGTGCCGATTCGGAAAAAGGGAAAATTGCCGGGCCAAGTTTTCTCGCATTCGTATCTGTTAGAATATGGAGAGGTAACGTCCAAGTTGATGTTTTCGCTGATATTCGCGATTCAGATTGTGCGGTGACGGTGGGACGGCCGATGCGATTTACGTTTTACACTATGCGTGCAAAGTGATATTTGAAGTTATGTTATCGTTCATGGTTTAAAGTGGGATGATTTAACATAACATAATATTAGAAAAAAATATGAAAATAAGGAACCCAACCTTGAAAGGTAATCCTGCAAATCACTTACTTAAATTTTAACTGCGATTGCCAGCTGCATGGCTTTGCAAATTGCTATATTTCTTCAATTTTGCCGGGGAATTATGCAAAACTGTAAAATTGTTATTATCTATTTATCTAACGGTGCCCGTTTTCTTAAAGTAATTTAACTCGAGTTGATAAATTGAGTTTACAAAATTTTACGTCTTTGCCAAAAATTTAATTGATGTATTTTAGTGCTTCGTTTATTCATTACAACAAATAGGCGATTGTGTGTTTCAAATAAATTAATATTTTTTCTATTATGCAAGATATCACAATTTCTGAGTCTTCTAGATTTAGTTCGTATTTAATAAAGAACAATAAATAATTTGTTTGTAACTCAACCTCGCATCAGTCAATATGACGGAAACCATAAAAAAAAACAATTGCAATTTCAAAATTTGTTATGAAAACGTCATGACTTTTGACAATTGTATAAAAAGTACAACAAGAAAAGGTCGAATGCCGCAATAACTATATCCAAAAGAGCATTTCCTATGAGGAAAGCCTTTTACTAAACTTTGTGTGGTAATTTATGCAAAGGGAATCCGGCAGCCGGTGTTTTGCGAATCTGCTAAAATTCTGTTGCTTTGATTTGGTTTGACTTTGCATATGACATGTGAATTGACTTCAATTTCAGAATTTTGAAAAGATTTCTTTTCTGGTTAGTTTTTGTTGTTTCCTTGTTGAAATATTGCTTCGGGTACAATTTTCATTTGCCACCTGAATCAATATTTCAACATAAGAATACCTAAACTAAAACTAAACTAACCAAAACAGAAATTTTAACTCTCATCTGTAGAATTCTTACCAATCAAAAATTCAACTTTATTATTCACAGAGTGCGGTCTTATCGTGCTGTCTATGCTGTAAAGCATTTTCTTTTTATTATTTGTTGTGGCCCAATTCTCGTAATGATTGATGGGTTGCAGGCGGTAATGATATCTTCATAAAGAAGATAATATTTTTCTGCGCCTCTACATTTCATCCAATAACCTGCATTTGGCGCCATTTCCTTTGTAAACAATAATATCCGCATATTTAACTTGTTTTCTCAGAACATATATCGAGATCTTGGCACATTTGGAGGAAATACTGCCGTAAAACAGCCGTGTCTGAATTTATTGACGATCTGTCAGCGGCCATGTTGGTTGTTGAATTCCGCAAAGTTATTGCTTAAAAACGAGATTTTAAATTTGCCGCATGCGCATGTCGATTGTACCTCATTGATTGTTTTATAAATGCTGGTTTTATTGGCATAGGCGGATGATTTCCCATGTCCTTTGATTATGGGTTTATCGGTATCCATTTTTTAGGACACAATCGAGATCCAAGGATCGGCAATAAAAAAAGGACAGTCGGTGTTAATAGTCGACGACCTTCTGGCAACTGGCGGAAGTCTGAAAGCCAGCTGCGAGCTGATTAAAACGATAGGGTCGACGGTGGCCAGTTGTTTGGTTGTCATCGAACTGGAGTCCTTGAACGGACGAGCCAATATTTCCGCCCCGGTAATTTCTTTAATAAAGTATTAATTTTTCTTCTTTTTTTTTTTGCTCGGATAAGATAATTGAAGTTTTGCATCTGAAGGAGACGATCTTAAACCGAGATTTTTTATAATCTTTGAAAAATCAATTTTTTTAAAGTCCGAAATTAAAGGGCGTGGCCTATAGTTTTGCTATTGAGGGTATAATCCTTTTTAGGAATGCCCCTTTAATTGGCCACGCCTTAAAAGGGTGTGTTTCCGTATTAGAACGCCCCACCCTCCACAATTCTATATTTTAGCCACATTCCCCATTAAATAACAAAACATAGTTTTTTGATCTTTATTAAATGTACTACATGAATTCGTAATAATTATTACGAAAAATACAATACTTTATCGTTTTAACATAAATAATAAGAATATAAATATCGGTTACATGACTAGTTCACATCTAAAACAAATCGATTGTATCCCCTCTACATGGAATCGACGATCCTTACAATCCAAATCGCAGTTTTGGTAAAAAATAACCGATTTTAATCTACTTAATCTCGAGTTTTATATAAAATACGAAAAAAAAAAGGTTGAAATTGGAATAAAAAGGCTACAAAATATCAATAGTATGAAAAATAATTAGCACCATTATGTACAAATGTATGAAATGCTGGTAATTCGTTTAAAATCCAATCGCTCATACGTTCTGTTTTCATTTAGCCGATTTTATTCCTCGCAACCTTTTGAATGTTCCTGATATAAAGTAAAAACGCCGTTGCATCGAATGGAAAATAAATTTCGGCGGAATCCGATTAAAAACAAAATTACCAACAATTTCGTACGAGCTTCGATGTAGGTTCCGATATTAAGGGTACACAGACATTTTCCACAAACGGAAATTAGGTAAATAATCGAATATAAAAAATAGATTTACGAAAAAGTCTCGAGGTCGAAAAGCGTTTGATTGAGTTGGTTTGCTGCTTGGTCCGGAGCGCCACAGTTTTAAACTTCGTCTAAACATTCAAAATAACTTACTTTTGATTAAGTATTTTAACGTTTGGTCCAATCATCCTGACAGTGTGATCACGTTTATTTCATTACAAAACAGATACGCAGAGAAAAATGGTTTTGCAAATTGTTGACGGGGCGGCCATGCTTGTTTTAAGTATCCGGTCTTTACAATCTCCAGACAACGGTAAGTGGACTGATGAGCGTTTCGCTCGAAATACTTAATAACTAACCTTAGGAAGAGTATTTTAATAGTAAATATTGTTTTGCCTCATTATTGCGACTTAAGTTTTCTCGTTTTCATCCGTGACTAACGTTCTATTGTCGTATTTTAGGAACAGCAGAGTTTCCAGGCTGTTTGAAACACGCCCAAGTCTATTAGGGTGTGTGCCGCAGGGTTCCGTTCTAGGCCCACTCTTATTTTCATAAACGCCGTGATTATTTTTTTATAGTCCATGTGGCGATTTCAGAGTTCGAAATTAGCATTCTTTAGAAGCATTATTTAGAGCAAATTGTTGTAAATATTATAGATGTGCGTTTTTTATGTTACCTGGAAAACCGTCCTACTTGATTGCGTCTGGAAATACCTACCTTGAAATATTTTCAAATATAACTAACCCTACGAGTTGGCACAACATGTTCCGATTACAAAAAAAACAAAAAAAAAACAATAAAACACTTAAAGAGGGCGGAAAATGACACACGTTACATCACGACGTACGACACTACTTAAATCCGATAAATACTTGACCACGTTTCAAGTTTCAAAATTGAAATTTTAATTTCAAAGTTCAAAGTATCCATCGGCTCCAGAGGTCGTCAAAACTACGGTTACAATTCCTCACATTTCATTACATAGGATATGAAAAATAATCTGCGGTCCTACGATACAGCGATATTTTTACAACCTCTTGTTATTGTTAAAAAAATATTTCTGGAATTATCATTAAATAGAAGGCGGGGATAAAATAAAACACTTATCTGTTCTGGCCTAAACTAGATGCTCACTACGCTACCGAAAACTCGCGAAAATCTCTAATGCCCCTACCGCTATAAACGAGAAGTATCCGAGCACCCGGGGAGTGGGAGGGTTCGTCGGCCATGTTAGAGGTGCGACGGTTCGGTCTTATCCGCTCCCTTGGTCTCGTTCTCCCGGTACAGCTTCGGGTGAGAGTAGTTCTCCGGAGGGCTTATTATGTCGTTCGATGGGGTTAGTTCTTTTCTTCTCGGTGGCCTTTCCAAACTACCTATACGAGAGAAAAGAGCTAGAAACCAGAAACAGGATAGATACTACTTGATTGATGTTTCTAGTATATTTTAACCTGACTTATTGCGGATAATTATCTGGTCCGAAAGCATTGTGGTGATTTACACTTATTTGTTTATGATTTCCAGTGATATATTCTTATTTGTCAATGATTACTTATGACGCAAGACGGATAATATATGACAACTTTTGGTGTGAAGCTGGAATTAAGTGTGGTGATTTAACATGATTTATCTATGATTGCAAGTACCACAAGACAATGTCGGGATGCTTAAAAAACTTACGGTGATTTACACTAATTTATTCTTGATTTCCAGTGAATCATCCTTATTACCGATGACTACTTATTGTCAATGATGCAGGATAAATGTGATATGATAACTTTTGGTGTGAAGCTGCAAGTAAATTCGCTGATTTACCATGATTTATCTATAATTGCAAGTGCTACAAGATAATGTTGGTGTAAAGCTTAAAATAATTATGGTGATTTACACCAATTTATTGATGATTTCCAGTGATTTATCCTGATTTATGGATGATGAAAGACGATAATTATATTACTTTTAGTGTGAAGCAGGAAATAATTATTGTGATTTACCATGATTTATCTATAATTGCACGCGCCGCAAGATAATATTATTATAAAATTATGGTGATTTACACTAATTTATTCTTGATTTCCAGTGATTCATCCTTATTATCGATGACTACTTATTGTAAATGATGCAGGACGGATAACTATATGATAACTTTTGGTGTGAAGCTGGAATTAAATGCGCTGATTTACCATGATTTATCTATAATTGCAAGTGCTACAAGATAATGTTGGTGTAAAGCTTAAAATAATTATGGTGATTTACACCAATTTATTGATGATTTCCAGTGATTTATTCTGATTTACGGATGATGAAAGACGGATAATTATATTACTTTTAGTGCGAAGCAGGAAATAAATATTGCGATTTACCATGATTTATCTATAATTGCACGTGCCGCAAGATAATATTGGTGTGAAGCTTGAAAAGTTATTGTTGATTTCCTGATTTATCGATGGCTACTTATTGCAAACGATGCAACACGACTAATTATATGGTGATTTTTGGTGTGAAGGCTGAAATAATATATAAATTCAGTGATTTATGTGGGATTACAAGGAAGATGATTACTTTGCGGAGAAATTTGAAAGAATTGTGTTAAAATAAACCGATTAAGGATTTTTACAAGAAGAATAAATTTATTCGGTTTGGGTGTGATTTGTTTTGTTTAACTCCACTCCAAAATCCCTTCGCCGTAGATCGAAATTTTGCCAGAAAGCAGTAAGGATCTACGTGAAATTATTAAGGATTCCACGAATTTTGCGGAGATTTACAGACCAATTGAACAGATATTAAGGATTTACGCACTGAGATTGGGCGCGGACTCCCTTGGGCTTGATTTCATCCCAAAAGCCTTTGGATCTCTATTGGCATTCTATGTGAAGGTACCTAATGATTATGTCTGGATTTATTTGTCGAAAATGTTCGATAAATACAGTGATTTATCATTATTGACCGAGGATTTGCACAGACCTTATATCAGTTTATGCGTAGAGCAATCTCAAAAATTTCTAGTTCCGCATCCGCATAACCCAACATCAAATTTTATATTATTAAATTTAATTAAAAATTTCATATGAAATCATTGCTCTGGTGAGTAGGCATAGTTAGCGATCTCTGCACTCGCACCATAGTGACGGCTAGCTCAAATCTAAATATGATTGAAGGCTAGTCAAAAAATACGTCACCATTAGCACTTATAAAGTATGTCAGATTCATCTGTCTATAAGCTTACCGCCAAAATCGAGGCTAGAGTTCAAACTCCCGCCCGTTTTCGGCGGGATAGGGGGCGGATGCTCCTCCCTCGGACTAGAGGCGTCACCCTCCTGAGGACTGACCGATATGTTCAACTCCGAGGGGTGCGTTTGCATGTCGAAGTCTTCGTAACAGTGAGCGTTGAAGTTATTCAAAACCGAACTGAATGAATGAAAATATCTGTTAGCCTCGTCCATTACAAAATTCCGTCTAACAAATTACTTGGTCTCGTTCATGCTGATCCCGGAATCCCGCAAGTCGTGAGCGCCCGACGTCCCGGTTCCCAGACTGCAGCCTGAAGTCACCAGGTCACCCTCGCTGGACGATGGGGCCGCCGTCGTGGCCGTGGGCGGCTCGTCCAGCGGCAGATACTCGGCACTGCATATGGAGGGAGTGGACCTCTTCTGACCCCGTTTCGGTATGTTGGGGGGCGGTTCGTTCGGCAGGCTCTGGACCCGTTTATCGGGCGCTGAAATGTCAAAAACAAGAATTAATAAATGAAAAAAAAAATTTCAAAATATGGAATAATATGAGGGTAATTTGAAAAGTTTCCGATCCTTCAATGATGTGCAATTTTTCTCATTTTGTTTTGTTAACGAATGGCCTTCTCATTTGACGAAAATCTTTGTTCTCCGAGCGGAGTTTTCAGATGAAGGAACAAAAAGAAGTCGCTTGAGGCTAGATCTGGTGAGTGAGGCGGATGATCGAGCAGTTCAAACCGTAATTCATGGATTTTCGCAATGGCAATCGCTGAGGTATGAGACAGTCTTGGTGAAATAGCAATTTCTTTTACAAATGTGGCTGTTTTTCCGCAATTTCTGTCCTAAACTTGTCAAGAAATAATACGTAGTATGCTCCTGTTATGGTTTATCCTTTTCGAAGAAAATCGATCAAGAAAAAAACAGTTTTTGCTTTTTTTGGAGCCAGTTTTGATTGTATTTTTGGTTCGGGCGTATAATGCTGTATCCAAAACTCGGATTTATTGCGCCTAAACTGCGCTAACGGATCGTTATTCGAACATGTTTTTGGACTAACGTGAATAAACCCTGTACCCAACGCGCGAACAAGTTTTCGCATGCCTAAATCTTGATTTAAAATGTGACAAACACGTTTTTCGGCATTTTCGTAACCTCTGCTACTATCTCTCCCAAATTAATTAGCAATATTATCACGGTAGTTACAGTTTTTGGACGTCCCGAACTCTAACTCCTAAGCTCATACGGCCACAATTTAATTCAGCTGCCCAAAATTTCAATTTTAATTTGCGTAGGCGTACTGCTTATAACAGCTTTCGCGAAAACATTCACATCTCACTCAAAAACTTTGGTAAGTAACTAACAAGACGTGCACAACTACGATTACTGGTTTTTAGTAACTAGTGCCGCCATCTTCAGGTCGAGGTAGGAAACTTTTCAAGTGACCTTCGTATTTTGGAACGTACTTTTTTTGATCATGAAAAGATTTGATATATTCAGCACTGTGGAAAGGTTTACTCTCGAAATAATTGATAAAGTTCACGATATGATTTTAAGTGATAGTTGGAAATTTTCACAATTAACAGAAAGATCTCGGCAAAATGGGTGCCGAGGCTGTTTTGGCGCTTCCTGATAAGTCTACACTGATATATAACTGTTAATGCTACATGAATGAACATAACTACACTCCAGAGGACAAAGAACAGTCAAAACATTGGATTTTTGAAGGTGAACGGCCTCCAAAAAAGAGAAAGAAGTCGTTCAGGTCTTTTAGATCGCGGAATCACATACATTGATTACTTGCAACAACGATAACGGAAGAGTATTACGCGCCATTAATAAAACGGCTGAACAAAGAAATCAAGGAAAAGCACAAGGCTATGCACGGGTGCACACCTGCACAATATCGATGGCCAAAATTATGGAATTAAAGTTTCAGTTAATACAACATCCACCGTATTCACCAGATTTGCCACCCAGTGACTTTCCTGTTCCCAAAGTTGAAGAAATGGTTGGTGGACAAAAGTGTAACGTCTAACGAGAAAGTAGTCTCCCAAACAAATGCCTGTTTAAGAAGCTTCCAAAATCCTAGTTTACAACGATGGCTTTAAAAAATGGAAAAAACACATGATTTTTTTTATATTGCTTTCAACTTTTAGATATAGATAACTGTACAAATAAAACATAATTTCTAATTTAGTTGAGTAAAGTATTACCTACTTAGCAAAAAGAGAAATATAACACCCTATTTATCATATATGAATAAAAATAAAATAGATAAATATGATTATTAATTAGTTTAGGTAATTGTTACCTGGTTAGTGTTACGTTATTTTTATAGATCCTTACTACGTAAATACTATTTGACATATATGATTCAAAATAAAGTAGATAACTATCATTTTGGTTAGTCTTACATTAAATATATTATATTTTTTATTTAATTTAAACAGAAGCAAAATACCTCATTTATCATAGAATAAAAAAGATAACTATTATTACTGTTCAGTTTAGGTAAGTGTTACCTAGTTTGGGATAATTTTTTTTTGTAGGTACATTCATTAAAAATAGTGTGTTTTATTTTTAACTTAACTAGAAATCAGCGCACCAACACCAAGAAACATTTAAGCTGATTATTTATTAAAATATTTACAAACATGAAGATCCGAACTACAACTTGAGCTATCTAATGCTTTTTACGCAATTGAAATTCAGTGAAAACCTATATTTTTTGTAAATATTACTTTCATGAAAACACTTACTGTGAGATCGTGGCGGTAAAGGGGGCGCCCCTTCGATGCCCGAGTCTGGCCACGAGTTTCTTAGGGGCGTTCCGTCGGTAGGCGTCATGGACATGGCGTGCCTTAAAAGTCGCGGCGAGGGAGGTTTCGTTAGCGACCTTTCGCGCGTGTGCGTCGCTTTCGGTGGGAGGGGCACCTCGCACGGATCCGAATCCCTTAAAGTGAAAAGTTTGTGAAAACATGCCACAAAGAGTCGAGACAAACACACATATATAAGGCTCGACAGGAAGCAAACTTTTATTTCAATTTTATCGGCATATTTAATAAATAAAAATTAGCAAATAATGGCGATTTCGAAACAAGATTGATGCCCAGGAGTGTTCGGACATGGGAAATTTGATTTTGTCCTTTATTTACCACTACTTCTAGAGGGCGCCACCTTGATACCTCTTCTGACATAAAAAGCGAAACGATTTTATTTTTTTAAAAAATCAAGTAAGCAAGTAAGTTTATTACTATTATTACTAAAAAACTTATTCTGGAATGTTACCAATATAATAGAATTATTTTAATCGAACGATATCCTGCGTATATCTATTTCTGATGGAGTAACTTTTTACACATGTTGTGAGTAGTACTAGTTAGATTTTAAGTTAATTTTAAGGAGTCTGTAAGTTGAATTAATTATAAATAAATAACATAGTTGAGTAATCAATATTCCTTATATTTCTTTAACGATAAATTTGACTAAATCTGAAATACCCCTAGTCACTAATTTTGGTTCAGAAATATGCGTTATTTTACAAAAACAATAATAGAAATAAATCTTTGGCTCCCTGCATCTGGAAAACGAAGATTAGATGAACACTTAAAACGCTTATTATATAACACCCTGTGTAATGACTTTAATTATTATTGTTGGCTTTTTTCTAACGACCAATATTTTTAAAATATAATTTTAATATAAAGTGTGAAAACCGAAACATCGGGTTTAGTTGGTATCTAAATAAAAATCTTATCCAGATTGTAATTTGATTCCTATACAGCTCTTGGATATGTCAGCACAAGGTTTCACTAATGGGCCCAAAACTAGACGAAAACAAAAATTCGTCTCTAAATTGTTATAAACGAATGAATTATTCTTTTTTATTTGAAAACCATTGATCCATAATGCACAATATTATAACATCATGTGTTACTGTGCTTAGTAGAAAAGTCTATATCGAGACCTACGTCGAATTTGGACAAACACCTATTTCTTTTAATTGCTAGAAATTTTGAAGAGGATTTAGAACACACCTACAAAATAATTTTACGTCAGGATACACTATTTTCACGAAAACATAACGTATAACTTATAAAAGTAAGGTATATGACAATACCATGGAATCCATAGATAAGAGTTCAGGTTAGTTTAGCAATTCTCACTAGATGACATTTAATGCATCGTGACGTCACATGGTGTTTTCGTGTTACGTCATATTTAAAGCGCTCTGGGTAAATTTTAAGTCGCTAATTTTAATTGAAATGTTTTTTTTTTCGCCAAAAAAATAATTGTTAGGTAGAATTCGGCAGTTCTAAAAATGCATTTATGAAGTTTTGGTGTAAATTTAAAACTCATGCTAATAATTATAATAATAATAATTAGTTATTATTACCTGTTCCGTATGGACGGTAAACTGATGCTGTTGTACTCTGCGGTGCCTCTCGTGGGCGTGCGCAGTTCCGTCGCGTTGGTGCCGTTAAATCCCTGCGACCGTGGCCTCGACTCTCGTTGCGGTATAGGGGGCGCTGTAATCATATTCCCCATGGGCAGCGATAAATTTTCGCGGCTGAGTATAGGTCTGTCTAGGTCCTGCGGATTATACGATTAATATTAACATTCGATAACCTACCTCTACTTTATTGACTACATCGTAAGTAAGCAAACGAAATAGCAGTTCCCAACAAAAAAAGTTAACGTTTCATTCAAGCATTAACATAAAAAGGATGCAAATAAAAATGGATGTTTTTTCGGAAGCGTAAACAAACCAGTTGGATTAGCTTTTGGCCGGGTTTTCGTCTTTAGTTGCCACTCCAAACGAAGTCAGATAGCAATGAAATGAGCGTAAAAATGAAAGGAAGTTTGAGGTTATAATTCAGTGTTCGGTTTTTGATTGTCACAATTACTAACAGGTCAGACTCAAGAAAAAGCTACAATGAATAGAAATTTTGAAAAGGATTTAGGATTAATAGAAAACCGTTGTTCTTTTAAGTGTGCACAGGAAAATAATTAAAAGCACCCCCTCCACACATCATGCAAGAGGGAAAGCGAGATAATGGCATTTTGCTTAAAGCGGGAACTATTATTTTGCTTGGTACCTAAAGAGGGCCCAAAAAAAGATAATTTGCGGCTTTTTAAAATTATGAGGGTCTTCAAAACGTACGGTTTCTTAAATAATAAAATAAATTATTAAAAATTTGTTGTTTACACATTTAATCTGGGGTTAATAAACAGATTTTCTTGGTTACGGTTATGTATTTTTTTCTCATGGGAACTCAAAACTGAATTGCTATCAATATTTATTGTTTGTATAGATAGAAACATAGATAGATACTAGAACTTGGACATAAAACAGAGAGTTAAACTAAGCTAGCAAACGACTGGGGAATCAGTCTATATCAAAAAACTTTAACTACCATAAACTTATAAACATCTCTCCGTAGGGCCCTCCCCAGTATTACCAACGAATATACGGAAGCTTGAATTGCTTACTTTATGCATGCAACATTCCCCTGTCGACACGTAAAACCTAAAGGCATACTCAGTTGCGTAACTTAACGTACTCCTTCCTCGGCTAAAAAGTGTTTTGAGCCCTACCAGCGATTTCGAGTAGACGCTGTCGTAGTCCAACAGCGTCTGGTGCTCCAAAAGATGGCCGTAGTTGCCGCTCGAGTTTGACGAACGATTGCTTCCGCTGTTGTCCGCCAGGAGGCGTTTTTCGGATGGTACCGGCGGCAGGGGCGTGCTGAAATCGATTTGTTACGTTAGTGGCGTCTGTTGGAGTAGGGCACGCGCACTTACTTCACTATACTATTGGGCATTTGTTGGTTCAACGAGCCGAGGCTCTCCTTCAACTGGAAGAACCGCTCGATCAGTCTTTGGTGCAACGGTTGGACGCTAGGCGGCGCCAGTTTGCCGTGCAGGTATAGGCCTTCCTCGATGACCTTGAATTCGACCGATTGACGTTTCGATTTCGTCGGTACAGGCAGGCAATTTCGGAAAAATGTAGAGTAATATATTGCCCCTCGTTGGGATCATGAAGTAAATAATAATAATGCCCTTATTTTTCCAGACATAAAAAAAGTGTAATTGGGGTGCCGAGGTCTAGTTTGCAGCTACTCATACCTAACCACTAAGTTACTAACAAGAAAGATAGTATCAATCAACGTGGAGAACACACAGAAGAAGGAAATGGACCTAGCATTTTAGCAAAGTAAGCCCCGAAAGGTTAGCCAGAATAGCAAGGGATTTTAAACTGACAGGAAAAATACCGTCAGGACTTTCCTAGCAATCTGCATCACGTCAGAACTAAGAAATAGGGCAAAAAGGCTGTAAAGTTCGGGGCGAAGGTCTAATATAACAAGAATAAATAAATAAATCTTGACGACTAGATCGATCTGACCTCAGCGCGACCCCTTAAATGTCGAAGGATATTACGATTTTTCATAATTTATTCTTTAATGTTTAATGAGGGTACCGAATACTATATATAATGCTCAATTAATATTCTTTTAAAATGAAATTCGTATATTTTTACGGAAACGCCTTTTGCACATCATACATAGATGAGACCAAACCCTGACGGTACTATCTAAACTCGATATGCCAAACGATGAAAGTGGCTTAAGTGACTAGCGAGATTTTATTACTCTACACCTTTCTGAAATAGAGTCTGGCACCGTTCGACTCACCCTGGTAGCGTTCAAGATCAAATCTTGCAGGGTGTTGACGTAGACCTTGTGCTCCGGATAGAGTTTGGCGAATTCCTTCGTGAAGAACGCCTGCTGGTATTTGCTGAGACCGCCCTGGACGTTCGCGTCGATGATACCTTGCAGTCTCATCGTGAACGGGTTCAAGTTCCGCTTGGTGTCGTGCGTATACACGGCGATCAGCTGTCTCAGTTCTTGTTCAACGGTTTGCATCGTTTCGCACGCGTATTGCACCGGAGGAATCTCGTCGGTCTGTCGGTCTATGACCTCGAACCACCTGAGGATGCCCGGCAGAGGCGCCGCGATCTCCAGGACAGTCCTTTCTATCCACAAGGTCTAGGGGTGGGGGTTGGTTATGAAAGCACGTTATTGATACGACAGACCGAGCATATTTCGAAGAAATATTAATGAAGAAGCGCAGAATTTCAGACAGGGTAGTAGCAATTGGTGGCAAATACATTCAGGAACTCTACTGAACGAGCTCATTCATTTTATATTCAATTATGTGCCTAAACTTTCGCACTAAAATTAACAGTTTTTTTTTTAAAGAATACATTTTGATATTACTATTTTACCACCATATATATAGTGAGGCTCATGCTGTTTGCAACAAAACATTTTGTACATATTGGTTTACTATCACCGTATCACTTTATTGATTTTATCATAGTATAATTTAATTGCTTTTTTGTGAGTATGGGGATGTTATATTTTTTAATTTAGGCGAAAAGATTATAACAAGAAATATAAACAAACCCACTAACTAGAACTGTGAAAAATACAAGAAAATTAACGTCAATTAATAGACATTAAAAAAAAAACATATACATTCATACAAATTTTGCTAATTTTGCGTGTATCTTCTTTTTTATGTAAAACGGTGGCAATAAACGTTTTTTTCTTTTTAGAACTGGTGCGGAGAAAAATTGTTTTCAAGCAATACCTAAAAAACATGAAAAATAAAAACTATTTCTTTAGTCCAGTTAAAAAGCAACCACGATCAATTTTTAGATGAAGCAAAAGGAAAATATACAACTTTTGGAGGGGGGGTGTTATATTTTTAATAACCTGAAAAGTGTATGAAAATAAATAGCTATTTAAAAGTATACGTCTTTTTGCTACAGCTCTTCAAAATTACCAAATCCACGTGCATGTTTTTTATAATAAAATAGGAATTTAAATATATTATATTTTTTAAAAATATTTCTAAAAAATATTTGTCACATCAAATCACACCATGTTTATATATGTCTACATATATCTTTTATATGTAAAATGGTGGCAATAAACGTTTTATTAATATTTTTTCTTTATGGAACTGGTATAGACAAGAATAGTTTTTATGTCACTACCTCTAAACATGAAAGATAAAAACTATTATTTTCTTTCACTTACAAAATCAAATTTTTTCTCGCCTTATTTTTGTCTTTACTGTAAAAACCAACGCGTTTTATACGAAGCGAAAGCAAAACGCACAAAGTAGCTCATTATTGCCGCATTCTTCTATAAATCTCCATATACTTATTTGATATTTTCTTGAAAAAATTTTAATGCAAAAGTTGGCCCTCTCATAAGTTTGTCACAGCATTCAACTGCTTTATTTTAAATGTAACACCTGGTATATATTATTTCAATTTTGGAATTTTGAAAGATTCATGGTAACTTCTTGTTCCGTTTCTAAAATTTTCAAAAATGTAACATTATATTTGTATATTGTGGGTCAATGAAAACGCAAGAATGGTCCTTTTGAAATCGATAACGAAATCATCAACAATTACATCATTTTTAAAACTGTCAAAATTTAATTTATTTTTATATAATTATATTTATGGTGCTCTAAAAATGTTGTTGAGGCCCAGAAACGGGTTTTGCGTATATAATAAGCTGTTATCACTCTCCAGCTTTAAATAATACACTATACTTATTATCATCTCTTTTGGTTGCAGTCATTCGGTCAAAATCAAGCTATTTGCGAAAGCACTATACCTTTATTTCGTTATCTTTGTCGATGATACCCTTATGTACGGGCCTGTCGCACTGGAACCGTTTCACGTCGTTATAGTGATAGAACCTGGAGATCTTCTCCGGAATATCGGTCGCCAAAGTGATAGGCGTCGCTTCCGGGATCGGCTTCACGTTGCAAATTTGAATATCTGCACCGTTCGTTAACGAATACGATACGTTATAACCGAAAGCGTGTTAATTTTCATGAAATTAAAAAAAAAAGGATACACTGCCCGTCCGAGTTGACGATCGAATCGTCCGGGGGCGTGTTTTTCATCAATATCTGTGCGGAAGGGAACTCGGTTTGAAGTCGCTGCGTGAAAGCGCCTATCCGTTCGTATTCGAGGCCCCGGTATACGAACTGTTTGTTCTGAAACGTCAAAACAAAGGGCGATTATTAAATTTAATACGATCGTGAAAACGAGCGATAGTAAACGAACCCTGACGAAAAGCGGGAAACTGAGACCGTAGAAACCGACCCGGAAATATTCGGGTTCCGGACGGAGCTGGGTGAGAATGTTGTCGTAGAATTTCGCCTGACATTTGAGGATGTCGCTCAACTGCTTGTAGTCGAAGAATATCGTCTCGTAAAGGTTGGCGAGTTCTTTTAGAAGCGGTATCCCCTTCTCCCAACACTGAAATTATACGAACGCGATTCGAAAATGATGTTTAGCTTAAAACTTTTTACAAAACTCAGAGCTTGACCGAAACTGGCTTCAGTCAAGCTCTGAAGAAGCCTGAAATTGACTCCCATTCTACTCTGTATCTGCTTATATACTGCTTGAGGGGGGCGGAACAGTGTCTCGGATGACTGATTCCTGTATTTGTCAAAGGTAAAGACCTGAGTCGCGGTAAATAAAACCAGATTTACCGCTTGTCCACAAACTCTCGCCATCTCCGATCCTTCAAAGACAAATTTCCATTTGTGATACCACAACACATTGGAGAGACAGTTGCCAGACGCAATCACGAAACCGGACATCAAATTTTATGTGATAAAATTAAAATTCTTGCATATAATCAAACCAACCAACAAAAAATCTGACAATTTTAAGAAATCTATAAGTAACTAAACAATCTTAGCCGCGACTTAGGTCTTTATCTGTCACCAATATGGTTTAATCCAGCTAACCAATATCAGTCATCGGAGACACTGTTCATGCCCCTCCTTTAGCTCCGCCCCCCTCAAACAACACGTAAGCCGGTATACAGTAGAATGCGATCGAGTTTCAGTTGGCTTCTTCAGAGTTTAACAGAAACTCACTGGCTGATCTTATAAAAATTAAAGATAATATTAATTATTAATTAATATTAATTAATTAACAATAAGAATAAAAAAATATTATTTTGTAAAACTATACCGGGTGTTCAAAGAGTATGGAAACGATGGAATATGTCAAAAATTATGCAACATAACTAATCAAAACTGTTCAAGAACACCAAGCAGGGCCAACTATGAAACATCAAAGGGAAACCAGATTTGTTTTTACATTCCATAACCCTCCCTCTCTAAGAAAGGGTGCTTAAAATATGGTACATATGAACTACTGCTTTTTAAAAAAATTGATTTTATTATTCCTTTTTTCAAAATATAAAGATTTTGTATGTGGAATTAAACATGGATAGCCATAAGAAAAATAAATAAATGAGTGGTCCTAAAATTCGACTTTATTTATTTATTCGTAGGTTAAATCCATATCAGTTGAGTAATTACGAAACATAAAAATATCTACATAAACAAAAGAAAGATATGAAAAATGTTTGGTTACAATATAATAACTCTAAGGAAAAATGAAAAAAAACTATTACTTTTAGACTAAAATAATTATAATAGCAATTTAGGACGAAAAATGAAAATGAGAAAGTTATTTCAAACTCTGAGCTTTATTCCATAACTTTGAACTTTGCACATCGACACATTGAGATCCAGGTTGACATAAAGGCAACCTGTCAACGTCTTCCTCCAGAGCAAGGCAATGGTCAGAAGCAACAATCGTTCAACAAAGAGCAGCAGAAATAAGGAATGTAAGAGTTTGGATCGTTAATGAATGGGTCGAAAAGCAAAGGGTCCAAATGGGATCCTTGAGGCGCACCAAACATGATAAAGGTTTGCCAAACAAAGCAAACTAACCCAAAGTAACCCTTTCCAAGCAATTTCTGTGGATCCTGCACTGCGGACCTGAATTGCGCTAATAAATGAAAGATTGCCATTTGGCATTTATTTATGTTCAAAAACATATTATCATCTGCAAGTTCCTGACTAAAAGTCTCCTAACAAATATAAAACTTAAATCACTTGCCTTTCCCTTGTCGAAATAATTGATGATTTGCCGATAAAGGAGCTCCTTGACTTGACATTCGGTATGGTTCGGATAATTCGGATCCGGAACGATCTGGTTCGTGTTCCACGTAAGCTGATCCGTGTATAGTTTCATCGTGAACGCCGCCTCGGTAAAGTTCTCGGCCGATAAGTGCAGATCGTGCAGTTTGTAAATGTATCGCAGGTACATTTCTTTCCGGTTAAACTCGTTCTTGTAAAAATTCTTCGAGAAATAAATAAACATTAATTATCGAGGTCTTTCGCCCGTCTACGTTCCCTACCAGCAAATTAAAAGTACACGACATTCGTTTGTCCCTGTTCTCGTCGCCCTGTATAACGTTCCTATAATCTAAAAGCCTCTCCAACAGTCTCGTTATGGAGCTGATAAAGGCGGCCCCGCTTTCTTTCCACGTAGGATCTTCGGACTGAACCCGATCCAACAGCCTAAAAGAGACGTTAACAGATATCCCATCATCACCTAAACTGCAATGGCAACGATGGAAATAAGCGACTTGTAACGAAGATTTTTGTCTTTTTATTTACACATTATTTTAATGTTTGTATAAAATATGTAATAATCTAATTTCTTTAAAAAAATTCGAAAATAGCACTTACAAATTGATATACAGCTTTGAAATTCAAAATATTTAAATCTTCCTAACCACTTAGAAAATGTACTTTTTTTTTGTAATAGTAATTTATAATAATAACTCGTGTCGCTTGGGCCAGACAGGTCGGTACATTTGAACTACTCCTATGCTTGACGTATACTTCGACATATTACTCATTATACCCAACATAAGGAGCTATATGAGAGGTATATGGCGGTATAGGAGAGGTATATGAGAAGTATGTGGAAGTATATAAGAGATATATGGGGTGTTGGAGAGGTATATGAAGAACATATGGCAGGAACGTCAGACAGTAGTTCGAACGTTTCACACGAGTGACGCAATATTTACTGATGAGTTTATGATATTATATATATACATACCAAAAAAGACAAGCTCGAATTAAAACTAAAAATCCATATGCCGAAAGTAGAAACAAAGAATTTTTTTTCCACACTTTTTTACACTTTCCGAAAGTATTCGAAAAATCGATAAATTTAAACCATTTAAACAAAACTCAAGCTAGAATATTAGAAAAAACTAGGCAAGTTTTTTAGCAACTTCAAAGAAGAATAACATATTGAAATGATGTCACAAAACAAATAGAAAAATTGAGAAATAACATCATTTATTAGGGTTAGTTTGGATCCATTAGACGGATATAACTCTCCATACACGTTCATCCACTTTGAAATTCATTTTCTACATTTTTCATGCACTGATTTACTTACACTGCGCTCAAATGTTCCCTTCGAAAGCAACAAACAAGACACGTATATTAAACGTCATCGCTTATCACAGGTATAGTCTATTCGTTACGAGGAGAGAGAAATGAAACGGTTTTAGGATTTAGGTAAAACAAAAAATTTTACATGCAGCCATAGATCATAAACAAGTCACGAAAGGTCCAAACTTAGCGACTCGGTCAAAAAGTTTTTCAATTGCTTTTACGACGGTTAAAAAGTGTAATATAAGAAAATATTTTATAGATCAAAACTGATTTAATCATGTTTACCAATAATTAAAAATCAAGTGAGCATATTTAATATAAAAAGGATTAACATTAACTGCAACACAATATTAGTTTTTTGTCGTTAATGGCCAAATTCAAAAAAGTTAGCCAAAGTATTGTTGAGATATTACTAAAGAAATTTTTTTTCTTTAACTCCCTGTATCTTGTAACACAGGTATTTTAGGACACAAGTTTATAAACTTTTATATTGAAATTATGTCTTATCACTGAGCAGCATTATAAATAATACAGCTTAAGTATGCTCCAAGGGTAAGGGTAAAACCAACCGACGAACATTGAAGGGCAGATCTTAACCCTTCTTGTCCTGTCGATAATCTTGACCGTTTCATTACTCTTTTTAACGAAATAACATAGTATAAACTCACATGGTATTGAACAGCCGCCTGTATTCGTCGTCACCCTTATTCTCTGAGATCAGTATATCGAGCTTGTCGATGAGCTCGCATTCCACCTGCTTAAAGTTACCTCTCGCCCTCTGCTCGCACTCCATCATGTCGAAGAATATGTGCAGTGTGGCTTTGCGCAGCTCGATTTCCGGCACGAGGGTTACTTCGAGGAAAGGCCCGACCATCGACGGGATGAAATGCAACTTGCACTCCCCTATAATGGTGACGATTCGAGTTTAAACGTCACTGCTGGGAACCACGCCCTTACCGAGTTGGGACCACATCGAGAGTATCTGAAAACCCATCAGCACCCTCATGTCGCCGTATTTTTCGATGATTTTCTCCCGCTTAACGTCGGAGAACTGTTCGAGTTGCAGAGACTGCTGCGTGAGGTAATCCACCGACAAGTTGAAGTAGTTCGTCCAGAGCTGTGGAACAAACCTTGCGTTACAAGATCGTACTCGAAGAGTGCGCGGAAACTAACCTCTTTGTCGAAATATCCGGCCCTGCTGTCCAAAAATTTAAACGCCAAGGGTTGAGCGAACTCCTGGAGCGCTTTGAGGATGACGTTGTTCGTGAGCATTTTGATCACCAGCCAGTCGGGTGGGAACACCTCCATGCGGATTAGGTTTCGAAATACGAGGAAAACTCTGAGCAGGAAGTCTTTTAGCGGTTTACGATCGCAATTAGGACCCATGAGCACCTCCCACAGGCGTTTGTAGTGGAACTCGTCCAAAAGCTGGAGGATCCCTATGAGGCACGCCACCAAACATCCCTGAATCATGAGGAAATTGTTCAGTGGGTTAAGAATTAGATTAGCTGGAAATGTGTTAAATAAAAAGAAACTGATTGGTCGACGTTTTACTGGGACATCCTGAGGGGAATGAAACGTCGGTTGAATATATACGGGACAGTAGAATGGTTTTCAGGTGAAATAAACAGCTGTTGATATTCAAACTAACCAAAATCTTTGAATCCTTGTCGATGATGCTGAGTATGCACTGTATCAGCACTTCCAAAACCGACAGATTGAGCGTGTCGACGTCGTGGTGGATGCAGTTATTGATTTTGCCTTGCTCCTCGCTAATTTTTTTGTGCCTGAAGAGAAAACCGAGAATCTCGCCCAATATTTCCGTGCAAAGCTTAAGCTCGTCCCTTCTGATCAGGTGGTAGCTCAGATGTTTGCAGGCGTTCGCCAAGAGAATATTCCTCGACTCTGAAATACGACAGCATGTTTTGCTTAGTTACTTTTGAATGGAATTTCATTCATTCAAATTTGATTAGCATTGCTCAAAAAATTAAAAATATCCACATAAAAAAGGTTGCGTAGATTCTGACCCAAAGTTATTTTTGCTCCTTGGGGGATAGATAATCTAAATTCAAATTACTTGCTTTTTGCAGATGCAGAAATTTTTAAATGTATAAAATCACCCGACGACTATTTCAAAAGGATTTGGATAAACAATCTAAAATTAAATAACAATAAATGTTCATATATGGTTTTTACTTGTAAAAAAGTGTTATCCGTTGATATAATTATAGGGGCCAATCTAAGCAAGATTAAAACTGTGAAGCTATCTTCACAGTTTTAATCTTCACTTTAGAATACGAAGGAGAACTTTGGTCGTACACACCATCCAGCCGTTTTTAAATAATAATGTCAAAAACTTTATGACTGCTCTATACTCAATTTGCGTTATTTGCGACATTTTTTCGGACGCGTCTTGTTTAAAATGCTGTTAATAAAAAATTAATTGACGGAAGACTTCAATTTTTTTTTGCAGCCTACTAAGATTATATATATATATACATATATATATATATATATATATATATATATATATATATATATATATATATATATATATATATATATATATATATATATATATATATATATATATATATATATATATATATATATATATATATATATATATATATATATATATATATATATATATATATATATATATATATATATATATATATATATATATAAAAAAGAAAATAAAGTTTTATCGTGGTACTGGAACTGCATCTATATCACTTAGAAATTCAACAAGCAAATAAAAAACCTCCCCGCCCCACCTTCAAGTCCAAATACACAAAGGAAATCTGACAGCGAACAGAAGCGCCAAATTTTCAGCATTGGAGTGGAGGTTTAATCTATGGAGAGCGTTAAACGTCAGATACAAGTCATAGCTTACCGTCGTCCTGAAACAGCTTGCTCGTAACCAAATTCTTGATGCAGGCGAGCTTGGCCTGGGCTAAAGGCGCCGACAGTTCCCTCGGTATAAAATCGAGCATGGTCGCGGCCAATTTGGTGCACTCGATCGTCGGTAGTACCTCGTTCAGCTGCTCGTACACCGAGCTAAGCGCCAACAGCAGCGCCACCTGGGTGTTGATGATACGGGCGTCGTTAATCGTCAGCATTTTATTCAGTGACGAGAACACGCTGTAGAGGTCGCGCCGGAAACTGTCCTCGTAATGGCCGCCGGTGGCGCGCGAAAACAACAGCCGGCTCTGTATGATCAGCTTGAAAATGTACTCCAGACTCTTGAAGCATTTTTGGATCGGTTCCTGTTTGTCGAACGACACCACCCAGTCGGCGCAGTGTTGCACGCTTGTCAGCAAACCCCTGCGAAACGGAACACAAGATATCACATTCTAACAAGAATTCGCTGCCGTGAGAAAATCTGATCAAATGTTTGATAAAGACATGGTGTTGTCGAAACAATTTTCATGTTATAATATATAATTTCGTGAAAATCTGAACTTTTAGTTCTTATTTATTTTGATAAATGGATTTTCATCAAGTAAAAGCCACCTCAGTTCAACTAAACTATTTCACCTGAATAAATTTAAAAGGGTTTTAAGGTTTATTGCCCGTCCAAAATCCCCGTGTGATGATCTTAGATGTTAATCTACTTTTTCTATTTTTTCTAATCTATCAAATTCTGTCACCATGAGTGAGGAGACGTAACGAATTGAACTAGGAATAGATTTCGTATTTACTTGTAGACGAGTGCGGCAGCGAAATGGTTCTTGATGTAGGCGTCCAGGACCGGCTTGAAGTGTTGATATTTCGAGCCATCCAGTAAATTGAAAATGGACACCAGCACGTGGAACACGAGACCGCTGTGGGCGGTCGAGTTGCCGTCCTCCGTCGAAAACAGCGCGAATAGCGCGTCCAACACGTCCTGCAGGAACTTCACCAACTCCTCGTCGCCCAGCTTCAACACCCGCTGGAGCGATTCCTGGATCCTTTCCGGATGCGATTTCCATCGTAGTAACGCGAGAAGGTCCACTGCAAAGGAGCGCTCTTTTTGACGCTAATTTCTAAGAGCGCCATCTATATCGTACTATCGAAATGTTAAAACACCCCTTAACTTTTTTACCAGGAAATTTTAGCTAAAACGTGCGCGTCTGGGTTGTAACATGGCAATGGGAGTGAGGAGGAAAAACAGAAAAGTAAATTATCAATTATCATAATAAATATGATTGGCAACATAATAAAAAAAATATTGGAAGGATTCTTTCCCAGATAATCTCCATGTGTTTGCGATAGAGGTCAGTATTTTCCGTTTATACGTTCATACTTTATAGAAGAAAATTGTTATGTAGCAAAAAGAACAGAAAACATTATAATCGTCCTTTTTGGTAAATTCCAGAAAATGTAATAGAAAAATTTTAATTCTCCGTTGACTGAGGAATTGTTATGAAAAAGATGCGTTATATAGCCGAATGATGTTAACAGTCGGGGTAAATAGATGTAAAAGAAAAAAAAAGAAGATCTGAACTAACGTTTTTGGGTTGGGTTGGACTTACTCCTAACTCTCAAAAATAATTTCATGTCGAAACACAAAAATCGGCAAAAAAGTGAGAATAAAAATTGAATGGATTCACAAAAAGAAGAAATACGACACTACGGGTACGGCCAATCCCAGTCTCGTGATATAAGTAACAAATTAAAACAAATAATAAAAATCAATGTTACTTAAGCTTAAGGCTTGTTTATAAATTAGTTTATTATTTAAGCTTTAATATAATTTATATTTAATGGAAGCATTAAGAAAAGTTAAATGTACACAACTATCAGGCAAGTTTACTAAAAAGCCATGTAATTCATGTAAGCCATGTAAGCCATTTTACGTAATTAAAAAATGGGTCATTTTAAATTTAAGCTCTATCATCAGAGTTAGGAATTTGACACATTCCCGTTATGCTGAACTTTAATAATAGTGTGACCGCAATGTTCTACTTTTTGTTTACTGAAAATGACTTTTCCAAAAGTCAAAATGACTACTTGGCATAGCTAATTTTTCCGCTAGGACTCACCGTTCTGCGTCAATTTCGTCGAACACAGCAGCGTGCGTACGTAAATGATTTCCTTGTGACTCCTGGAGAACTGTCCGCTAGCCTCGTGGTTACCCTCGTAGTCCTTCGCGTAAGCCGGCAACGCCAGGTACCCGCAGTTATCCAGCTTGGACGGATCCTCGCACTTGTAAATGTACAACTCGTGCTGACCGTCCTGCACCGCGGCGCCATCTTTGTCCATTAAACGGAAGAAGGAGAAACCGAACAGTTTCTTGTCGTTCTTCTCCCTGGCTGCATTATTTAAGTTAGTTTCGACTGCTCGTCGACCTCAGATACTTCATACGCAAACCGATAAACAGACTGGATTTTGATTCGGACATATGTCGTCAGGTGGCACTTGAAGCGGTTTTAAGTACGGGACACCAAGAGAGGCTTATGGAAAATAGTTTTTCCATCTTTGCCGTTATCGCATTCCAGGCAAGCAAGGTGGGAAAGCCCTAGGTAGTAATTTCATTCAACTGCTTATTGCTTATATTTTTATTTTTATTTTATTTATTTACGGTTTAACCAATTTACAAAATTTTTACATTAGTTAAAGGCAAAGAGAGAAAGACAGCAGTATAACAACTAGAAACCAGAACAAAAAGTAACAATAACAATAAATAGAATTTAGCTGCAGCACTCAAACGGAACACATCAGAACGAAATGGGCGGAGGCTGCTGACAAAAGGATCAAGCTTTAAACAGTTGCACGCTTTCAGCATTCAAGTAAGGGGTGAATAAACTATGTATGCGGAACACTGAGTTATCACAACTTCTGTAATATGTAAGTGTAGTATGTAAGTTCTGGACAATAATACCAAACACTGTGAGATCTTCTGGTTTGAAGAGTATCAATATTGAAGGCCTTAGCTATAATACTGTACTTGATCTGATACGCATTATCGCGTGATATGTGCCTTTGAACCCAAAGATCGTAAAAATACTTTCTGAACGACTTCGATGTTATTTATATGGCAGGCATAAAATGGATACCATACCACAGATGCATATTCCAGTATAGAGCGAACCAAAGAGATATAAAGGAGTTTAAGGCAATGTAGACTAAGTTGGCAACTATTGCATACAGCAAACCCAAGGACTCGCATAGATCTGTTTACTACTTCCGCAAAATGTGTCACAAAATTTAGTTTAGGATCGCAGCAAACACCCAAGTCTTTAACACTAGTGACGGCCTCGATCTCGATTCCATCAATGCTATATTGATTGTGAACCATACTCAACGAACGACTAAAGCTAATACTACGGCATTTCGTTACATTGAAGGCGAGGCTATTAATCTTAGACCACATGCAAACACTGTCCATGTCTCTCCCAAGCGGCAGAGCATCCTCGCGCGATCCAACCCTCCTGAATATCTTTAAATCATCCGCAAAAAAAAGACACTGCAATTCCTACACTACACTAACAATATCATTTATAAACAAGTTAAAAAGGATGGGTCCAGTGTGAGAACCTTGGGGGACTCTCGAAAAAATATCAATTTTTACCTGAGACATAATTATTAATACGAACCAAGTGAATATGACCAGAGAGAAAACACTCAATCCATTGCGCCAGCCCAGTTCTAAGCTTAGAGACAAGATACACATGACCCACCCAGTCAAACGCCTTCGAGAATTCCGTATAGACAGAATCCACCTGACCAAACTCCTCAAAGGCGTTCAATAAAAATTATTGGTAGGTGAGTAAATTTATAACGGTCGATCTACCCTGTACAAATCCATGCTGTTGATCAGCCAGAAATGCCCTGCAATGCCACGAAAGTCTCTCACACTGTATGCAAACGCCTCTATAATTAGCGACACCGCTTTTATCACCACTCTTGTGAATCGGTACCAAATAGCTAACCTTCCAAAAGTCAGGTAGCAATACAAATCATTTTTTTATTACTTAAAAGTTTTACGAAATTTATTATAAAAACTGATATGCTTTGTTTTATATGCTCCCGAATTCTGTCAAAAGGAGCACATTTTAATAGGTACTTTTGTAGTTGAATTACTCAAGCATTAGACGCCGAGAATCTCTTTTATTTGCTTAGTAGTTTAAAAAAAGTGTTTACACCATGAACACATTTAATTTACATCGTTTGACAAAGGTTATTGAAAAATATAAATAAATTATTGTACTTCCCCTTATTAGACGTCATAAAATAATTTAGGAAAATATCTTATATGGATTTGTTTAATTACTTGTTAAAAGATGTATTTAAATGTTAAATTTAAAAAAATTGTGTTTTATCTCATATGGCAGCACGGTACCTAAAGAACAAAAAATATTTCTTACGACTACTAATACTTGCTAATAAACTGTAGCCTTTTTTTTTTCAAAGAAACCAGTAATACTATTTAGAAATCTTCTAGATTCAATCCTATCGCTAGCTGGCTTCTTCAAAGCTTACCTGAAACTGGTTTGCTTTCTACTCTGTACCTCCTTATATACGGTTTAAGGGAGGCGGAGCTAAAGGTCGCGTATGAACACTGTTTTGGAGGAGTGCATCCCATATTGGCTCCGTTAGCTCCGCATCCCTCAAACACTATATAAAAGGTACAAAGTACAAGTAAAAACTTGTTTTAGTTAAGCTCTGAAGAAGCTAACAGGATGATTGGCAAGTTACTCTCTTCAGGAGGAATCTAGAAGATTTTTAAATAGTGTGGACTGACAGTTCGTCATATATTTTGGGTGGTATGTGGTATTACTTACTTGAGCAGTGTCGGTACTCTAGACGGACGTGAGCTCCGGCGAACTTGTCTATAGGCAACGTTAACCTCACGTTCTCAGCCCAAGCGGGTGAATTGTGATGGTACAGTATCATCGAGTTGTATTCGGTGGCACCTTCCATCCCCGACGCGCCCCACAGGCAGTTCTAAACGAAACGCAGTTGCTCTAGGATAGTCTGTAGTCTATTAGTCGATATGAGAGAGCAATAAAATGGAATGATACGAAGGGTGATAATTCCTAAGCTCATTTGTTTTGATGGTTTTGACAGAAACAGCAAACGAGTTACAAGACGTGTCACACACGGAGTTCAATCACTTAACTGGCGCACTCGGCGTAGGATCTATATCGACAGGAAAAAGTGTTGCTTTCGAATTGGATGGGTAGTACAAAGTGGCTTTTAAAAAATCAAAAAACCCAGTCTCTCAAGCAGTTCTAAAAAGTCATGCTCATATCGCCGGATTTTTTAGGCAACTCTGGAAACATGGCTGGAAGAATTCTGCTAGGATTAATACTCTACAAAATGGCATCTATTCTCGAAATAGAAAATGAACAAAGTATAGATATAGGTGAAAATTCTTTAAGTGGAGATAGATTTATCCCTTGTTTTCGTTGTCAGGCAAGGGACTAACCAATACACCCTCGTACAACGTACCTTAATGACGTTTTTCTCGCTGTCCAATATCACCACGGCCACCTCAATGTTCTTGCCCGTGGATTTACCGCCGCGTTCAAACTCTCCTCTTTCCAACGTCAGATACAAATCGTTTCGGACGTCGCCGGGCATTATCACGTCTGGGAAACCCAACTTGTTCGTTAGACTGACGTTTTTGAACAGCAGAGGGCTCTCCTCGCGTATGGCCCTCAGTTCGCCGTGTAGCATTTTCAACGAGATCATTATGCCGTAGTTTATCGGACCGGATAGGGCGCTGAACTTGCCCGATTGTCTGATGATGAATTCGTGGAGCTGATAAAAGTCCTTGTCTTCACCCTGATACACCTAAAACGTGCACACCAAGATTAAAAAGGGCCATCTCCGTTGCCCATCTCACTTCCCACTCTTCAATAGCACTTATTGGCACCTAATGACGACAAACATATACAGGCTGTATTGTATTGTATTGTTGTTGTGTAGCAGCCAACAAGTCTTACATCTACTATGAAAATTTTAAAATACCTACATGTGAATATACTGTGTGTCCATTTTTAGTTATTATTTTCAGTTATTGTTATGAGATTGCGGTTTTCGCAATACTAAGATCAATTTTCGTTAAAAAAAAAATGCCGTTTTCCAAACAATCCTACTTTATGCCTTTGTTTTTTGGACATATAGGGAGAAACAGGAAATTTGACCACCCTGTATGCTAATGACACGATGAAACCGGAATCTTGTAGATCTTGTCACGCTAAATATATTTGGCATTTTAGAATATATAATTGTTCCCTGTCTTAATTTTATTCCACTTGTATTGCAGTTAATATATTTTTATTATTATCATTGGTATTGTTATTATTATGTTATTACAGAAAATAGTAAAACTGAAAAACTGATCAAAGTTACCTGACGTTTTTCTCACAATTTACGAATTTTTCCTTGAGCATTTAGGAGGACAATTGTGTAGAACGTGGAATCCAGAATTCAGTGGAGTACCCAGATTTTTTTTTTAATAAAGAATAAGTTTTGAGAAACAAACCAGAGGTATATCTTTAAAAAAGTATAACACTTGTTACTTTGCTTCACTAAACTGCATTTAAAAATGTTATCTTGCCTTCTGATCAAAGAAACAACATTTTCATAATCTATTCTAATTTATAATTTATAATTTATAATTAGTACTAAGTTTATTACTTTTTGTATTCTGTAGTTGCATTTTTTCTGACAATAATAATCATAATCATAAAAATAACAATATTGCTAAGCGAAATAAGAATAGAATAGAAGTATATTTTCAAATATCAAAATCTCTAAAATAATATATTTGACAATACATTTTTGAAAAGCGTATAGAAAGAGAAATGAAATTAAAAAAAATATATACAGCATCTTCCATATCCAAGAAAATCACTTTAACTGATAGCTTCAAAATTATATTTACAAAAAAAATTGAGTACGAAACTACGTAAAAAAGATGTACGAAATTACGTTTCCGCCATTTCACTAAGCTACAGGGTGTTTAAAATACAAAGGATAATTAATTGAAACGGCTAAATTTTCTGTTTCTCTTTGTATCACAAATATAAAGTCAGCTAGGACCGTTTTGGACAGTCTTGCAAAAATAGCATCGGTTTATGTCTAATAGAGTAAGTTTTCGTTTACAAGTGGGTGAATTAGGTTTTATATTTTTTAATAAAAACTGGAATTGGGATTTACGACTCATCGTGTCGAACTGTTCGAAGTAACCGCGATCGTTCGAAACACGGAGAGCGGGTTTTGGTGGTGCACAGTGGCGTAGGTGGCGGAAGCAACACTCACCTTCATGCTGATTTCCTTTTCGTCGTTGTCGCTTTCTTTGCTCGTCAAAAAGTCGCCCAGATTTTGGACGGCGATGCCGTGCGGCCGTTTGAACATTTGGGGCTGGCCCGCCGATTTTTCAGTCTTTTTTGAGCTGTCCGAATAGAGCATTTTGCCTATTCGCATCACGTGAGCAACTATGTACACGTCCTTATTCAAATCGGAATTGCCAAGATCCTAACAATAATAATTTCTTTAGTACGTTATAAAGAAGATTAAGAAAAAACAGTACCTAAAGTGCTAAAAAAACTGAAAGTTAGTGTTCTTTTTTTAAAAGCAAAATGTTGTATTTAACACTTTTTCTATTGTTTTTGTTGCTTCCCGTTTTACAAACACTCATTTACAGAATAATAAAACATGCAGAGAATATAGTAAAACGACAGAATAAATATGTAACATGAATAATAAATAACAAGGTGAACTGTTATGTTTAAAAAAATCATTATGAAGTATGAGCATATTTCTTCATTTTAAAATTATTGTATTTTAAAAAAAAATTAAATGTGATTTTCAACCCCGTCTATATTTTTATCTTTATCTTTTTATCGAAAAGCAAAGCCGACTGAAGCAAATAAATAGAGGCTATACTTTCTCTCGATGCCCCTTGAAAATACCCATACAAAAATATTAACAAAATATAGTGCCTACAAGAAGAGGACGGAGAGTTAAGCTGCAAAAAAACTTCTCTCTGCTTTTTAGACATTTTCGTTTCGTTTACAATTATTAAAATAGGTGCCAGCAGTTGTTTTTTTTTTCTGTGCGGATATGATCGATACTTTCAATACGGTACATTGAACACGTAATAACGACACCCACGGAATACAGAACACGTTAAATGTGTGACAGTTATCGATTGCAGCCAAGTTATACTATCTCTCACATGTACGTATTTTTAAATAATACGTGTATGTTCGATATCAGAATGACCGAAACTCACCGTATACTTGCTTATTTATGCACAACTAAAATACAGAAAGTCAAGAGTAACATTGGACCACGGTCGAACATTTAACGCTTGGAATATCGCATAACCCTACTTTTCGTCTGACGTTTTGTTTTCATGGTGATGAATTTGTGGCTGGTCGTTAAATGGTCATCCTCATCCGACAAGAGAGAATTTAGAATAGTAGGCACCCGTCAAAAAATCTTTAAAAATTGACCGAACAGAAAGTCTTTCCCATATAACGGATGCTGATAATGATAAATTTGAAAACTTATGGCGCTGCTTTTTCTCTCTAATTACCTCGTCGTGGTCAAAACCGTTGAAAGGTAAAGAAAATGAGGGACAAGCACTCACCGTAAATACTGTGCAATTACTGTGCAATTTTTCGATATAATTCGAAAAACCCTCTTTGGAAATTTTGACTAGGAACCGTTCGGTTATGTACTTCTGTTTGCAGCCATCGTACAGCGAGAAATATATCTCGGTATCCTCGCCGATGTGATGGCCGAAGTCGCGCATGCAAAAGTACAAATGGTGCGTTAGCGTTTTCTTTTGTTCTTTCTTTTTTATCGTGCCTCTGGCCTGTACATGAAAAAAAAAAACAAATGAAACTAGCTTCCTACGCTACTACACAGTAAAGTTTTGTGAGTTTGTGAGTTTGTGGATCCATTTATTGTGTTTTTTCTATTATTGTTGTGTTATTTGTCGTAACTTCGAAATGGTGCATTTTGACTATTTTTTGATTCGTGCCACAAGAAAATTTATTCGCCTCCGTTGCTTTTCCATTTCCTACAAGGTGTTTTGAAATTACCAGAAAAATAGCAATTTGATTGTTTATGAAATAATTACAGAAAAACACAACAAATGGAGCTACAAACTGATAATGAAATAAAAAGTTTTGTTTTGTATTTTTTGTTGTTTATCAGAAGCTAAAGTGAAAGTTGGCACTTGCCTAGTATTAATTTTATTTCCAAGCTTAAGTACAAAATAATTTTAAAGTTAGTTTCAGGAGCGTTGGTTTCGCCAAAGAAAGAAAAAAAAAAAATATATATATATATATATATATATATATATATATATATATATATATATATATATATATATATAATTAGACAATAAGTCACTGGACCAAAGTATCGGGTAAGTGAGCCTAACGTACTTAAGGGGGTAAAATTGTAAAAAAATCTTACGGAAACTCCCTGAGTGTTTTCAGCGCTGGCCACGTGAACATGATACAATTCCACTACCGACATGGAATCCGGCTCTACCATGTTAGCCCCCTGGCGGGGTACCAGGTCCAATCCCAATTTTCTGAAAAAAAAAGCAAAATAAAATAATAAAAATATATATTTATTTAACATCTATGAAAATTACGAATACTCCCGCAGAACTTTAAGAGAGTCATAAAAACAAATACTGCAGCCCTGCGTAATGCCAACTCATTATTCAGGCCAATAATGAAGTTGATAAGTACTTACGGAAAGTACTGTATTCCTGTAAAATAACACTCTTAAAACCCTTTTATTTCTTAATGGTAAGCCTTTTGAGAGTTATAATAACTTTAATATTATTTACAATTACTTCGTTACTCTCTTACACTTCTGGGGCCTCTATACCAACAATAGAATAGACTGCGGGATCAAAGACATGTTTAAAGTCAAGTAAAATAAGAAACAGAGACGTTAAAAATGCCTAATTAGGTCGTAATTGTGTTAACCAGACGGAATAACGACACTTAAAACATAAACTGCTAATATATTTACGTTGTTTTTTGTAATTTCGCAAATAAGAAAATAAACAATGTTAATTTCGTGTGATCGGCATTGTTTGCTGAGGCAGCGACACGCACCAGAAGATTGGACATTCTTCGACCTTGAAAAGAAGAGACGGCGGGTTTGCTTGGGTCGCCGAACTTCTACTAATAAGTAGGTATCGCGAATCCTGCTAATATTCTACATTCTACATAATACTTGACTGCAATAGAATAAAACAGAATTAATGCGTTAAACAAAAATTTTATTTATTTATTTTGAATTTCCCGCTCTGGTCGCTCCAGAGAAGTTACCGGGAGTTAGACCTAAGCAGGGTGAGGCAAAAGCTGAGCTAAACATTGAGCAATTTATCGGGGCTGGCTCTAAATGCGGAAAAAACTGCCCGCCTTGAATTCTACAAATTCAGGACTGAACATTTTTTGTGATACCACACCTCTTTTACTATCAGAAGAAACAAGATACCTGTGTTAAACAAGCTTTTTACGTTATTTTATCACTACATTACAACATATTAGCCTGAGGGCACTGTAGCGAGGGAAAGAAGGGAGTTTTTATTGCTCAAAGAAGAATTCAAGTAGAGTAGCTGATAGAGTTTTTTAAAATAAAATTCATTTATTATTATTATTATTATTAATGTTTATTATTATTATTATTATTATCATTATTACTATATTAGCGACTTTTAGGGAAAAAATAACATGTCTTCATAAACTATTCCCTCATATTTACGAAAACGATAATTTTTTTTGCTGATGATGAGTCCATCCATATCCAACAAGGACTAGTCAACAATTTTGCTATGCGTAAACCATCCGATGAGTTTTATAAAAAAAAATCGTCTTTGTATAGTATAACTATACATGTTTATAACTTATACTACACAAAAACTAAACTTAATCTAGATTTGTATAATATTTTCGCAAACACTCTTTTATTTTTAGTTTATTTTTATATATAAAAAGTTTTACTTTCTGGTTACACTGGTTTAACTGTTTATGTGTAATATATTTATCTTGTTTGTACTCTTCCTGACTTCAAAAATATGTTGTTGTATTTATAAGTGACGAATAAACGACATTAGATATAATACCATCCAGCTTTTTAATTTTTTTGTTTTTAAATTTATCACCGAAAAATTTCAAAATAGATATACAGGGCGAGTCGACGGTGGAGTAAAGTTCGTTATCTCACTGGTTTCAAATGTTATGAGAAAATGGTAAATACGAAAGTTGTAAACCTATATTTTTTTAATAGAACACCTTATTTTAAAATTTTGTTTTGAATTCCTTTGAAAATTCTTCAACTTCGGTATAAATAACAATAATAGTTTTTTCAATATGTTACTTTTCCTAATAAAAAATACTAACTTTCACACTTCCAAAAAGGATAAAGGTAGAGGATATTAGCGTTTTTCGAACATGACGTAAAACAGGGTGTTCAAAACAAAAAATTAATTTGAATCATTTTAAATAGAAAAATCTCGATTTTCTGGCACACCATATATATTATTTATTTTTTTTTTAATTTTGCAAAAACCTACAACCTATCTTAAGTATGATATGTACTTTTTTTAATACTTTTGCGATTTATTTTCTTATCTTATTTTCTTTCTGTCTAAGATTACTGCTATAACATTAGTTGGCCATGACAAAATGACATTGTGGTGTCAATATACTAAAAAAAATAAATAAATATAGATTTTCCTAATTTCTGAATTAATTTATATGATTTATACACTGCGTGAGGCGGACAAACAGTTTGTTGGCAGTAAAACTTTAAAGGCGAAGGAACTCTAATAGAAGTATACAACTAGAAAATCTCTTCAGTGTTTAAAAATTTCGCTTCAAGTTCAAGATAATCCCGAGGTCAGTAGCCGGCAAGTAGCTAGCTTATGTGATACAATCTACCGTTGATCATATCACTAGAAAACGCAAATATCACTTCCATATGAACCTACAAAAACTTTTTGACAGTTTTGAACACAGAATGTTCACTGTTAACCCATTGTGGGTACGGGAGGTGCAAAACCAAAACCATTGGTCACATAATGTGTGATGTGGAAGAAACAAAGATATTTAAACCTCGCGCAGAATGATTTATCTCAACTTCTTAAAGAAATTGATAGCATTGAGATGTGTGGTGTCGTCATCACACTTGTTGCATAGTACACTGTTAGAACTTTCGTATGTACCATTTTCTCATAACTTAATGAACATTCGTTACTCCAATACAACAGACAATATAATAGATAATGGCGACAGTAACAATAACAGACCTGTTTGTTAATATTGCGCAACTTAATAAATACGGCTTCTGATTGGTATGGTAGAGGTAGTACCTGTAGCCGAGAAGGCGGCACATCATCTCGTTCCTGACGCATTTGTGGCCGTTCTTCTTTCTGCGCAGAGGTTTCACCCAGAAGGAAAACAATTTCTCACAGGATACCATACCGACCATTTACCAATAGTGGTATCGCAAAAATTGCATACGTTCGAAGGGAACTCTGCTTCGACGCACCGATATCGGCTTGCGGAATTCATAATTACGGTTTGGCGATAATAGTTTTTGCAAACCTAGACGCCTGTCAATGCGTGAGACGCCCGGTGTTGGTTTGTTTTTATTTTTATTCATCATTATCATCATTCAGCGCAACGACCATCGGTAGCTGTATTCCATCACCCTCTAATCAAAATGGATGAGGTCTGATATAAGCGGATTCATTATTTTATGGCCAATATTATGTAAACCGGATCTGGCTTTCAAGGTAGGCGAAATATTTCTATTGATGAGCGTTTAAACCACCTAATGAGATCTTTAAGAAATGACTTTTGGAGTCCATTCTGAGCTTAAGACTTAAGTCTAATCTTATAGAAAGTACCCTTTCTTTCATCGGGTTACCCATTAATATTTAGACGCACATCGGTGGCCGTTTTCGAAAAGGTAATGTTTTATTTTTGGCGATATTTAATTGTAACCCCAATAGTGGACTTCCCCCAACACTAAAAAAAATAAACACAAAAATAGATTCCCTATTAGTCAAGATCTGATGGTTCAATTAGATTTAATCCCATTGAAAATGTTATTAAATTTTAGTATACAAGATGTCCGCATATTCAACCCGAAAAGCGTAAAAACCTGCCATATCCGCAAAAATTCAGATAGCAATATACAGCCCTAAATTTTGTCACTTCATTCTATCCGGTAGGTGGCGCCCCTACTAGTGATATTAAAACTCTCGAAAGAATGAGTGAATGAACTCGATATGCAAATGTTGATCTCTGTGGCGTTTCATTAAAGAATAATGGACAAAAATTAGGAAAAGTAACATTTTGATACCCATATCTTCAAAATTAAGCGACTTTTATGAAAGTGACAGCTACTCTCTTTATTCTTCAAGTCTTTTAAATTTGGAATTCATAAAAACATAAAATAAACCTCTAAGCCCTTCTTTTGAACAAATTATTTGAATGTTGCTCTACTCTTGTCACCGATGATAATTATAATTTGCAAATATTTTTCAAAGTGTTGTTTTTCTTTTTGTTGTATCACTGGCGCCATCTAGAGTTATTTTTAAGGGTTATGCTACCAGTAGAAATTTTCAGTATCTACGGGGGTTCGGATCGAACAAGATCCCTTATGCCTAGGTTTGCCTAGGCAAAGTCCTCATTGCCTTGTCACTTTAGGCAAAGTCCGAAATTATTAGATATTTCGGAAATAAGCCGGTTTTTACAAAATTGGTACCCAACATGGTGTAATTATTATTAAGCAAGAAACAATTTGTTAACATCGAAGACGTCCCGAAAATAGAACTATTGTTTCAAGGCAAGGCAAGGGTTTCAAATAACCAAAAAGTACCAAAAAAAGTAACACTTGTAAATGTAAAAGATTGAAACTGTTATGCAATTCTAAATGTCACCATTCGATATCTTGTACTAATAAGTGACATAATTAACACTAAATATTTTTTATAAGGGTCCCTGTATAATATGCATTCTGTAAAAAGTGTAATTCTACCTAAAGAGGCTTCTCTTTTTTTGGCAAATATCTATTTCTTGGTAGTAAGTGACATACATAAAAAATACAATAAATTATTATTAAAAATGTATTTCTTTTTCTTCTATCGCAAACTGTGCCTTATACTTGCACAACAAAGAATATTGACAGTTAGATAGTAATGCGGCAGGTTATTTCGGAGATTGCCTGCTACACATTTGTCGTATCGCAGTGTAGGCAATGTCCGAAATATCTAATAATTTCGGACTTGCGGCAATGCGGACTTTGCCTAAGCAAACCTAGGTATGACCGTATAACGGACTTTGCCGGTAACATATGTAAAAGCCGGGAAGAAATAAAGCTCTCTTAGTACGTACGTTATTTTACTTGACTATAAACAATTATATATCGGGACGATTATACAACACTTTTGTCCGAATATCCGAACGCCTTGTATAATTTGAAAACCATTTTTGTTTGTTTGATAAATAATAATTAATATTATAATTTTGGCAAATTTAGATTTAAGCGTATGTTATTAAACCACCTGTACAGAATATTCATATACGTTTATGAGAATATATGAGAATATCAGTACCTGGCTACGGAGGTACTTCTAGGAACATTATCTATACCTTGTGCACGCGCGCCAGGGGCAAAATGGTTGAACGACCTCTGAACGTACGAAGTGAATTTATTACTATAGGGTGAACATGTTTCCCATGATATTTCTCTAGAACAATTTGATTACATTAATACATTTCATGATCTAAACCTATTACCTTTTTTTTTCACAAAATTGTAGACGAAGATGTATTTTTGTAGCTATTTTGATATTTCTTTAGGGAATTTTGGCCTAACTGGAAATCACATTTTCTTAAGACACCAAGCAAAAATTATTTATGCAACTACCTTTTATATTAATTTGCCATCAGAATTAAAGAATCTTAGTTGAAAATGTCTTTAAATCCAAATTATTTAATTTTCTATGTGACAGCCCCTTCCCCTAACAATCTGAAAACAAAGATTTTTTGTCTGTATAGAATCTAGTATTTAGACTATGGTTTTCACATTTATATTCACATTGCTTTAAACCATAGCACGTAGTGTTTTACGTAAGCGAGATTACATATACATGAAATCAGAATGAAAATATAAAATAGTGAATGAATAATCTTCGACATTTTAAATGATAATAACTAGAATAAGAACCAATAACAATAAATAGAGGCATAAATTACATGTTATCGTTTAGGTACTTAAAAAAAAAACAAATATAAAACCTAATTTGTCAATTATTTATGTATTTAACTCGCCAATAGTGTGTGGTCTGTGAACCAATACGGCAATTACGTGCTTCGATAATGTTTGTTTTCGTTCATACAATTCGAGGCCCTAAAAATAACGCCTATAGTGCACCAATCATATAGACAATAAAAAACTACAAAGTGTCCCATACCAATATGACGTATTTTAAGTATACCGAGAATCGTGAATCACGGGAGTTCTACCTTCGGCATGGAAACGGCCTGAAATTGTCTTCGAGTCAACAACTTTTATGCAGACGGTACCATTACTGGCGGCGACCGGTTTCTGTGGTTATCTCTTTTACCTGTCGACCCGCGCTCCTCAGATACCAAGAAGATCCAAACTGTCTTCCCATTTACCTCAGTAAATTGACATTTATACTTAACGTGACAATATTTCAAATTTCTTACTTTCTATTAAGAATTTATTGAAACTGATAAATATTTTCCACAAGCAGAATTAAAAACCATTACACTGTTGTCGCAAAATAAACCGCAGAAGTGAGGTTAGGATCAGCCTGATTCCGTCTTTTATAGTTGATTATGCCAACTGATGATTTTTTTCCGCAGCTGATCATTGGTTTCAAAAGTTACGAGGAAACGGGAAAAACTAAAGTTGTAAGATTGTTAGGATGCAAATTTTAAAATTATTTTACAATGTACCTCAAAAATCCCTTACGAATAAAACATACATTTTCTAAAAATCGAATACCTACCCATTTTTAAATTTTGTTTTGAGTTCGTTTTGAAATTCCTCAGTTTTTTTGTATTATTAACAATAATACAAACCTACTAGTTTTTCCAATATTTTAATTTGTCCAAATAAACACTAGTAGATCACTCATATTTAATATTAGCGTTACTTTAAGATATATAAACGAATATATTTGGATCATTTTAAATTAAAAAATCCTAATTTTCTTGAATGGCACACGATATGCATTATTTATTATTCTTTCTGAAAAATCTCACAAAAACCTATAAGTATGTCATATGTCATACCTACTTTTAATACTTTTCGTCTAAGACTATTGCTATAATATTAGGTGGCTATGACAAAACTATTAGCTATTAGATTAAAAAATAAACAGTTATTAGCAATTTTAGCGAAAATAACGGCCGAATTTTAAATTCACAGAAAATGTTAATAATGTTAAATACGTATTACTACAAATCAACTTATTTTTAATTATTATTATTATTATATTCAAAAATATAACCTTCTACTTGGATACACACGTTTAGTTGTTTTTTCAGTGGGTTTTAGCCAAAGATGGTATTTTGATGTTTGAAAAATTCTTAAGGTCACGCCACTAAGTAAATATATTTGTGCTGTTTTGTAAAAATGCACCCAAAAGCTAACCGCAGAAGAAAAATTATAATATGCACCACTTTCTTTAGTCACTCATTTCAAGGCGTTTATTATCATTTTCTCTCTGTTCCTCCAAAAATTAGATTCCTTGGTTTTGAGTCATTTTAACTATGGTGTATGCCTCGCGTTTAGACAGTATTGAGATTCATAGAATAAAAAAAGGTTACAAAAGTTGTGGGGCCGTAAAAGACTCCCTACAAACTGAAGGAAGCCAAATCCGTGGAATCGTGGAAAATAATTTATTTCCAAAATATTTTCTTAACACAAAATCTTCCCTTATCTTTTTATAGAATTACAGTACTGAAGTATATACGCCTAATCTCTAATATCTGGGGTATATCTCTCTTCTCCATCAGAACTCCCCCCTCCTCATTCGAACATTGGGTTTATCGCCTGCATAATCAATTTCCCGCTGATGTTAAAGTTATACCGTGCTATATTAAACCACATATATTGTATAGGAATTAATTTATATCTTATCTAAATTGTTTTTAACTCATTAACTCAATGTGTATTGGAAATAAACATTTTCATCATTCTTAATATTACGTCGTGGAAACACAGCGGCGGATTTATGAAATAAAATGCCCATTTCTGACGAATGCGACGTCTGCATCGTTCAACACAAATGTCTGCTACGTGACTTCAGACTGTCGAAGAAAACATTGAAATGGCATTCCACATTTCTGAATAAACCGCTCGGAGCACTAAAACAGCTCGGCGCAACTGCAGAACGCAAGCGGAAAGAAGCTAAACGAGCCCCCTACCAAGATCGTGTCTGCCGAGTTGTTACGCCACGTTGCCACGCCGAACCGATTGTCCCGCATCGTTAGGAAATATTTTTTTTGTTTCATCAAATACATTTCAGCTTACCCCTTATCACCAAATTACTCTGAAACAATCTGTTTATCTACTAAAACCCTGTGATTTGTAATTTTTAAACTGATACATTAACCTAAGCTTACAGTACAAGTGAAAATTTATCCAAAACTAACCAAAAATTACACCAAGCTATGTGAAATGCAACAAGCAAGCCAATTTTTAATTTTTTTTTCATTGATACTGCAGCTCAAAAGTTTATTACACACCGTTAAAGATCAGCAATTTATTCTGACACAACCTGTTTATCTACAATACAATAAAATGAAAATTTAACCTAATTAACCAAACCTAAGTTCTGTGAAATTTATCGCTAATATAAGATGTTTTTTATAAACAAAGTCAAAATGTCTTTCTAGTTGCGATGAGTTGGTCTTGAATATTTTTTAAACCTATCTGTATTGTCATTTCTTTATTATTTAGTCAATAAACAAGCAAGGCATTTTTTAGTTTTTCCTTTTTTATTGCCACAGCTTAGAAATAATTAAAGTATTTACACCGTTAAGGAACGGCAATTTATTTTAACACATCCTGTTTATTTACCATAAAAACTGTATGATTGTATATTTTTAATATGATGTTAACCTACGCTTTGTAAAGATGAAAAGTACAATTTGTCGACTCCATTTTTTTTATATTTTGCTTTATTTTTTGTGTTTAAAATTATTAGCAAACAAAAAAAAATAAAATGAAACTTTAAAATAACACACCAAAACTAAGCTATGTGAAATTTGTGGCTAACATAAGATGTTTTTTACAAAGGCTCAAAATATTTTTTATATCTAGCTGGCTTAAAATGTGTATTTAATTGCAATTTTTTAAATAATTTCATCAATAAACAAATTAAATTACAATATATAAGCAGGATAATAATTTTGATTTTTATTAATGAATTTATAAGATTCTCAATGAATCTTAAATGGCAGCTTCTTTATATAAAATCTCTTTTTTGGTTACTTTACAGCTAATTCTTATGTATATTCCACAATATATCTCAGTGAATTGGAACCGTATTATTAACGAAGAAAATTGCGATTACAAAAAGTTTTTGTCTTGTTGTTGCCTGTTTTTATATAATAATAAAATAATAATAATAATAAAATTGCGATTGTTCGTTAGTTGCAACAAGTTAACGCCAGGTGGCGCCCACCAGTAAGAAAACGTCGCTTCTCATCCGTACAAGCGGCAACGTCGCGCGGCGTTACGGCGATGCTCCGCGCAGAAATCGGCCTCTCAGCCAAAGTAGCGCGTACCGCATCGCAGGCAAGAAAACAGCCGTCGTGGAACGACCGACAGAAATGTCGTTAACACAGTGAAGTTTTTACCTGCCGCCGTCCACGGCCACCTACGCGACCCTCTTCCATCCCCGTTGGGGTGCGTAAATAAGTGCGAGTTATCGCGAGTGGCGTCGTCATCGTTACGTGAATAACAGTGAAATAGTTCGGATTAAGTCTCTTCGTCGTAGAGAAAGCGCTAAAAAAGGTAAATCGTCGTGGATTATTTCGGCCGTCCGCGTTGTCGATAGTTTAATCGACGGCACGGGCAACAAGTGGTTGGCCGCTTGCGCATTACGAATTTGACCCAAAGGTTATCTAAATTGGGATTTATTAGAGGCAATTTAGGAAACTGTGCGTGCGGAGCTAATAATACTCGTTCGGTACTGTGTTTGTAAATAAAACGCGGACGCGTGGTGAGTCTTTTTCTTTTTCGAACTCGTCGCACGGAGAGGCGAGGCGAGAAAGTTCGATGTGTAGTCAGGAAAGTTACCGCGCGATTTCGATCGATACGTGTAACCGACGGGCTGAAGCAGCTGCCGTTTGGTTCGTGTACCGAAAAATGTCAATGGCCCCGATTCTGGTAGACATTTCTACTAGAAAAGTGACGTGGTTCTCTCAATTAATAGTGGATTTTCTAACGGAATCCCCTATCTCGCAGTCAACCATATCCTTATGTTTACTTATAAAGCCGAACGTGCTAAAAAGAGAAAGCCGACTTAACTGAGTAGACGGCCGTCAACTATAGCGGCGTTCGTGATTTCTTGTTGTACGACATTCTCGCTCCTTCCTTTATAATAAGCACTTTTTGCACCTTTTGGCGTTTTACTTTATCAACCCTTATTCGAAGGGTGCGCGCTTGACGAGAAACGACGTTTTCCCTTATTAACTGGCGGAACGAGACTTTCGTCTGTGAAATTTTTGTGAAATTATGTATTTCTAAAGTTCTGTAAGCGTTTTGAATATTGCGTCAATTATCTTTAAATAATAAACAAATATTTAAAGATATGTTTCTGAACTATACATTAGAAGTTAAAAAATTTTCAATGTATAATTTCATACTTAAAGCAAAAATCTTCATAATTATTCATTATAAGGATCAACTCATGCAGATGGCATAATGTAGTGACGATAGGGTGCTCCTTGTTTATTTAGAAATTTACAGCTTTGATTCATGTTCATGTTCGTTTTGTGCCTTCAAATGAATTATAAATTGATATTACTGTCATTGTGGCTTCTTATAATTTTCTTTTTTTCTTTCTTGCCTATTACTGATATAAAATCGAAATTGTTAGTAGAATTGCTGATAATACAGGAATTTTTGAAGTGATAATGGAAAAAAAACGTGAGCTGGGCATTTAATATGCGCATGCGCAGTCATTTGCAATCTCGTTTTCAACCAATAACAATATCCATTTCGCATCAACCATGTTTATGTTTAGATATAGCATTTTTATGTTAGCATGTTTTCTTAGTATTTTGTGATTTTATCAAAATATGTTCTAGGAAAACTGGTTAAATGTGTGTGAATAAGGAGATCACTGTTTAGAAAAAAATTGGTGAAAAATACCGATGAATGGATGAAATGTAGAGGCATATCATAGTTTCCTGAAACGTTAGTTTCAAGCCACTATATTATCTAATAGAGATATAAATTTTCCAAAATTGAATTGAGGTGGCTTTTACTTGATGAAAATCCATTTATCAAAATAAATAAGAACTAAAAGTTCAGATTTTCACGAAATTATATATTTTTACATGACAATTGTTTTCAAATTTGAAAATCGATTAGGAATCTGAAATCTTTATAAAATCCGTAAAATCTGAAACCGGTGAAGTTTTTGTGAAATCATATGTTAGCAAATCTGGTGTACCGATTTTGGTTGATGATTTGCGCCTCTAAGTTTTCTGAACCGTATCTTTAAGCACATAAAAAGATCCTGGTTTATATTACATTTGAGTTGGTCTGTTGTGTCGTATTTTTAAAAAAAATCAAGTTTGACCAAAAGTTACCCTCTGTTTAACTTAAACATAATTAATAACTAAAAAAATATTTTAAAGTTAGCCATAAACTTCGGTTAAGTAAAAGAAATTAAGTAGAAAAAACATTTTGAATGTTTCATCCGATGACCAAATGATAATCGGAACATTAAATAAATATATATCTGCTTAGTACATGTCAAAATCATTACGGTACAAAGTAAGAGAAGCAGAAACGTGCCTTTCTAGATATAAAACTATACCAGACCGCAAACGTGTGTGTCTGGCAATCACTGCGTCAGCGGTTTTTTCTTCGACTAGCTTTGCCATTAAAAAGTATTAATACCGCTTCTTGTAGACTGATTCATTAACATTCTTTTAATCGCCATGGAGATTCCGAGCGGTTTAACATTTCTCTTACTCAAAACGTTTCCAGCAAATATAGTCCGGTTATACGATACGTTAGGCGAAACAATAAAAAAAAATATTATACAAAATACCAGACAGATAACCAACCAACAACCACCGCATAAAATGGGTGTGTAGTAAATACAAAAGGAAGACAAATAAAAACGTGGGAATGGCGGGACAATATAAAAATAAAGCACCTAAGTGACGCAGAATAGATATGTATGTCTCAAAGTATATGGTCTACCTACGTACTTCCGGTTACTCGGTAAACCAATATTTTATTTATAGATTAGGGACCAATGCATTTGAATATCTCGGTTTGTCAATTTCCATAGCTTCTATTAAGTGCAATTTTCTATTTTTCAATGCCGTATGTACTATTTCGAAATTATCCTCCAAATTGTGTTATTCTCACTTATTTAGCGTACAATTCTCTTCAATAGATACCAAACAAATTGTGAAAAATGTCGATATTGTCGAATATTGAATGAAAGAAAAAAACGTAATGATTGGTGAATAAAATTTTTCCTACTTTGGGTAAATTGAAAAGGAATGCGATATACTTTGAGACATACTATACATTTATCCACGAGTATCCCTTTTCTTTTCATCAACTAACACTGCGTCACTTTGATACTAGACAATTAGCCAATTAAATTAATATAAATTGCTAATTACCAGTTCACATACTCGTAAATATGAGTAGCTCATTTTATATAGTCGTTTGGATTATACATTACAATAAACTTAAGCATAGAAAATAAAACAGCATGTTTTATTGTTAATTGCTAATGTTCTTGTTAGTTGTTAATTGTTCCTAATTTTATTGTCGCCACAATAAAGTATCTGGTTAACGGGTAAACAATAATGACTATTATTAAAACTTCGTAGCTGAACGCAACTTTTAATTTTAGACAACTCTTTGATATTGTGCAACGTTGCATAAACAAGTTCTCAGTTAACGTAATACTGAAAAAACATCAGTTTGTTAAGCAAATTTTTATGTACACACCGTACATTTTTTTCATCAATAATTTGGAATAAAAAACTGAACAAGATCCGATGCAAGCTGTGCAATCGAGTATTAAATGGAACGCCTGGCAATTAATTATATACAGCTGCAAAAATAAGTTCCACTTTCAGGTCACAAACGTCGTCCTTGATACGACATAGTTTTTATTTGGCGCTGTTTGATCAATAAATCCCGAATAAACAATATTTTCAACCAATTTTTAAACACGGATATTTTTCTACAGGGTGGGCTAGTATACAGGGTTTTGGTTAGTTTAATATTGGGCTTAAAAAACAAGAGAAACTCAAAATACGCACACAGCCATAAAAATGTCTTTCTGTTTTTCAGAAATAATTCAATATGACGGTGTTTGGTATGGTATCGGCCGTAGCGGGCTTTATCAAAGTCCGCTACCTGGTCGACAAGGCTATGATCGACAACATGGTGTTTCGCGCCCACTACCGCATCACATCCGCCATTTTGTTTTTGTGCTGTATCATCGTCACCGCCAATAATCTCATTGGTAAGAAAACTATCATCATCATCAAGTGAATACGGTTAATAAATCAGTTTTTGTAATACTTCAAAGCAGCATAAATATTTGGAAACATTAAAAATATGGAAAATCTATAACTTATTTTTGGAAAAAATAAATATTCCACCATTAAATTCCGCATCGTGTGGGAACATTTGTAATTAATTAAAAAATATATTATTCATTCATTTCGTTTTAAAATCTTAAAACTAAATTACCTTTGCATTAACTTTGACGAAATCGAATGTTAAAGATAAATTAAAGAAAAACACTTTACTAAAGTATTTTAAACCACAAAAAAGTTACGTTCGAAAAGAATACAAAAAATTATATATTTTTTAAATTGGAATATTTGTAGAAAACTGAAAAGTAACACCTAATTGCAATAAAATTTTTCGATATTTAAAAAAGTGTTAATTTTAAATGTTGTAAAATTCAAAATTCAATTTTTCCCAAAAACATAAAATTTTACAATAAGAATGCTAACTGTAAATGAATACTTCCCTATGTCTGTATAATGCTAAAAGTTTGTTGGACAACTATTACAGCTGACTGCTTTGTATATTGAATCACCAATTGTTAGAAAAAAACAATTAAAAAAGATCATTCTAAACTACCAATGACTCGTTTAAAGGCGATCCCATTCAGTGTATCAACGACAGGGGCGTTCCCGGTCACGTGATCAACACCTACTGCTGGATCACTTACACGTTCACGTTGCCCCACGAGCACGGCAAGCACGTAGGCACCGAAGTGGCCCACCCCGGCCTAGGCAACGAGAACCAGGAGAGGCGGTACCACAGCTACTACCAGTGGGTGCCGTTTGTTCTGTTTCTGCAGGTGAGCAACGTAAATATTTAAAAAATATATATTTTTTATTATCTATGTCGGCTATCAACACTTACTTGATGCAATAATAAATTCATTTTTCGAAAATGCATTTGCTGAATTGTTCGGCACCTCCGCCAAATTCATTCGAGTTATTTCGCAGGGTATATTTTTCTACGTGCCGCACTGGTTCTGGAAAAACTGGGAACAGGGGAAGATCAGGATGATATCGGAAGGACTGCGTGGTACTTTGGTGGGCGAGAAAGCGGAACGGGAGCACCGCCAGAACCGTTTGGTCCAGTACCTCGTGGAAACGATGCACTTGCACAACACTTACGCGTTCGGTTACTTCGTCTGCGAAGCTTTGAATTTCATCAACGTGGTAAGCAAAGTGTTTAACTATTTGCCGGAAAAATTGGCCAATTTCCTTCCTTTTTTTTTTTTGGCAAAAGATTCTGCAATGTAACCGGCTAAAAGTACTTCGACCACAGCGTAAAAATACTTTTAACTGAATGTGGAATAATAAAAAAAACTGGTATTTTTCGTTAAGTTTCATATTTTTTATGATTATTTAAATTGTATAAACAATTTTAAAATTATTCTCACAATTATTTTTGATTAAGTATTTGATAAATTCTATGAAAATATGCCCCACCGGTTTTTTCCATTAATTTCAATATTTTTCAAAATAAAACTCATAAGCTAATTTTAGTAAGTTGTTTTTCTTTGGAATGTCTCCATTTTTTTTTAAATTGGAATAATTCAGAATGTTTCAAATTTTTCTAGGTTGTCAACATATTCATGACTGACAAATTTTTGGGCGGGGCATTCCTGAGTTACGGTACTGACGTCGTCCGGTTCTCAAACATGAACCAAGAAAACCGAACCGATCCCATGGTGGCCGTTTTTCCGAGAGTGACCAAGTGCACTTTCCATAAGGTCAGTAAAAATTATCATACTATTTACTCAATTTATGAAAAAATATCGAAACCGTGAATACGGTACAGAAATCACTTACAGGGTGGTCAAAAATTATAAAAACATGACAATTTGAACGATATACACCAAACATAAGCAAGCATAAAAAAATTATAACGCATTTGGCAGAAATATCTCAATAAATTCGTCAAAAATGAAGCTGGCTTCGCTCAAGCGTGATAAGAGTTTCCTTACCCTGCATACTTCAAATTCTATTGTAATCAACTTTTCTTGTGTAGTTAATAATTTGGTTAATTTGGACTGTGTTTCATATCAAGCATCACCTTCATAATTTAAGATAAGATAAATATTTTTCCTACCATGTATGTTAATTTTTTTTTATATGCTTCAAATTTTATTCCAGGCAACTTGTTTAAGTAACAATTTGGTGATTTTAAACTGTGTTTTATTATTGTATCACCTTCATAATTTTTAATAGCCTTCCTTTTCTCTGAGACTCTTCACGGATTCAGGTTTTTCATAAGTGGAAAATAACTTTTTCCCCAAAATCTAATTTGAGAACTTTCAAGTTTTAATAAAATGTCACAGATTTAACACCGTTTTTGCACTCCTTGAGCCATTTTTTAGCCAGGCAGATAAAGATGCTGAGTAAGAGTTTAAAAAAATAAGTATATTGTGTTGCTTAACCCCATTTGTAAAATTAAAAGGGTGATTTCTTACAATATTTTAAGACGAAATCATAAATGACATATTGATTTGCAAGTTGAATTTTGATTAGATTGAATTTTTTGGTAATTTTCATTCAGCGCAAAATAAAAATAACGCCAGAAACCAAAACGTTGTGCTTTTGCAGGCGAAAGTCGAGTATTTCTTGTCAATTACAATCCCCTAGGAAAAAATGTGGGGACGCCGCTGGGCTTGATAACTTAAATCTAGTTATGGTGAGAAATGAAATCCTTGTCGTTTAAAAAAAAATTGTTTGGTTCAATTGTAAGGAGTCAAATTTAAGACAGCCTGTATAATAAGAAAAAAAATCTCGTATTGTAGTTCGGTCCTTCCGGTTCCATTCAACGTCACGACGCTCTCTGCATCTTGGCGCTGAACATTCTCAACGAGAAAATATACATTTTCTTATGGTTCTGGTTCATTATACTTGCGGTACTGTCCGGCTTGGCGTTGGTGTATTCGGCAGCGGTTATCTTGATGCCGTCCACGAGGGAAACGATACTGAGACGACGGTTCCGTTTCGGTGCACCGAACGCCGTCGACACCATCATCAGGAAAACGCAGGTAAGCGGAAAAAGTAACTTGGAATTTACTGCGGATCTATCGTTGACATTATAATTCTCAAAAATTGTAAAGGCTCCTTTGGCAATTCAATTAAAGTATTTTTGAATTGCCTCTTTTCTTCCTCCTTCTTCTTTTCTGCCTTCCATATGTGACATGATACGCAATCTATTGTTGTATATCCATCAGTCATGGCATCTTCTGACATCTTCCATTGTTTTATATTAATCAGTCATGATATCTTCTGATGTTCTTTTTCCTCCCAATTCATTTTCTAACCTCACTCTTGCCTTCCATTTCAACATATGTAAAATTAAACTTGTTACACATAATGTGACTCAAGTAAACTTATTTCCTTTCTTCCTAGTTGATAGTCTGTGTTTCTCGCTTTGCCCGTTCTTTGGATCGTAAGAATATGTCGCCATTTTTGGACAATTTGTACATAAATTAGACTTGGAATGATATCATATTTTTTTTAATGTCAAATGGCCTACTCTAGTGCCTAATTATACACACTACACACTAAAACAGCTCCGCCAAGGTGGATTGCAATTAGATTTTCTTGACACGTTATAACTATGCTAACTATTAGTCATGAAGAGAGACTAATAAAAGGCTTTATAGAAAAAGATGATTTCATGGTCATTTACTCTTGATTTATGAAGCTGATGATAAACCACAATGTTTACAAAATGTTTTTTGCAAATCGTTTAAATTTTCTTCCGTTTTCGCTTTTACATTTCCTGTAATATCAGATTTCTTTCTGCGTTGAAAGTACTATGGAAAAGGGAGTAAATTCGTCTTGATTGATATCGCCTATTACCGACTGACGCTTCATCCTCATGAGACATTTGAACTACTCGTGAAAGTGGATTCAGTAGGTAACGATGTACCAAATTCACGCCATTAGGGCACCATAATGTCCTAATTAATAATAGCTGCTATCAGACAATTGCTAATCAGCACTCGTTTACACTGAAATGAGTAAGCGTGAGTATACCAAGTACTCTTTTAGTTGTAAGTTTTTAGCTGATAACCAACCCTAATAACCATTTTTTCCTTTCGGTTATCAGGTGGGCGATTTTCTTTTGTTACACCTGCTCGGTCAAAACATGAACATGCAAATCTTCGCGGAAATTCTGGACGAGTTCGTGCGCAGGCTCAACTTCGGTAGCAACAGTAACCTACCTTCGGCGCCTAGCACGATAGAGATGACCCCGATATATCCGGAGATTGAGAAATACGGAAAGGAGACGGAAACCTAACGGCACTCTAGGAGAGTTTCTTTTTTTTTTTTTAATTTAAGATTTCATTTATATAGAAGTTCGGTAAGGTAAGCTTAAAACGAAGAGTGATAAAAAATAGGTTAGTAGCTCTCATCTACTTAGAAAAATTTATGTGGTGTGCGTATTATTAGGAAACGTGTGAATCTCTAAAACGTACAACTATATAGTTAAATGATTGATGATGATTTGAAGAAAGAAAATCCATGAGCCATGAATAAAAGTTTATTTTTTTAGACTGTAGAACTATACATAATATCTAATTTTATTTGTGATTGTAGGTATTGCTTCACGCTAACGTCTAGGGTTACTTTATTCTTAATATATTTTCGGTTTATTGTTTTTTTTTTTATGAGTGGGCGGGCAATAGCCGCCCCCGAACAAATTTCTCACGCAAGTCTTTCCGTTAACTTAAAGTGCATTATTATTTCCCGGATCTGGGAAGTTTTAGGTTTAGGTTGATCGCAATGCAGGGCAAGACTGGAGTTTTTTTTTTTGTTCACAAATTATGAATATAAAAAATTATATTTACTTAAGAACGTTTAGCGGTAAGGGTGCGGAAAACAAATAAAATATAATATGCGTAAGACAATGTGCGTTTGAATTAAATACGCCCATCAATCAACAGAAGTTCTGCGATTCGTTTAATCATTTCTGTATATATAGGGTGATCTAGTGAAATAAAATGGAGAACGTGGCAGAAACAAGACTAATGAATAGAAGAAAGAAGAAGATAAAAAATATTACCTACTAAATACATATGAAAAATTTGAATTCTTTAATTTTAGAATGGACATTCTTTAAATCAAATTAAGTCCTTAGGTGACAGAAAATCCTTTTATTTTTAATTTACAACCCCATATTCTATTATACAGGTTGTTTTCTAATTGAATGTCAATGGTTAAGGGGATGATTTTTGGGTCTATTTTAAAAAGAAAACTTCATATGAACATATGTCCTAAACGTGCTATCTTTTGTGATACACGAGTGAAAAAGTTTTCAAAATTTTTTTTTTTAATATCTATAACTTGCATGCAGAGAAATTATGAATGAATGCAAATGTCATTATTTTTTTAAAGAAATCAGTGACGTGCCACTGGGGTTAAATCGTTAAATAGTTTTTGGGACGCTAACCATCAACTTATCTTGCTTTGTCAGATTTTATGGTCTCAGAATGGCAATTCTTCTTTAATCCATCTCGGTCGAATAAAAGCATCATTAACTTACTTATGAAGCTGATACACTACAACTTTTACAAATTATCTACTACCGTTTGCAGTAAGCTCTGAATTCCCTTTCTATAATTTATTTCTGATAATTTTCTTTTAGAAGATTAAAAATGATAAAATATCATCGTGATTTCTCATTAATAACTAACCAATATGCGAGCTAAGGTGTTTGTGTTCCAAAAATTCTATTGGTAGAAGTAGATATTGCAGATATCAAAATAAATAAGAACTAAAAGCTCAGATTTTCACGAAATTATTAATTTTGACATGACAATTGTTTCGAGAACACCGTGTCTTTATCAAATGTCATCAAATCAATCAAATGACGTTTGATAAAGACTCGGTGGTGTCGAAAGAATTATCATGTCAAAATATATAATTTCGTGAAAATCTGAACTTTTAGTTCTAATTTATTTTGATAAATGGATTTTCAACAAGTAAAAGCCACCTCGGTTCAATTATTGCAGATATTTTTTTCAATGAATGAAAATAATAAATAATTAAAATTTTAACTGGACAATTTTCCGCAAGTATTAACTACAAAGTAAATACATTTTTGATTTTAAGAAAAATATTCTGCAGTGTAACTGATTGTATTCTATAAACCTAAAAACATGTCCACACAACCAAAAAATGCGTAAACTCTCTTGCAATATATACCTATAGTTTTTTTTTTGTGTATGTTATTATTAGCACTTACTTGGCGAAAACATATAACTATGAGAATTTCTGTGGATGCAATTATGTATTAGGGACTGCGCTCGTACAGTTAAATCATTTCAGAACTTGACACTTGAGGCAAGTAAGCGAGTAAACTAAACAAAAGCATAATGTAAGTGATTGGTGGCACATAACTAGTCACAATAAAGATTTTTCATTTTTAATTATTCAGATTCTCCCAAAATCTGGTCTTGTTTATGAAGAAAAAAAAGGCACACATCTCATTTGTCGGCTTAAAATTTGAAATACATTTTTTACTCAGTATTTTTGCTTCTGACCTATTCATTTTCTTCTGTCACTGATTCTCTGGGTTAATGCCAACATTTTCATCAAAAAAACAACTCTTTTAGCTCTTAAGCTTATGAAAATGTTGTGGTACTATAAACGCACTCACCTGTTACCCCAGTCGATTTTCTGAATGATTTTCAGCTTCAGCTCCCTGGTCTGGTCGTGGGTCAACGTGCCCGATACCAGCTGCCGTCTCCATTCCAAAAGGTCTCTCATCACCTTACCCACGGTTTCAAATTTGTAATGGTTCCTCTCCTAAACATTAAAAAAATATATCGTTATTTACGTCTACCGTCTCTCGTAGACACCGGGACTGACTTACCACGAAAATCCCTTTCCATATTCTTCCCCATTCCCTAAGCACCAACGTCACCTCCCGCACTACGGGATCTTCGACGGGAACGACGCTCTCAAATAGACCCTCGTTATCCACCTTGCATTGCTGTGAATGTAAACGCTAAGAGTCAGTACGACAAGGGAGCGAGAACTGAGAACCCGGTTTACCTTCAGGTGGACGTAAGAGTGCGGGAAGATGCCTTTGAGGGCGCGATTTTTCGTCGAAAAACCTCTGTACCAGCCGGGACATTCTTCTAGGATTTGCACGGTTTCACCAATCTCGAGCGGAAGCCCGAACCTCGTGTCGCCTTTGTAATTGTAAATGGCTGCAACGAAATCGTGACGTGTTAATTAGTTAAACTGATTAATTTTTGTGCCTTTTATTGCCAAATAAAGTGAGAACAATGTCTCTTTAATCATAAATTAAGGGTGCTTCCTATTTTTAAATCGAACAGAATAATTCCTATTCTAACATACCATGTTCCTTACAAATAAAAACGAGAAACCTAAAATACCCTCACATAACCTGATTTCTAAATCAGAACGAATAATCTCTTACAAATAAAGTGAAATTTCTACATATATTTTATAAAACCTATAGTAAAGAGAATAAGAATATTTCTTATTGCCTAATGTGCCTGTTATTCTTAAATAAAATTGAGAAACCTAGCGCACCTTCGTTTCTAAATAAAAGCGTGTAAAAGAGTCACTCTGATTCTTAAATATCAATGCCGCGTTGTTCCTAAAAGGCTTTTTTATTATTAAATAATGGTGGGTAAACCTACGGTGCTTGCTATACCTAAATAAAGGGGCCTTTTTATTCCAAAATAAAATCCTCCTTATTCATTATTCTAGATCAAAACAAAACAAAGAAACTTTATTTAAAATGTATTATGTAAAATAAGAATGTGTCTCTTTCCCAAACAAAAGCCTGTAAAAGTTATACCCGAATAAGAATCAAAACTATTGAATAATTGTTAAATAAGGGAAAGTACCTACGGTTTCTCTTATTCTTAGATGAAATGACGTTCCGCTTATTACACGATAAAAGAAAGCAAGCCTTTTATTCCTAAATAAAAACAGGAAACCTAGCGAACCTTCATTCCAAAACAAACGCATGCAAGGCAGTCTTTTATTGTCAAAATTAAGCAAAAAATAAACGGGAATACCCTAGGATGCCTTATTTTTATTCCAAAATAAGTTGAGAACGTCCTCCTTATTTATAAATAAAAGCGACAAACCGAATATTTCTAAATCTAATCCGTTCTATATTTCTAAGATAAAATGAGAACGTGTCTCCTCAAATAATCAAGTGAGAATGTAAATGAAGGTGCCTCTTCTTAAATAAAGTGAAAAAAGCGAAAAACCTAGCGTGCCTGTTAAGTTCAGACACATTTTTGCAAAATAGAGACTTTGGGCCTAACCTAACCTAACTTGTCTCACCTTTCTAAATAAAAGCGTGCAAAGGGTCGTATCCTATTCTAAAATAAGGTGAAAAGATCTAGCAAATAAAGGCTCGCGTGCCTCGTACTCGTAAATAAAGGAAGGGACACTTTTATTTACATGGTTTGACGTTTGGTTTTTAATTCATATGCTTTTTTCTATTACTTAACCACCTTACTTAAAATACCTATACACTAGGATCAGGAATGACCCACGACACGTAATGGATATAATTATTACTCCATTGTTTAGTACTCTTTACGCTTCAAGAAACCCATATTAGCGACAGTGGGTATTTATCTTCAAAACAATTTCCGGTAGGCCGCGGCAACAAATATAATCGCTGAGCAATTATTAAGATATCAAAAGAAGTGACCTGGCGATCAGTTGAAAGTAGCAAAACAAAAATTATTACCGAAAATTTATGAAAATAAAACATTAAGAGATATTTTCACGTTTCAAAAATTAGTGTAAGTACACTTTCGGGTAATTGATAAATATGGTTCAAATATATTTGTTACTTTGTTCCCGGGTTTAAAGAAATTAATTGAATTATGATAAGATCAACGATTCCGGGAAACTTATGCTTATATTTAAAATGCCAAGGTCGTTAAACCGACTGACGTTTTCGCGACGATAGGGAAGGAATAAAAAAAATCCACATCCGCCCAAATAGCCTCGGAAGCTGATAAGCATAAGACGGGCGCACGCAAATCCAATTATTTAATAACGCCATTGTTTTGATTAAACCAATCTTGACGTCAGAGTCTTCGGTACCCATCGCGTTATTGCAGACCGGATTGTTTGCACCATATTTATTTAATATTATAAGTGAAAATCTCACCTAAATTTGCGCAGTTATCGTGCATTAACAGATCAATGGTTTTGGATTGTTAAATGTAATAATTATATAGAGAAAAGCTTGGTAATAAACATGATGTAAATAATAATACTGGCATAGTCAATTTAACAAAATAATAACAAGTTTTATCTATCTTCACTTATACAGGGTGTGTCAAGAAGCCGTACGACAAAGACAGGTCATAAATAGTAAGACAGGGGAAAAATTGCAAGATCGATAAATATCTACAAGTTAAAGAGCGTTATTTTTGGCATTGTTTTGAAATATTTCAAAAAGTAAAGGGGTATTTAGGTATAGGGCATACTTAATGAAAAACGAAAAAGCTTTGTTTAGCCAATGGAATGAGGCAAAAAAATGCGGCGTGTTTCATTTAAAATAAGCGAGATGTTGGTTATTTAATTTTTTTTATTTGGACAGCAGGACCTTCAGTTAAATATGCTGTTAATTTTGAACGCCTAGCTTGAGTTTTATGGGGCCTGTGTCGATTAAAACAAACCCCTGGTATCGCAAAAAAAATAATAAAAAAATATTTTTTCATCAGCACATTTTTTATTAACTCTAATAACTTGTGCCCTATTTCTTAATTTTAGTTGGGGACACAAGTGGTCCATAAGATTGAAGACTGCTGATTACGGGTATGTAACTAGTTACATGCACTATACTGGTATAATTGTCAAACATACGTTATTTTTAGTAACCCTAATGCATTAGATATGAAGGAAACATAATAAGTTTTTCGTATAACCAATGCACATCGGATGGGTTAGTGGATCTATTGAAGATCAGTGCAGTAGTATTACTGATAAATTTAACGAGTTAAGTTATGGCGAAAATTTGTAGAGCAAACATACTAAATTCAAAGTTGTATGTACACTTATAATACGTAATAATAAGGTCAATTCTTAAGAACTACCCGTAGAGTGATTAAAGAAACCTAACCTTTTCTAGATCGTCATTAAAAATGGCGCCTCCTCTGTGAAAGTGTGGACAATAAAACGATGGTCTAGGAAACTGCGAGGATTCTGTCGTGAGCATTGCACATGACAGTTTAACCTCCGTTCGCTCCCGACAGGATCCCTTGTAATCGTCCCCAAAAATTATCGAATCGGTTTCCACTGAGTGGATTTAGTGTTTTTAGTGTCTAGTGAGTGTTTTAAAGGTGTAATCGTTGTCGACCCATCTGTTTTTTCCTGTTCACGCCGGTATGGAAGCCGGATGGGCCCGGATGGTCCGCGGGGGAAGCCATTTTTTTGTTATCGGTCAAAGCCCTATATTGGAAGCTGAGAATAAATGTTGATGACAACTTTTTTGTTAATGTTGGTCTGTGACCGAATGAAAAAAATCCTCGACGAACGTCGTTAATGGGCGAATGGCCTTAGTAGTCTTGCCCAACTGTTTGTAAATAGCAAAGAAGAAGGCAACTGCAAAGAAGGCGGAAGTGCAACAACATAACCTCTATTTGCTGTCTCTTCTTTTGAAATGCAGCGGAAGTTCCTATACCGGATGCTCTGTGTCTGATGGCAAATTAAATTTCCAAAAGTAAATCAAGTAAACCTAACAAGAATAAGTAACACTAAATCTCAAATACAGTCACATATTTTTGAAAATATTCAATCCCAGCCATAATATTCAACTCGTACTGTACAGCCAAGAAAACATCTGCGCCTATAAAAACAGGCGGCGTTTATGAACAATACGATACGATGAAAAGGACGGGCCGACTTTTGCGGTAAACTTTGCTAGTACAGTTAAACGTCTAAATACCCAGCTCCGCATTTTTTATTTTACTGCATTTGTTATAGGTTATGTTGTTTATCATCAATCTCTTATCTATGAATGTCATGATGGGTTTGCGCCTAACCTCCGAGGACGGACGTAGAAACCTTATCGTTAATGAGGCGATCATTACGGCGAAATTTTTATCTACCATTTTATCGATTTTTGGGGCATAATTATTTTTAAGGAGTGCAATATATTAAATAGGGCAAAAAGTGTTCTGCTCCGTATTTTTTTTTTCAGCATTTTTACGACGCTCACAACTTTGTAAAATTTATTGCTGAGATAACCTAATTGAGACGATAAATATTTGACAAAACAAAACATCACCATCGAAACGGCAAGCAAATTTTGTCGTAAACTTTTAATAAAATAGATTTCGCACTTCAAATTGCCACAGTTCTGTTAACCATCTGATAGAAAATTCCCAAGAGTTGTTACAATTTAAAAAACTGATCAAGGAAAAGACTCCAACTTTGACGCGCTTTTCAAAATCGATTTTTTTTTCAAACCCCTACACACTTATACAGGGTGTTTCAAAAAACTTGTTCCAATGCTCGGGTCGAATGAAAGAAGCAATTGTATTAACCGTTTCAGCAAATTTTACAAAAATCAGATATAAGCACGCTCACATTAAATAAACACGTAAATTGCGATACACGTGTTATTTGCTTAAGCTCGTAACAAAAATTGCTTCGTTATCATTTTAAACTTGCCGTGTGGTAAAGATTGCGTATTATATAAGGTAAGGCATTATATAATTTAACATCGATCTTATTACCCTGAGATGATGTCATGTAGAAAAATTTCAAATATACCTATGCCCTTTAGTTTCTAAGATTCTTACTAGGTGTCAAAAATTGACTATTGTAATCATAGTAAGAAAATCCTTACCTTACTTTTTGAATCATTTGAACGGGCTAGAAATATTTAAAATATTGCAAAAACTATTTTTTTTATTTCTAATCTAATCAAAACACAAAAAAGAGACGTTTTTTTTTAGAAAATCCCTATATTTTTGAATCTAAGCAGAGTAGACAGATTTTTTGGCGATTTAATAATATAAAGGATGTTTTAAAAATGATTATTCTCACCGAAATTTCATATTGGTAATAATAACTAATGTGACAACAACCCAAACATTTACAGATCTACCTAGCTAAATGATTATTTTGAAAACAACATACTTATACCTCGCTTGGTTCATTTTAAATTCCAATTTCCAATAAACCAAAACAACGTGTTTTCCTTTGGCAAACCTTGGTGAAAAGTTAAGGTGCGCTTTAAAAGAAAACAATAACAATAATTGTATAATAAAACAATATTTAATCGCGTGCAGGTGGGTAAGAAATTCGTCGGCGACATCTCCGAATATATTAATAATTATGTCTAATTATATATTCTAGACATCGTTGCGAGAGGAAGCAGCACTTAATACTAGAGATGTGAATGTGCCCTGAAGGTTCACTCCGACAGGAAGCCAGCGAGAGGAAATAAAAACAAAATAAAATCGGCGATATAATTCTTGCGAGCGTTCTGCCACAGAACGCGCTAATGTGTTGTAAACCTTGGACCTTGCTTAATATAATTATTATGTATTTTTTGACGACGATACAATAATAATAATATACCTGGTCAGCGAATTTATTTCGATGCACAAAAAATTCCAAATTGCATGTCGTCGACCGTTGATTTTAGCAAACCAAAATTGGCGACCCAAACCTTGTCCCAGCTTACTTAATCCTAATTATAATCGTAAATATCAAAGCAAAAAAGGAAATAATTGCAAAATTGACAAAAACAGGAAATTTTACGGACAGAGAGCGCAACGGTACTCACCCACGCCGTACTTCTTCGTCTTCGTCGTGATCCACATTTTCGTTTATTTTCGCACCATCTTACATACTAAAAACGTACGAAAAAACCGAAACACTCATTTAAAACTCAAATCGATAACACTCTCATCTGGTTTACGGCCATTGTTTTTGATGGGCTGTCAAAATCAAAACCAATTTGCGCACTCTCGCGGAAAAACCGGGAACCAGTGGGTTTGCAGCTTTATTTCATTTGATCGGACTCGGTTTAACTACTCTATAGTAGATGGCGCCGGAACATATGATAATATTTAGCCAACACTTCTCGACATTTATGGCACAAGTTCTGAATTATAAGAACTTTTCAAATGTCTTATTACTGAGTGCGATAATTTATTTTGGCAGTATTGATGAGATATATGATTCCCTGGCAATTTTCAAATGTTGGTATCACACTATTGTCAATTGTCATTTCATCATATAAAAAAATTTTGTCATAAGTTTTTCCCTCATTAAAAGGCATGGGAGATCTGTCAAAAGGAAATGGATAATAAGGTAAAACAACATTGTGTTATAAAAATATTTATTTCATATTCTTAGGATGCCTACAATCCTACAATTAATATACACTTTTGACTAACACTTAACCAGATACAAAATAGCATTAGATTAGTCATCGACCTGTGTCACTTACCTACAAACTACATTATCACATTAAATTACAAATAAACAACTGTAGAGTTAAACAACTAATGCAACAATAAGGCTGTCTTAGTAACTACACACATAAGTGGCTGTACAAACATATTGGATCAACGAAAAAAACTTACTTCTTACACAATAATGGATACGAAAAAAAAGGTTCTGACTCTTGAAACCGAAATGTCTTTTAAGGCAGCCCTTTATTTAGATCTCGATTTTCCTATTCGCTGTACCCTTAAAAATTATATTGTAATACTAAATGCATTAGTAGAACTTAACGCTTTGTATGATTTTTCTTACAAATCCTAAATATTCGAAATTTTATTTCAAGTCGTTGGTGTGTTTCAGTTTCATTCGCGCCTGGAGAAATTCCTTGTTGATGACTTTGTCGTCCTCGTTCTGCAAAAAATATAAAAATTGATGATTCCATTTGAAACTGTAAGAAATGGAAATAATTAACAAAGGCAATGATGAACCCCGTCAATTCAAAACAGAAATGCTATCTCTAGGTTGTACTACGTAAAGTGTGGGAAAAACACGAGACTCTAAACAATCGGTGAGTGATGAAGAAAAAAGTCTTACTAAAATAGTTTTCAATAAGTGCAAAAAGGGCTAGCAAATAATGTTTTTTTAATGTTGTTCATTTTAAGTGAGCTTCATTTTCAACCTTATGAAATTGAAAGAGTTACAATCGAATAGAGAAGTTTTAACCGCCAAGTTAGAAACACATTGTTTATAGTTTTTATTTATTTTTTTGTTATTCAACAGTGCTAATAATACAATCCTTACTACAGATGCAGTATTAACTATTTTACTGTCTACGGCATGGATATCATTACTTAATTAAGCTTTTACTAAAGTGAACTTGCTGAATTTTTAAAAACACTTATGCACCACTTCTTCACGCATTACATGTAATACACATCCTAAACATTAAAATCATATAAATGAATTTAAACGAATTTTTATCTACTTTTACCTATATCTGGCATTTTGTACAATTCCTTAATGTGAGGACTTATACTTCAACGTTTCACGGCCTTGTGATGAAGGTGTGGGTTTGCCTTGGGCATTAATAAAAAAAAGTGTGACCTCTGCCCCTTGGCAGAACTGCGGTTAATTGGATTCCAAGGTTTAAGTATATATCCAGGCGTTCTAATTTAGTTTTAATTACATTTTTTAGTTCAAGTGAAACTAATTTTAACCGGCCACCAAAATATTTATATATATTATATTTATAACTTCACTTACCTCCTCCTTGGTTGGATTTTCCATTCGCCTCGCCCGTTCAGCAATGACTTTTTTTAATTCGGGGGTACGAGCTGCTATGTGACTTTCCAGTTCTTTTTTCGCCAGGTTATTTTTGTGCCTCTCTAGCGCACGCTGAAGCTCTGTTTTCTGGTTTAGGACATTCTTGCCTCTGAAATAAAACATCCAATTATTGCTAACATAGTGACTATACATTGCCGATGCAGCTTCTCGTTTTCGGTAAGGGTGCTAACGTCATAATGTGAGGTTAGTTTAACCGCTGTTCCTAAATGGTAAATTCTTTTAGCGGTGTTTTTACCTCAAGCAGACAGTTATTTTTGGTTTCAGGCAGGTATGCACAGGTGTTCAGGTATGTAATTGAAACATAAATTCGGTTTAAAGCAAAATTGAAAAAATCATCTAATTTCAAAATAATATTGTTTTAAACATTTTTTATGCTTAAAATATATTTTTAGGTGTTGTTCCCGCTTAAAGAATAATCATACTAGGTCGATTTCCGAAGAATCCAAAAATAAGAAGCAAACTGATAAAACTACCAAGATGATGGGATACAGAAATGGTCACCATGCAATTTACGTATTCAGTAGAAGAAAAAAATTGAAATGTAGTGCTCAAATGAGATCCAGCTACACAGGGTTGCCTTCTATATTTATTCGACTTAACCAGAAAATTATACAAAATTGTGGTTATATAAATTTGCCCCTTTCGTGTTTTATGAAAAACTGGATCATCCTCAACTGAAAGAAAATTCGCAATGATTTCAGAAACTGAACATAATTATGGACCAAAAATGAAATCAAATTTTCAAAGATGTTGCCATAGCCACCATTTAGGGGTTACAAAATAGAAGAGTTTTTTTACTTTACTTTATTAATATCTGTTGTTCATCTGGGACACAGATGAAATTCCACAGATGAGTGCTATAAAATTTTGGGGAAAATTCATACCGCAACAGTATATAATAGAGAGTCTTTAAGTCTAGTGAGTAAATAATCTTTCTCAATGCTCTGCGCCCTCGTGCACAGTCGCTATTCTCAGGTTTAATTTAAGCGAGCCACAGTGTCTACTATTCTTCACCAAACTTTATACGCGTATGGTAACAGAAAGTGAAAAAACGAGAAACCCAATAAAACCTGGAGTTTTTTTCAAAATTGTATTATGAATATAATTTAAAACTCCTTCGTTTAAAATCGCGATGGGATCGGCAATGCTAATTATAGGTACCGGTTCACAGACCATAAAATTTGGTTATAAAATAATAAAATAGAAAACCGCAGGATTACCATAAAAACCTTTCTTCCATATAATTTGTGGACGGGAAATTGGACCAACTATTTTCAAAGTGCAAAGTGTATTATCTAATAGCTATATAATTTATGATTATATGTAGGTATATGTGTATGTTATCAATTTAAAAACACTTCCAAAATTGCTTAGATTGACATCAATCCAAAACAATGCGAAATGGCAGGGAAGTGAGATTTGTTTACACAAAGTCAAAACCTAACCCCTAATTATGACGTCATACTAATACCGCTTATTGACTTTTTTTCTACAAAGGTTGGGTTTGTTTGAAAAAAAAAAAAGATTAAGATTCCCCCTTAGCTCGACGTGCTGCAAGAAAATTTGCAAACATAGAGATACAACCCTATACGTCCAATCATTAGCGTTCGTTAATTGAACGTGTCGAAGAGTCCTTCTTTCCGGGAACAAGAGGCCCATCCCGTAACACTACCCGGTGCGTGCGTCATCACAAAAGAACAAGTGCACTCCACATTATATGCGAGCCGTCACTTTTTTCTTGCGTTTGAGCGCGAGTCTTCTATACAGTGTAATTTTCTCACGGACGTCGCTTGACATCTACATCCTGCGAGATTATTGTGAAATCTTTTCGTTTTTTTTTTTTTTCGATTACGACGAAAAACTTTCACTATGGGTCAACACTGAATATGTATATTTAAATAAAGATAAAAACAGGAAAATGACGATAGTAGAGTATTCTAAAATAACACAAAACTTGCCAGAATCGTGTGACCATGGTTATTTCCATTTTCACATTTATATTTTTGTAGTCTTTCGCAAACATTTCTAAAATGGTAAATGGCAAAAAATGCGGAATATTCAAATTTTCCATAAAAAAAAATCACGTTACACATAACAGATTAGTTCTACATCCATATATGAGCAGACGTTGCCAAATGTAGATCAAACTCTACATAAATTTTACAATGTTAAATATCAGTTAACACTGCATTGTTAAATCTGTTGTAAACTACTGCTTTAAAGAAATATAGAAAATTAGTTAATTTAGAGGTTACTATTAAAAAAATGCAGAACCTTGGAGCATATTGCGATTGAAACAATCTCATTTTTTGGAGTACACGCACAAAGAGAGAAATTAAAGGCGGCTATGAAAAGGCTATAATAAGAATTTACGTACCCATATTCCGTTCGTTTTAAGTCTTAACGATATTATTTAAGAATGATCGTAACAATGTAGATAGAGAATAGATCTGAACCTAAAAAACAGAGCCCAACAATAAGTAACAAAACGGGTCGGTATTAGTACATACGCTGTGATATATTTTACATGTAAAATGAAATCAATGCCAAGTCGCCCATATTTCCAGTCCTATCCAAATCTGTCAATTTTTCTGCCTTACTCTTGACGATTATAAACTAAAAATTGGCAACATTGTGATCAGTGTCAATGACGCCCTGAAGCGCAGATATGAATTGTCCATATTAACGTCTGTGGTCTTTGACATGCCCAACCAAAATAGCCAAACATTAATTCATTTGGTAATAGGGAAAATTAGTATTTTTCTGATTTTGGAGTACCTCTACAGTTTCACCCAGGTGAGTAAATAACATTTTCCGTATTAAAAACAATTGCATTCGTTCCAAATCGCAAAAAGCGCGCAACCCGTTGTTATTTCTTGTTACAATCTTCTATTTCAGGCGAGCTATCAAAAAAAAAGAGTGCAAACATTCCGAGGGTGGAGCACAGAGAAAGCTAGCGAATTCCCGGTCTCGCGAAAAGAATGTCGAGAAAGAGAGAGGGTCGGAACGGGGGCGTAAATGTCAAACACAACGCCGCCTGTGTTGCGTTTTAATTATACTATACGATTATGATTACCGCACGAATTAGCGAACGGATGCTGTATGCAATTCCAAGCTCTCTTTCATGTGTGCCGTAATAAGACCGCATTAGACGTGCATGTTTAATAGCGGATGTTTAATTCGCTCCCCTTTTTTCCGTTTAATTGCGTGTGGAATTTTCAAAGCGGTCCACTTGAGACTCCGACCCATCACGACAAGTTCATTTATACGGAAAATAACTGCGCAGAATATCCAGATAACTGCGCAGAAGGATCATACTCAACTAACATTTTTTGTTTTATAATGGTGACGGTTAAATATCGATCACTTTTTTTTTAAATCGTTTATTTTAATAATATGCGAGATGCAACGAATAAGAACAGCTCCAAAAGCTTTTTTTGGTTAAATTAGAAAAAAGTTGCAAAATTTAAAGTTTAACAACGTTGTGCTGAGGGAAATACAAAACTCCCATAACTTCCGAAAAAAAAACGATTTCCGATTTCGTTTTGATTTTTTTCTGGTGTTATTTAAAGATATATAAAAAATAAAGACACTTTCTCGTTGCCGCTTTTACAAAACTCCCGTAATTTCCGAAGATACGGCAAAAAAACGAATTTTGCCGATTTTTTTCTGGTGTTATTTAAAGAGATATAAAAAATAAATTCGTATCAGTGATAAAACTACACCATGCGATTCTACACAATATGGTTCTACAATCTTTAAATCGCAAAAATGGGTTTTTATGAAAGTTTTAATGTTTCGGTGTTGAGAAAATGTAAGAATAATTTTATTGACATATTGGTGCACCGTTTTTTGACGTTTTTGTGTTTAGTTTTGGGTGTTGGTCCTTTTTTTGATTTTGAGAAGTTCGATATGCTACAATGTACGGGCAACAACCATAACAAAAACGCGAATTTACGCTCCTTTTTAAACTTTTTTGCCAATATGAGTTGCGGTAAGTATAGGTAGGACTTTATACATAAAATATGTTTAAAATTTCAAAATGTAATGGGGTGGTCGTTTTCAAATAAGCAAGTTGACAGTAACCGGTTGACCCGGAAGTGACAGGAAGTTGAAAATATTTTTAAAAACGGATACGCTTGACACTGACCTTAACCTAAGAATTTGCACATTCCTCAATTAGTTTGCATGTAAAATGCGACCAACTTAATCAAAAATTTGTTATCTAATCATTTAATTGTTCAATAATAAGAGTTTTATTTCAATATTCGTCAATTACACTAATGGCAGATATGTATGTTATGTACGGACGCACAAACGGAAATTCCTTGAAAGCATATCGCATTTTCAACACTTACTGAATTTTTTTATTTTGAAACTGCAGGAAACAAAAAAGTTTTTAAATAAGTTTTTCCATAAATTTAGTTAAGTAGACCGACAAGGGGGTAGTCTAATTCAATCCCCTTCACTCAATTTAAAAAATTACAAATAATACAGGAAGTGTGCTTTTATAATAGCAACATTTTATTGTTCTATCTATTTTAGTTTTTAATATAAAAAATGAAAACATTACCAATGTTTATACAACCAACTACGCTTTCTTTTAAATAAGGAATTACCATCTACAAGTTTTTTGCATCTGTTTTGGAACGCTTTGTATATAGCCCTATTAAACCTTCACTTTTCAATTGTTATTTATTTATTAATGTTTCCCGGAAAGAAACGTGCTCATTTTTATGTAAATATTTATTGGGACCTATGAGATTTATAAGAGTTTTACGGAATAAGTTAAAAACCCGAAGAATAAAAGTTATATAATAAGATTTATAAGACCTTTTTATAAACTCCGAAGTAACCAACCCAAAGGATTTATTGGGGAAGTAAGGGGAAACTTTTTGGATCCGATATTGTAAAATCCAAGAATATAAAAGTTTTTTTGCATTTATTGGACATTTTATAAAACCATAAAAACTGTTATTAAAGGTAAGACTCCTTATAAATCTCCTATTATTATCCGTTACTTAATAATAAAAGCTCAAGCTGGGAAAAATGTTAGTAATACAGTGGAATGGAATTTCAATTTTGAAAAAAAAAAGTCGCCGAAAAATATCCTTACATTTTTTGGTTGAAGAGCAGTTCCTTGTGAAGGTTTTGCCTCTCGGGGTTCTCCCGTACGGGGTTCACGGGTTTCCTGGGCGCTATGAGGCCGTCGTCGCTCAACAGGGACGGCGTTCTACCGTCCGGTATCATGGCAGTCGAGATGTCGCCTATCAGCTCGTCTTCGTCGCCGTCTTCCCTTTTGGGGGTCGTCGGGGTCGTCGGCTGGGACACTGGCGAATTGTCGAGTCGCGATTTGACTGAAATCCAAAGGAGAAAGGAGACAATTAATTCGGGGCCGGTGAAAATAATATCGAGAAAAAAAATCAAATTAGAAGAAGAAAAAAAAAAAACGTCGAATACTGCGAAAGCGTAAAAAATTAATTCCGAATTTTCAAATTTCGTGTTTTATCATGAAGTTCTGAGTAAATTTCCTAGTTATAATTAAAATTTTTAAAATTCCATGTTATAAGTGGAAAATTTACATTAAAATAATCTTTATATCCATCATAAATCAAACTTGCTCTTGGCGTATTCATTATTATTATTACCTGCTTATAAATTATTTCAGGGGGGCGGAGCTAAAGGAGGGGCCTGAACATTGTCTCGCGTGAACTGGGTATTTGATGTCCACTTTCACTTGTCGATTAAGGCAAGTTTTTTTAAATGCCAATAAGTCGGAGTTAGAGTTTTCCCAACGGTATACCGTTTTTAAAACCGGAATGAGTTTAAGACCCGCCTGTTGCCTAGTATGTGCAGCCAGAGAAACCACCCCATTTTATGTGCACCAATTTGTTGATTGCTGTGCCAATAAGTTTGAGAAATATTAGTAGTATCAGTAGAACCTTTAGAGTCCTCATAAGTCACCATAAGTGACTTTTGTCCCAGTTTTTAAACTGATGCAACTTTCAAAATCATCGCCGCCAAGTTATTAACGGTTATTGGGGCACCCTGCATTTAACGCGGTCGGTAAAGTTTCGAGTTCCAACGCGGTACATATCTGGGTGTGTTTGAATTTGAAAATAAAGGGGAAGGTGGGGCAAGGCGGGCCACTTAATTATTTTTTGTGGCTTTTAACCATCAAGCCGATTTATTTTAACTTTAACTAAATTTACCCAAATTTTGGTAAAGTTTCCGGCCGTCGTGCCCCACTCGCCCCTATAATGTTACATATAATAATTATAATTATTTATTAAAAAGCGTTTTAATAAAAAAAACGTTACTGATAAGCAACTATTTTTCTATAGATTAAAAAATTTATTATTGGTATTTATAAGATTTTCGAATGTGCAATAGTTTTTTTTTTAGAATTTTTAAGCGGTCCATTTTACCCCTGGTATCACGCAAAGGGCTAAAAATGTATAAATAACCAGAATTTCTAATTATAATAACGGAAAAAATAATTTCGGTTAATTTTTGAGGTGGGCCTTCTTGCCCCGGGGGCTCCTCCCCTATTAGCAAAAAACGAAGGAACGAAATAAATAGGGAAAAATAGTTTAAAAAATGCCAAACTTCAAATAATAAATTGTTCAATTTAATTTATTTAAATCAGGTAAAATGAGGCGACTTCCACGTGCGTTCTTATCTGGGACGCCATCGTCTAAGTTTTTTCTAATTCTGCCGCCGATAAGATAGTTTTTGCGTCTGCGTGGACGGACGCTACGTAGGACACGAAAAAAACGCGAAAATTTTACCTTATGATCTGGCGTCCTGCGTCATATTTTCCTTAGCGATTCAAAATTTCCCAACGTACATAAATATAACCGCGCACAGCGATGATAGGTAATCTCCCTCCCGTAATTAACTCGCTACTAAACTCGGATATGCGGGAGAGAATTTTTAATCGTTACCGAACGACCACGTGCTCAAGGTGATGCTTCGCGTTCGGAGGCGACGCACTAAATGCCGCTGCGACGAAGCGGTTGCACTAGGTCAAGCTACGGAGCCGTCCCCCAGGTATATAAGGCTGGATACGCGGTGGTGGTCGAACTTATCCCCTAAATAGATGCCCTAGTGGTCCGCGCGAACAGCGCTCGTATTACGCCTCCGCTTTCTTGCAGAAATATTTAAAAAACTGTCCAAGTTCTGCTTCCCGTTTTGTGGTCACGATAAGTAAATATAGGTAAAAGAAAATAATTGTATACCTGTGTTTAATATTCTTTGGTTTGGTATACTACTTAGTTCAAGTTTATTAGTACTCATTCTTATTTCGTGTCTAATACAGCGTGTGTTGAATCGTGTGCGAATTATGCAAAATATGTGCGTCTAGTGTGTCTCAGGAGATGCTCCCGCCCAAATGTACAAAACACTATTCTATTGAGACTAAGGAAGTTATAAACAATGTTTATTTGACTCTCATTGAACGTGGTGCCAGCAAGCAAGCATTTTTAGAAGAAACGGCCACATTGACGAAAATTCCAACATCAACTGTATGGAAAATTGTGAATAATCCCATTTTTGCGAGGAAAAAAAAAAGAAGCGATGCTGACATTTTCTCGAGTTTCGTCAAAAATGCGATGCGTTTAGTTTGTATTCTGATAGTTATATTTTATTACGTCAGTAATTTTATAAAATGGTACAGTCATTTATGCCATTCTTGTCTTCAAGTTAGTTCAAATCGTTTATACAGGGTAAATAAAAATGACAAATATATAATGCTATATTTCCATCAATTATTCCTACTAATACAATTTTATTTAGCATTCCCTATACCTAAACTCAGTATTTTTTCAGGTATACACAAATTAAACACGGTATTGAATATACAACATTTGAATTTTTTTAACTGCAATTTTACTTTTTAATGAAATAATTAATGATTAATGATGTACTGTAATATCACGTGTCAAAGAATATACTTCATTTTTTTCAAATAAATTTTTTATATACGGTATAGCAACATATTTCTGATTATTTGTATCATTTTTTGATATTTTATTTTTACTATAAAACCTGTAGTAGGTTCGCTGTTTAATAATTTTATTGATGTTATTTTCAGGGAAATAATTTTCAATTAAACCTAATTTAAATTTTTTAAGGCTTTCGCGGCCCGTTGATAAGCTACTATCTTGATTCGGGTTTAAAGGCCGTCGTCGGTTGGAATTACTTCCTAACGTTTCGCTAGCACGAGTGGCGAGCTTCTTCAGAGGTCCTTCCATCTCCGATGTTGGACGTAGACTGACCATTTCTCCTGCGCAAATTGTATTTATGCCGATTGGTGGTGGGCGGGGCTTGTTCCGCTTCGGTTGGTCTCGGGATATCGATCGGTTCTGTTCGGGCGTGCCTAAGGATCGGGTTCCAGATTTGGTTGAGTCTTGAAGAGACCCTTAGACTCAACCACTTTACTATTAAGTTAAAGTTTTTGAAAGTTTTTTCAAATTTAATAGAAAATTCTACTTTAGAATGAAAATTATTAATAGCATTAAGAGTATCATTAATACGATTTTTGGTATAGCTGCTAAACAGTCATCAACAAAACTTTTGAAAAAAATTATATTAAAATTAAAATTTTGTAAAAGTTTTTTTGAAAATAATTATTATTATTCATTATATTAACTAAATTAATTTTAACGGTCAAGTGTCAAGCCACGTCTCATCAAGGTAAATGATTGAACGATTCTCTGAACGTTGTCTTATCGCTGTTGTATACTCATGTCTCCATTTTTGTACCATCGCTATGATAAATACTTGCCTCTTGTCTAATTCGTTTATTATAATTCCGCAGTTTGTTTGGATTTCGCCATTAACAAGCCGTTCCTTTAGACATCGTACCGTCTAGGTCTCACTTGCTCTTTTTGAATTCAGGTATTAAGAAGCTGCAGACATTATTAAAGACACCTGTTCAAATGTACTTCAGAGGCAGCATGTATATTTTTGTGTTCAAATAAATTATTTACAACCATAATATGACTAAAAATTAGAAAGATAAATACCCAGACAAGTAACATTACAGATCACATCGTAAATCATTTTTCAAAAACTATAACATAGACTCAGATTTTCGATTGATAAGAATGGGAGATTCTTGACAATGAGGCCAAATAAAAGTATCATCGACGTTGCGTTTCCATAATTTTGGTTTCACATGGAAGGTGTCAATGCTTTTCTTCTAAAATGCTATATTTAGGATAATTGGTGATAATGGAGAACCTACAGCTGTTCCCGACATTTGTTCATAAATTTGACCGTTTGCTGCTGTTGTTGTAAATGGTTTTGATATATAAGCTGAATAATGTGTTGGAGAACCAAAGATGCTGACAATAGGTCGAATGCTGGTTTGTAAATCTTGGAGAGTCCTTAGAGTCGTGAATGCTGACACACTTGTTCAAGGATTCTGATAGAGAAGAAGCCTTATTTAAGGTTGTGTTACACAGATGACGTAAAAAGAAACTTTTCTAAGTCTGTATGCAATATCTTAAATTTTTTCCTGATAGCCAGTTGACCACATGACCTTTATCTGCAATTACGATTACGATGTCGGTATTAGATTTCAGAGCAACGCGTTCAGGCTTTGAGATGGCAGTTTGTTTAGAATAGACTCGACATTTGAAATGATTTCCTTTTTTGGCATAATACGTTCATGCCCCTCCTTTAACTATGCCCCCTCAAACAATATATTAGCTGGTACAGACTAAAGTACAGGATGATTGGCGAACTGTCAGCAAGTTTCATTTATAAACAACCGATGCAGGCGCAGATTTTTAAACCTACTTAACACCTACTTAGGAACATTTTATATAAATATCCACTCGCTTATTGGTTGATCATCTTCCAAGTCCTGTTCGTATTCTGTCTCGGTAATAAGTCCTGCGTGACGATAGGAGTGTTGAATTGTTTCTGCTGTCACCTCTTTCCAAGCTTTACTAATAAAGTTGACTGCATCTAGCATATTAATGGAAAATTTGTTTTTGGACTAGATCATTTCCAATAAAATGTTTTTCCTGTGTCGACTCTTAAGACTTTTTATTACGCTCTGGTCCATAGGCTGTAATACACTTGTTGTTTTGGCTTTAAGAAATGGCAATTCAATATTCCGTAGACTTGGATTATGGGAATGTGCAGGGCAGTTATCTAAGAGAAGTAACATTTTCCTCCCCTTTAATTCTGCATCTCATTTCCGTATTTCCTCTTCAAAAATTTGCGATGTCATCCATGCAGACTTGTTTGCCTTGTAAGTGACCGGCAAATACTTGATGTTCTTAAAACATCGTGGGTTAGTTGATTTTCCAGTCACGACTAGCTTTCTTTTTTCTCTCCCACT